TAAAATTAATCTAAGAAAGAGAGAGAGTTAACCTAACTAAATTATCTTAAGTAAGAGAGGGAGTTACTAAAGAAGAACTAGCCTAAGAATAAAAAAAAATTACTATAATAGAATAATATCTCTTAGCTAGATTAATTATTACTACTATAAAATATTTTAAAAAAAGATAATACTTCTTAGCTAAAGCCTCCTCTACTATAGGAGAAGAGCTCTTATTATAAGAAATATTAGAAGAATCTATCTTTATTATAGAAGAGAAGTCTTTATTATAAGAAATATTAAAAAGACTTATCTTTATGATAAAAAAATTAATATTATTTTTTATACTAGACTATATATACTTACTATTATCTAGAGAATCTTTACTAGTACTATTATCTAACTTCTTACTATAATTACTAGTTATTATTACTAGCTTAGCAGGCTAATTATATAACTTATTATTATAACTAATAAGGAAACTAAGACTACTAGCTTAAATAATAGATTTATAAGAGTAAGAAAGATTAGTAACTATAGATAAGAAATATTTACTAAGAAGAATATATATTTATTAAGAGTATTAGAATCTTATATATAAAAGTCCTATATATAAAATAAATATATTAATCTTTAGTTACTCTAAGTATAGTTAGTATAGGACCCCTAAAAAAATATAAATCTATTATAACTAGGAGTAGAGATACATCCTCTAAAGAGATTCTTATCTAAAGAATAATTACTATAAGCTAATATATAGTTATAAGATGCACCTTACTACTAGAGAATAATAACTAATATATAGCCTAAATAAGTATATTTCTTTATATCTAGCTTCCTCTTCTTATTAAATTTTTAGATAATTAAGTAAATAATATTTATTACCTTTAATATATTTTTATTAGGCTTACTAAGATAAGCTTCTATTACTAGTAAGAGATAATTACTAAAGCTAGAAAGGATACTTACTAAACTTACTAAAAGTAATTATACTTTTTTAATAAATAAAATAGTTTTTATCCTTCTTTTATAGAGTACCTATATTTACTAAGTATAAGAAGAATATAAGAGACTAATATATAAAGAAAGAGACTTACTAAAAGAGAGATAATAATTAATATAATAAAAAAAAAGATACTTATAGGGGGAGAAAAGAGAAGAGGAAATATAAGAGATAAAAAGAAAATAAGTAAGATAAAGTAAAGTTACTTAAAATTAAAATAAATAATATATAATCTTACCTTATCTCTATTATAATAACTATACTAGTAACCCTACTTACTAAGTAATCTAATACTATTCTTTAAGTAATCTAATAATACTTACTAAGTATAATCTAATACTACTTACTAAGTATAATCTAATACTACTTACTAAGTATAATCTAATATTACTTACTAAGTATAATTAGATACTACTTATTAAATATAATCTAATATTACTTACTAAAAGTAAATCTAATCCTACTTACTATATATAATATTACTCCCTTAAACTATAAGAACCTTTTAGTAAGAAGCTAGATAACCTACTAAGGATAGGCTTTACCTTGAGTAGGAGAGGATGTAATATTAGTAAATAAATATTATAAGTAGATTAATAATTATTAAGATTAACTCTAGGTTACTAAGGTTAACCTAAGAAATCTCTATAATATCTATAACTTATCTTTTAGATAGATAGCTAATAGCTAGGTATAAATAGAAGATCTTACCCTAGGTAAGTAAAGAGGTATTAGCCCAGCCTATTTCTCTTCACCCCTGGTGATACTACCTTACCCTCAGTAATTCCATTTATATTTAAGCTATATACTTATGTCTATTAGTATTTATATTATTTAATTACCTAGCTATAATAACTATAAGCCTAGTTAATAAGATAGTATAAAGATATTAAATTAATAAGAGATTTATTAAGGTTAATAAATAGAAGATAATTAAAAATAAAAATAATAAGAAAGTACTATAAGATGATAAGTTATAAAGAAATAATTAATAAGAAGATAAATAATATATCCTAGAATATATTAATCATAAGAGTTAGGACTATACTTATTAATTAAAAGAATTAGAGAACCTAAAGAGATATTATATAAATAATAAGCTTCATTACTAATTAATAAAGAGGTAAGGATTAGTCTCTATATTAATCTATATCCTTTCTGTGCCTAACTATATTCTATTCTTTATCCTTACAATAAGTAGCAGTGAAGAACCAAAGGAAAGGGAGATAGGAGGGCAACCCCTAATATTAATCACTAACCATAACTGCTACTCTACCATGGTTGTATTACATAACTATCTGATACTAGTAATAATAGCTAAGGATAGCTATATTAATCAAAGATATAATTATAATAATAAAAATATTATTAATTATAAAACCTTTAGAGATACTAGCTATTTGTTAATATCTACATAATAAAAGTATTATTACTTTAGAATATCTGAAATACTAATTATTTATTAATAATTATTTAATAAATCTATAATAATATAACTTTATATACTATAAGAACAGTGAACTTGATAATAGATAAGAAAGGTAAGGATTAGTTTCTATCTTAGTACATACTATTCTGCTGTGCCTAGCGATTCTTTATACTTTCTCTTTACATTAAAGTTCTAGCTTCTAATCTTATAATTTTTATTTTAAAACAAATCTTACTACAGTTAGATTATAATATAATTAGATTTTACAATATCTATATACTTTTTTAATTTAGATTAATAGTTTTACCTAATCTAAAGAGACCTATAAATCTATAATTAATAGTTTTAACTAAAACCTAAGAGGTTTAGTAAGGGGTGAACTAGAACTACTATAAATCCCTAGCCTAGGAACTAAACCCTCACTGTAGTAAGTTTAGTGAGGGTTAGATTCAATTTTTGTGGTCTGGGTATGCAACTCTAACTATTATTAATATAATATAAATCTAATATATAAGCTCACTACATAGTAATCTATTTCTTTCATTGGTATAGATTAATCTTATTTAGTACTACTATAAATTTAATTAGTAACCAAGTAGGAGCCACCTAGCCAGCTTTAGAATTAGACCTAGTCAGCTTATCTATATTTAAAATACAAGACTAAGAGGCCACCTGGCGACCTGACGACCTGTATCCCAGCTGGAAGACCCTCAGTAGGATTCTACAGAAACTCATAAGCTTCCTGCTGATACTGAAGATTATTAGTCCCCCTTTTCCAATCCCCATCACCATATACAACGCAGAAATACTGCTTCCAAAAGAGCCAATAATCAACGCCTTGCAGCAAGGGGGTCAGAACCCTTCTATATCCTTTATAAAAGGCAAAGAGCCAATATACAGTATGGACGTCCTTCAACCGCTGGAGTCGGCTGAAACAACCTCGATGCCTTGGAACTTTCAAAATAGGATTGGTCTCATGGAGAGAGAAGTTTCAAATAGGAGCTGGAGCCCGTCATAACTCATTCATAGAATCAACCCAAGACGATAACATAGCTACAGAGGATGTTCAAATGAAGACCAGTGGGGATCCTGACCACAAGTCCCCTGAGCTCGCTCGGGCTTGGGACAACCTCAATGATGCAATTAATCAACTTTTCCATCCTCTATATATTTCATGGTGTTGCGGTCCGAAAGGAGAGGATGGAATATTGTCTACAGTGGATGGAGGTGTTGAAGATCCTATAAAGGGAACTTGTCATAAGAACTACTGATACTGACTAACTAGGGTCTGAACACCTTTTTAGTGCAGCGGTAGAACCCCTACGACATAAGTTGCAAAACGGCGTCAAGTGTAGCCGTTTTTGGCCGCTAGCTAACTGTTTCATAGTTATATGGAGTACCTCTAGCCTTTTTTACTAGATTAGCTTCTCTTAGACTTCTATCTTGAATCCTTATTGAAATTAGATATTGTGGGCATCCTTATCCTAGCCTAAATAGGAAATAATCTACTAGAATCTAGAAGTAAAATCTTTAATAATATCTACTCAGGGTACTATAACCTTTATTCTATTTATTATAATCTATTAATATTACTAACAATCCCTTTGTCTTTTCTTAAAATAATATATAGCTAGTGCATACTTCCTTAATATTATTATCTACACATCAGATTCATCTTTGAATGGTATCAGCATCCGAACCCGTCAATAATCTTGCCAATGCCAGGCCGGAAAAGATGTTGATGCTCGTCAAGGATTCGTCGTATAGATGCCTGATAGTTCTGGTCCCCTGTATGGAGTCAGCCTACGTCTACTGCAGTTTTCGCTGGGTTCTCATTCGTAAGGCATCGGGGCATTGATCAAACTGCGGCAAACCTTTGGTCCTCAAGAAATGAGAGCGCGTCTGCCACGGGACTCGTTAGTGGTCCAGGGCAGCAAATAGCATACTGCAGTCGTCGGCAGATCGCCCAGTTGTCTCGGAATGATGGATACCAACAGATGCGATGCAAGCTCATGCCAAAGAGGATCAACGATGGGCAGAACTGCAGATGGAGAAAGGCCCGGTCACATGACCTTCCGATGAGATCTTCGGATTCTGATTGGTTGATCGGTCTATATTGTGGCTGAAAGGCTTCACTGTTGATGTGCTCTGACGTCATGGACATAGGTACACTCTGTACACAGTAAGCCACAGCAACACAATGGACAAATCAGAATTATGTGCTGGGTTTATCCCTGTATATCCGACGACTCCGTTCAAGCGAGGAACATTGTTAATCCGTGGGATTGAAGCCTTTTGGGCGGAGGATGCCGCTTCTAGGGAAATATCAGGCGATGGCGTCTGTGGCGCGCAGCCCCAGAAGTTGGACAGGTTGTTGACACGAACGTTCTAGAACTTCAGAATAAAGACAGCCTTGGTCCCCCACCCCCCCCAAAAAAATCATTTATATACCTCTGATGGATCAAATCGCGTCACACTTACAGGAATCTCGATACTGTCGTGATCAACATCGCCTAAATTACCGTGCTGCGAAATTATGCCTTAGCGGGTTGTTTGACTCGATCGATCGCCCGGCTCGATCCGTCCCATATGGAACCCCGGAGTCAAACTTCTCAAGTCCGGAAACGTCAGAGAGAAGGCTCACCTGGAGGGGCCCCGAGAGAGGACAGTCTTCCACAGTCTTTGTTGCTTCAGTCGTTACCCAAAGTCAGTCTTCCGCGAATCACCATTGCCAAACCTCGAGGTCGTCGCGCCATCAGGGCGTGTATCAGTTGCAGAGAGCAGAAAGCAAAATGCAATGGAGGGGTGCCGTGTGAACGATGCCGTGAGTTGAGAACGGAATGTGTGTTTGTAGCTAAAAAAAGTGAAAAGATCGCAAGGTAAGCCGGTTCACTCCCGCGAAGAGCCCCGACAAGGTTCCGGATACTGAGCTCGACTTAAAAGACGTTTACAAGATCTTGAGCAGCGGGCGAAGGAATTCTACCGGTTGCTGCGGCAATTATACCCTAGAGTTGACCGGAAGGATCAGGCGCTGATTGACAGGGCTCTTGAAAGAGTAAGCTCCCCCAGATCCTATTGTTGACAGTCTAGCTCCCATGCTCACCCAATGAAGGAGACGCCTCCTGGTAGTGTTAGTCCCCTCAGTGAATCCTCGGCCGACGGTACCATTCGCCATGCGACTCTCCCTGCCGATCCAGTCGACGAAGACTTCAACAAGGACAAGATAACCCGAGCGACTGGGTTTGTGGGTCCACATTCTGAGAGGTCCTGGTTGCATCAGCTGAAACGCAAGGGCATGCGGTACAACGGATCGCATCTTGGTTCGGAGACGTCAAGTGGCCCCGCCGCAGACTCAATCAGTTCTGTGGACTATTTCCTGGACGGCCAGGACTTGTCGGTTGATTTCTCGGTGCAGCCATACGCGATTCCCCCTCGAGATGTTGCGGACGATCTTCTGAACACCTACTTTGATATGGTACATCCCGGCCTTCCAATCATTGGCAAGACCGTGTTCCTACACCAGTATCGTCGGCATTACACGGAGCCCCTATCCAGCCCACCGAAAAAGTGGCTGGCTATCCTCAACTTCATTCTCGCTGTGGCCGCTCAACACTCGAGTCTTGCCTCAACCGTCAATAACAATGACGAATGGCATGACCCCTTGCTCTACTTCTCCCGAGGAAGCAAGCTGGGGTTAGCCGACAATCACTTGTTCCCACACCCTGATATTCAACAAGCGCAGATCGAAGCTCTGGCTGCATTATACCTTTTGACCATAGGTCAAGTAAACAGGTGAGAATACTTGATCCGATTCATTCAATCCATGGCGTCCTGGCATCTAACAGACTTTTGTGACAGGGCTTGGAGAATGTCTGGCCTGGCAGTTCGCTCCGCTGTTGCCATGGGTCTTCACCTGCGGAGCGTCAGCAGAGAGACCTTGGACATCTCGAAAGAGCTTCGCTGTCGTGTTTGGTGGTCCGTCTACATTCTCGAAACGACCCTGTCGCTCATAACAGGTCGACCATATACCTTGGCGGATCGGTTCTGCACTGCACCCTTGCCTCTGCCATTTGATGAGGAGCAGTTCCGTGATCCTCCTGTTGCTCGCTTGCTCAAAGATCAAGATGCACGAAATAACTTCATCCGCCATCTGTTGCTGGCGCGGCCACGAAAGTCAGGGGTGGGACCTCCTTTCGTCGTCCCATGCCACTCGCTATACTTCCTCCACACGGTCGAAATCGTTCGTATCAAACGACGTGCGATCGACAAGCTCTACGCACCGGGGAAGCCAGGGCGAAGAAGGCACTCTGCAGGAGAAACCACCGACGAGCTTGTTGATAGTGTCAACACTTGGCGGTTAAATTTACCTGAATATTTCCAATTCGCACGCTCCAAGGCGGATTCGGGTTTTCAACGCGAGCGATTCTGCCTTGCGCTCCAGTTCTATAGCGCGAAAATCACCATTGGGCGCATCGCGCTGCACCGCGACCGTCCCCGATCATCGCAGGGCTACCGCTCTCTGAGCCCTCCGTTGAAAGAGATGGCCAACATATGCATAGCCTCCGCGTTCAGCATGCTCGCCCAATTACCGGATGAGCCCGATCTTGTCTGGCTTACACGCATTGCTCCGTGGTGCTGTATCTTGCATGACGTCATGCAGTCGCTCGCTGTGCTGTTGATCGAGTTGGACTCTCGCATCAGACAGGGGAACAAGGACATAGCACCGATTCTGACGTCGATACAGAAAGGAATGCACTGGCTCTTGGCAATGGGTTCTCGCCATGCGCCGTCACAGCGCGCATGGCAGATCTGCCAGGATCTATATCTGCGTCTGAATCCTACCATGACACCCTTGGCTCTTCGTAGCTCATGACAGATGAATCCCTCCCTCTCGCAACAGCGACCAATGCGGCTAGCCACTTACTATGATCACAAACTAAGCGAATATCGACTCGAATGTAGATAGCCTTGCCCAGCCTTTTGTGTCCGATTGAAAGATCAGTACATAGTCAAGGTAATAACATCAGCTCTTTTCACCTGAGCTCTTGTCGTAGACTCTGTTTATATACTGCTTGTCTGTTAAGCTTCCGGTTCTTTAACTGAAAGGCGTTCTATGAGGCCAGAGGTACAGCAGCATCAGTGTATCGACAAGTAATGAAAAGATCCCGAGGTTCTCTTCAAATGAGGCACTTTGTAGAAGTATCATCACCATCATCAGCCTCTTCCCTCTGTCGTGATGGAAGGTTGTTCCTGGCAAATCCCCAGTCACATGCCAAGGCTGACATAATACAGTTTTTATATCCAATCAGACTTTAGCATGGTGGGGTGTGTTCCCACCTCCTACCCGATTTGTCCAGCTACCCCGCCCCGCCGATCAGCTTCACGACTTTTGGATAAAAATCTCGTTTTTCCTTCGCGTCGCAACAAACTCTTTCCAAATATCTTCACATCTCATATCCCACATCTCAACCTCCTCAATCACAATGGGTGTCACCAAGGAAATCAAGGCCGCCGGCAACGGTGCCGACTTCCCCAAGAAGGGTGATTTCGTCACCATCCACTACACCGGTACCCTCGCCAACGGCGATAAGTATGTTCCACAACCGATATGAGCTTCTGCTGTCGCTGCTAACGGTTATCTGCAGGTTCGACAGCTCTGTCGACCGGGGTAGCCCCTTCCAGTGCCAGATCGGTACTGGCCGTGTCATCAAGGGTATTGTGATTCCCAGCAGCAAAGGTTGTCTGGCGGTTACGAGCTAACTCATGATTAGGCTGGGATGAGGGTGTTCCCCAGATGAGCCTGGGCGAGAAGGCTGTTCTGACCATCACTCCGTAAGTCTTCTTAGATTGCTGAGGTGGTTTCTTCTGCTGACTTGTATTAAATAGTGACTACGGTTACGGTGCTAGGTATGTTGTCTGAATTGGTCCAGCGGTGCTGGGGTCTATTGGGTCAATTGAAACTAACAATCTCTCTTCAGCGGCTTCCCTCCCGTCATCCCCGGCAACTCCACCCTCATCTTGTAAGTCTAGCTTGGCCTTGATCTGTTTGGAACTGAGACGCGCTGGGATAGAGCTGACTGGTTACAGTGAGGTCCAGCTCCTCGGTATCAACAACAAGAGGGCTTAGATTCGTCGAGGAATGTCGATATAGAGCAACTTTTGGATAGCAGCACATCTCTAGCCTGTACAAAGATGAATGTCACAGTTTGATGAGATTACCGTTGAATTTCCAATGATATCAGTACTGTAGTGGTTACCAGTGGTCAATGTGAGACCAAAGCTAGCTATGATCTCATACCTCTCACAATTGTGCTTTACTAGATATAGCCCCTCCCTTTTGATAGATGTAGATCGATCTCCACGGCGACGTGTTAGTACTTGCAATGGCTGCAATACAGTTATTCTCCGAGACATGCCACACCCCACCAGTCGGAAGATTCTACGTCGATCTAGATAGTCAAACTCATTCGTGCATGGGCTGAAATGACGTACGGATAAGTACAGGCTACTGTAAGCTGCATGGCCGCCAACCCCTCCCAAGCTTGGTTGGTGTCCACACATCGATCGAGATGAAACGATAGAGCCTGCCAGGTGTGCCTGATGACATCAAGTGTGGTGCCTGAGGCAGCACAAAATCCCCACCACTGTCCCATGCCGGTCTAACTGCTTCGGGCCATCTAGGCGCCTCAGACATAAGGCTGAAGTCATGATCGGCGCCAGCACCACGGTTGCGCTTTTCATTGCTTCATGGCCAAAAACTTGACCACGAGGGTACAGTTGGCAAAAGGGAGCTACGTTGGTAGACCGATCGGTGAGACTGGGTTGTTCCGTTTCTGTGGCTGCCCCCCTGGATCTCCGGTATGTTAGTTGTTACCTTTCGATAAGGTTGAGTGTTGATGCTGTGATTTATGGCGGTATTACTTACGGCGGCTCTGGGCGAATGAGTGCCGTTTCAGTTGCATTGATGATTGGATCTTACCATGCGTGTATTTCATGAGATATACGAGTCTACATAAGCTATGAGTATAGAGATAGAGTCAGTCAATAGAGACACACTGGTGCAATGCAAGAATACTCATGGGATTGTGGCGGTAGCTGTCTCCTGTGGCTGGTGTCGGTTACATAAGCCAATTGGAAAGACTGGGGATATGACGACATTTACCAGCGATGATGCTCAGACCCGGTATTCTGCTGGCCAATTCAGGGACTGCGGGATGGAGAGATGACAGACGTCACGAGTGAATGGAGATGGATGCATACAGGGTGCTAGTTACACTGCTGCTGCCAGGATGGTACGCTCAACGTCATCTAGCTAGGATGCTGCAACGAAGGGCATATATAGAGCTTCACGATGCTCTCAAAAGGCTCCTTTTCTTTCTCCAGACTATCAAACTACATCAACAACAACACAATACCACAATCACCACAATACCACACATCCTTCCTATCTTCTCCTCCACCTTTTCTAATTCTCTAATCTAACCACATCATCATCATCTCCATCAACATGTCTGGACTCATGCACAAGGTTAAGGAGGCTGTCACTGGTCACCACGACTCCTCCCACAGCTCGGCCCACGACTCGACTACCCAGCATAACACGACTCAGAACACTCACACTGGCCACAACAGCCTTGACAACACGAACACAAACACTAGACACTTTGACACTGCTCGTGCCGATAGCCAGATTGGTCAGTGAAAGAGGGTTGAAGCTCCCCTATCCATCACCCCAAATAACAAGTCGAATAGACAAGCAAGCTGTACGAGATGCCACCGTGACCACTGGTCCTGATGGGGAAAAGGTCGCTCACACTAGCACCCACGGTCCTCGCGTGGTCGAGTCTGGCCACGGCCACAGCAGCGGCCACCACACCTCTACCAGCTCCTCCACCTCCGGTCCTCACAACTCCAAGATTGCCAACAAGCTGGATCCTCGTGTGGATTCGGACCGTGACAACCGCGCTCGCCATGAGGCCATTGGCGGCACTTATGGCCCTCACGACTCCAACATTGCCAACAAGATGGATCCCCGTGTTGACAGTGATGCTGGTAAGCAACAGCTTGCGAAGTCGCCTGGTGCGGAATGTTCACTAACTTTGACTGATTGTTTAGATAACCGCGGTGCTCACAAGCACTCCGGCGTTGGAAGCACCGGTGCTTATGCCAGCGGTGCCCGCGGCAGCTATGGTAACACCAGCACCAACGCTAGACCTCACAACTCCAACATGATGAACAAGGCCGACCCCCGTGTCGATTCGGACATGGACAACCGCGCCCGTCATGAGGCTATCGGTGGTACCCACGGCCACCACAGCTCCAACGTTGCCAACAAGATGGATCCTCGCATCGACTCCGACATGGACAACCGCGCTGCTCGCACTGGACTTGGCTCCACCCATGGCACCACCCACGGCACTACTGGCGCCTATGGCGCTGGCCACACTGGCCACTCTTCGCTCGGCAGCAACACCACCCATGGAACCACTGGTTCCTATGGTACCGGCATGGGCACCAGCACCAGCACCAGCACCAACGCCGGACCTCACGACTCCAACATGATGAACAAGATGGACCCCCGCGTTGACTCCGACATGGACAACCGCGGTGCCTATGGCAGCCACGGTACCACTGGCCACTCTTCCCTCGGTAGCTCTGGCCTGGGCAGCAGCACCCACGGTACCACTGGCTCGCATGGCACCGGCCTTGGTAGCAGCACCACCCACGGCACCACTGGCCACTCTTCCCTCGGTAGCTCCGGCCTGGGCAGCAGCACCCACGGTACTCACGGGACTGGCTCCTACGGCACTGGCACTGGCACTGGCATGGGCATGGGCATGGGCAGCAGCACCAGCTCCAACGCCGGCCCCCATAACTCCAACTTGATGAACAAGATGGACCCCCGCGTTGACTCCGACATGGACAACCGCGCGCGCCACGAGGCCATGGCTTCCAACAGCTACAACACCTCTGGCACCTCCGCCACTGCGGGCCCCCACAATTCCAACATCATGAACAAGATGGACCCCCGCGTCGACTCTGACCTCGACAACCGTGGCACCCTCGGTAGCCAGCGCTACTAAGCTATGACTTGATGGTGGATCGCTCGGGACTTGGTTGTTTTTTTCAATCCGCGGATGATATGATATCCCCTCTTTCTCAACTTTACGCGTGACGATTCTTTTCAAGATCTGTATTCTAGATACCTAGATACCTAATGAGATAATCTTTCCAACTTCAATTCCTCATTCTGATCCAATGCTCCCCACGTACCCAACCACCAATGCCAATTAGGCCTAGACCCTCGGCGGCTCCGACCTGCCCTCCGCCGGCAGCTCCCTAATCCCCTCCGGCGTGACAAAGATCTCCGCCCACTGCTCATCCGTCACATTGACCTGGTTCGCCTCCTTCCAATCCAACACAGCCCCGAAATCGCGACACACATGGTCAACATTGAAATCCGCAAACGGGCCCGGCGTCCCCGCAACCTTGTTGAAGGTAATCACACCCACATCCGCATGACACAGGACGAACTGCAGCAGGATATGCGTACAATGCTCGAGATGCACCTCGTAGGGGAACTTGCTTCTTCTCTTCTCGCCCGTCCCCGCCGTCCCCGAGCCCACACTCCCACTCCCGCTGCCCCCGTGGTGGCTGTTGCTGTGGCTGTGGCTGTGGTTGTGGTTTTGGCGGTAATACTCCGGATGCGCCGCCTGGCGCAGATGATTCAGACAATGCAGCTGGTGAAACACATCCAGGAGACCCATGTAGGCCTCATCGCCGAGCCCGTACGAGGCCGGGAAGCGGTACAGCTCCGCGGGGTCCTTGTTGAGGCGGCGGACCTGCTCGCGGGTGAGCGCGAAGGCGTGCGTGTCTGCGATGCGGTCCCATGCGGCGTCGACTTCCGGGCTGGGCGGGAGTTGGAAGAGGGAGGGCGGGGATTGGGGCCAGAAGGAGCCGTTGGTCGTCGTGGTGGATAGGGGGAGGGGGAGGGTGTCGAGGAGGGGGGCTGGAAGGGGGGGGGGGAGTGGAGGGTTAGTGATTTGGTAATGGTGGAAGGGGTTGGGAGGGACAATACAGTAGGCGGATGTTTGGCGGACGAGACGGTTGTCGATGTTGTGTTTTAGGGCGCTGAGTTCGTGGAAGGCGTAGGCGAGGATTCCTAGGGAGGTGAGGAAGAGGGCGAGGTTTGTTGAGAGGAGGAGGAGGATGCGCCAGTTGCGGGTGCGCGTGCGAGGAGGGATGCTGCTGCTGCTGCTGCTGCTGCTGGTGTCATCTTCGGAGAGGAGTTCTTTGGACTCGCTGGGGAGGTGGGAGTAGGTGGGTGAGTGCGTTGAGTTGAGCATGTTTGATTGATTGGGATCATTGAGCGGGCGACGACTCTACGGGAATGATGCTTCAGACTAATATGCTGATATACTCCAGAGCGGAGGAAGAGGGAGCCAGAGGAGAGAGTACTGGCAGGACTCTCTCACGCCGAGATTGTTGTTGCGATATTGCGCTTTGCAAAACATGTGGATAGAGAGACAGCAGCACCCTTGTGAAACATCGCTTAACGCCATTCTTCCAGCCAGAGTTTCATCAGGATCCTCTACACAGTACTGCTGGGCTGTGTTGTCTAGTTAACCACTTCCGACATTGATTCCCTTGGTACCGATGTACGACTACTCGATAGCACCGCCAACCAAGTCTAGAATACCTTCCTGGATCTTGTTCCCGCCTCAAGATAGTACTCCCCGACCTTCCTCTTCCAGTCTCAGATCAGGTCTAAAATCTCGTCATTGGCTGGGCCGGTTTGGGGGCCGAATCCTGGAGATGAGGAATGCCTATTGTACATTCTTCCTAGTACGGCTTAGGCAGGTCGTGGTCCCTGCGGAAGGCATATTTCCCCTTTGTTCGAGGCCAGAATTGCAGACCCTTATCTGCTAGAACACATTGATTGGGTGTAGCAAGTATCCAAGCCGCCAGACGTCCTCCATGGTAGCGCAAGCTCTTGAACTAGCGGTTGTGGTATGTAGGGATGGTGAATGTCAAAAGCTTTTTGCTAAATGTCAAATTGTCAAATGTCAGGCCCCTTTTTTTCCTGTCAAATGTCAAAACTGACGTGATAAGAGTGGATACTATTTTTAGCCAATCAAAAAGGCATAGCTTTTGGGCAAGCCAATTAAATTCTATAAACTTTTAAGTCACCTGACTGTATTTTTTGGCTTAAATTACCTAGGTATTTTTTGCTGAATATTATTAAAAATATCATATTTTTCTAGTAAAAGAAATTCTTTAGAATGTCAAAAACAGCCAAAATGTAGGTACCATCCCTAGTGGTATGGGCATTGAATCTCAACAGAGACTCCCCGAGCGAGGCAAATCCTACCCCTCTTGTGGCTTTGCGCAATCGCAGTCCACCGGTATCGCTCGCAATGGTGCTCGTGTGGTAGGAAATCCCGCTGAAGTCGAGATATAAAAGGGGGAGCATCTCCCACACTCAGAAGACAACAACGCTCATCTCCTATCTCATTCATCTGCAGACAAAATGCTTTTCTCTCGTGCCCTGATCCTCCTGGCTACTGCCGTCGCAACCTGCGCGGCAATCCCCGCCATTGTTCCTGAGGGATACGTCGGTGCTGGTGGTAGGTTTCCTGGTGATAGAAGATCAAACCTGCGCTGACAGATCAAGGTGTCGCCATTCTCAACCCTGATGCCGGCAATGCGCAGACTGAGGGCTATGTTGGGGCTGGAGGTGAGTTCTTCTCTTTCTCTGGATTTGTGAATGTTGTCTCATGTGACGATAGGTGTTGCCATCCTCAACTCTGATTCGAAGGAAGAGTAGAGATATTGTTGAGACGCAGGCGCTCTGATCATGATTATTGCGCGGGGATTCAGTTCGTAAGATGTCTGTTGGGCAAAGATTTGGGCATATACCTCTATACAGCACAGTGACGGCCGTTTGTTCCAAACAGAATGCAGATGAGCGCAGTTTGGAGTCCAAGATAACGCATAGTAGCCAATTTTCCAGTCTTGTCCTCTTCGTATGTGTAATACCCCTTCAGTCTTCTGTAGCCCTATTAGCAAAGATCGTCTCTTATGCGTAGCAAATGAAGGTAAGGCCGTAAGACCAGTCGAAGAAGAATCGAGATTTCACCAGGGGACTCTTTTGGAATACTGATTCCAATCCAGGTCGCTTTGTCTAAAGCTGAGCAAGAGACCGAATCTCTGGCCACTTAGACCCATCTTCTCACTAATGATGTGTTTGTGAAATGCGAATGTCTTTCGGAGCGCCGGAAAACATGTGGATGTAGGCGATCTCTGAAATTGCACGACATCGAAAGGGTCATATCTTCAGGCCAGAAGCAGTACAAGTTCGGAGCATTGAAGTTAGGAAGTAGATTGCTATAGCATGGCTGATTACTCACCGCTGGCTGTAGTATTGGGGTTTTCCTTCTGCCATCCTCGCTGTCTTTCTTGCTCATCTCTTCTCCCGAGTTTCATCAACGTTCAACGTGGATGATGTGATATTATTCCATCATTCCACAATTCATCGAGTCTTGAGAATGAGACAGTCTCTGATCTCATGAGTGGTGCCCTGGGCGCCCTGAGCAGCTCTGGTGGAGGTCACTCCGGCTCCGGCTCTGCTTCTGGTGATGACTGCGACGAAAATGGAAACCCTATCAACCTTGGTGGTTCGGCATCTGGATCTGCTGGTGGCAAGGGCCAAGGTCCCCATGGAGGCCTCGCCGCTGGCTGGGGTCAGGGCTCTCATGGAAGTTCCACACGACCACTGAGGCCAATCTTCCAGCGGTTTGTTAAGACATTGCTGATTCCTAGTTTCCTAGACTCCACTTCCCCAAAACGACCCCTCGAGAGAACAGCCTTTCTCGGACAGGAAAGGCGATAAAGAGGACATACACTGCCAGCATGGAAGGAAGTCTGGAAGTCAGCAAGATTGGGAAATTCTAGGACTACCTTGTAACCAGTACGAACCAAGTTCTGTTGAGTGAATCTGTTGCATACCCACCACTCACTAAAAAAGGTGTCTAGACATCATTTCCTAACTGGTAGTGATATGGGGGTAGTTTGACAGAATCAATGGCACTCGACAGGTCAAGGGACTCCAGCTACAGGTGGCCCAGGCAGAAGAGAGGACCTTGTGCTTTTCTCTTCCTCTTTTGATTTATTCTTTCAAAAAATCAAAGCCAATGAAGTCATAGTGGCTGCTGTTAAGGACATGCATGTCTTCTCCTGGCATGAGTACCCATGGCCCCTGCTACATGAAACTCGCGGCAGAATCCAGGCTATGGTCTCTGAAGTATAGTCTTGTGGAGTATGCCGAGTCATGGCAACTGGGCCCGTTCCTAGCTTCCTTCAGAATCATAAGCTGTGAGTGTTTTCAAGGATAAATTCTCTCCTTTACCCGTACTTCCGTGGGGTTAATCACATCTCCAATACACAGATCCAGGCACATTCCGCACTCCGAACAGCCGGCAAAATCTAGGGATTCTTCATACCCCGCAAAGCCATACTGGATATGCTTTGATCTATACTCTGTCTAATCCACGGGAGACCGGCTGGTATGGTGGCTTTCTTGCAATGTTTGGGGATGTCTGGGCGCTTTGACACTTAGCTCCGCCTGAATAAGCTTGTTCAAATGAACCAGACGATCATGATTGATCAATGTCTCTCAAGCTTCATACTGCAAAGTCACACATTGATTGTATGATTTGTATCCATTCGATTCTTCAATCACCCCATCGACTTGAGTCTCCATAATGCCTGTCAAGTCAGCAGTCGAGACTGTCGATCACCCCATCGCATCCCGCTCAATGGATGGCCCACCGGGAAAAGTGGATGTCGATCTCACCTTGAAACCGTTCGGATCGTCCTGAAATCATGGGCAATGACTTTCACCAGCTCCCGTCTCAAACAGTCCCAGTTCCTCATCGGCTGAATGCTGGAATCTTCACATATAAAAGGACGGTCGAGGTCGGCTCCCTTGCCCCTCACTCCTTCATCATCATCACAATCCACCACCAGTCCTCCAAGAAAATGGTCTCCTTCTCGTCTCTCGCTCTTGCTCTCTCCACCGTCGTCGGGGTGCTGGCCGCTCCCGGCTCTGAGAAGTACGTTGAGCTGGCCAAGCACCAGCTCACCCACTCCCAGACAGGCACCAAGAACGGCTATTACTACTCCTTCTGGACCGACAACCGGGGCCAGGTCTCCTACACCAATGGCAAGGGCGGCCAGTACAGCGTCAACTGGAAGGACTGCGGAAACTTTGTCGCCGGCAAAGGCTGGAATCCCGCCAGCGCCAAGTACGCCCCTTCCCCTATGACCCGACGGCCTCATTCCCATGCTATTGGGATCCAGTATCACTAACCAATCGAACTAGGACCGTCACTTACAGCGGCAACTGGAAGCCCAGCGGCAACAGCTACGTCTCCGTGTACGGCTGGACCCAGAACCCGCTGATCGAGTTCTACATCGTCGAAAGCTTCGGCTCGTACAACCCGTCCACGGGCGCGACCGAGCTCGGCACCGTCGAGAGTGACGGGGGAACCTACAAGATCTACAAGACCAAGCGGGTCGATGCGCCGTCCATCGAGGGCAAGAAGACCTTTGATCAGTTCTGGTCCGTGCGGACTTCTCACCGTGTGGGTGGCACGGTCACCACGAAGAACCACTTCAATGCCTGGGCTAAGTCGGGCCTGAAGCTGGGCACCTTCAACTATATGATTCTGGCTACTGAGGGATACCACAGCAGCGGGTCTGCTACCATGACTGTTAGTTAGGTGGGCCTGGGGCTAGTAGGTCCTAGGTCCTGTGTGATGAATGGTGTATATGTCTTCTTCTTCGAGTTGATTCTACCTTGTCATGTTCCGAGGTGGAAATCGGCGAGATATTATTGGACTATTTAATATTTCTCTCCCTGTATATAGGTGTCGCTCCTTCAAAGTCAAATCTCCAAAGATTTCATTTGTACATGATTTGTTCGATCTGGGTAGACAGCCTGTCACATTACAATTTGTCCCCATCCAATCTCACCTACACCTTGACCTACACCAATCCCTCTGACAATCCAACATCCCATACTTCCATCACCTACATATCATGCAAATTCGGCTCCGTGTCCGTCTCCACGACCGATTGGCGCCGCGCCTGTGTCCTGTGCCTATCGAACCGCACGTCGCCCCGATCCGCCTTGATCTGTACCACTATTAGCTTTTATCTGTGTCTTGTGGAAGGGCAAGACATACCGCCGCCTCGCTAAAGGTCGCGTCGATCTCATCCCACTTCTCATGCTCGTTTTTGGCGCTGGTCTTCTTGATCATCGTCGGATACTCATAGTCATCGGGATACGGAGAGGGCATCCAGACTACACATCGTCAGTATTTAATAGTGCCCCAGGAGAGCAAACCCCACGTACACATCCCGTCCTCGCCCTTGGTGGGATACACTTCGGGGGCTTTGTGGTAGCTGGCGCGGAGGAGGGGCGACAGGGAGTAGCGGAGGGTTGAGTTTCGAAGGATTCTGAGAGACATGATGGCTGCTGTTGTTAAGGTTGTTTTGTCGGGATAAGGTTGTTTGTTTTGGGAGGGGGGGGGGTGTATATATACATATATAATGGGCAGCTCTCATGATGATGTCAAGAGTCTGGAGTCAGAACATGTGAGAGAAGATGTCTGTATGGAGTAACAGCTGGGTTGATTGGTGAAACAGAGTTGAGTGACACACAGTCTACCTAGGTAGTCGATCTCTCCCGATCCATGGTTCATTCATTCCCAACCACACGCAAAGAAAATCTATCTACTTCAACTCCGCCAACTCCCTCACCACCTCCTCCGTACTCACGACCTCCGCAAACTCCCCCCTCAAACTAGCCACCGACACCGCATGCACCGTCTCCGCATCGAATCCGCCCTTCGCCCACGTCGCCGTCGCATCCGCCACAAGCACCACCCGCCCCTTCTCCACCGGCACTACACTCTGCCTCCCATCCGGCTGCACCTCCGGCTCTCCCTGCGGATACACATCCACGACCCCCAAGTTCGCCGCCATGCGCACCGTCGTCGACACGCAGTGGTCCGTCGTCAGTCCGGCAAAGAGGACCTGCCTGACGCCCTTGCGGCGGAGATACGCCTCCAGCCCCGTGTTGATGAACGAGGAATTGACGTTCTTCCAGAAGGTAGGCTCGGAGTTGTCGGCGAGGGGCTGGGCGAAGGCGAGCGGGTGGGCACCTTTGCTGGGGTCGGCGGGGTGCAGGAGGCTGGTGGGGGAGGTGGACGAGTGGAAGACGTGGATGACTTCGAGGAGGAGTGAGGGGTGGGTGCGTCGTGCGGTGCGGAAGGCGGAGAGCAGCGCTTGCAGGTTGGCTTCGTACAGGGGGTTGGAGCGGGAGGTGCCCCAGTATGTTGGGTGGGAGAAGGCGGTTTGGTTGTCGATGAGGACGAGGGCGGTAGGGAGGTGGAAGTCGAGGTGGGGGAAGTCGGTGGATGCCATTGTAGATTGGGATTGTGGTGGTGGAATTATGTATATGCAGATGTATGTGTATCTGGATTAGAGAGAGAGAGAGAGAGAATGGGAAGTATCGAATACCAATATCAGCTGCTTTTGTTCTGCAGGGGAAAAGACGGCGAGCGGATCAGTAGAGATTCTATCATTTCTATGTTCTCTCTGATGGGCTGATGCAGAGAGGAATCGCTTGGCGCTGTCATATACCTTCCGCAGCCAATCAGACTAGATCATCCCGATCACACCCCATGCTTGACTAAGTACCTAGGTATCAGAGGGACGAGAGCTTCCATTCCTCGAGGCGGACGGCTTGCAGTTCTGTGGTTCCATTGCACAGGCTCAACCAGACTTCTATGACCAAAGGCTCTTGACAAGCTGACATTTGTCAACGTCATCGCTATGAATTTCGGACGTGTCTCATGATGCTCCTCCATCCATCAATATCAATTCAAGATAGCCTGATATTCTCCTTGCGAAATTCCTCCTGCCAGCATATGATAAGCAACAGCGTACTAGTGCAGAATGAGAGAAATTCGAGACCCCCAAAAAGTCCAGGCTTGGCTCATCGGCAGCGGCATCGAATCCCTTGCTGCCGCTGTTCATCTGATCCACGATGCCCATGTGCCTGGCCCCAACATCCACATTCTCGATCTCCATCGGGGATCCGGGGGACGACTGAAAACCACCGGAGACGCGACAAATGGCTACTTTCTCCCCGTGGATTGTCATCCGTACTTCCACGGTCCTTGCACTGAGCGACTCCTCTCGCTCATCCCCAGCGATGAGTCTCAGCACGCCTCGCTCATGGACGCTGTCAACGCGTATAGTGAGCAACGGCCACCGCACGAGGCTCACACACGCGCCGTCAGGAGGGGTGAATCAGGCCCGGAAGTGTCGCACACACCAGGATTCCAGCTGGACGTCAAGCATCGAATGGACCTGATCTGGTTCCTGATGGAGACTGAGCACGCACTGGGAGCAAAGGAGATCAACCAAGCCTTTGACTTGGCATTCTTTGACACGGAGTTCTGGAAGATTTGGTCAACCACGTATGTTACATCCCTGTCCCCATATTGAGTGCTGCTGCTAATGGGACAGATTCGAATTGCAACCGTGGCATAGCGCCGTCGAGTTCCATCGTCATCTGCGCAAGTATCTCGAGAATATCCGGTCGCTCAAAAGCGTCAAGACCTTCCACCGCACCCGCTACAACCTCTACGACTCGATTGTCCGCCCTCTCACTAGCCACTTGCAGTCCCAGGGCGTCGACTTTCGCTTCAACGTCCAGGTCACCGGACTCGACACCGCCTCATCCAACGATCCCACTACCGTCTCTGAGATCCACTTCCGCAAGTATGACAGTGAAGAGGAATGTCGTGTCAGCCTCAGCCCAAGCGACATCTGCATCGCCATTCTCGGCTCCACCACCACCAACTCCGCTATGGGTTCCGACGACTCCCCACCCCCTTACCTCTCCGCCCACTGGGAGGACCTGCTCATCAGCGAATGGGGCCTCTGGCAGGCCCTGTCCCGCCAAAGCGCCATATTCGGCGACCCGACCTGCTTTCTTCCTCGCGCGGTACAAGCCTCCGTCGAGAGCTTCACGACAACTCTCCACAACCCCGATTTCCTCCGTCTCATTCAGAACCTCACACGCGATAAGCAGGAGACCGACGCCTCCCTCTCCCTCCGCGACAGCAACTGGGGTCTGACCCTGAGTATTCCACCGCAGCCAGTATTCCCAGACCAGCCGGAGGACGTGCACGTGGTGCTGGGCTACGCGCTCAGCCCCGCCAGCGAGGGTAATTTCATCCGGAAACACATGTTCGCGTGTTCGGGGCGCGAGATTTTCGAAGAGGTGCTGCGTCATCTGGGGTTTCCCGTGGAGCTCATCCTACCGGCCTCGTCAACGATTCCCTGCGGGCTGCCGCTGGGCACGGCGCCGTTCCTGAGCCGGGAGAAGGGAGACCGGCCGCGTGTCATTCCTGCGAATACGACGAACATCGCGTGCGTGGGGCAGTTTGTAGAGATTGCAGAGGATACGACTCTGTCGCTGGAGTATAGTGTGCGAGGCGCGCAGATGGCGGTGTCTGGCTTGATGGGGACGCCGAGGGTGACAGGGGCCATCAAAAAGAATATCCTGTGGGAGGTGTTTGATTTGTTGAAGTGATTCGAACGCATTGGTGGACGGTTCAGGTATACTCGCATGGGCTAGAGGTGGCTGGCTGATGTACCCTCGATATAGTTCGAATGGCAGGAGTGAACTTACTCATTGGGGTTGGGTTGTCTCACCTGCATGTGAGCAGGGCATTAACAACAAATAGTTCGTCGGTTCCTATTCCCAGTAGTTTGATAGCATGCACCCGCACGTACTCCATAAGTTCATCTGGTGCTATATGTGTGCTTAGCCGCTGCGTATTCCTTCTTCTACCGCGCGAGCCAGCCGTTCGTCATACTCACTCCTGTCGAATCGCTCCATCGATCACAAAACATCCATTCCGAGCAAGCCGATTCAGCCGGCCACTTGCTATTCCTTCCATGTATGTGCATAAGCTGCACGCAAACTCAATTGCTACTGTGGCTACCTGAACGGCCACCCGGTACGGAGACAAATGCATACTCATGAGCAACTATAAAGCTCATATCTAAGCTTCACACTACATCTGTCCAACATCCCATCCTCGTCATCACCCACATCCATAGCACCATCACCAGCATGGACAACCTGCTTACCTTCAACCTCCGCGTCCCCGTCGGCGTGCAGGTGGTCTCCCACCTGATCAGCGAAAACACCCTCCTCGAGCAATTCATGCTCATCCTCAGCTCCACCGTCAGCGGCTGCAAGTTCGACAAGCACCGCAAGGAGATCGAGGCCCTGGCGCTGCAGCTACAGTCCGCCAGCCGCATGGAGCTGCAGGGCGCGCTCGCCCTGTACGCGGGGAAAGTCGCCGAGCAGGTGCTGGCGAACTTTGTGCCGGAGGTGTCGCGGATTCTAGGCAAGGTGAGAGAATATCCATCTCGCTTCATCTCAGAGCAGCGTCGGTGTATACCTGGGTGTACTGAACGGTAGGAAAAGGGGACCCCCGTCATCGATCCTCCGCCTCCGCCTTCCCCTCCATCTCCACCCCAGACCCCGGAGGAACAGCAACAGCAAGAAACCCAGAAGCAGCTCTCCGACTTCGCGGCCAAGAACCTCGCCGGCTTTCCCCAGTTCTCCCCGCAGAAGATCCAGGACATCACCTCCCAGGCTGCGGAGAGCATCCACGCCATCGCGGCCAAGTCGCACATCCCCGAACCCCTCATCCCCAAGGCCGCACAGTTGGCGTTCTACGACTTCACCGTCCTATACGGTCGGTACCCTTCCTTCCTTCCCCCTTTCGCCTCCCCTTCACTCTTTAGCCCAAACAAACCCCCCCCCCACTGAACAAAGACACCACAACAGATGACAGCGTCTCCATGGGCACCGAACCAACCCGCATCCCGACCACCCAGCAAACAATCCGCGGCCTCTACAAGGCCGCCAAGCTGCTCAACCCGAGAAACCACTTCTCGCTCCGCTCCTTCGAAGGCGCAGATTTCGACGACGTCGCCTCGGAGAAAGACCTTGCCGACCTCATCGCAGCCATGACCTTCGACACCGGCGCCAACGTCGCCGGCCCGCTCAAGCAGAAGGTGCTCGATCCGCTGAGCGCCGCGGCCGCGGGCGGATCGCTCAGACCCACCGTCGTGGTGATTATCACGGACGGGGATGTATGTTTCGTTTCTTCTCTTTTCTTTTTTTTTTTTTCCTTTTATCCCCCCCTCCGTCACTCATATCCTCTTGTGTTTTGTCATCTGTTTGTTCGCTGACTGGAGTAGCTCGGAAGCAGCGTCGCCGACTTCGCGGCCAGCGTCACCGGGTTCAAGGCGAAGGTCGAGAAGGCGGCGCCTGGGCCGGCGGTGCTGTTCCTGCTCTGTCGGGTGGGGACGGATGAGGACGCGGCGGCGTCGCTGAAGGTGTTGGATTCGACGCCGGGAGTGAAGGATCTGATCCTGTATGCGGAGGAGTCGATTGATACGAAGTTGGCGGCGGCGGGTGGCGATGTCGATACCTATGTGGGCGTGGTGAGTACCTTTCTGGGTTCTGGAAATATGAGTGTTGACAGCTAACGAGGAACAGGTGATTCAGGATCTGGTCAAGGCGATGGACTTGCAGGTTGTGGCTTGATGGGGGGTTCCTTCGGGAGAGGTGTTTGAGAAGAAGTGGGTGGCAGGAACCTGGGTGCATCGTAAAAAGAGACATGAAAGTATTCATTATGTACAGTGATTTATTCACACAACCCGGATTTACAAAACTGCTGTCTCATTCATGCGTCGACCGACGCCGGATCTGCTCCTCGGGCAGTCCCTCCTCCGTCGGGATATGCTGGTACATCGTTCTCTTCCGACGACGCACCAATGTGTAAATCCCAGCCACGATACCAGCAATGACACACACGATGACAACGAAGCTGATCAGCGCGCCGATGTCCCGGACCAGTTCGTACGTGTCCTGCGCGGTCCGGAGCGCCTCCGCCGCGGTCGCGTCGACGGCGACCATACCGCTGTTACTACTGACGCTGCTGTCGAGTTTGGCATCGCCGCTGGCGGTGCTGTTGCCCACACCCGCCGCCGGGGCGGTATCATCACTGTCATCGACTGTCGCAGAGACGACAACGGTCGGATCCTGGGGCTTAAGCTCCGCCACCTCGCCCTTGAACCCGGTCGCGGCCCAATTACTGGGCACACGGCTGCGGTGGACCTGCGACGTGCCCAGCACCATGCCATGGTGGTCAAAAGCCTCGGCGGAGACCCAGTCCAGGTATCCTGGGGCAACGTACATGGTCTCGAAATCAGACTTGGTAGTATTTCCGACGAAAACCGGAGGCGCATGCTCCGCTGTCCGGGCATAGAAGTTCCAGCCCGCGATGTCGGTGGCCCCGTTCCAGCTGACATAGAAGGTCGTCAGCATATGCGACTCATCTGTGCCCGCGACGGAGACGACCAGATCTGGCGGGCTGCTGGGCCGGCCGGTGAACTCGAATTTGTAGGCGCGATAGGTCGAGAAGCGCGTCGAATTGAACATGGCGGTTAGCAGGACCTTGCTGTCTGGCGCGTGCTCGGAAATGTAGCCCCGCTCGCTCCAGCCGATAAACATATTATCGTTGGGAAGCAGCTGGGCGTTGCCGCGCAGCCGCGTCAGACCTCCATCGGGCCGGTTGTAGCGACGCAAGACCTTTGCGGTCTTGGGTACCGCGGCCGTGTCCAGTTCCACGATCAACGCGCTGGAGACGGCCTCGTCGTTGGTGAGCTCATCGGAGGCGTTGTTCAGGAAGGAAATGGTGTGGTGGGTTCCGTTAGACTTGACGAATTTGGCGTCGTGCTGCTTAGAGAAGGTGAAGTCCTGCACGAAATCGCTGCGTGAGCCTCCTAGGCGCCACATGATGACGCCGTCCTTCCCGGAGATCATGTAGATGGTGTTGGTGAAACGGAAGGATACGATAAAATCGCCGTCTTCATTCTTGTCGACCGCGTTGGCATGCACGTAGTCCCAGCCCGGGCGTCCCTCTGGCTTTGAGTTAAATCCGTAGCGATTCGACTCCGACAGCGGGACATTCTGAAACGAGTCCCATTCAAAAGTGGTCTCCGCCGTGTTGATGTCCAGCTCCACGAATCCGCCACTGAGGATCGCCGTCCGCTCGTCGGGTCGTGCTAGATCCTCCATGCCAGTCTCGCGTTCGCGGTACGTTATCGCCAGCCCCGATTTTCCGTCGTTGAGGATGTTGAATTCGTGGATATCAAAGGCACCCAACTCCGGTCGAAAGGGTAGCTGATTTGTGATCTCGTAGTTGTTCTTCAGGATCACCCCGTGGCCAGAGTCGATTCCATCCCACGAGCTTTGCCACACCAGCGACAGGTGCGGCTCCCTGCCGATGCTATGGACGGCCTTGAAGTCGAACACGTTGCGATTGTCGAACATGAACGAACCGGCCCAGACGAGGCCCTGTTCACATCAAGCGACGTCAGTCCACCCCGTTCTTGTAAGGAGTAAGGAAAATAAAAAAAAAGAAGAAGAAAAAAACAAAATGCCGCGAGCCGCCACATACCCCATCGCCATCGTAGATGTACGGACCGATCTGATACTGTTGGAAGCGGTGGCTCGGTGCCTCGGGGTCGACTTGTCCGTAAGGCGCCACGAACCAATAGCCCGGGCTCACACGGTCGCGATCCTGATAGTGGACGTCGAATTTCAAGGCTCTGATATGGGGAAGCTGGGGAGTTCAAGAAAAGGAAATGTCTTGTGTTAGCGCCGGTCGGCTCGTGTAGATACTCGATGTAGTCGATGATTGCGTGATCGAGGCGCATGCTTACCGTCACAAAGGACATCAGATCCTCATCCCGCTGCAGTGCGGCAGCATTCTGCAGGAATAGCGGCAGGAGGAACAACAAGCCACACAACAGCATTGTGAGAGACTGTGAGGGGGGTCAAGAAAAGACAAGGAAATGCATGAAGAATCAAGGAGGATGCGAGTACGGAGTAGATAGGTAGATAGATGAATAGATGAATAGATGGATAGATGGATAGATGGATAGTGATCTAGTCAAGACCAGCAATATGCGAGTCGGATCCCTCAGCCTGTTGACCTAATGTCGTCCCTGATTAAATGATGGGCTTTCAGTGCTCAGAAAGGGGAAATGAGAGTGTGCCGCGATATCCTCAACTCATCCCAGTGATTGGATCAAGACCGTCTGGCTGTTGATGATCGCGCTGGACGAGTGTTCCACCAATCTCCATGAGGTGACGCAGCCTGTTTGATCATCAATGGTTAGGTTCTTCAGACAGGACGTGCAGTAGTCACTGCAGTGCATGATGCAGCTTTGGAAGTCATCACCCCAGAGTCCAGACTGCGGACAGTTCTAGATGCATGCACAGAGAGGGTTCCATCATCCATATCCAGAACTCATCCTCGGTTACAGAGCACCGACAAGGAGATAATAAGTTAGTAACAAAGAGTCAAAGACACCGAAAGGCCAAGTGTTTGTCCGCTCAGAAGCGCAATTTCCCACTTCATTTCAACCGAGTTTGGGGACGTCTTGGCATCAAAATGTCATATCGTTCTGATTGGGTGGATTGATTGACCCTGATTGCATGTGGCCAATCATAGAGAAGCTCCACTCCACCATCTCTTGGCAACGTCTCTAGCGCAACTTGCAGCCTCAGGCATGAGGGCATCGAGATTCAAGGCACCCAGGCACCCAGGCACAAGCTCATCAAAAAGCAAGAACAGATTCATAGGGCTGACTGCCTAAGGCACAAAAGGCTATTGCAATAGTTCCTTGGCCACTTCATGATAGTCACATGCTCAGTCTTGCACCCGTCACAGCTGTGTTCCTACTATGTGGAGGCAACTATCATCTCAATATCTATTTCAATTGATATCTAGACCCTTCCCGGCAAAGTTTTATCTTGCAGTGTTCCAGCTGCTATTCATTTTGCTTCTAATGCGGCGTTCGTGCACCCCAACCAAGCTCCTCCCCAAACATTGTTGGTGGAGGAGTCTTCTGCCCTGAACCACATAGGTGTGCCATCTGACGTTTCTGCGTCTCCATCTAGTTGGTAGATGATCAAATAACTAATGTGACGTGGGACTTCGATGCAGGGAAATCGGAAGATCTCTTTCGATATACATCAGGTCGATGGCTTGTTGACGAAACGGCCCAACGGCAACTGCGTTATGTGAAATTTGATCTCGATAGTCTCTGTCGCCTAGCTGCAGCACATTTCAGTGATACAACAAAGTGTGTTCGCGTTGTCAAGCTGGAAGGCAGTTTCAACAAAGCTTTACTTCTTACCATGAATGATGGCAACGAGGTCATAGCAAAGATTCCGTGTCCAAATGCCGGCCCGCCCTCGTTGACCACAGCTTCTGAAGTTGCCACTCTGAAGTTTCGTATGTATCGGTGTGCTTCCGTTCATCACTTGCTTTGGCGTGTAGCTTATACTCTCCTTTTCTAGTACGCTCTAGGACCTCGATTCGGGTTCCGAAAGTTTTGGCCTGGAGCGCTGACGCCGCCAATTCGGTCGGTGCGGAGTATATAATCATGGAAAAGATTCGGGGAGTTGCCTTGTCAGAGAAATGGGAGGTAATGAACACCTTGGAGCGCTACAAAATAGTCGATCAAGTTGTACAAATTGAGAAGGAGCTGGTCAATATCTCATTTCCAGCATACGGCAGTCTTTTTCTCCGTGACTCGTTACCTGCTACATGTCGACAGTATCCACTCCCTGCAGAGCTAGATCCGGAAGGGCTATTTTGCATTGGACCGTCCTGTAAACGAACCTGGTGGCACGGCAATTTCGTCGACAGATTTCGATCGGTGTCAAAAGATATGGGCCCTTGTGGGTATTCCTACACCACCTGTGCTATTTATTTACTGACATTTGACAAGAGTACTGATATACTGTAGGGGCGCGCTTTTCAGAATATGCGCTATCGATTGTCCAGCGAGAGCTTGCTCATATTAGAAGCTCAGGAGCTGAGGTGCAACGTCAACTCCATAAATTTGACGAATCCCAGTCGATCGATGAATATGAAAGTCTGCTGGAAAACGTGAACATGGCCCTACCGATTTTGTCCCATGACCCACGCGTGACAGATGCTTCAGACCCTGTTGTGTGGCATACTGACTTACATCTGGGAAATATCTTTGTTTCACCGAATGAGCCCAGCATCATTGAAGGGATTATCGATTGGCAATCGTCTCAGATTTGTCCTTTGTTCATACAAGCTCGATTCCCCGAGTTCCTTACGCCACCCAAGGACTACACTTTTGGCCCCGACTTACCCGCCTTACCTGACGGTTTCGATGACCACAGTCCCGAGCAAAAGGAACAGGCTATCAACGAGAAGGAGTTGGCTTCGAGGTCAAAATATTACGAGATGTCCAGCCTTGCACATAATCGTTGCATTTACAATGCTATGAAACTTGACTCCAGGTTGTGGGAGCCCTTCACTTACTGCCAGCTATTCTCCCAGGGCAGCTTGGTCCCCCTACGCCATTGTTTGATTCGTTTATCCCAGGACTGGTCTTCACTAGGGCTTCCGGGCAGCTGCCCCTTTCTGATATCAGAAAATGAACTTCAAAGGCACAATGAACAAAAATTGAAATATGAGGACAGGCTTTATCTGTGCGATCTGGTGAAGAGCCAGCTTTTCACTGATGATGCCGGCTGGGTTCCAAATGACCGATGGGAAGCGACAGAAAAGGCAAACAAGGAACTGTACAATATGTATGTTGAAACAATGAGTGAAGAGCTCACGCCTCAAGCAGCCGCGAAGAACTGGCCTTTTCCACCATAACAGGCCCCGAAACTGGAGGGAGGTAACGGGGCACTCAAGAGTGTCTTTCACAATCATTCGGGCCAGTCTGGCGAAATACACTTTGGTACCCTGAGTGAACGATACTGACCAATTAAATCAGATTCACTCTCTGCTCTTGTTTGGTTCGCAGGCCTTGGATTGTGCCTCACTCATCCTGACTGCCAAGGCCTTTACTGAGCTCACCTACATGAGCATTGCACACCTGGCACCTAGATAGAAATCTAAGCATCTCATTCAGGGATATTCTACCCCTATGACACATCACATGATCACAGAGTTTGGCTGGGAGGGTTTGCTGCCCAAAGCCTACTACTAACCTTGGAGCCGTGACAGCCCCCTGGAATGTGTTCTCCCCTAGTCCCTCCAACTCTTGTTCTTACCCATTATCCTCGCAGAGCATGCGAAATGGACTTCGACAATCAGATCGAATTTTTCAGGTTTGGATACAAAACCTACTCAGAAATTCCCCCGAGGATTTGGCGGGCAAGCTCGCTTCCCGACATTGCCCTAGTACGCCTGTGACAGCCTCGCGACTTTCAAACGGCGCTTTTAATATTTGCTATCGAGTCACTTTCGAAAATGGGCATCGCGTACTGGTTCGCTTTTCGGCCCTTGGTCGGGTCATCGCTCGCAATGAAAAGGTTGAAGATGAGGTCGCCATAATGGAATATATTGCCCAGCACACAGCGATCCCTGTTCCCAAGGTCTTAGGGTATGGCAAGTGCGCGGTCGGTCCGTACATTGTGATGTCTTTTATCGAAGGGAATCAGTTGAGCGGATACCTCAGCGACTCATCTCGGGAGACATTCACACTGAGTGCGAGAGTCCCTATTTCTATCTTAAGGAAAGCCTATTTCGGGATGGCTGGAGTGCTGCTTGAGCTATCGAAGCCGGAATTTCCGTTTATTGGAGCCATCAGCCAGGAAGAGTCAGGTGCTTGGACTGTGTCAAAGCGCCCTCTCAGTTATAACATGAATCGACTTGCTCAATTTTCCAATATTCCACACGATGTTTTTAAGCGACAGCGGTTCAGCAATGCGGCAGATTATTTTGAGGAGCTCGCTCAACAACATTTCTATCATCTTGAGCTTCAACGCAACGACGCAGTTACGAATGAAGCCGACTGTCGGAAGAAATACATTGCGCGCTGTCTTTTTCGCAAACTTTCGCGTGAGATATCCAGAGAACATTGCAGTGGACCTTTCCGGCTCTACTGCGATGACCTTCGCCCTGACAATGTCCTTGTTGATGCGTCAAGGCTTGTTATCACTGGGGTGGTCGACTGGGAATTTGCTTATGCTGCCCCTGTTGAATTTACATATGCTGCTCCTTGGTGGCTCTTATTGGAGCGTCCGGAGGACTGGGAGCCCGACCTAGATCAATTTTTGGCTCGCTTCATGCCGAGGTTTCGCACTTTTCTTGAAGTACTTCAAGAATGTGAGGCAAGTAAAATCAAAGATGGATCCCTGTCACAATCCCAGCGTCTATCGACTGCGATGGAGAACTCGATGGAGACTGGGCTATTTTGGATTTGCCTTGCTTCAAGACACAGCTCCATGTTTGATGAGATCTATTGGAAGTTCATCGATCCAAGTTTTTTTGGTTCTTTTACAGTGATTGAGGATCGACTATGCCTGTTAAGCGCAGAGGAGTGTGTAAATATTGACACTTTCATTGCGAAGAAAATGCACCAGGCAGATGAGGGTAAACTGGTGCCTCATTACAGCACTGACGAACTAGTTGATCTGTAACCATCACCAGCGAATTTACTTCGGTGATGAGTCACAGAGAGGCCAATGTTGTTTGTTTGGAATATGTAAAGACAGTATGACACTTATAAGGCGACTGCGCATTCGCCAAAGCTCAGCTTCCTCTTCCTGCTGACTGACCTATTTGCCCCCTTTTTGCTTCCTAGATCGAAGACTTGCTTTTGCCGCTTGGGTCATAAGATCCTTCTCAGCATTTGAAAGATTCTCGATGGCATCTTGTGTCTATAGAGCTTCTTCTACAGCTTTCTTCAACCCTGCTCCTTGTTCTGCAGATGGAACTATAGATGCTGAAGGATTAGATTAGCCTTTGGAGGCGCCATGGTTGAAAAAAGTACTTACATGAAGACCAGTACGTTGACCCTGTAGCCTGGTGGTAGCAGTTTGATTTCCAAGCGCGCGAGGAGTGTGGCTTTTCCTTGCTAGGGCCCGTTGATGTGTGAAAGGGAGACTGTTGAAGCTGAAGTGGTGTGTTTTCCTGGGTTAATCTTCCGGTTTAAATATGCACAATGAATGCATCCAGGGTTTAAATCAGTAGTTGCAAATGATAGGTCAGAGAACGGTTATCCAAGCGCCTAGGGATTGAACCAGCGGCTGCATTACAAATAGGATTCAGGCATCGCAAGCCTAGCTGTTTTTTTTTTTTTTTTTTTCTGGACAATTGGTGATGATTGAGGCTAGGGAATCATATTTTCTTTCCATTTTTCTGAAATTTCCAGAGAAAATATATATATATATATATTAGTAAAGAAAATATTATCTTTCTAGAGGGAAAAAAGCCCTATGAGGCTATGACAGAATCCTCCAGCTTCTGACATACTCTCTCCAGGGAGTACATCAGTTCAGACCCATGCAGTTGGCATAATAGGTCACTGTCGCCGGCCAATCCGAGAAAATGCCCTTGACGCCGACCTTGCGGGCCAACGCATCCACGATCCGGTACATGTCGCCGTCGCCGGTGATGGTCGACTTGACCGTCTCGATATAGTACTCGGACTTGGCAGCCGCCTGCTTGAGCGGACCCGAGCGCTCCAGCGACCAGGTGATGATCTCCAACCCGGCCTTCTGCGCGGCCCGCGCATACTCCGAGGGCACGATCTCGCCGTCGGCGGTGGTGTTGAGCAGCGCGAAGATGGGCGGGGCCATGATCTTGACTCCCTTCTTCGCGAGCTCGTCCATTCCATCGACGGCAGTCTGGTAGCCCGCGGCGGTGTCGACGCGCTCGTCGAGGTAGACCGCCTGCTTCCCGAAGGCAGGTTCCTTCTCGATCCAGTACAAAATGTCGTCTGGGAGGAAGGACTGCGCCCACACGCGCGACGGGCGGATGCCGTGCTTCTTGTAGTCGTCGATGAGCTGCTGCGCGTACATGGCCTGCGTATAGTCGCCCTGGAAGGGCATGGCGACCTGCGGGGTCTTCAGCTCCGGGGTGAAATCCAGGCCCAGCGAGTCGACCAGCGCAATGAATTCGTTGTGGTCCATGAGGGTCGCGCAAGTCGCGTACAGGTCTGTGCGCCAATCGGGCGTTCCCAGCTGGTACTCTTCGGGCGTCGTGGCCGCCGGGTTGGACCCATCCATCTTGCCGCAGAGCGTCTTGAACTCCGCCAGGGTGATGTCGGAGGTGCAGCAGCGCGCCGAGGCGGACTTGCCGTTGGCCGCGGGCTGGAAGGGCTTGCTGCACTTGGCTGCCAGCTCGGGGATGGCGAGGATGTTGGTTGTCGTGTGCAGGTCGCACTGCGAGTGGCGGCACACGAGCTGTCGGTCCGAGGTGAAGGCCACGTCGCACTCGATGATACCGGCGCCCTGGCGTGCGGCTGCCAGCATGCCCTCTCGGGTGTGCTCGGGGAACTGGAGCGCAGCGCCGCGGTGCGAGATGGAAAACTTGGATGACTTCTTGATGCGCTTCTCCTGGCAGGACTCCAGTTTCTTCTTCAGTGGGCTGTCTGCCATCGCGTCAACCAGGTAGTACGGGCGCGATCCGACCTGGATGTTGGTGACGGAGGGGCGAGGGTCCTTGCCCTGATGACCGCCCTTGTCGGGGGAGGGAGCGGCTGCAGCCAGACCGGCAGCGAGGATCAGAGCTGCAATCCGCATGTTGATGGTTGCGAAGTTGCCTGGGGGAGAACGGATAGATGAATATTCCAATCCTACACGGGACAATTATCCATCTTTATAGCCTGCCGATCGTGATGGAACCCTTCCATGTACCCCAGCTCCACCTCCGTCTGCTCGTCTGCTCGTCTGCGACAGCATGGCATGAGAGCACGATGTGGAGAACCGGAGCAAGGATAATTTCCGGTCATCAGCAGTTCAGGTCTCTGCTCGCATCTGCGAGGAGTGAGGACGGTCAAGTGTCGACCCGTGCATAAATGCAGCGATCTCACTGCTGGAAGATTCCCACGTTCATTCCCCAAGACAGTGCTCTCTCTTGGCGTTTCTTGGCTACCAGGACTTGGCGGCACATGGTATCAAGAAAGACAATGATTGACTAGATCGATAGTCTGGAGATCTGTCGAAGCTGTTTCCTCAGCGGCTTTTCTCCTGTTGGAAACTCCGAGTTTTCCTGGCCAATCGTTATTAAATGCACACGTGGGAGCTGCAACGCGATCAACGCCTTGCAGGAGTAGCAGAAGTATGGAGCATGGAGGATTCAGCATTCGAGTCAGGTTGAGTTCGTCGGAACATGTCCTTCAAATATTCACCGTGCTTGTCAGTTGTCAGCCAAGAACCACCTTTGTAGAGCTACATCGAATCCGACAATGTGACACCCATATGCACCAGCTCGATTGTGTAAAGACAAACAGCGCCATCTTGATTTTCCACTTCGCAGCAGCAAGGAGAAGAAAGGCAAGTTGTAGAAATACCCATTGCTCCAAACTTGTCAGAGCTATATACAACCAGAAAGAAAACTCAACGCTCAATCAGAGGTATCAAACATAAGATCCCAAAAAAAAAGAAAAAAAAAAAAAAAAAAAAAAACCATCTGTGAGAATCACAGCATGGGCTTGATATCATCCGCGACCTTGAACGGCGCCTCCGTCTTACTCCGCACCTCTTCGACGGTAACACCATCCGCAAGCTCAACGAGAGTCAATCCGTCGGTAAAGTCGACGTCGAACACGCAGAGCTCGGTGATGATCCGGCTAACGCAGGTCTTGCCAGTCAGCGGGAACTCACACTGCTTGACGATCTTGGGGTTGCCCTTCTTGTCGGTGTGCTCCATCGTCACGACCACCTTGGTCGCCGAGGGGTTGGAGACCAGATCCATCGCACCACCGAAGCCCTTGATCTTCCCGGGGAGCATCCCTATTGCATGATTAGCCAGTGCCGAGAAGAACTATAGTTCAGAGAGAAAAAGAAAAAAAGACTCACAGTTGGCCAGATCACCTCTCGCGCTCACCTGCATCGCACCCAGGATGGTCAGATCGATCCGTCCGGACCGGATCATACCGAACGACTCGTCACTGCCGAAGCAGGCAGCCCCGGGGATCAGCGTCACCGTCTCCTTGCCAGCATTGATCAGATCCGCATCCTCCTGACCCTTCTTGGGGTAGGGACCCAGGCCCAGAATGCCGTTCTCTGACTGCAGCATCACCTCCACCGAGGGATCCACGAAATTGGGCGCCAGCATAGGCATGCCAATACCCAGGTTCGCATACATGCCGTTCTTGAACTCCTTCGCGGCACGACGCACGATACGCTCCCGCTTCGCGGCCGTGTCACCCTTTCCCAAAGCAGCAGTGTCCTCGCCGTCCTCCTTAGCGAAGGTGTACTTCTCGATGTTCTTGGGCGCCGTGCTCTGGACCACCCGCTTGACATAGATACCGGGCAGGTGGATAGCAGCCGGCTCAATCTCACCGGGCTCGACGATGTGCTCCGCCTCAACGATGGTCATCTTGGCGTTGCGGCCCATGGCGCCGTTGAAGTTGGCCGCGGCGTAGCGGAACTGGCAGTTACCCAGCTTGTCGGCCTTGTACGCCTTGACAAACGCGTAGTCGCCCTTGATCGCCTCCTCCATCACATAGCTCTTGTTATCGAAGACCTTGACGTCCCGCGGCTCGCCGTACAGCGCTACCGTACCATCGGCGTTGTGCTTGAGCGGCAGCTCGCCAGTCTGCACCACTGTGCCGAAGGCAGCAGGGGTGTAGAAGGCAGGAATACCCGCGCCACCGGCCCGGCAGCGCTCGGCCAGTGTGCCCTGGGGTGTCAGCTCCAGCTCGATTTCGCCTGTCAGGTACATCCGCTCGAAAGTCTTGTTCTCTCCCACGTAACTGGCGACCATCTTCTTGATCTGCTTGGACTGCAGGAGCAGGCCGAGCCCGGCCCCATCCACACCCGCGTTGTTGCTGACGACGGTCAAGCCGGTGATCGATTCATTGGCGCGCACAGCGCTGATGAGGGTATCCGGTACACCGGAAAGACCGAATCCGCCAGCCAGTAGGGTCGAGTTAGACTTCATGTCCTTGACCGCTTCTTCGGCAGAGGCGATCACTTTGTTGATTTCGCTTCGACGCAGGCTGCTCGAGAAGGCTCGTGCGAGGAATCGTTGATGCTGTAATAGACGATGAATATAATGTAGAGCAATAAGTACTTCGTCCAGTAGTTCCTCACCTTAGAAGGGTTGGCAGAGAACTGCCGCGCAAGGCGCAGGCAGGTCGCTACTTGCGAAGGCATTTTGAGGGGTAGTGGTGTAAAAATGAGAGGATCGGAACACAGGAGGAAGTGTCAGGGCAACAACGCTCGAGCCTGTTTCAGGAAATCAAAGAATCGTCCAAAGAACAGGATACCAGCATTCGGAGTGAAATAGAAAATCCAATCCCGCAGACGGTCAAGGCAGTCCGAGACATGGATAGATATATATAAGGCCAGCCACGGCCATTCGCGGAGTTGCGGAAAGTCATCCGCGCCGCCTGACTTCCCCGGAAATACCCCGCACCATTGTATCTCTCCACGTATCCGTATTTTCTCTGCACATCACGGAAGTAGTATTTAGAGAATATGGGAAGAGCGTCACTTTATAAAAGAAATGCCTGCCATCTCGTTTTTGCTAGATTTGACAGTCAATTTTTTTTCGTTCTCAAACACCCTATCTTTCAGGTCTCACGCTCATAGGGTCACTACTCACTACCTCGACTCCTCGAGACTCGATCTGTACCAAAGACCTAACTTCTAAGGTATCTTCCGAAGTGGGCAACCCGTTTGCTTTTCCGGTTCCGATCCGCGGGCCGCTCGAACCCACCAGCGTCACGTGCGCTTGATGTAGCTCTCTAACTAGTGATACATTGGTCATGATTCATAGTATCTGTCATTATTATCTACATGAGAAAAGATGGTAGAGGATATCCCGCTAGTATGCACCGATATCAAGCACACAACACAAAGACAACTGCAAACCATTTCATAAAGCCGTGCAACACACACACACACACACACACACACACACACTCCCACTCCCACTCCCACTCAATCATTTACAGGTCACATCCCCCTCATTCTTGCGCTTCAGCGGATTCACAATCGAGGCCGAGGCGACGGACACTATCTCATTTCCTACCACTCCACATCACGCTGGTCAGCCAAGTTGTTTGACGGCCATGACGATGTGGGAGCTTTGCTGCCAACGTCGACAGGTCCTTTCCGGTCCTTTTCCACACGGAGGGCAGCACCCGTACCTGAAGTATAATTATCAGCGAATGCCTCGTCGTAGGCAGGGGAATCCATGTTCAGATCCTCCTGGGGAACGGGTGTCGTCGTAGTGACTCCCTCCATTGGGAGAGTTGGTTCTGTCCCAGAAACTGGCTCACTGTGTGCCATGTTGTCAATGATTTGTCTGCAGACGGGATCGACAAGGCGGTCTTTTAGAGCATCGTTGACGTATACCAGGAAGTACGGAGTCGGGGGGTTCTGGCGTTCTTGGTTCTTGAAAATTTCATCCGGGTTTTGGACTTCGGTTACTTCGTTATCGTTGTACTTGCGCCAGACGTTCTTCCGGAAGTCAAAGATATAGATATAGTAATGGCCAAACTCGACGGATCCATGGTGCACGAATACGGCATAGAGTCGATAGGCCAGGTGCTTGAAATCGACAAACTGGCTGGAAATCAGAGTCTGTGTGTTCTTGATCTCTTGTTCGACGTCTAGAAGCATAAGTCAACTCCGGTTGCTGCAGTGCACAGCAGGGAAGGGATGCCCACAGTTCAATTCAGCCTTGACTATTTGAGACAATTGACCAAGCTCAGACGAGAGTTGCGGATTAATATCGATTGCTTCTTCGGCTGTCTCTGGATTATCCTTGAAGGAGTTAAGGTCCTCGACAACGGATTTGGCACTTTCGAACAAAGTCGCCATATCAAGGCCGTCATTTTCCTGCCAGAAACATTAGTATCAGCCAACAAACGAAAAGGAGAATCCGTTCGTACACTTTGACGCAACAGCTCGGCCCTGCGTTCCTCCAGCGTCTTCAGTGTATTTTTCCACTCCCAGCACTGTCGTCGTCGATTCATGATCTCAGGATGCTGCGTATCCATGTATCGGTCAAGGTAGATCTTCTCTTTCAATTCGAGATGATGAGTCGATTTGAAAGAGCTCTTCTTGATGGGATCAAATTGCACTCGCTGCACTTGGATCTGAAGCACTGGGGGCAGCTTGCTAATCGCACTGTATTGCTCGACGATTGTGTTGTCAACGTTGACCTTCTGGGCATCAAACGCCCCATCAATCGCTGCGTAGATATCACGAGACCCAGTTGCAACGTCGACCTTGATATCGCACCACCACTCCTCTTTAGACCGAGTTCCCGCCTCAGCAAGGATATACGACTTGGACCGTCCGTAGAATAAGCTTCGGCCACAATAGTTAGCTTGGGTATACACCAATCGTGTCTGGACTCTGGAGACCTACTCTTTCACCTGGTCCAGTTGTTCTCCATCTGGGGCGAAGGCGATCGGCTTGATTGCGCATTGACTCTGAAAGAGCACATTATTGATCACTTCCGTGACATCTTGTTGGGCCCCAATCTCCACCTCTTCCAGGAGCTGCTTCTGGGGATCTATTGGCACAGTCGACCGAGGCGGCACTGGGGGGGGCTGATTCGGTGGCCCGAATGGTATTGCCGGTGTTTCGTCCTTCGGAGAGATATTGTCCTCATTGTTCTGAGACGCAGGTTCAGGCTGCACCTCACTCATCACAATATCCTTGGATGGAGTTTCGTTTTCTTTATCCTCAGGCAGTAACGGTGTACCTAATTTGACACTGTCAGAAACAAGAGTAGCTTCGCTATCCACATCACTGATTGTTGGATGTTTCGGCTTCTCCTTCTCGGCATCAACTGGGTTTTGACTTCGCTCTGGCTCTGGCGCCAGCTGTGGTGGGCCAAGCGGTCCCATAATAGGCATACCGTTGACTTCTCCGAGTCCACCGGGTCTGCTCATAGATATGGTCGACCGGCGACGGATAGCTGCTTCATTGGACGGGCTGATGAGGGTTAACCGTGCTAGCTCCTGACCCGGCGTCACAAATGATCTTGAAGAGGTAATCATATCTTGGAACAACGTTCGTAATTCTCTTAAAACTGCAGACGAATTGTTAGAAAAATTGTAGAATTTTGGGGGGGTAATACGCACACGTCTGAGAGCGCTCAACTTCCTTCTTCAAGACCTTGCGAGAGCCAACATGCTTCTTGCTCAAGCTCTCATCGTCAAGCTCCATTCGGAAACTCTCATAGTCCAAAACCATCTCTCGGAATGGACGAATGGAGAAGTAGAATTGCAACAAGCTATTGAGATAGCAAGTATTGCCAATGTTTTGCAAGCCAACAGGCCATTCTGACAAGTCACGGCCAGAGTCGGCGTCAGGCCCGGAAATCATGCTGCTAAGTAGAGAGCTATTTTTGTCTTTGGCGATGATGGTCAATGCCTGGTTGTACTTCTCAGCTTGTCCCGGGGCTTCGTCCACACAGATGGTGTATGCTGCCATGATGGCGGCGTCATCCACTGTGCGATCAGGGATTTGAAGCAAACGATAGGCATCAGCAACATCCATTTCACCAGCGGTCATTTCACCGGTGCGAACAAAATGTGTTAAAACGGCCGATTTTCGAGATTCAGCAATGAGCTCAACAGCACGCCGAGCAATATCCCTGCTTGCTGGGTTGTCATTGACCTGGAAGACAAGTCAGTACCGAATCTCCCCTCAGAAGTCAAACCATCTCTCACCTTCGTGGTATACATAGTCAGAACAAACTCATCGCTTGTCGAACTGTCAACGCCAAGGAATACCTGTGCTTGTTCGACGGTTGCGACTCCTATGTCATCGTTAACACTGTGAAGCAGCACAAAAGAATGTATGAATGAGGTTCTTACTATCTTCCGCTGCTGATTTGATCCGCTCACTCCTCCTGCTATCCCCGATTCTCCATAATCTCATGCGAGATTCATTTTCTTGTGTCGTGGAGCTCATAAAGGCATAGAACTTCCCGATAATACTATCTTCGGTGAGATGGGGATCATCGTGAGCAAGTCCGAAATATCTGTAGGCCTCGATTACATCTTCGTCCGTGTATCTGCCCTCAGCGTAAGCCACCTGAACCGCCGTGTCTATGACTTGGGCATCATCGCTGCCTCTTAAATTGCCGATGGATTTGAGACACTGTAGATAAAGTGATGATCTTGCTGGATCAACTGAAACTTGCCGGTTGAATGCTTCAACGACCGAAGAGGATGACATATCTTCAACGACACCCAGATCTTCGTAATAACTAAAGACACGTGAGTTGCTATGCTAGAGTTTGAGGAGTACGATTGAGCATACGGTGCAGGGGCCATCTGGAATTCATTGGATCGTAGAGATTTGGGATCTCGAGCTATGTCAGCAGCGAACAGCACCAACAATGTCCGGGTACTCACAGTCCAATGCATCCATCGCATACAGTAGATCATCAAACGAAGGATGAGGAGGTTTTGGCGGTTGGCGACCTTTCTTTTCCGTCGCCGGACGCTGCTCAATGAGTGCAGAAAGCTCATGTAGGACATCGTCAAGGAAGATCTTCAGCTGGTCCTGATAGGGGTATTCCGCCCATGGATTAGGCCGAGGAGGCTCCCAAAATCCTTCATTCTGAAAGAAAGGTTAGATCAAATTCACTAACATGAGGTGGATGTTACAGACCTTCACAGAGAACCCAAGGAATTCCAGGAGGCTTTTGCAGGGTCGGCCCTCGACGCCGAAACATGTCATGAACCTTTTGTTCACAGCTGATATCGACTTGCTCCGTTGGCTATCATGGAGAGCGTTGAAGATATAAGTGTGTAGGTTCTCCAACACCGTGATCGGCAGTGGTCGACCGATGCCTTCCAGACGCTCCGGCTGTGCCGCGATCGCTTCGTCTGCACGCCTCCCCAGCACTTCGGGGTCAATCAGAAGTCGCACCCACTCCTCGGCGAGGACAGGCGATGCGATCCGCACCGAGACCGATACAGGACATGTGAGGTAGGAGCATTCGTAGTGGAATGTCTCGACGATCTGACCCTTAGGAGTGACTTCCGCTGGAGAAACACCATTCCTCTGCCTCCCAGACTTGTAAACCAAATGGTGTATGTGATCCGCAAACCCTTGCGTTGATTGGCCTATGCCTGGGCTGGAGCTAACAACGAGTTGAAGATGGTATCGACACTCTGTGCAAATCGCCGAAACCTTCGAGGGATTCCCGGTGCTTTTTTTCTGTTCCGCCTGAGGGAGGAAGCTCTGGTTCGGTTTGGTCACATACTGATGGCGACATGCGGAAGGCGAAATGAATTCGAGTGACCCGGTTTGTCGTTCAGCGAAGACCGGAGGGACTTCTGAAAGAAGATTGCGGCCTGTGCCTGGCGGGTGTACGGGATCGTAATCGTAAATGTCTTGAGCGAGCCGCGGGGCAGTTTTGCCTAGAAGATTAAGATTTCGGTGTTGGTAGAATGCGCATGATCTGTATCTTCGGCCAGGTTACATACCAGACCGTACTGAGGACGACATGAGTATGCTCTGCTGAGCTTGGTGCTGCGGGAAGACCAGATCGAGCTTCCGATTACTGCTTATGATTCAAGTTCCCATGTATTCTCTTCTCGCTTCTTGCTGATAAAAAACTGCAGGCGAAACCCAGTCACAGCTGCTGAAATCACCGATGCCTGTCGCAAGATACCTGGCAGACTGGATAGCGGGGGACACCACAACGGACAAGGAAAGCAGCGAGTCGAGGATCGGGTGCGTTGAACCAGCGCTTCGTTTATCTGCTGTTACGGGAACTTGGGGTTGGGACAAAGATAATCTCAGAGCATCGAAAGAAATATAATGAAAAAGATTCAAGACAAAACACATGAATCACAACTCACCAGATGCGCTCATCAACCTGCCATGGAGCTCCATGCTGTGGGGAAGGCGGTCATAGGCGGCAGAACCTCGACGTCCCAAATTCAACATCCTCACTGCGGCCAAATGACCTATCCACAGCCATCCAGCGAACGTTTCCTGCCCCCAATCGCCACCATGGCCTCGCATCATGATGCTCATCCCTACCATCCGAAGGATACGATTGGCGCGACGATGAAGACCACCATGCTCACCGGTGGAGTTGGTCTTTTCGCGTCAGCCGTCCAGAACACCCTCGCCAGAAAGAACGTTGGACCATGGGGTATCTTTGTGCGAAGCGGCGGCACAATCGGTGTTTTCGGTTCGGATACCCATTGAGTTGGAGTCAATTGGCAAGAAAGATGTCTCTCTAACGATCCTACTGCAGCGGCCATGGGTGGTACCTATGAGTTTGTGAAGAATGCCTCGGCCAACCTGCGGGAGAAGGACGATCACTGGAACGTTGCCCTGGGAGGCTTCTTCTCTGGAGCAGTCCTCGGACTTCGTGGTATGTGCTCTCTTTGCTTTCCTCCTCTCGATAGATGTGCTTTGAATACGGTCCACTAATTCCTGTTCTAGCCCGGACATTCCCCGCCATTCTGGGTTACGGCGCGGCTCTGGCCACGGCCATGGCCGGTTTTGATTTCACCGGCGGAAGCTTATTCGGATCGAAGAAGTCGACCGATGTTGATGAGTTCGACCGTCGCACACAACTCCGGACAGCATACCAAACCTCCGTAGAGCAGACCTTTGCCGAGCTGGGTGAAGGACGAGGTATGGCGATTGCTCCACTCTCCGCCTTGTTGTAATCACGGCTTTGCTAAATTCCCAACTCACAGGTATCACCGCTCCCGGATACGCCGAGAGACGCGCAGAGAGACTCAAGGAGAAATATGGCTATGAGGTTCCCACATCCGCAGTACCGGCATCATGAAGTGATTTGATTCGATGTTCTCTGCCCAGTCCTCCAGTCCCCAGTCTCTTTTGTGTAAACTATCGTTACATGTCGAATGCTTTTTTTAGCTCGCAAATCTGGCATCCGAAACAATGATATCTTTCTTTCTTCTTCAAAGTGCCGGTTTTCTGCTTCGCAGATGGAGCTCACGATTGGGATTAATTGGGAATCATTCCGGAGGCTCGGAGCATCCCACTCGACAGTGCGGAAGATGCTCGTTTGTTTTCTGGTCATCAAAAACTGGATCCTCAAACAGACTTGAAGGTGGTAGCCCAGTCAGCAAGACTTTCAGCCTGGAAGGATCTTGAGACTGCAGGGTTCCGGTGTAGATCGGATCTCTGCTCTACACATGCTACCAAGGATATGTTACATAGACCATCCTGCCATATCCTCATGACCCCTTGGCTTGGTTGATTTCACGGATTTTTCCATCCGTATCGGTTTGCATACGACGACTCTTTGATGCAGCGAGTGCTGGAGTGTCGAGCGCGCGCGGAGTCAACTTGACCTTGATAAAGGGGGAAAAGCGTTGGATAGCAAACCGACTTGTATAGTGTAGGTCTCGTCCTCATCCACAGGGATTAACTCAAAACAACAATACCCCTTATGTAGGGCCAGTTATCTATACATAGAAGTAGACATATCGATCTTATCTACTATCGAGTGGTTCGCACACAGTCCTTTGGAAGTAGTTCATAATCAATAATGCGAAGTTGAAGCAGGTTGGGATTAGCTCAAGGTATGCATGATCATCCATGCAGGGGAAGTAGCTATATGATATCACATTGTTTATAGCATTAGCATTAGCAAGTGGTCAAGGCACTTGTCGCCCAATGTTCTATTCACCGCATGACATAATCCCTCTTAGTTACTATGATCTGGGAGTTGTACTTGTGTCAGATAGATAGATAGATGGATGGATAGATGGATATCAACGACATCTACCGAGTACTTGGCATTGGGTAATAAGTATATTGAGAGCGTATGTACTCCGTAATATTAGTAGTTCATTTGAACGACATCGGGGCATACAGTGTAGGTCACTCCTCCCACCAGCAATAATGGACTTGATCCGAACATGTCCGGCTCTCAACTCTTCATCATTCCATTCGTCATTTGAGGATCATTTGGATGGGTGGTTGAGGGGGAGGCGATTCCCAGCGTACGGACCAGGCACGTTTTTCATTCTTGTTCTTGTTGGTTACTTGGGTGCCTGGAGTTAAAGTCTCGTCTTGTTGGTTTGGAGGTGTAATCGAATGCCAGTCTCCTCTCGTTTGGTTTTTAGCGAGGTACATCAGAGAGTTAATCGGTAGGAAATCCATCCTCCACATGCTGGTGATCGCGGATGATGAACCGTGCATGACGTCGAAGATGGGAACTTTGAGAAAAAAGGAGGAGTTCCGGGTCCGATATAGCTCCAGCGGGCCGTTTAACTACTCCTTTTTCCAATCCATTCTCGAAGTCTTTTTTTTTTTTTTTTTTTTTTGCTTTTTCTCTCCTGAGTCTTGACATTGCATATCAGACGGATGGAGATGCTGACGAGCGCGCAGTAATTTATCTACTAGTAGAAATACTCCGTAGATACTGCCATCAACTCGCCACTTTGAAAAGGGGTAACCCCATCGAAGCCGTACAGAACAATTGGCTGCCGACGCTAGAAGGAAGGATTGGCTCCTTCGACTATATCCACTTGCGTGGCCGTGATGATGATCCTGAGATTCTCATTAGTATTATTATTGAAGGGCTGGTGAGTCGTCCTTGTTCATGGTCATAGCCACGATGTTCAAGTTCAGCCATCTTCACCAGCCTCAAGGGGTAGTACGTATGTCTATACTACAATACTGTGTAGTCCTATCATCCTATGGTAATAATGGAGCGTTTCATGATCATGATCATGATCATCATTGATTGCTCTGATGGTCCAATTAATAAATAATCGAGTTCTCCTGAATCATAAATTCAATATTATTCAGGCAGCGGTATTTGGTAATTTCCTCCAAGTTATCTATTCTTATTCTTAGCATCTTGAACACGGTAGTAGGTAGAGTAGTTGTAGTAGTACTCCGTAGTATCAATAATACCGAGTATAGATAGTATCAGAATATCAATGCTGACGGTGAGACTGCATCCTCCACTGCAAGAGAATAGGTAATAGAGACTAGAGATCAGTCAATAATAACGAACTGTCCTTATAGATCAATGAATAGATACAGATCCTAACAAGTCAAAGGGTTCATGACTTTCTACCTGTCTCCTTTTCCTCCCTCCCAATTGACTGGCCCGGGGATTCCGTTCACTGCTCTTCTCGTCATCACGTCGCATTCTCGCTGTAGACGTCATCCGGAACCGTCCAAGTTCAATCGTGACACTGTTAAGATGCTCGTCTATGTACATCTTCCTTCATCTTCATCTTCTTCTTCCTCATCTTCATCTCTCTCTCCCTCTCCCTCTCTCCTGAACCCCTCTCGACGGCTTTTATCCACCCATCTATCTATCTATACATCTTCATTTCATTTCAATCCCCCTGCGTGATCCAAATTCCTTCCTCGATAGTTCCTCCCTAGATCCTGTGGGGCGCATATTTCCATCCATACATCCAACAAAGATTCCCCTATATTATTTCATTACTCTCTCTATTGATTATTACCCTCGACCATCTACTAGTTTCACTCTCTATCCGATTCCCAAACCCATTTCATTATTTCGAGCACTCTACTCCGTACTACAGTACTACTACTCCCCATGCTCCTAATTTGAGCCCCGATCGGATCGTCAATCCGCGACAAGAAATTGGACCTTCTGGTTGTTCCCGTTCTCCCCGCAAAACAGTTCGCTCCAGACCATTAAAAGAAATAACTAATTATTACTATTACTGCCGTTCGCCTGGAAAACCGAACCTCGCCGACAATACAAGATCCCTGATTCCCTGGATTTCCTGTTCTATACTACAACTATCGATCGATCTTACCATCTTCTTCTCCTGGAAATCGCTCCCCCCCTTTTTCTTTCCTCCTGCAATACCTTCGACTGGCTTTTACTTAACTGAACAACACTTGCGATCAAACTGCATTCGACCATCATTACACCAAAATACTACATTCGCCCGCATTCCTGAGCTGCGCCCTTGATCGCTTTTGCACCGCCCAGCTGTCCAGGCCTCCCTCCAGGGTAGTACTGTAGCGTCATCACCGCCGCAGAGCCAATCCCCTCTCCCCTCCCTCTATCTCCCCTCCTTCCACCACCATGGCAATGACCGCTCGGGCGCATACACCGGTGCAGGATGCATATCGTCCGTTGTCACCCCCCACCGACTCCATCCTCTTAAATCGGAGTTACAGCTCGCGATCGGGCTCCAGACCCAACTCGTTCATCGCCAGCAATTCAGGCTACAACTACGCCCACGGTGCCGTCGGTGAACCGCCCGCCACCATTCACAATCCTCGATTCCATGAGGAGTTTGACGCAGCCAGTCAGCGAGGTTCGGTCGCGATCGATGGCCCGTCAACCGCGGCAGTCCACCGTTCGGCGTCACAAATGTCCCATTCTCGGTCCACGACCCCGACGCGCTCAACCACCCTGAAGAAGAGGTCGTCGCTCAGCAGGAAAAGCAGTATGCATCGCAGCGGGAGTCGACGGAGCTTGCGCGCCGGCAGTGTGCGCAGTCTGGTCCTGGGTGATAGGGAAAAATACGGCGTTGAGGGCGCAGATGATTCCAACAGCGCATTCCACATCCCCATCCCGACAAGTGGGAGTCCGACGGAGGTCATGGCCCAGCGTTTCCAGGGTATGTCTCGACTCGTCTACCTCTTTTTATCTTGCCGATTCGCGGATGCTAACACAATCTAGCTTGGCGCAAGATCCTGAAAGATTTGATTGTCTTCTTTAAGGAAGTCCAACGATCCTACGAAACTCGGTCCAAGCTGTACCTGTCGGCCTCAAACGTGATCAACAACTCTCCACTGCCTCCCTCATTTCTCAAATCCGGCGGCCTCGCCGATGCGACCGAGATTCTGCGGGACTTTCACCGTCAGGGGTACCTGGAAGCGAACAAAGCAGCCGAGGTCGAAAGCGAAGTCGTGAATCAGCTCATGGGTCTCCGGAACGATCTACAAAAGAAGACCAAAGAAATCAAGAGTCTCCATGGAGACTTCCGGAACTCCGTCGATAAAGAGGTCGAGGGTACGCGCAAGACTGTTCGCCAGTTACACGAAGCGTTGGGTCTGGTCGACACCGATCCATCTGCGACATCAGGCAAGGGCGATCCGTTCATCGTCCGACTGAACGTGGACAGGCAAATCGAGAAGCAGATCGAGGAGGAGAACTACCTCCATAGGGTAAGTGCCATCTCTCAACGGCAGACGGACTTGCTTTGCGTTTTTCGAGAGCCTGCTCACTGACTATATTAGGCTTTCTTGAACCTCGAGAACTCTGGTCGTGAACTTGAGTCGATTGTCGTCAGCGAGATTCAAAAGGCGTACAATGCATACGCTAGTATCCTCAAGCGGGAAGCCGACGAAGCGTACGATACCGTGGAGAAACTCCGTGCCGGTCCCATCTCCATGCCTCACGATCACGAATGGAATCATTTTGTCGCCAACACCGACGAACTGGTCGATCCTCGCGTTCCTCTCCGGAACGTGGAGAATATCACCTACCCGGGCAAAGATCATCCGGCCGCGGCTGAAGTCCGATCGGGCATGCTCGAGCGCAAGAGCAAATACCTAAAGAGCTACACTCCCGGATGGTAAGTGCCCAAGCTTTTTTTTTTTTCTCCTTCTTTCCTCTTTGTTTCCCCATTCAGTTGCTGACTGGTGCAGGTATGTCTTGTCCCCGACCCATCTGCACGAGTTCAAATCTGCCGACCGGGTGGCATGGCAGACACCTGTGATGTCATTGTACCTCCCAGAGCAGAAGCTGGGCTCTCACTCGCAACCGGACTCGACGTCGCACAAGTTCATGCTTAAAGGGCGGCAGACGGGAACCATGCATCGGGGCCACTCGTGGGTATTCCGCGCAGAGTCACACGAGACCATGATGGCGTGGTACGAAGACATCGAGAGCTTGATCTCCAAGACGGGCGAGGCCCGCAATGCGTATGTCCGACGGCATGTCCGCACTGTGAGTGGCACCAGTGTCCGCACCAGCATTGACGGCATCATGGATGAAGATGAGGCCGATCGCACCCCATATTCGGCAGAGGCGGTGGTCCTGAATCAGGAACGGCCCACGTCTGAGCCTCGTCAGCCCGGGGGCCGTTTCCCGAGTGACGTGCAGATAGACCGCCACGTGCAAGCCCCGCTGTCACCCTCCAGCGGGGAGAGCTCCGGCGGACATGACATGCTCGCCGGTGCAGGAGAGCTGCCCGATGGGGTTCCATTCCACGATGGCAATCCCAATGTCTCGAGCAACGAAAGCCGCGATGCGAGCTACGGTCCGCCGGTAGAGCGACATGATGCCTACTATGGCGAATGGATGGGCCCTGCGGAAATCGCTGCTCGTCAGAAGCAACTGCAGCAGGGTAACTCTGGGGGCGACCAAGGTGGTGCTGCCAGATCCGATGTGGGAGGAAACGATGCCCACCCAATCCTGTTTGCAGGAATGGGGTCTGTGAGCTCCCGCGACCCGTCAGTGGCACGGCAGAGAAACCGCCGTGAAAGTGCATCGACAGCACCGACCACCACCAACGTCACCGATCACACACACAATACCATTCCTACGTCAGTGGAAGGAGATCATGATACACCTATGGTGGGTGTTGGCGGCGTCGGCTATCAGAATGCTGGCGACTACAAGAACGACCAAGGCCTGTCCACCGTGGATAGTGCTACCGTCACCCCATTGTCCGATATCGCCTCGGAGGAAGCATACAACGGCTCTTACATGCGGCGACCGGGGAACATGAGACGAACCTCGTCTCAGCAGAAGAAAAGCGTGTCAGCGCTTGAGCTGCAGATTCCAGGCCACTACCCCCCAGCAAACCACATCCCCGCGTAAAATCGTCCTTTGAATGGCACGATTCGACTCCCAAGTGATTTTTTTGTTTCGACTTTTCTTGTACATCTTTTTTTTATTTTTTTTCCCCTTCTATGAGCGCTCACCCAGCCTGACTTACCAGTGGGAATCTGCATGGTTTCCCCTCGGCGTCTTGTTCTGCTTTCGGCAAGCTCTCACATGGGCAGAATTTTACTTTCACACTTGGATATCCGGCGTTCGACTAGGAGTGGATGGATACGGGGGATGTGGTCTGGGGAAATAGAACATGGACATGAACCTCTGCTTGGTCGATATGATTCCCCTCAAGGCACCTGTTGGTTGTCATTTTTTTGTTTTGTTTTGATTTCCTTTGTTTTCCTCTCCTATGTTCTTTCCTATGTCATGTTATCGACGAGCTTCGCTTCTCTGTACCATATTCTTATCCATTTTCGAATGACACGGCATGATATGATGCATTTAAACTGGACCCGTGAGTTTCAACTTTCAACGTCGTCGTAAACGAAACCCGCAACAGCCAGTATGCATGCGACTATCCTCTCATCACATTCCAATCTCAAATATAAAAGCTTGGATAATAAAATAAAGTTTTTGCCCCTATGATATAATCAGATCGATTGGCCCAGTGGTTAAGGCACCTGCTTTACAAGAGAATCGCAGGGGATCGCAGGTTCGAACCCTGCATCGATCATTTCTTTTTTTCTTTCTTTTCTTTTTCCTTGACTCCTTTTCAATATATGACCAACGCTCGCCAGCGTTTAGCAACTGTCGTCTCTGGAGTGGATGCTCTGGTTTGACTGGGGGGGTTTTTTGTGTGTGTGTGTGTGTGTGTGTGTGTTGGAGTCTACAGGTTTCACTGGTTTGATGGTCTATCTGAAGATTATATTGCCGAGTTCTACTACAATGTCAAGTGTCTGTCGGAGAAGGACAAAATGATGGTTCATAACCTCTCATGTTTCCATTTGAGAGAGAGAAAGAAAAAAGTACCCGAATTACCCACACATGGTTGTGATTGGAGAAAAGAAAATATGAGAAAGAAAGAGGGAAAAAAAAGAAAAACACAGAATGGTTTCAACCGCGAATCAGCATATCGTCAACTTCAGATGTTCCCAAGTAATACATCGCGAAAACCAGGTGGACCGACCCCCGCCGAAGCGTGGCCGCAATTTTACATGATCTGGTCCTGAGTGATTCCAGGAGCCGGCTCGGTGCCCTCCAAAGCATCACCTGGACCCGGTCCAAGGTTCATGTATTTAACAAACGTGATGCCGAGAGGACGACCACCGTATTGATAACCGGTGAATTTGGCTGCCGTAGAATTAGCCCCTGGGAATATTTATACGGGTAGGAGCAGGAACATACCAATAGCAGTCTCCGCTGTCTCCTCATTATCGAACTGAACCACACCGGTTCCCCGAGAGCGGCCGTTGGGCTCGTACTGAATCTCAGCGCGCTCAACTTTTCCGATGGTCGAGAAGAGATCCACCAGATCATCGTTGCAAGTAGACCATGGCAACTGTTGAAAGCCAGTATCAGTATTTATTAATATTTATCAGACGAGTTGTTCTTGGAGCACTCACATTGCGCACGTAGATCACAGGGCTCTTCTCGCCTCCAGAGGTTGCATAGTCGGTGAACGGGTTTGGAGGCACCGAGGGCGCGGGCTCGAAAGTCTGAGGAGCTCCGAAGCCCCCAGGCGCACCATAGCCACCTCGGAAGCCGCCGCCAAATCCACCACGGCCAGCAAAGCCACCGCGAGCGGGGAAGCCGCCTCCAAAACCACCACGACCACCAAACCCGCCACGGCCGCCAAAGCCGGGGCCGGAACCGGCGAACCGGTCTTCCCGAACCTCCAATGTGCGTCCCTGCCAGTCGTAGCCGTTGAACTGTTGAATAGCGGTGCGCGCGTCGTCGGGGGACTCGAACGCGACAATGCCAGAACCCTTGGGGCGGCCAGTGGCATCCGTGTGGACGTCGGCGCGAATCACGGCACCTTGCTGAGCTGTGGTGTAGTTATTGTTAATTCACAGATCACTTTAATATGGAGAGATTGTAACGTAACGGTGCGGCGTGAACTTGGACTTACCAGCTTGGCGGAACAGATCCTTCAGGTCTTGCCAGCCAACGTTGAAGGGGAGCTAGATTCCATAAGTCAGTACCATTTAAGAAACTTAGAAAAGTCGGCCACAGAATGTGGCTCGGGGTAAGGCCAACAAACGTTAGAGACAAAGAGCTGTCTTCCGCCTCCACCAGCACCACCAACAGGGGCACCACCGCCATAGCCTCCGCCGAAACCACCTCTGCCACCAGCACCCCCAAAGTCACCTCGGGAAGGGCCGCCAGTAAAGCGCGGCTCGGGTTCGCGGTCCTACAGAACAACGATTGTCAGCAAGGTTACAGCTTGATGAACAGGGATGGAATCCTCAAATACCTCGCGAACGTAGACGAGACGGCCCATGAGGCTCTGGTTGCTAAGCGTGTTGACGGCATTCTGCGCTTGCTCCCTTGTAGCGTATTCCACAATCCTGGTAAACACACCAGTGCGTCAGAAGATGAAGAGGGCGGGGGAAACAACATCACTTGGCGGCGGCAGCACTTACCCGCATCCCTACAATATTTGGACGGCCAGGCCCAGCCCGTCAACCCAAGTCGTCCATGCAATGAAGAAGACCAATGAAATCCGGGGACAGGAAAGGAAAAGAAAGAGGAAGTGGAAGAAAAAAGAACAAAAAAAACCAGCCACACTACACATTGGCGCCCACCTTCGACATTCCATTGGGAAGTAGTAAAACGTCGGCGAAGATGACCTCTCCAGCTGTATGAACGAAGTGGAAAAACATTCCCCCCCACAGTCAGCCACAAGTTCCAGTCCAACATAATCTGCGTCGCGTTGCCGACACGATATGACCCTGCTCACCCTGTCTCATAAAGTCTTTAAGATGATGCCACTTGACATCGTACGATAGGTTCCCAACATAGACCCGACGGTCCTGCTGGGACGATCGCGAACTGATTGCATCATTTGTTCTTTGGCGACGGCACGATCCTCAAACGATCTCGAAGGGGGTAACTGCTGCGACCACGTAACCAGATCGTGAATGTCCTCCAGTCGCACCTTGAGTCGCACTCATAGGAGACCGAGAACGGCGATCACTGCGGCGATAGTCGTCACGACTGCGCGAGCGGCTGCGCGGCGAATACGACCGACGGCTGCGTCGAGGGCTGCGGGAACGTCTGCGAGGAGAGCGAGACCTCTCGCGCTGCGGGTAATCAGTATCAAAGGAATCGGAAGGCATTGTGGAAGTGGCCCCCGGCCGGCTAGAATGAGGATAGAATTGAAGCAAACAAAAAAGGAGGGGTAGCGAAAAAGTGACCAAGGTAGATCAAGGTTAAGCAGAAAGGCGACGTCGTGGAGAGGGGAGATGGTTATGATTCCAGGTGCTTCCCGAGACGCAAGAGAAGCCCGACACTTGGTAGGCGCTGAGAACCGGCAGAATACAAATCAGGTGACACCGCCTCGAGCGCAAGCAACACGCCAAGCAGAAACAGCGATCGGAGCTCAAGAAAAGGGAATTGAGTACAAGATAGTGATGAACTCAACGAGAGTGGAGAAATAAAAGATGAAGAGATAATATGATCATCAAAAAATAAGGGGGAGTGGAAAGGAGGGAAATGGTGTCAGATCCGATTGTACAGGGACAGTGGATACCCGGCATCATTGGCGGCGCGGCATCCACTTCAATTCCCAGAGACGAGGAACTATAGAGGCCCATTCTTCGGGAAGAGACGTGCAGGAATGTTTCATGCAAGAGAAATAGAAACAGCAGAATGACAGCAGAATGACAGCAGAATGACAGCAGAGGGGAAGATGTAATTCACGTCACCAGTCCTGGTGAGAGAGAGAGGGAGAGAGAGAAAAATGGTGACTTACTTGAGATGGTCGGTAGACGTCGGCTGAAGGTCGACACTTGAACGTAAGCCAGAGGATCCCAGAGAGCAATCAAGCAATACAGAAAGAAAAGAGAGAAGAAGAAGAGGAGAAAACGAAAGAGGATGGAAGAGGTTTAGTAGAGAGGTTGATATGGATGATAGCGGGGTGGGAAGGATAAAAGCAAAATCAGACTCGAAGAATCAACTGGTATATGTGTGCAAGAGTGTGTGTGTGTGTGTTTGTCAGATTTGATCGGGAGTGCCAGGGAAAAGGAGAAAATGATGGAAAAGGTTGAGTGAAGGAAATCCCGTAGAGATCCGAGACAACCAGGATAGTTTGTTTTGGCTGCGAAGAGTCTCTGGCCTGTCTGTGGTGGTAGTGGTGATAGCTCTTACCTATGAGTAACAGCTAGGCGCAGAGAGGACCGGATAGATGGGAGGGAAGGGTAAGGGGAAAGGACAAGATGATTGACGGATGGAATGGGATGAAAGGGATGAATGGGATAGAATAGAAAAAGGAAAAGGATGGAGATGGAGATTGGAGGTGAAGGTGAAGGTGGATAAAGGAAGAGAGAGGACAGGATGAGAGGAGAGGGGGCGACGTGATGGTTCCTACAGTAGTAGGAGCAGTAGTACGACAATAGCGGGTGTCTGTGTGTGTGTGTGTGTGTGGGTGGGTGGGTGGGTGGGTGGACTGTTGACTGTCAAGCCAGCAGTGTAATAGTGGTGGTGGCAGTGGTGGTAGTAGTGGTAGTAGTGGTAGTAGTATGTGCTGCAGCAACTGCAGCAGTAGCAGCAGCAACAACAACACCACCACCACAAGTAGTGGTTGGATTGGAGAGAACCTTGGAGGCCAAGACAGGGGTAAGGATGACAGGCAGAAGAAGAAAGGAGTGGGACACAAGCCTGGCCGGCTGGCTGACAGACACAGAGAGCGAGTCAGGCAGAGTGACAGGCAGAGAGAGAGTGAGGAATGGAATGGACAGGAAGAAAGGACAGCAAAGGTGGATTGTAAACATCAACTGTCCTAATAGACGCGGGGGAATTCGTGGGGGGAATGAATGAGGCTGATATATAATAGAGCAAGACAGGATGGAGACGATGCTGACGGTGATGGCTCAGGAACGAGAAGGGCGAGGCAGAAGTAGATAGATTGATCGATAGTCAGCAGTATCACTCACCCATGATTGATGTTATGAATTATGATGCTGGCTGATGTGGAGGAGATGGTCCTGCGTTGACAACGTCTGCCTGTCTAAACTCTGACCTGACTGACTGTCAGGAGCTTGATTTAAAGAGCGAATGGGCTTTGGGGGAAGGGGAGGGGAGGAAGAAAAATAATATCAACGGGTAATAATAAGTAGTTGGTCGAATAAGAACAAATCAGAAGGGGGGGAAAGGGAAGAGAAGAGGAAGAGGAAGAAGGAGAATGAAGAGCAGAGCTGATTGGAACTTGGAGGTGGTGCAAGTCAAGTTGGCCGTGCTGTGTTCAACAGTTCAAGAGACTTACTTGACTGGTGTTGGCCTTTGGATTTCCAGCAAACATCAGAAGGGAGATGTTGTGATGAATGGATGGATAGACAACAATAGACCGATAGATAATGATCAACAACAGACGACTCAAATTGATATCCAGAAGAATCTGTCTTAACTCTCTTGTTGAGGGGTCGGAAAAAAGGAAAAGGGGGCGTGGAAAGAAGGAATCTAGGAAGCGACGGGAATAGGAATCAATAGTGGAAGCTAATGCACACGCCCATGGGCTTTACAGGCCGATCCTCTACCGACGATGATGTGGGATAGTAGTAGTAGAGCCATTGAGTTGGTCTATAGAAGTATATGACAGAAGAGGCTCTCTGCTTAAGATAGTCCAATTGGAAATAATGTTTCTCAAGCTGCTCACGGATGGTTGATCAATATATATACATACTCTGTATGTATATATGTCGGTTGAATACCAACACCACATAGAAGACCATGGACCAGCATGATACTCAGTCAAATAATCAGTCCTCCTCTTGTACCACGAACTAACTAAACATTCTCAATAACAATAATAAAAATAAAAATATCCCCATCTGCTACGTCCCCATTATTATTATTATCATTGATACGGGATGGTTTGATCATTTGGCTCGGCCCAGCTCAGACCACCGCTTATACCGAGATTCCTTCCACTCCGGCTGGCCCGACAAATTCACCTTCAAATTATTCCTTCCCATCAACCTCCAGACTATCAGTCTATCCATATCCAGCTACCTATACTCACATACACACAGAGAAAAACCAATGGCTCAGTCAATCCCTCTCTCCCGCTGTTCAACAGCAATCTCCTCCCTCCGCTCCTCCTCCGTTCACCTCGCTTCTCGCCCCATCCAGACCTCCTGCATCGCCCTGCAGTCTCGCCGACTATACCACATCCACAGCTCCTCGCGCCGCTCAATCCGCCCATCAATCCAGGCGCAAACACCACGATCCTACCCTCCGCCACCCAGAAAGTCCTACCATTCGGAGCACCACCCCGAGCTGCCCCCCCATGAATACACCAACTCGCAGACCACCATCCTCTCCGCCGCACTCAACCATGTTCCCAAGCACGGCTTCACCCCCGAAGCGCTGACGCTGGGTGCGCGTGACGCCGGCTTCCTCGACGTCTCCGTGCAGCTGCTCCCGCGCGGCGAATTCGATCTCATTCTGTTCTGGCTGGCAAGTCGCCGTGGTCTGCTGCGGGGAAAAGTTGAGGATGGATTGTTCGAGAAGTATGCGCGCGAGGGAAGGGTGTTGTCGGTCGAAGAGAAGACCAAGATACTCATTATGGAGCGGTTGCGTATGAACGCGGATATCAAACATCAGTGGCAGGGGGTATGTCACAAGTTCCCTTCCCGCAACCCTGAACACATTCTATCTTGCCTTTTTTTTTTCTCTCTTCCCCTTCTCTCTCTCTCTCTCTCTCTGTCTCTCTCTACGGCCATAGAGCCTATTGGACGGAAATTGTACTGACTACACAGGCTCTGGCGACCATGTCCCTCGCGGGAAATATCCCCCTCTCCCTGTCCGAGCTCCACGCTCTATCCTCCGATATCCTCAATCTCGCCGGCGACACCTCCGTCGATGCCTCATGGTACACCAAACGGCTATCCATCTCCGCCATCTACGCCAGCGCCGAAGTCGTCATGACCAAGGATTCGAGCCCGGAACTCTCCGCCACAGAGGCATTTGTCGAGCGCCGGGTTGAGGATAACAAGTACATCGGGGACAAGATCACCGGCATCAAGCAGTGTCTGGGCTTCATGGGGTCGACTGCGGTTGGACTGGGCAGGAGCTGGGGTTTGAAAATCTAGTGGTCTTTGACTAAGAATTGGAACTCGGGGGAACGGTTGAACGGACAAAAAGTAAAGGGTTCATTGTATTTGTCGTACTATGAAGTCTCGCACATGTACTTGTATATTACATATAACTATATCCAACCTTCCTTCACTCATGTTTGGAATGACCAGAGACGATTTATCCCCGAGTCTCTATCCATATAAACAGAACCCAGCTCTACAAGAAATCCCGTCGCCCTGCAAGCTCTTGCACCCGCGTCTCCAACCGCTGCAACCACCCATCCGGCCCAAACAGCTCGCGCACGGCTTTCCGATTCGGCGCTAGATCCCACCACGGATCCCGCCTGGAGCCCTGGTTTTCCTCACGCACCCGTTTCCAGTGGTGCCTGAGGTCTCGCTCCCGCTGCTCGGTAATTGCCCTGAGCAGTCCACACGTGCGCTCATCCGGCTCCACGCCTGTCACCTCCATCTCCTCCAGCAGCGACACGACGCTGGGGAGATCATTGCAGCCGCGCCAGTAGAAGTAGACCAGCTCGTTGTACAGACCGGTCGAACTCCCCAGCACCGCCGACGTCCGGCCGTGCGACTTGATCGTCAACCGGAACTGGCTGATCAGCGGCGAGCCCGGGAAATGCGAGTTCAGCAGCTGGAACGCGATTAGGAGGACCTTTGGGTAGAGCGCCGTGACGACGGCTTCGACGGGCACGGATTCGGGGATGTCGAGTGGGCTGCTGGGCGATGGCGATGGCGATTGCGATTGCGATTGCGACTGCGCCGGCGTTGCGGCCGGGTCGCTGCTGCTCTCGGATACCCGGTTATTCTCGAGATATTGGAGCAGGGAGAAGATACGCTCCTTGCAGACATCCCAGATCCCGACGTCACCTCGGCCGTCGTCGATCGCTGCGCGCAGGGCGGCTTCGATCTTCGCCGATTCCCGCTGCACGGTCAACTGGATGGCTCGTTCCAGAGACACGGGGTCATCGCTGCGCAGGCCTAAGGTACCCACACCGTCTGAGCCAAGCTCCTCGCCCTGGCCCTGCTGACGTTGCGTCTCCGCCCCAGGCGTTGCGCTCGCCGCCAGCCCATCCGCCGACGCACCGGCCACAGCACTCTCCGCCTTCCGCGCAGACCGCTGCTTTCTCTTCCGGATATCCGCAAGCACCGAGTCAAAGATCGCCGAGACCTGTGTCATCTCCACGCGGTCCTCCTCGCTCAGCGCCGGCTTCTGCGGGCCCGCCGGTGCCGTTGGCGTTGCCGTCGCCGTCCCCAGCGCCCCCGCACCGCTCTCGTCCACGCCCAGCTGCTCCAGCAGATCGCTGAACGCCTTCTTCTCGGTCCGCGTCATCGTCAGCGGCTTGGTGCTCGAGCGCGGCTTGGACGTGGCCCGTGGGCTGGGAGCAGGCGGTTGCGAGGGTGAAGACGCCGCCGCTGCCGCCGCTGCACGTCTTTGCAGATAACTCTTCCGGACTCTGGGGCTGGCATCGCTCGGTGCCTGGGCCTGGGTGGCAGAGTCTGCCGTTCCGGAAGGTGTGTGACCATCTGACCCCTCGGTTTTTCCGGGATGTTCTTCACTTTCATCGAGATTTTGCTCCGGGGTGGAGGAAGTGTTGGACGTCGATCGGCATTGTCGGGGATGGGTCCATTTTATGGAGCATCGCAGCGCGGTGAGGGTTCGGGTCTGGTAGAGGAATGGGACGGGGGAGGTATGCGTTGCCAGTGCTAGGCAGGCGCGGGAAATGCGTCTTGACATCTTATATGGTTCGGCGTATAGCGTTGGGTTGTTGCGAATCCGCAGCCGGACTGATGTTGTCATGAGGGTTGGAGAGAAATTTAATGTACTCTGTAGATTTATGGACTACGCGGTAGGAACTAGTTTTTCTGGGGTGCAACGTCTTCATTCAACCGTATCAGAGAAATATATGTATATTATTCCTTCGCTTGCTTCATATTATGATCATTGTTATTTAGTCTGAACAAAAGGGGAATTTTGCAATTGTTCGTAGTTCATCTGAAAGCCTTCATCAACCGACATTCAATTTCCCATTAAACCACGTGACAGCGCGACGCTGCAGCACGCGTTCTTCAGATGAATCCGCGGCTTTCATCAAGAGCGATATGACCTGAAAAGCCACCGTTTCTCTCCCCTTTGGACCTCTACTAACCATCCAAAGCAGCCCAAAAGAACCAGCCATCATGGGCACCGACAGCACCGAGCTCTCAGAGTTCGAAAAGCAGCGGCTCGCCAACATCGCCGAGCGCGATGCGCTGCTCAAGAAGCTCACCCTGGACGCCCAGTCATCCGGCATCTTCCCGCCCAAGCTGGCGCGCAGCTCACCCGTGAGCCAAACGAAGCCGAAGAAGAAACCCGCACCCAAGAAGATCAAGAAGGAAGGTGAGGCGCCCGTGGCGCGCCGCATGTCGTCGCGGCTGAGAGGCATCGCGGCGGAGAGCGAGGTCGCGAAGCGCAAGGCGGAGGAGCACTACGAGGCGGTGCAGCAGGCGGAGCGGGCTAAGCGGGTGCGCAAGTCGGATGCGTTCTCGTTCAGCGAGATGCTTGTGTCGGGGCAGAAGCTGAGTGCGGATGGGCTGATTGGGGTGGATGTGGTCACGAAGGGGGTGGCGATGCCGTACCAGCGGACCTTTGGCGATGAGGACATTGAGAAGACGGCGGATAAGGAGTTGAAGAGACTGAGGGAGGAGGTGAGTGGGTTGCAGTTGTGGGAGGCGTGGGAGCCGAACCGTTCGTTTTTTTCCGTCCTTGGGGTGCCAGAGTTGTTGTCAGTTGATTGGTTTTTTGGGAGGGTTATGCTAACATGAAGCAATAATGGTACAGGTATCAAGGTGACTCCCGAGAGAATCTACACCATGACATTCCATCCCTCGGAGGCGAAGCCGCTGATCTTCGCCGGCGACAAGATGGGCAACCTCGGCGTTCTAGACGCCTCGCAAGAGAGGCCCGTCTCCAGCATCAAGCACGAAGACGGCGACGAGGAGGAGCAGGAGGACGATGACGACCCAGACCCGGTCCTGACGACCCTCAAACCACACACCCGAACCATCAGCTCCATGCACATCCACCCTTCCAAGCCCACACATCTGTACACCGCCAGCTACGACAGCTCCATCCGCGAACTGGACCTGGAGAAGACCACCTCCGTGGAGACATACGCGCCGGACTCGCCATCCGACGATGTCCCCATCTCCGGCATCGACATGGCCGCCGACGACCCGAACACGCTCTACTGGACGACGCTCGACGGCGCCTTCGGCCGCTACGACACGCGCGCCTCGCGCCGCACCGCCGTCGCCACCTGGCAGCTCTCCGAGAAGAAAATCGGCGGCTTCTCCCTCTACCCGACGCACCCGCACTTCTTCGCAACCGCCAGCCTCGACCGCACCATGCGCCTCTGGGACCTCCGCAAGCTCTCCCACGACGACCCGCTTCCCGTCGGCGAGCACCTCTCCCGCCTCTCCGTCTCCCACGCTGCCTTCAACAGCGCCGGCCAGGTCGCGACCTCCTCCTACGACGACTCCCTGAAGATCTACGACTTCGGCGCAAAGGGCATCGCCTCCTGGGAACAGGGACACACACTCTCAGACGCCGAAATGAAACCGGACACCGTCGTCCGCCATAACTGCCAAACAGGACGATGGGTAACGATGTAAGCTCGCCCACCCCCCCTTTCCCCTTCCCCCGTCCCATTTCTTCTCATTACACACCACACCCCATAGTCCAAGAACTAATATAAACCCAGCCTCCGCCCCCAATGGCAAGCAAACCCGCAATCCCACATCCAGCGCTTCTGCATCGGCAACATGAACCGATTCGTCGACGTCTACAGCAGCTCCGGCGACCAGCTCGCCCAGCTCGGAGGCGACGGCATCACCGCCGTCCCTGCCGTGGCCGTATTCCACCGCAGCAAAAACTGGATCGCGGGCGGGACCGCCAGCGGCAAGATCTGTTTGTGGATGTGAGGCCGCAGCCGCAGGCCAAGATGAAAAAAAAAAGCAAAATTGGGCATTTGTATCTAGCTTTGAGGGGTTCCCTAGAGTTTGGTTGGTTGGTTGGTTTCATTAGCTATGCTGTGTATTTGTTGCAGTTGTGTGTATACTTTATCATTGTACCTGTACTATATTAGCGTGAGCGAAGCCCGAAGCCTGAAACCCGAAGTTGTGCATGAGTTATCAAAACACACAATCTGTACTTAGTTACTCTGTAGATAGATACTAGATCCAGGCGAGCTCTCCATAATTGGCTCAAGTGAGACACGTCAAATGAGCAGTCTTCATTTCATCTATGCAGGGCAGGTTTGAACAAGAATAGGAGAAGGACAAGAAAAAAAAAGTTATGTACATAAACGAAGTCAAAAACAACGACGACAAGAACAACAAGAACAAGAACAACAACAACAATAATTGTTTTGCACCGTGGAAAAGAAGTCCAGGGAAAACCCTTTCTGTCCGTTAGCAGTCGGAACAAGATGGAGGCCACACAAACAATTTCCATCCAAAAAAACAGCTATCAGAGCAGGGTATCAACACCGTGACAAATGCTATTCAAAAGAAGAAAAAGAAGAAGAGGAAGAAAGAAAACAAGGGATCAGGGTTCGAATAGGAGATTCGGAGAAGGGGCAGAGCGTCAGATCATGAACACATGGGATCGATGGGTTAGACATGAGATGAAACAGAAAATGAATATACACCAGAGAAGATGCAAAGGCTGGGCTCACGTCAGATCTTTCCTGCTATAAAGAGATGACCTTTCCGACTTGCCGTCTCTGGTAAATAGAAACTAAAAACCAAGCGGACTGTCGAAGAGAAGCCTAGGAGATTTGTCGGAAGAGCAACCGTCGGAAGGAAATGTCATGTCGCCGTGTGTTTGCCATGATCGCTGCAATGTCGAAGAAGAAGCAGACTAACAAGGAACCAATGGAGCAGAGACGACTTTGTCCACATCAGAGCTCATTGCGCAGTTCTTCGCGGGAATGTTGTTGAGTATTCTCCCGCTCCTTGGCTTTTCGCCTCGACGAAGCGGGGACGAAGTCGAAGAATCGATACTTGCTTGTCGACGTCTCTTTAGTGACGCTGGCTCGGCGCGCTTTCGACATGTCAGAATATTCAAGTGAGTAAGTGGACGAGTTCTTCGAACTGCCAGTGCTGTCTCGTGTGTCTGACCACCGCGGCATTGAAAAAGGCACACGGCTCTGGTCCCAAGTGGCTGATGAGGAGCTTGGAGGGGTTTCAGCTTCAGCATCGGGGCTGTGATCTGTAGACCGTCGAGGTAGTGACGGCCGAGAAACAAAGTAGCCTATAGAATTCCTGTGGTTTCCCGTAACAGAGGCCGGCGCTGGCACGGCTGTCTCCGTCGCTGGTGTTGTCGGTTTCGAACTTTCCTCGTAGAATGTCGCCGATCGTTCCATAGAATCTACCAGTTCTTCCCACTTCACTTCGAGAGTGCCATTCGGACGCTCAGCCTGTTCAGCCTTACTTAAACAGTCCTTGGTTCGTTGGTTGAGGCGATAGGCCATCTCATGGAACTTCTGAATTGCTGGGTCGATTTCTTCTAACCCGGCAAGCTTCCCAGGTGCACCCTCAAGCCAGATCCTTATTAAATTGGCGAAACTCCTTCCGTGATCAATGAGGAAAGGAAGGCTGGGAAAGCCCTCGCGGGAAGTATGAGGTAGTCGATTCAGAATCTGAATAGGAGTGGCATACGACGGTGTGACGATGGGAGTGGGACGGTCCGCAGGAATCGCGCAGATTGAATCGACGAACTGTCTGAACTCGAGACGACTGCCGACCAAGAATTTGTTCATCGGCTCCATCCAAGGCTCTTTGCTGCCGAACGTCGTCATATTGGCAAGGCCTTGCAAAGCTTTCGCGATCAGGGTCAATGTCCGTTGAGCACGAGGGCGAGGGTGGTCTTTCAGTAATCCAAAGAGCTTAGGGTTCAAAATTGCAGGACAGAAGAACCGCAAGAATAAGAAACCGGAAACACTGCTATAGGTCACGGTTCGCAGGAAATCACCATATCGATCTTCTGCACAGGCCCTGATATGTCGGAAAATTAGTCGCAATTCTGGAGGGCAGCGGGATGCGGAACTGGCAATCGACTTCCAAACACTTGTCGTGAGGGCGATGAGGCTTCTCCAGTTGCGCTCGAGGTCGTCCGCACGATGTACCCGTGACGGGTCGACTTCGCAGTCAGGATCGCTTTCATCGATTTCGCGAAGGCGCTCGCCTATTGTTTCTTCTAGATACTCCTTCCCCAGCCGGCGCATATGCAAGTCGAGGGCTTTGGTCAGCAGGGAATTTCCTCGGAAGAGTAGATTTGCCTCGACAGTGGCCGTTCGTCCCAGATCTCTGACAAGAACTTCTCGATCCTGGGCCGATTCCCTAGAATCGTTGGAGTGAATTCTTGTGGTATATCTGAGTCTGTTTGTAGTCGATTCCTTGTGAACTCCGTCAATCTCATCCTCGACCAAAGCAGAAATCCACTCAACAGTCTGGCCCGAGACCTGGTAGATGTTGAGGAGCGCCTCAGCCAGCTGGTTGAGTTCAGAAGAAATGATCTGAGCCATGTTGATGGTGAGTCCGTTGGTGAAGGAATGCAGTATCTCGGACATGGGCATGTATTCGTGCGACATCAAGACGACCGTCTCCTCCATCCGAGCTCTCATGAGCATTTCACCTACAGACTGGTCCCTGCCATCGAATATTGTCCACCATTTCTCCGTTTCCACGCCCGACTCCAAGTCGTCCAACCGTATCTCCACCCGTCCGTATGTGGGATCATGGGACGAGAGCTCAACATCATCTAACCCATGCATCCCACTCGTCTCCTGGTTTAATGCGTAAGAGCCATGCGCGATGAGAGTCCAATCCTTCTGGGCGGGGTTGATCGTTTTGACGAGTATCTTGACTTGCGATAGAACAGGCGGCAGATCCTGGAAGATGAAGTCCTCACGCCAGAAAGGATTCGACGTCCGATACTTGACTGCAGTTTTAGCCCGAATCTCGCCGTCGAGAAGAAGTTCCGTGTAATAATCGCTGATAGCCGGCGCCGGAAGCGAATTGCTATGAGATCTTGACTGCTTTCGGCTTCTTGCTGTCTCCTCTGAGGTTCTGTCACGGATTAATTTGGCCTCGGTTACTCGTACACAGAGCATCCTTTCGATCCGGAACAGATCTCTCGTAGGTGGAAAGCTCGAATCGCCTGAGTCCATGTTGCTAGCTTGGTTTTCGTCCACCGGTATCTCCGGCCCATAGAGTTCGGGAATCGTGAAAGCGCGCAGAAGAACGAACCAGACTTCGAAAAGCACCCGGCTCTCGAGCGCAAGATACACCGGACGGGTCAACCCCGAGGCGGGATGCGCCGCATATTGAGGAAAGATGGCGATGCAGAATTCATCCTCCAGAACTGACTCATTCAACTGCTGCACCGAACATCGCGACAGCTGGGACAATTGAATGCAGGTGACTAGTGTGATATCCGATTCGGTGAAGAGTTTGAAAGCACCATTCTCCTGCAGGGTGCAGCTGACTTTTTGCCATGACGAAGACAGGGCCCTTTGTTGCCGATATGTAGAAACGCGGCGACCGGAATTGGGCCGTACTCCCGACGCGCTCGGTCGATCCCAGAGAAGCATCTTGCCGACCTTGATGATGGCTGCTTCTTTCTGGACGGTGCTCTCGGAGTTTCGCCGACGGTCGATGAGATGACGGTCGCCGATAGCCACCGATTGAGGTTTCGTCATCTTGTTCTGCACCCCCTTGGGTCGGATCGGTTGCCAGCACAGCAAGGCTGCGAGCCAGGAGTCGAATGTTTCGCTCACGTGAGGCTTCAATTCGATTCCTAAGCCTGATGTAAACGTAGACACTTTGAGGTAATTGGCTCGAGATTCGGCATCAACAAGCGAGCGGACTTGGCAACCACGCAGGTCAGGGATCAACGTCTTTGCCAATGCGGGTTCTCCTTTAGCCTGGTATATTAAACTGCCGGTTGCAACATTGATTGCGCAGTAGCCTGACGTCCAAGCGGTCGTTGAGGACGTCCGGAATGATAGAATCCCATGCATCCTTCCGGAGGTAGTCTTCATCAATTGTAGAACTTTGGATGCATCGGTACTTGATAAGGATGGAGAAACCGGACTTGTCGCCAGGCCGGTCACCGAATTTGAGCTCCCCAGGTTCCGACTCAAACGTTGACGGCCAAAGGTCTGGCTGAAATACGGAGCCGGTTGTATCGACGGGAAACCGATGGAGGTTTGATCCTCCGACTGTTTAGGCTGAGGCGAGGTGGTGTTTATGGAGCCGAGGCGAGTTCGAGTTCGTGTCAAGAAAGAATTCGGAGAAATCTCACTGCGCTGATCGTCTAAAGTTGTGGTGCGAGATCGCGCCCGCTGGCTCCGTGACTCCACTTGAACATCATCTTCGTCTCCGGCGGAGTAATAAGGGTGGAAATCGCGACGAGACTCAGGGTCGGGCGCCCTCGATTTGTACGCTGCACGAGGCGAGGGGGCTGCACTTCCAGACAAATTCTCGGCTTCGGATGAGGGTGAATGATTGCGTGTCTCGGAGGAGGAATCCGGCGTCACGGTCCGAATACTCGTCTCTCTGAAGCTATCGGGGTAGACCATGCCATGACGGTCCTTAGAGGACGACTTCTTGCTGGCACGTCGTTCAACGGGGCGACTGTAGATGCTGTGGTGGGCAGAGTTCCGCTTGAACCCGTTCGAACTTGAACCTTCCGAGTCCATTTTGCCAGCAACGCACAATGGAAAACGACGGCAGCGGGCACACTCCAAACGAGGTCGCTACGAAACGTACAATACGCAAACGACGACCAGCACACACCCGCATATACACATACACACGCACACACACACACAAGAGGCAGAGAAAGGGAGGAAAGTTTCTTTGCTCTCCAGAGTATTACCTTGCAGCACGCTGAAACCCAACTAGAGCTGCGCAACCGTCCTCAAACAATTGAGGGCCTTTTTCGTCCAATAAATCGCTAAATGAACGCATGGAGTCCGACCGGGAGATTCTGAGTAGCGTCGCACATTCGGTTCGAGACTGACGAGTTGAGATGCGGGCGTTGGGCGATCGAGCGACGAAAGGGTAAGGTCCGGCGCGATTCACAAAATGTCAGTTTTTCAGGGGAGAGGGGGGTATGCGCGGGTGGCAGAGGGCAAAGCGGATCGAAATGAGAGTTGGAAGAAGAAAGGCTTTTTGGAATAAGAAGTGTAGGTAGTGGCCAGAGCCTTCAATCAGGACCAGATTATCATCAGGAAGTCAGTGCTGAAAGAAGCATAATTGGGGAGAGGAGGGGGGGGGCTCGGGGGGGGTATGTTAGCCCGGGAGATGAAGAAGAGTACCTACTACCTAGTAGTTAGTAGCAGCAGTAGCCGTAGCCGTCGTCGTAGTAGTAGTAGTAGTAGTAGTAGTAGTAGTAATTACTAAGTGGTGGTGGGAAAGGGAAAGTCTGGAGAAACGGTCCGTTGGTACGACAAAAAGCCATACCGTGATATCATTGGGTATGTGTGTGTGTGTGTGAGAGAGAGAGAGAGAGAGAACCTAGAGTTTTACAGAGTCCTTGTAGAAGATGATAGGATCTGCTGTGGTTCTACTCCTTGTGAGTATCAACTATCTAGTATATAGCTACCTAGTCGTTATACTATAATCGAATTGGAAAAAAGCAACAACTAATGGAGACTTGACACCCTGACTGTATCTACGCAGTACTACCTACCTACAACGGTTGTAGATCCTCTGTGCCCAGGTGCTTAGGTCAGGTAAGGTAAATACCCAGTTGATACCTTTGAGGTACCTACCTTATGAACTCTATGGTTGCTGAGATCTGGACCTGGACGACCAACAGTATTGATAATTGTGGCTGTAATCCAAGTAGCTACGATACTCAAATAAAATGCTGATCATTCCAAATTCTGGGTTACTATCTCTGACTTTTGAAACACCTTCATGGTGTATATGGAATTGTAAGGAGTAAATAGTCGTATCCGACTTCTAGGCCGGATGAAGTTCGGATAGTCCGGTAAAATTCGGTTAGGTATTATTCTTCGAGCAACGAGATACGGAAGGAATACCTCGTTACCTACCTACCACATATTGAGGCTCCTCAAGTAGTGTTAGGTGGTACAACGGTTCCGATCCATGAAGTAATAAGTCTGATCATATAGATTCCTCTTCCTTTAGCACGTAAAGAAGGCTTTTCATCGGAGTTAATCCTGGGCTGAGAAGCCCTGTATTCAGGTCTGATCAGTAGAGCACTTGGAGAGAGAAGTGCTCAAAAAGTTGAATCGTCACGATCTAGATCTGTCTCATTGCCTGCTTTTGAGCTCTAAAACCGGAGAATTTCCCGATCTATGTATGTATCTGGGGGATGCTTGGTCTATCTACATAGAAAATTAGTTCATCGACAACTATTGAACCTACTGACGACAAAGCTGAGACGGCAATAGTATCATCGCTACATTAATGGGACCGAATCCGGTGATTGTATCCCCATCTCAGCTCTCACCCGAGTCAGAGGTCTCGGTCTAGCCGTTTGACCGCCGGATATATTTCTTTGTTCTCACTCTAGTCCGATCTTCGAAACCTCAAGAGTCATCTGCTATCAATGTCATATGTGTCTCTGACAAGGGTATCCAGATTTTGTCATCGAAGCCTTACGAGTCAGAGACCATCCGCTGTAGTTCGGGATTTGCTCTAGACTAATGTATTCGTCAACTAACAGTATCCATTGAACGCACATCCCAGCCTGAAGCTCTGATGAGTGACGATGATGGCTCTGTGTCGGTCCACGCTTGCTTGCTGACGAACCTCATTGTTGACGAAAAGATCAAAAAGATAAGAATTCAGACCAGTGTGTGCCGTGTAGCCTCTGGGATGACCATAATTCGACTGACCCTGGGAATCAGGGCACTGAGTCTGAACGCACCGAGGTATCTTGTACGTAGTACTGCACCCCACATAAACCAGATCATCTAGAAGGAAACCAGCGCTTCTTCCATGACCAATCAGCAACCAATCGACTATTGAACGAATGGGTCTTCCATGCTGTCCTGAAGTCCTGACTCGTGTCGTCAGAGAGTCGGGATTCGGAAGATCAGTTGTTGAGCGGCCAAGAGAATATCACGTGTAGCTGATATAACTCTGATAGTCAGCTGATCTAGCGCCTCAGGCACTCAATGCTGCTAGCATGTGGAGTGGAGCACTTGGTCTCCTTACCGCCTGCATCATAGGTAGCTTATCGTGAAGGGAGACTGGGTCATCAGATATGCAATGGTCAAACGACCACCATCGAGATACTCTTCCAAGACCACTTAGCTCTTCGTTCAAGTTAAAGATCTGATCTCTCATATATAGACTCAGCTCTGATATCTCCGATCTTGCCTTGTATCTGATCTCCATATTGCTGTTCTTCGTATCAGATTTCTCCCATTTGTGTATCACAACACACCTCGGATTGTGCGTGTCGAATGGCCTGTAACTGATTTGAGAGAATCTGTCTTGCGAGCCGCTGCGATGTGCTGAAATTTCTCTGTTACAGTCTCTCCTTGTCCCATATGCGGTTCGACGACTAGATACGTAAAATCAAGATGATGACATCAAACATCTTGTCCCGCTTCCTTCCCCCAAACAACTCGCCATCCGTTTACGAGGCGATCCGACAAAACGACGCCGATTCAGATTCTTCGGACGTGGAAGAGCGCGCGGGGCTCACTTTGGAGGATGGGCACGGAGGGCATTATACCGATCATGAACTCCAGGATGCCATGGTCGACGCCGATCAAAGCGAGCTTCCCAGCCCCGACGATGCGTTCCTGGCGAGGGAGAGTCACCACAGAGTCCCTTCAGAGGGTCCCTCCAAATCAACTTCCCGTCGACGCAAGAACAGCCGTCCACGGTGGATGCAAGCCGCTTCGCCTGGTCAAGACTTTGAGTATGGCGATGATGACGATGTTCCCGCTTCTCTGCTCGTCGAAGGACATCATGACGATGAGGATCTGAAATCGCGCCTGCCCCCGCCACCGCGTCCCCTTTCACCCCACGAAATACAACCTTCTCTTCCTGGGCCCTCATCGCAAGGTGATCAAGCTCGCTGGAGAGCCGCTAGAGACCAACAACCGCTGCACAATGCCAGCCGGAGGCGTCCTCCCGGGGTTAAGTGGTCGCTTGGACAACCCAATCTGAATACGGTCGATCCGAAAGAGAAGGCGATGTGGATGTGGGCAAACGTTGACAATCTGGATAACTTTCTGAAGGAGGTCTACTCATATTTTCTTGGGAATGGAATCTGGTCGATCCTGCTAACCCGGGTTCTGAGCCTCTTGTATGTCTTATGATTCTGCTTCCGTACGCATTACTGACACCATTACCAGAACCTTCGCGTTTGTTGTGGGATTCAGCACCTTTCTCACAAACTGCGTCAACTACCACAAAGTTCGCGGCAGCAAGACATTAGACGACATCCTGGTAGACAGGTGTACCACGAAAATGTCTCTATCATCGACCTTTCTGCTTTGGTTACTCACATTTTTCTGGATTGGAAAGGCGTTTCAGTGTTTATTGGGAATCCGAAGGCTCAAACACATGCATGATTTCTACCACTATCTTCTTGGAGTCTCCGATACCGATATCCAGACCATTTCGTGGCAAGAGGTTGTTAGCCGGTTGATGACACTCAGGGATGCCAATCCTGCAACGGCCGGTGCGGTCTCTGCGAGACACCGTAAATTCATGGGCAGTCAATCCAAGCAGCGAATGGATGCCCACGATATTGCCAATCGCTTGATGCGCAAGGAGAATTATCTCATTGCGCTGGTGAACAAGGACATACTTGACCTGACGCTGCCCATTCCTTTCCTTCGGAACCGGCCGTTATTCTCGCAGACACTGGAGTGGAACCTCAATCTCTGCATTATGGATTATGTTTTCAATGAACAAGGCCAGGTTCGAACTCTGTTCCTGAAGGATACCCATCGAAAGGCGCTGAGCGAGGGCCTACGACGGCGATTCATTTTTGCCGGGTTTATGAATATCTTCGTAGCCCCGTTTATTGTGGTCTATTTCATGATGCATTATTTCTTTCGCTACTTTAATGAATACAAGAAGAATCCCTCCCAGATCGGATCGCGCCAGTACACCCCGCTGGCCGAATGGAAGTTTCGCGAGTTCAACGAACTTTGGCATCTATTCGAACGACGCATCAACATGTCCTACCCGTTTGCGAGCCGCTACGTGGACCAATTCCCCAAGGACAAGACTGTGCAGGTCGCGGGGTTTGTGGCGTTCGTCTCGGGGGCTTTGGCCTCAGTACTCGCTCTGGCATCGGTTGTGGATCCGGAGCTCTTTTTGGGGTTCGAAATCACCCATGATCGGACTGTTCTGTTCTATCTGGGCGTGTTCGGATCCGTCTGGGCTGTCGCTCGGGGCATGGTTCCGGAAGAGACCAATGTCTTCGATCCGGAGTATGCCTTGCTTGAGGTGATCAACTACACCCACTATTTCCCGAGCCAGTGGAAAGGGCGGCTGCATAGCGATGAGGTGCGAAGGGAATTTGCCGAGTTGTACCAGATGAAAATCGTGATCTTCCTGGAGGAGATCCTGAGCATGATCTTCACGCCGTTCATCCTGTGGTTCAGTTTGCCCAGGTGCAGCGATCGGCTGATCGACTTCTTCCGGGAGTTCACTGTGCATGTGGACGGCATGGGGTATCTCTGCTCGTTTGCGGTCTTCGATTTCAAGAAGGGGACGAATGTGATCACTCAGGGGGATCGACGAGAACCCGCCCGGCAGGATCTCCGAGCGGACTACTTCGCTACCAAGGATGGTAAGATGCTGGCTTCCTACTACGGGTTCCTTGACAACTACGGCGCCAACCCCCGCGGCGCCCATCCTTCGACCAAACGACAGTTCCACCCACCCCCGGCCTTCCCTACGCTGGGATCGCCCTCGGCGATGGACCTGGGCCACCTCGGCGACCGGGCCGACCCACCGCAGGCTCGCCCCTTCGCGGGTCAGCAATCGACCTTTGGCCCTTCGCGCTTCGGTCCGACCGGGCTAGCCGATCACGGATCTCCTGCGCCGTCCATGCTCCTGGATCCGCATCATCAGCCGTCCGCTTCCGGGTTTCGAACCGCGCATCGCACCGCCTTCTCCCGATACCGATCATCGCGAGCGGCCCCTCCCATCTCCGGGGCCATTCTGGATGACGACGAGTCGCCTAGCGCGCCGAACCGGAACGGTTCTGCGCGATCGGCTGCCGGTGCTCCTGCTCCTCCTGGTGGATCCAGCGGGGGCGGGGTCGGCGCCAGCGACAGCAACTTGGAAGATTCGTGGCGGATGAACCTCACGGGCGACACGGACGATGAGGACGCAGGCGCGGGAGGGGAGAACGCCGATGCCATCGCGGGGGGAGCGGGGGTGTTGGGGTTGATCCAGCAATTCCAGCGGGTGAATCAGGATGGACGAGGGCGCACCGCGGTTGGATTATAGGCGTGTTATTTTTTTTTTTTTCTGGCTGCAATTGAATTGGAATATTGCATGTTATAGACTTAAGGTATTGATTGGTGTACTGGAATCTGGAAAATACTTCCTGTGCTGGAGATGAATATAGTAATCCTTCAGAAGACCCAATGCTCCTAGTAGTTAGTAGTTACTAGTACTAGTCTACTACAAGTTCTACAACTAGGTAATAATAAGGATCCATCATGAATGGAGATTACCCCTGGATATAAATAGTGCTGGGCGAATCATGAGTCGGCAGTGGTTTGCAGGACCCATCAATCCATCAATATCATTATCAGCTCATCAAACCGACCCAGCAGTGCGTCTTACGATTCCTGTCTAGTCGAAGTCCTCCGGAGTAGTTACTGGTTACTAGTTACCCCTGTAAGGAAAGACATGAAGAAGTCTAGTAGTAGACTAGTAGTGGATAACGAGTAGTAAGGAATAATAATATGATTTGTGTGACTTTCCCAAGCCAAGTATCCCCAAGAAGTCTGGACTCTGATCTCTGGGTTGATCACGGAGATCGAGACTCTTCCCATGGGACAAGTAGACAGATAGATGTACACAGTAGGAGGTTTGGATGAGACTGCCCTGATACTATCTACTACTCTGCTGGTGTTGGCGGGTTCTTGACGTTTGGTTTCGCTTCCTTTCCAGTTTCCACTCCTTGCGTCCACCGATGAAAAAAACCGGGAGTCGAGATAGTTAGATGATGTACGGAGTAGCGTTAGTAGTGGTGGTGGTAGTGGTCTAGGGACTAATCGACCGTCCTAGTCTACGGTGTGAGACAACTTCCTCTCTGGAACTAGAAGAAGTCCAGTGGGAGTATCGGTGGTCCTTCATCTTCATCTTCATCTTCATCTTCATCTTCGTCTCGCTGTAGGATGATATGAGTGAGCTGACCCTCACAGCTCATTTCTTCTTCTTCTTCTTCTTCTCTTGACTTGAGTCTCCTGAAAAAATAGAAATAAAAAAAGGGTCTCGTGATCATTCTAATAATTCTTCTTGTCATTCGTTTTTTTTTTTTTTTTTTTTTTTTTTGACTCCCAAATCCAGTCCCTCGTTTGACCACCTCGTTTATTTTCCCTTCTCTTTCAGATCCGTCGCCTATCATGTTTCGAGCCCGTCGCTATCGGGTCTCGCTGGTCTTTGCCGTCATCTTCGTTCTCATCTTCATTCATTTCTTTCGATCCCACGATGCTCCCGCCAGTACGGTGAGCGTTCCCGCGTCAGGCGATCTACCTAAAACATACCCCCAGCATCCTCCTCCTCCTCCTCCGCCGCCGCCGCCGGCCGCCCCTGAATCTCCGCCTGCTGCTGCTCCCAACGCCAAATCCGACTCACCATCCTCGCAAGAACCAGAAACGCCCGCCGTCCCTGATACCAAGGCTTTCCCAGATGCCGCATCCAGCAGCAATGGCCAGGAACCGTCGCAAGATGGCTCCTCCGCGAGCCAGGCCGCGATCTCCTCGACCGACAACAAACAGGCGACAGGAGACTCGCAAGGAACGGCGGCCAAGTCCGAACTGAGTTACCACGGCCGAGCACGAATGAAGGTGGACCTCCCCGAGACAAATCAGCCGACACCCCGCTGGAAGCAGACGCCAGAGCGGTTCCCTGTTGCGCCGGAGCACCTGATCAAGTTGCCGACCGGGCAGTCCAAGCCACTGCCCAGGGTGCAGGCGGCCTTCAAGGACGAGACGGCGTCGGATAAGATCCAGCGCATGAAGCGGCTGTCCAGCATCAGGGCGGCCTTCGAACATGCCTGGAACGGCTACAAGGCTTCCGCGATGGGCCACGACGAGCTGAAGCCCCTGCGCGGCGGGTTCCGGGACCCCTTCATGGGCTGGGCCGCGACCCTGGTGGATTCCTTGGATACCCTCTGGATCATGGATCTCAAGGAGGAGTTCGCCATTGCTGTGGACCACGTCAAGAAGATCGATTTTACCACGAGCAAGAGAGAGGAGCTGCCTGTGTTCGAGACCGTCATCCGCTATTTGGGTGGGCTGCTGGGCGCCTACGACATCTCCGGGCACAAGTACGATGTGCTTCTTGACAAGGCTGTGGAGTTGGCCGAGGTTGTCATGGGTGCGTTCGATACGCCCAATCGCATGCCGACCATGTTCTACAAATGGACCCCGTAAGTCTGGGCTCGTTCTATGGGTCGGAGGCTGTGGCTAATGTGCGGCATGACAGAGAGTATACGGCTGAACCCCATCTAGCCGATGTCGACACCACCCTGGCAGAGATCGGTTCGCTCTCCGTTGAATTCACCCGGCTGGCGCAGTTGACAAAGCAAGACAAGTACTACGATGCCATTGCACGGATCACAAACGAGCTGGAGAAACTGCAGGGCCGAACCAGGATTCCCGGTCTGTGGCCTCTGAAGATTGATGCGTCGGGATGCAGGGTTTCTACGCCGCAGCTCAATCATGAACTTCCCCGGGATGATCCATCTCACACCTCGTCCTCCCCTTCATCATCCGCATCTTTGTCGACCTCCACACCATCCTCGCTTTCGCCCTCATCTTCCTCCGCGTTGCCATCGCCGTCGTCTTCTGTGCCCTCGTCTGTACCCACGCCTGCTGCAGCTCAAAAAGCGCGGCCGTTGCCCACTGATGCGAAGAGCTATACGAATTTCCTCCAGCGACGCAATGCTGGAAACCAACATGTTGATGCCCAGCCGGCCACTTATGATACTATCGACAAGAGCTCCGACGCAAGCGCCAGTCCTGCGATCTATGAGACATTCGCCGATATGGACTGCACAAGCGGCCTCAATACCCCCCTTTCTCCCAAGCACAAGTTCGGACTCGGCAGTCGTGGTGATTCCACATACGAATACCTGCCTAAAGAGTACATGATCCTGGGTGGGCTCAACGAGCAATATCCCGCGATGTACAAGAAAGCCATGGAGTCGGCGCGCGAGCATCTTCTCTTCCGACCCATGGTCAAGGACGATCACGATATCCGATTCCTGAGCACCATGACCCTGACGCACCCTCTGGCGGACCAGGTTCCCGATAGCGTTTCCGTGGCGTACGAAGCGACTCACCTGAGCTGCTTCGCGGGCGGAATGTTCGCCCTCGGAGCCAAAGTGTTCGGGCTCGAGCAGGATCTGGAAGTCGCCGCTCAATTGACAAACGGTTGTATCTGGGCCTACGGAGCCACCAAAACAGGCATCATGCCAGACAACTCTCTCCTCGTCCCTTGCCCCAAGGGCGAGCCGTGTGCCTGGAACGAAACAGTGTATTGGAACGCACTGGACCCCAACGAGGAGAAGCGGATTGCAGCAGCGAAGAATGCCAAAGAGGAGAAGAAGGACAAACGGTCAACCACCCCAATCCACCGGCGCGGCTCGGTTGGCAGGTGGCGCGTGATCGCAGATTCAGAGACCACGGATGATCTCATCAACCCCGATGAGCAGGAGGTGAAGAAGGACCCGGAAGCTGAAAAGGCTCCCCACGATCAATATGTCACGTCGCGGATCCTCAGCGAGCGTCTGCCTCCGGGAGTGACGCTCATTGTGAACCGGGCGTACCTCCTGCGCCCGGAGGCCATTGAGTCCGTGTTCTACATGTTCCGCATCACGGGCGATGACTACTGGCGCGAGAAGGGCTGGGAGATGTTCCAGGCTATTTCCAAGTATACGCGCACTGAGCTCGCCCACTCTGCCATCCACGATGTCACGCTTGAGACCTCCAAGATGCGTGACACCATGGAGTCCTTCTGGCTGGCGGAGACGCTGAAGTACTTCTACCTGCTTTTCAGCGATCCCAAGGTAGTGAGTCTGGACGAATACGTTCTGTGAGTACCCAGTCCGAAAACCTGCTGGGGAAGAAATCAAACTGACTTGTCTTCGCAGAAACACAGAAGCTCACCCATTGAGACGTCCGAAGTATTAATTTCCTTTCCCCCTTTCGATGGACATATATCATATATTTTCCCCCCTTCATGTGAATCTATTTTTATTCCCCCTCCCTTCTTGATGTACAAGTACTGATACCATATCCAAGTACATGATTACTCTGTTTCAGGTGGCTTGTCGCGCCCCCTTTTCTTTCTCTTCCTTTGTCTTCACTTGTTTCCATTTTACTGCTATAAGTAATGATTGACTTAATGTGTACATATACGGGAAGACAGGCAATGAAGGAGAATAACGACCCTTAGTGAGACTGAAGACTGTCGTCCAAGGGTCTTTGCAGGGAATGAATTGACTCGACATTCGGTCCTTTCGTAGAGTAAACGAGAATTAGAGATAGTTAGATACAATAGACAATCCCTACTACCTTCTTCATAGTTCCTCAGACATTTAAAGTGAGAGCCCCGTGGAAGCCATACGCTCATCGAAATGACCTAAACATCGTCAATAATCCTCATTCAGAGCGGTGGATCACCGCACCTCTCACTAAGGAACAACTTCCCCCGCCGCCCGCCCAGTTCGGTTTGCCTTGGCCACGTTCATCGTCATCACCCCCTAAATCCAATTACTTGCCACAAGATCACAATCAAATTAATTCCCTTTCAACCCATTCCAGCCTCCTCACGGAGCAAAACCGCCCTCCCCCCTCCCTCCTCCTCCTCTTCCTCCCTCCCACACAGAGGCTCACGGGCACGGAGACGGAGACGGGATGAGTGCAGAGACAAGACTAGTCCGACGACGACGACGATCGAGCTGTGGGAAATGGAGCTTGAGGTCTCCCTGGAGAACGAACAGCAGTTCTGGGATGGTGCGTTTTCTTTTTATGGTTATACAGGGTGTTCGGCTGGGGTTGTGGCACTCTGTTGTCTTGTCCACATAGCTAATATCATTTGATGTCGTGTCTGGCAGAAGTCCATGAGATTGTGTCTACGCCCTGCGACTCCGAGGATCTCATTGATAATGCGCTCCGGTCATATCTGAGCTTGGCGACCAAGTACAAAGGTCGGTTTTCTTTACTACGACCGCTGGCAATGTGCACCGGGAGAGAAAATTAGCATCCGCTGACTCGACCCCCGAAACTCCCAGATGAATACCTCACCTCGCCCTTCGAGGTGTCGCGCTGCTCGTACAACCTACTTTCCTCGCGGATCTTCGCCTCGCACAGGGACTATGTGCGGAGGCAGATGATCTATGGCTTGCTACAGGTATGCGGGGGGGGGGATGGGCTGTTCTTTTTTTTTTTTTCTTCCCCCTTGCGGCGGAGGGGGGAACGGCTGGCGTTTTGCGCTTGGGACTGGATGTGTGCTGATGAGATTGGTTAGGAGGATGAACCGGACACGCTGCATCTGATTGTCTCATTCCTGCTCTTCGATGGCCGCGAGCATGAGGAGGTCTTCCGGATGATGAATGGGGAGGGTCTGTTCCCGCGCTTGCTGGAGCTTTTGCGGACGTGCGCGATTGCGGACGGGGAGGGCCAGGCTGCGCTGCATCGCATGCTGATGGATCTACTGTATGAGATGGCGCGGATTCAGAGGATCAAGATTGAGGATCTGGGTGAGTTAGTTCGGGGTTGGAAGGTGCAGCGTGGTGAGATATTGGGTTTGCCGTGGCATGGAGGCTAATGCATGGTGGTAGTTCTCGTGGACGATGACTTTATCAAAGGTCTTTTTGGGATCATCGAGGATCTCTCCTATGATGCGAGTGATCCGTACCATTATCCTGTGATCCGTGTGTTGGTGAGTTGTCCGACCTACGGTCAACAATACTCGGAGGGGTTGCTGATCGGTTCATCTGCAGCTGGTCCTCAATGAACAGTATATGATCTCGGCGCACAGCCCTGTCGACGAGGGACCGTCCTCGGGTCCGCTGACGAACAAGGTTATCAAGATCTTGGCCATGCATGGCAATCTCTACAAAACATTCGGGGAGAACATCATTCTCCTCATTAACAGAGAAGGTAACTTGCTCTCGGCCTTCGTCTCCTATCTACGATCCTCATTCTAATCTCGTTGGACGCAGCGGAAACATCGCTTCAGCTTCTCACTCTCAAACTTCTCTACCTTATCTTCACAACCCCCAGCACTTATGAGTATTTCTATACCAACGATCTTCATGTCCTGGTTGACATTCTGATTCGAAACCTTCTCGACTTGCCCGAAGAGGCATCCGCCCTCCGACACACATATCTCCGTGTTCTCTACCCATTGCTTGCTCACACGCAGTTGAAAACCCCCCCGCACTACAAGCGCGATGAACTCAAGAGGATGCTTAGCCTCCTTGTCCGAGGTCAGCTCTCAATGACTGGCAGTGACGCCGAAAGAATACTGCATTTTGAAGAAGTCGACGAGACCACAAGGAGACTGGTCTTCCGGTGCGCAACAGTCGACTGGCTTCGAGATCCGGAACCCGCCGAATCTCGAAAGGAGAGCGTTGCCTCGTTCGACTCCACGACAGATGCTGTCCAGACGGATGCAGAGACTGTTGACTCCGAAAGCACCGTTGGCAGTTCGCCCGAGGCCCTCTCGCCCACAAAAGACGACGGAGCGGACTCTCCCAAACCCGACCCAGACAGACCAAGTGCAATACGGCGACTCGGAATGCAGCTGGAACCGGCCTCCTGCTCTTCCCTCAGCGTGCAGGAAGTCGCAGCCCAGCACGAGAAGCCTGGCATTATCACCCCCAGCCGCGCCAACATCCAGCCCGCGGGAGACCACCCCCTACGACCATCCAAATCAGACTCCCATAGAACAAACAACAAACCCAAAATCAAACCGGTGCCGCCTAAATCAAGACGCTGGCGCGGAAGACGCATCGCCGATGAGGAAGACCATACCGACACCATCCCCGAGAACGCGGCAACAGCCGCATCAAGCCCGGTCATAACCCCCGCTACCAGCAGCCCTCCCGACCGCCGAAACTCCACCTCGACGTCCGGCCTCGCGCCCCCGAATCCCACGCACTGGCAACGCTCCGCCTCGAACCCGCCGCCCGCAGTCCCGCCACCCAGGCGGTCGACCCATCCGGCCGTCCAGGCGCATGCGCTGTCGGGGAGTTGTACCCCGCTCAACAACAGTCCTTTAGCGGTCCCGGTGTCTTTCAGCAGCAAGCATGGTCAGAAGCCGGAGCCGCCGAAGACACGCCGCTGGGCGCGGTCGAAGCACGCGCATGGCGACTCGGCGGATAGATCGGGGAAGGAAGGCTCGTTGCACGACGAGACCGAGACTGTGCCCGAGTCGGCGGAATCGAATGATCCAACCGCGATGGTCAGCGTGGAAGAGGCGGTGCAGAATGTCTCGTTGCGACATGAGGGATGAAGAGTATAATAGCATACCGGGGCGCCTGTTTCGGTTTTGCTGCATTGCCCAATCGCGAGATACCTTGTATGTTCTCGGACAGGGCGCTAATCATATTGCATATCAGGAATAATACTAAGCCATAGCTTTCACTTTACAATGAGTCCAACATCCAAAGCAATCCATCCATCATCATGATTCATTTCATTACGCTAGATCCTCTAACCAGCTAGTATGTACGGAAAATGTACACGAATTGGACCGTTGAAGAACAGCCCCAGGACCAGGAGCAGGACGAGGGCGAAAGCTACCTACTCCTGAATGCCCCAGAACTTCTCCGCATCAAACGTCCCCTCCCCATCCGTCTTCCACAAATCATCAAACGCACTGAACAGCACCAAATCCGGCTCCCCCGCAAACACCCTCCTCAGACTCTCCACCGCCACCCGTTGGTTCTCCTTGGACGGCACCGCGCGCCCATTCGCGCGCCCCGCATGCGGCCACCCCGACTCCGCAATCACCGTCCGCTTGCCGCCGGCCGCCTCCGACACCCGCCGCGCCTGCTCCATCGCATACTCGCCCGCGCGCTCGGGCGTCATCCCCTCATCAAAGAACGCATGGCAGTTCGCAGCGCAGTAGTCCGACGCCGCACAGAGCTCCGGGTGCCGCTGCAGCGCCGCGAACGTGTCGACGGTCACCACGGGCCCCTGGTAGCCGGCGGCGCGGAGGGCGGCGCGCGCGGTGTGCAGCGCGGCGACGACGTCGGCGGGCGTGCTGGCGCCGCGGTTCACCAGCTCGTTGCCGATGGAGATGGTGTGGAAGGGGGCCCAGTCGCCTGCGGCGGCGGCGGTGATGGCGTCGAGGGAGGCGGGGAGGTTGGGGAGGTCGAAGACGCCGGCGAAGACGCGCATGCCGTGCGTTTTGGCGGCTTGCGTGACGAGGCGCGTTTGGTCGCAGTCGACGCCGTAGATGCGGATGAAGGCGTGGTGGGTGAGGCGGGCGACGTCGGCGTCGATCTGGGCCGGGGTTTTGCACGTGCTGTCGCTGTTGTAGGGGGAGTAGGAGATGCCGAAGCGACGGGGCGGGGGCCCAGCGGGGGCAGGGGGACCAGGCTCAGGTGTTAGGTCGGGAACTTGGATGGGGAGGTGGGAGAGGAGGTCGTTGGCGGCTGGGAGGGGGAGGGGGAGGGAGAGATCAGTGGGTTCCTGGTCATCGTTAACATCGACATCGACACATTGACATTGACATTGACCGCTTATGCCCGTTTGCAATGCCGCTCGAGCTATATAGCGATTGCTTCCCGGGGCCATTCAACACCTACCTGCGCAGCATTAGGCGTCTGGTGTTTATCGTCCTCGACATGGACGATCTGGCCGGCTTTATCGACCCAGACGATGACGGGGTCGAGCGGATTGCCGTCCCGCTGAACATGGCGACGGTGGCCTGCTTATCCAGCACCAGCCTTGAATCAGCACTTTTGCCTCTATACTCTGCAGCTTCTCTCTCGAGGGCATCCTTACCATGCGGATGTGCCGCTGCATGGAACACCAGTCGCAACGTCAGCAGACCGATCAGGAGCTTCGCCTTCATCGCGGGTGATCCTGCAGGTCAGGTCAAAGTGACTGTCCAAAAAAAACCAAAAACCAAAAAATCAAATATCAAAAATCAAAAATCAAAAATCACAATGGAAAGATAAGCAGACAGATATCGACGAAAAGGAAAACACAGAGATGAAATTTGGAGCACCCAGACTGAGCGGTCCTAGAGGCACATACATTCACAGTACAGTAAACACTACACTAGAGCCCCAGCCCAGCCCTTGGGGAATTGAGCATGAGCATGAGCATGAGCATTCCCTCCCTCACCCTAAATTCCCAGAGACTAACTACTTACTATCTACTTCCCACTACTAGATCTCTGCAGCCCTAGCAGCAGTACCTACGAAGGGACTGAGCATCAATAACTTACTGTGTTCCATTGGAATGCCAGCCCCATGCCTCCCTGAACACCCTCATCATGAAAGAATGACAACAAAAGCATTTCAGACTTTGTAGAATCCAGGTGCGCCGGTAACCCAGGTCATTTGCGGCAGAATTTTGTTCGATCTCCTGAGAGGAATGTGATCGGACCCTTTTCGTTGTCTCGGCCAGTATTGTCAAGGAGACGATCCTCCTGGAGTCCTGAGGGAACCCCTTTCCTTCGAGGACCATTCTTTAGCTAATGAAAGAATCGAAATTCATGAGAATCATTATCTATATGCTATACAATTGTATCAGGGGATACAGTTCATGATTCTCGTCTCGTTCAGTCTGTTAAACCCAAGTAATACATACTACTTAAGAATCCTGAGCATCCGGAAAGTCACAATGAGAATTGCCTCGGAATTCTTGTGGGGCATCGATTCAAGACATAGTTGTTTTCGAGACTCCAAATCATGTAAAGAGCATCTGTCTGTTATTGATTTAATTAAGAATAGCACTTGGCCCCCATTGATTAAAGCAAGTAAGTCTAATAAGGCTAAGTAAGATATGAACACGCAGCAACATATGATTATAAACAGTGGAAAAGCAGTCTTTGAGACCTGAGCATGTTCAAGATGTTATTAACCCTGCGCATTCCGAAAAGTATTGGAGGGAAGAGAAACCTCATGTCCACAAAGTGTCCAGGAGAAAAGTGGTGGCCGATGGAGCGTCCATCATTATGGCATGTTGTACATGAAGCTGTAGAAATAAGAGTCACAAGCAAAGTATAGGGACGGCCAAGGTGTCATGGCGGCATAGGTGAAATAGGAAGCGAACGAGGTCATGACAGCATGAGTTTTATAGGTAGGTCCTCAAAGAGCCCAGCTGAAGCAAAAGAGATCCTTTACTTCCGTTTGCTCACAACTTTCGTGATGGCATGCCGGATGATCGTTCCAGCCTTCTCGATTTCCTTCTTTGTAAGACCGGTCGTGACACACACTTTGAGAGCTGGAGGGACGATTTGCTTCGGTTCAAAGTTGTCTTCCAGGGTCTTCAAACGACTGATCAGAACACCATTTGTGAGGCACTATATGAGTGGAGCGATCAGCAATGTCCAGATACTACAGCAAATTCAAAGCTTTTTCAAAAGATGAATTCATACCTCGTCAACCACATCCTGCAAAATGTACTGCTGGTCTTCAACAGAAAGTCTCTTCGCCGCCACCACCTCCGGTTTGAGCACAAGGATCATGACGGGGTTTTCGGGGGCGCTAGTGCAGTAAACCCAGTCACTGCGAGGGTCCAATTGAGCCCACATGGCTTTGGTATGCTCACGAAGTTGCGACACCATTTCAGGGCTACTCTGCAGAAGGTTGATGGAGGCACTAGCCGTCGTCGAGAGGAGGGCGGGCAGCGCGGCGGAGAACGTGTACGCGGCCGCAGAGATACGCTGATGATGCACAATCTCTTCCGAACCAGCACAAAAACCACCTCCGCCAACCAGTGGACCAGCCAGCGAGCCCACGATCATATCAACCTCTGCTGCATCGACGTTCTGGTGTTCCGTCACGCCACGGCCGGTTCTTCCGAGAACACCGAATGACCATGTTTCGTCGAGGATAAGTCGGAATTTGTACTTGAGTTTCAATTCAATCTACTTGTACGTTAGCCTTGCTATAAAGCCCCGAAAAAAGAACCGCCCAAGGGAGGAAACGTACGATCTTAGGAAGATCAACCATATCACCATACGACTCGAAGAGACCCTCGGTGATAATGAATCGTCTCGTAAGGGGCTTTCTCGCTTGCTCCTTGGTGATTTTCGCAAGGACTCTTTCCAAATCCTCCATGTCGTTGTGCTCATACCACCGGACCATGCTCCGTGAGATCTGCATACCCTTCCGGATAGCAAAATTGACACCCTTGTCGGCGACGATGATGTCTCCGCGTTTCGAGAACGCCGGGATTACACTAGAGATGGTCGAGAATGCCTGCGAGTAAATAATACAAGCCGCCGTGCCAAGATACGCAGAAACATCAGCCTCCGTCTTCATGTGGACATCCTGAGTACCGTAGAAACCACGGGGACCACACGGTCCGACACCGTAGTTGCGGAGTGTCTGGATTGCCTTCTCCTTGAGCGACTCGTTCGTGTTGAGGTTATAGAAGTTGAAAGAACCGAGGTTCGTCACCGTGCGGCCGCTGGACAATTTCGACTTGGGACCGATCGGACTGTGACAAGGTCAGACAATCAATCAGCACGATGTTGACAACCCGTCCAGCTGGAGAGGACCATCATACCCAACAATCACCGTGCGCTTATCAACCTCCATTTCCTCCAGGGGAGTAGGCTCTCCCACAAGGGGTTCTGGCGCCCATTCGTCCACGAGGTCGTCAATCTCATCCTCGGAGAGCTTCACGACGCCAGGTTTGGTCGAGTACTTCGGCGCCAGCAGGTAGCGAACGGCAAACAAGAAAAGAAACAATTCGACGGCGGATCGGATCGGATCATTCTGGTAGCTCGATTTCACGTAGCGCAAAAAAATCGCAGATCCGGGTAGACGATTAAACAACTCCGCGAGCTCATGGACGTACTCCGATAGGAGACGCTGGGTCTCCTGGATATCCATGGTGGGAAGGATTTGGACGCGACCTTCGGGGCGCAAGGGCCAAGAGAGAGGATTTTCAGAAGACGAGGTTTCAACAAATCATTCAATAATAGCAGCGAGACTTGCGTGATAACAATAATATCGACGGATGAGGGAGATCTAATACGAAGGTTTCAAGAGACAACTGGGAAAGACGAGCTCCTTGATGGGAGTAATCCGGAGTCTTGGGAAATTGCAGGAGAGGCCGCGCACGTGACCATTGTATGACCCCGAGGCAGCAGCGAAAATAACAGAGTGCATCACTGCGAGGTAATTTTCTAAGATACAAAGCATGGAATACATTTTCACGTTGAATGTCGTTTGGGGAGGTTTGAACAATCCCAGCTCAAGTTTAGTGTTGTTCTCTACATACACCAGCTATAGCAGCCCTACCAGAAACTGAGGAAGGAGTTGCCGTGCAAGACATGTTTCAAGGAACATGGACGGTGATTCAATGCTGCTTTGAGATGCACACACTTACGGTACAAAAGGGTCTTCATACACGTATAGAGGACAGAATTTATGTTGTATAATATCAAACCCATTGATTTTGGAAACAGTTGAAACAGGACACACAGACTCGAAAATAGAAAAAAAAAAAAAGGCAGCAAATTTATGCGGCTCAGCAGCAACTTCGAGGCGCCGGATTCTTTATACAGCTCGTGTTCATGATGCCATTTCTGCGAAACGGGAGAAGAAAGGCAAAAGAAAGTCAAGAAAGGAAAGGGAAAAAAGATTACAATGCAGTCTATTTAGCAGTGGCCGAGGCTGAAGACGAAATGACCGGCTCAAAACCAGGCGGAACATTGTTGCCAGTGTAGTACGCCTTGGTATCGTTGTTGTCCTTGTCGAGAGGCTGCATCAGGCCAGAGATGGGAATTGAGAAGTTGTTCGCCAGACCCATGGAACGGGCCACAAGTGGCACAATGAGCAGGATGAGGAATAGAATAAGCATCGCGAAGTAAAGAATGGCGAAGCGAATGACTCTTCTCTTCCGGAGCTTCGACTGCTTCAAGGAGTAGATAGGAGGACGAATTTGGCGACTGGAAGAAGAGTTAGAACATTAATCATCAAATCGAGACAAGATTCCCCTTACCTTGGTCGCAACCAGAAAAGCATAACCGAGTGGAACTTGTCGATAAATGGCACACACAAAGCAGGCAGCATGATGAACAAGAGAAGGTGACCGAGGACGAAGTCCGCGGAGAAGTAACCCAACTCTGTGATCTTGCAAAGGAACTCACGGCCGGGTTGAGAAAGCGTGTGCCAACCCATGCTGTACCATTTGCCCGTCCACCAAGCAATGTTAGATTGATCGTTTTTGAATTCACGGGTCAGAGCCAGTGCAATGATGAGCTTGTAGATGAAACGCTGAATGGCAGCGGCAGCGATCATGCCCATGAGCATTCTGGGCCAGGACCAGCCTTCGAGGAAGAACATGACTTCGAAGATAGCAAGCAGCACAATGACAGCGACAGCGTGAGCGATGGCGGCAAGGACAGCGCCAAACTTCTTGCAGCACATGCTGAAGATCGGTCCCATACAGCAGGCCATGCCGAAGAAAGCTCCGGCAACACCAGCATTGATGCCGATGGGCCCAAGGGCAACAATCGCGATACGGAGAATCGCATCTGACGCTTCCTCGTTCTTATCGGTCTTACCCGTCCGGGAGTTGATGTAAAGGTACGGAACCAGAGTCACACCAACCATGATCAAGGGTGCAACAATTTCACTGAAAAAGATGTTCGTGATACGGGCTCTGGGCACATCAGCGGATCCTTTTTCGGAAGGAACACCGAGAAGCTTGCGCTTGTAACCAGTGATCCGAGTACGGGACAACCGGCAGAATCCAATCCACGACGACGCATGGGAACGCGAGTTACCACGAGAAAGCCATCGGAGATAGTCACGATAGTCGATGAAAAAGTCATTCCAGGCAAATTGGTGAGGATTGAACAGGAATGGGGAAATGCAAAGAGCGAGCAATGACACCCAGAACCAGATGAGAGACGCAGTCCAAACGGTGGATGTCGCAAACAGAAGCATCAGAAGCAAGCGTGAACCAGCGTAGATCGAGGGACCAGCGAAACGCGAATACAAGACACCGAAAGGAATGCGAGCTGTGGCAAAGCCACGGCCGGTACCAATATAGCGCGCACCGCCGAAAGACAAGTTCTGATGGACAGCATTCGCATAGATCTGGCAGACAAACACCTCGAACATGAATGAGACCGAGCCGAAATGCTTCGCTAGACGCATGGCCATACGCCAAACGCCTCTCTCCGTCAATTCCTGGACAGCCAGGGGGACGAAGGAGATGAAGAAGACGATGAAAATTGAGATGATACATCTGTTGACCCAGTCCACAATCGGGAGAAGATTGGCACAATAGGTTGGTCGGAGAGGATCGGTCATGGGCAAGTCAGAGTTGAAACGGCACATAATGGTCTCATGCTTCAGGGCTCCCAGGTTGACCAGGACAATCATGAACATCTGCACCGACAACATGATGAACATGTTGTTGATATGGAAGCCAGGGTGAGCATAGTAGAATGACAAGAAGCGGTCAAGGGGAAGTTGAGTGCCGAGATAGTAGTACTCTCGAGACAACATCTGTTCACCCATACCAGTGCCGATCTTGGTTGTGAAGTTCAGAATGGAGCCAAAACCAAGATCACGACCTTTACCACACTGGTAGTACTCGCAGTGCTTGATGCGACCACCACGGATCATGGCATTCATACCGGCATAAATATCTTCGTTCAGATGCAGACCTTTCTGAGCCTTAGAGATACCACCACGAGTTGTCATGAAAACACCATTGAGGAAATCAGGATGGCCATAGTGGAGTTTGCCGCCGATCTGAGCAAGCGTACGAGCGAAGAGGGTACCGAATGTCTGTTCCTTTCCAGCTGCAACGTCACCGAGAACACCAATGTTCTCCGAGAAAATGTATTCACGAGCACCAAGAATGGCCACAGGGGTGTTATTGGTGGACGGGATGCCGGGCGTGTAAGGCGAGACATTGTCGGTGGTCAATTCTTCGAACTCCGCAAGAACACTACGGATCTTGAGACACTCCTCGAGATAGTTGTCCTGGTTGGCGTCGATCACCTGGATGTACTCGCCACGATAGAAGATGATCGAGTGATTCTGGTTGTCAGACTTTCCGTCTCCCAGAATTGGGTTTCCAGACAGCTGGATCCTGAACTTCGGCTTCCGCATACCATTCTCGAGTAGCTCGGAGTGTCCATCAATAAGCGCAGAGTACAGGCGGGGCTCGTCACCTTCGTTGACGGGGGGTTCCTCATCCAGATAGGCAATCTGAAGATCAGGATACGCCCGAAGGAGGAATTCGGTGTTCTCACGCTCCTCTTTGTTGAACTTGGCATAGCGTTGCATGGAGACGACAATCTTGAACTTGCGGCGGGCCATTCTCTCGAGCTCACGTTCGAGCTTCTCCGAGTTACCGCCAAACATCTGAACAACCTCTGGGTTCTCAACGCGGTACAGGAGCTTGATAGCCCGGCTGTAGTTCATGAAGCCGGAAACTGTGCGGTAAAGAGTCTGAGAGCGCAGGGAAGACCAGATACGAGTACGGAGAGTGTATTCCGGAGCGGCGGACTTGAAACCAATGCAGTAGAAGGGAAGATCATCGATCTTGCTCTTAGCGGCATCTTTTTCGGTCTTCTCATTTTCACCATTGAATTGAGAAGTCTCATCAGCCAGAATCTTGGTGTCCTTGACGAAGCAGTCCCACTCGTGAGGGTGAAGCTGCTTGAGGTATTCCAGCAGAGTCACGCGAGAGTAAGGCTCATCTTCACGAATAATCTCACGCAGAGAGAGGAGAATCTTCTCACTGTAGTGGGGAACCAGAACCGTAAATGTGGGCATGTTGTCAACGGGAAGGGGCTCGGGCATCGGTGTGGAAAGCGATTGGGCGAAGAAAGAGATACGACGCTCAGCTTCACTGCCAGGGGGAAAGAACTCGGTCTTGAACGATTGATCTTCCTGCGAGACAAAGAAAGTCGGCGCACGCAGGGTCCGCTTACCCTCTTGTTCAGATGGAACTTGGTGGTAGAGGAGTTTCTGGACGTGATCAATGGCCAGCAAGTGCTCGCGGTACATCGAGATGATAATAGCATTCCAAACTTGGGAGATCAGGACCTTAGGCTTGTACTTGATTTCCATGTCGGTAGTGGCAAGAACCTTGGAGTAGATACGCTTGGGCAACCGAGAGAAGATGTTTCTCCATGGGGACCAGATCGACACACCGAGATAAAAAGATCGCGCAACTGAAAAGACAGTGTTGCAGATAATGTACCAGAGGTAACTATCCAGGAAGAACAAAGTCAAGTCCATGACGAACATGAGACCGAGGAGGATTTGCGGTTGAGCGTGGCAAAGCACGTTAGGAATGTACTTGACACCAGCACACCAGTGGATCTGCATTGGTGAAAGAATCCGGATAGGGTCCTTGATAGACAGAGTCAGGAAGAAGTACGATTCCGCGAGTTTGGCACCGAAAACGCAAACCCAGAGACCGTAAGACATCCACATATCGTTTCCATGGAGGCGGGGAAAGCTTGCGGTGAACGTTTGGCTGGCCACGTACTGACGTCCATTCTTCTTCAGGTAACTGCCAAAGAGTCCACCAAGTGGCATGACAGAGAAAAAGAGGAATGTAGCCAAAGCGATAAAAAAGTGGATAATACCGACAATCAGAGGAATCGTCGCGCTGATGCCCATGCTCTTATTATAGGCGAAGACGAACACACCAGGACCCAGATTGATGATGAAGACGAGGAGCAGGAACATTAGCCGCTTGCTGAGATGCTGAGCACCTGCCCAGCGTCTAGGTACATACATCCATTCGCATATCGTGGCACAAATCTGGATGAAAGACACAAGGGCACCACCGAAACCAACAGCGGACCATTGTCTGTAACCGGGGGGCTTGTTGTTCATTTGTTGTTGGTAGTTGTCGGTGTAAAGTGTGGGGGCGTTGTAAGCAGTAAAGAACCAGAAAGCACCAAGGTGGATAACCCAGATACGGTTGAAATTGGTCATCAAGTGGAACCATGATCTCGTTTCCTTGTAAGTCTTGAAGAAAGCTTTCTTCCAGACAACATCCTTCAATTTCAACCACCTCTCGGCAGGCGGGATATCAACCAGGCGAGCCTTGTCCTCAAAAGCGATCCGCTCGATACCTTCGGGGTACCAGAACAGCTGGTTCATATCGTCATAACCAATGATTTGATGATGATCACGCTCCCGGCGGACGTATTTTCCATCGACAATCTCGTAGCCCTGATCACGACAGAACTGGTAGAGAGGCGTGATGATATCGTTCAGGTATGTACCTTCTTCCACAGGCTCTACTCGGTTTTGGCAATCAGGTGAGGCGTAGTAGTCATCGGCGCACTTGAAAATGAAGCAAAGACACTCGGGCAGGAATCGGACCTGGTTGGCTTCACCCCAGCATAACAGATAAAGGGCCAGTTGGCGAACTCTATCATGTTGAGACATCCGGTTCATCCGAGTTTTCCATCTGTACTCGGCAGCTTCGAGGCTGTTGTCCCCCTCGAGTGCCTCCAGTGTCTCCTCTACATTTTCGGGGTTTTGCTGCGCGGCTTTCTTAGCCGCCTTCCGCGCCTTCCTCGTCTTGCGATCTGCCTTGCCGAGCTTCATGTTGGCAAAGCCCACGGCGTCATCCAGATCCAGATGAGCAGCGAAATACCAACGTCTGTAGTTAGCATTGTCGCCTCCGATGTAATCCGCATGCAGCGACAAAAGGGCCTGGTTTGGCGTCATTCGGGAGGCGCGTGAGTCCAGCATCGTCATTAAATGATCGTACATGTTGCGCATGCTGTCCCGTTGGAAACCGAACTTGTTCACGAGGTCGAGGAAAATGTCCTCGATCTCCTCTTTGGAAACAGGGACTTGCCCATCAGATGACCAGGCGGGATATGGCTCCCGAGACCGTTGACCAGCGGGGAGTGCGTTGCTGTAATCCATGCCATACACAGGGGTCGACGCCCCAGAAGACCGGTTGGCACCATACGAGATCTGAGATGAAGGTGGACGGTATCCGTAGCCGCGTCCACCGTACTGGCTGTCGGTGTAGCTGTTGTAGCGTTCGTCGCCCCGGCCATAGTAATCCATGTCTGCCGCACGAGCGGTTTCAGATCTCATGGTGAAGTCGCTGAATGTCTCCGAGTCTTCTTCGGAATCACCTCTGCGTCTTCCCCTGGTTTCATAGCCCTCCTGGCCATTTCCTTGGTCATAATATTGGTCGCCATAGTAGTCGTCATGGTGTTGAGCGGCATCGTAGTATCCTCCATCATGCTGGTAATTGTTGTTATTATTGTGGTTGTTGTTGTTGTTGCTGTTGCCATGGTTGTTGCCGTCCGCGCCATACTGACCACTATAGTCAATCAGTCTCCATGTCTCCCACTCCCTGAATTGGGGTACACATACGATCGATCATAGTAACCATCACCGTACTCATGGTCGTAGTATGCCTGACCATGATCGTCCTGATAGTAGGAGTCGCCATGCTCCTGATGGCCATAGCCATCATTGTAATGGCCACCCCCTTGTTGATATCCCGACATGCTTAACGATGGAAATCTTCGAGCAACTGACAGGTCTATAGCGGACAGAGAAGGGTCATTTTTTTAGCTCCTGATTTTCTGTGCAAGGGGGGAATATGGGAAGATGCAATGGGCTCTTACATCAAGGAATTCCCATTAATGATTAGAAGTTAAGGACCAGGTGTACCAAGGTATCAGAGCATTGGTCGATAACAGCTCAGCCGTTTCTGAACGGGTTGAATCCGAGTCGCAGTAAACCAGACGCGTCGTGATGGTAGTCGAGCAGTCACCAGTTCCAGACTGTCCAGCCGCGTTGTTGGCGATGAGAGTAGTAGTCTTTCTATCCTTGAACCCAGGCGAAGAAATCGGATGACCGTTATTGCAAGAATCGTTGAGTGAGTGAACGTGGAAACCCGCGATGAAGGCAGGAAAAGTGAAGGTCAGAAGTGGAACAAATTGAAGAAGTCCCAGGTCGATTCGATAGTTTAAAAAGCGAAGCGACCAGTTGGTTGCAGGATCAAGCCTTGAGACTTAGGCTAGAGTTGCAACAGTCTAGGCAGCGCGAGAGACCTCCTCCCTCTTCTTTCCTCAAATGAAAGCACGAAAGAAGGAAGGGGGCACCTATTGAAGTTGAGCTGCCACAAAATAGAACCTCTGGCCTTTCCTTCCAGTGCCAATAAACAATATTAAAGAGCGAACAGGAATGCCGAAAAAAAAAAAATAGAAAAAAAAAAAACGAGAGAGGTCAGGAAAAGAAGGAAATCGACCAAGAGATGGACGGAGGTAGGGAGGGCAGACTTGAGTTGGACAGTAGTGAGGAAAAGGAAAAGGATTGACCAAAGTCAAGGAAAATGCTGGCACTAACTACGGGGACAATGGTTATTTTGGGATCTGGCTGTGTCAACTTACTGGCAACAGTCTAGCACCTGTATGGGATACCTCATTGGGGCCCATAATGTACACAATTGTATCAGTGTCTGGTACGTATGGAGTATGGTACCTCGCACCTAGTACCTAGGTACCTTTGAAAGGTACCACTCAGGTAATTTTGACGTAATTTTGGCAGAGTCCATTCCCCAACTGCCCCAGGTGTATACACTATACAGTAGTACCTAGTTACCTAGGTAGGTACTTGTGTATGGTTTCCAGTTTCAATACATTTCAATACATTGGTCATCCGGGCTGTCAGCTCGATTCTCTGTGGTTCAGCAGTACCTCCCTATCCCTTAATTTAGAGTCGATCTACTGCCTGCAAAGCTGTTCATTCACCACTCGATGTGCTATCAAACCCAAGAGCCATAGACCTTCTCAGATAAATTGATTGGTATTAGGGCTTCATTTCTTTCTTTCTTCCTATCTATAATTTCCGCTAAAACATAGTGAGTGTGCTGGATTGCTGGCTTTCCAGGTTTTCTAAGATCCCCAGCAGACCATTCAAGCATATTAAACAGGTTCAGATTTGATGTTTAGGCAAGCTAATGCGCGAGGTGGGCTCGCGGCAACAAATGACCAGCCATCTTGGGCTTCGGAACCCGTGGAAGCTGATAGCGCCGGGCGGCCCCTGAAACCAGACCCAGTCCACGCCCACGTCTCTGACTCTTGAGTCTTGGGACGCGACCACAATAATTGAGGACAAATTGTACGTAATTACAATAACCCCCCCGGTGGTATTTGTTTTACGGGGTTCCTCTCCTCCTCCAGGCAGTCCATCGAGGTAGTTACTGGTATGCAGGGAGGTATTCGGACCATTCCTCTTCTGGGCAGACAATGGATTTTTCTGATATATCCGGCCCCGCGCCAGCATGAATTTGAGTGGCAACCTCATGAATGCGTCGCTATGCGGTCGAGCTGCGGAACAGGGGGGAAAAGTTATATTTTGTTTATTATTGATGTCCACTTGGTGGTGAAGATGGTTAGAGTAGCCGCGTGGACTGAATGTTCAGCGTACCATGGTAGTTGCCTTGATGAGTGCACAGATCAGTCCACCAGTTGACCAACAGCCAGTGGTTTTCGTGAATTCATCACCCAAGTACGAGTTTCTCTGCTTGAAACCGATGTCTTCTTAAAAAATATCTGCAAGCAGATCATGAAAGACTAAGCAGCGTAATCTCAAAACTTGTACCAATTGTAGCAATGGAAAGCCCCATCGCAGCATCACTAGAACTACTGTGTAGAATATCCAAGTCGCTCAACAGTTTTAAACTTCAGAATGTGTTCAAACTTTGATCTCCCATTGATGGGCCCATCAATGGATCGAACTCGACGCAAGATGCAAGCAAACTTATCTCGCGGCAAACTTACGTACTCTGTGCATCCCCTGATTATGCGTGAGTCAGCTTCCTCTGGATAAGAGTATGTTTGCGGTGGCTGCGGATCGAAGATCCATTTGCCACTTCACAGAGAACTAGTTAGTTAGACTACACATTTGACTTTTGAAAAGTGAAACAGCATGATGGAGCCTAGGCCCTAGAGAGATGCGCTGGTCGTTCCATCTTTCTGCTTGAAAATCTATCTATGAGGCTATCCTTTTATGGAGTCTGGCGAAGAACTGCAGCAAATCAGCAAAGAATCCCCGGTTCTCGGACAGCAGAAGCAGAGCCTGTGCATACATCTTGTTGGTCAGCTGTTTTTGAGTGGTAGATTCGGATATGAAGATTTGCAGTCCAATCTGCTGATAATGATATGATTCCATCCAATCCCTTTATGACAGGTTGCCAGCAAAATCCTTGTTCATTATTTCTTGCTGGCAGTTCTGATAAAAGGGGTATCAAACTATCAATATGATAGTGATTTGAATATCCGATCCGATGCTACTATTAATCAATTATTCCTTTTCCCCAGTATAAATAGATAGATTGTCTGTCTGCTTGACAGGATGAACCATATCAGATTGGATTCGACCTAGTGGTGACTGATTAAGTACTTCGATTCCTTAGTGTTTCCCATGGCGCTTGAAAATTACCGATGCTATCTATGATGTAATGAGGTGCTCACATTGATAAACTTGCTTGTACAGAGTTTCCTGGAAATCTCTGGGATTATTCTCCAAGCAAAGGTTTGGTCCTCATATTCAATGTAAGTACAATGATAGAGTTTTGGAGCAAATTTTTTATAGAATCCTGTGAATTGTGTCGTGTTTTCTCTGCAAATTTGGGTCTTGAGAGTTGAGACCTGATACCCCGTATGGAGTACTGGGTTTCCAAAAATATCTCCAAATCTCAATAATGATCGGAAATTGACAATTCCACATCCATGGTACCGATCACCGAGCTTTATTTACCACTTACTGTGTACCATTCTCCCATCATCACATACACACAAGACTCCTTGAGTACTTCTTTTCTGTTGAGATTCTTCCATTCTCTTCGGATCGAAGCATTATCAACCAGGCTTGATGAGGCTGGGTCGGATGGATAAGGGATTCCAAAAGCCATGTCTTTTATGGTCTGACCGTTGCGCATACCAAGTGCATATTTTACCTTGGATACGGGTATTACCTTAGGTATGGACTATGGTTAGTGTTCCTAGGGTATGGTACTTATTTCAGGTACCTGCTTCTCTAGCCACATGTACATATGTACAGTAATTCTGTGGCGTAATAGCAATGGCTGCTGACTGACTGCTGAGTGCTGGCTCACTCTTGGGTTGTTTCAATATGCTTAACTAACTCCCCTTCCCCTTGCAGGCCAAAATGCATCTCTATCTGAAGACTCCCACGTGTCTGGTTCATAGCACACATTAAGAGTGAACCGACAAGCACTTTCAAGTAGATGAACACAACCTTGAAGTTCTCCCAATGAAGCCTTGGATTATTACGGTTATATAGAAAATTATGGAAGAAGATGCCCTGCACAGCAATTGTGCGCTAAGGAAATACCCACCTGCAGAGATACCAGAATAGTTACAGGAACCACCTTGCAACAACTAATAGGAACCTACGGAATAATAATACCATGCAGTATCCCACTACCTACTCCGTATACTTACTCAGTGATCAAGTACTTACGGAGTACTTTGCTTTACAATTTACATACACCGACTTGACTGGTGGGATCTAGTTTAATTAGCGAGTTTCATGGTTTCAATTATAAGCCAATCTTTGATGCTTGAAATAAAAGTGGCTGAGAAATATGGATCGCCAAGTGGAAATAGTGGGGCGGATGGTTATGCTCCGCAAGCCAATCATATCTGTGAAGCTGCTCATATCCATTGGTGGCAAGTTGAGATTGAGAAATCAGCTCTGACCTGGTTGCACTCACACAGACATGGAAGGTGAAAAAAAAAAAAAAAGGGGATGTCCAACATTTCAGGTTTCATTATTGTTGGATTCGGTGGTCCACACGCCAGCCACCACTCACCACATTATTGCATTCATTTCAAGTTTTCAACCCAGGCTTCAATTTTGAAGCTAACCTTCCTGCTGCTTAGAGTTTCTGGATGCACTATGATAGTACAGAGTATAATATATAGGTACAACCCGCTGGCGTTCTTTAGCCGTTCAGCGATCTGTAATTTCGCTTCCTTTGTGCCCCTACTACCAATATATTCGAGGCTAAAGCCAAGGCAAGACAACAGCCGCGGGTGGCAGATATAAGCTTATAACGGCTCCTTTTGACATGTCTCGGGAACCGGGAGTTGGATAGACAGTTGGATTTAGTCGGTCAGGGGATGATGCCCCGAGTAGGACTTTTGGCGTCCAGCGTAGAGGGCATAGCGTGGTGGCCTACTTTCGTTGTAATCAGTACTGTGTATCTAATCTAGTTGCAGTGCCTCTCACAGACAAGGTCTTCCGCGTGGTGTCTACCTATCTTTGAAAGCAGGCTTTGAATTATCTGAGAGAACGCCTTGGACTACAATTACACACAATACTATGGCCATCTACTGCTTGCGAGCGCTCGGCTTATTCCAATACTTCGATCCAGCTTCGAGTAATTCGATCGTGGACGTACCTCACTGCCTGTGCAGATCGTTGATAAAGACACTTGTGTCATCGTTTCTCTGAGGCAAAGGCAAAAGAATGCAACATACATCTGAATGCAGAGGCTCACCAGTTGCCTGGATGACTAATTCAGAGGATGGGATCTTCTGGGCGATGATGTTGTGCTGGCTGTTCTTGGGGGATTCGTCGAGCTGTTGGACATCAAACCCATCAATGTGTTCACCAGTAGAATGAGCACGCTTCTGAGTGCATCTGAGACTCAAAGGTCGAGAGAAGGTTTCCTCAACAATGCGCTTGTCCGACAGTTCTCGCTCCTCGAGTCTTCTTCCCATACCTACTCCATCCTCACCCACCTCCCACCTAGGACAGACAGCTGACTCGATGGGTGTTGGGTGGGCGGGTAACCAAGACAAACACTATCCTCCCACAGGTCTGCCTTTAATATAACAACGGTTGCAGCAGGCTATCACTGACGATCAAATAAGGTTTTTTTGTTGCGCCCCCAATGAGCCCACGATGCTGGATTCAAATGGTCCTACAGTCCTAGACCCCTGATCATCCGGGCTGTGGACCTGCATTGCGCGTTCCGCTGACCCTCTGATATCAGTATCGCCGCAGTGGAAGAAACCACATCGTGCTTCTGAACGAATGTTAGGCTTCGAAGATGCGGAGATCACTGACTATCACCTGTGACCAGTGTTGATCCTGTCTAGGACACATGCAACAGTGGGTTTTTAGACGATTGTCCCGTCCCAGCCTACTTGGACCGCAGTGGAGCGAGAGGGATGTGGCTCTCTACCCCAAAGTCTCAGAGTCGTGGGCATCCCCTGCCACAGAGATAGAAGAGTAAGTCTCGCGCCTGAGCTGGCTCAGTCTCTTTTCAACCGATTCCTCGTTGTCCTTGCTCTCGTTGCTTGTTTCTGCAGTCGTCATATCGACATCGTCACTTACCGTCGTTTCTTCAACCGACTTTCATTCCTTTGAATCTGTTCCAAACGTTCCTATATTTACCTTCTAAGTCAATCATTCGCTTCTCGCCAAGTCTGTATCTTTTTTCTACTTAATTGCGGTGTGTACGATATTGATCACTCTTTCCGTTCGTATACCGACAAGGCCAAGCCGTGCTCCTGATAATACCCCCGCTATCAAACATCAACTATGAGGTTTGGCAGTGTCGTCGCGGGCGCGATGCTGGCTGCGAGCACGGCCTTTGCCGTAGACGTAGATCCCATCGTCATCAAGGGGTCGAAGTTCTTTTACAAAAGCAATGATACCCAATTCTACATTCGGGGTGTTGCCTACCAGCAGGAGTACTCCGGCGACAAATCCTCCTCCAACAACTTCAAAGATCCCCTAGCTGATGCTGATGCCTGCAAGCGGGACGTCCCTTATCTGGAGAAGCTGGGTGCTAATGCGATTCGAGTCTACGCCATCGACCCGACTGCGGACCACACGACATGCATGGATCTCCTCAGTGCGGCCGGGATTTATGTGATTGCGGATTTGTCGTCTCCTGGAGAGTCCATTGTTCGCAACAACCCAAAGTGGGACAGCGATCTGTTCAATCGATACGTCACAGTGGTGGATTCGCTGGCTAAATATACTAATGTCATTGGCTTCTTTGCCGGCAACGAGGTGTCCAACACAAAGCAGACCACGGATGCCAGTGCCTTTGTCAAGGCTGCTGTGAGAGATATGAAGGCGTACATCAAGGCGAAGAACTATCGCCCCATGGGAGTCGGCTATGCCACCAATGACGATTCCGACATCCGTGAGAAGATGGCCGACTACTTTAATTGCGGTGATGCGGAGGACAGTATCGATTTCTGGGGCTACAACATCTACTCCTGGTGCGGTGACTCCAGCTATGAGAAGTCTGGCTTTTCGACTCGGACGGAGGAGTTCAAAGATTACTCTGTCCCGGTTTTCTTCGCCGAGTATGGCTGCAATGCTGTTAACCCCCGCAAGTTCACCGAAGTTGAGGCACTCTATGGACCCAAGATGGCAGATGTCTGGTCTGGAGGAATTGTCTACATGTACTTCCAGGAGGAGAACAACTACGGTATGTCATCTCACCGCCGGGCGAGGTGGAAGCACGTGTGCTGGTCGTTTTACTGACAGTCTGTCCAGGACTGGTGAAAATTGATGGCGACAAGGTGAGCACCAAGTCAGACTACAGCTACCTATCCGAGCAGTTAGCCAGCGCCACGCCGTCCGGCACCAAGAAGGGCGACTACTCTCCGACAAACAGCGCCCTCCGGTCCTGCCCCTCGGTCAACGGCGACTGGCGTGCGGCTGCCACCCCTCTTCCCCCTTCTCCCAACGGCGACCTCTGCTCCTGCATGGAGGATAGCCTGAGTTGTGCTCTGAAGGACAGCGTGGGAGACGACAAGATCGAGGATCTCTTCGAGACAGTCTGCGGCTACCATGTCTGCGACGGAGTCACCACCAACGCTACCACCGGCGACTACGGAGCGTACAGTGTGTGCAGCCCCAAGCAGCAGCTGTCCTACGCCATGAACCTCTACTACAAGCAACAGTCCGCCAAGGGCAATGCCCAATCTGCCTGCGACTTCAACGGCGCCGCGTCCACTCGCACTTCAAGCAGTCCCAGTGGCACTTGCTCCAATCTCCTGAAAGAGGCTGGCCCCTCTGGTGCTGGAACAGTCACCAGCTCCCCTACGGGGGTTGCTGGCAGCGCCGGCTCCTCTGGCAGTGCTTCAGCATCTAGCTCTAAGGGCGCGGCATATATGAATGCTCCTGGCACTGTCAATGTTGGTTTCCTGCAGCTTGGCCTGTATGTGGTTGCTGCCATGGTTGCTGGTGCAGGCATGGTTCTTCTCTAGGCACCCGACTTTGCATGTAATATTAGTTGGGAGCATTGCTTCGCTGCTGTGATGCCATTCTGTGTTTTCTGACTCCGTTTGGGGGGGCTATTGTATTTTTTGTCAACCGAGTTTTCAAGGATGTCGAGATGTATCACTCCCCGGTCGTTTATTGGTAATTAACGGAGGTATATATATATATATATACCGGCTCTGAAGTGCTATGAACAAGAACATTACACATTGGCCAGAAAGATTGACTAACAAGCCTCATCCCGGCGCCCTAAAAGAACAATTCAGAATACCAAACAAATCGATAAATTATGTTTAACCATGGATGTATCGCGAGACTAGATGAGTTGACACAAGAGCGATGGAGCACCCATTCTCATTGCTCTTTGTTTTTGCAGGCAGGTACATATTGTCAAACTAGATTGCATTTTTCAACAAGCGGCCCGGGTGGTCTAGTGGTATGATCCTCGCTTAGGGATTAACCCAAGCATATCTGCGAGAGGTCCCGCGTTCGATCCGCGGCTCGGGCCATTTATTTTTTCTGTTTTGATTTTTTTGTCGCCAAGTCGTAGATGTGTATTTTGCAACAGAGATGCCAATAATAGAGTTAACGTGTAGGCAGCAGTAAGTAGACCAGTCTCCGAACAGATAATCACTGCATATAGACAGTCTAACTACAGATAGGACTCTGTGTGCTGCCGGTCTGTTACACCAACCGCCGGGTCACCTGGATGCGGTTGCCATGTCAACCAAGCCTACTACCGAGTCTACAACCGGTTTATCAACACGAGAGACTTCAACTGGCGAGCGGCTGAACGATGTATAGAAGCAGATCAGAACAAAACCGCAAAGATACATTGAAGAAGAGAATTCCCGCGCGCCCTCGTCGTTCCGCTCATTTGACGGCGGTGGTCACCGGCCACAGATACGAGACAGTACCTACATTAGTGCCGGAATAAACCGCAGCAATAAAAAACATGGCCCGACTTAATGCGACGCCAGCGAAGAGGGTCGATGCCCGGAGGCTCACTAAATTATCCGACAAGAAGGGACAGCATATCTCCATCCGACGCTTATTCGGGGAGCGCTTCCCCACGGCCGCGGCGGACACAGACAGGCAGGAACAATGGACAACCACGAAGGAGACACACCCCAAGCAGAGATCCCATGGACTCGCGGAGAGACGGCCGCTCGAACGAAGCGGATCGCAGAGATCGGGAAAGACGCCGATAGCCAGTTTCGATATCCTCCCCGACAGCGATGGGCTGAGCGACGTGGACCACGAGAACGACTTCTCACCGCGTCTCGCCCGTGGAGACAAACCGAAGCCGTCGAAACCTCTCAAGCTGGCGCATGTTAATTCGCTGTTGCTTCCTTTGTCGCAGCAGCCTCGCAACCGGCCGGCCCAGAAGTTGGAAACATACGACTACGCCAAGGAGAACGACCCCGTTGACGAGGAAGAGGAGGATACCACGCCTACGATATCAAGACATTCCTCTAACGCCTCGACGCGGCAGTCGCCCGCGAGGAGAAATGCCCGGCAGGACCGGGCGAAGGACGGCGACCACCACAAATTTCTCAAGTACCGTCAGACTCAGGAGACTGTATCTGAAGACGATGACGGCAGCCATGATGATAGTCTGGGCTCGCTTGAAGATTTCATTGTCAGCGACGACGAGGAATTGAGCTACCATGCAACATCTGAAGAAGATTCAGAGGAGGAGGAAATCCAGAAGAAGGTCATCTCTCCGCCTAGACCAAGGAGAAGGTTGATGAGAGGCAGACGGCAGAACCTAGAGGTACAGGTGGAGGAGGCATTGGCCGTATCATACGGAGAAGAGCTTCGCTTGGAACCTTCTCTGCCAGCCGCAATGACAGTGCCAGCGTCCAAGCTGCAAGTAGAATCAAAGAGGTGGTCCCAGAAGGACGGCGGGATCTCTGAAGAGATCCACAACCTGACTCTAGAAGACAATGACCCTGCCGACCAACTACCGAAAGACCTCTTTGAGTAAGTCTCGTTCAATTCTTCTCGCACAGTTACCCGGCTAACAGTCCATCAGATTTACGGAAGATTCCGCTTCTCCAGCAGAGAAACTACAGGAAGTAGAAGTCATTCTGGGGACACCACCGCCTAGTCCCTCTAAAAGCCTTCTCAGATCGCCAACGAAGGAGAGAATCCACATACCACCCACCCCGTATCGTGAGAGCGTTGATGCCTTCTGGAGCCAGGAAGTCATCAACGATTGGGTCGACCGACACTCACCGCGTAAAGAGGGAGCTGCCCTAGAGCATGTGCTACGGGAGTTTGATGACTCTGATGCAGATACAAGTGGTGATACAAGACCCGACAACATGCGCAAGCCCCAAAAGGGGCAAAAGGAGCCCAAAACCCCAAGCAAGACAGCCCTGAAGCGAGCAGAGACAGAGAAAAAGAAAGCCGACCTCGCGCGGAAGAAGTCGTTCGATGAAAAGAAAGCGCAAATCGCCAGCGATTTCCTCAAGGTTCTAGACGACGCGGTCTCTGGAGGCCAGGTCCAGAAACTTGCAGAGGAAACGGGTGGTGTCCGGATTGTCTGGAGCAAGAGCCTATTAACGACTGCGGGCCGTGCTGTCTGGAAACGAGAACGAACGGAGAAGAAGCCTCGGGCATCTGACAGCGGATCCGAGCCATCAACCCTTACCAAGCAACACGCAACGATTGAGCTGGCAGAGCGCATCATCGACAACGAACATCGCTTGCTCAACACACTGGCGCACGAGTACTGCCATCTGGCCAACTACATGATCTCGAACGTGCATAACAACCCCCACGGGGCGAGCTTCAAGCAATGGGGTCGCCGGTGCAAAGAGGCGCTGAAGGACCACCCCGTCTACGGCGGACAGGTGGAGGTGACGACCAAGCACAGCTACCAGATCGACTACAAGTATGTCTGGAGCTGCGTGGACTGCGGGCAGAACTATGGACGGCACTCGAAGAGCATCGACACCACCAAGTCGCGCTGTGGGAAATGCAAAGGCCTCCTGCAGCAGATCAAGCCGAAGCCGAGAAACGTCTCGCCGAGGAAGAAGCCGCTGCAGAGCTCGGAGCGGTTCGAGAAGAAGACGGTCGAGGACGTGGCGGGTATCCTTGGGGAAGTCAGCTTGTACAGTTAGTTGGACTTGAGGATGGCGGGTTTATTGTTCCTTGATGTGACCGGTTCTCTATCTTGGACAGAGACTTTGTGTGTGTGTGTATCTATTTCGACATATTGACGCTCCTTACGATAATTTCATGAGATAACTTCATACTACCTACTACATACTGAGAATCCCTGCTTCATCCTTTCTAATGTTGTATATACATACCAACTGAAGGCCAACAAACGTATCTTTATTTTCAGATGTGGACCTGCTTATCGTTGATTCATTTTGATTCATTAGAATTGGGAGCTACCCATTGTTTATCTATATATCCCTAACCATACTTCCGCAGAAAGTCGCATTGCTTCCAAGTCCCTTTTGTAGACGAAACCTCCATTGTCCTCCATCGATTTTTTCTTTTTGCCCGGCCTGTGCCATATCAAATCAAATAAGCCCGTATCCTCGTGCCCATCTGCCGAATAAACCACCCACTTTTCTGTCTGCAACTCTTCGTCCAGAACTCAAGCCCATCCCTCTTCATCCTCCATCCCCCCAAAGACCCTAAGCAAACAGCCCCCAATCCTTCACCTCCAACGTCTCCACCATCTTATCAATCCCCTCAGCCGCAACCTCTTCCTCCCTCGACAGCCCGCGCGGATCCCCCGCCAAATCAAATTCCTCATGCGGCACATTATAGAACACCAGCACATCCGACTCCTGCTCCTCCAACCGCACCAGCAGATAGTGGCACGTCACACGCGACGTCCGCGGACCGTCGATACTAGAGCCCGCGGCCGCCCCGCCCACAGATACAGATACAGGGACGCGCCCCGTGTTGGTGTTGGTGTTGGTGTCCCTGCGCTGCTGCTTCGGTGAGGTTATCTGCACGACGCCCTTGTAGGCGCGGGACGCAGGGATCCGCGCCATCGAGACGGCGGCCGGCGCAAGTACCACCTGCAGCTGGTCATCTTCGTCGCAGAGGTCGCGGAGGTGGTAGATTGCGGCGGCTTTGTCGATTGTCTCTGGGGTGGCGGGGATGCCGCCGCGGAGGGCGGACTGCTCGTCGAGCGCGGAGAGGGCCTGCTCTTGGGTGACGCGCTGGTTGATCTCGAGGATCAGGTTGGAGAGGGTGCTGGGGGAGAGGAAGAGTTCTTGGTGGTCGGGGACTTCGCGGAGGGTGCTGTGGTTGCGGGGAGTGATGAGGTTAGTTTCCTGCGTGTTTGGTTGAAAGGAGACGGGAGGGGAGTGGATGGCTTACCTTCCGTCAACCCAGCCGGTGGGGATGGCGCCCTGGATGGCACCGCCGTAGAAGGCGTACTCGGAGAAGGAAGTCATATTGTCTGATCGTTGATGTTCAAGTGATGGTCTCGGTGTTGTTCTTTGATTTTTTGTTTCCAGACGCGGGGGAAGCTCTGATAAGCTCGATGGATAAGTAGTGAGAGGGGCAGAACAACGCGGTGATTTGCACTTCGCACAACTGATGCGATGAGGATTGGATTGCTGTGAGGGCCAAAATCAATGGTATATAGCCCAGCAGGAAGCTATTTATCACCAGCTTCCTCCGTGTATAGTGTTGTTGACTACGGTGGACGGTCTTCCGCAGCGCCAGACAAAAAGAGTAAATGACGTCCGCCTCCAATCGTGCCTAGAACGGCGGCCATTGCGGTGATTGGTCGAAGCTGCCATCGATGACTGTTTGGAATGGAGGCAGCCTGAGGCAAGCTCAAAGAGGATGATTTGCTGTTGTTATGAAGCTTCTTACAGGACAACGGTGGATACTGCTCCGGTTGCTGCCTTCTACGGAGTATCTACACCATCAGGATTTATTACGTGCCAAGGATAGACTGACTAGTCGCAGGAAGGGAAAGTGCGGAGAGACTGATCCCGCAGAATTCCATTTCTTCATCACATATCTAGAAGCTCTTCAACATACTCATCCAGGGCAATGATCCGAAACTGTTTCCCCCATTTCGCACGAAATTCCTTCTGACGATAGGCGAAACTCGTACCCTGCGAGAAACTCACGAGCTCAACATTCCATCCGCGCTGCAGTGCTCGCTCCACCATCTTCATGAAGCCCCCTGAATATTCAGCTTCCGCTGCATCACCGGTGGCCAGGACGATGGTGGCCGAGTCATCGGTATCCAGTAGGCTCTCCAGGATCTTCAGGTGTAGAATTTCGTCCACTCCCTGCTCGACCCATCGCTCTTCGGGCATATCGTTCGTTTCAGAACCACTGCCTCGTTCTTGAGCGCCCACTTGCGGATTCTTCCGATATTTCAATTGACGACGGGTAGGGTATTTCACCTTGTGGACCCGTTCCAAGATGTTTGCCTCATAGCCGAGCGTTTGACTCTCGTCAATCGCTGCGAATCGGTCGGAGCCCACCAATACTCGTTTGGCAGCTGGCCGACCACGCTCAAGAATCAATGAAAAATTTTGAAACGAGAGAGGCAGACGTGGGATGCGTGACTTCACCGGTATGTTCCGGACTGCTTTGACAGAATCATGAAAACCAACCATGATCTATATCATCAGAAATGTTAGTCATGCTGGTTCCTGGTATACATGGGTGGAAAGTAACTCACATTGGACATATCAACGAAAACATGGATAGGCCGAGAGCCTTGGTTTTTCGCCTTAGTGCTTGGAGACCGGCCAACTTGAGCCACGGTCTCCGCATACTCGGGGAATTTCTTTAGGAGCTTTGTCAGAAGACCAACCCTTCTCTCAGTAGTTGACTTGTATGCGGTGGGCTGCACGCGTAAAGGACTGGCGGCCAAGCCCTTGACACTCTTGACAGTTTTGGCTGTTAAGAATCCCTCCGATTCATCGACAGAGGATGGCGGAGTGTCACACGGATCGGATCTGAGATCCGGAGTACACAACTGCGCTGGAATGAAGGATAATGCAGTTTGTTTCTTCAATACAGGCGGATCAAACACAACACTTGAGTTGCTGTCCGATTCTACCTCCGTACTACTTTCCAAGGAGCTAACCTCGGCAGTGATTTTTGATTGGCAATCATTGTTAAGGTGAGCTGTGCTCTTTTCCGCTACAGCTTTCTTCAACACCCTTGGAGGTTTGGACACATTTTTGGGGATGGCAATGGGAGAAGTCTGCGAAGGTTGCTTCTCGGCATTTCCAGGAGCACGTGCCGTCGATGTAGGCCTCTGGAGGATCTGAATTGGCTTGCAAGGTTGAAGCTGGTCGACCTGTGGACTAGTTGTAGAGGTCGAGGTTTGCCCAACAGGGCTGACACTGGCGGCGCTGCCGCTGTGGCCGAGTAGATCCCATAGAGGGCCAAAGTCACCTAGTCTCGGAGATTCGAGGGTTGGTTTGTTGGCAGCATGATGGGCAAAGTCGTTGGCAGAAGACCGAGTATATTCGGCGGTGTGGCGAACTGGGCGAGACTGCTCACGATCGTCGTAACTAGGCGAGCGAAGCAGATTGAACACCGGAGTGAAATCCCAGTTCGAAGCGGGTTCCAGTGACGATGGCATTGACGAATGGTTTGGTATTTTTTTAATGGGTTTGGATAAATGGGTTTGGATACAATGGTTGTTCTTATGTTCTGAGCGTCAAAGGCGTAAACAACGATAAAGCGGGGTTCAAACAGGAGAAGGATGGAGTCAGTAACGATAAGCAAATTCGAGTAATTGAAGAAGAATCAAAATAACTAAAGATTAGAGTGAAAAGAACAAAAACGATGTGTAGATGAGCAGCAGATCAACATGGTTGTCGTTTCAAGTCGACGACAGGACACTCTTGCAGCCAGACGCATAAAAAGAGTGAGAGAGAGATGTTGATGTACAAAGAGGAGAAGAAGAATGAAGATCAGGCAGGCATCGATGTGGCTTTGGGTCGTCAAACAGCCTTGCGGATGACTCGGGCGGCGACTATTCTGTCCGCCCCCACCGCCTTCTAGTTTCGCACCGAGGAATCTTCTTTACCGGAAACGGCTTAGCTTACTCGGCGCACGGCAAAATAGATACTCCGATACAAACATCTTACTTAACAACACAAACATGCCAAGAGCAGATCTAACCATATCCAGCAAAGCTCCTGCTCAGCGCTACGTCATCGATCCAGACTGGGGTCTTTCTTGGTTTGAACTGCGTGTGGCTTGAATCAACTCATGAATAATGGGAATAATGGAATACTACTAGTAGTATAGAGGAACTGGTTAATTGCATCAGAATCCGATCCACCGTCACGACTCCACGAGCCTCATCATTCCTGTAATGATGACGTTGGTGCCAGGAGGCAGTTCTCTGGCCAAGTTCCCAAGGTTCCAGGCGTTGTTAGGTACAGGCCTTACCGTGGGGTAACTTACTCAGTAGTAGATTGTGTGCTGAACCCTGAATTCCCATAGTACTATCGATCTATCAATGCGTTCCTGGGATGCTCGCAATCCGGATTGTTGATGGCGTACATACTTATCTCCAGATCCAGGTTCAAGCACCGACGTCATCTGGAGGGGGGAACGGCCATGGAATTCGTGTTTCACGGCGCAAAGAAGGGTCCTGAGAAAGATATATAAAGGGCCTTGTTGCTTCATTCCCCAGATCCCTTTTTCTCCTCATCATCAATTACAATACTCTACTATCAAACAAGCCTTCTCAACTCCAACAAACCATCTTCCACTTTCCTTTTCTCTTCTAAAAGAAACCCAATCAAACAATCAATCAACATGTCTGACGCTGGTCGCAAGGATTTCTCTACCAGTATGTGATATGCACCTCATACATCCCTCTTCAAAGGTCAATCCCTTGACTTGTCAGATTGCTAACGTGTCCCTGCAGAGGCCAAGGAGGAACTCACTCCCGACTCCACCAAGTCCACCCAGGACAAGGTCAAGGAGACCGTCACCGACACCAGCGACCGCGTTGCTCGTGGCCTGCAGACCGACAACAGCAAGTCTACCACCCAGGAGGCTTTTGATAAGACCCAGCGTTCCCACGATAACCACGCCCACGGTGGTGCTACCGGCTCTGTGTAAGTACTTGCCGCAGTCACTCTTCTACCCTTGATGTCTCAGGTAGATACTGATTGTCTGTATAGCGGTGAGAAGGTCAAGAACGCCCTCGGTCTCGGCAACTAGATTTGCTGCGCTGGAAGCGGATTGATCGCCCACGGGCAGACTTTTTATCATGATCCCGTTATGAGTTCACGATATCACTTCGGCAATCCTGTGTTTATATCCTATGCCAATATTTGTTACGAATGAAATGATTCAATAATTCGAACACTGCACCTACCTTTCGTTTTCCTTCTGTTTTGTACTTGTGAGTACGAATTGTAGTTCATCGATGGTCCACAAGTCTCTCGAACATCGAGTCTCGTCGCTGAATGAGTCTGTCAAGCTCTCGCTCCAGCTGCTTGTACTGAGCACGAGCGCCTTGTATGTCTTGGGGCAGATCGTGAAACATCTGGATTCTGTGGTTCAGCGACTCGACCGTTTCCTTGGCCTGCGTAATTTGCTTTTCTTCCGCAGCCAATTCCTCTATCGTCAAGCCCTGATATTTGTTCCTCTCCATCACCTGAAGCCTATCGTGATATTCTGCAACCTTGGCAGTGAGCATCTTGGTTCCTCTCAACCACTCCGCCGTGAGTGCGGGCAAATCGCCGGAGACTTCATACGCAGGATCACTCTTGAGCTCTGCAAGCTGTTCCCGTAGCGTACTCAACTCCTCCTCCAGGTGTTTATGCATCTTTTCCACCTCAGACAGCTGTCCCTTCATCTCGAACTCTTCTAAGGTGAGCTCGATAATGGACTGGCCAAGGTCCTTGGTCTCGGTGCTGAGCGCCCCCAACGCCGCAGTAGTTTCTGCCAGATCGTCGAGATCGCGTTTCCCGCTCTCCCCTAGGCAAAGCTCCAACTCGTCCAGCAGCTCTTGTTTCTGGGTCTCCTCAGCGCTCTCTCGCGTCTTGAACTCTTGTATCGCCTCTTCGCGCGCTCGGTGTAGCAAGGCTGCCTCTTCATCGGCTGCGTCGTTGGCAGCAGCTAAAGCGAGAAGTGTGCGTAGGGTATCTTGGTTGCGCTCGAAATTCGGGATAGGATTCGGCGCATAATGGCGACTTAGCCATGAGTTTACATAGGCCCAGTCCTTGGCCTGGATGGCGGATTGACGCGCCTTTGCGGGGGAGAGGAGCGGGCTGTCCATCAGTGAGGAAGTATAGATAAACACACGCGTTTCAACAGCGAAAGATCTAAGACAGAAAAATTTGGCCGTAGAAGATCAGTCTCGAGCTCAAGTCACAGCATTCGGATGTAGTGCTGTCCCTCTATTCTGTTCTAGGGAGCCTGGTATTGACGGGGACGATTGGTTGTTTGATCAGAAAGCGGAGATTCTACTATTGTTTAATCCGACTCTCCGCTTTCGCTGCAGTGACCACCTTTTTGGATGCATCACCCCATCACTTTCCCCGTTAATTGTGCCATCAGGCGAGCGCAACATGGCAAGCTACTTCCCCCATGGGGCTACAAACAGCCATGCGTCAATGAGATCTCCTTCTCCGGCTGCTTCGCCGCTGTCGCCCCCTCCTCAACGATCAAACGCCCTGTCGAATCGACTGACCAGCGTACTGTCGGCCTCCTATGCTGACTCGGACATTCGCGATGCGCTGGAGACGCTCAGTCTCCGGGGGATACACAACACGGCTGAAACGAGGAGACAGCTACGATTAGACGTGCAGAAAGAAGTCGTGGATTCTAATGCAGAGATTGTGCGTGACTTCGGGACCGTCGCAGAGGTAAGTCAAACCACGTTGCAGGCCAGAAAGAGGGGTTGAAGCAGGTGACTGATGTCTTGAGTAGCAATTGCAACGGATCGGAGCGGTGATATCGAGCTTGAACCAGACATGCGAGGAAATGCGACAGCACATCTTCCTGGCCAAGCAGGACACGACCCCGGTGCTTGAGGAGGCGTCTGCACTCGTCAGCCAGAAGCAGGAGTCCGAGACCAAGCAGCAGCTACTCGATGCGTTCGCGAAGCACTTCATAATCCCAGAGGAGGAATTGCCGGTTCTCACATCGTTGGAAGAGCCGATCGACGATCATTTTTTCAATGTGCTCGCTCGTGTGAAGCAGGTGCACCACGATTGCGAAGTCTTACTGGAGGGCGAGAACCAGAGACTTGGTCTGGAGCTGATGGAGAAAAGCTCTAGGACCCTAAACTCTGCGTACCAGAAGCTTTTCCGCTGGATCCAGAAGGAGTTCCAGTCGCTCAATCTCGAGGATCCGCGAATTAGCAGCTCCATCAGGCGTGCTCTGCGAGTCCTGGCGGAACGGCCTAGCCTGTTCCACAGCTGCTTGGACTTCTTCGCCGAAGCGCGGGATTATGCCCTGTCGGATGCCTTTCACTATGCACTCACCGATGCAGTCTCTGGTACTGGTGGTGATCGCAGTGTCAAACCAATTGAGTTTTCTGCCCATGATCCTCTACGATACGTCGGCGACATGCTCGCGTGGGTACACTCCAGCACGGTGTCGGAACGAGAAGCCCTCGAGGCTCTGTTTGTGGCGGATGGGGACGAAATCGCTAAAGGCATCCAAGCCGGGCTGAGCAGCGAGCCGTGGTCCCGTATCGACGAGGAAGAGGAAGTCTCCTTCGACGGCCAAAAGGCTCTGAGCGATCTTGTCAATCGAGATCTCATCGGGGTGTCTCGATCCCTACGGCAGCGGGTTGAGCTGGTCATCCAGGGCCATGACGACCCCGTCTCTTGCTACAAGATCGTCCATCTCTTCCTGTTCTACCGAGCCACCTTCTCCAAACTGCTGGGACCACAGTCCAATCTGACGGAGTTGATGGAGACACTGGAGAAGTTCGCATTTACTCGGTTCGAAAGGATCATGCGTGAACAGGTCACCGTTCTCTCCAGCGACCATTCCGCCCTGACTCCTCCAGAGGACCTCAGCGCACCGGAGTTCTTCCTCGACGCCCTGGAGGCATTGACCTCCCTCATGAAAACCCACGACGCCTCGCTGGGCACAGAAGACGCCGACCGCGCACCCGCCGCCGAGAACCAGTTCACCCCTGTCCTCCGCGCCGCATTCGATCCCTACCTCGAGCTCGCCCGGTCGTCCGCAACAGAGCTTCAGGACGCAACCGCCCGCGCCATGTACACAACCAACATCCTCCTGACCGCGCGCTCCACGATCTCCGCCTTCCCCTTCGCCAGCGCAACACACCTACCTCCCATCTCGACCGCCCTCTCAGACCTACGCACGGACCTCCTCGGAATCCAGCACCGCTACCTCCTCGACGCCTCAGGCCTGGGACTCCTCCTCACAGCCCTCGAGCCCTTCTCCCCATCCACCACCACCACCATCACCACCACCAAACCCAAACCCGACACCAACCCTGAAGATACAGACACAGACACAACCCTCCCAACAAAGAAACCACCCCCCAACATCGCCGCCATCGCCACCCTCCCCGCCTTCCAGCCTGACGCCCTCATCGCAACCAGCCAGCAGCTGGACGACTTCCTCCCCTCAGCACTCATGGATGCGACGGAGAACCTGAAGCGCCTGCAGAGCGCCACGTTCGTCAAGAGCGTCACCGAGGAAGCAGTCGAGGCGTTCTGTCGCGACTTTGAGTTCGTGGAGGGCATGATCATCGGCGCGGATGAGGCTGCGGGGAGAGTGGATATTGCACGGGTCGATGGGGATGGGGACAATGAGGCGGAGATCCATGAGGGAGAGGAGCTGAAGCTCGAGCAGGAGATGGGATTGAGGAGGCTCTTCCCTCGAACGACGGGTGAGATCCGGGTGCTGCTTAGCTGACAGCGGTGATGTGTATTTTTGGTTTTTGTATATAGTCTATGACTTGGGGCCACTATCCTCTTGAGTACGGTATAGTATAGTATAGTATAGTATAGATCTTAGGTCTCGGAAATTTTTCTTTTTCGTCTTCATTCTTAAAAATGATACAGGCGACATCTACCTATACCCGTCGGATCATGATCCCGTAAGGATCCCGGTCACGCTCACTAACGTCCACCACACACTCGCAGTCATTGTAGGCATCCTGCAGACCCTCCACAACGCCCGCCCCGCCCTGCTTGGTACTCTCCTGCAAGGCCGCCAGCCCCTCCCCCCGCTGGACCTCCCACTCACCCGTCAGCTCCGCAGCCAGCTTCTCCCGCATGACAGCGTGCAGAAAACCTCGTTCCGTGTTCGAGTGCGCGAGCGCAATGACCGCCGAGCCGCGCTCGATCGCCGACAGCGCCTCGTGGTGGCTCAGCTCGCCCGTGAACAGGAGGTCGGGGAGACTGCCCCGGAGGATACTCGATCCGGAGCCCGGGCAGATGCCGATGGTACGGATCTTCATGTCGTCGACGGCGACGGACTGCGGGACCGCGATGGGGATGCCGCCTGGGTGGCCGACGCCTTGCGCGATGCGGTCGACGATCGCGGTCAGGGGCTGCGGCGTGTCGAATGTGACGAGGCGGCCCATGCCAGCGGATTCCATACCCTCTGGGAGTGGAGGCGGGGAGGGATGGATTGTGCTGCGCGTGTGGGGGACGGCGGAGGATGGGGAGGCGGAGGCGGGTTGGGGGTGCGGATAGGTGGGCGTGGAGTAGTGCTTGGAGGACGATGCGGATACGGAGGGGGAAGAGTCGGTGGATGGGGCGATGGCGCCTGTGACGATGTCGCAGAGCCAGTCTGCCATCCCGCCGGGGGTCGCGTCGACGGCGGTGTGCGGGGAGTACACGCTGATGCCCTCCTGGGCGAGTCTCAGGAGAGACTGTTGTTGGGAGTCATTGAGCGTGAGGGATTTGAGTCCTCGAAAGATAATGGGATCTAGGATGCACGCGATTGATTAGCTCGATGCCGTGATATCTCCATGGCAAACACGATTTGGGTGCTTACGGTAGGCCACCACCACCGAGTCCTTCCGTTTGATAGCTTCATCCGCTACCGCCTTCGTAAGATCAATGGTCAGAAGCACAGAGTTCTTCTGTCTCCGCGCTGGGTTGAAGGGCGCTTCGAGAAGTACTAGACAAGGAACAGTGTGAGTAGTCGCAACATGGTCAACCGTCGCTAGAGCCCTTACAGCCTGTATTATCGAAGCTCTTGTCTGCTAGTGACTCGGGATAGCTGTATACCGTCAGCCGCTAGGCATTTGACACAAGGACTCCCAGTGATGGGAGACTTCATCGATTAGAATGCATACAGCTTTCTCATGGAGCTCACAACCGCCCGAGTGAAAGGTGACGAGTATGATGACATTGTTGAATAGTGGCGGAACGGTACCCGAAGAAAGGTATTCATGAAATATTTTTGATTAATCCAGCAGATAATGCTGCACTGTAAGCGTGTATTCTCAAGGCAAGTTGTACTGAAGTTGTCTCAAAATGTATTCAAAGCAGCGATAAGAGAGGGGAGTTGGGGATAGCTGGCGCCACAGCCCACAAGCCACAGCATGCTTGCAGTCTTAAAAAAAAATCATTATCATTGGCCACAAATCTTTTTTGAATTTCCTTTTAACCTAGCGGAGAATCAGTCAGTATCTTCAAATATTTTCTAATTTCTTTAATCAACACTCTAAATCTTACTCTAAATATACTATAGAAGATATTATTCAGAGAATAACTTCTATTATTAGCCCTAGTAAGGGGGAAATACCATAAAATGGTTTGGGGTACAAACTAAGAGTAAAAAACCTCCGCGGGTTGAATCAGGTGGGAGAAGATCACGTTACCTAGCCGTGACTGATGTCTAAATCTAACCAACTGGATTACCTACTTACCTTACAACTGATTAATATTCCGTCATCCACAAAGGCTGAAGATTGATAATCTGATTGACTCCTCCAACTTATCTTACGCTTTTTTTTTCTATTATTTTTTCCCCCTCGGGTACATAGTATCGTCACACCGGGGCTACCTAATTCACTATCAATCTAAGTTCAATCCAATAATCGAATCATAAACCTAAGCTACCTACACACCTAAATAACCCCCTTCGTCCTTCCCTCCTTATCCACTCCTCTCCCCAGACACCCTCACAGTCCCGCTTGATGTACTCCCGCACCACCACCTTGTTTAGCAGAAGCTGCCGATATCTTCTCCGCGCGCCCATTCGCCAGCACTCGCCCTTTTCGCTCTCTGCACGTTCCTTCGCCGCCGTCAACGCAGCAATGGCAGACGCAACCGCCGGCGTTACTGCCGATTCGCTGAAGACCAAACTCATGGAGCAGCTTGAGGCGCAGGTGGTTGAGATTGAGGATCTGTCGGGTATGTGTCGAGACTCCTCCGGCGATAAGCGATCAGCTTCATGAAAGTCTTGGGTTCTCTTTCTGACTGTTGGGGGGGGTTTTCTTTTTTGAATTCCCCGTGTGTTCTAGGTGGCTGCGGACAGGCTTTCCAGGCGGTTATTGTTTCCCCCCAGTTCGAGAAGAAGAATATGCTTGCGCGTCATCGGTTGGTGAACTCGGTCTTGAAGGCGGAGATTGCTGCGATTCATGCCTGGACGCCAAAGTGTTATACCCCCGAGCAGTGGCAGGCCTTGCAACAGGGAAGCGCGTGAGTCGGATAGATGATGGAAATACGGATACAGACTTGGATATGTTTTGCTTGCAGGAGAGAAGGGTTTTGGGACAAATTTTTTTTTTCGAGGATTTGATATATCCTACTGGGACTGTATTGCGCTCGAGTAGCCTTGCAGTCGAACATTGAGCGGAGGGCATGTGGTGTACATCGCCTCCTACTATAAATACACGCAAGCGGGAATGATTATTGTACCATCAATAGACGTTCCTAAATACACTGCTAATACAAGGTACCGACTATTATTCAACCCAAGACCTTCTCGGCCGCCGAGACTAGAGCAGATGCGTCAGTACGTTGGCGCAACTTAGAGAGCCTACGGAATGTCAGACTTACCATCGACGCCAGTGTTGTCTGGCTCAATGAACGCCTCCTTGACCTTGCCATCCTCAACAACTAGCGCATAGCGCTTGCCCCGATGGTTGCCGAAGATCGAAGTGCTGTCGAAGGTCACATCCAGCGCCTCGGAGAACTTGCCGGTCGGGTCGCCCAGGAAGCGAATCTATATACTCTTTAGCCCGTGTTCGACTCGTAGATGTAAGGGCAGCGATGGAGGGACTTACGCCGCTCTTGCCGTTGGGGTCCAGAGAGACGCCCCACGCCTTGGTCCTAAACGCCGTTTATCAGCGGAATGCAGGAAGCTTCACGGGACGCGACGTCGCGAACTTACACGAAGGGGTCATTGACGGAGACCACAAAGACTTGGCCCGCTTCCTTGAGCTTGGGGTGGTTGATGTATCCGGGGACATGGGAGCTGGAGCAAGCCGGGCCTGCGATGATCGGTCAGCATGTGTGATCATTGGCTTACCCGACTCAAGCGGAGGGTTATATTGCCGAGAGGCTCGAAAAGCAAGAACATTGACTACGTACTAAAAGCAGCAGGGACACCGAGAATGATTCCCTTCCCCTTGAGTTCTTTGGCGAGGTTCACCTTGTTACCAGGCGAGTTCTCGACCAGGACTTCGAGGTCGGGGATGGCATCGCCCTTCTTCACGAAGGCGGGCGCAGTGCTGTGGAAGAGCGCTCTCTGGGGAATGACCCCAGGGACACGAGCAAGACGACGAGCAGCGAACATGATTGTATGCGGAATGCGATGATGAGCTCCGAAGATAGTTGGTACCGATTGAAATGAATTGTAAAAGATGCGATTCTTGTTGACAGGAACGGTATCTTGAAAGTAATATGGAGGTTGGCTGTTGATGGTGTAACAGGGGTTTGTGTAGTCCTCCGTACCTGGCGTACCGGACCTGAACTGGATAGACCTGACGAGGAGCTTCGGGACCTCCACTTAGATGTATTTCGTCATCTTCTACACTTTTTTTTTTTTTTTTTTTTTTTTTTTTTTTTCCCCACCATATGAATTCACCTACAGCCCTTAATTATTGACAATGCATACTACGGAGTAGAGCTGTTGGGGAAAATGATCTATACAACGATGTCTTATTACCTATATTTACGCTGCACTCGAATACGGAGTATGTCATTGCCTTACAAACCCCATGAGCGCAACAACCGCATGAAATTGCATGAATTCGAACTTAATCATGATCTAGGTTAATGTACGCAGGACAGTCTCAAATCCCCAATCAATCCTGACCAAGATCGTTGTTCTCTGCATGCAGATTGACGGTGATAAGTCCTTGTGTAAAGATAGACCGGGCGCAAGGGGTGATAGCTCAGCTGCCGACTGTCGACAGCTGTTTACTCAAATGGTTGTGGTTCACTTGACCAGCGTCGAATGTTGATTGCTGACATTTGACCATGATTCAAATTCTCGGGATTATTAGCCCTTTGGCCATTGTCATTCAATCATCTAATATGTGGTTCGTACTTCGTAGTCCACAGAGTTAGTTAAATAAGAATGACTATCCAGTATCCAGACGATCTGCCAGGTGTGGCGCTCAGCCCCTCCGTCTGAGTTCGACAGTCGAAGGAATGAGCAGGGTGTCGACTGTCGCCAGTTCGCCACACTAGGTAAGGATATTAAATACCAAATCTTAGGAATAAGATATCAATCAGAAACTGAACAATAAGTAAATCAATGACAGACTCTTTTACCGTAGCATGATTACGGCGCTCTGTATAGACCACAAAGATTATATGCTGCGCGTTAGGAGTTTTCGGTTGGGTTTCAAGTCTCCAACAACTTAACAAGTTACCAACTCCATCGCGGTTGTTCCCAGTTCCCACCCTGTCCACGTTCTGCGAGGCGATCTGCATGGAACCCAGCAATCATATTGATGCTTCTTGAACCGTCAAACAGATATTGGTGCGGGTGGAATATCCGCAGGTATCATGTATTTGATTATTTAGACCATCTGATCCTCGACAGGTGACTGGTGACAAGTGACAACCAACTGGATGGAAGCCGGAGAAGCGACTGTTACTTATTCACCACTTGAGTATCTAGATAGACTAGGTTAGTAACAAGTTGATTACTGACGAGGTCAAGCCGATCCTAATGCATTAGCCTCCCTCGGTCCGCCTGCTCTCCAGCAATAATCATCATGTCTTCCCCTCCATCATCTTTTTTTTTTCCCCCTTGGCTGCATTACCATATGCGCACTGACATTATGATCAGCTTCCATGCTTCTCCCGGTCAGCGCTATCAAGCATACTTTCATCATTGTCCTGATTTTGTCCATGGGAGACAGAGATACAGTCCATACGGGTACCCGTTGCAGGTATCTAGTGTTTAATTTGTCTGGCAAAAGTCTATTGTGGAGGGAATTGGCTCCAACAACACTAGTTGGTGTCCCTCTACGGAGTACCTTTCTGACTACTAAGTAGATATCTAGAAGTAGTACGGAAAGTAACTAGATAGATACTTATTTTTGAGGGAATTTTTGACCTGCTTTTCTGATTATTATTGTACCCTTTTCCCAGGCGTCCCCACCAATCCCAAGGACAACGGAGCATCGATGGAGTACTACTTAGTCAGTCGTTAGTACTTACCTAGTAGTAGTATCAACTCTGTAGTAGTGGTAGTAGTATCTAGCTGTACTGGGGACTACCTACTGGCATGATTCTTCCCTCCCCTCATTTCTGCCTCTCCTTGCATTTATCAATCAGGGAGATAGAAAGGAAGAAAAGAAAACATTATCAGTTATATATTATGATTATTATTATACTTATATTATATCAGTATCAATATCATTTTACTGCTGCCTCCATCACGGACCAAGAGTCCAAGACAAGACCTGGATACTTGGGAACGAACCGTGGGCAGAACAGAACCGTTTATGATTCAACGTCTCCAACCATTGGAGGTCAAACCCAATCAATCGTCCCACTCTGATTGATTCCTACCTAACAGGCTAACACTACTACCACTACTAGTAGTAAGTACCTACTGTGTAAGGTACTATTAGTTAAGTTGGTACTAACTAACTATCCGTAGTCCGTACTACTACTAATTTACTAACTGCTAAGTCCGAACTCCAACTGCTTCTTCAACCCTGACCTGACCTGAACCTCTTTCTCTCGAATTCCCATTTTCGCCCTGGTCCCATTTCTTCCCTCTTCCTCCTCTTGTCTTTTTCTCATCTCTTTCTTTCCTTTTCTGATCGATTATCCTGGACTATTTTATTCGTCTTTCGATCGCATTCTCGCTTCCCCGTCCTGTGTGATCCTTATTCCTTCCCTTTTCCAAATTTTCGTATGGGCAAAAACTGCGACGTGTTGAGCTTGTTGCTTGTTCGATCGGTCGCGACCCATCTAGCCCACGATGGAGGGTGGCCAGACCACAACCACTGCCGCCCCCGCTGGCAACTCCAGTGATTTTGTAAGTGTTCAGATGTAGATGTTTTGGCGCCCTGAATAGATTCATGGATTCATGGAGTCATGGTGATAATTATTTTTGACTGTGGTTTGGATGCTAATGCTATCATGATGGTCAGGTGCGAAAACTCTACAAGTGAGTTCCCTCCTTATCGGCGACACTGTGTGGAACCTTTCCCATGCTCTCTCTCTCTCTCTCTTCTTCTTCTATTCTTTTTCGCCTTCCACCCCCCTCCCTTCTCCCCTGACCCTCGGTTACGCTAGGATGGATCGCATACCCTGATGGAATGTATCTCTAACTCGTCCCTTGTACTAGAATGCTGGAGGACCCTTCCTACGCCGAGATTGTTCGTTGGGGAGACGATGGGGATAGTTTCGTGGTATTGGAGGTAGGCCACTCTCCTCTCCCTGGTGCTTGGTCCGTTATCGCACAACCCAGCAAGCTGACCGTATATCGCATTATCATCGCAGTGCGAGAAATTTACCAAGACCATCCTTCCTAAGCATTTCAAACACAGCAATTTTGCGAGTTTTGTGCGTCAGCTGAACAAATACGACTTTCACAAAGTCAGGCAAAATAACGAGGAGAATGGTCAATCACCGTATGGGCAGAATGTAAGGCTTCGTCGCCCCTGTTCCTACCATCTGGTCACCCGCTGGACGTGTCTAACAAGGAACCAGGCATGGGAATTCAAACATCCGGAATTCAGGGCGAACAGCAAGGAATCGTTAGATAACATTCGACGGAAGGCGCCGGCCCCTCGGAAACAGGCCCAAAACAATGACGACTCAGTCCCAACCCAACAGATCGACCTGCTCAATCAGCAGATTGTCGCGCAACAGCAACAGATTCAGCACCTCTCAGATCGATACGCGCAGTTGACCGTTGACCATCAGCTTATGTTGCAGGAGCTGATGAGAGTACAAAAGACGGTTTTGAACCATGAGAACGTCATTCATCAAGTGATGAATTATTTGCTATCGGTCGATGCTCGTCAAAGGCGGGATGGTAAAGCGGCAGCGGCCTTCCCGGCCCAAGGGCAAGGCAGTTCGAATGTGAATCCGGGGCAGGCTGACGATGTTTCGGCCTCTCCCTTGCAGCATGCATCCAAGTTATTGAACAACATGAACGCCGAGATCCAATTCAACCTGGCTGGTCTCGAAACGGTGGGAGAACCACCCAAGGCAGCGCAGGTTGTCCCAACAACCGCGCTGGAAGCTGCCCCTCGAAACGGAGTTGTGCGCCCGCCCACAGCAGCAGGCGCCAACCCGGCAAATCTGGTCTACCCAAAGATGAACGGCGAGATCGAACCCGTCGTCTATCCCGTTGGTGCTACCAATGGAATCGACCCCATGTATAGCGAGCATGTCAACAATGTGCCGTATCCCATGCCTCCGAAACAGGAAGTCGACGACGCCCGTCGACCGGTGCCTGACAATCGGAAAAAGAGCACAAACGTTGATCCCGGATGGGTGCGCAGCCCGCACATTCTTCTCGTGGAAGATGATGCAACATGCCGGCAGATTGGAGGGAAATTCCTCTATTCATTCTCGTGTGTCATCGACACCGCGGTTAGTTCCTCTTTTCCTTGTTGATGCCGGTGTGAATGACTGACACCTGTCACAGTTTGATGGCTTAGAAGCGGTGAATAAAATCCAGGACGGGTCGAAGTACGACCTCATTCTCATGGATATCATTATGCCGAATTTGGACGGTGTTTCTGCCTGTCATTTGATCCGTCAATTTGACCGGACTCCCATCATTGCTATGACCTCTAATATCAGAAGTGACGATATTCAACTCTATTTCCAGCATGGTATGCTCCCCCTCGTTTTGGATCTCTATCGCCGCCCAGACTAATATGCACCAGGCATGGATGACGTCCTCCCCAAACCCTTCACGCGGAAAAGCCTGCTCGATATGCTCGAAAAACATCTAGTCCATCTAAAAGCCATCCCTCAAGGCATGGAATCTTCACAACCCACTGCAGCAGTCACGATGGCTGCTCAGACCTCGGCCACTCAATCCATCAAAGAAGATAGCTCTCCTGGCCAATCGCCAGCTGCATCCATGAATAATTGGCAGTCACCCGGCCAATTCCAAGGGATGACCACGGTTCATCCCAATCTCCAACAAGTCCCAACTCAGTATGTTCCTGCAACTGCGGCCCCAACCGCTTATGCAGTCGATCAAAATGGCGTCCAATACCCGGCTCCTCCAGTCGCAATGAATCCCGCGGCAGGGACAGCGCGACCACCTCACCGACGACAGATATCCGAAATGTCCAGCGCGGCAGAGAGTTCGAATTTTGCGAAACGACCGCGGATGTACGCACATCCGTCGCAACCGATGATCAATCCCGTCCCGGCTACGCGCACTGGCTAAGCTTAATTTAATTATTCACAACGCATTCCCTGAACACCTTTCGATCTATCGCAAATATTCTCTCGCCCTCCTCTCTGTCCCGCTCACGAATTAGAATTGAGTTTTATTATGACTAGTGTCTGCGCCATACGGTTTCGGATATGCAGTCTCAAAATACGATCATTGTTTCGACGGTTTGCCTTCGTGCGCCCTCCTTCACCTGGTCGATTTCGCGGTGTTTGCGGCGTTTGGGGTTTCTTGCATATCCTTCGGATACATCGATAGGCGCATTTGATCATTTTTCTGTTTATATACATACAACGGAACGCTGAGGTCGGTTTCTGGCAAGATCCATCATATTCCTTTCGCCTGTTGATACTTTTTCGAGTCCTGTTCTCTTCTCATTCTTCGTCTTCAGTTTTGCATTCGCGGGTGAAGTATGTGTCTTCGGCCAGTAATGTTAAATGGACTCTGCCTGGTTTTCCATTGGGATTTGGAGGCTATGTTGTGTGTTGTTTTCTGGGGATCCTGTCATGTTGTTTGCACTCGCACCGCACACAACCCATTTTTAGAAGATATACGCAATCTGAGATGATATAAGTCCCCTCGTTGGAATCACTCTACTCCGTCCCAAGCACTGAATTCTAAACCCGCATCATTATCGTAGACATTCACAAAATAAACATATACTCTGGAGTCTGGACCCTCTAGATCTCACGCTAGACAAAAATCCCCAATAAAACAATAGCTAACTAAGCTTAAGGCACCATCCGCGTCGATCCCCGGTTCAGGATCAAGATCATCCACCACCTGCATTTCTCCACGACGCAAATCAATCTATTTTCTGAGAGGGGATTTCCAGAGTCTAGAACCGTCCCCCGCCCCCCTCCCTTGACAGGGGTGAGGTCGTAGAGTCCAGGAGGGTCCAGACCTGGCACCATTTTGTTCTGGACTTTCCGCGGCACGGGAGAGAGCCGTGGCTTGTGTGCTGGAGAGTCTGGGCGAGGTTCGGGCTGAGCAAGTCACGTGAGAGCGGATTATCACCAGCTGTGCAAACAGGGCAAATAGAGCAAACATGCAAACATGACTCTGCGCTGACCGCCCGCGGCTGCGGTTGGAGGTGGGATGCGATGACTCTTTTCGGGACGGGGCTTGGCGCAGTTTTTGTTCGATATGAATTGTGAATCGCGATACGGGTGATACTGTCGCTTGGCTTTTTGGACAGGTTCAGACACCGACGGCTTATTTTTTTTTCCCACTTCTATTGAACGAGACGAGGTTTTTATTCCAAATATATATTTGAAACCTCGTGGGTTTAATCCGTCGTTTGTTTCTTCTTTGTTTCTTTTTTTTTTTTTCCCCCCGAAAGGAAGTGAGGGGTCACTCCCGATCTTCTGGTGAGTGCGGACTGCGTTGCTGGGTATACTGCGCGCTGACGAACTGATTCATCTCTAGTCAGGTAGCACGATGGGTCCCAAGAAAGGCGGCGGTGGCCAGGCGAAGCAGCGTGGGAACGCGGCTGAGGAGGTTGAGGAGACATTGCAGGCTGTGGTTGGTATTCCCAGCTGCGTGTTTGATGCTGGGGAACTACGGTTTGGCTGATCTGGGTTTTATGGATATAGGTTCTTGCGGATACTTTTGAGACGAGATTTGAGCCGTTCACGCTTGAAAAGCCCCGGGTATGTTTTGTGGCTGTTGGAAGAGTGGACATGGATATCAGGGTTGGTGTCTAGTTGCTGACGGGCTATGGGACAGTGTCTCCTGCCTCTTGCGAATACGCCCTTGATTGAGTATACGTTCGAATTCCTTGCCAATGCCGGTGTCGAGGAGGTTTTCCTTTACGGAGGAGCGCACTCGGATCAGCTGGAGAAATACATCAAGTACGTCGGTATCAGCAGAAGCTAGACTTGGGTTGGGGGGGTACTTGGATACTGGTGAACTGGACTGACGATGTATTGGCTACAGTGCGTCAAAATGGAGAGGCAACTCGTCGCCATTCAAGCAGCTGACTTTCCTCAAATCTACATCGACTTCCGTCGGAGACGTCATGCGCGACCTGGACGGGAAACACCTCATTACCGGAGACTTTATCGTTGTGAGCGGCGACGTGATTAGCAACTTGCCCATCGAGGGCGCGTTGGCAAAGCATCGTGCTCGCCGCCAGGCAGACAAGAATGCCATCATGACTATGGTCCTGCGCGAGGCTGGCAGGAACCACCGCACCAAGTCGACCTCCGTGTCCCCTGTCTTCGTTCTCGATCCCACCAAGGACCGTTGTCTACACTATGAGGAGATCGACCATCACTCGGACGAGCTGTCTCGTGTGACCATCGACACCGAGCTTATTACAACTCACCCCGAGATCGACATCCGACAGAATCTGATCGACTGCAGCGTCGACATTTGCACGCCCGATGTGCTGAGTCTGTGGTCGGATAGCTTCGATTACCAGTCTCCGCGAAAACACTTCTTGTTCGGTGTGCTGAAGGACTATGAGCTCAACGGCAAGACGATCCACACCCATATCATCAAGGACCACTACGCCGCAAGAGTCAGGAACCTTAAGGCCTACGATGCCGTGAGCAAGGATATTATCTCGCGTTGGACGTATCCGCTCTGCCCAGACACAAACCTGCTTCCCGGGCACACGTACGATCTCCGCAAGGGCAATCTGTACCAGGAACAGGGTGTCACCCTGGCTCGCTCGTGTGTCGTCGGGCGGCGCACGGTCATTGGCAAGGGCACAAGCATCGGTGACAAGACGACAATCAAGAACACAGTCCTTGGGAGGAACTGTAAGATCGGGAAAAACGTTACACTGGACGGCGCATATATCTGGGATGGCGTGGAAATCGGCGACGGGACCACGGTGCGGCAGGCCATTATTGCCGACAAGGTTGTGGTGGGCAACAACTGCACGGTCGAGCCTGGTGCTCTTCTCTCATATGAAGTGAAAATCGCCGATGGCGTGACCGTGAGTGAAGGAAGACGTATTACAAAAGCCTCAAGAGACGAAGACGGTGGCGTACCAACGAGTGACCCGGATGTGGTTGGTGAAGGGGGCGAGGGTTACGAATTCTTCCACGAGGAGGACGAGGATGAAGACGATGCTGCGAGTATTGCGTCGTCTGGTTTGGGTATGCATCCTTGCCAACCCCCTTTCTCATGGTTACCAGTTACTAACAGCCGGGTTTTTAGTCTATAATATGGCGCAGCTATCCCTCTCTACGGATTCCATTTCGACGTTGTCTTCGGAGATATCTCACTTCGGCGGATCCAGATCAGAGAGTTTCGGCACCTCATATTCTGAGGACGATGATCATGATCATTTCGTTCACGATGCCGCAGGCAGTGTCTTTGACAGTCTGAAGGAAGGTGTCACCTCGGATGTTGTGCAATTGGAATTGGTCAGTCTGCGTATGACGGCCAACGCTTCCGACCACCAGGTCCGACGAGCCGTCGTTACGGCCTTCATGAAGCGAACACAGCAGTTGATTGAGGGCGGCAAAGGTGCTGGTGACGCGGTTCGGGATATCTTCCGCACCTACCGCGAGATCATCGAGCGGTGCATATTCGACCGAGACAGCGACGAAAAACCCGACCAAGTCGACTTTTTGCTTCTGCTCCAACAGGACCTTGTGCACCGCCCTCGCGGCGAGACAGCTCTGCTGTTCGCTGCCAAGGAACTGTATGACTTGGAACTCTTCGAAGAGGAGGCATATGAGCAATGGTGGGCCGATGAACGGTCCAGCGCTAGCGAGGAATTGAAGCAGGTGCGCAGTCAGACTCAACAGTTTGTGGACTGGCTTGCCAATGCCGAGGAAGAAGAGAGCAGCGAAGAGGAGGAAGATAGCGATGAGGAATGAGCTTAAAAAATATGGACGGCACGCGACCTCAGTTAGACAGCATAATCAGTAGGAGAGCCATTTATGATATACGTTTGATGGACTAGATCAATCAGTTCAAAAGTCAAGCCCTCCTGAATCTTCTTGAATAGCATCGTTGCCTGGCTGCCTGGGGCTAGTGGCCTTAAGCAAGGCTCCCAGGTATCAGCTACGTATAAATACTCGAATGCACAGCAGGCAACAGACACCTTCTCTGTAGGACACATCACTCGACCACCTTCACACCAGCGCATTCTTGCAATTAACAGCATTTTCCATCTCATGCTCGAAACTTCATTTCTGCTTACCTCCTTGTACTCCCCTGGCCAAGCCTCTAGCGGACAAGTTGACATCATTGCTTCTCGCTTCTCGCTTCCTTATACCTCCAGCAACAGAAACTTGCGCAGCCGATCAATCAACACCTCTGTCATTACACAGTGGCTCTCTCTTGATATCAACTGGAGGAAATCGGTCTTTTGAAAACAGTTCATATTCTTATAAAGTAGCGTTGATATTCGGCCCGGTAAGGCGTACTCGGTTTTCCTCCCCCACAGTGGTCTTCCCGCAAACCTCAGCGGACTCACCCGAACGAGAACAAGAGTACATTCTCTGCTGTGCCGTCTCGACGTGTCAACCCTGAGCTATTATTGTGGATAAATCCGCCTGTTCTTTTTTCCCCCAAGCTTATGTTGTCTTCTTAAGTTCTATTTCCGAAGCTTCTTTTTAGTCACAAAGTGAAGTGATTGACAAGATTTTATTGCCTTTGGGCCATCTTGAAAGGCTTAGGCGCCCCCCACCCTCGTGACGTTCCAGTCATCCCGCCCGCGATAATTGATGATTAACCGCTCACCCCTCGCTCGTTTTCTGACGCTGAAATTCGATAAGGCTACGCAACGATCGGCCTTTGGTGCTAGTCCTGCATAGAATCCCCATCCGACCTCCTCTCGTTGATATCACATATCACCTCCTATTCCAGAAACGTGAAATAACAAATAAAGGAGAAAGGGAGAGAGAGAGGGAGAAAAGAAAGGGAGCCCACACCTCCCTCCCGGAAACTTCCTGGTAAGCTGTGACGTGTGTTGTCCCGGAAAAAGAGAAAGGTCTCGAGCCGTAACATCGAGACCTTGCTTTCTTTTTCCCTTGTCAGCACATCACCGGCTTGCCACGAACGATCCAAATACCTTCACCACGCCTCCCTTAACGAGGAAGAGGAAGGCGGCCGAGGCGGCGATTACAAACCAGGAGACACCCATAGCCGCCACCGAGGCTCCCATCGCCGGGTCGCGTACCGTCACAGGAATCCCATCGTCACGCACCAAAACGGCCCGTCGGGAGGATAAACTCGCAGATCTCGATTCGGGGACGGACTTGATATCGGTGGCGTCTGAGAGCGTTTCTGTTCGAGTACAGAAAAAGGTGCCGGATCTCGTCACCCCGGCGTCGACCAGCATGGATTCAGACGATGATTTCATGACGGATGCTTCGAGCCCGGATGATTTTCTGGATACCCAGGGAAGTGATGATGAGAGTCTAGGCGAAGGTATGTTATGCGGATCACCTATATTTGACATGGGGGGTCTTCCGTTAACGCAGGTCATCTCTTAGATTTCGGCGATGAGTTCGACGGCGGATTCTCGCAGGACAAGGATATGCTCGGGAAATCAAAAAAGCCCTACGAAGTTGACTTCAGAGTCTTGAGCCCAGAGGATATCGACTGGGAGCAGAGCCAGCAGGTCAACGAGGTCTCACAGATTCTGGGCCTGCCACCAGAATCGGCAGCCATTCTACTACGATTCGGGAAATGGAATCGGGAAAAGCTCATCGAGTCTTACATGGATCATCCCGAGAAGACTCTGGAGGATGCCGGTCTGGGGATGAATCTTGATGTGACACCTAAGACAGAAGTTGTACCCGGGTTCATGTGCGATATTTGCTGCGAGGATGGGGACGATCTAGAGACATATGCCATGCGCTGTGGGCATCGCTTTTGCGTCGACTGCTACCGACATTACCTTGCGCAGAAAATCCGCGGGGAAGGGGAGGCAGCAAGGATAGAATGCCCGGGAGAGGGCTGTCATATGATTGTAGACTCAAAGTCTCTCGGTCTCCTTGTCACCGATGACCTCAAAGAGAGGTGAGTCTTGATCTCAGAATGTTCTATGGCTAGACACCCCTATTAACGATAGGTCGCAGATACTCAACACTCTTGATGCGGACGTATGTGGATGACAAGGAGAATCTCAAGTGGTGTCCGGCTCCTAATTGCGAGTATGCGGTGAACTGTCACGTCAAGCAGCGCGACCTCAACCGCATCGTGCCTACGGTACAATGTGCCTGCAGGCACTTCTTCTGCTTTGGCTGTACGCTTAATGACCACCAACCAGCGCCATGCACCTTGGTCAAGATGTGGCTCCAAAAGTGTGAAGACGACTCGGAGACCGCTAACTGGATCTCGGCCAACACGAAAGAGTGCCCGAGGTGCCATTCAACGATCGAAAAGAACGGAGGATGCAACCATATGACGTGCCGTAAGTGCAAGCATGAGTTCTGCTGGATGTGCATGGGCTTGTGGTCCGAGCACGGTACCAGCTGGTATAACTGCAATCGCTATGAAGAGAAATCCGGATCGGAAGCTCGGACCGCGCAGGCGAAGTCTCGAGCGTCGCTCGAACGGTATCTGCATTACTACAACCGATACGCCAACCACGAGCAGTCTGCGAAGCTCGACAAAGATCTCTATCTCAAGACGGAGAAGAAGATGACGAGTCTGCAGTCCCAGTCGGGGTTGTCATGGATCGAGGTGCAGTTCCTCGATACGGCGTCCCAAGCACTCCAGCAATGCCGACAGACCTTAAAGTGGACGTATGCGTTTGCATACTACCTTGCTCGGAACAATCTGACGGAGATCTTCGAGGATAATCAGAAAGATTTAGAGCTCGCGGTAGAGAGTCTTAGTGAGATGTTTGAGAAGCCCGTACCGGAGCTGGCTAGCCTGAAGGTTGACATTTTGGATAAAACGGCCTACTGCAATAACCGGCGGGTGATACTCTTGAGCGACACGGCCGAGAACTTGAGACAGGGTATGTTGCAGTTTCCCTTGACGTCTCCGAACCTGACTTATGAAGCTGACCGTTTTGATTCTCCAGGAGTATGGTCGTTTAATGTCGAATGGTAGAATATATAGAATTCGTCCGGGACACCTAGCTGTTCCAGATGTTGATATTTCAGCCAAAAAAAACTTGGCGATCAGGCCAAATGTGAACGAGGAATCTTTCACGACGTGAACGACTACAGCACACCATGGGATATTTTCTTCTTCTTCTGATTTATATCATTTATTTGTTTACATTCGGGGTGACAGTCCTTACTGGAGTTAGCGAGACAGAGAATATCGATTTATTGTACCAGCCATCAATGCATTATTTATTTATTTATTTTTTTTTCCCTTTCACTTTCTGTTCTGATACCCATGCTACTGTAGACTAGTCAAGATCAGAGTCAGATAGCATGTGCATTTACCCAAAAAAGCGCTGGTGCTCCAGTCTAAATGCCCGCTATTTGCGACTATGTATTGGCCAAGAAAAAAAATGACTTCCTGGGACGGAGCAGGATTACGGGATAGATAAAATAATTAACTATCGCCATCAGATAAAATGCTCTGACTGGGTTGGGAACTTGGGGCCCTGGTCCGAAATCTGATTAACAGGATCTGATAAAGCTGAAGCCTAATTTGGGCTTTCCTCCGGATCTCGGAGGCTCGGAGTTGTATGAGACAGGAGGATAAGTGATTAGTAATATTGATCTAGATAGTAGATAGTAACTAACTCCGTAGATGGAAACCAGCATGATAGCTTGTCACCCTTGTGCATGCGAAATTGGTTCAACCAGGACTGTTGTTCTACAATTCTACCCACTGTCATTTTGTGAATTGATGGTAGTTATTCCCGAATACTTCCCAGAATGGGAACCTCCGTCATCGGAACCCCGGTGTCTGGACGTGACGGGATGATTCAGCAGGGTGCAGAAACGATGTGGACCCTTTTTTTTTTTTTTTTTTTTTTTTTGTTTTTTTGCGCGGCAGCAACAAGATTCAGTTATAAGGTAATCTAGGAGGAACAATTCATTTCAAAAGTAAAGTCATATAGATGTTGTTCGCATTATTATTTTCTTTGGCTTCTTAACTCCGTAAAAGACGGAACGACCACCAAACTCGGCTTGGTTCCTCAATGTGCTCTGTTCGTACTCCATAGTAGTGACTGTTAGCTCCGCGGCATTCGACTCTAGCGCAGCGAACGAAAAAAAGAACAATAATTTCCCCGACCTGGATTTTCCAGAGCGATTGTCACCGACCAAATCAACCTCCTCTCTACACCCTCCCTAGTCCTCTCTCTGCGTCTTGCATTGAGCTTTATTGATTCTTTCTCAAGATCAGATTGACTCTTGCCGTGATTGTCTCGTTCCTTTTTCTCCTCGACAGCTCTCCCCCCTCCCCCCTCCGGCTTCCAGCTGTTAGCTCCCTCTTCCTCTTCTCGGCCCTCCGGTCAAAACCAAGAATCCTTGTTGCTGCCACAACCCCGTCTCCTTCGGCCTATTCGAAAAGCTCTCTTCGGACGCGCGCAAATCTGCCGTTGTCGTCGCTTCCTTCTTGCCCTTCTCCCTAATCCTTCTCCCTTCGTTGTAGCTCCGGCTGTGTCCGGGAGCTATTAGAGCTCGATGGCGGGTCCTGATGAGATTCCTGAGGAGGAGTTTGAGTATGTCACTGCTGAGCACAATTCCAATCACCCGAGCTGTGGCTTTGCGAGGGGGAAATACACTTGGAAGGCTCCCTGTTTCTGCAGGAAGAGAGGCCTTTCCAAGTTTTTGTTCTTTCTCCTCAGCAATCGTCTCTCTGGTCTTCGATGATGACGCAAAGCTAATCTCGTCGCTGTGGTAGCTATGAATCCCTTCCCTCAAACTATGGCCTTGGTCGGAACATGTTGGCCGGTGCATTCGCGGGCATAATGGTATGTGGATTGCGATATTGGAAGGGGGGGTTTTGAGTTCGATGGCGGAGGTACTAATTGACGGGTTTAGGAACATGCTGTCATGTACCCAGTTGATCTACTCAAGGTATGTCGACCTTTTCTTTTTCTTCCCCCCCCCCTAAAATAGCCCTCGGCTGCGCGAAGCTTGTAGTTCTATCTCCTAGCTTGTCGCATTATCTGAAGATGGAACTGACATTTGTGGTGGTTACGGGCAGACGCGCATGCAAGTCTTACATCCTACAACCGGAGGTCTTTACACCGGCTTGACCAATGCGGTCTCCACGATCTATCGGGTTGAGGGCTGGCGGACATTATGGAAGGGTGTCTCGAGTGTGGTTGTCGGCGCTGGTGAGAAATGATAAGCCTGGAGACGGCGAACACGGAAAATACTGAACCCTACGGATTGAATAGGCCCCGCACATGCCGTGTACTTTGGTACTTATGAGGTGGTCAAGGAAATGGCTGGTGGAAACGTCGATGATGGCCACCACCCTCTGGCTGCTGGTAAGGACCCCTCCTGGTTCACACCGTGCCTCAACCACGCAGGGCACAGGAAGAATTGATGTGTTAACGTTCCGAAGCTGCCAGTGGAGCGGCAGCTACCATTGCTAGTGATGCCTTGATGAACCCGTTCGATGGTGAGTTTCCGTCCCGACCGACGAGCCAATTTTTCCGATTCTAACGCATGCTTGAATAAAGTCATCAAGCAACGCATGCAAGTCCATGGCTCCGTACATAAGACTCTCCTCCAATGCGCCAGTTCCGTTTATCGTGCCGAGGGTCTGCAGGCATTCTATGTGTCGTACCCAACTACCCTCTGTATGACGGTTCCTTTTACCGCTACCCAGTTTGTCGCATACGAGTCGATTTCCAAGGTCATGAATCCTTCCCAGGAGTATGATCCCTTCACCCACTGTATCGCTGGAGGTCTTGCTGGTGCTTTCGCTGCCGGTATCACCACGCCTTTGGACGTCGTCAAGACGCTCCTTCAAACACGAGGCTTGGCGCAGAATGAGGAAATCCGATCCGCCAAGGGACTTTTCAACGCTGCGGCTATCATCAAGCGCCAGTTCGGTTGGAAGGGTTTCCTGAGGGGTGCTCGTCCCCGCATCATCTCTACGATGCCCAGTACCGCAATTTGCTGGTATGTTTGCGAGCTTTTTTTTTTAGCGTCCCCTCGCTCCTTGGGAACATGAACTGACAAGGCAATACAGGACATCCTATGAGATGGCCAAGGCGTACTTCAAGGGCCAGGCCGACTGACGGCCAGACCGTGATCTTCCGTAACGGCCTCTCCACACGAATGCGACTACACATATCATTCCTCGGGTGTCAATCAACGCTTCCATCGACAAACATGAAAAGTTATTAGGAATATCGGAAATTTATAATTTTAAAAGAACGTGTTCGAAAGCTATCGTTCGAAGGCGCACACTGCTTCGCACCGCATATGCATCAAGCAGGGGACCTGGGGAAGACAAGAGGGAGAGAAGTATATGCAAAGTCTCCAAGGCAATCAGCTTAGTGACAATATGTTTCTCTCCCTCTCATTGTTTTTTTTTTTTTTTTTTTTTTCCCCTCCAACCCTGTGTCTTTTCCCCAACGGTGATTGCCCCATCCGATTCACAATTCTTCATCTTTGCGAGCGAATTCCGAGGCAGCCGAGCCGGTCCTGAACTTCGGAACCAACCGATCGAGGGCCACCCGGTGGAGGAAGTTGTTCCTCCGGTTCGTTTCCCCCCCCGTTTCTGATAATTATGTGTATAAAGGTTTTCTGGACGGGTGTTGCGGCTTCACACCGAGGAGCCTTTTCCACTTTTTTCTTTTCTTTCTTTTTTTATCTGATCTTTGAAGACCCCGTTTGGGAGCACTCAGGAGGGTGACTCCAGTGACGGGATTTTGCATGCAAATGATGTGAGCCTAACGAACTTGAGGCTTCTCTCCTACCTGTTTGACCGATGTATCCTGTATTGTATCGGCGTTGGGCACGCAGGGCAGTTTTCGCCAGGGTTATGATTCTTGGATCTTATTCAGCTTTGGCCTTGATTTAGTATACATGTACTCATAGACGGGACGATCTGGTTGCAGTCTGGATTTGGATATGGAAGATATAAAGGGTTCAGTGATTGAGATACGATCCTCTTTTTACTTCATGTCTTCATCTCTATATACATACACGATCAATGAACCAATGAACCTAATCAATTCACGCTGCTTGGCACTATTCTGTCACTTCTGCTGGTCTATTAACATCCAATTTGTGCCGTTCATTGTCTTCTGGCCGTGGGGCAAAATGGCTCTCCTCGATCCGGAGTTGCTCCAAGAAAAATGGGCGGACCGACGACGTCACGCGAACTGCGTTCTGATGGAAACGAAGGGAACAAAAGAAAGAAAAAAAATCAAACCATCTCGTCCCCAACTTCCTCTTCTTCGTACTTCCATTCTCTGTCGGTTCATCGCTATCAATTCCCGTCTTCTTCTCGCCTATCCCGATTCCTCGCACCGCGACCACTCAATCCATCGCTCTACTGCGCCACCCGTACCATATTCCCTCCCTACGTCCCCGACATTGCCTCGTTTGGATCCGACCAAGACCAATCTTCTACCCTCTTCGCCTCCGCATCCAATTGTGGTCGATCGCATGGCTGGTGCGGGCGGGTCCTGCAATTCCGCTGGCGTGAATGATGCGCTCCAAGCCTGCTGCGTCTTCGCTGCAGAAGACGTACGATGAGTGCTACCTTTCGTGCTCCACTGCCGTCTACTTTGAGGGACAGGTTTGTCGCCCCCCCGCGACCCTCGTTCCTATCTGGAGATTATCTTTCCGTTTTGCCCCCCCCTCGGCTTACTCAATCTCGGTTCTTATTTCCACTTCCTTATAAGACTAACTGGCTCTGGGTCTGCAGAACAACGAGGATGAAGCATTGAGGGCATGGCGCTCCGCTCTTGATACCATCTCCTACCACAACGCTTACCGGCTCTCGTCGACCTATACCCCCAAGAACGAAACGGAGAAGGCGCTACAGGATTCAATCCGTCAGTTGGAACTCCAATGCCGAGAGCGAGTCGATCTCCTAGAGGCCCTACGTGAAAGCAGAAAGGAATCGCAGGAGAAGGAGAGTTCCACCATCAGCAGTGCAAGAGACAGGCTCTTTAAAGGGAAATCAGCGGCCAAGTCACCTACTTCGAATCCTCCTGGTTGGATCGGAGACGGAACAGTTCCCGCAGTCGGTTACACGGACTTATCACGACCGCCGCCTATTCCTAGACGACCAGGGCCAGTGACTCAGACCAGTTCGGAGTCCTTCGCCAACGACAATAGTGCCGCGTCTGCGACGAGTTCGCCGGCAATTCGCATTCAGTCGCATTCGTCCGGTAAATCCCCGTCTCGCAACTCGAGTCCCGAAAAACGCAAGATCATGCCTACCACGTTGCGAAAGTCCGATGGCCACCGGAAGTATACGAAAGCCAAGGATGCACTCCGGCGAAAGGAATTGCGGCCAGCTGCGTCGCAGGCTGCGGGGTTAGCCTGGGGAAGCGTCTATCGGTCGCCGTCGTCATCTGGCAATCTCGCGAGCGACGCTGCATTAACCTCCTCTCGGAACAGCCTCTCCAGTGACTCTGGTTTCCGCAGGGATCCTGGTCACTTCAGGTCGAGCTCTGGGGATGACCGCTCGCCGAGGAAGATTGCAAAGGAAGATCTTGATAGTCGAGAGTCCCCGGTGCGTCCCCGGGCTCCGCGGCGGACTACCAGCAGCACAATAGCAGCACAGACGTCTACATTGAACCGCCATTCTCCTGCCGGCGAGGCTCGGCAACAGTCAGGCAGTCGCGTTGCTGCCCCCACTCAGCCTGTATTGGACCCCTTTGACGCACGCCAGAGAAGTCCGACTCGACCCTCTGTGAAACCCAAACCCGTTGCACTCAGAGTTCCTGCACCATCACCGCCCACCCACAACATCAATGAATCGAGATCTCCGGCTCGGAAAGTAAGGTCGGAGGGTACGAAATATGCTTCCGAAAACCCGCAGAGCAAACCCACATCAAGGTCCCGCATTAATGCCTCCCCATCGGTGAGGCCCGGACCCCGAGCAACAGATGGGGACCTGAGTCCCGCCGTGAGTCGAATGGCTATATCTGACACCCCCCTTCGGCGTCAGCCGCAACCTGCGCATACGGTCACGCCACCATCGAGTGACCAGGAGTCGTCTGGACTAAAATCGATTGATGCAGACGAAGAGGAGGAAGATGAGGACGAGGATCGATCAATCTCGGATATCATGAAGAAACTGCCCAAGGGTATCGATGCAAATGCTGCGCGGCAGATCCTCAATGATATCGTCGTCCGCGGGGACGAAGTGCATTGGGATGATATTGCCGGGCTCGATCCTGCTAAAAAGGCACTCAAGGAAGCCGTCGTTTATCCGTTCCTTCGCCCGGATCTGTTCTCTGGGCTCCGCGAGCCCGCGCGAGGGATGCTTCTCTTCGGTCCTCCCGGTACCGGCAAGACGATGCTCGCCCGAGCGGTAGCCACAGAGTCCAAGTCGACCTTCTTCTCCGTCTCCGCCTCGACCCTGACGTCCAAATGGCACGGTGAAAGCGAGAAGCTCGTCAGGGCGCTGTTCGGGCTTGCCAAAGTGCTGGCCCCGTCCATCATCTTCGTCGATGAGATCGACTCGCTGCTCTCCGCTCGCTCCTCGGGGACCGAGCACGAAGCGTCGCGGCGATCCAAAACCGAGTTCCTCATCCAATGGTCGGACCTGCAACGCGCAGCAGCCGGACGGGAACCATCCACCAAGAAAACCGGTGGTGATGCCAGCCGCGTGCTCGTCCTCGCGGCCACCAACATGCCCTGGGACATCGATGAAGCCGCCCGCCGCCGCTTCGTCCGCAGACAATACATTCCTTTACCGGAACACCATGTCCGCGAACAACAGCTCCGCAAGCTCCTGAGCCATCAGAACCACGATCTCAACGATGAGGATATTGAAGTCCTCGTCCATGTCACAGAGGGTAAGTCTCTTCCCCTCCTATCCCCAGCAGACCCTAACCTCTTTTTTTTTACTCTCTTCCTCAATGCTCTCTAACAACCTCTCTCAAACAACAGGTTTCTCCGGCTCCGACATCACCGCCCTCGCCAAGGACGCCGCCATGGGCCCCCTCCGCAACCTTGGCGAAGCCCTCCTCCACACCCCCATGGACCAAATCCGGCCCATCCGCTTCCAGGACTTCGAGGCCAGTCTCAAATCCATCCGGCCCAGCGTCAGCCGCGACGGTCTCCAGCAGTACGAGGAGTGGGCGCAGAAGTTCGGCGAACGTGGCGGATAGACCTCTTCTCTCCTCAATCTTTTTTTTTTTTCTGTCTTTGCTTTTCTCGATCTCGTTTTCGTCGTCATCCCTGCTCACATCCGCATCACCTATCATCCCCTCCTCTACTCACGCTCTAATCAAATGGATGGGTCGCGTGATATCTGTTCGTTTTCGCCAGAGGCGGATCTCGCTCCTCGGTCGTTGGTTTTCTTTTCTTTTATTTGGTCCTTGTGCACAGGTTATGGGTTATGGTCTGGTATCGGTATGGACGGGGGGGTTTTTTTTTTCCATTTTGTTTCATGTCTTGGGTTGGTGCATACATATCTTCCCTGGCACTTTGAGTTTGGTGCAGAGGCTATGCTCGTATATTCATTCGTCTCTTGTCTCCTTGTGTCTCTTGTCTGTTGGTGTTTTTTTTTTTTTACGGGTCTTGTGTATCTTCCACGGTTATCATATCACGGAATTGGGGGGGGATGGGATGGGTATGTGGTTTTAGGTTTTTACTTTTTCGAATATAAATTCCTTTTGAATTCTTGATTAGGATTCCTCGGCTTGTTGTCGAACTGGATGAAATGGATGGATAGTTAGTTAACTTACACCGTAAAACATGGGGGGAGGGGGGTGGTGTCTTGTCTACTCAGTGTATGTATGTATACAAAGGCTTCTCTCGAATTACGTACTACACGATAGAATAGAACTTGGACTTGAGGCCAGATAGATGAGCGAGTTTTGTCACGAGGGCTATGTCTTCTTATTGAGATGTAAATGCTCGATACGGAGGGAGTAAGGAGTAAGAAGTAAGTAGGTAGGTAGGCACAGGTCTGACCCGAGACACGAGACAGGCCAAGGACATCACAAGAAGAGGAAGTGGTAGAGGATGACAATGCAGAGTTTAAGACCATGATGTGGTTGAGGAACTAGACACTAGGAAATTGAATAGTGATGGTTGGAAGGGTGGAGGGGAATAATGAGCATGATAAGTGGGTAATGGGAACTCCAGGATGTCCCTTGTTTATTCACAATGTGTCGAGAGGAGGAAGCGGTTCCGACAAACCCGACTGAAGAACTGAATGATAGAGCATAGAAAACAGAGAGCTGCAAAGCAAAGAAGAAAGAAAGAAAAAAGATGCATGATGATAGATTGATAAAAGGGGGGGAGGAAACATAACCTTGGTATCCCAATCAATGAACATTTGCTCACACCAAAGTCAACGAAGAAGTTTAGAGACAATTTCAAATGGATGGAAAGAAAAAAAAAAAGCATCAATTGATTTCCTGTCACGCGTCTCACGTCTCGCTTTACAAATCAATCAAGCTGCCACCGGCCTGATGCTGCTGTTGATATGACTGCTGGCCACCCCAGGGGTTGTTCGTCGACTGGGCGAAGCCTGTCGACTGAGGGACAAATTGCTGTTGGTTATAGAATGGGTTGTTGCCCGTGTGTGTGGCTCGCAGACGGTCCAAACCCTGACCGGCAGAGTTGACGAAGGTGCCTGGAGCAGTGTGTTGGGCCGGGATGCGCAGATCGCCCACGTTGCCGAACGTATCTTGTCCTTCGCCTGTAGAAAGGAGAGCATTGAGACGAGCGTGGTGGGGGTTGTTCATTTGTGGAGGTGTGCTCTTGGGTGGTGCCGGGGCTGCTGTGAAAGCAGGAGCTTGGAAATTGGTAATAGGGTTGGAGGATGTGAACTGATTCGTTGCCCTTTCTTCAGCAAGTGTGTTGAGCGACGGAGGTCCTGTCGACGTATGGGGTCGAGCCTGGAATTGAGTCCGGGCAGCAAACGGGTTGTTGGACCCGGTTGGCATGGGCTGTAGAGTGTTCGCTTGGGGTGCACCGTTATGAGCCCATGGGTTGTTGCTACCGGACGGGGAGAAGTTCTCTTGTCCTTGCTGCTGCTGCTGCTGCTGGGAAAACACGTCTGTTCCGTACGGATTATTTGGACTGAAGGCGGTCTGTTGGGGTTGCAGGGTGGCCTGGGGTTGTAAGAAGTTGTTCTGCAGCTGGCCGTATGGGTTGTGATCAAAGGCATTTGGCTGAGATTGGAAGCCATTGGCGTATCCGTTGGGCATCCCGGTGGGCTGATTCTGAAATCCAGTTGCTTGCGCATATTGGTTGTTCAAGTATCCAGTCGAGAGAGGTTGTTGAGGGTTGATCGGGTTGCCAAACCAGTCGACAGCGCCTTGTTGCTGGTATCCTTGGTTGTAACCGGTGGGCTGGGCCTGGGCAGTCGGCACGGGGGTGTCGTCAAAGAGTGATTGCGCATTGCTCTCTTCCAGCTCCCGCTTTCGCAATTCTTCCTCCTCCTTGCTCAGCTTGATCGCTTTGGCCAGATCCTCGTCATCTTCCGCCATCATGGTTTGTCTCTCCCTCCGTTTCCGTTCTTCTTCAGCTTCTGCCTTACTTGCCTCGATCGCCAGTCGATATTCAACGTCTTCGTCGTCCCCTGCTGGTCGGCGACGCTCTCGCCGGTCAGACCGACGGGATGGCTCCGCACCATGACTCTGATATTCATCCAATCCATTCACCCGAGATTTCCAGAGTTTGCGATCGGATCTTTCGCTGCGCAGTCGATCTTCATCGAGAATGAGTGTTGTAAGTTCCTTGGCTGCGACACGCACTGCAAAAAAGAGACACAAAAAACGAGATCGTTAGCTTATGCGACAAACCATCTCGCAGATGAGATCAAGTCTAGCGACCGCTTACCGTTCTGTCCAACATCTCGTCCATCCTCATCGACATACTGGAACTCGCGCAGGGTCTTGATGATGTATACATTCTTTCTTGCCCAGGTGACAACCAACTCCGATCCTTCGTGGAGACAGTAATCTAACACCTTCAATGACTTGAGCACGTGGCGCCAGTTCTTGCCCTTGTCGTTCAGCCGCTTGTCAAGCATGTCCATAATCTCGTAGAAATCCGTCGGACTGGTTGATACTAAGAGTCAGCGGGTGTGTCTTCTTCGGAAAGAAATGATAACGGATATACCTGCTGAAAGTCATACCAGCAATCTCCGCCATTTCAGTCCCCGTGGGACCCCAAGGGTCATTGCTTGTTGCTATTTTGTGAAGGGTCAGTCCAAGTGGTTCAAGCGGCAAGCAGAGTGGCAGTGGCAATCATTCGACCATCTTGCCAAACGAAAAGTGGGATAATAGAGAGGGGCAGCATCCAGAGGAGCAGAGTGTGAGACGTACCATTTCGGACCTTGACCTGTACTGAAGAGTAACCCTTGGTCACGTTCTTCACGCTGCGAACGACTTTCGACATGGTGGTGGTTGTGAGAGTATGAGTTGGAATGGGAAGACTAGATTAATCGACACAGGCGCAGTCTCGAGTCTTGCGGGGAAGCGAGGCGCAAGAATCGCAATTTCTTTCGCCCTGTCTGATATCGGGACGAGGATTAAGGATCAATTTGATAGTAATTTCAGGGGGGATAAAACGCTCGAGTCTCGCAATCGTATCGGAGAGAGTGCGATGCACAGTAGTGCTGGGGTGGTTGGCCTTATCGCACGACTTTAAGGCGGTGGTGGTGTATGTAAGCCGCGTTCGGGCAATCAATCGGATAGTCGGCGCTTTGAAGGAAGAGTAAATAGGGGTAATGGGTCAGGGCGTGATTGGGGAGAGAGGATATCTTCCAGAAGAGCCGACACGTCAACGTCTTGAGATTTAAGTATGATGAGGCAGGATAACGGATGATCGGATGATGGACCAGGTGGGAGGAGAGTGGAAGAAAGAGCACAGAGAGACGAAGAGAGAGAGAGAGAGAGGGAGAATGAAGAGAGGGGAGATGGTACCTAGACGGATGGCGGTGGTCAGTTTGGGTTTCGTTTTCTGGTTCTTCTTTTGGGTTGGTGCTCCGGCAGTATGACGAATTGGGCTGCGGCGGCGGTCTTAGCACTGCGACAGATGCGAGAGGCTTTAATCAAGGAAGAAGGAACAGATATCTGATTCTAGCAGACGGTTATTGAAGCTTTTCTCAAATGAGATTGGGGAGTCTTGGTGGATTACCTCGTGGAGCCTTGGGAGCTTCGAACCACAGTCTCGATCAATTTGACCAGCAGAGAGGTGGTCGGTATAGATAGATAGATAGATAGATAGTTTAGCAGCGCAGTCGTCAAGTAAAGAAAAAGAAGATCAGACAATGGACTCTCTAGATAAACGGAATATAGCAAGAGCAGTGAAAGACTAAGAGTAAGAGAAGAAGAGGAACAAAGATAGGGATCACCACAGATAATTCTTTATTACTGACAGTAGCAAGGCAGCAGCTCATCCAGTTCGCTACAACCCTACACAGTACACTACTAAGACTCCGTAGTCCTTTCACCTGAGTAAGTGACCGTCTCCCGATTCCTCCGTCTTACCCAATTCTCACCTAAGGTTGGGGATCCAGAGCTACCCGTTACACAACCGATCCCTTTCACCAGTCCATGAATCAATGCGTCCGTGGGTTTATCTACCCTGCATGACATTGAAAGCACCCTCCCCGTTGAACTCCAGCGCCTGTACCGAATTTCCGCCCATCTCATGGTTCTCGTGGCGAAGCGGCCGCGTACGACGTGGACTTGGCGCCTTCAGTCAATGGGTCAGAGTGGATAGGTTCTCTAGTAAGACAAGAGAGTCTGGATACTAGCTGATGAATCTGGAATACAGAGATTGACTCTATTGTTGGTTGAGGGAGTTCGATTCTGCATGCTTAAGAGTTGATACTTGTCTGGATTGTGGCGGTGCAGAGTTCGTTGTCTGAATGTTGAAGATGAGGAAAAAGAGGGTTCTCCAGCTACGTCATCGGTGAACCTTGGATGTTGCTCCGATTTGAATCGTGGAGATATCGACAATGTCAGAATTTCCAAAATCAGACACAAATATTCAATCGAAGAACCCTTCTATAATTTGGCTCAAATTGTTTTTATCATCATTTCCATCACTCGTCGCAATTTTGCATACACACTGAGAAGCGCGGGAAAAAAAAAAAAAAAAAAAAAAAGGTCAGAAACCGTAACAAGCTTAATTCTATCTATGCCTGCTCCATGCTCAGATATTTTTCCTCCGCGCCCTTGATGCACTGGATGTTGGCCCCCAGCTTGTTCAATGTCTCCACATACTCATCGTACGGATCCGAGTCGAACACAATGCCGCCGCCTGCCTGCAGATAGGCCACTCCATCCTTGACGAGCATCGTCCGGAGCGCAATGCACGTGTCCATCGCACCAGGCAGCTCTGCCGCTCCGTCCGCGCTCGAGATGTTGAAGCCAAAGTAACCGACCGCCCCCGCGTAGACTCCGCGCTTCTCGCCTTCCAGCTCCGCGATCAGCTGCATCGCCCGCACCTTGGGAGCGCCCGACACGGTGCCTGCAGGGAAGATGGACCGGAAGGCATCGAACCGCGTCTTGTCCGGGCGGAGAATGCCCGATACCTGCGACACCAGATGCTGGACGTGCGAGAACTTCTCCACCACCATCAACCGGTCCACCTGCGTCGTGGTGGGATCGCACACCCGGTTGACGTCGTTGCGCGCCAGATCAACCAGCATGACGTGCTCGGCGCGGTCTTTCAAGCTGCCGCGCAACTCATCGGCGAGGGCGTCGTCCTCCTCGGGGGTCTTGCCGCGTTTTACGGTGCCGGCGATAGGGTGAGTGATGATCCGGCCTTTCTCCTCCTTGGCGAGAAGCTCCGGACTGGCACCGACGAGCTGGAATTCTTCGCAGTCGATGTAGAAGAGGTAAGGGGAGGGGTTGACTGTGCGCAGATGACGGAAGAGGTTGAAGGGATGCAAGGAGGTAGGGCGGGACAGACGCTGCGACGGCACGGTCTGGAAGATGTCTCCCTTAGAGATGTGTTCCTTGAGTCTGGTCACATGGCGCTCGTACCCTTCCCGGCCGATATTGGATGTGTATTCCTGGTTGGGGATGATGGGATCCTGAGGGGGAAGCGGGCATTCCGGCCGTAACAGCGTGGCGATGGTCTGCTGAAGCACCTCCTGCCCTTTCCGGTACTCCGCCTCGAGCTCCGCATCGTCGCTCGGGATGGGAATGTATGTGACGACCTTGATGACCTGGAAGAAATGATCAAACGCAACGATGGTATTGAACATCATGAACAGCGACTCGGGGATCCCCAGCACGTCCTTGAGCGGCCGCGCCGTCTTGGGCTCGAAGTATCGAACACAGTCGTAGCCCACATAACCGATGGCGCCTCCAGTCAGCGGCGGTAAGGTCAACCCGGGCACTGTCGCAACACGGAACCGGGAGATCTCCCTCTCAAGAACGGGGAGAGGATCGCAGGCCGGACCATGGCCGGGCCCTGTCTTGAGAACTTTGTAGGGGTCTGCATCCCATCGCCTCCTCAGTCAGCGACATAGCTCACACCGACTCAACATACTCGACCCAAGTAAAAGAAACCCACATACCGGCACCAACAAAACTATACCTCCCAATCGTCTCCGTCGTAGCCGCACTCTCGTAGAGGAACGATAACTTCGACCTATCCAACGCCGGGTTGGTCAATTATTCAAACGCTTACCCGGCGCACCCAGAGCAACAACGCGCCTCTCACTCTCCCCTTCAGATGGCAAAAACTCACTTCTCAGCAATCTTCAAATACGCCAATGTCGGCGTCAACAGGTCCGCAGGTATGCTGGCCGTCAAGGGGAGCAGATTTGGGGGATATTGCGCGTTTCTGGAGTTGTTGATCACCTCCCTGGCCGTCTCCAGGGACGGCACAATGGTCGTCTGAGTCATAGAAGAGAAAAGGCAATTAGCATCGGGGGCTCCCGCAAGTGCCTTTCGCACATCAAATTCAAACGCCGGGGATACGAATGGATTTGCAATGCGTACTTACCGAGGGCGCCATTCTCTCAAAAAATGTGAGGTAGGAGGGGGAAAAAAAGAGTCTTTTGCGGGGAGATCTGGAAGGGTTGAGCGAGGGGGAGATGGTGGAATAATATGAAATGTTTAAATCGTTCGCGGAGAGCACGGAGTCGATATCCCCAGTTCCGCCGGTGGAAACAAACTTCCAAACAAAATAGTCCAATGACTATCTATGAGTCAGTGGTGAGCGGACTAGACTACCTATTCTGTTTCTGTCGCTACTTAAAATTCAGAATTGGAGGAACGAAAATCCTGGATAAATGTGCCAAAGACCTCAAAGATCAGTCTGTCAGGGAGTGACCCAGACAGGCCTAGCGTCCGAAGCACGCCCAGTAGAGCTCGTTGGATCTGACCCTTTTCTGTGTCTCCTCAAGGATCATTCTGGCCTAGGAATCCTGGGCTGTCAGTCTATTGATCTTATTTTTACTCCTGCTAGTTATGATTTTCTTCTTTTTCTCTCCTTTTGTCTAATAGTTGGAATCTTCCTGCAATTATCCTTGTTCTTCAGCTCTCGTTCTACTCTGTAGTAATACCACTACCTCCACACTGCGTGGTCAGCTAAAACCTCACAAGTTGCGTCTCCTGATCCACATCGGCGAAGTCCAACAAGTCAGCAACAGACAAATCTTCCTTTGGCTTCGTGGCCTTGCATTCCCCTTGCGTTATCTGGATAAAAAGATTGCGGCCCGTCTATTGGCTCTCTTGACAATTGCATCCTGCATTTCTTAAATCTACATGTCTAGTATCACAAAGTACATGCACATGGGTAACAAATCATAATGCCATGGAGGCCTCACATCCAAGTTACTCAGCTTGCCAGGTCCGGGATCCCGATGCAGATGCAATTGCAGATCACGATCACACTATAAGTGCCACGCCCGCGGGACAGGCTCCTGTCCAAATCGCAACAACCATCTCAATACCAGAACCACTATTATCAGACCGCCGGGCAAGGGTAACGCTTCGCGGTTCGGAAGATGTGCATTGGCCCGAAGAGGACTCCATCGCTCTCAGCCGCTGCATTGACACTATCGAATCCGCTCTCGACCCACGCCCAGACCTAACGCATGAAATTGCCAAATGTCGTCCAAAAAGTGTTCACGCCGAAAAAGCAAGAACTGCCACTGCCGATCTGCCTACCAATCCTCCAATCAATATCAACAGAGCCATGCCAGTCGGCAAGGAGGCTTCGCTGAAGAATCTGACGGCTGTCCTCCATGAAGTCTCCTCACTGCGAAATGAGTTCAATAGGCGCCGAGAGGAATCGCTCCAAATCCAGGACCTCCTAACTCAGGAAATCCAGCAGATGACGCGGAAAATATCTGACCTAGAACAACACGTGCACGAGTTGTAAGCAACCATTTCCTCGATAGCTTCACGGGAAGTCTAAACTGATATATTCAATCCCCTCGCAGACAGATGGATATTGAGGAAGAGAGGGCTGAGCGTGAAGGGCTCCAAGGCACGGTTCACGGCCTGATTAGTTGGGTTGAAGCGTGGCAGGAGCAGCGTGACCAGGCTTCGTACACAACCAGAACGCAAAAGAGTGGACTGAAGCGATGGTCAAAGCGCAAGGATAAAGAGAGCACCGAAAATGGAAGTGAGGCTCTTCTCGACGGCATAAGCGCGTGGTCGCGGGGGTGGAAAGATGCCGAAGAAGAATTTCGGATACGGGCAAGTGAACGCAAGTTTAGAAGGGATGGCAGACAGAGTTCGCATGTGAATATCGGCGAAAGTGCGGAATCTTGAAACAGAACCCATCACGACATGGCCGTCTCACTCGAGAGCACGGCGTCTGTGGAGGCGTTGGAAGTATTGGTTGCAGGGGTATGTTCAACCCGAGTTCGAGAACATGAAGACCGACCGAACTAAGCGCCGAACACCCCACCGGATATTCGCCATATGATCCGAAAGAAAGAAATCAAAAACACCGTAGTCACCATGCATAATGTAATTCGTACCGTCGAGGTAGAAGTGTTTAAAAGGGAAGCCGTCCACAAACGGGTTGTTGTCCTCCGTAGCCTTTGCTGGTCAGTCGGCTCGAAGTCTTGTAGCTGACCTTGGTGTAACGCTGATAGAGACGTAAGCGGCAGATTGTGGAAAGGGCGAAAGAAAAGCGGACGCGGCGGTGATGAAAAGGCCCTGCCAAAACGCCGATACTCAAATATGCAAAAACAGGCTCGTTGATCTAAGCTGTCTTCCGTGTAAATTGCCTTCGTGGCTATATTATCTCATCCTTAAAATTCCAAGCGTACGGAGCCACGAAGGTGCTCATATGCTGTGGTTGTACGAGCATCTCAACGTTGCAAATTTACAACAGCCAACTGAACAATCACTGTGAGTATAGAATTCGAAAAGCAAAGAGAAGGTAGAAGATGACATACCTGTTTTCCAAAGCCAAACGCAAGCTTCTTACCATCAGTATCCCAAGAAAGGGAACGGTCCGGCAGCGGTTCGATGGATCCATTGTGTCCGTTAACAGCGTGATCAGTCCCTTCTTCTTTCGTTGCCTCTGCAAGGGTCGGCATGGCCCATGTGGCCATGGGAGTGCCTCCCCTCTCCACGTTCCAGATGGACAACCGATCCCGACTGGCCGCAGCGATAGCATAGCCATCAGGTGAGAAACATGACGCAAGAGCCGGCATCGACGGCCCGAGATTCAGGCGGTGAATACAGGTGAATTGTTTCGAATCTAAGTCAATATGCCAGATCTTGACAGTATCATCAGTGGACGAAGAAGCAAGAACCACAGGGAGGGTTGGCTGTGTTTGTTCCAGATAAGGACGAAGCTCAATGGATGTGATATCACCTTGATGGGCATCATCAAGATGCATGTCATGCGTTGGTACCCATAGTGCAGCAGTGCCGGAAGACGCGGCCACAGCCACAGGTGAGGAGCCTGCATTGGCACAGCGAATAAATGTCCAGGTTTTGTCAGTGTCGCCGGATGAGAAGGTCTTGGCGATACGGATGCTGGAGTCCACGTCACATTGATAAACGACCCCATTACCACTGGCGAAGGCCTGTTTATGACCTAGCCAGCTGAGATCATAGACTGAGCCATCAACCACCTGAGGTGACGGAAACCCATCGGGTCGCAGTGAATCATCCCAGAGCGCCAGCTCCGAGACTTTGCTATCTGATGCCACCACAATCAAGTGAGAGCTATTGTCGGACCAGTGGAGGCCTGTAATCATACGCGGCACTTCTGGCAAGAGATCGACGGCATTTCCAGCCACATCGTACATGGTGATGGAGCCTCTCATGTCATTGTAGGTGGCCACAGCGAACTTCTGACCCTTAGGATGCCACGCCACCGCTGAGACGCAATTTCCATCTCCTTTGCTTTCGACCAACTTCTCTTCCACCGGACCAGGCGACGTAGACTGCAACTTCCACAAGCTGCAGAATGTGTCTCCGGCCGCAACGAGAGTGGTGGGATCGTGGGGGCGCCACAGCGTGCGAGTCACGTGGTCATCACCAGCCACATCCAAAATGGCGGTGTTGGGGCTGAGGTCAGCGGCCTTGGCGGGGCTAATCTGGACACCCACGCTGTGGCCAGTCGTCAGAGTGAAGGTTGGCGCCGCGGCTGCTTCCTGCTCTTGCTGCACGTCGGGTCGTACATCCATGCTCACATCGCCGTCTCCGTCCACCACCATCTCGGCCGGCGATGGTGACCCCGTAACAGGCAATTTCTTTTCGGTTATCGCGCCATCAGAATCGACCTCCATAGGAACTTCATCTCCATTGGTTTCTGCACGATCGCCCTTGCGGGCTTTCTTGACCGTGGTGGGTGGAGCACCAGCCTCGGCTATCAGGTGACCATTACTGACGCCGCCTTCTCGCGCGGCTTTACTAGTAGGCGAAACAGGCGCTTGATCAGTGGCAGCACCAGTCTCGGGAGCCACTGGACCTTTTGGCATTTCCAACTCCAACGGTACTGGACCAAAGAAATATTTTGATGGCGTAAATGGTGCTGGGTTCCCATCCTGTAGGCAGAATTAGAGATTGTCGACCTTCATTGCTAAGAGAGTCGAGAACGAGTTTTGATGCGCAAAGGAAAAGCGGAAGAAAAAAAAAAAAAGCGAGAGAGAATGTAGACTTACCATATCGATGGACTGCTCGAGTTCATGATACTGAAGTCCCTTCTGAACCAGAGAGACCAGTGCATGTGTTCGGATGTAGGGAGCGAACGGCAAGCTCTGCGGATCATGGTTCCATGCGCGCTGCAGCGTCACTGCAGCTTCACCATGACCTGGGGGGAACGGAGTCAGTTGATCATAACGCTCAATAGAGGTTTACCTTTCATAATAAAGGATCTACCTGTGAGATCGACGAAGAGAAATTCGAGTACCAACCTGATTCTTGAAGATACCTAAGACGTACGTTAGCGACCTTGTGCCGAGAAGATGGGACGGTATGGGTGCTGCAAAAGAAGATTTGCAGTCGGTAAAGGGTAGGTATTCAGTACGGACCTCCATATTAGGTAATTGACGTGATGTGATGTGAGGTCAGGATGTGCCATGATTATTATGACATGCAAAGCAACTAGTGCAGTGTAGAGATTGTTTGCATGCCAGGAAAATGCGAAAAGATCCAAGAATGAGGAAAGTTCTTAGCTGGAGTGGATGTGAAGAAGATCAAAAGAAGCTGCGGTAAATGTAATAATAATAATAATCTGGAAGAATGGGGCTCGAGAGATTCAAGATCCGAAGGATTGACTTGGGTGGGCCAGTAAAACACAAAGAAGGTTTGTTAGGTAACCTAGGTTAGGTTCGTCTTTCGCGGAATTTCCCACCCTGGCGAACCTTCGATGGGAGACGCGGAGTCTTTTTTTTTTTTTTAAGATGGGTTATTATTTTTTTTTTTTGGCTTGGGCGGGTTGAGTAAGTAGCGGCCAGTGGGTGACTGGCTGTAGTACTGTAGTCTGTAGTGAACTCTAAGAGGGGAGGGTCGACTGGGGAGAGACGCAGCCAAGACTGTGACAAGGGAGAGAGGACTCGAGGGAGAAGTGAAGCTGAGAAGAGGAAGAAAAAAGATGAGATTTAGAACCAATATTGAGGGAGGGAAGGGGCTGTCAGAAGAAGATGTAAGGGGCCAACAATAAGCATCAAATGTTGTGGTTTCTCGATTCTGACGATGAAGAGAAGAGAAGATGGAAAGCAGGTCGAATGATGTCCAACTTAGACTTGGAGAGGAGGAGAGAGAGATAGAGAAGGGGAAAGATACTCCGTATTTCTTGCAGAAGTCAGGGAATAATGATAATAGTACTAGTGATGATGATGATGATAATAATAATAATAATAATAATAATAATAATAATAATAATAATAATAATAATAATAATAACACTAATACTAAATTATGAGAGTCATAAGACAAGACACAATTGAGAACAACGTGTGGCTCAAGAATTGCAGACCCGCTAGTGAACTGTGCAGAGTTTGGAGCAGCAACGGCCGTTTTGGGGAAGAAAATAGAAGGGAAAGAGAGGAAACAGAAGGAATTGATAAGATCGTAGATTTGTAGACGCAACCTTCAAGAGGGAGATTGGGATTTGAGAGAGTTCTGACTTCTGAGGCTGTTTCAGACTGCTTGACTCACGTTATGTACAATTAGTCTAGCCAGTCGAATCCTCAAAGTCAAGAATCGCAAGTCATGGAGACATGTTGGGCTTGTCTCGTTGTGGCGTCTAGCCCACAATCCTTATCCACCATCCGACTGTCTAGCGCATAGCGTGTTAGCGTGCAGTCGGAAAGCCCACCAGTCCCTTGGGAACTTTGCGGTTCTGAGTTCTGACGGCCAAATGATCGTCTAGGGCGCTGGGCCATTTGGGTCTAGTCTACAAACTGTAAGTCTGTAAGACTTGAACAAGTCCTAGAAGAAATCACTAACATGATTCATCTAGTCGATACCATCCATGGATTCAGTCCTGAAGATATCTTTGCCTCTTCATGCTTGATGCTGTATGGAATACAATTTCTAGTATCCTGAACCGCTTTGATACAGAGTTAGGTCGGGTTGGCTTAGTCTGAGGGCATCAGAGCCCATCCGTTGATATGGAACACTGCCTACTTCCCTGCAGTCAATCCTCGATACTTGGCTTTCTAATATCCCGTATATTGCCCTGGACCCTGACCACTTGGTCTAAGGCAGACGTTCATGCTGGAGGTGAGGTGCTAAGCAAAAGAGCTAGATGTTGCAGTAGACTCCCTAGGAGCAACTCCTCCTGGCTCCGGCATGAGAAATAGCCAGTGACAGCAAAGTTATGAGTTTGACTGTTCAAGACATATCCTTTCAAGTCAATCACAGGGCTTCTACATACATGAGGTCCAATATATAAAGTTGAATGTCGGCCGAGGTAAGGACCGCTGATCAAATAACCTATTAGATAGTCACCAACACGACAAAAGGGTCCTTCTGCCCATATTGTCAAGAAATAATATATATTCTGGGGATAATTCTGATCACATAATACTATCAAATACCTCGGAGTCCTCAAGTAAATATCAAGCTAGCGACACTGTCAGGTTAGTCCTCAAAGGTCGAGACAGTTCAGTTTTCTGTCCAATCATTATTGAACGCGATCGACCAAGTGCGATCTTCCACTACTGGGCGCAGGCCACAACGCCTCAGGCTGCCTGAAGTGATTCCTGACCGATTGGATATTATTGGCACCCGCCATTTCTTCCTATCTTCATGAGACCGCCTTCTTCCTTCATAGTCCATATCTAACAGACCCTCAAGCACTTGGCCTCCCGTTATCAGCCTGCGGTCCCCGCTCTGAATGAGCAGCCGCGAGAGCTCTCGTCTTCACGATGGCGCTCCGAATTAACATTCCTCCCGCGACCCGTACTTGTCTCGTCAGCCTTATCACTCTCTCGTTGCTGTACAACATCGCGCGATGGCGACAAATTGACTCAACAGGGAAAACGCCTACCGTGACGCCCATCGTTCCCTACCTGACCCTCGTCCCGTCGAAATTCTTCTTCTACCCGTGGACCCTTCTTTCAGCAACGTTCGTCGAGCAAAACATCTTCACAGTCCTTCTGAATGCGGCCACTCTCTTCTATGGCGGAAAATATTTGGAACGCGCCTGGGGTTCCAGGGAGTTTGCGAAGTTCATCGTCGTCATCGCAGTCATTCCAAATGTGGTGGTGGTCTTCACATATCTTCTATGGTCTATCATCAGGGGCAGCACAGTGAGCGGGTACGAGATCTATTCCCAACACGAATGTACAACCTCTTGCGCGATGCCTGCTGACTTGCCGTCCTCAAGCCTTACCCAGATTTGCGGTGGCATATCGATTCAAGCATCCTTCCTCGTCGCGTTCAAGCAACTCGTTCCCGAACATACAGTTACAATCTTCAAGGGTCTCGTTAAGATGCGGGTGAAGCATTTCCCTGCACTGTTTCTGTTGCTGAATACGATCAGCGGCGTCGCTTTCGGCACACAGGTTGCCGCGCTCCTCGCGTGGCTGGGTCTACTAGCGAGCTGGTCCTATCTGCGGTTCTACAAGCGCCAGCCAGATCTCACGGGCACATCGACAGACGGTCAAGGTATCAAGGGTGATGCAAGCGAGACGTTCGCATTCGCATGTCTTTTCCCGGACGTCATTCAACCACCGATTGCATTCGTCGCCGACCAGATTTATTCCTTCCTGGTGGCTGTGAAGATATGTATACCTTTCTCGGAGGAAGATATCGCATCTGGAAACCAACAGGTCCTCGCAAGAGGCGAGGCCGGCCTCCCTAGCCTGCTCAACAGCCAAAGAGGTGGAGGGATGCGTGGCATGGGAAAACGCGAAGAGGCGGAACGAAGACGGGCGCTGGCTCTCAAAGCACTTGATCAGAGACTCCAAGCCGCTGCCGCGGGAAGAGCTCAATCCCAAGCATCCACGGTTGTTCAGCCTGGGCCTCCCCAAAGCCATGCTGCTGCACCGACTGTGTCAGCAGGCCAGAGCATGCTGGGAGAGACTAGCTACACGCCTGACCATGGGTGAATAATCCCTTTTACGTGCTGGGCGGTTTTGTGGGGCCTTCGGGGGATAAGGCAGGGTCAAGGATGGGAATCTGGATAATACAGACTAGCGATAACGAAAGCATGCTCGACTCTCGTCCCAAGACAAAAAAAAAGGAACCAAAAAAAAGGCTGATACGGAGCGATAAGGATAAGAATAGCGATGATGAGTTGATATTGGAGGGATTTCATTTGCTAGTGTCAGCAATGAATATGAGACTCATTTGCAATGCAACTGTGCGTCCTGAACAAGACAAAAGACCACATAACCCAACCTTTAGAGTTCAGTCTATGCTGTACTCGCGCCTCGGGAGTTGATGTGTCAATCAGTCTTGGTGTTTTGTTTACCTTCTGTTTCCATGAATTTCGACCATGACTAAGTTTTGGAGATGCGATGCGATGTATATGGCGTGGACGCACGCAGGCTGGGGAAGATGAAGGGGAAGCCAGCGTATCTGACTGTATGAGTCGCGGAGGGTTCTTTTCTTTTTTAATACCCAATTTATCATATCATAAGCCACGCGCATAAACTGCGACGTTTCTTGCTAGGTTCCAGGACAGAAAAATGCTTTCCCGATCTACACAATTGATAAACAGAAAAAGAGCTATGTTACATTTGGCTATGCCAATATCGGTTTCCCACAGTCAAATCCCATCTCAGAACATACAAAAAAGACAGAGCTATGTACCCAGAAGCCACAGAATGCGTTAAAAAAAGAATACAATATCAGAACACCCAACGAAACCATGCCGGATTATAGCTGCCGCAGTTTCTCGACCTCTCCTCTAGCCTCCTGCAGCATCCGCTCCTGGTCCTTCTTCGCCTGGCGGATACCACTCACCCGCGCGCGGTCCTTATCCGACTGCTGCCGCATCTGCTCTAACTTCTTCAGCTCGGCCTCCTCCTCCGGCGTCGCCGGTACCTCCTCCGCCCCCGTCATGATCTTCACCTTATTCCAGATCTCCTTGTAGTCGAGGTTCTTCAGGTCGACGACGGCCGTCTTCTCCGCCTCCGAAGGTGCCGGCGCATGCTTGTCCTGCACCTGCGAGGCGTTTAGCGCCGCGGCCTTGCTGGCCTGCTCGGCGAAGTATATCGTTAACGCGGCGGGGCCTTCTTGCTCGTCGGTCTGCTTGACCGTCATCCGGACACCGGGGTTGTGGTACTGTAGCCGCGGCAGGCAGTTGCGCCAGAAATGCCGCGCGCCTTGGTGTCCGCCGTAGATCTTGTGGGCGTATGTGAGGTGCAGGCGGGTGATGGCTGGGAAGTCTTTCGTTGCTGATGAGGCTGCGGGGAAGACTGCGGCGCCCGTTCCTACACGGACGTTGAGGAGCTGGAGAGTTTGAGAGTGGTTAGCGAATGGGTGTCCGATTAGATGGAGATGGGTATGTCCTATTGTGAAGGATGGTGCGAAGGTTTGAAGTGCACCCGGGCGAAGATCGAATGTTCAGACGAGGGGATGGGGAGGATGGGAGGGGTCATACTCTCTAGAAAGCCATCGTTTCAAGTCAGTGGGAGCGTTCAATTAGGGAATATCCGGAGAAGGGTTGGTCAACGTACAGTCTTCAACTTCCGCATCCGCTTAAATAGGTTCACCATTGTTGCAGTTTGAGCGCACAAGGATTTGACCTTGTGACAGCCGGGGATAGCTAAATGAGAACTCTCAAAAGGAACCAATCAATAGGTCAAAAAACACTGTCTGATTGATCCGTCCCGGCGAGACTGAAGGGAGGTTTGGCCCGGAGCTCAACCTTTGATTTCTGGAAAACACGGCGGAAAAGAAAACGCTCCGATATATAGTCACGTGACTTATATAGATGTAACCCGTCACAGGGAATTACTCACTTACTCGTGCAATGTTCAATTACTTCTCAAGAATTAAGCGTCAATCACCCGATAGAAGATGCTAAGTTCATAGATGTTCAATTGACTCATGTCTTTCTGTGGAATGTTGCTTACTTAGTCTCTACAAAGGCGCCCACTATCAATGGTCGTCAGTCTCGACGCACAACTGACTCAAAGGAGAACTCCCATCAGTGACTCATAAGGAATATCCCTTGCTACCTTGCTCGTACAGCAAGACCACAAATGCTATAAATGGGTCATCTTGAAGCTCTTCAAGGCAATGAATGCCTTGAGGTTCATCCAAGTATCTGATTCTGATTACCGTCGGCCTTCCGCCCAAAGCAGCCACTTGGCACGTGCATAATAAATTACCGCTAGTGTCACCGCCATTACCGCCGCCGTTTTGACTCACAAAAGAACTTCTTTCGATAGAGTCAAACCCCGCTGTTCGATCTAGAATAATAGTGGTTGACCTCCGCAACCGCACCCCAGTGCTCTCCCTTTCTTTCTGTTTGAAATAAAGCAGACTTCACTATCGAGAGCCATGGCAGCCGCTGCTGCATCTGCAGCCGCGCTCGATCCGGGCAACAGCACCAAGAACACTCTCAAACTCGAAAATGTTTCTGAATTCCCATTACCCCTCCCCCTCATCGAATCTTTTTGCAAGGCCATGTAGAGCTAACGGGTGCTTATGGTTTAGACCGAGAAAAGAGACGCCCTTATCGCCATCGAGAAGAAGTACCAGGCACAATGGAAGGAGAAGAAAGTGTTCGAGGTCGACGCCCCGACTTTTTCGGAGGTCCCGGTCGATGCCATGTCCCCCGCGGAACTACGTGAGAAATATCCCAAGTTCTTTGGAACCATGGCGTATCCCTATATGAACGGAACTCTTCACGCCGGCCACAGTTTCACCGCGAGTAAGGTCGAGTTCATGACCGGTGTTGCTCGCATGGAGGGCAAGAGGGCCCTGTTCCCTCTTGGCTTCCACTGCACCGGTATGCCTATCAAGGCTTGTGCGGACAAGCTCGCCGACGAAGTGAAGAAGTTCGGAAAGAACTTTGAAGGCTATAGTGAAGAGAGTGAGGAGGACCAGGCTGCTGTTGCCGCTCCTACACAGGAAGTCAAGGCCGAGCAAGAGAAGTTCTCCGGAAAGAAGAGCAAGGCCGCCGCCAAGACTGTCAAGATGAAGTACCAGTTCCAGATCATGCTGGCTATCGGTATTACTCTTGAGGAGATTCATAAGTTTGCTGATGCTGATCATTGGCTCCATCATTTTCCTCCCCTTGCAATCCGGGACCTTGACAGCATGGGTGCTAGAATCGATTGGCGCAGACAGTTCGTCACCACTGATGCCAACCCCTACTACGACGCCTTCGTGCGCTGGCAGATGAACCGCCTTCACGAGCTGGGCAAGATTATGTACGGTAGCCGTTACACCATCTACTCGCCTAAGGACGGACAGCCTTGTATGGACCATGACCGAACTGAGGGTGAGGGTGTCGGTCCTCAGGAATACACCGCCATGAAGCTGCAGGTGAAGGAATGGGCTCCCGAGATTGCCGAACTGGTTAAGGGAAAGATTGAGGATGATGCTAAGGTCTACTTCGTGCCTGCCACTCTGCGTCCAGAGACCATGTATGGCCAGAACTGTTGCTTCCTCGGCCCCAAGATCAACTACGGGATTTTCAGAGTGAAGGAGAAGGAATACTACGTTGCGACCAAGAGGGCTGCTTGGAACATGGCTTTCCAGGGAATTTTCTTTGACAGCGAGCACTTCCCCAAGTCTCAGGATCAGCTACCGCTCGTTGTTGAAGCTCCTGGTTCCGCTTTCGTCGGTACCCTCGTCAACGCCCCTCTGTCACTCCACAAGGAGGGTGTGCGTATCCTGCCCATGGAGGGTGTCTCCGCTACCAAGGGTACTGGTGTCGTTACTTCCGTCCCTTCGGACAGCCCTGACGACTATGCCACTTTGCTCGACCTCGCAAAGAAGGCCGATTACTACGGCATCAAGAAGGAGTGGGCCGAGCTGGAGATCTTCCCCCTCATCGATACCCCGACATATGGCAACCTCACGGCACCTGCCCTGGTTAAACAGCTCAAGATCAATTCTCCCAAGGATGTCAACCAGCTTGCCCAGGCCAAGGAGCTGGCGTACGGTGAAGCTTTCTACAAGGGCACCATGCTGGTTGGCGAATACAAGGGCGAACCAGTGAGCGCCGCCAAAGAAAAGATCCGCAAGGCTCTCTACGATAGCGGCGATGCTTTCCCCTTCGCTGACCCCATGGGTAAGGTTGTCAGCCGAAGTGGAGATGACTGCGTTGTTGCCTATCTTGGCCAGTGGTTCCTGAACTACGGAGAAAATGATCCGGAGTGGCAGCAGGATACGCTGAACTACGTTGCCAACGATCTCAACACTTATCTTCCTGAAACCAAGAACGGCTTCGAGAAGAACCTTGACTGGCTGAACCGATGGGCTTGTGCCAGAACTTATGGTCTTGGCTCGAAACTTCCATGGGATCCTCAGTTTCTTGTCGAGAGTTTGAGTGACAGTACCGTCTATCAAGCGTACTATACCATCGCTCACTTCCTGCACAGTGACCGTTATGGTGAGAAGCCTGGCCTCCTCAACCTCAAGCCGGAACAGATGACCGACGAGGTTTGGGATTATGTGTTCACACGGCGCGAGCTCGATGACGAGGTAATCTCTAAGAGTGGAATCAGCAAGGATGCCCTGCAGCAGATGCGCAGAGAGTTCGAGTACTGGTACCCTCTGGATGTCAGAGTCTCCGGCAAGGATCTCATCCAAAACCACTTGACCTTCTTCCTCTACATTCACATCGCGCTCTTCCCACGCGAGTACTGGCCCCGCAGTGTTCGCGCCAACGGACACTTGCTCCTGAACGGAGAAAAGATGAGTAAGAGCACCGGCAACTTCCTTACACTGAGGGATTCTATCGATAAGTTCGGTGCCGACGCTTCTCGTATCGCTTTTGCCGACGCTGGTGATGGTATTGAAGATGCCAACTTCGAGGAGGCTGTCGCGAACAGCAATATCCTGAGACTTTTCACTCTTAAGGAATGGATTGAGGAGACTCTCAAGGACGAGTCTCTGCGCGCTGGTCCCGCAGACTCTTTCTGGGACAAGCTGTTTGACAACGAGCTGAACAGTCTTGTTCGTGAGACCATCAAGCATTACCAAGAGTGAGTCACTGATAATATTTGCTTTTAAAATGCCTTTATAAATGCTAACCTGTCTTTAGTACCGACTTCAAGCTTGCTCTGAAATCTGGTCTCTACGATTTGACCAACGCCCGTGACGTCTACCGTGAGGCTGCAATTGCGGCTGGCGTGGGAATGCACCGTGACATGGTCTTGCGCTATGTTGAGCTGCAAGCTTTGATGATCGCTCCCATTGCTCCTCACTGGGCTGAATACATCTGGCTCGAGGTCCTGAAGAAGGTTTGAGGCTCTGACATTGATACTTTTAAATTGGATTTCTAACTCGCTTCTCTTTAGCCTGAGACGATTCATTATGCTCGCTTCCCTGAGGTGCCTGAGCCATCTCTTGAGCTCTCGTCTGCCTTGAACTACGTCCGCACCACCTCCTCCAACATCACATCCGCCGAGGCCGGGTTTGTCAAGAAGCTGTCCAAGGGCAAGAGCATGGCTTTCGATCCTCGTAAGCCCAAGAAGCTCACCATCTACGCCGCGAAGAAGTACCCTGCCTGGCAGGAGAAGTATATCGACCTTGTCCGTGACGCATTCGATGCTCTCAGCCTCTCCGTAAATGACAAGGAGCTGAACGCCAAGGTCGGTAAGCTCGGTGAGATGAAGAAGGCTATGCCTTTCGTCCAGACTCTCAAGAGACGCCTGGTCCAGAACAAGGAGGCCCCCGAGAACGTCTTCTCGCGGAAGCTTCCCTTTGATGAGTTTGCCACCCTTAGCGAGATGCTCGGCAACCTGAAGCGGACGACCGGTTGCAAGGAGATCGAGGTCATTGCTGTCGATGAAGGTGGCAAGACTGGTGAGGTGCTGGGTACTGGTGAGAAGAGAGAGAGTCTCTCCGCTGAGAATGCCGTACCCGGTCAACCCACCTTTGGCTTTGCCAACATCGCCGAGTAAATTTGGGCCAAGAGATTCCTTAGGCTTTATATTCGGTTCCTCAAAGGAAAAGGATCGGTTTTTATATGCAATATCTCATGATTAAAGAAAAAATGATTCGCCAACCTTGAGTTCTGATAGAAGGGCTACTAGCTGTATCTTCGTAGAGAAAGGGCTGTTTATGAAGAAATAGAAATGAGAGTGCAGATCCAATTTCGCTATATCGAGTTTCTTGAGTCACTCAGCATGACAGGTACCTGGAGGGCCCAGTCATCAACGCGTTGAAAGTACGGCACAGACTCAAATTCTTCTCTGATATACTCCGTATATATGTAAATATCTTACAACACACCTACTGTACAGAATGGAGATCGATATATCAAATGCCTGTACAAAAACACCAATCGCTATGCATGCAGTACCCATATTCACCAAACAGCTTTACCGATTTAGAGACATGCACCTCTTCTTCTCAAGTTGACCGCACCCGTCTCGCCAGACCGATGTTCTGTCGTCCACGAGAAGGATTCTTGCGCTTATCCGCAGCCTTCTTATCCGCAATGAAATTCCAACATTCAATCGGGGGCCGCGAGCTGACGTGCTGCCCGTTGGGGCTGAAGACCTCGACTCGGGGAAAGGACGTCGATGACTCAGATTCATCCGAGACAGAGCCGGATCGAACTTGCACGGTGAGTTCGACCCATCCGCATCCCTCGATAAGGATGTCTGTCGACATTACTTTGTATGGTAGCCGGGGAATCGGTTTGCCCAGATCCTCGACTGCTTTCGCGATGCTTATTGGGAGGTGCGAGCGGGTGACATCCCATTTTAGCTCGAAAGATCCAGCAGAAGATATCGTCGCAGCAGCGTCATCTTTCATGATCTTTTCGCCGGGGTAGGGGCGCTGGAGGGCTTGCATTTCAATAGCCTTTTCTGTGTTAGTGACGTGGGCTTCGATTGGGATAAAGCAAGCAGCCATGATCAGATGGTCTGGGTTCTCCGCAGTGATCCTGATGAGGCCGCCTCCGAGGAGCAAGGATTGTCCTGGCTTGATCGTGTAGCGTTCAGGCTTCTTCCGCTTGGTCATAGTCAAGTCCCGTTTGTGCTCGTCGCGAACGTAGTTCTCCAATTGGCCGCGGTCAAGGCCCGGCAAGTCAATCATCTCACCCTTGCCATGCCCGAAGGGAATACGGATGGGGGAGACAGTCGTGCCTGGTACTGAAGAGACAACGGGGAGGACGGGATATAAATCTTCCCGAGGAGCAGGTGGCAGGAGGCTATTAAAGCCCAAAGCAATATTCTTGAAGGTGGGGACATTCGACTCCTCCTTGCGCCGTTCGACCAATTCTGCAATCTTCTCAAGGTTCCTAGAATCTTTGGGAAAGCAGGCCTCGATAAAGCTGCTTTTTCCGACATTGGCCTTGCCGACTACCCATATGCCTCCTCCATGTTTTCTGATTTCTTCCTTCACCTGTTTGGTCCACCAGCCTCGATGAGCACTGATCATATGAACATTGCCCAAGCGGGCCTGCTCGGTCGACAAGTTCAGAGTATCTCGCAGAAGCGTACGGATGTATTCCATCCTCGAGTCGACCTGTTCCTTGGTAGCAGCTAGAAGATCGGAGCGCGTTATAATGAGCGAGATCGTTGGCAGTTTCTTGCCCCCTCGGTATTTCTCGATCGATGCCCTTCGATTCCGCGAGCGTGGCTCTTGAATCGAGAGAGCTTCGTAGATATTGTCAACTAAGGACATCGGGAAATCAGCTGCATCAACAACGTGGTAGATGCGATTATCTCTGTGCGGCGACTCTTTAAGGAGTTCGCCAATTGAGTAGATCGAAGGCGAGATAGCGGAGACAGCTTTATTATGGTGGACAAGATCATGACACCTGTCGCAAATCTGTACAGGCGCTTTCGATTTTTCGAGGTACTGACTGGCAGTCACCGCCGCATCTTCCAGCATCGCTCCATCTGTAAGAGGATAGAAAAGTTAGCACTCTTCCGACATGATATCAAACCCCAACATACGCTTCGCTTTAGGAATCGTCAGCTCGGAGTCGATGGCCAGCTTCTGTATCGTGCTCGCTGCTTTCTCCGCTTCGGATCTTAAATCAAGTCCTTCCTCCACATCCTTATGCTCTTCTTGAGGCGCTTGCTGGAGCTCAGATAGGAGCTTCCGAGTCTGTTTCCGTGACTTGCCATAATACCCCGGTTCGTTCGGCTCGACGGTCTGCGCATAGGCACCGCATCCCGGACAACAGACGGGCAAGATATTTTCAACCAGCTTAGCCGAGCCTGCACATGGTTGAGGCGTAGACGACGAATTGCGTATCTGGCTTTGGTTGATGAGGAGGCTTGGATTCCGGCTGTATGATATCACCGCGCGCGCGAATCGACTTCGTGCTGGTGCTCGTGGGACAAGACTTTGCGTATGAAGTGAGCGCCGTAAAGCAATGCGCTGGAACCCAAAAAGTCTGAAGTTTGTGCACTTCCAACAGTGCGACATCCTGTAAAGTTTTCTTTCCCGAGTGCTGGAAATCTACAAAGGAGTTTGATTAGAATAAAAAAGATATCTTATCTTAGACTCGCCGGTGGGCCGCCCCAACCTCCAAAAGATTTATTGTGGCGATTGACAACAGAGACAATTAATCGCTACTTTTATAAACACTGCAACCTAATCGCAAACGAGAGTAGGTTAATCTGCTTTTACATACCAGAAATGGTTCATAGAATAATCGTTCTTTTTTGAGATTGAATGTGAGAGTATTATAGACATGGCGAAGACAAACACGCTTGCAAACCCAATATCATAAAACGCAACTCCATGCCCTTGTAAAAAAACTCATAGTCGGACTAGTAACTTTTTTCTCCTCATACCTAAGCCTTAGCTTTGCCTTTGCCTTTTGGATCATCATCCTGATCGGACTCGTCCGCTTCGGAATCACTCATGAACTCATCGTCGTCATCGAACCCAATGAATTTTCTGGGTGCTACCGGCTTGCGAGCCGGTTCAGATGGCGTGGGCGCATCTTCCATGTCCTGCTCCAGATCGCTTTCTTCCTCGGAACTGTTCAATGTATCTTGTCCGCTGCCTTCGCTGGCGCTAGCACTTGTGCTGGACCCTCCCAAGACCGCCTCGCGTAGATTATCTGTCCAACCACCATCCTTCAACGCTGCCAACACAGCTTCTCTAGCCTTTTCATTCATTTCTTCCTTGTCTTCCATCCACTGGCCATCGACTTTCTGCTTTCCGCCACCATTCTTCAGTTCCTCCTGACGCTTCTCCGCTGCTTCCACGACAGCCTGCCATCTGCGCCGACGCTCTTCTTTCTCCTTTCGGTCCATTTCTGGTTTGACTGCGAGATACTCGGCCAGGGCTTTGGCTTCGTTCACTGTGCGAATACGGCGACCGTCGAGATTGCGACTCGAGCCATTGTCATCGCCCTGGTTGCGCTTCCGCTTGCTCGACATGCGCCCACCAGCTGCACGAAGCTGGGAGCCGAAACCTCCCTTTCCTCCGCATACGGGTACGGCAAGGCGGAGCGGGAGGAGAGTGGATGCGGTTGTGATTTCGCCATTTGGGGCAACGAGGAGAGAAAGCAGGCTTTCAGATGACGGAACGAGCTGCTTGTTGTTGGTTGTAGTTAACACTAGGGACTGTAGTGGTATCGACGACGGCAGGTAGGTGGAGACCCTATCTGTAAGATCCGTGATCGTCGAAGAGGATGGAAGTGAGAATGACACGGTCGAGGGTAGAGAAAGACCTGGGAAAGACGAAAGGAGAACGTTGACTATTTGTGGAGCCATTTTGATGAAAGCGATACAAGCACACTTGACTCTTTACTTCAAAGATAAGCTTAAGATGAGTAATTAGAGAGACGCGATCGCGGCGCAAAGTAAGTGAGAAAATGGAGTGATATCTTCACTTGACGTAGAGGTGTCTTGGTGTTTGCCAAAGGCGGAGATGAAGATAAGATCATAAGACAGTTCCCTGATGCCTGAGGCATGACTGCAGTGGAGGTGGCTACAGCACGTGACCATACAGATATCAGGACTAGCGGGCTGATTAGGGCCTCAACCCTAGTATGCGTTCCCAAACAGGAAGCGTCGCACTTTTAACTCGAGCCGCCGCTCCACTGTTACTTCGATCATATAAACCATTCTGATCGCGTTGTAGAGCGATTCCCCGAATAGCGCCAGGAACTCGCAACAATGTAGGTGCTACCTTCAGCCTCATGCCTTGCACTAATCGTTTTGCTTCTTATACTAATGTCGCTGCAGGCTTATCCCCAAGGAAGACCGCAAGAAGATCCACGAGTACCTCTTCCGCGGTATGTCACCGACGACCCCCGGCCATGTCGCTTCTGCAGCGCCTATACTTGGTCGAACTTGGACGAATGAATTGATGGCTGATTTAATCGAATAGAGGGTGTGCTCGTGGCCAAGAAGGACTTCAACCTTCCCAAGCATGGCGACATTGACACCAAGAACCTCTACGTGAGTCTACACAAAAATCGAGTTTTATGGAGAACAAACGAGAACAAAAAACTGACGAGATCTATTTCGGCTATTATAGGTGATCAAGGCCCTGCAGTCCCTGAACTCCCGCGGCTACGTCAAGACCCAGTTCTCGTGGCAGTACTACTACTACACCCTCACCCCTGAGGTATGTCCGGACAATCCATCCGCTCCATTCAAAATGACTTATATCTGACTCTTCCTCCTCCAGGGTCTTGACTACCTCCGCGAGTGGCTCCACCTCCCCGCTGAGGTTGTCCCTGCTACCCACATCAAGCAGCAGCGCTCCCACGCTCCTCCCCGCGGCATGCTCGGCGGTGAGGACCGTGAGCGCCGTCCCCGCGCTCCCCGTGAGGGTGGCTACCGCCGCCGCGAGCAGGAGCCCAAGGAGGGTGGTGCCCCCGGCGAGTTCGCTCCTAGCTTCCGCGGTGGCTTCGGCCGTGGCCGTGGTGCTCCTCCCTCGTAAGGGAAGGTTGTTCGTCTCTCGGTCCTCCAAGGGTATGGATGTTGCACGTATGGCTTGAGTAGGCTTTGATGCCAGAAAAAGCTGTACCGCTGCTCATCCTGAAAAAAAAAATGAACATCTCATGCTGGGAAATGAGGATTATGTATTGCCATTGTGTCTTTGTTTTAAATAGCTAGGATCAATGGTGAAATCATCATGACTCAGTATTTTTTTTTTTTTTTGAAACTCCCGTAGGTTTTCAACTTCATCCATCGGCCTTGATGGCATATTTCTCTTTAGTTTGATGAACAACTTTATGTACATTGAAGCTAGTCAACTACGCAAAACTGGGCTCAGTTGTGACAGGTTCGTTTGATTAATTGTGAATTAACTATGCAGAGAATCGCTTACGATCATAACGAATGACTGCCTGCAGGATGACAGACGCTCCTGTTGCACAGTCATTCGCAGAGCAGAATTCCTCAGGATGATGGCTCAGTCCATCCTTACATGGCACAAATATCATACTTGTCGGGACTCGCTTGGAAGTGAAGACACTGTCGTGTCCTGCACCACTCATCATCGTCCGCATAAGCGCTTTAGGCTCGGACACACCAACATCAGCAACCACGGCTTCAGCCGATTGCTGCACGCATTCGATGCAGTCGGGGTGGAATTTCACCGCCGGAGAGTCGAAGTCAACAGTCCACTCCACTCGGCAGGGCTTGCCGATTCCTTTGCCCTCTTCGGCGGCAATCGCGTCAAAGTCTTTTCGGAGCTCCGCTTCCACTTCTGCAACTAATTCGGTCTCCGGACCGCGAATGTCGAGGGAGAAGCTGACGTGGCCTGGCACGGTGTTGACACTACCCGGGTTCGCTTCAATAATACCAACACTGGCCAGACACCCACGGGATGCCGCAACCTCTCTAGCGCGGACCATCATGCGGGCAAAGGCGTACAGAGCGTCTGCGCGGTGTTCAAATGCTGTGGTGCCCGTGTGGGTATCTCTACCGATGATATTCAGACGATACCACCGATAGGCCTGCACAGCAGTTACTACACCGACACGCTGGTTGGCAGTCTCGAGATGAGGTCCCTGCTCAATGTGTAGCTCAAAGTGTGCGGCCATCGGTGTCTCTTTATATGAACACGGAACGCTTCCGAGGCAGTTGATCTTTTCCAGGGCCGACTTCATTGTCTCTGGCGCGGAAGCTGCGGTGGGAAGAGAGGCAACTGTAGGGACTTCCTTGAGCTCATGGGCCCGTGAAAGGGGGATGCATTCGGCCCATACGCCCGAGGATATCATGCTCACGGGAAACCGTGCGCCCTCTTCACTTTGGGCCTGTTAGAGTCATTGATTTCTTTGAGAAGCTCGGGGCAGATATGCCTGGGAGTATTCTTACTTTGTCCAGTTCACAACTCCTACACCACCCTCTGTTTCAATTCCCATCTCGTCAATGACCTTCAATGTTTCGATACCTGCTAGGACCCCGAGGATACCATCATACCGGCCACCCGTCGGCTGGGTGTCGAGATGGCTGCCCATAAACGTTGCTGGTACATCCTTTCTCCTCCCTGGACGAACGGCAAAGATATTACCCATCTCGTCAATGGTGATGTTGCACTTCAAGGCTTTTGTCGTCTCGATGAACCAATCTCGGACCTTCTTATCGTCCTCAGACAGTGCAAGACGCTGCATGCCTGTAGCTGTCTGGTCACTGTTCCATTTGTTAGCCAACACCGTCTTGTATGAACACTCAATGAAACAATGATCCGAACATGGAAGGCAACCGTATCAACTTGGATTTAGAGATAGGCTGGGTTGCTAGACTTACTCTCCCCAGCGGATTCCAGAACCCCACTGACAGCTCTCGTGAAGATCTTTTGCAAGGCGGTCCTTGTTGGCTCGCAAAGCCGAGACTTGCGCTTCGGTCAAGTCTGTCGAGAGCATTGTTTCGGTCCTGGAGCGAGCAAACGTCAAAATTGTATAGAAGCTGGTGGTGTCGAGGCGATATTTTTCACTCGGTAGCTAGTTCAAATACCAATACCACTCTCCTTCTCGGACTAAGAGCAGAATCCATTATGAAATCCAGTGAAAGGAACATCGTCAATTTATCTACCAGCCCTGAGCGTCGGAGAACACCACTTATCGGACAAGAAACCGCTGCGGAGACAAACAATGATAAGATAACTGCTCAGGCGGGGTCACAGCTAAGATTGCTTGTATCAAGACTCCATCTGAGTATGGATCTCGTAGACTCGCGATTGGTTCATTTGAGGAACTTGAGAGCGGACTTTTGTCCGTTGGTCATCGTTGGTTGCTTCTCCAACTCGGAGTCGCCTTGGATTTGATGGAGACTCGAAGTGGTCGTGTTGCTTCCAGAGATGTGCCAAATGTCGATACTAGTCAACTGCATCCTACAATTCCTGCGGGTAAAGGTTGAGTTTTGATATACTGTGTAGCCGAATAGCAGTTCGTATAGGAGTAGTTGCGGTTGCTGGCGGGGGCGAGGAAGCAGTTGGAAGTGATGCTATGGACACAAGCCCATCCCGCTAAGGCACACGCACTTGAATTTAGTTGCCTGGCTATTTCATGCTTCCTCTGGGCTATGGAGGTGCAAAAAGAAAAGGGAAACATTAATTCAGACATTCATTATCATATCCAGCAAAAATAAAAATAGCAAAATCGACAGCTGTGTCGATGGATAAGTCCAAAGATTGAGAAGAGGAGTATTTTGGGCAAGCCACGGCCATCTCTGGTAAAAGGCAAGAAATGGGTTCTGAGCTAGCTTGTCCCACTCCTCGCAGATACAGTCCTTAATTGATATATAACCGACGTAGTTTTGACCGGGGGGCCAAGTGTTCGAATCCCGCCGTCTCCAAATTCCGCCTGGTTCTTTTCGTTTTATCTGTCCAATGCCGCCATACCCCGCATCCAGCCCACCTGTTGTCATCCTGTAGAGACCAAGGTCGTCTTCGAGTAATACTGTCTTCAATCAATTGAAGTTTTTAATATTCCTTATAATCCTCTCATCGAGTATACTTAAATCATCGATACAAGATGTCGGCCGCTGCGTGTATCTTCTGCAAAATCATCAAGGGTGAGTCCCGTCCTTCGCTGGAAGCTTGGAATGAGCTGCTGTTTCTCCAACTTTTGCTGGGACAGCTTCCATCAACAGCTTCTTCGGCTGTTCGTGTCCGCGCTAGGCATTAATATGGGTATTAGGTGAAATCCCCTCGTTCAAGCTCTTCGAAAGCGAAACTGTCTTTGCTTTCCTTGACATCCAGCCTCTGAGCCGTGGCCATGCGGTAAGTATTATTCCCTGCTTGTTATTTGCTGCAACTCGGCAGTGCCTCCTTAGAAATCGGCCCTGTTAACATGGGCACCGATCCATTGGTGGATATCCGGCTGTTGCAGCATATTCTGAAATCATTGTAGCATCTATGAAAACCGTGAGTGCTAATACGAATGATGATTTATCCGAAATAGCTTGTGATCCCGAAGTTCCACGGCGCGAAGCTGACCGATATCCCCGATGAGCACCTCAAGGATCTTCTGGTATGTGGGATTGGATGAGAAGATGCATGCAACATGATTTTATACGTCCTTCAACCCCATGCCATTCGGTCAGCTCTCGAGGACCTTGGGGGAGAGGTTCCCCAGACCTTGGCCCCCGGAGGTCCTAGGCTCTCAAGCTTCACCACTCAGCGAAAACAGAGCTAACGGACATCATCTTCTACAGCCCGTGGCCAAGCAGATTGCCAAAGCAAGTGGTGCGGAAGATTTCAACATCCTGCAGAACAACGGCCGCATTGCTCATCAGGTTGTTGACCATGTAAGAACCGCCGTTCCCAGTTTCTGGCATGACATTTGCTAACATTTCGCTTCTTAACCAAACCAGGTCCATTTCCACATGGTATGTACTTCGATGCATCAGTCCACTGGGTCAGTCTCGAGTGGCCTTACTAACCAATATACCTTCAGATCCCCAAGCCCAACGAGAAGGAGGGCCTTGGTATCGGATGGCCTACCCAGCCTACGGACATGGATAAACTCAAGGCTCTTCACGAGGAAATCAAATCTAAGATGTAAATCAGGCTTCGGATCGTATATTCTCGTTGCGTGACTCTGGTGCCGACTATGCCATTCCATAGCAAAGTCGAAAAGCTTCAGCATCCTGGCTATCTAGTAGTATGAGATTATGATGAGTGTATCAACAATCAACGCAGTATAGCTGTGGTTGTCTATATGTCATGACGAGAACGTACAATTTATAACTATACACTGCCTAGCAAGCTCAGGGCAAGCGAGGACGTTGTTCTGAGCTCGCCGATACCTAGATATCGGGGACCAAACCGGTCTATATACTACTCAATGCCATTGATGTCAGCAGCTCTGTATCATTTGCTGCTGGCCGCATTGCCCTTCGACTTGCTCTCGGCCGAATAGAAATTGATCTTCCCATCACCTTGGATCACATTCAAGCGATCATACAAGGATCTGGCGCGGAGATAAGGGTCAAGCTGCCAGTATTGCACCCTTAAGCGCTCAATGAGATCCTTTCTCTTATCCTTGGCCGCGGCCGCTGCTTCCTTGTCGTTCTTGGAGCTGGCAGAAATCCATGCGATAGTCGCATCTTGGATCTCCTTCGCAAGTTCATGTCGCTGGGCAACCAGCTCGTCTCGCTTTGCCGAATCCTCCATTGTTTTATTTTCCTCTGGGTCGCATTCCACATACTTATACTCCCATTGTTCATCACCGTCGAGCTCTTTCATGATGCGATCCCGGGGAATGAACTCTTCCAGATCTTTGACGTTCTTGGTGAATTGAATCTTGGCGGCAACGACAGGATCAAGCCACCCTTTGATAATGTTCCAGATACCTATATAGTATGATGTTAGCTAGCAACACTCTATGGAAGATGGAGCAAACTCACCTGAGAAGATCCAAGGTGCCTTGTGGATAAGAACCACTCCAAGAGACTCGGGATAATTGGCTTCAAAGCACTTGATCATGAACTTGACGGGCGAATAGTCCTGCGAAGATTAGTCGAGGCGCACCGGATTCATAAAGAAGTAAACATACCATGTTGGCCATCGAAAAGTCCGTCATATCGAAGACGATACACTGGAATGTGTTAGCAACTTTGTTACAACGAGTCAGTATACGAGACATACTGCTGTTTCCACAGGGGGCACAAGCATCATGCGCGCCGATTCAATTGTATATACAGTGAAGCGATCCAAGGCTTCCTGGCTCTGATCACCGGCTTTGTGCAGACGAACCCTAACAACGCAGATTGGCCGACCGAGTTTGTCCACACCATGGAGAAAGCTCTTGCCCATGCGCATCTGGCTCAAGAAATCCTCACCAACCTTCTTCTCGGCGGAGTCGGAACTCTGCGACTGTTTTAGAGCATGCTGCTCACCATTCTTCATGATATCATTGTCCACTTGCACGTCTGCTAATCTCCAGCGGATTGTGGAGATGAACATCACGAGAGCCTTCTGGATGTCCCACTTGCGTGCTCGCAGAAAGCGCAGCACCAGGGTATCCGGGTTATCTTGTTTCACCATACTCCAGAATGTTTCCCGGATCTCTTCTGGTGACATGTCCACCAGTGCCTGCTGGAATTCCTTCGACTGTCCATACTTGTCGTCGGCATCAGAGATCTGGATTGACGCAAGATTGTGCGAGAGTCCCGCCGTGGATTTCTCGCTAGCCGCGTCATTCTCAACTTCGTTCCCTCTTCCGAAGAGTCCGAACATGCGCTTGGGCTGTTTCTTCTTCTCCTGGGGCGTGCTCGGCGGAGCTTCCTTTGTTGTCGATTCAACCCCATCCAACTTGATTCCGAATATCTTCAAGAGCAGCACCCAGAATTCCTGCAGCTTCACTTCCTGCTCTGCAGTGAGGTTTCCCACGGTTCCAGGAGCTAGTTCGGTAGGCATGATCTTGAGTGTATCGATTACTCCGAGGAATGGATCTTGTTGCGGCAGATGTTCTTGAGGGATCGGCGTGGAAGGCGTGCCGTTCGTGGAATGTCTATCCTGTAACCAGACTCCTCCGCAAATAAGAGCTAGGGTGAACGTTATGACCCAACCAGTCGAAGCCTTCTTCAGGGCTCTGTTTCGGAAGGAATAAGCAGTAGAGAGCGATCTTCTGGATGGAGAAAACGAGGCCGATGAGCCTAGGGATAACCACGGTTGGGATGTACCTCGATATGGTACCAGAGAGTGCGAGCGGAAATGAATGGACCTGGCCGAGGAGAATAGAAGACGGCGAGGTCCAAGCGAGCAAGCTTGCATGTGCTGAATAGTTGATGATGAGAAAGCACTTCAAATAAGCACTAATAATCCTTCGTCTTTACTTTTCTCAGATAGTCGTATAGATGAAGGTCACAGGTACTATATAGAGAGAAGGGACGGTGAGATGAAAACTGATAGATGACCTAATGGCCCCTGAGGTGGAAAAATACACCGGAGATTGCGGGGGAAACAGAAAAGCCAGGACAAGTCAAGCGCACGCGATGAAAGACTCAGTCAGGTACCAACAGGACTAAGAGTAGGCGTTTACCTTGGCAGCCTGAAAGAATGTCACTTCACTGCATCATGAGTGTGATTGTGGATAGTGACGGAGCCTCGGAGGTGTCTCACTTCCGCCCGCCGACCGACTCTACTTTAGCATTCTCAACCTCTAAAGCGGGGGGTCAACGATGCGGCGTCGACTACGGAGTGTCTAATTGATTAATTGATAAACAGCAAACAGACACATAATTTTCCTTATCTTTAGCTTTGGTCTAGCCAACACAGCGAATTTGCCTGTCATCTCATTTGAGATCAACCCTCTCGATCCCCTTCGACTCGCTACGCGTCTCTATTGTTTATTGCCAGTTCCGCCGGATGGTGAACTGCTTCAAAATCGCTGGAAAATCACCATTTCAAAAATGGATACTATAGTTCCTCGGTCGTCGTCGCGGCCACGACCCTCATCCCGGCCTACAACTCCCCTAAGACCCAGTTCTCGATCGTCCATTCGTGAAGCCCATGGTTACGGGACCAGCATCGGCAATGCTGGCTACAACCAACCTGCGATCAACGCCTTGGAACCTCAATTCGCGGAGCTAGCAGATTCGATGGCGGACCTCGAGGCGAATTTCATGCACCTCCAGCTCATGCACGAGAGTTTGACGCGTTTCAGCGAGAGCTTCGCGAGTTTTCTCTATGGGTTAAACATGAATGCGTTTTGTGTGGATTTCCCGGAGGTGTGTCCTGCTGAATTCGGTTTTCCATGGCAATAGACCATGTACTCATCAATACCAAGGCACCCATAGCTGAGTCGTATCGGAGGGCAAAACAAGTCGAGGCCCAGAAAGGTAAAGATACTTACCCCGATTGTTGACGAAATTCATCCACGTCTGGTTTGCTGATCAGGAATACAGAGGCTGAGGCTGAGGCTGAACAAAACCGACCAGTTCCTGAAACCGAGACTACGTTCATGTGAGTCACTGCTAAGCCCTAAGTAAGAGTACATATCTTCTAACCATGATCCCCGAGCTTCAGGACAACAGACACCTCGTTCGTTGAGAATCCACCCAGCACAGTTTCCTCAAAGCCCACAACGAAATCATCCATCCCGTCCAGGGGAGCCGCTCGAGGTTCCTCAACGCGCGGCTCAACAGGCGGTCGCTATACAACAAGGGGATCCAGCCGTGGTCGAGCCAGTGCACTACCTAGGGGTAGAGGGGTTCGATGAATCAGGATTACAGCGCCCAAATATTTGGGAGATAAGCGATACTCCTCAATTCTCAACGCCACTAAAACCGTCCGATATTACGACGACTCTCCGTCCAATCTGCCATGACGCTGATTGTTCGAATGCAATGACTTGCTGCGGACCCACCATTGCGCCTCGTCACAACCCATGAGCAAGTACTCATAGGGAAAGCATTGCTATACCCTGAATTTGGATTCATTAGGATGTGATTGTCTCTATTTTGATCTCCAATCTGGACTGTACATCCCCGTTGTTTGCTTTCTATTCCAATGAAGGGAAATGGGCAACAATATGACGCAGACCTCATTTGTGAATCCAATCAATATTCCATCGTCTAAATTGGAATATTCTTCTTATAATCTATCATCCTAGATAAAAAATAATATGGTGCCTCCCATGATCAACTGGCTGGCCCCCTGCATGCTCAGAAAGTCCTTAACCTGACATTGACCACCTATTTCTTCGGATTCATCTGCATTTGATCAGACGTTGTCCTTCACCACCAGGCCTTACTAGTCACCCCTATGTTTCGGGTTTCTGAAATTCCTTGTTTAGTTCACTTCTATCTTCTTGTCGTTAGTCCATTACCATGTCTTTCGATTTACTGTATCCAGAAGCCCCGTCTGGAGCTTGGTTTGAAATATGCAGAGTGCCATCTGTTGAAGCCGCCCAAACTTCACTGTTTGTTTAGGTGTGGTGGTCGCAGGGTTGTGGGAGGTGGGGTGAACACCTGTCATCATGCCTTTATAGTATGTCTGCTTCAAGTAGAGCAGCTTCCACGCGGCATGTTCTCGTCATTATTATAGACATTGATTGTAATCTCAACAAGAGGGAGGTTAGTAAAAGAAGGTGAAGACTCCTATACTTGAGGTCATGTTAAGGGCGGATTTACATGACGGCGTAATGGACGACCATACCAAAAGTAGTAAAACTAACCCCAAAAGGCAATCAATCCAGAGGTCCTCGCTTTACAATCGAGATATCTTCAAGACACTTCTTCTAATCGTGACCCGTTTCCTTTCTTTCCTTTCCATTTTCTTCTTTTTTTCTTCCTTTCAAGTTATATGTTTCTTCCGATTCCTTGATTCATCATCTAGTTTGTCGATGCTGCTTCGCTCTTCACGCAATGGCGAGCATCACTTCAGTGTCCCTCCTTTCGGAGGCTGAGTTCGGTTGTGGTAAGAGAGTGCTTGAATTCGACTGCCCTTATAGACTGCTCTTCAGACTGACATTCAATAAGAACACCTTGCTTCAATATTAGCGCAGGATGGCAACACTGCCAACCAATTCAAAAGTTCTTTCATCAAGACTCACAAGGCCTTGGCACCCCAGCGTATCGCCACAGAAGATTTGGCGAAACAGAAAGGAGGCCTGCGCCCTGCGTCTCTACTAAGACCAAAGTATACTTGCTTGACATGCTCTGAAGCGTGTGTTCCTGCCAAGCGTGAAACTCATACCGGAGAGACGGGACACCAATTTTGTAGGTCGCTGAATCGAACCCAACAATGTCCGATAACTGATTCTTCACAGATATGGAATCGAGAGGTCGTGCTTTGTTCTGCCAGAGTTGCCGTGATCTTGTCTATGATCATGACCTGGAGCGCCTCCGTTCGTCATCTCAAAATGGCACAGTACAAGGTTTGTATTATCCATTTCGGTGAAAGATCTCTTGCCATACTTACATTCATCAGAAATCAGAAGGCGCAGGTTTAGCGAAAACTCATCTGACGAACAATATGTCAAAATTAACGCCAACAAGCGCCCCTGTGCCAAACAAGGAGTCAGGGGGTTGTATAATCTTGGACAAACGTGCTACCTCAACGTCATATTGCAAACCCTGCTCCACGACCCAATCCTGAATACTTATTTTCTGGGCAGTGGTCACCAGTCGCATGATTGTAACGCCCCTGACTGCATAGGCTGTGCAGTTGCAGAGGCCTTTGCAGATTTCAACAGCAGTGATAAGGCAGAAGGATTCGCTGCCTTGAATCTTCTCCTAGCATCATGGCGTGCAAGTCCTGTCGGTGACCCTTAGGCTTGAACCCTTGCACATTGGGAAAGATACTGACTTTCTATAGACTTTGGCGGGATATCATCAGCAGGATGCGCACGAATATTACCAATTCCTTGTCGACAAGCTACATGCAAGTACTGAAGGACATGTGGAGGATCATGATCAAGCCTGCTCCTGCTTCTTTCACAAGACATTCTATGGCAAGCTTCGTAGCAGTGTAACCTGCGATAAGTGCGGCAATGTGACAAAAACAGAAGATCCCATGGTGGATTTGAGTTTGGACGTCCAAGTGCAGGCAAAGAAACGAGCGATGGGTGGCGGTGTTGGTCCTTCAGCCACACCCACGCTCAACGGCTGCTTGGAGAGCTTCACATCCCCAGAGAAGCTCATGGCAGGCGTATATAACTGCAGTGGATGTGGTAACACACCTCAGAAAGCAACAAAACAATTGCGAATCAAAAAGCTTCCCGCAATTCTCTGCATGCAGTTGAAGGTACGTTGCTTATACTCCACGATTATGGGCCATTCAAGTAACGTACTCTCCTAGCGCTTCGAACACAGCTTAGCTGTGTCTGAGAAGGTTGAAGGCAGAGTCGATTTTCCACTGTCCATCAACATGCTTCCTTACACAACCAACCCAAACAGTAAGGTTGACAAATCCAAGTACATATATGATCTTTCGTCCGCTGTCGTCCACAAAGGCAAGTTGGATGCAGGTCATTACTATGTCTACTGCAAGCAGGGTGATCAGGTTCGTTGATCCCCCATTGACTCTTGGTCCTTGTGATCCCGAAGACGGCATAGCAATGTTTACTAACAACACTATAGTGGGTGCTGTTTAACGATGACCAGGTCACTGCAGTAGCCGAGGCGGATGTTCTAAACGCCGATGCTTATCTTTTGTTTTACAGCCTAAGAACGTTTGGTTCTGGATTGCAGTAGCTCATTCGCTCTCCATTGGCACCTTCTCGTGTCTCTTGAAGGGGGCACAAACTAACGTATCTGACACATTGGGTTTAGCGGACAGGAGTTGATGGCTTGGGAGTTCATTTTATGTTTTGGGTCGGATCGCGATTATAGGTCTCTCGGGCAAGCTTAGCTGAGCTTGTGCTTTTAATGCAACAAGGTGTCGAGGGCATATTTACCCTTGTCTATTCACACAATGCAATAGACCGTCGGTTTCACGAAGATCCATCCTCTCTGGCCCAGGCCTGATCGAACCGTATGTGTGCTACGAGTTGTGATGCCTACAGCGACGGGTCCGAGTAGAAAGCAGATACCATGGTGCTTACAGCAATGGCTTTGGAAGTTCTAGAGCGCAATGACACCGATGTCTATATGGCGCATTGACAATCGGGTCAAAGTCAGCCCCTGGGAAAGCGCTCTTCCAACAGACCATCACATCCATCGAACCGACCTGACACCGTGGTTACGAGATGCATGGCCGATAGTTCATGCTGCTCCCAGTACCAACAAACCCCATTGCTGAAAGGAATTCGAGAGTAGAGGCAGATTGTGGTGGAAAGAACGGTAGAAGATCCTCATTAATTCAATTCAAGAAAATTGAATTGGAAACATAGGTTTCGACATGACACCTTTTGGATTGTCCACACCGGCATCTGCATAAAAAGTTTCCCCTTCCTCTTTTCCTATTTTCCCCCATCGGGATTCAAGCAGATAGGATTCCCTTTTTCGTTTTCCTCCATGGTTTCTACCGAGCGCCGAGCACGTAACGAATCGTCGTGAATAGGAAATGGATAGAGAAACAATTTAACGGAACTGTCGGTTGGGAAATAGATTGTTAGTAAACTGCTCCTCATTTGCCAGCCAATGCTTCTGATCTGTCGTATCTGTGTTGCTGGCAATGTGTTTCCGAATCCGCGGCGCATGTGGGAACCAACCTTGTAGAAACCGATGTCCTGAGCCTTCTCACGGAAGCACTGTCTGCAGATGTTCATCTGTATCTCCCGTCAGCCCATGTTCCCTGGTCATATCGTTGTCCCGTTGCGATTTGTTTTCCATACCCCGTACTTGCGGATGAGACCGGCGCGGTGGGCGCAAACACGGCTGTTTCGACGCAGATATCTGATTAGCCAATTCTGATCGCAATCCAGAGATTTCGAGAGCTTTTCTCAATGTATCGTCACGGGAATTTCGTTCACACACCATTCACGGGAGCCCTTGCCGAACCTGTCGAGAAGAACACACAATTAGCCATGTTATACCACCACGTCCTGGAGTCGAGAAATTCCTTACTTGCGGGGACGGCTGTACCACACGGATTCGTGAGTCATCTTGAATCTGAGGCGAGGAAAACCTGGGGGTTGACGGTGTTTGGCAGGTGGTTTGTCGTCGCTGGGCGTTGAGGATGGAAATCTATTAGGGTTGAAAATGCGTTGTGTGCTTCCAGGTCCGCCGCGGGCTCGGGCGCTCGCTTGAGCGAGACTAAGCCCTTTTGGGAGACATTAGGCTCTAGCGTTCATGTGATTTATGACCCTGACCCTTTAGGGCTAGCGCCCCGCCTCCAGATCTGCGGCGTTTTGTTTCTCCGCAGTCCCTGGATATCAACAACTTTTCGAGCAATACTAGAAGATAACTTTCAAGTTTCATAGCTTCGGATTATCACGTTGATATCTCAGGCCTGCTGCAGTTGAGGAATCGATTTTATCATTTTGACCACGAATCTAATTTGATTCTTCAATCATATCTTACCATTGAGCATTCAGTAATCTAAGCTACAGAGCAGCATCAACAATACTGAAGGAAGCCAGATTTCATTGCTAAATACGTGACTTACAGCAACAATCCCATGCTTAAATCTGGGATCCTCATTCACGTCCAGTATGAGTCCTATAATTATGGGCCCAATGTCCTGCGCGGCTGCGGTTCATCGACGTTAAAATTGCGGCAATGCCTTCATTGATTCGTCTTGAAGATGGCCGTGATATCTCCCCTTTAGTGGCTCTCGGAGCGGGAACGTCGACTGGCTCAAAAATCAAGCAACCGTTCTGTAACTGCAGAACTTAGTTCAAAGTCGAAAGCTCTTGTACGAGCAAGTGGATTGATTGCTGACAAGGCTGCTTGCTTAATCTGTAACAGCTCTTCCGTTGACCGAGTGCTCATCTTCAAGGTATGATCGACTGCTATCAGCGTTCCTGCAGTACGAGACAATAGTGGGACATGGGCCAAACCACGTGCGAACTTGCCCCAATCTCCATGGCGCCGCTATTATTAGTCCGAATCAAGATGAACAATGGACTCGGCTGCCGCTGCCTTTACTCTTCAGGCATTGACACTCCTGCATCGTCGAGGCACAGCCAGGTATTTCTCACAAATAGATTCCGCGAGACGAGATATAAGTACATGATGTCCTTAGCACTGAAGCAGATTACAAGTCACTTTCCTGAGTTGTATTGCTGAGCCCAGCATTCTGGTCGAGCTGACCTTGACCACTCACGCTAGCCAATGTAACAACAATACTATGTTGAGGATTAACCTTCTAAGCATGCTCCTGATGATCCCTTCTATGTAGTGCTTGCTAACACTACTAGGTACTGTCCCTAGCTTTATAAAGACCTTGATGGTTGCCTCTTTAAGGCTTAGGGTATTATGGGGACTAGGTAGTTTAATAAGAGTATTAACTGAGCCTATGATGCTAGGTACCTTATATTCTATGAATCTCCATTAGGAAATTTTGGCCGCAGATGTGGCAATCCGGGCGGCTGGTGATTGGCTGACATTCGCACTCCTGGTACCTATCCGCAACGAACCTGAGGCATCTATAGCCATACAAGGTTCTCGACTCTCTGAGTATAATACAACTATATAACAACTTTAATCCATGAGGAAATTTCCAGGAGCACAGTGTGTGAGAAACATGGCTATTACTTGGTCAGACTTTTTTGAAAGCAAATTCTTCTCGGTACAAGACATTATGTAGAAAACAGAACGTTCTGTATATATCATGGAAACCCCTTCTGTCCCAACAGTCCAGAAATTACTGATCCAGCGATGGCTGCCTCTCTCCGTTGGAAACCTCAGCGCGCCTTGCTCGCCGCAAAGCCAGCCACAGCAGAATGCCCTGCCTGAGGGCGAAAATAGCTTCATCGACGGCCATGAATCCAACCACACACCACCAATATATAAGCACTGGGAGAAGATGTGATGGTTCTGGTTGCGAATGAAGATAATCTTTCGATGGGAAACTGAGTCTGAAGACCCAGGAGATGGCAGAGAGCGCGAATATTGCCGCTTGAAGCAAGGCCAGTCACGCTGACGTATGGCGAGTGTTTTCGGGCTTGGATGCAGAACCCTAAAATCAGGAGCGCGAGAATACCGGGATCAATCTAGAAAAGATGCGTGTCCTCGAATAGAGCAATGAAGATACGTTCTCCCACAAAGCAGTTTGGCTCCCCATATGGACAGAACACGTCTGCTGTGGCGTCTATGATCAGGGGGGGAACAGAAATCATGAGGTAGAAGATATAGATGCCTAGGACCAGGAATTTTCGTGAGCGGCTCATAGATTTGTAATACAGGCGTTGAATGAAGATCAAATTCAAGTTAGCCGTGGTTTGTCATGAAAATGTTGGATAAGGGGGTACACACACGACATTAAAAAGAATCCACACTCCTACTACCTAGAGAAATTTCGCCCAGCCCAGAATAATGATAGGCCGATGAGTCCAGAAGCCTGGTACCTCGTGCAATGTCACTGTGTAAAAGAAACCAAAAAAGACCTTCTGGGTGGCGCAGATCAGATCAAGCAGAAGATGGGCAGATGAAATCCCTTTGGCATCCTGAGCTTGCCTGACTTGCTCTATTTGGGGGATGAAGGACACAAAGACAGAAAGAAGAATGATTCTATTCTAGGTCTTAGTAACATTCGGATAGTAGACTGGGACAGAGAACATACATGCTAAGAAGAGTATACAGCATTTTAGAGAGTGGTAGGAAAGTGGGTTGCTCATATTAACATTGCGGGCTGACCTAAAGTCTCATAAAAAGAGCCATTTTTAGTCTCCTATTTAGCGAAATAATGAGGGGTTAAGACTCGCTTTAGTCGCAGAGCTGGAGAATATTTAAGCAAGATAAATGAGGGCTCTTGACTCTCTCTCGAGTCTTCGGATACTGTTAATATACTGTTACGGATTAGCTGCTGCAGCTCCCCGTAACCAGCAGTGGTGAAGGCAGGTGCTCAGTAACCATTGCCACCCCCCTTCTGTTGCCCACGCGGGTGCTGCATTTGAACAAAGTCATTTTGAGAAATAGAGAATTCATTGGCTTCATACTTGAGGTGGACGGATAGTGAACGTTTGTGAGATCTCATTCCCAGCCAGAGAAACAAAGTGACTAACCTTCAGGTTTGATAGCCCGGATAGTCCTGCTATCTCCCTCGAGCTGTGAGGACCCGAAAAGCTGTGGCTGGGTACCCCCTACTTATTCAAAGTCACTCTGCGCTGTGTTAATAGTGAAAATGAACAACCATATCCCTTCCTAAGGAGATTTTCCATCCCTCCGAAGTGCCATTGCCGCAGTCCCCTCCAGCTCATATTGAGCGAAGCATGCAACCTCCCCATGTATAAGAGCACAAAAGGCAAGACATGGCGGTAAGTACATAGACATGGTGAAGAAGTGCAATGCATCGATGGCGGTAATGGGTAGTTTATACTCTACTCCATGGGGACTTCCATACAACGATCTATCTTAAACCGAAGGTACCCTGGCAGCCAATTCTGGTCGAGCAGTCGCTTCGAAGCACGACACGGGATACCCGCTGTCATCCTCAACAGTAGTCTCTTCGATCTGTATGACAGTCGACAATACCAAACCGTCAAAGAAGGTGGAGATCATTGACCAGTGATATCTAAGAGGAGCTATGATGCTCTCCTAGCTTCCGGGGCAGGCTGTCCCTGCATCCTGCTCGGTCATCATGCCAAGTGATGTCAGGTCGCAGGACCTACCCGTCTCAAGATATGAATGTGAATGATTGGGATTATCAATGTATCAACCCGCCTGGAAAACTTGACGAAATAGAGCCATGGAGTGTCTTGGCCTCATTTGAGCGGTTCATGGTTTCATTTCTTGGCGAAATGCCGGATTTCCGGCGCGATAGTCATATAGGATCATGAGGTTTGACATGTTTTATTCTCTTGGGTGATCAAGGATGTGATATCCTGCCAAGTACTCGGTACCTTGGTGGCTTAGAGCTCCGTTTGTGCTGAGATTGTCGTGCACAGCCTATGCTTTATGCTTGGAATTATGCATTTTCGTTTCTTGACTTGGCGATGCTCTGGTTTGATAGCTTCAATTTGAGATTTATGTTCAAGACAAGATTAGTGGTTGCATAGCTCCATCTATAGTACAATATTTGGTATTTTCAGGAGCATAGTGATGATAAGACAGGTAGATCCTCTGCTCTGGTACATTGTTTTCAAAATCGTGGTTAGCATTCGAGATGCATCCCGAGCCTTACCTCAAAAAGTCGCCGAACAGCTACAGATGTTGGATAGATCAACCAAGATCTACCCAGTCTTTCACGTCCACTTGAGATTTCCAGCTAACACCTGCTTAGAAATCGGCCGACCCAACACACAAGGCTCAATAATGACAAAAGCATTTCCTCGTAGGCTCGTATACTTGGTAGCTCTTGGGTCTCCAAAATCACTCACCCGTGAAGTGAGTCATACCACTACTACTACTAAGATACTTAGTACCGGCGCTGGATCATGGTTTTAGAAAGCTCGAGAAGCGCAGTCAGCGGGATTTGAACCAGTGTCATGGATTGATTTCCGAGAAGCGCGGGCTGTGGTCTGAAGGGGCTCGGGTGCGTGTGGATAGCCACCTGACTAATATATGCCTAATCATCCGGAAAGTACGGAGTATTGCATGATTAATTCTTTTTTTTTCTTTTCTTTTTTTTCCCCCGGCGTTGTTGTTCTTTGTTGTCCAGACTCCGAAGGCCACAAGTCAGAAATTGCCAGTTGGGAGTCTGGGACTTGGAGCCTTGGAGGAGGTATATACGGAAGCCCGCGGATGGTGGATGCAGGCCGAGTCCATGGCTTCATGTGTTTACTGTTGCTTGCCAGCCAATCATACCCAGGGAGGGATGATCGACGGGCTGCCATGGCTTGTCACTTTGCTCAGTAGTAGATAGTGAGTCATGTGAGACTTTGGGACGGTACGAAAGGGACTAAGGTATGTACTTTCCTAGATAAGTACTCTGTAGGTTGTTGGTATGGTATTACAGTGCATTGTGCACGGTGCACAGGGCTGGGAACAGAGAAAAACCCACTTGCTTTTTCTCCAATGCTGTGTCACCGACCGGAGCCAACGTGCTCTGGAGGCTGCAGCCCGCCAAGTGGGGTTTCTATCCGAGGACTGATTCAGTGCTGGACGGTTGTTGGCCAGCTAGAGCACGTACTCCGCTATCATTTTGGCTGTCCATTGGAACAGAGCCTGTTCACTGTTGTACTCTGTAGTATACTCGCTTAAGTCGGGATGCTTCATGTTGAAGTTGTTTTCAATATTGGTCAATATATTTGACTGATTAACACATGTCTCTGTTGTACATGTCGCTTTCGTTTTTATCGAGGAAAGGATGTTGTCTGTGCTCTGACATACCAGAACTATGTACTTGATCAGTTGTTAGGGATGTCTCTGCTAATAGGGTGACAGCCTAACAGGAGCTAGCCATCCGCCCATCTAGCTTTCAACTCTGCAGAAAAGGCAATTGGTTGTGGACTAGAAGATGCATGTGTTCAGAAACGAGCTGGACTATCCCGCCAAGTATGCAGTACTTCATTCTGCGTTTGTGGGGTTGAAATGGCATGGTATGACCGTATGAGACCAGATGATCTTCGGATATAGAAATACTATCTATTCATCATGTGGAAGAGGGGCACCCGACTATGTGCATGTGCTCTGTAGTACAGAGGAGTAAGTAGATCGGGCTGTCAACTAACAATGTACCACTCAGCCTCAGAGTCGGCCTTGTTCTGGTTTGCCAGGAAACATGGCAGAATGGCTTATAAATCCTCAAGAGAGCCTTGTGAAAAATTGATATGTCAGCACCTCAATATAAGCCCCTTCACACAAGGATCGACAAGGCACCGTGACAACAGGTAGGGATGCTGTGGTCAATTCCGTCCTGTCCATTGCCTTCAACAAATGACAATCCCTGCATTGATCAAGTGACTTGTTGGTCCAGGCAAAGACTGGGCGGGACTTATGCCTAGCACTGACAAACACAACCCCGGCATAGCATTACTGGTGATGATCAGACGGTCAGACCATCTATCGGAAGCGAGGTGATGAGCAACTGCTAACTAGTGCTATTATTGACTTTCGATAGGGATTAAGTATTGAAGTATCAAATCTGTGCTGAAGATCTTGATCAATAATTTCGAGACGTACAAATAGAGTAATTTCGACCCGTTATTATTGAGGGAGGCCAATGCCTGATCCTCTAAGGCTAGATAGTTCGCTAGTATTAGAGTAGCGCCATTGCTCCATTTAGGCGCTAAGAGCCTAAGAGAGCCCATTCGGTACCCTGTAATGAGGTCATCCCGCAGCACGGACTGGCGCAACAAGTGACTTGAATGTTGGGTATTATCGCTCGCTCTGTCTATTTGCTAACTAAATCGCGAAGTGCGAACCGCACATGTTTGAGGCTAGACCAAGACTGGTAATTCAAGGATGAGACAGACGGGTTGACGCTTTCCGGCGGATCCGAACTCCCGAGAAGACTTTCAGATTTATCTCGTAGAGGAATTCCCGTTCAGATGATTATGGTGAAGGTTGAAGATAGAAATCTTGGAATAGGTAGGTTCTGTGGGCACCCTTGACGCAAGTACTGCAAAGTAACTAATAGCTAGGGTGCAGTGGGAAGTATGCAGAGTACTACTTAGCGAAGATAACAAACCTTCAGCATCAAACTGTGTCTGCATGTAAGCTAGAGAGCTAGAGAGAAAGGCAAGGCAAGATGAACTTTGGTTCCAGACCGCCCCAAACTTGTAAAGCAGACAGCAGACAAAAGAATAATAATAAACCGAAAGATAACAGACTGACTCGGAAGCCACCGCATGATGACGGTGTCTTCAACCCAGCTGGATCCATTAATCATGAACCCTCCGATCTAGAAGTCCTCAGGAAATCCATGTCCCTGTCATCATCACTCATACCCATTCTCATAATGATCAAAGATCCAGCAAGTCTGACAAAGTACTTATGCTCCTTCCAGTACCAACTTGCATAGGTAGCAGGTATCTACCTAGTCGCCAGGTATCTACCTAGTCGCTTTGAGCTTGACTGGGATCGTTTTCTCCCGTGAAGCACATACAGGCTACAGCTCCAGCCAAGCAGGCTAACGGGCTCCGATTAGTATTACTATTGTTATTATTCCCCACTGTGTTGTTCGGCATCCGGACTAGAGCTTTGGAGGAGCTCTTTGTTTCCACGGCCTCTCGGCGCTGGACGCATCTTATCCCCGCCTGATCCGAGAGAGAGCGACGGTGACGAGCAAGATAAAAAAAAAAAAAAAGAGTGAGGAAAGAAAAAGAGACCGGTCTCTCATCTTTTCGATTACTTCTTCTTTTCTTTCTTCCTCCCTTCCTGTTCCACCTACCCACGATATTCGCCATACTCACTGTGCTCTTCCTCTTCGGCTGCTCCTCTCTATACTTCAGCCCTATCAGCATTCCTCACATAATCATTGCGCTTCAGCATCGGTACCGCTCACAATTCAGCGGTCCTGTACAGGAGATTTGGAGCTCACGGAAACCGTTCTATCTGGTCAGGTTTATCGACATTCCCATTCTGCGGGCTGGAGCTTGAGTCTCTCAGCTCTAGCTCTTCCCCCTCTATAGTCGCGGCGCCTTTCCACGCATAAGAGAATAAATAACAAAAACACACATGCTGCGCAAAGTGACTCAAGCCGCATTTGCGGTCTCCTTCTTACTTGTATCTTTCGCCAATGCCATTCCCCATGGAGATGACGAAGCGATGGACATGAATATGGACCACGCTGCTGCTAAACCCGAAACGAATCAGGACGCAAATGACAACTCCCCAATGAGCTATTTCGCATACGGAAAGCATTCTGGGACCATCATAGCCCATATTGCTTTGATGATGATCGCATGGTGCTTCGTCCTGCCTGCAGGTAAGAATTGCTCGATAGCTGTTAGCGTTGTAGTAATACTAATCATCACTTTCGCAGGCGTTATGCTCAGTATCGCTCGCTCTCGATTCGCGTTACCGACACAGTTTCTGTTCCTGGTCTTCAATGCCTTTGGTTTGCTCATCGGAATCATTTACAACAGCCAGACTCCTGATCTTTATGAGAACAACGCTCACCACAAGATCGGATGGATTGCGACCTGGGTTGTCAGCGCGCAAGTCATCATGTCTCTCATCTTTGCCTACGCTGGCCGAGGCGAGAGCGCAAAAGCATACGAACAGGCAGCATTCCTTCCCGTGTCCACCGATGAAATTACCGAGAGTCCGCACTCTTACCCCTCCGGTATCCGCCATGACTATCGGTGGTCCAGAGACAGCGGTCAGGGTACTGAGAGGAATTCATCCTCTATCCACAGTCGGCCCGGCTCACCATCCTGCTCGTCGCCGTTGTCGGAAGAATATGATAGCTTTGAGAAGCCGGAGCCACCAGTTCCGGAACTCCCTGCTCGCCGTGGTTGGCTACACAGCACCTTCGTGGATCGCTTCCTGGCCAGTCGCGTGCCCCGTCTAGTCTCAAGTCGCGTACTCCGCGTTCTGAGCGCTGTATATATGGTCATTGACAGAGTCATCTTGCCATTCGGTTTTGTTACCATCGCCACTGGAGCTGTGACTTATGGTGGCATTATGGTAAGGACCTTATCCCCATTCCAAGACGTTGAGGCGTGCGCTAACATGATGTCGCATTGCAGAGAGACAGTGAGGTTTTCAATGGTCTTGCGCACTTCATCAAGGGCGGAATCTTCTTCTGGTACGGTCTGTTGACCCTGGGTCGGTGGATGGGCTGCTGGTCAGACCTCGGCTGGGCATGGAACGTGAAACCATCGAGCTCCGTTGTCGGCAAATGGAAAGCCAAGATTCCAACTGGCGAGTTCACCGAATCGCTCGTGATTTTCACATATGGCGCGAGCAATATGTTCCTTGAACATCTAGCGGGATGGGGTGGCGCATGGTCTGCCACAGATCTTGAGCACGTCTCTATCTCTGTCATGTTCTTTGGTGGTGGCCTGTGTGGTATGCTCTTCGAATCTAAGCGCGTGAGGGACTGGTTGAATAGCACTGTTTTGCAAACTCCTGCGCACGCCGGTGTGCATGTGTCAGCAGACCCTGCTTGGCGCCTCCCTGACACCCAAGGGGTCTCCCTGAACCCGATGCCTGCACTTGTGATCTTGCTTCTGGGGATGATGATGGGTTCGCATCATCAAACCAGCATGATCTCGACCATGGTGCACAAGCAATGGGGTAACCTCCTTGTTGGATTTGCTTTGGCCCGCGCCATGACGTACGTCATGCTCTACCTCAAGCCCCCGACTTCCTTCCTGCCATCTCGCCCGCCGACAGAGATTGTGGCCTCGTTCTGCCTGATTGCTGGAGGTCTCATTTTCATGCTGAGCGTAAGTGTGGCCTTTTGCTTGTGTTTGACGAGACTTTACTAATTTGTGGCAGACTCGCAATGTGGTTGACAGCATGGAGTTCTATGGCCTGGATGCCATGTTTACTTTCACTGTTGGCATGGGAGTTACCGCCTTCATCATGGCTTGTGAGATTTTGGCTATTGCCCTCAAAGCCTGGGCGGTGAAGAAGGAGTTACGGCCACAATTGCCTCCCTTCCAATTCCCCACTGCATAAATGATGTTATGAATTTGACACTTTTCGGAGTACAGTCACACTGTGATCTGTTATTTACTGGCTGCGCTGATGAACAGGTCAATCCCCAGCGAAGGTTTTGGCCGTACAAGTTACAGCAGAAAGAGAGAAGAACGATTGAAACAACAAAAAAAAAAAAAAAAAAGCGATCACGATTGAAAAGATGGAGGTCGATTTTGTGACAGTTTTATACCCCCTTATACTATTCGATTTCTACGACCTGGTGTGTGGTTGTCAGATGCACAGACATAATACCCCATATACCACGGCCTGATTTCGCATTTTTGATGTATTTTGACGTTTATGAACGATATCACATGGTTTACGGACATGTTAATGAGGGGGATTCCAATGATATGATATGATTTTGTGGACATACTGGAGGATTCGGTGTCATAGTCGGCCTCAAAACACGGAAGTTTGATTATGACGTCTTTACCATAGCTTCCATTCCTTCGGACCTTGACTATGTCTGACACGGTGACAGTCTGACAGTAAGAAAAGTAAGGGATAGTAAGATTCATTGCTTCCTATCTTGATTACCCTGTTGGGCCTAAATTTACTAACTCAGCCTAGCATATCACTCTTGCTCCCGATGGACGATTCCCATGGATGACAAATTGACAATAATCCTGAGTAGGCGTGCTTACAAAAATTGCTCGGAGTTAACGTTCTAATTGCTCGGAGTTGACGTTCTAATTGCTCGGAGTTAACATTCTAACTGCTCGGTTGACGCAAAAGCTTGGCTTCCTCTAGTTACGGGTAACGGAGACTGGAGTGTTGCCTGGAAACCCCAAAGACCTCAGTAGCATAGAACTCTATCAACCGTTCGTGTTATACAAACATCGAACAAAAGGTGAGACGAGAGCTTCCGGCGATTTCCTTGTGCTGCTCCTGCCGGAATAATTGCATCAAATCTGTTAGTAGGCAACCCGCTGTATGACTAGAACCCTTGTCAGCAGTTGTTTTAGGCATATCTTATAGGGATCTTAGTCATCGCCCCTGAGGGGCAAGTGGGGAGGGGTTTTTGCAACGCAATGGAATTGGATGGATGCACCATGAACGCCGAGCGCTTCTTGACGGAGTGTTGAGTCTTGACGCCTCGGTGGGCATTTAAAGAGAGGCCATAATCCCCCCCCCTCTCCTGGCCCTGGGTTGTTATTTTCATACTCTTTCTTGATCACTTCCACCATCTCCCCTCCACACCCGCACAAAGATGGCATCCAACCCCCCCGGAGCTTGCTGTGCCTCTGGCTTCAAGCATGAAGGCAACCCAGTTGGCGAAATTAAGAAGATTGAGGGTGGTAAGTGGCCGTATTGTGTTTGATCGTTATTGAGAGCTGGTACTGGACTCGGTAGATTGACTTGTCGATTAGTCGAGGCCTACTTCTCGTACCCCAAGGACAACAAGAGCCCCGAGAAGGCTGTTCTCATCCTGAGCGACATCTTCGGAATCTATGTCAACGCCCAGCTCCTTGCCGACGAGTTAGCCGCCAATGGATACCTCGCCGTCATCCCCGATCTCTTCCGGGGCGACGCCATCAAGGTCAGCGATATGGAGTCCGGCAAGGTCAATATCACCGCCTGGATTACCAAGCACCAGATCGCCGATGTCGAGCCTGTTATCGAGTCCTCAATCAAGCACCTCAGACAAGAGCTCGGAGTGAAGAGGATTGCTGGCGCCGGTTACTGCTTTGGTGGCAAGGTAGGTTCATCGCTGGAGAGATAACCCCTCGTGTGCAATTCGCAGGTGGAAATCCGTTCCTGACAATATTCTTTCGAAATTAGTATGTCTGCCGCTTCCTGAAGCCTGGAAAGATCGATGTTGGTTACACCGCCCACCCCTCCTTTGTGACCAAGGAGGAGCTTGCTGCCATTGCTGGCCCCTTGTCAATCGCTGCTTCTGGTAAGTTGCCCTGGAGATGCGGGTTGTCCCGCTGTATCAGATTCATAACTGATGCTCAATGTCCTCTAGAAATCGATCAGATATTCAACACTCAGCTCCGCCACGACTCTGAGGGTATCCTCATCAAGACTGGCCAGCCCTGGCAAATCAACCTCTTCAGCGGCGTGTCCCATGGCTTCGCTGTTCGTGCCGACTTGAACAACAAGCACTTCAAGTGGGCCAAAGAGCAAGCCTTCGGCCAGGCGGTTGCGTGGTTCAACCAGTATCTATAGATCAAGACAAAGTAGATTGTTTTCTCATATATCCGATCGAATTTTTAATGAACAGATATGAGAAATGAGACTATTTGTAATCCGTCCCTCGTACCTCTGATTACTGATCGGCATCAGATTGTGCCTGAAATCGATAAGGCTTATCGCTCACGTGACCCCCGGCCTCCGCGCAATGGGAGGATGGTCTTGTCAAGCAAAGTAGCCTTGTCCTCTATCAATCGGTCACTTAATGAAAGCATTAATCCCGGGAGCATTATATTTGCATATTGCTTCGTCATTGTCGAGCCTTTCATTTTGATTTGCAGCCTGAGTCCCTTTTCGGCTGCACTTGCATCTTGCAAAGCAAGTGTCCCAGTCTTCCACTTCGCGTCTACGGCATTTGTCCCATCCCTGGAGACTGCCCGAACTGGCACCGGCATTCTTTACTTTGCGATATCTTAATACATTGGCAGATTCTACAATATCAATTCGTTCAATCTCAAGCTCCGATCACCTGCGCAATTGCATCGAATTTTTTTTTCTCGTTCGCTCGAAATCGGCTGCAGCATACGGAATACTACGTTGCATATCCACTCAAAAGTGACATCTGCCCGCCTTCTTCGCAGCTGTTCGATATATCATATCCCCGCTTCCATCTTTGGATATCTCCTCCAGCGGATTTAGTATAAGAAAGATCTCTGTCATCTTCTGAGAAAATGGCATCACCTACCGCTTTGCCACCATTGCCATTCAACCCGAGCAGGGTGAGATCGTATCTCCTCCGGCTACCACTTTTCACGCGCATCGTGGTCCTGGTTATCATCGCATTCTGGCTGCTTGAGTTCCAAACGATATGGGGCGTGGTACAATGGGGCTCATTGACGCCAGATGATATTGGTCTTGGAAGCAGTATGTTCCCTCTGCTCCGAACGGTCGTTACGTTTAGATAGGGCGTAACGCCCGTGGGTATGATTCTAACTTGGGAGAGCAGTGTATCGACTGAACACATACCCATTCATTCACACTGGGTTCTTCCACACTTTTCTGAACCTGTTGGCTCTCACGCCGTTGCTGGAGCGTTTTGAAGCTGAGCATGGTACTTTGACCGCAGTTGCTTTGTTCATTGGGCGTACGTCTACCCCCTTCTCCGGCTGGATAGTCCCTGAGGTCCTTGAGGTGTTTGTGGCCTAGAGCGTACTGACCGTCTGTTTACGCACAGCTCTGTCCACGTTTCCTGCCGGTCTATATATCCTCGTTGAGAAGTTCATTCTGCACAGAAACACAGCTGTGGTTGGCGCAAGGTAAACTCTTTTGCCATTGACGGAATAGTGAAGCACATTTCTAACGGTATCTTTAGTGTGTGGGTGTTTCTGCTTCTGGGCTCCGAAGCTATCAGAACATACAAATCCAATCCATACTTCAGGTATGTTGATCCTTAAAATATGACCTCTTTGGACCTTCAGCGCGACTAACGAGTCTTAGTCTCGGGCCATACAAGATTCCAACGTGGACATCATCTCTGTTCGCATGTGCTCTCGTGTCGATTTTCGTGCCAGACACGAGCTTCCTGGGCCATCTTTGTTCTGTCTTGATCGGTTATTTGCGTGAGTATTCGTTCTCCTTGTTCATTATCAATAGTATACTAACGAACTCTCTTTTAGTCGGCCTCGGTTATCTGAAGGTGTTTGTTCCGCCCGAGAAGATTCTCAGATGGATTGAGGGGAAACTGAACCTGCTGGGCCGCCTGCCACACTATGTTTCAGTAGACCAGAAAACATACGGACGATATGGTGTGCTCCCTTCGTCGACTGCTGCTGCAGGTGGTGAAAGATCCACCCCTCTGAGCTATCTGGGGACAAACCAGCGTCTCGGCCCTTGAACTGCCCACGTGAAATAAGTTAATATGATTATCTGTGTATATTGGTTAATAAAATACTTGTTCAATAATCATCACAAATTCGACAAGCCAAATAGGTGTCTAGATTGTAGTAGTTGTCGTGGACTCTGGTAACTTGTGTAGATGGTTCTTATCGGCCAACGTAAATTTACCAGTGTAGTTGCGGAGAAGCTGATCACGTCCCAACTGCCCAGTTCTTCTGCAACAACACTCGACATGAGATAGTATCTCCGGGTGCCTTCAATGCCATGGCTCTGAAATGTAAGTAGCACAATTGATAGATGCCCACCAAATGTCCTATCTTTCCGCAAAGCGCATCGCATCGCAAGAGATGCATTCCGTGGCCTTTACCCCGGAATATCAAACAAGCCAGCTCCAGCTCAGAGACAACGCTGACCGTTCCCCGAATTCCAGCTGCGATCCGCAACCTGCGGAGCAATCCCCAATTTCTTTACGTCCGCCTACCGTATCTATTATCGCTCCTCTGCATTGTCGCCGGCGTCGTCTGGCTTCTCCTCCTTCCCCTTGAGGAATACGCCCGCGAAACCTACATCTCCGAAAACGCGCTTTTGCCGGGCCAGGTGCATGCGTACTTCTCCGGTAGTGAGCAGAATATATTCCGCGGTTATAAAAAGGAGCTTGAGAGCTTGTTGAATGCTGGTGATCAGCAGGGTCAGGATCGGGTGGTGGGGGGTCAGGAGTTGACGCCGGTGTATGTTACGGCGTGCTCCTACCAATGTAATCTATCTGGAAGATCGTTGCTAATATTCAGGTGTGACTAGGGTATCGGAAAAGATACAATCGATTCTACGAGCTGCCGGGTTGAAAGTTGCAACGCAGAAGTATGAGTATACTTCTTCCGGTATCACACATGAAGGACAGAATACCTATGCGATCATCCACGCGCCGCGCGGGGATGCAACAGAAGCTATTGTGCTGGTCGCTGCTTGGAAGACGACCGATGGGGAGCTGAATCTGAACGGTGTGAGTCTTGCGCTTACGCTGGCAAGATACTTCAAGCGTGAGTCAATATTTGTCCTGGTCCAGGCTGGAGAGTCGTTCGAGAGAAATGCTGATTGAAGTTCATGTTCAGGCTGGTCTTTATGGTCGAAAGATATCATCTTTTTGATCACGCCGGACAGCAAGTCGGGAACACAAGCCTGGGTCGACGCGTACCATGATATGCAACCGGCCTCGGTGCAACCTTTGCCGTTGAAGAGTGGTGCCTTGCAGGGTGGATTAGTGATCGAATATCCTTTCGACCACCGCTTCGAGTCTCTGCACATCGTCTATGATGGCGTCAATGGACAGTTGCCCAATCTGGATCTATTCAATACGGCTGTTTCAATCGCTGGTGGTCAGATGGGGATCGGCGCCAGCCTGCAGGAGATGTGGGATCATAATGACAGCTATGAAATGCGCCTGCAGACGATCCTAAGAGGTATGGTCAAGCAAGGTTTTGGATATGCCACTGGAGCACATAGCAGCTTCATGCCGTATCACATCGACGCCATCACACTGCAAACTAAAGGCGATGGCTGGCAGGACGAGATGGCCCTGGGTCGGACTGTGGAGGGTCTCTGTCGCAGTCTCAACAATCTGCTTGAGCACCTCCATCAAAGCTTCTTCTTCTACCTGCTTATGCATACGCGCTATTTCGTCAGTATTGGTACTTATCTGCCCAGCGCAATGCTCATTGCCGGAAACTTCACGATCATGGCGATTGCGCTGTGGATGCGGACAGGCTACTACATGAGCACTCAATCACCTTCTGCAGCAAAAGCAGTAGCCAGCCCCCAAGATGAGAAGAAGCCGCTCGAACAAGTAACCAGTCCTGAAGATAGGCACGAACCGAGTGAGAAGGACTCAAAGAAGGAGACGCTCCCTGGTAGTGTTGTAGAGCGACAACTCGCCCTGCCTCTCACACTGGTCGCAGGACTGCACCTGCTTGGCTTGGTCCCTCTCTTCATCTTCAACAATCTTCATCACAAGGTCAGTTGCTACACATGCTTACATGACTCAACTCCGAATGATCTCTTTAACAAAGATAGCAGTACTACACAACCGCAACCTACACATGTCTTGGAGCCGGCGTCGTTCTCCCTCTCCTCGTCGCAGTCCTTCTGAACCACGGCTTCAGCTCCCCGCCAACCGCCCAGCAATACCTCCTCACCAAATCATTCTCCCTCCTTCTCCTCGGATTGTTTCTCTCAACTCTCGCAACACTCAACTTCTCTTTGTCCTTCATGGTCGGCTTGCTGTGTGCACCGCTCAGCCTCGTCAGCCGCATCAGCCCCAAGACGAACGCCGTGCTGCGGTACCCGCTCGCTCTCTTCGGCTTGCTGGTCCTAAATATCCTCTCTCCCCCCGTTGTCCTTCTCGGCGCGTGCTGGTATTCAGGCGCGTCGGTTGAGACGGTTCTGACTCAGGCCGCGTTCGGGTGGAATGTCTGGGGGATGTGGACGCAGGTGATTGTGTGGTGCGTTTGGTGGCCCGCTTGGGTGGTTGGATGTGTATTACTGGGATCTTCTCTGCTTTGAGTTTAAGCCAAAGGGGCACTTGCTTGGATGAGACTCTTCATTCGGGCTTATCGATTTACATAGTGTCTGGATTTTTAATATTTCAATGTTGAATATTTCCTCCTTCCTTGAGCCTTGGTAAACGTTTAATTCTGCTCTGGAAAATTGCTGTCGCTTTCGTGGCGTTTCAATTACTGAGAGTGATCTAGTGGGTTTCGTACATACATGCAAATCAGCATTCTCTCGAGCACCCTTTCCACCTTCCAGATACATGTGTTGCTCAAGGGATAATATCTAGGGATCCCCCTGTCTAAGCAGCCCACACATCTTTACCAACACCCTCGATCCAGTGACCGAGCTGATTCACACCCGCATCCCAGTCCTTGAGTCTATTACGCATGCCCTCGATTTGCTTCATATCCAAGACCTTCGGCTGCACCCAGTTGATCTGGGCAACCTGCGCAACCTGATCGATGGCACCCTTGAGCAGACCCAGAGACAACGCCTTCATGACCAGATGCTCAATCTCCTCGGGCTTAACTTTAGTCTCGGACGAGATGGACGCGAATGTAAGGTTGCGGTCGTGCGGGGGCCGGCGGAAGACCATCTCTGTGAGGGCTGACAGGGAGATTTTCTGGTAGAGGAAGATGCGGTGCTGCTCGAGCAGCTCGTTCTTGGAGATGTTGCCGGCCAGAACATCGTAGGCGGTGAGATCGCCGCGGTTGAAGGCAAACAGGAGGTCGCGCAGCCAGCTGTGCGGCGTCTCGGTGAGCGAGTCCAGGATTGGGTGCAGGAGGAGTTCACCGAAGTTGTAGATGGTGTCGGAGACGAGAGCGGCGACGCTCAGGCTGTATGCGCGGGAGACGCGCTCGGACTCGCTGAGATCCTCCAGGTTAATGCAGGCGAGGTAAAGAAGGGCATTTTTGTAGTAAGCGGCAAATTCTTGTTTAGCCTTTGCAGTTGTCTGGTTAGTCCAAGGGAATGTAGATTCAAACACTTTTGAAAGCCCCAACTTACGTGGTAGTAATCTGCGTTGACCTTGTAAAAGGAGGCGTGCACTACAGTCTCGACCGAGTCGAACGAATCCAAGACCTTCTGGCATACTTCCAAGTCTTTTTGCGCTCCATCCAAGTCCTGTAGTCGCTGCTTGACGTTCGCAACCTCTGCGAGGGCGTAGACGTAAGCGTCTTGTGTGTCGGGTTTGTTCACCTTATCCGCTAGTGATGTAAGGAAGGAAAGTCGCTCTTTGTCATCTATGATGATACTAATGTCAGCCGTACTGCTATCTTTTCTTTTAAGGCTTGCCTATTCCTGAATGATCACAGGTATGTCGGAGTGGATTCGAAACGAACCTGCGCATTCTGTCGATGCCATCAACCCCAACGAGACAAACTTGAGCTGGTTGATCTTGTCGGCGAAGCTCAGAACAAACGTCTTGAATATCGGTAACCGCTGAGGAGCACTCTCTGGTAGCTGAAAGAATTCAACCAGCGCATTTGTCAGCTGATGCCATAGCTTCCGCTCCCAGAAATCTTCGAAGCTGAGGAAGAAGGCCTGGCTCTGCTCTGGAGCTTGCTGCAGCTGGTCGGCCAGGAAATCGGAGATCTTCTGGTTCTCCATGACGGAGAAGACGTGGGGAGGGGTTGGTTTCAATAAATCGTGTAGTAGGTATGGGTGAAGATGAAGATGGGACGTGAACGGATAGCCAGTAATTGGTGGAAATGCAAGATCGGATAGTTGTTATCCCAAGTGTGAGATCAAGGATGCTTGAGCCTACGATGGCGGAGTTGCGTTGGAGCTTGGGCGGTGTCTCTGCACCGCCGTAGTAATCTAATCACCAATGACATCGGCCCTGTCATCACAAAAAAAGCCGCTCTCATTATTCCATGTAGTCGCACAAAACATTGAACTATTAACTCTGTTTGTAAGTCATACAGCAAGTGAGCACAGAACCAGATATAAGCTATTCAACATGTGATGTTCTTTGGGTGCCCTAGCGATAAGTTCATAGTGCTCAATGTCTAGTTCCAGCAAATGTCTCCGATATGTCTCCGAACAGGTAGTTATATAAGTAGTGTTGGGTCTGTCATATGATTGTACAGGGTTGTTGCCTTGAAATACCTACATCCGTTTTCTAGGAAGTACTGTTACCTTGCTCTTGTTCCATCACGCTCCTTGACATTATCATCCTCTATCAAAATTTCACCTACTGACAACCGTTCTGTGTTTCCTCGCAATGTCGACCTTCACCGAATTAAATAGACAGTATTTTGAGTAAGGCCCATATCTTCCAGCATCTGCGGAGGACTCTTCTGATTGAACTGCATAGTAAACAGGCTAGCTCCTACAACGGCGATTTCCGAAATGTCCTGGAAACGATCTATAACCAAGTCCAGAGCCGTCGCTCCTGGATCAGTGATATCTGGAATGACACAGAGACCGGCAAAGATCCAGAGATCAAGGTACTCGAATACGCTTGTGGAACAGGCGCTGTCTCCTCGGTGCGTACCTCTCGGAAGATCAATGAACTCGAATATTGCTTACAAACTCGACACAGGCGCTGGCACCATTTGTCGACAAAGTCGTCGGCATAGATGTATCAGAAGAGATGATCAAGCAATACAATTCCAACGCCAAAGAAACTGGTTTTGCGGGAAAGATGGCTGGTTACGTCGGCGATCTGTTCGCCGAATCCGTGCCGGCCGAGATTTCTGGGCCGGAGTTCCAGGACTTCGACTTGGTCGCCGTGAGCATGGCTTTGCATCACTTTGATAAGCCTGAATTTGCCCTTAAGCGCCTGGGAGAGCGTTTGAAGAAGGGTGGCATGTGTTTGATCATCGATCTGGTACCAGAAGATAAGCATTCCCCACACGCCATGGGCCATGCATTCCCTGAGGCGAACGCAACAATCAGGACTCATGGCTTTACGGCGGAGCATATGCAGAAGTTATTCGAGAGCGCTGGATTATCGCATAAAGTCGATTACTGTGTGATCGAAGAGCCAGTGGTGTTCCGCAAAGAGGGCAAGGAGATTTCCAAGACCATTTTCATAGCTAGGGCTCAGCGCACCTAGTTCGCGGGTCAAAAGGAGCTGGATTAGCTTCATGAACGATATCAATCGCAGACACCGCAAGAGGGGAAAGAAACAAGCTGTTTTTCGGTCTCAATATCGAGCAATGTCATAGCTGAAATTTGACTGAACTGACACTTTTTTTGTAAGAGATGAATACGTCGTTCGATCTGTAGAGAGATCAAGGGTTGACAAAGAAGTACGATGAAAATCAGTTTCTCTTGATGCAGTGGTCAATGTTATCCAATCAGGGTTTCTTAATAGTCAGATGTGATTTCATTCAATCTTGACAACAGTAGTAGTATCCTTGCCCCAAAGCCGCATTCTACTCCTATCGAAGTAATTAGGATCCTCTGGGGATCGAATTGAACACTGGAAATAATGTGCAGCCCCTAAAGAGTATTGTTCGGTGACAATCAATCGTTCGTTGACGTTGCCAGGCTGGAGAGTTGCTGTCCGAATCGGGACTAGCGTGCCAGTCCCGTGCTGCAGTTCGGTTTCTGGAGAACGACTTTCAACCAGACCAGCGTCAAGCACAAGAACTGCCTGCCGAGCTGTGCTCTCACCTCTGTCCCTCTCACCATCTACCAACATTGATCCGGGCACAATCCGGTGGTCTCATTCGATCCGCGAGCTGAAGAGAGACCATGCAAAAGTGCCGGGCCGTCAATTCCGCCCTGGGGTCGAGGGCCTTTGTCCCCGCCCCTCGGATTCAAAGCCAAGTGCAGCGTCGGAATCTCCAGGATGTCGCCATTACTAGGACTGGAAAGCCGATCCTGAGAGTCCAGGGTGGACGGTGAGCGCAATTGTGCCATGAATGTGCGAGTATCGGGGTGCTAACAGGTGGTTTCGTCACAGGTCATCTCTCGGAGGTATTCAAGCCATTGCCATCAGTTCGCGTAGCTGGCGGATCATCTAACAAAATTCTCTGTATTATAGGCTTTACCGCGACTGTTTTCGGTGCCACTGGCTTCCTCGGCCGCTACATTGTCAACAAGCTCGGTAGGTCAACCAGGGTGTCAGCAAATCGAAACCAGAAACTGACATGCCTCTAGCCAACCAAGGATGCACGGTCGTTGTTCCATATCGCGAGGAGATGACAAAGAGACACCTGAAGCCTACCGGTGATCTTGGAAGAGTTGTCTTCATTGTACGCGCGGCTCCGCTATCGATTGGTTCTACAGCAATCATTCAGCCGGCTAACTTGACGGCTACTTAGGAATACGATCTGCGGAATACCCAATCGATCGAGGAGAGCGTTCGTCACTCCGATGTTGTTTACAACCTTGTTGGACGTCAATACCCTACAAAGTCAGTGGCAGTGTTCTGGAGGTCTGAACACAGGAGCATCACTGACCCTTTGCAGGAATTTCTCCTACACTGATGTTCACGTCGATGGAACCGAGCGCATCGCCGATGCTGTCGCCAAGTACGATGTTGATCGGTTCATTCACGTCTCCTCCTACAATGCCGCCAAGGACTCGCCATCTGAGTTCTTCTCGACCAAGGTCCGTCGTGCTGCTTACTTGTTGGGTGTTGGAAGCGCAGGGATGCTGATTGATCATACAGGGATGGGGTGAGGAAGTCGTTCGTTCGATCTACCCCGAAACTACCATTGTCCGGCCTGCTCCCATGTTCGGTTTCGAAGACAACCTCCTTCACAAGCTTGCCAGTGCTACCAACCTCTTGACTGCCAACCACATGCAGGAGCGCTTCTGGCCCGTTCACGTAAGCTCGGCCGAAGATTATTTTGTTTACTGGATGCTGATATTGCCATTCAGGCCATCGACGTTGGTACCGCTCTTGAGCGTATGCTCCAAGATGACACCACTGCCGGCGAGACCTTTGAGCTGTACGGCCCGAAGAACTACTCCGTTGCGGAAATTGCCGAGCTCGTTGACCGTGAGATCGTCAAGAACCGCCGCCACATCAACGTTCCCAAGGCCATCCTGAAGCCTGCGGCGTACTACCTGAACAAGCTCCTCTGGTGGCCTACCATCTCCGCCGACGAGGTTGAGCGAGAGTTCATTGACCAGAAGATTGACAAGACTGCCAAGACCTTCAAGGATCTCGGCATTGAGCCCGCTGAGCTCAGCGATCTTACCTTCCACTACTTGGTACGTGAATTGTATGATTCAATCGTTGATCATAAGCTGACTCCTGCTACAGAAAGGCTACAGAAGCGCTTCCTACTACGATCTGCCTCCTGCCACGGAGCGTGAGAGACAGGAGGAGAAGAAGTACTTGCACGTTCTTGACGACCAGTAGTTGTCTCTGTTTCTTTTAAGTGTGTACATAAGTTTACTAGACCCGATCGATTTCCTTGTGTTATTCATTACTGTAGTTGTAACGCGTAGCCAATGGTCCTCAAAAGCAGTACTCCTCCCTATATACCAATGCTTCATCTGAATTAAATATATGAAAGATCGAACATCACGGAGAATCAAATGTTTACCCGACGAATGAGCTCGGTTGACACCAATTGCTCTTTTTACCTTTGAACTCGTCCCGATACCTTACCCCACATCGAGATATCAATCGAACAGCCGCGGCAAGGAACGCATCTGTCCAACCCTCGACCTCCAAGACCCTAAAAAGCAACAGCGACAATGATACCCTCCCCTTCATACTCCTTCTCCTCCTCACCGGAGACACCCATCTTGCTCCTCAAGACCAAATCCTCTCCGCACGATGGCTACGAGGAATTCTTCTCCGCCCAAGGCTTCAACCCCGCCTTCGTCCCCGTCTTGGAGCACCGATTCAACCAGCCGAACCTGCATATCGTGAAACAGCTCTTTGAATCCGGCAGCCTCTCAGCAGGATCAGACCGCAAATACGGTGGTCTGATATTCACGAGCCAAAGGGCGGTGGAAGGGTTCGCGCGGCTGATCAGCACGGAGATCGATGGTGAGTTCTGTTCTGCCATTCCTGGCCTGCTGCTGCATGCAAATAAATCTACCGTCGACGGCTAACAAACCCTCGAAACCAACCAGAATCAATCACAGAACAAGCCTCCCACTCCCTCGTCCTCTACAGCGTCGGCCCCGCAACCTCCCGCTCCCTCACCACCCTCCGCAACTCGCACCTCCCACACGCAACTGTCCATGGCGCCGACGCCGGCACAGGCGCTGTCCTCGCGCAGACAATCCTCGAGCACTACAACGCGCTCTACGCAGATGCAGACGCAGATACAGGCACAGACACAGACACAGCCCGCAACAAACCCCCCCTCCTCTTCCTTGTCGGCGAAACACACCGCGACATCATCCCCAAGACGCTGACGAGCGTGTCCCTGCCGCCGCGCCGCCGCATCGGCGTCGATGAGCTCATTGTCTACGGCACGGGTGTGATGGAGTCGTTCGAGGGCGAATTCCGGGCTGCGGTGCGCGAGGGCAAGGTGTGGTTGCGTGGTGCTGCGGGGAAGCACGGGGGGAGGGCGATGTGGGTGGTTGTGTTCTCGCCGACGGGGTGTGATGCCATGCTGAGGGTGTTGGAGGCTGGTGAGGGGGTGGGGGCGCTGCGTGGGGATGGACGGCGGATCTTTGTGGCGACGATTGGGCCGACCACGAGGGATCATTTGCGGGAGGTGTATGGGTTTGAGCCGGATGTTTGTGCAGAGAGGCCGAGTCCTGAGGGGGTGGCGGCGGGTATTGAGGCGTTTATGAGGCGGTGGAAGGGGGAGTGAGATGGGCTGGTGCAGTGGTGTAGGTATGTATAATCTTAGTGATAGGGAATTGGGGGTTTGCATTGGCTGTGTGTATGATAGACAACTGTTCGTCGGGATACCCAAACTACTAGGTAGACGGTATGGGTCTGTTTTGATAAAGGACCCATACACTTGAATTGTACGTGCTACGACGATGATGTCTAGCTGAAAGCTCAAAAGTCATAGGCCAGGTGGAACTAAAGTGGAATGTATGTTCTAGATAAACAAGACTAGCTCCCCGGTAATATTGCAAGCTTGACGATAACAGACAGGGCCAGGCTGGGCTTGATGGCTTTCAATGAGTAGGCCAAGATGAGAAGAAAAGGGGTATTAGAACACCGGAGGTAAAAGACTTTCAAGAGGCAACCAGTTACGAAGGTAGGATGACGATAGGCCGGAGTGCGTGAGGTGGGTGAGCAAGGGACATTGGCCTTCCTTTGAAGTAGCTTCGAGGCTATGTATAAGCCGCACCAAACTCCCTTTCGACGGGCGAAGTGCTTTAATTTTCCCCTGCCTGCGAGATCTCTTGCCTGTCGGCTGCTGTCACATGGGATAGGGACGCAGAGAGGCTTAAAGGTCTCTCTACCGCATAATTTCCTCGTAAATCAAAGCTGCAGACAATTGTCAATACCGACTTAGAAAGAATTGTTATGTGGATAACTGACACTTCAATTGCTCCTTACTGAGAGCATCCTTGTTTTTATCAAAGTCAAAGAATCCTTCAGGGATTGGGGGAGCAGTAGGCTCATCATCGGGATCATGATAAGGCTCCAAGTATGGATGGCGCAAGGCATCTTCTACAGTGATGCGTTTCGCTGGGTTGAAAGCCAGAAGCTTTTCCAAGAGATCCAAAGCCAATTCGTTGCTCTTAGGGAATAAAGCCTTGAAAGGGATCTTCTTCTTGAAGGGAAGAGAGCGGATGTATTCCCGGGCCCGTCGCGATTTGATGCCGTAGTAGTCTTCCATCGTCGGTGTTCCAAGAACATCCAGAATGAGGGTTAATTGGTGATGATCTGCTCAACACGTCAGCTAAAGAGTCCAGAAAGACAAGATTCTCAAGTGCAAATGCATGGAGACTTACAGTCCTTTCCAGGAAACAAGGGCTTTCCACTTAGCATCTCCGCCAGGATACAACCAACACTCCATACATCAATAGCTTTGGTGTACTCCTTGAAGGTCAACATGATCTCTGGTGCACGGTACCAGCGAGTCGCAACGTATTCTGTCATGAATCCGGAGTTGTCATCCGTCGATGCAGCCGAACGAGCTAGACCAAAGTCACAGACTTTCAGGTCACAATTTGCGTTGAGAAGCAGATTCGATGGCTTCAAATCACGATGCAGCACATTGGCTGAGTGCATGGCTTTTAAGGCACGGAGAGTCTGGTAAATGAAGTACTGGCAGTGATCGTCAGACAGGTCCTGGGTACGAATGACTCGATGCATATCTGTTTCCATCAGCTCCTATTAAAGCTGTTAGTATCCTGCCATCTTCTCCGATGTTTGATTATAGTCGCAATATACCTGGATCAGATAGACCTCGTTGAAACTCTCGTAATTGCGAGGTCTCTGGATGTCCAGAATGGAGATAATGTTCTCATGATTGAAGTAACGCAGCAGCTTCATCTCACGAAGGGTTCGCAAGCAGAACATGGAGTGGTCAAATGGGGTAATCTTCTTGATGGCAACTTTCTGGCCGGAGGGTTTGTGGATAGCCGAGCTGGCAAATGTCAGTATGGCCAGGACCATTCCTGCACGAGGACATTCTTACCAGACGACACCGTAAGCACCCTCTCCGATGACATCTTGTATCTCATATTGCTCGGAAACGTTGAAGGAGATCTTTCTCGACCCTCCCTGGGGTGGTTGTTGCACCATGGTGGTTAGGGTTTGATACTGGAGAAGCGTTAGCTGACGCTCATCGAGTTGTGTAGATGTGAACCGCTAGATGGCTCGCCAAGCTGACAATGCTCGCAATTCATAGAACAGCTTGCACCGTATCGATATCGTTACAAGAGGCATCTTGACAAGGAAATATGCATCTCCGTTGGAAGGAACCAGGTAGTGCTAGCAGCGACCCGACAACTCCCGAGGTCTATAGGGAAGTGTGGTGAAAAGCGGTGCTTACTTTTGGCACGCCGTAAATATCCTCAGTTTCTAGTGATATCTATTCACCTAGTTGCAGCAAAGTGTCATGCCGCGACAGCGTCGGAATTGGGCCAATGCAAGAAGCGGGGTATAGTCGGTGCTGGATGCCGCTTGCCGCTATGGAGTGCAGTTGAGTCGAACAGGTGATCAAGAAATCGGTGCTTAGAGTATATCAAGTGGCGATTGGATTCAAGTAGGGGGTAAAAAAACGAATGCGATCTTGCTCACAGGCTCGAATTGAACCCGCGAAGCGCTTAGGGTGGATGGAATCGAGTGTCTAGAACATCTTTCGTCAGTGGTGGGCGAAAAGGGTAATCAACATCAAAATTGCAAATATGTGATCGAGGGTAAATGGTGAAGAAGCCGCATACCAAAGCGCAAAGAACTTGTCTTTGTGCTCAAGGAGCTGATACTCCACGCAGATCGTTGATAAGTGCTCCCTGTTGTTCTCACCTGAATGAGCTTATCTTGAATTCCTCTTTCTCGCGAAACCAACTGCTGGCTCGGATTGAAACCAGATTGCTTGCAGCAGGTATGGAAAGGTTGTCACGACAGGCAGTCAAACAGCTGACAGACGGCGAGAAAAGAGAGAGGGGGGAGGGGAAGAAGGAGGATGGACGATCATGGTGATGCGGAGGGGCTGGAGAAGAGCAATAGTAATAACCAACTAAACAGGGAGCGGAACAGCCAAAGTGGGGTGGGGCAGTGTTAGAGGTCGAGAGAGAGAGAAAAAAAAAAAAAAAAAAGGTGACAAGAGAAGATGAAGAGAGAGAAAACCAACCGTAGGAGAGCTGGATTTGCTTCGAGAAAAGGGTTTGTTTATTGTCTGAAAGCGAAGCAACTATATCGTCGAAGAGGACCAAATCCGATGATGTTGATGATCAACCGCAATCGCGGATCCAAAAAGAGCTCAGCGGAGGATGGATGGTTATCGATATGACAATCAGTTGGAATATGTCAAGGTCTGTAGGTAGTAGGTACTAGGTACTAGGTAGACTGGCAGCGCAGCTGGTCGAGTAATGGGACGGGGAGTCGAGAGTAACCAGTGAAGTTGATATCGAAATTATTATTGATGTTTATGAGCAAGCAACCAGGGTTCAGGGGGTGAAGAAAGAAGAATAAAGACTCAAATCTGGGAGCTGGTCGGGACCGAACCTTGGATCACACAGAAGAGGGGCCGCTGTGGATGTGATGGACTTGGGTCAGATTGCGAAACTGGACCATCACCATCACCAGAACCAGAGAGGAGGGTGATAGGTAGTTATGGAGTTATGGAATACGATGATGGCGGTTCGGGACTTCAGGCTCTTTTCAGCTTCAATTATTATATAGCAAAGAGTATTGGCCCATAAATGTGATCTGGTAGCATCTGGGTGGAAGACAAGATCAAAAGAAGTATACAAATCAGAGCACATCCAAGGCACCATCAATATATTAGAGCCTCCCGCAATCAACCTATATACAGTTCTCCTCAGTCCTCACAAGACTATCTAGATACAGTTGTGCACGGATATACCATCTGACATCCTGTCAGGACTCAGGAATTCTGAATTCCCCAGTCCTAAAATAAACCAGCAACCATCGGATAGTCTCAAACTGCGACACACTCACTAACCTGCCGCCAAAACAAACCGATCCGTCTGGGAATGTATCAGAATGCCATCTAGTCTCCCATCCTCCGTCTCAGCCAGAGTTTCAGTTCTCTCTCCATTTAGAACGGTAGTCCCTCAACAACCAAAACAGTCAGTCAGTCAGTCAGTATCTAGTATCTACTCCGTAGACACTGACACAAGAACCAGAATCCCAAGCCGCCACAGCGCCAATTTCCGTATCCTGAACACCATTCAATCACCCAACACCGCCCGGACCAAACCTGCTCGGCGACCACTGAACCAGTAACTAGACGGACACTTACCTACCAGACTTACTAGTCTACTACTGTCTAGTGTCTAGTCCAAACAATTGCCGCACTGACGGGATCTGGAGGACGTGCTCCAACCTCCACTACTTGGCTACTTGCACGGTGACCAGGACGGAAAAGAAACCCTTCCCCCCCAAAAAAAAAGAACTTTCACAGCACTAACTAACTGACCACTAACTCGGCCTTATCGCCCGCAAGCCGCAGTGATCACAGTCATCACAGGAGTTGGGATGGATTTGGACTGCTCGTACCAGTCAGCGTTGGAAACTGCCCAATGCCGGCCATACTAAGCTGTGATCGGAAGTCTACTTTGCATGATCGACCACAGAAAGACGCCAGGGCACACTGCAGCTGGTGATGAGCAGCAACAGACTGCAGCGCTAGTCCCAGATATTTCCAGCCTATGTCCTTATTGTCATGCTCAGTCGAGCTATATCTAGTTACTCCGTACGTACTAGAAAACTCCACATCTTCATTATCTACTCTTGTATTAGACCCTCTTCATGGCTGTCATATGCTCTGAGTAACAAGGGAAAAATCCAGAGCATGGCGGTAGGAGGCAGGTTAGCACGGAGGAATAGTAGAGAATAAAAGAGTTTCGTGGTTTTGATTCTGGATGCGTGATCGTTGCAAAACATGGCCCTCATCATACCCCCAAAATGACTATCAGATTGGCAGTACTGAGATAATGATACAGTACAGCAGAAAAGTAAGAGAAAAAAAAAAAGAAAAAAAAAGACCAACAGTCTAGCCCAAACGGAAGGTCAAAGTTAAGGCGTCGCTTGATTGGAAACAACAGAGAGAGAGAGAAAAAAAAAGGAAGAAAAGAAATAATCACTAGAATTCTTGATGGATCTGTCATATAATTTACCAAAAGCTTGTAGGGAGTATCATTACTGAACAACCTGTAGGCGTGTTCATAAGCGCGTCAGTCTCTTATGACCTCTTGCAGCATCTATATCAAAGATGGGGGATTTGGGGGAGAACCTCGAAGAAAAACGGGTCTTCAAACCTTTTCCCGCAGGGATCCCATCCATTGCACAAGACTGACACTCTGGTCGGCCCGGTCCTCCACCAGCATCGTCTGCGCCCACAGCCGGAGACCCGGCTCTCCATCCTCCTTGACCACGTACAGATGAGGCACCACAATGCTGCCAACACCCTTGGAGCGATGGTCACGGCTCTTCTCAATAACCGCACGCACACGTTGGTTGAAGTCATTGTCCAGCTCCGGAAGGTTCTGCTTGCCCACACGAAGTTGTGTCCGGTCAGCCAACCCGAAAACGTCAAGGAGAAGCTGCGGCACTGCGTCTCGTCCGACCCAGAGGAATTGTGTCTGCCCGTCATCGATCAGGTAAAGACCATATGGGACAATGCGTTCAGAAGACAGGTTCACGGGGGGAGGAAGGACGATCTCGCCCGTCTGCTCATCCGGCAATCCTGCATTGTCGGGCATGTCGTGGAGAGAATACATCTTTGGGTAAATGTATTGCATAAGAAGAGGAAGAGGGAGTGTGGAAAGCAAGCACAGCGCTGCCGAGCGCATGTCCGTGGGAATCTGGGCAGATTTCCGAAGGCCAAGCTACAAAGATCAAACTGTCAGCATACACAAGCAACAACGGTATCGGGGGTAAAGAAACACAGCAGGGAGAAAAAAAAAAGATAAGAGAAAAAAAAAAAAAACCTACATTCTTGATCAAAGCGAGGAAAAGGACTGGGAGTCCTCTCAAGTTGGCAGGGAACTGCAGGCCACCACCGCTTACGCTTCCTCCAGCAAGTTCTTTCCGATATGTCGACAAGAGCTCCACGGCCTTGGCTTGTAAGGCCTCCCTAGCGGGCTCCAATCCACTGCTAAGAGCTCTTTCAACAGCCTTGTGGCTGAAGTAAGTAGCGATCGCTTGTTGGTCCGCCGATGCATATACGTCAGCAAGGTTCTGGGTCGTGGGAAGAGCAAGGGTCAAGACTCGGATCCGTCTCTCGCCGTTGCATGTCGTGTGAAGGACTGCGGTCTGTAGGCAAACAACGGGCTTTGTAACCGTTTCATCAATAGCAACTTCAACAACATACGCTTGATCGCGAGGGAATGCTGGGAAAGCGCACAGGTCGGAGCTGCGGTTGAAGAAGTTACCGTAGAAGGTGTTCATGCGCAAACCAGTCGTGGCACGAACACGGAGAACGGCTTCAAGGCCGATCTCCGACGACAGGTATTCGGAGAATTCGCGAGCAAACTTGATCGCGTCCTCTGGCCGGGCAGCATTCCATCCAGGATAGAAGTATGTCTGACCGCCAGTGTATCGCGGGAGGTTGCTCAAGGATGCCACGTCCTGGTACTGGGAAGAGAAAAGGAACATGTCAACCGAAACCTGCGCCTTGGAGCACTCCACAGCAAAGCTCTTGTAGAAGCTGTTCGCCGTCTGCAAAAGACTGCTCTCCTTGCTAGTGCCCAGAACCTTCTTGTCCTCTCTCATGGTCAGCGCACCGTGACCGATGTTTGGCAACGAGGAGCTCAGGACAGTCATCTTTCCTCCGACGGGAGAAATCAGCTTGTAACCAGCCCGCAAAGCTGATCCCATGGCACACCCATTGTTCTGCGTGTTCTGGAACATCTCCTGTAACTTGTCGAGGAATGTCTCAATATTCTCGCGGCATTCGCTCAAAGTCACCAGCAGGTCGCCCGGGATAGGCAGGAAAGGCTCCTCCAGGTCACTGACAACGAGCATTCTTGGGTCAGAGTTCTCCGAACCATCCCTGGGAATGCTGAAGTAGTGAAGGCTCGAGTCAACCGCAATGAAACCGAGCCGGGTCCGGCGATCGGCGTTGGGGATACGGTCGAGGCTTTCCTTGATACACCGTGCACTCGTCGCTAGAAGGCCGTTTGTGACGGACGCGTAGCTCACGTCAATCAAGAAAAGGTATACAAGCGGCTGAGGAGGCCGGACCATGTACTCTTGAGGAGCAACGAATTCGACGACTGCATGGTTGAGATCAGGCCGCAAGGAGCGGTCCGCAGGCTTCTGCAGAGCAGAATCCCAATCAAACGCCTGGGGCACGTCGTTTGTGAGATTACACATGTTGCAACGCCAGCGATGTCCATGGTCCATGAAGGTCACGAATGGATTGATGTAGGATCGGCAGCGCCGGCAACGCGAGATGACCTGATCGGGGATCACTTGGATGGGATCCTCTGCATCATGGAGAGCCGCGTAGGGCTGAATAACAAGAGCGAAAGGCAACTTGGATTTCTTCAGGAGGGAGTGGGTCGTAGGCACGGCATTCAGGGTCGACCGAACGTATGTCGGAGGGCAGTTCGCTTGGGGAGATGGGTAGACGCTGGTCTAGAAGCACGGTATGATTAGCGCTGCCAGTACTACATTGGAACCGTTCTATCACTTACACCCGGCGGGAGAACGATCGGTGGAGGAGGGTAGTCAAGCTCTGCAACATTGAAAGGTTGCGTGAGAAGATCTGTAGGATAGAGCTGGTTGAGAGGGACAGGTCGGGGAGCCTGAGGGGTCACGGCGGCTTGCTGAGGCTGCGGTGGCATGAGATGCGGATCGGTCATACCCATCGCGCCAAACTGTTGTGTCATTTGGGCGACTCCTGGAGAAGCAGGGGTAGCGTATCCCGGCGCCGCGGCATTCATCTGATGCGGATCCGCGCCGTATACAGGTTGTTGATATCCCGCAGCTTGCGGCTGGGGTGGATAGACCCCATAGCTCCCACCCGCTGGAGGCTGACCTCCCAGGGCAGCATTGGCACCCGATCCGAATCCGAAAGCCTCCCCGGCGTATGCTCGTTTCTTCTTGCCTCCTGCGTGGCCTTGGTGGGCGGCACCGGCGACCACTCCGGGTTGTTGTTGGGTAGGGGAGCCATAATCGCCAGGTTGGCCGTACCCTTCTTGGGGAGGGTAACCCCCTTGAGGTGCTGCCATGAGAACGTAATGTGACTGTTCTGGTATCTGGCTAAACTATCTTTTATTTGCGCAAGCTCCTCCGATCAGATTGCAGGTAGTATTCGCTAACGATGGATGCGCAAATCTGTCCCAGATTCATCATCGCATCAGTCAACAGTCGTGTTGGGTAAGGAGGGGCCCGGATGTTGGACCGGGGAAAATGCGCGTACTCACGACTAGATGATACTCCTTTCAAATGCACATTCAAACGAGAAGCGATGTCTGATACCACAGGCAGTTGCCGCACACGGATTCAGTAGACGTGTCCTGGCGGAAGCTGGGGTAGCTGTAGGTAGTGGAGGTTCCTTCGAAATGGATGGTGTACGGTGGCCTTTGCGGTGGCTATCCCCCTTGGGCCAATCAGGCCCTGCAAACCTAACCGAAGTTCACAGTAGAGCGATGTTCAACCATCACAATAACTGATGGTCTCTGGGACTTTGATTAATTCAATAGATTACAGCTTCGCTAGGCTCTAGTAGTATTCCAAAATTTAAAAATTCAAGTGCTTGTATACGCTTAATGCCTCTTTAGCTTGGTTGTGTTGCTGACCAAAACCATACACCGTGTCTCTCCATGGGGTAGCAAGCGATGATCTCATAAATCTGCAAACCGATGGTACGGAACTTCAGAGAATAAAGCTATCAACACTATGGCATATTTATCAAGAGTGGATAGTCTAACATCTGTAAGTCCACCTTGATCTGTACATTTATCAAGCGCTGTTCAAATGATCATATCAGTTGCATCTGTTCATGAAGATGCTAAGTCGTCCAAGATATATCATAGTAGCATATCTCACAACTCCACCACATATCATTCTTGCATGTTATATCAGGCCCAACCAAACAGGTCCTCAGACCAATAGATAGACCGGGAGTAATGAGTAGAGGGTGAGATGAGCGAAATCCATAATTCGTCTCTGCAACTAAAAGCAAACCAACATCAGCGATAGATGCTTGGAAGCCGTGTATCAGTGTATCAGTAGTACTTAGATATGAGCAAGCTTGGTGTCTGAGCAGATCCTAAAGATATTTGATCTACTCCATATATCAGATACAAGTTTGATGAGAAAGCTGAGGTATGATTTGGTCCTGGCAGAATGATGCTTGGTGGATGATGATACTAGAAGGGCTGCTGAGGATAGAGTATAAGGGGTTGCCGTGCCAACAACACCTTGACCGCTAACAAGCACCAACTCGTCCCATCCCTGTCTATCTGAGGAGAGCTCTTTTCTGACGGCTCCTTGACTGTGATCGATCTCAAGTCTACTAACCAAAGTCTAGGTGTCTTTCATCATTATTTTACTGGCCCATATTCATTGTCTTGCGGCAGTGGTCTCTATTAGTATTGCTGCTTAACTTAGCCAAGGCCTGCCTCCATTATCAATCGAGTGTGCGACACATCTTCGCCTTATCTTTGCCTTGCGTCCTACGTACCTTACCTACCTGTGCAGCCTTGATCCGAAGCCCCGTTGCTATGCAGCATCTATGAGACCTTGGATACACTGAATTGTTGATTCAGAAGCGGAACAACGGACACGGCCGTATCACAATCGCGAATCATAGTCAACAAAGTCCCCTGTCACACAACACCAACGAAAGACGCAACGGTCCACATTCTGGGGTTAGAGCGTTCGACACAACAATTTTCCGACCAGCAATATGAGTGTCAGAGTTGTGGCACGTGTAAGGCCACTCTTGAAATCCGAGCGTGAGCAAGATGTAATTCTTCGCACTGGTCCGTTAAACAACACTCTACCGTCCGTTGCCGAAAAGAAGAGCTCTCAGGGCGACCGGGAAAGCCTTGTGAGGATACCGAACCCGAAGAATGAGAATGAAGAATATTCGTTCCAGTTCAACGCTGTCTATGATGCGGACGCATCGCAGCAAGATCTGTTCAATACAGAAGGTTCGAACCGCACTTCGCTATGACATCTGGCTGGTCCCGATATACTGATACTTGCGCCCTCAGTTGCTCCTACGGTCAAACATCTCTTCAACGGTCTTGATGTCACAATATTTGCATACGGAGTCACAGGAACGGGGAAAACACACACCATGCGAGGCGGTAAAAGTCTGGCTGAAAGAGGTGTTATTCCCCGTCTGTTGAGTAGCATCTATAGGCGCAGCCGGAAGATGGAGAAGGACAGTGAGGGGGAAACGACGGTCAAGGTTTCCCTGAGTTATCATGAGATCTATAATGACAAGGTCTTCGATCTATTCGAACCCCCGGAGAAAAGGACCCTAGCGGGGCTGCCTCTTCGGGATAATGGCGGGAAGACTGTAGTTGTAGGCCTGACGGAGAAGCCATGCACCACCCTTAAGGAGTTTGAGACATTGTATGACCACGCAAACGTGAACAGATCTACATCAGCAACCAAGGTCAGTCGATGTTGCTCTGAAAATCCATGACCCCCAAGGATCAGGACTAACAATACTCACAGCTTAACGCTCACTCATCCCGGTCCCACGCCATTCTTTGTGTGAAGGTCACGATCAGTTCTGGCGATAAGACACGCATAAGCACAGCATCTGCCATTGACCTGGCTGGGTCAGAAGATAATCGCAGAACAGAAAACGACAAAGAGCGTATGGTCGAATCAGCCAGCATCAACAAAAGCCTTTTTGTCCTTGCACAATGCGTCGAAGCAATCAGCAAGAAACATCAGCGAATCCCTTACCGCGAGTCAAAGATGACTAGAATCCTATCGTTGGGCCAAAATAATGGATTGACGGTCATGATCCTGAACCTTGCGCCTATCAAGTCCTATCATTTGGACACAATCAGTTCTCTGAATTTTGCGAACCGCACAAAGAAAATCGAAGTCCGCGAGGTGGAGAACGAGCCTATCTTCAGAGGTCCACCGAGACCTACAGCAAGGCCTTCAGTGACTGGTGTCCCACGACAGCCCCTTCGGCCATTAACAGCTTCCGTGAATGTGAATTTGGCAGCAGCAGCTAATAAGGATGCATCCAAACCCGGTGATGGCAAGCCGGCCAAAGCATTCCACGTATACTCGGACAAGACGAATCCCAGAAATTCGGCTCAATTCAAGAAGATTGAAGGGCCGAAGAGATCTTCTTTGAGCTCCGATCTTCCCACTACAAATTCCATTCGAGCTGCGAAGACTACCCGCCCCCTGCAGCCATCTAGGAGACAAGAAGATATATCTCCAGCTATGATTGAGGAGATGGTGGAAAAGAAAGTCGAGGAGATTCTTGCTGCAAGGGCTGTTAGTGAGCAATCACGGCAAACGCAGGCTCGCGAATTGAATGAACAGTTACAGCGGCGTTTGGAGATTTTGGAGCAGCGCATCGAGGGAACTGACGACGCAAGAGCCGAAGGGCTGTCATATCTGCTCTTGGGCAAGCAGCATCAGGCTCGAGGAGAGGACTCCGCTGCTCTGAAGATGTATCAACTGGCACTCCCTTTCTTCCCCAACAACGAAAAGCTTGCAAGCAAGATTGCCACTCTGAAAGAGCGCATCCAGAGCAAGACCCTGAAGCAAGACAAAGCCGAGCTCACCGGTCATGTGCTTCCGGTGTCTGAAAAGGGACTTGGAAGCATTCTGTCGATAAGAAAACATCCCGCGAGAGCAGGAACCAAGCGCCAAGCTGAGGACTCCGATGAAGATTATGATGTAACGGAAGAGAGCTACGAACAATTCAGCGATGACTATCTCCCTGGCAGCTACCGGTCAACACGTCTCAAGCGTACCAGAACCAGGTGCAAGTGAAGGGAGATTCAATTTGGATAAAGAAACATTCTCTATCCGAGTAAATACATACCCGTTCGATGAACCGGATATACCGCCGATTGAACTCGATCATCAGCACTGATATCCTTGCTGGCGGAGGCGAGGCGCTCTCCCCTTTAGACCATTGATTAGTCTCTATCAGGGACGAGCATCACGATGCAGAAGAGGTTCAAAGCGGGCTCTTGATCCTTGAAAGCGTAGCTTACTCAAAAAGAAGAGAATCCGGCTATGCGACGGCAGTTGCAGCTTCCGGAGTGGAACAGAACATATTTACTTAGTCAATATCGAAACCGTTAAGACTTGGCCTATTTGAATCGAGATGATATGCATTGCAAGTTCAATGCAAATAACGACTCATATCCTTCCTGTCGATCAAACTTGCTAGGCTGGCACACAGCTTGGTAGAACTACGTTGAACACTGTTACAAATAGCTCCTAGAATCATCTAGCAAGAATATCCTTTCAAGGAGGAATGTAATAAAATCATCATGGGAAATGCACTGAAGACAAAGTATATTCGAAAAACCAGTGAACAAGTAAAAATTAAAAAAAAGGAATAGGGCCTGAGCCGCGATTCGAACGCGGGTCTCATCGAGACTAAGTGTAGAACCCGAACGATGAATCGTACCCCTGGACCACTCAGGCATTTCTTGTTATTGGTCCTCATTCCAAATTTTATAATACACCATAATTTTGTCGAGCGTTAGGTAAAAAGGTTATCGAAGGCCTGAGCCGCGATTCGAACGCGGGTCTCGTCGAGGCCAGATTTTATAAACCCGAACGACGAATCGTACCCCTGGACCACTCAGGCGACAGTGGGTCTTGACTTCGAGATGATGTCTATCAGGATATATGATTGGGATGTTGTTCGAGTGATGGATACCTTCCACCATTGTTACCATGGGTGCTGGGGGAGGTGGAGACATGCTAGTGCTACTACTTGGATTCTGAATAATGATGGTGATTGAAGTTCAGCAATCTTTGTTCGATACTAAGTGAAACCTCTGCTAGGATTGACAAAGAGGACCATCGTGTGTCCCAAACACAATTTATTCTATGGTACATTGAACCTGCAATATGATAATCCCAGAAGTAAATCGCCCTCCCGATTCTGATTCTATGCACGTGGTAAGACACCTCAGTTCTTCCGGTTGACTTTTTCAAATATCACCTCCCCTTCTTTCGTGAGGATGGCGATGCTCTGGCTCACACCCCTGAGCTCATTCTCCAACTCTTCGACTGTTCGACCGGAGCCCGGTTCTGTCTTAATGACCTCCTCGAGGCTCTCTCTGTATTGCTCCTCGGGTGACTTTGGCTTGTTATCTCCGGCAGACTTTGTAGGGTCAAAGGTTAGTCCTCTTGGTGTATCCGCAATTTCGTTGATCTCACGAGTGGACATGATATCATTGATGCGGGGTCCGCGGGTTTGTAGAAGAATCTTCGTAGGGCCATCGAATTGAAGGAATAGCTAATCATCATACCAAGTTAGTCTATGCATGGCAACAGTAGGAAATGGACATGAATTCATACCCTATCTCCCCAGATGGTCATTCGGGACCATGTGCGAAGTTTGTGTAGTACGTTCATGGTTGTCTTCCATGTATTCGAGTCGGACATGGCGCGGATGAATTGCGAATTCTGGAACAACTTTGGTAGGCTCTTGAGGCCTGGCACCTGAAATTTCAAGGATGTTGACTTAAAACGGTAAGGGCGCGGAGGGTTAGATGTTATGGTGTAGGCCACGACATTGCTGCTGTTAGTTAGTAATATGGACCTTGAAGAAGTTTAAACAGTGAGGGCAAACATACCTAGGGTGTACGATATATTGTTCACCAGCCTTCAGCTCAACCGAGTACAATTGACCGGAACCAACCAGAGCCAGCAGCCCTCGCCCAGTCACCTCCGAGCTACCCCAGTGAGTCAAGCTCTACACCCATCAGCTCAGTTCTTCTATACTCAAGACCCGAAATTCCACGACGTACCAAGTGTGTATTGATTCTGGGCTGGACACGAAGAGAACGTCCGGTCCAGGCGAGCAATGCCCGTCGCTGCGCAACCATCCAATCCACAGAGCCATCGAGACGAACGACCGAGAAAGAGGTGACAGGCGAACGAACGGAGACCAGCGCAGTTACTGGGCTTGCCGAGGACACCTACACCGAAGGTTAATATTTTTCGTTAGACCGGGGTATTTGCGCAAGTTCGGACCTTCTGGTAGAGGAACGGTATACCAACGGCGGCTCTCCGGAAAGGTTCTAGTACGCTCAGTGTCGAAATCACCTGCAAGGTCGAAGATAGACATGGGTTAATAGGACGATCTTCAGGGAATTGCGCGGGAACTCGGAGCCCTTTCATACGTTATCTGCCTTCCCACTCAACCCCACCAGCGTCCCCCGTCGAGTGTAAAGGTTCTGTGAAGCGGAAAGCGAAACCGAGAGCAAAGAGTAAGGTGCGCCAATGACATCGAATCGTGCATCTTTGTAGATTGCAGTTAGCAAGGGTTTCCCGTGTCAAAACGACCTGGAATTTCAGATCTGATGTATGTAGACATACCTGCTGACTCCGCGGAGCTCGGCGTGTCCACGATGGAGGTATTATCTCCATTGATTGTACCCGGGCGATCTGATGGCGCAGCACGGATCTGAACGCATCTCGTCTGCCATCCGCGATGCAGCCGAATACCCTGTCGCGCCCGTGTCGGAACGAGGCGGGCGGAGGCTAAGGTCCGCACACCTCCTCTGAGGGATTGACTCATGCTTGTGCCTGGAACAAATTTGTGACTAGAAGCACAGAGGAACGAGGCGCAGAGTCCAGGATACCGACAGCAATGGACGCTCCTCGAATGCCCGGATTTCAGGATTCCTAATCGGGTAAAGCGTCTGCTCGAAATTCAACACCGCCTTGGCCGTTATGCTTGGATGGGCATTCAATCCCGGACTTCAAGATCCTGGAGATCGATAATCGAATTTGGAAGACTTGATAGATCACAAGATCAGCTCTAAAGCCTTGTTGCAGATTCGCGAAGGGATGGTATCGTGTCTCATGGCTGAGAATCGACATTTGCTTTGCGTAGCACCCTGTGATGTCACAGGCAGATGTTTTTCCGGATACATGAGTACCTCTGGTGTAGGTCGATATATACAGAGGCTTGGGCAATAGAACTTGTCTTTCTTTGGATCATTGGGCTGAAGATATCCTAATATGTATTGATATAAGAACTTTACATTATGCTTTATGTGTTACATGTTGGACCGAAGAATGAGTGCAAAAGCTGATCAGAGCTGCATATCAACAAAAAAAAACATGATGGAGGACTGTATTTTATGGGTTCGGTCCATACGTAATTACCGGAAGCAAGCCGCGAATTGGCGATTGCGACAGAACAATGCGTCTTGATGCTATTTCTACCATTGCATGCTTTCTTTCATTAATCACCCCGAAATACCTCTTGTCACCTTGTCGCCGGCGTGTCAACAAGTTCTTGACTTGAGTCGGAAAGAGTCACCATCTCATGCGGAGAGAGTAACTCCATCTGGGAATACCTCACGAGCCAGCGCAGATTGTCCCCGCCGACCTCAAGCTCCGAACCCGGCGGTTTGGATAGCGAGCCAAATCCCGCATCACAAAACCCACGATGATACTGATCCGCTGAAAGATCCTACGACAATACACTCTGGTCGCTGAGGGAAGTCTATATCGGCCACCATGCTGCCCAGGGCAGCTCGAGCGCCATGCCTGCGCTCTCCCCTGCGCTTTGCCCGCAGTGGTCCCGCCATTGCTCGCTCAGCATCCCCGACGACCGTGTGCTATGCGACACAACTCCGAGTCTTTACTTCCTCCGAGGGACCTTCGAGGCGACAGGTTTCCGAGGACCCTGCATCGAAAGTGAAACCTTCGAGTTTGAATGCCACCCCGACGTCAGCCAGTGTGGTTCCGAAAATTACACCAAATGCTACGGCGGCGAAGAATAACCTACTCAACGAGACGACTGTTGGGAATAAGGAGCAGAGGAAGGCAGATTGGGCCATCATCAAAGAAATGGCCAAGTATCTCTGGCCAAAGGTAAGGCCGAACGAGGCCTTGATATTTTGGGGAATCCGCTGGTATTGATTGGGCTTCATGCAGAATGACTGGGGAACCAAGCTTCGTGTCGGAACTGCCCTATCGTTGTTGGTTGGGGCCAAAGTAAGTGCTTCCTCGAAAATAAGCTGGAGGTATGTTGAGGCTTACAATTATATGTGCCCAGATTTTGAATGTGGAGGTTCCTTTCTATTTCAAGAACATCGTCGATTCGATGAATGTCGATTTCGCGACTGTTGGCGGCACTGCATATACCGTAGCAGGCTCGATGATTATTGCTTGTAAGTAGATGCTCAGCTGGGATACTACTGCTGTTGCTGACCCCATATCCCCTCAGATGGTGCTACTAGGATCGGGGCTACGCTCTTCCAAGAACTTCGCAATGCGGTCTTCGCGAGTGTCGCTCAGAAAGCGATTCGCAGGGTAGCGCGAAATGTGTTTGAGCATCTGCTACGGCTGGATCTCAACTTTCACCTTTCCCGCCAGACCGGCGGGCTGACACGGGCAATTGACCGTGGAACCAAAGGTATCAGCTTCTTGCTGACATCGATGGTGTTCCATGTCGTGCCTACCGCTCTGGAGATTTCGCTCGTTTGCGGCATTTTGGTGAGTTGCGAACAACCAGTCTGATATGTCCTGAGTGTATATTGACCGACACGTGCTAGACGTACCAATATGGATTCAAATTTGCTGCGATCACTGCAGTGACCATGGTCGCCTATACTGCTTTCACAATTACGACTACCGCTTGGCGAACAAAGTTTCGAAAGCAGGCCAATGCAGCAGATAATCGCGGAGCTACCGTGGCTGTGGATTCTCTGATCAACTATGAAGCCGTCAAATACTTTAACAATGAAAAATATCAAGTGGCGCGGTATGACAAAGCACTGAAGACATACGAGGATGCCTCAATTAAGGTCACCACCTCTCTTGCGTTCTTGAACTCCGGCCAGAACATGATTTTCTCAAGTGCGTTGGCTGCGATGATGTACCTTGCCGCTGATGGGGTTGCAACTGGATCATTGACGGTAGGAGACCTGGTCATGGTTAACCAGCTTGTCTTCCAGCTTTCCGTTCCCCTTAATTTCCTCGGATCGGTGTATCGAGAACTGCGCCAGTCTTTGTTGGATATGGAGACGTTGTTCAATTTGCAGAAGGTCAATGTTACCATCAAGGAGAAGCCCGATGCAAAGCCACTTCGGCTTCCCAGAGGAGGCGAGATCAAGTTTGAGAACGTTACCTTCGGCTACCATCCGGACCGTCCCATCCTCAAGAACGCTAGTTTCACCATTCCTGCTGGCCAGAAATTTGCTATCGTTGGACCCAGCGGATGTGGCAAGTCCACCATCCTGAGACTGCTCTTCCGCTTTTATGACGTACAAGAGGGCCGGATCTTGATTGATGGTCAAGATGTGCGCGACGTGACACTTGAAAGCTTGCGGAAGGCGATTGGAGTCGTGCCACAGGATACCCCGTTGTTCAATGATACCATTGCACATAACATCCGCTATGGAAGAATTGATGCAACCGACGAGGAAGTGCACAAAGCTGCGCAACGAGCACACATTGATGAACTGATTCGAAAGTTACCGGAGGGTTATGACACTGCGGTAGGAGAACGAGGTATGATGATCTCCGGGGGCGAGAAACAGCGGCTGGCTATCTCTCGCCTGATTTTGAAGGACCCGGAACTTCTCTTCTTTGACGAAGCGGTATGTATCGATCGATCAATCTGTACTATTGAAGGTCTATAAACAATCTAATGGTTATTACTATAGACCTCGGCCCTCGACACCTATACGGAACACGCGTTGTTGCAGAACATCAACAGCATCCTGAAGGACAAAAAACGCACCAGCGTTTTTGTGGCCCATCGACTGCGAACGATCTATGACAGCGATCAGATCCTTGTTCTGAAGGATGGACGCGTGGCAGAGACGGGATCCCACCGCGAACTTCTGGAGCTGGGCGGCATCTATTCGGAGCTCTGGAATGGTAAGAGCGTTCCTGATTATATATTTGAAACTGAGCGGAAGACAACGCTAACAGACTGTACAGCCCAGGAAATGTCTCTTGCACACGAGCCGGAGGTTGAGCGAGACGCCGAGCTTGATGAAGTGGAACCAGAGGAGAGAGATATGCCACCTGGGCCAAGATCGTAGTAAGGTTTAGTCTATTACGGAGTGGTTAGTGGACTGGTTACTAGTTGCGACAGGATCCAAGCCCTTGGATAAGGGCCACAATGCCACATGGCATGTATACTCCGTACTTTTGGTTAAAGCCGAAGGGATCATTGGAATGTATAGATTCGTTACGCCATTCACGAGCTTCTCTATATCTTCAAGAATTATCAGCCACAAAGATAGAAGAAGAAGAATGATGATTGATGATTGATGATTGAACATAAATAAATAGCACTTCTAGTAGCCAGACAGGAGTCGAAGAAGTTGGTCTGGAAGACATGGGAAGAGCCTTACTACGCACACAGTAGGCAGGTTCTCGGGGTCGCATTGAGCTAAACCCAGCTGGGAAAGCATCCGGAGAGACTGGAACGGAAAACCGTGCTTAGTCAGTTAGCGATGAGAGGCAGACCCCTGGCTAGACCCGAACTGGACTAGCCTCGCGTTATTTTTCCCTCCGATCATGTCCAGTTTCCCAATCACGGGACTCCCAGACTAGCCCCATCCAGCGGGACTTGGAGTCTGGACTCTCGACTCTCGAGTCTGGACAAATAGCAAGAATAGATTCACTCACCAGTCCCCATTATTATTATTATTATTATTATTATTCACCATCCGGAGCACAGTCGTCGTCACTTGTCAGTCGTCAGTCAGTCAGGATGGAGCAGTGAGGACTCAGCGGCAAGTCGGCCCTCTAATGAGTAATGACGATCTAGAAGTGCCAGAAGGATGAACTAGTCCGGTCGACCAGGCAGTCCGCGGCTCAAGACTCGCCAATATAACCCTGCTAACAAGACCACTAACCAAGTAACCAGCGCTAGACTGATAATTAAGTCTCTCTGTCGGAAGTTTTGTCCAAGGGTCTATCTAGTCAGGGCAGCAGATGAACCAGCACCAATCCCTCAGTTCTCATCATCGATTCCTCCTTCTTTTTTCCCTCAGCCTTCTTTCTTTCTCCCTCTCTTTTCTTCGCATCCCCAGACTCTGACTCTCATCCCCCCCCCCTTCTTCTAGCTGTTATTTTATTTCTTTTCCCCAGTCAATAGTCGGTGGGATTGACGATAACATACTTGATTGTGGTTAGCGTCTGTATCACCACTGATTACCTGCATTGTTTCCTACATTCCTTGGTGCTTCCATACATACACGCACTCCCACATACTGTCATACATCCATACATACTATCACCCCATTCAACCAGCCATCGCTCTTTTGCATGCTAGACTATTGAGTCCACTATCCTTCAGATTATCAGCACTATCCATATATTATTGCTCTCTATCTATCATTCTCTCTATCAAAAACACACTTTTCATTGAAAGAGAGTTTTCCCGCGCCACAGCCAGTCTAGTCGCTCCCGGCTTGACCGTTGATTCCATCCCATCTTCAGCTTCCCCTCTTTTTCATCTCATCTGACACCCAACGTGCCCCTGAGACATTATCAGACAGCTCTTCTGGCTGCACGTTCTTCGCTTCTGGTCTATATACTTCGTTCGCAATATACACTTACACTTCGCGGAGATCATTTCCACCATCGCGATATCGCTGTCCGCTCAAATCCCACAGTTATCGCGACTGCACAATCAAAGCAAAGCCGAATCTCGCATTCTCATCATCACAGACACAATGGGTTTCATTGAGAAGTTGCAAGCAAGTATGTTCCCTCGGAACCTGTCGCCTTTTACGGCCGACACCGACCGTCCGGTATCCAAGTTGCTAACTATCTGTGTGCAGAGATCGAGCTCTACAGGCTAGAGCAGCGCTATGCTCGTCGCAAGCACCGCAGCACTTTCTCCGGTGTTCAGTACGTCGACGGCGAATATGTCTACTCCAACGGATCGAGCTCGCCCACAGGAACTGTCTCCAAGCATTCCACAGGCAGCTACTGGAAGGCTTCAACCTGGGGTGGCTCCGGTACCACCGAGTCGCGATGGCGCTGATGACCCGTTCTGACACATTCTTAACGCCTGTTTCGTTTTGACTCGTCCTTTTCCTCTTCGCTATCCGTGTATACCCTGCGCATGATGTTCTATGCAGAGGGATGTGATGATGTTTCCGATCACATGAATGCTTGCCTTTTTTTTGTTGCCCTCACCCGGATAAGGCAGTGAGGGGACAAAGGTTTCATGATCTCTATTCAATTTTCTTTGAGCTGCTGTGCGGCGTCGCCCCAACCGCGAGACGACATAGCAGAAGTGTCCTTCTCTCCACTTGATGTGTGATCAATCTTACTATCGGCAAGTCTACGCACTTGTTCATCCTCACTGAACGACCACACCACCTCTTCGTTCCCTCGTCTGACTCGTCTTCGCATCATTTGCCCTCTTGAGATTTGACATCCGAGTCATCGCATGACTGCGTTTCTCCGGGAACCCAGCCTTCGATTTTTTTTTCTTCTTCTCAATCGATACTTCCCACTTAGCAATTTGTCCGTCTGTTCTTTCTGGGATTCTTCTTGTTCTTCGGCGGTGCACGCGCGGGCAAAATCTCCTCGTGTTCCTCTTTGCCATGTTTTTTTTTTTCTTTTATACATATGAGGTTGCCTGCGAACAACAGCGAGTCCTTGCAATGGCATTTCGGGGGTGGATTTTGTTCCTAGAGCCGATGCTGCCCGACTGTACATAGTATATATCTATTCGAAAATTTTTTGAGCAAATCTTTCGTGTGACAAGCCACGGCCTTTGCGATGGATTTCACGTCAAATGATATTGTCATTGGAAATAAACTGGGTATACGGAGTAGTTGGAGAAACTAGCGCTCCAAACCTGGCAGGAGCAGCTGCTGACAGTGACCGCGCCGAACAGAAAGGGAACGACAGGAGTAACAGAACACCACAGCTAGGAGAAGACATACAGGAAAAACAGGTACCCGACCACACCTAAGGAGTATCTTTGCTCGTACGTCACACCCAATCATTCCATCAGCGCTTAGACTTCCTGCTCCCAATACCTAAACGGCCGAGATTGGGCAGCCCGGATTTGTGTCTCTGCGCGCCAAGCAGCGAGCCACGACTCGGCGTGGCCGACTCTGCAGCGCTCCCACGTCCCCCCGAACCGCCCGTATCCGCTGCGCCGCGAGGCGAGTCCGGCAGCGCACGCTCTTTATTGCGTGCTTGGTCGGCTGTTGCGGCGGCGGACAGCGCGGCGGTGAGAGAGGGGTTGCGCAGGCCTGCGGTGCTGCCGTCTTGATCGAACTGGCGCTGGGAGGCGCGTTGTGCGCGGCGCGCCTTTTCCTGCACGGCTTTGAATTTATCGAGGAGCTCGACCCAGCGGATGGAGGTTTCTTCGCGCGTTTTCAGTCGGCTTCCCGTTGTGCGTTCGTAGCCTGAAGAGGATGAGGAGGCTACCATTGTGGTACTGGGGTTTAGTTAGATATAGCTGGTTCTTCTTATGGTGGGATGAGACATGTCTTACAGGCGAGGGCCGGTGTGAAGAAGACCGATATTGCTGACACTGTTCAACCGATTCTTCAAGGCAGCAAATGCTGAGCTCTGCGGTAAGAGCATGAGGACGCCGTATAGACACTTGTAAAGATACGGATATTTTTCTGGTTCTAGGAGTTGGAGACGAAGATCTGCTTATGGTTAGTCGTCAAGTTCCGAAGAAGGACATAGAAGGAACGGGGACCTACAGGTGAAAACGGGCGATTCTAGAAGCTGAACCAGCTTATCAATTTGTATCAGCATATTCACAGTCATTTCAAGCTCAGCACTGAATATGTTGTTAGTACTTAATAGGTTAGAGGAAGCCTGGAGACATACAAAACTTGAAGGAGATTGTAAGCCTGTTCATAGGCCTGAGCCAGCAGGCATAGGGAAAATGTCGAAACGGCGTTGTGACACCATGATCTGAAGAGAGCGACGAAGAACATCTGACCCTCCTTGGAATGAATTAGCATTTGCTTGCAGCCAGGATCAACATACAGAATAGACTTACTTTTGAATCGAGATTCCTGAGTCTCTTTCTAAGGTCTGACAACTCAGGCGCAGTGATCAGGTTGTTATTCAGGTTCTGTACCATGATGCTTGCAAATTCAATGTCCTAGGGAAGATCATCCATTAGCACATTGATCCGGTTGTCTACTGCCCAAACTGACCTCTTCTTTTTCCAAACAGTCGGCTAAAGTACGGTATATGCGCTCAGGGCTCAGATTCATGCAGAGTTGTCGAATGATCAGATTTCCGCGGACTTCAAGCAAGTGTCTGTCCGTCGAGAAGAGCTGCAAGAGGTTGACCATAAAAGATGTGAAGTAGCTGTCATCGCTATTCCTTGAAATCTGTGAAAGAAGTTGGAGGTCCTTCGTAACAACTGCTTCTGCTGGGTCTGAGAGTGTCTTGAGAAGGGCAGGGAAAGTTCCATCGTTAAAAGCCACGACTTTCCTTGGGGCCTTTCGATGTAACATGATCAGCCACGAGAGGGCGGCCACCCGAGTCGCTTCATTTTCATTCAGGAATTGCAAGGTAAGCGAGTTGACGGCTGCAGCATAATCCAGATCTGCAGGGGGTATCGGCGTGGATACGATACTACTGCGAGGAGTTTGATCACTAGGAAAGTCAGGTTGAGATGCTTGTTTCTTTGATTCTGTCAAAGGCGCATCCGATGATCGACCGCCACTAGGGGTAGATCCTCTTCTCTCGACGGGCTCTTTGCTCGCCGCAGAGATTGACTTGGACGACGGACCCTGCCGAATGTCCTCGGTTGTATCCTCTGATAAGGAGACAATATATTCAAGCAAAGACGTGTTGACTCGATTTGCAGCCTGCCGAACATGGTCTGAGCCACTAGACATTGCTGGGAGGACCTGCGTCAAAAGCCGCGGGACAAAAGGGAGAATATCCTCAGGGCTGATCTCGAAGAAGCTGTCGATCCAGCGCAATGCAGTCAGCTGCATTTCCTCATCTGTTTAATATCGTCAGCATGCAGCTTCCAAGTGATGTACACAGCACTTGGCCATACTAAAAGAAGTGTCAACAAAACCCACAAGGATGTCCAATATTTTAGGATAATCAATGTGTACATCCTGGCCCGGGATCCAGTCTCCATCAATTTGCAGATCGGTCTCTTCAAGGTCAGATTCGGGTTCCGAGTCCTCTATAGCATTCTCGCTCCTTTCAGCATCGATAGCAAGCGTTTGGTCGGTGGTAGTGCTAATGGTATCACTTGCGGTTGACTGTTGATTTTCGCTTCCTTGCTCTTTTCGATTTTCCTCAATGCCTTTCTTAAGTCGTGCAATCCTTTTGATTTCCGACAAAAAACGGTCAAGAAGAGCTTGCGTAGTGACATTAACGTCTCTGTTCGGATCACCGAGAAATTCTACTAGTCCTCCGAGAAACTCAGGCAGGTAGGATACAAGCTCCAGATCGGGAATTGTGTCCAACAAGGTCAACCAGGATACCAGGAAAGTACGAGTAGACGGGCTGATAACGTGTATTCGCTCCTTGAGCAACGGAATGAACTTGGCCAAAGAAAATGCGGTTGGAATATCCGCCTCGTCCAACGCCTCGGTATCCGACGTGTGTTTCTCTGATAACTGCAAAACAGATATATAGGAGGCAGCGGATTCGGAAACGATGTCTTTAACAAGTCGATCGAGTAGTTCGGCGCCGTTTTTCACCGAGAGCTCGGAATCTGAAGCCAACTGGAAAGTCATTTAGCCTCCATGTGACATATCGAGGTGTAAAGAACAAGGCCAGGTATCAACTCACTTTGCTCAGCGCATCGAACATGTCATTAAAAAAAAGCAAAACCTCTCCTTTGGCGACTTTGGCGATGTTGTACATGCTTTCGCATGCGTAGTATCGGACTCTTGCATCTTGGTCGGAAAAGCAAGCCAGCACTGGCGGCACAATCTCCTTGAGATAGGGTGCCACACCGTCCTAGTTGATAGCAGTCTCAGCAACAGCCAGACCAAGGCAAATTACCCTATCCGGCGAACTCACAGATCCAAGCGCTATCGAAGCCGCAGCCAACCCGATCAAACCACCATTTCTCGCGTGAGGTTGATGTACGGCGTAGGCGTAGTCATGGCACAGCTGATCAACAATCTTCTGGATCTCCTGATGGTCTCCTCGAAATACGGCATTGCGAACGACTTTCTCGAGCCTGAAGATCTGCACGTCAGTATATTGTGGATGAGAACACTTTCTCCCCGAGTGGTTATCGGCTGATCATACTCCAAAGCCCCCTGTTTCCTGCGATCATAAAGCTTATCATTCAGCAAGCGCTGAATCGAGTGATCCATAGCTCAGATAAACATGGATTTCGATGAGTTCTCAGCCTAGATGTTCTGTTAAATATCGCTGCTCATGGTGGAGAGACGGCGTCTGGCTAGACTTGGCGGTGAATCGGTGACTCGAGCTCAACGATCTGTAGCTATCCGGAGGCCATCAGTCCCAGGCGGCAACCTCTGCACGTTCAAACTCCAAATCGGGTTTCGAGAAAGCTAAGTTAGATGTTCAAGCCCGCTTGGCCCTTGCGATTACAATGTGGGGAGGATTCACAGCACAGATGCGCTGGCAGTGTTGATGGAAGAAGCCTTAGTGGACGCGAGGTGACGTAGTGTCAGCACTCAGCAGTCAACAACTACGGTATTTAGCGCCGCATGTCAACCAAGGTCTCATATCTGTAGAACAATCCATGCAGCGTTTCAGCAGGGGGCTTTTCAATATATTGCATATTTCAACGAAATATCTATTTCCTATTCAAATTGCTCATATTTTGAGCGTGACTCTAATCGCTCTAATCTAAATCAATAAAACGCATGCTCCCAAGGATAATATACAACTGAAAGGAAAATATAGACCAATTCAACATCGTCTTTGAGACACGGCTCTCAATGACTGATGTACTGAAAGACTGCAGACACATCTTGCTCCCCAGTCTCCTGGCGTATGAGCAAATCTTGGATCTTACTGAGATGGCCCTTTTCTCCATCGTTGACAAAATGGTTCCAGGAACTGGTGTCACCATACAACATGGCGGGAGCTTTGATGTGCTGTGTTCCGTCTGGCCTGCATCGTTTGCATTTGAAGGTGTCATGCGTATCGCTTCGCGTTTCCGGTTTGAATTGAAATAACTCGCGAAGTGACTCTAGGGAGAAATGTCGCTCAACATCCTCTGCAGAGTCCACGACGCATGACGAGAGTGATTGCTTGTGAGACTGACGTTGGAAAATCTTTTCCTCGATAGAGCCGGTGGCAATGAAGCGATAGACAAAGCAATCCTTCTTTTGTCCGTCACGCCAAACTCGCGCCAGAGCTTGTTGATCCGCAGCGGGATTCCAATCGGGATCAAAGAGCACAAGGCGGTTGGCACCGATCAAATTCAGCCCACAGCCACCGGCCTTGCTGCTGAGTAGGAAGACGAACTCTTCACCATTTGGATCATTGAATTTATCCACAAGTTTCTGCCGCTTGTTCACGGTCATGGTACCGTCCAACCTCAGCGAGCCGTAACCTCGAGATCTGCAAAGCTTCTCAAAAAGGTCAAGAGTTTGGGTGTAGTTGCTGATAAGAACAATCTTGTCATTTGTATCTTGGCGTATACGCGCCAGCATACGGTCCAAAACCATCATCTTGCCTGAGTACCAAGATTTGATATCTCGGTCTCGCCCTCTGGCTTCAGGTGGGACGTAGTCTTCTGGATACGTGTGTTCGCATCCCGGAAGGTCTCTAGAAAGGTCCAGGAGATCTGGATGGTTGCATAATTTCTTCAAAAGTCCGATTGCCTTAAGGGGCTGACTTCCCTTCCCCCTGAGTAGACTCTTGATTTCTGGACTCTGAATGAAATGGTTGTAGAGACCAAGCTGGAATTGAGAAAGATTGCAGAAAACAACATGCTCGTATTTGACCGGCAAATACTTTGAAAGGATGTCGTTGGTTCGGCGAATGATGAATTTATTGACAATACCGGAAAGCTCCAGCAAACGTTCATCGCCTTTCTTTCGATCTTCCTCTGTTCCCGCTGCATCTCGTCCTTTTAGGATGGGAATCTCGAATCGTTTCCGAAACTCATTCTGTGACCCCAGGAGGTTTGGGTTTGCAAAATGGAGTAGAGCAAAGTATTCGGAAAGATCATTCTGGATGGGAGTACCGGACAAGATCACCCGACGAGTAACATTTAAACTGTTGAGAGCGGTCCATGTCAAGCTTTCTTTATTCTTGAGTCGGTGGCCCTCGTCGCATAAAAGCAGCCCAATTGGACTGTCCTTCAATGCATCGACATACATTCGTAGTGTTTCGTAGGAGACGATAAGAACAGGCCGAACCACGGATCGCCCCGAAGCAATTGCCCATTGCTTTATCTGCGACGTAAGCTCGGCCTTGGGAACTTTCCCATCAACTGCGAATGGGGTAACCGCATCTTTCCCTAGCCATTTTACTGTTTTTGTCAGTAGAAAGCACCAGGTGCATGCATAACGTCCGTGACTTACCGAGTTCGTTCGCCCAATTCCCAACCAGGCTGGAGGGACAGGCAATGATACATTTTTGAATGGTCGTCTTTCCTGCTTCTGGTGATTGTTTCAAGAGAGTCCACATTAGAGAGATGCATTGGAGCTGCCTGAATTAGCTGTATTCACAACACGGATAAGGTTGTCTCATACTGTCTTTCCCAAGCCCATCCCATCGGCCATGATACATCCATTTGCATTTTTATCAATCATACCAGTTGTACAGCGGTAGAGGAACTTGAAAGACGGTTCATATCAGTTGTTGGTCTTAGTACCAGAGCAGACAACGAGCAGCATTACCTTCACGCCTTCCACTTGATGCGGCCGCAGAACTTTTGCCAGTCTAGGGTCTATGACAACCGGAACCTTCGGACGAGATTCAACGTCCTTTTTTAACCCAAGTATGTCTGCCAAGCTCTTATGCATCAAAGGCTCGTCCAACTTGGCTTTTGTCCCTTCCGCGCTCTGCTCATCCGGGTTCTTCGATTCCGGGGCCTCGTCCACATCATCGACAGTCGGGTCGTATAGAACTATTGCAAATTCCCCACTCGGGTCATGTAAAGGTTTCACGATAAATGTAGCACCCTGCCTCATCCCCAGGGTTGGAGCTGATCTTGAAGAATTGTACGCATCGACCGACTTGTTGATCAGTGGGATCTTGAATCTTTGCCTGAATGTCAAATCCTTATCCTTCACTTTGAAAACTGGAAATTTATTCGCGTCCCTGGTTGCAAGAGCAAGGCGATCCTCGTTCGTATATGGCTTCTCCCTGTTATCCTCCACATCTCCGTCTGCTCCTGCGTAGTTGACTTTCCTTCGTTTCCTCGCGGGTTTCTCTGATGTTCGGGTGTAGGTGGCCGAGCCGGGACATTTAAAAGGCTTTGAGAGACGGTCTATCGAATTGGAAGACGCACTTTTTTGTAGGGGCTTTGATGGAGTGTGTACACCATCGCTACCCACAGCTAGTCGTGGTCGGTACCTGCTACTGTCAACTTTGATTTATTGAGGCCTTTCAGGTAAGAAGTACTCACATTGACGACTTTTCTTGTTGCACAGGCTTTGATTAGTCTATGCGTTTGAGTCTACCCTCGTTATAGTTCGAAGCATTAAAGCCCTGTTCAATTGATATTGATTGTTACCACCAGACGCGTTGTCAGCACAGCTCGGCGCGTTGACTCCCGCTAGCTGAACACCAAAGTACCACGCAATCACGTGCCGATATTATTGTTAAACCCCGCTATGGCTACGATAAGAGTGATATCCAAAGCAAAGATGTAGCCATGGCTACCCCGTAGCATCTACTCGACTTCTTAATGTTGAGATTCTGGTCTCATGTCGTCGGATTTTTGGGCGGGCTACCTTAGTGGAGCTATTGGAATCATTATCGGTAACCCTCTCGATGTTGTCAAGGTTCGGTTACAGGCCAGCCTGGGTGGTGCAGGTCCAGCAACATCAACACGGACATTGAACCAGTTCGAAAATGCCAGCTCTCTTGTGCGAGGTTCGTCAGGCCTCCTCGATACGAAGGACATGTCAGTTATTAATGGTCAATTACAGGTGCGGCTGCTCCTATACTCGGTTATGGAGCGCTGAATGCGCTTCTCTTTGTTGCGTACAACCGCTCGTTGATGTTTATGGATAGCTCGATCAGAGATCCCACAAACCCAACAGGAGTGTCGCTGTCCAAGATCTGGATTGCCGGTGCTGCAGGTGGAGTAGCCAGCTGGACTGTCTCATCTCCCACAGAGCTCATAAAATGCCGAGCGCAACTGGACACTCGCCCCGGGATCTCCTCGTGGACAGTCGCCAAGGACATCCTTCGGACTCGGGGGTTAACGGGTCTCTACTTCGGAGGAGTGATCACTTGTGCCAGGGACGCTATTGGCTATGGATTTTAGTATGCGCAATGTTTCCCCAGATCCTCCCCCGCCCGACTTTTCGTTCGGTCCGTTATTTACCTTTGCCGTCCACAGTTTCTGGTCTTACGAGTACTGCAAACGACTGATAGCCTCCGATAACGATGATGCGCATCAGACTGCCCTGAAAGTCCTCCTCTGTGGAGGCATTGCTGGGGTGGCCACGTGGGCTTCTGTTTACCCATTGGATATGGTCAAGACCAGACTGCAAGCGCAAGCCATTGCAGCGGCTCCTGACCGTCAACCATTGATACACTCTCAGGGCAACACTCGCTTGTTGAATTCTTACCAAATAGCCAAAGAGGCTTATAACTCGGAAGGATTAAAAGCCTTCTATCGAGGCTTGGGCGTTTGTAGTCTAAGGGCTTTCATAGTGAACGCCGTCCAGGTATGCCTTTCCTCATCGGTTAAGAAAATGGACGGGTACATTACTAACTGCGGGCAACAGTGGGCGACATACGAATGGCTTATGAGATATCTAAATAGCTCATGGGATACCGATCACAGCTATGTATCCTAAAAATAAGACTGCTCCTGGGGAGTTGAGAGTCAACTTCAAGCTAATCAGGTGTCAACTAGTCTTTTAGATCTAAGCTGTATATCGCTGTATTCCGTATCGCAGCTAGTAAATAAATTTCATGTTAGACCAAGATGAAGTGGGCCTAAGCTAAGAAGAGTCCGAAAAGCGGCGGTTTGAAACAACCCGCAAACCGGAGCAGGTGTCTTCGGCCTAGCGATCACCCAAGACTGGCGAATTTCGGAACATGTGGTTTCACATGCGGCTCTGAGCTAGATGGCTTTTGATTGGTTGAAAAAGCTTTTGTTCCGGGCAGGCCAAAATTTTGGCCATCGAAACAGCCACAGTGATGAGATGCCTGGCATGGAAATCACGTCGAATATCTCTTGTGGTTGCTTTTCACGATATGCCGGAGAGTAGAAATGCTTTCGTTTTGCCTTCAACGAGCTTGTCCGTCGTAACACTCATTGAGTCGAGTAGCTTTAGTCTTCCATCTCGACAACCTGTTCCTGTGGTCGCAACCCGCTGTCGGTGCCCAAACCGACAGCAGCCTCTGCGGCGCGTTGCGAGTGAGGTTCTTCCTGCAAAAGGCGCACTCTGTATGACGAAGAGTGACCAGTCAGCGCTTCCAGTTCCTTCCAATATAGCGATGCCTATCGATCGGCCACGACGAACCTCCGTTTGTGGTTTTTGCCCTTAGTGTGGGCGTTCAGGTTGTATTCGCTTTCAAACCATTTTGAACATTCGACGCAATAATGCTTCCCTAGACCAGGAAGATCTTCTGTGTCTTTGGTCGCCTTGTACTGTGCAAGGTGTCTGGGGGTGTCGATATCCGCTCGGACTTGGTCGTAGTCCCTAGAAAACGAAGCAGTTAGAGCCAGTGACCTCCCCAAACGACTTAACGTGGTAAAGGAAGAGAGATACGTACCTTGTCCTGCGCTTTGTTTTGATCTTCCGTGTAGCTCCCATCTTGAATGCCTGACGACTCAGTCCACCTGCATACACTGCACACCTGATAGACACACAAGCTTGTTATCACCGATATCCGGAACGATGCAAAAAACTTTCAGGTATCAGAGAGCGGGTCAACTGGCTCGAAATTTCCGCCTTTGTGCATAAGGAGGAAACCTGTTGAATTGTCTCAGTTCTGATTGGCGCAAGTCTGCTCAGGCCTTGGCACCGGCCCGCGGGATTCTCCTTCGGTAGGCCTCGGTTCAGACTCGGCTTTCGACCTGCGCCCCCCATACTTTCGTTACAGCCATATTTCCGCGTTTTGGTAATCTATGACGTTTCCGTTTCTTTAGGTATGTTGCTCCGTGTTAGCATCATCCAGTTGCGTTCCAGGTATAGTAATATCATTCTACCAGCATCTGAGCAGTGTTTAATGGACACTTGGTCGATCGTTGCGAGTCTCCTCTTATGAAATCAACAAGATAGATCAGCCTATTTATGAGTATGAGCTATCTACTTTATACATAGGGCTGGTGGGCTCCTAAAACTAGATGAGAACAGACACACCCGACCAAGAGAGCCACTCCCGACCTGACCTCAGCACAAAATCAGAGTGACGATAGATAATCATTGCCAAATGATTGGCCTGCCGCCCTTTCCGTCTCACATGCCCCAGAGTGGAAGCACGGGCAGCTGGCCGCTTAGTGGATTAGCGGTAAGGTTCAATACGGGTTCGATACCGCCTACTGAGGTTGCCCGGGCAGGGGTTGTCATAGCAAATGCGAGGCTTTTTGATATTCAGCAATCATCGGGGCTGTTCGGTAGCAATTAACTTAGCTGGCAAACTGCACTTCAAATAGGACATCTTAATTGACTCAAGGTAACAATGAATTAGACATTGCTGGTGTTCGGTGAGCTGTTAACTAGCATGCCGCTATATGAAAACGCGGATTGATTGACCAGCCATCTTTCCTTGTCTCCGGTCGCATGCATGGGCCCAACTGTACCGAAAGCGTACAGCGGTACTGTCACGAGCGGTTACGGTCCTCTTCTCCGGTTCATCAAGAATTCTTTCCCACTCAAACACACCAAGCTTCCTTTTTATCTGCTCCTTCTCCCTTTGATCCCGATTTTTTTCTTTCTTCTACTTACTTTCCCACTCCACTCTATTCTTTGCTGCTCATCCAGTTGAATCTGGCTGTTGCTGCTGCTTGGATTGGCTCTCGTTGAATGTATTGCGGCCTCGCCCAACTTACATAGAGAGCTTCCATCATGATCTCCACAAGGCTTGCGCGCGTGGGTGCGCTGGTAAGTCAAACCGAACATTCCCTTGTAGCATTCGCATCTTCGTGGTGCGATGCATTGGAACTGTGAAATCACAGATGAGCTTGATCAGGAACTGACTTGAAATCCCGCAGGCCCCCAAGTCCCGCCTTGTAAGAACCCCATCGACTCTTCGAACGGCTGCCGCTTTCTCTCCAAGAAAACCAGAAGGCGTGGTCGCAAATTTTCTCGTGCATATGTGCTCACTGATGTTTTGTAGCTCCTCGGGACCCGGGCCTTCGCTACCGTCGGTGATTCCCCTCTTGACAAGAAGGTCGAGATGACCAACTGGGAGAAGGTGAGCTATACTAGTTTTGTCTTTTGTGGCTCCTTCGGAACAGCCACTTAGCGCATACTGAAAGCGGGATTCACTAACATGGCCTCTAGGGAAACTACATCAACTACAAGTATGCTGCCAATCTTCCTGATCATTACTTTGAGAGGGTCACAAAAAAAATAAAAAGAAAAAAACTAAAAAAGAAGACGATACTCGATCAGCTGCGATCTTCAATTGATCAGTCGCTAACATGTTTATCACTTTTGCAGGAAGATGTCTGAGAACCTGGACATTGTCCGTCAACGTCTGCAGCGCCCTCTCACATATGCCGAGAAGATTCTGTACTCTCACCTTGATGATCCTCATGGCCAGGAGATCGAGCGTGGCAAGTCCTACCTGAAGCTCCGCCCCGACCGTGTTGCTTGCCAGGACGCCACTGCCCAGATGGCTATTCTGCAGTTCATGTCGGCCGGTATGCCGTCTGTCGCTACTCCTACCACCGTCCACTGCGACCACTTGATTGAGGCCCAGGTTGGAGGTGACAAAGATCTTGCTCGTGCCAACGAGATCAACAAGGAGGTCTATGACTTCCTTGCCTCTTCCACCGCCAAGTACAACATTGGTTTCTGGAAGCCCGGCTCCGGTATCATTCACCAGATCGTCCTTGAGAACTACGCTTTCCCTGGTGGTCTGATGATCGGTACTGACTCTCACACTCCCAATGCTGGTGGTCTCGCCATGGCTGCCATTGGTGTTGGTGGTGCTGATGCCGTCGATGTCATGGCTGGTCTTCCTTGGGAGTTGAAGGCTCCTAAGGTCATCGGTGTCAAGCTCACCGGTGAGATGTCCGGCTGGACCACCCCCAAGGATATCATCCTGAAGGTCGCTGGTCTTCTTACCGTCAAGGGTGGTACTGGTGCCATCATTGAGTACCACGGACCCGGTGTCAACTCCCTCTCTTGCACTGGTATGGGTACCATCTGCAACATGGGTGCTGAAATCGGTGCCACCACCTCCCTCTTCCCCTTCAACGATCGTATGTACGATTACCTGAAGGCCACCAAGCGTCAGCAGATTGGCGACTTCTCCCGCGCTTACGCCAAGGAGCTGCGCGAGGATGAGGGTGCTGAGTACGACCAGCTGGTCGAGATCAACCTCTCTGAGCTCGAGCCCCACATCAACGGTCCCTTCACTCCTGATCTTGCTACTCCCATCTCTAAGTTCAAGGAGGCCGTCGAGACCAACAAGTGGCCCGAAGAGCTCAAGGTCGGTCTCATCGGCTCTTGCACCAACTCTTCGTACGAGGACATGTCCCGTGCCGCCTCCATTGCCCGTGATGCCCTTGATCACGGCATCAAAGCCAAGTCTCTCTTCACCGTTACCCCCGGTTCCGAGCAGATCCGTGCTACCATTGAGCGCGACGGTCAGCTCCAGACCCTTGAGGAGTTCGGTGGTGTGATCCTTGCCAACGCCTGCGGTCCTTGCATTGGACAGTGGGATCGCAAGGATGTCAAGAAGGGCGAGGCTAACTCCATCATCTCTTCTTACAACCGTAACTTCACTGGTCGTAACGATGCCAACCCTGCCACCCACGCCTTCGTTGCCTCCCCCGATCTGGTCGTCGCCATGACCGTTGCCGGTACCCTCAAGTTCAACCCCCTCACTGATAAGCTGAAGGACAAGGATGGCAATGAGTTCCTGCTCAAGGCTCCCTCCGGCGAGGGTCTTCCCGCCAACGGCTACGACCCCGGCCGTGACACCTACCAGGCTCCTCCCGCCGACCGTGCCTCGGTCAATGTCGCTGTCTCCCCTACCAGTGACCGTCTGCAGCTCCTTGCTGGATTCGAGGCCTGGGATGGCAAGGATGCCAACGGCATCCCCATCCTCATCAAGTGCCAGGGCAAGACCACCACCGATCACATCTCCATGGCTGGCCCATGGCTCAAGTACCGTGGTCACCTTGACAACATCTCCAACAACATGTTGATTGGTGCTATCAACGAGGAGAACGGCAAGGCCAACTCCGTCAAGAACAAGTTCACTGGCGAGTACGATGCTGTCCCTGCTACTGCCCGTGACTACAAGGCCCGTGGCGTCAAGTGGGTTGTCATTGGTGACTGGAACTACGGTGAGGGCAGCTCTCGTGAGCACGCCGCTCTGGAGCCCCGCCACCTTGGTGGTCTCGCCATCATCACCCGCTCCTTCGCTCGTATTGTAAGTCTACCTGATATATTCCGAACATTCCGACACCTGATGCTAACTGCACCTCCAGCACGAGACCAACCTGAAGAAGCAGGGTATGCTTCCCCTGACCTTCGCTGAGCCCGCCGACTACGATAGAATCAAGCCCGAGGACACTGTTGACCTGCTCTGCACTGAGCTCGAGGTTGGCAAGCCCATGACCCTCCGTGTTCACCCCAAGGACGGCAGCGCTGCCTTCGACATTACCCTGAACCACACCTTCAACGAGTCCCAGATTGAATGGTTCAAGGATGGTTCTGCCCTGAACACCATGGCCCGCAAGGCTGGCAACTAAATTTAGTCTGCCGGTAAGCTGACGGGCCATGTACCTTCTCGCTCCGATGAAGGTGCAATTGTAAATTATGTCTTCAGTGTTTCGAGCGATCACTAAGCAACATTATCTTAAAAGACTGGGGTTCAGTGCTGGGTTCCCTTGCGCTGTATCCAAGGATTCAAATATGGGGGGAAGTGAATAGCAGCAATTGGAAGCTGCTTCTGACACTGTCCATGGTGATGGAAAAGCGGTGTTCTGAGAATTCTAACGATCTGTGTTTCTTGTTTGACTACCCCTTCCTGAGTTCGGGCGGGGTCTATGGATATAGGCTTCTGTTTTCTTTTTCCACACATCCTTTGTATGTTAGGGATCGCATGCATACCAAAGTCATTTTTTTTGTTCGAGGATTTTTTTCATCTTTCCTTCTCGTAAGCCTCAGGTTGTGCCTTAATTCTGTAGTGAAGGCAAGTATCTGTAATGCGGTCAGATTATGCCTCGTCAACATCTGGACCCACGCCCTTCAAATTTCAGGCTGCGATGAACCTCAAGATTGAGAAAATAAATCTATCTCAGACTCGACATACCATATGATAATCTCATGCGCTCCGAAATATCTACAACTGTGAGCGTGATAAATGTATGCAAGTTGGTAGAAATCACTAGTGTCCTTGACGTTACCTCCACCCCGCAATAGATATACTTATTAGTTATTACTTACCAAGTACAACCTCGGCTTTGTCTGCAATCTCATCATCATAGAATACCTGAAACTATGCTTATCTGCTGCCTATCTAATTGATGAAAGAGAACACTCGCATTTCGCATATCTGACTCATAGCCTGTATGTATGTACATAAAGCCACACTCACCAAACCGAACTCCATCACTGGACCTACGGAGTAAAAATTAACGATGCGCTATGCAGTTATCTGATGACCCAGGCCCACTGCTCCGCAACTTGGGTTAAAAACCGCTGTCAGAATCCTCACGCCCTATCCATTCATTTAGATTCTAGATCATGGGTACCCAGCTCGTCCCGCTGCCGGAAGTGGAGAGACTTAGTGCGTCTGTGATACGGATCTTGGGCGGGAATCCTGGGAAGGTGAGTTTTTTTTTTTTTTTTTTTTTTTTTTTTTTTTTTTGTTTTTGGATGCATCATGTCATATGAAACTGGACGATGGCGGGGAGTATCTAGTTGAGTCAACTAACGATGTAATGTGGGTGATGCTAGTTCACACTACAAGGGGAGACGCGTCTATTGTTCCTCTTTATGTGTTTCGTTTTGCTGGCGGTGTGGGGGGAAGAAAGAAGACTGTTCGCTTACTATGCTCCCACAGGCACAAATACATATCTTATTGGCCGGGGGCACCAGCGGATACTCGTTGACACGGGCGAGGGCAAACCGTCTTGGGCAAGCCATCTCAAAGCCGTGCTGCTGGAGGAGAATGCGACGGTACACAAGGCGCTGCTGACGCACTGGCATCCGGACCATGTCAACGGGCTGCCGGATCTGCTGAAGCTGTGTCCGCAGGTGACGGTCTACAAGAACCAGCCGGAGGAAGGGCAGTTTGATTTGGAGGATGGCCAGGTTTTCAGCGTGGAGGGGGCTACGTTGACGGCGTATCACACACCGGGGCATACGGTGGACCATATGATGTTTGTTCTTGCCGAGGAGGATGCTGTGATTACCGGGGACAGTGAGTTTTCCTCTCCTGCTTGTAGGGGGGTGGAAATAATGGGGGGGTTATGGGCTAACAGGTCCGACTGCAGATGTGCTGGGTCACGGGACAGCGGTCTTCGAAGACCTCAAGGAGTATCTGAGTAGTCTCCAGAGGATGCAGAACCGGGTCTCTGGGCGCGGATACCCCGGACACGGCGCGGTGCTTGAGAACGCGACGGCAACGATCACCGAGTACATCCAGCACCGTCAGCAGCGCGAAGACGAAGTCCTCCGGGTGCTGCGGTATGGAAAGCTCGATGTGCCCGACAACGAACCCTCCCCTGAGCGGAAGGCCCTGTGGACTCCGCTCGAGCTCGTGAGAGTGATTTATCGGAATGTCCCTGAGGGGCTTCACCTACCTGCATCTCGTGGGATCCTGCAGGTGCTTCTGAAACTCGAAGCTGAGGGCAAGGTGGTGCGCGATCCGGCATCGGGGAAATGGTGCATCGAGTCCGGCAAATCTACCTTGTGAGAGAGAATGTTGTGACTGATCTATCCATGAAGGTGTCTTGATTTGAGTCTAGTTGTTGATAGGTACTACTACTACTACAGGACATTTATTTTCCTGCCCGACAAGGCGACAGCGGGAAGTTTGATTTCAAATCCCTTCCTGCTTCCCCTTTAAGACTAAATTTGATGCGCGATTTTATGTTGTGGTCATATAGGTTAGCAGCTGTTGTAACGGATAGCGATACACACAATCTGGCTGCTGCTCTCCGGTGAGGTTTTTTTTTTTCTCATCTTTTCGTGAAGGGCTTCCTCCAGGTTAGGCCAACGGAACGAAAAGCCCCTGGAATCGGAAGTAATCAGTTAGGTCCAAGTGCTCTTCCTAGTCTCGCCGTATGCATGAAATATCAAGAAGAGGTTAGGTAGGTTGCTCCAGCAGCCCCGCCATGGAGGTGCAGAATGGAAAGTCGAATAAAAGAGCTTCCGATGAGTATTGGACTCCCAAAAAGAAAAAAAAAACGCCACTGTTGGGCGCCGATGATAGATTACTGAGCTGCTAGCCTACTAGTTACTAGCAAGTAGCAACTCATTGACTTTTTCTTGGGCGCGGTGATGGTTGATCGTGATACGGAGCAGACTGCGCCTGGTCACCTATAGTTCTAATACCTATCCACATCCATACCTATCTACCTATCTACCTATCTACCTATCTACCTACCTACATACATACATACAATGTAGAGTAAGTAAGTAAGCAAGTAAGTAAGTAAGTAAGTAAGGGGATTACGCTGGCGGCCCGTCATCAACGCACGACACCCGACGAGTGGTGGTGAATCCATGGAAGTAAATGTTACTCAGACTCCAGACTGACAGGATATCAACCAGGAAAAAAAAATAAATTTTCAAAACCGTGTTTTTCTTGTTCCCTTCTTTTGCTTTGTCCACCCACTGAGTGATTGCTGATTAGATGGATAGTGAACCCTGCTCAACTTTGGGGGGGTTGTTCCTTGGAAGTTGTGTTGGCATGATCAACTGGGGAATGTCAAGTCTGGTTTGATGCTGACTTCCTCTTTTTCTGACCTCCGTAAGATTCCTGCATAGTATGTATCTCTCTATAGTTATCCGAGGAGTTCTAGATGGAATAGAGGCAGGTCAAAGCTTTAACCGGTTACCCCTCCGTTATTCTTGTTTAAGAAAAATAATAATAATAATAATAATAAATAATCTCATTGCCTAATGTTATTATTATTGTTGGTCTGGCTGTCAGTCAGTCAGTCAGTCACAGAGTACTTAACTACGGAGTACTAGTAACTAGTAGTTTAGTCGTGACTAAGTAGACGACCTACTCCGTACTGCATATTCAAATTCCCGAATTAGATTACAAGAAGCATAGTAGGTAGCTTCTATAACTACCCTTCCCCTCCTTCATCCTGTCCTCTTAACACCCTTTCTCTTTGGATCTTCGCAGTCGATGAACTCGCTATTGAAGAGCACACCGTTTTCTTGTCTCCGGAAATTTACTGTTTTCTTCTTGCCCACGTCTGGGTCCGTTGGTCCGCGCGTTTGACTGTTTGCTGGCTCTGAGGTCACTCATTCCCCGCCATCCCTCTCCAACTTGCTTCGTCCTCCATAATCTCAAAAGCAAGTCAGGACACAAACCACATTCAGGCTCACCTGAAGTACTGGTGCAACCAAGAGAAGAGTCTTCCTCATCCTGATAGATATATCATTGACGACTTCATTCGTTGCTATCTTTCTATTATCTATCCATCTATCTCATTTCATTTTCGTTGTCAACGAGAAAACATCGTCTATCAAAATCGCCCCACCCTGTTTTCGGCCCATTGTTAGTATTCAAACGTCATCTCTCTTGGCTTGATCGCTCTGCTCCTCAGGCCGAAAATCCTCCCATTCTAATCTCCATTCCCGTGCCGAACAGTTATCTTCGTCTTCTTTCTTTGACTTTGCGTCGCCTTTGCCCGAACCGTTCAGCCCGATCGCGTGCTCTGTGATTTTCCCCTCCCCCGCAGTCACATCCTTACATCGCCATGCCTTCCCTCGACAAGCCCGCTCAGAACGAAGCGAGATTGCTTCTCGTTTCGAACCGGTTACCCATCACCATCAAGCGCTCCGACGATGGCAAATATGACTTTTCCATGTCCTCCGGTGGTCTGGTCAGCGGCCTCAGCGGCCTGTCCAAGTCCACGACCTTCCAATGGTACGGCTGGCCCGGACTGGAGGTCCCCGAAGAAGAGATTCCGGTTGTCAAGCAACGGTTGAAGGACGAGTACGGTGCTGTTCCGGTCTTCATCAACGATGAGCTCGCGGATCGCCACTACAATGGATTTTCTAGTTAGTTTCAATCCTCCTTGCGAGTCGGTGGCACAGCCGAACACTACTCTGCTGGGCAGAGGGAGACGAGAGATCCTGGAATGCTGACCCTGTTTCCTGTCGCATAGATTCTATCCTCTGGCCGCTGTTCCACTACCACCCCGGTGAAATCACGTTCGACGAGTCTGCCTGGGAGGCATACAAGGAAGCCAACCGCCTTTTCGCCAAGGCTGTTGCGAAAGAGGTCCAGGATGGAGATCTGATCTGGGTCCACGATTACCATCTCATGCTCCTGCCTGAGATGCTCCGCGAGGAGATCGGCGACTCCAAGGAAAACGTCAAGATCGGATTCTTCTTGCATACACCCTTCCCCAGCAGTGAAATTTACCGAATCCTTCCCGTTCGCAACGAGCTGTTGCTCGGCGTGCTCCACTGCGATCTGATCGGTTTCCACACATACGACTACACCAGGCACTTTTTGAGTGCATGCTCGAGGTTGCTGTACGTGAACTACCCCTTCTCCTTTCCCTTTCCCGCAAAGCCGAGTGGAGTGGGAAGTAACTAACATTGTGATACTGAAGGGGCCTCGCGACAACCCCCAACGGCATTGAGTTTCAGGGCAAAGTTATCGCCTGCGGTGCCTTCCCTATCGGCATCGATCCCGAGAAGTTCCAGGAGGGTCTCATGAAGGAAAAGGTCCAGAAGCGGATAGCCATGCTTGAGCAGAAGTTTCAGGGAGTGAAACTCATGGTGGGAGTTGATCGTCTTGACTACATTAAGGGTGTTCCCCAGAAGCTGCATGCTCTTGAAGTCTTTCTTAGTGACCACCCAGAATGGGTTGGAAAGGTTGTGCTGGTCCAAGTTGCCGTTCCTAGTCGACAGGACGTCGAGGAGTACCAGAATCTGCGGGCCGTCGTCAATGAGCTGGTTGGCCGGATCAACGGTAAATTCGGTAAGGACTCTCCAGCTGCCAAAAAATCCCCGTGGCCGGTATCTGACATTCAAACTTAGGAACGGTGGAATTTATGCCTATCCATTTCCTGCACAAATCTGTCAACTTCGACGAGTTGATTGCCCTGTATGCAGTCTCCGATGCCTGCATTGTCTCATCGACTCGTGACGGCATGAACCTTGTGGCATATGAATATATCGCGACTCAGAGGAAACGACATGGATCGCTGGTGCTCTCTGAGTTTGCAGGCGCAGCCCAGAGTCTCAATGGCAGTATCATCATCAATCCTTGGAACACCGAAGAGCTTGCTGGTGCTTATCAAGAGGCGGTCACCATGAGCGACGAGCAGAGGGCGCTGAACTTTTCCAAGCTGGACAAATATGTCAACAAATACACCAGGTAAGCTTGGTTCTATGTTCTGCCTCTGGTTGATCGATGCACTCATACTAATAATCCCTAGTGCCTTCTGGGGCCAATCCTTTGTCACTGAGCTGAACAGAATCTCAGCGCACTCGGCTGGGAAATTCGAGGCCCGGAAACCGGCTGGGGAGGACGGCCCTGAAGCCGAGAAGCCTTCGAATGGTGTGGAAGCAACAGAAAAAGTAACAGACGAAGCTCAGACGACACAATAAACTCGAACGTCTTCCGTCGGCTGAATTGCGCGACTAATGGCATTGGCAGAGATGACGATTCTGGGATATGAGACATGGAATGTGGGCACAATAAATTGTCTCTAATGTTTTTTGTCTTGATGATGAAAGTTCGAGATTCAAAGCTGAAGACTATCAACAATTATTATGGTTAGATTTCAGTGTCTGGCTGGGCTTGACAGGTGCGAGGTTTTGGCGTCTTGTATATTAAGCATTCTTGTTAGATTCTCTCGTTTATATTAGGTTCTTCACTGATTTGGATGGAGTTCCGGAATGAAAATACTGATTTATGACTGGGATTGACTGCTCTTTTTCTATATTAATTCATTTTATTTGAATCTCCAGTGAGACTTGAATAGATGGGGTAGTAGGGAACTGCCTGTACTCCGTACACAGAGTAGAATCAGATGGCTTGATTTGGCAAACAGTGCAAACACCGTCTGGAGAAATTCTTGGGAGGCCGCTGTCTTGCGGGTTTACTCACCCGCGAAGATCAGGTCTGGGACCATCGTTACCTACACCATTCCATTGGACGGACTTCCAGTCAATCTCAGAGATTTCGTTAGTTGTCAACCTCAATTGACATCTCCTCGGAACAGTCTCGTCTTTCCCTGTCCTCCGAGGTCCCGAAATTCCACTCTCCAACCAACGCCGCACCTCCGGACGGACTCAAAACTCTACATTCTTCACACACCCAACAAGCACAAGAAGGAACACCCGATATCCACGAGAGCTTGCACTTCGAGAGGCATCAAGAAATGGCCCCCAGCAGCCTCTTCCGGGCCATGCAGCCCCTGCGCTCCCTCCTCCCCCGGTCCACAACCACCACCCTCCCGCCCTTCCTCCACCCACGCTCCCGCACCAGCACCAGCAGCATCCTCCGCCTCGCATCGACGACAACCACACCACCGCAGCCCCAAACATCCGCTCCCGCTCCCTCGAGCACCGTCGCTCCGACCTCCCTCCGCACGTACCCCTACACGACCAAAACCGGCACCGTCGTCTCCGTCGGCCGCATGGACCGCACCGTGCGCGTCTCCTACCGCCACACCACCTGGGACCCGCACCTGCGCAAGTCCTACCCCAAGACCACGCACATCCTGGTCTCGGACCCGCGCAACTCCCTCCGCGAGGGCGACGTGATCGAGTTCTCGTCCGGCTTCCCCAAGAGCCGCCGCGTGCGGCATGTTGTGGAGCGCATCGTTGCGCCGTTTGGGTCCGCCATTGAGGACAGGCCTGCTGTGATGACGCGGGAGGAGCGCGATGCGTTGCGTGTGCAGAAGAGAGCGGCGAAGTGGGCGAGGAGGGAAGAGAGGGGGTTTGAGGGTATTCCGGAGCATGTGGGACGTATTCGGGGGTTGGTTCATGAGAGGGTTGGTGGGGAGGTTGTTTAGGAGGTTGGATTGGGGTTGGGTTTGTTGATTTGAGGGATCGGAGAGTGGAAAGAGGGAATGTGTGTATTATATCATATTGATTGTTCATGTTGTGTTGTTATTATTATGGAAAATAGGCATTGGACTGCGAGTTGAATAACCAAGCTTCATTCTCATTCTGTTCTGATAGAATTGACACCTACGATTGAGAAATGGAGCAGGCCGTTCTAAGGATCGGACATAGTAGCTCGATTCACCCACTTGGAAGACTTCATTCATGCAGTAATAAACACGCAGCATAGAAAGGTATCTTGAGTTCCAACGCACGAAAAAAAAAGGAGGGAAAGGAAAGGCCGTGAAATATGTACGAGGAGGGAAAAAGGACATTAGGTATAGATAGACCCCAAGGCACGAAGCCGCGCACGCAAGAACCCCAAGACCAGTTCAGGATTAGAAGACAAATGAAGAATGGAAAATAAAGGTAGTACACTCTTCAGCCCAGCCCAAAAGAGAAAACCCAACTCTCCGGTTCCACCTGGATGAAAAAAAAAATGTACCAATGTCACAGAATGAACCCCAACTCCATGCTCACGTCTGTGAGCCAAGTGTATGTTCTCTTCGCCTTTCTTCGAGGTACGTGCTGATAGCCGCTCATTATAAGGTGGATAGCCCATCCGGGTCTTGCTCTTCATTCATTTCGTCCATCTTGTTTCCAGGTTCGGCTGGATCAGATCCGCCATTAGGTTGCGAAAACACGGACCTTCTGGTCAACGCTGCCGGTGGCGATGACACATCGGATGGAGATTTTGTTCGCCGCGTTTGGATCCTGTCTTGCACCGTTGGATGTTGTAGTGGCTGCAGGCGTCCCGTTGGCTCCAGCATCCCCATTCGCGCCTGAATCTTTGATCAACGGAGGCGCCCATCGAAGGCAGGTCACGAAGTGCTCGTGGGTATCGGCAATCGTTCTGACGCATTTGCACTCCTGCGTGAGATCCCAGCAGCGGATGGTCTTATCGTCTGATACCGACAAAAGATATTTACCGCCTGGATGGAAGGCGAGCGCGCGCACCCAGTTATCATGTCCCACAAGTGTCTTGATAAGATTGCCCCGAGAATCCCATAGCCGGATAGTCTTGTCGCGGGATCCCGTTGCAAAGAACTCTGCGGACGAGGAAGCAGACGGCGGTTTCTTCAAGCCAGAAAGAACCGCCAGATGCGGATAGCTGGCAGCGGGAGCAATAGCAACACATTCAATCACATGCTCGTGCCCAAGGAATGTTGATCTAGTTTCTGCCGCTGAGAGATCCCACAATCGAGGAATGCGGTCGTCGCCCGCAGCGAAGAGAAACCGGCCGTCAATCGATGGTGCGACCGCTCGTACCCAGTCAACATGACCTGACAGTGTCTTCACGCAGTACCCGGTTGTTACGTCCCAGATCCGCAGGGTCTTATCTCGGGAAGCGGAGACTAACAGATTCCCCGACATGGGCGAGCCAGCCGCACCTGACGGAATGAATCTGACCGATGAGACACTGTGATCGTGACCCGGTAGTGTTCGGATGTTCTTGTAGTCATCTGACGGATCCCATAGCTTGATTGTAAGGTCGGAGGAGCAGGATGCGAGCAGTGTCCCGCCGCGGGGTCCACCATAATCGACGTCCAGCACGGCCTTGGTGTGTCCCTTCACAGTACGTTCTAGTTCACCCAGTTCCCAATCCCAAATCTTAATCGTCGTATCGTCCGAGCCAGATGCTAAAGAGGAGAAGACAGGGTGGAACGCGACACAGGTGACAGGCGATCGGTGAGACTCAAGGGTATGGCGGGGAGGGGCCCGGGGCAACCATGCTGTGGGGTCCTGGTTCTTTCGCAGCAGGGAGGTCGGTGTTGCTGAATCAAGTTCCGATTGCAGTGCGGCGCATCTGGACTCCAGATCCATTATCTGAATAGCCCGATCGGGGAGACGCTGGTCAGTGCTATCCGACAATCACCACGCCAAAGGAGCCTTTCGCGTTTCCCTGAACCGACCTTCTTCTGTAGCCGAACCACACTGGTCCATTTCTTCTCTAACAAGCCCTCATACTTCTTGATCGTGGCATCGTCTATCGTAACCGCATCACCGAGCTCCGCACGCAGAGTCGTTGCACTTTCACTGAGGTTCACAGAGGCAAGGTAGGCAATGATGGATTTATGTCTGCAGAGTGTCGAGCGCGGTCAGCTTCTTCAAACTCGTTCTCTCACAGCCTTCCCAGTTGTGCAGGACCAGGGACATACAGCTCCTCTGCCTGCCGCGTCGTGAGTAACTGGCTCATGATCAACGGCAGTTGTATGCGCAATCTCTCCAAACAGTTCTATCCCCGGTGTGCCTCTGCATGCACTGTAGGCTCTTAAACCAAAGCAGGCAGATAAGTAACCTCGCGAACCTCTATCGCACGATCGGCCGCAAGTTGAGAACTAGATCCACCTCCTGCAGCGCTTCCCTGGCTGCCTTTTTTTCCCCGGGAGAATGGTGTGTAGGGAATTTGTATGCGTGTGAGCCGGGCGGTGAGCGAAACGGACGTCTGGAGAGAGGGAGACTTTGTATATTTCTGCGACCGAGGGTAAGAAGCAGCTCGAACGCCAGGGGAAGCGGAGGGGCAACGTGGGAATCGTATATTTCGTTTTCAAGCCAATGCAGAGACTAGGTCTGTCAGTGGTCTGGCTGTCTGGAGCAATCACACGAGCTAGAGTTTGGGGCTCTGTATTTGCTTAAAAGGAAAACAAAGGGTTCAGTCCATTGATGGCTATTATTATTATTATTATTATCGCGGGGAAAATCGTTTAATTGTAGTTTGATATTCCTCTTGTTTGGCGCAGTTGGGCATGTGTTGGCGGGCCTGAATGCCAAGGCAGCCATTCCACCCGGCTTTGGGTCGCGAAATCACCACAGCGACTTGCCCATCATTGTTAATTGTTTACTATCATCATCCACGGCTGCACTCCTATCGCATCGTCTCCTGGACGTCCCACTACGCTTTACCTTTCTCAATACACATCTCGACAACTACTCGAAGAGAAGGAGGAAGGCATTTCACTAATTAGAAGAATTACTTATTCACTCTCCGTACAGACGGTGTTGCATGTATTCAGAGATTCTGGACTATCGAACCATCACCCAAGATCCATAACCAAAATCTCCCCTCCCCCCTCCCTCCCTCCTCCACAAACAACCCCTCAAGGTGCGTCACGGATTTCTTTGTTTTTGGTTTCATGTGGGATTGAATGGCCGGCTCTATGGTTCTCAGTCTCTGTCTGTGCTGCTTAGTTGTGCGCCAGTTTGCAGTTTGGTCTTTCATCAACTGTCATGCTACCACCCCAGTTGGGCTCCCATGAAGCTAACGGCATCTTAATTTTGTCTTTTAGTGTGCTATCCCTGGTCGAAAAATTCATTCATCCTATATAAACCGACAACATGCCTGACGGAGAGGAGGACTTCTCTTCTCTGCCGCTACCCGACCGATTCGCACACAAGGTTAGCCTGTCCCTCGACAGTCTGATTGAATCCTATGAGCGACATACCCATACTGACGCGGCTTTTCTCTATCCTTCATAGAATTGGAAAGTGAGGAAAGAAGGATATGAGGATGCGAGACAACAGTTTGAGAAGACTCCCGATGAGTCGGATCCGGTTTTCGTACCATTTCTGCAAGATCCCGGCCTGTGGAAAGGCGCGGTTTCAGATTCTAACGTTGCTGCTCAACAAGAGGGTCTTGCATCGTACTGTTCTTTTCTAAAGTATGGCGGAGTGCAGGCTTGTACAAGGTATGCCTCTTCACTCTGTCAATCAGAGGAGATAACCCGTGTTGCTCCCCTCTGCCTTGTCCGAAGATAGCTAACATCTTCGGCAAAGAACACGCTCAGTAACAATAGCTCCCATTGTGGAAAAAGGCCTTCCATCGACAAGACCGGCTGCGAAGGCTAATGCACTGGAAGCACTTCTGCTCTGCGTCGAATTGGACAAGGCGGATCCGGTAATCGAAGAAATTATTCCTATTCTGTCGCACAAAGTTCCCAAGGTGATTGCCGCAGCATTAGGTGGTCTGAAGACAATCTATCATAATTTTGGTTGCAAGATTGTGGATCCAAAGCCAGTCTTGAAAGTTTTACCTAAAGTGTTCGGCCACGCGGATAAGAATGTCCGTGCAGAAGCACAGAACTTGACCGTCGAACTTTATCGATGGTTGAAAGAGGCTATCAAACCGCTGTTCTGGGGTGAACTCAAGCCTGTCCAGCAACAAGATCTCGAGAAATTGTTCGAAAATGTCAAACAAGAGCCGGCTCCAAAGCAAGAAAGGTTAACAAAAGCGCAACAAGATGCCTTGGCTGTAGCTAGCGCCGCGCCGGAAACCGGTGGTGACATGGAGGGCGGAGAGGACTACGCAGAAGAAGATGATGGTGAGGTAGATGCATTCGATCTCGCAGAGCCTGTGGATATCATGCCCAAGGTTCCCAAGGACTTCAACGAGCAGTTAGCGTCATCAAAGTGGAAGGACAGGAAAGAAGCGCTGGACGCTCTGTATTCTGTGCTGAACGTGCCAAAAATTAAAGATGGTCCATTTGATGATATCATTCGGGGACTGGCAAAGTCCATGAAAGACGCGAACATTGCAGTCGTGACCGTCGCCGCCAACTGTATCGACCTCCTTGCAAAGGGCCTGCGAAGCGCCTTTGCGAAGCACAGATCCACGATCATGCCACCTATCATGGAACGGTTAAAGGAGAAGAAGCAGAGCGTTGCGGATGCGCTGGGTCAAGCTCTAGATGCAGTCTTTATTGCCACTAGTCTGTCAGATTGTCTGGAGGAGACTCTGGAATTCCTCAAGCACAAGAACCCCCAGGTGAAACAGGAAACACTGAAATTCCTGATTCGCTGCCTTCGAACAACGAGAGACGTCCCAGCAAAGGCTGAGGTGAAGTCGATTGCCGAAGCGGCCACAAAACTGCTCACCGAGTCGACTGAAGTCAATCGAGCAGGAGGAGCTGAGATTCTGGGTACCTTGATGAAGATCCTGGGCGAGCGTGCGATGACCCCTTACCTGGACGGCCTCGACGATATCAGAAAGACGAAGATTAAGGAGTATTTTGAGATTGCCGAGGTCAGGGCGAAGGATCGACCGAAGCCAATTATTGGGCCACCCAAGGCTGCTGTACCAGCGGCCGGCAAGAGGGTCGTTGGAGGGAAGAAGCCAGCTTTGGGAATGAAGAGACCACCACCGGCTGCTGCAGCTCCCCCGCCAGAAGAACCCGCGCCGATCCTTTCTCCTCCCAAGCCTGCTACAAGATCCATCCCATCAAAGCTTGGAGGCGTTCCCAAACCTGGAGGGCTCCCGGCTCCTGGTGCTGGCCTAAAGCTTCAAAGAAAGCTTGCAGGTCCGGGTGGCCTAACTTCTCCACAGCGTCGGGTTGTCTCCCCTCCTTCGGAAGAGCTGCCCCCAGCACCAGCGGCGCCGAAGTTCGGTCTCGGAAGGGGACTTGCAGGCCGTCCGATAGCTAAGCCATCAGCCGCTCCAGAGCCGGCACCAGCTCCAGTCGCACCACCTCAAGTGAGCGGGATCTCTGCTATTGAGCGAGCCGAACTCGATGAGTTCCGTCTTGAAAGGGAACGGTTCATCAAGATGATTGAGGATCTGAAGTCCGAACGAACCAGACTCAACTCGCAGGTGACAGAGCTTCAGGATCAAAACGCACAGTTGATTGAAGATCACACAAGAGATGTGCTAAGCATCAAAGCGAAGGAAACCCAACTAGTGCGGGCAAGAAGTGATGCAGAGGCTGCTGAGCAGACGGTTCAGAAGCAGCAGAGAGAGATCGACCGCCTGAAGCGGGAACTGGCGAGAGCGCTCCGCGCCAGCGCTCAGAGCCCTCCGAACGGTCTAGCAGACAATCTCAATATGCCAATTCCAGACACGACGTCGATATACCAGGAACCGGGCATTGAGAATTATGCAGCCATGCCCCGCACCAGCCTTCACATGGGAGCTCGGTTTGACAGCGCGCGACCACGGAGCTTCGCATCCGCCAGCCCTAGCGAGGAGAAAGAGAACAACGGCCTGGGATCTCCAGGACTTGGCAGCAGGGACGGAGGGCTTGGTCGACGAAAGCTGAGTCCCTCATTTGGAACCACTTACTCCGGTATGGGCAGTCCCACGCGATCGTCAGCGTTGGGATCTGGTAGTGCTTCTGGAGAGGACCAACCTGTGAGGAGCTCAGAGCCAGCGGAGAATTGGAAGAGAGCCGCGGAAGTCACCAGCCAACTCAAAGCCAGAATCGAGCAAATGAAGGTGCGTGTCCCACTGTCCTATTGAGTGAATGCGAATGATCTGACTTATTTTCACGTTATAGGCAAGACAAGGTTTATCGCGCGGCCCTGCACAACGTTGAGGGGCCTTTGAACCATCTTCATCTCTACTTATACTTATGACATGACTCTTCTTATTCTTCATGACGGCGGGCTTCTCAGCAAGGTCGGGGTTGGCCTGATTTTGGCGTTTCGTTTCTCCTCGTAAGGCCTCGTCCTTTCTAATACACAACTTTCTACGGCTTGTTCGGGGACAAGCCGAGGTGCTAGGGGAAACGGTCATTTGTTTGCATTTGCCGGGGTTTCGCATTTTTCTATTTGCCATGTTTTTTGTGTATATTTTCCGAGCATGCTTGTGTATGGGCTGTATTTTATGGACATGGATCTATGGACGATAGGCATACATGGGAAATGCAGTGGTTACAAAGGAGGGAGGAGATATCCAGTTTGATGTTTAATGACTATCTCTTTCATTTCATGTTCTCCAAATTGAGGAGAGGAGATTTGCACTGCAGCAATAGTGTTTGAGATTATGAGAAGTTGATCGTCTTACCATCTTATTGCCTCGCTTTGAAATAGACACTCTCTGGGAGAGCCCGATCAGCGCACATGGTCCAGCATATGATTCAGGAAGATCATCGGCAGCCAATGGCCAACTACTCATCCTGGTCCGTCTCACTCATCTTCAATAAGTCCAAGTATATACCTGTAGAACAACAACATTAGGCCCTCATACAAGATCCAAGCTGAGCTCTCCAAAGAAACTCTCAAGAGCCTTACCGGCTGTTCTCCATCGACCATCCAAAAGCCGCAGTACGTCTTCACACATGAGCTTCCCTATTACAAATTGTGGATCACCCGTCTCGTGCGCCATCCACGCGATGTTCTGAGCACAAATATAAATGCAATTCAGCATTAACGGCGAGATCTGTTTCAGTGTGTCTTGGGTCAGCACCTCCCTGACCCTCTGGATCAGCGATGTAGTCTGTCCGCAGACGTCTTTGATTATATGAAGACACTTCTGCATGCATTCACGAACGCGAGGGGCGATCTGCGTGTCGAGGTACTTGTTTTCCTCGTCGAAGAGGTCGCAGGAGTGGTGGTTCGAGAGCTTGAAGAGTGCACTATGGCTGTCTGTCAGAACCGATTGAAGTGGGTACGGGATATATAGTCCCTGCTTGATGGAGGCCCACCTGAAACATACGGTCCTTGCTAGAGTTGCATCCATCCTCACCAGCGGGTCATCGTTTGGCAAGAGCTCCATGAGAGAGTATATAGCTTGACAGAGCGTTTCGAAGTCATCGAGAACAAAATTGATCTCTAATGTTGTGTCGTTGCAGTGTCTGATTACTCGACCGAGTAAGTTGGCAGCCTGGGCTAAGCGCGCAAATGGGGATAATGTGTGAACAGTCTGCGACGATAGTGACACGCGTTCTGGAGGCACCATTTCCTGGTTTTCCATGTATCGTCAGCCGTGGATCAGGTTGTTGGTCGAGGTCACCTACACCGCTGTCCCAGGCGTGGTCGTCGGCTGGAAGAAGCGTATCTCTTCCGGGGTCATCGGTGCATAGAGGACGATAATCGCCCCCGAGAGCCACATATCTAGCACATGAAAGTTATTATACTTTCACAAAACTGGCAGCCGCATCAACGGGCTATTCTAACCTGTCGAGAATGACGATCGTCCACCATACACGCTGTCTCTCTTCCCAGTCAACCCAGGTTCGCGGTTTACCATGCAACTGGGGTGCTAATTTGCTATGCAATCCAAGGGCAACCCCCTGCCTTGCACAAAAGCCGATTGTCGTGAATGCCGCCGGGAACATACCATGTCCGATTTCATATATGAGGAGAAGAAGACTTGCCTGCACCGTACGTAAAGTCAGAAGGCCCTCCAGTTCCAGTCTTTTGCTGAATTCCTTTGTGGTGGTATACAGCTCCAGTGATCGGGGATCTTGTCGGTGTGGGACCTCCTGAACTAGCTTCATGCAGAGCAATAGAAGAGCAATATCCGCCTTCAGGGCGCCTCTTGGGCTCTGCGTGAGCCGAAGTACTCTGATGCGACTTATGCAAGGCATCCCGATGTGGATGGACTGGAAATACTCGGCTCTGATGTGATCAATATCAGACTGGCTCCCAAGAGCCGCCGTGATCTCATCTGGAGCATAGATTTGATTGGACTGATCAGAGACGTTCAGAGACGACCATACCTCCGAGTCAAGATAATAGGCTTGAGTGGATAAGCTTGGGTAGAGTCGATGGTGTATGAAATAGTCGCCATTGAGTACTTCATTCCCAGAAGATGCGCGTGGTATCTTATTTTGCAGCTCTAAGACATGCTCTTCGAGTTCTTGCACTCGGCGCTGCAGATCACTGATATCGCTCTCGTTGGCGTACAGCGCAGCAGTGGAATAGTCGCATACTCGGCCGGTTCTGATTAGGAAAGATTATTATTTTCAGGCTTGCGAATTGGGCCAAAAGATGCAAGGTGGCTAAGACAGACTTCAGACACGAACCGCAGCTAGGAAGGTGTTTATCGCAGCGCCGTTTGTTCTTCTTGCACGAAGCACAGGCATGTGAAGCGGCCCCGGTGCCGCTCATGGAATCGTCTTCCATTCTGAGCGGACTCCAAGCGAGCTGCAGGATCCGTTTCGCCTGGATACTAACGGAATCTGCGCACGGTCATCTCGAGTCGATGAGCTGGATAGATCTGGAGCGGCCGCAACTTTATATATATCAAACGGCCCGCTCTGTGGATTTCAGTGGAGACAAGCGGATGGTGCGGCCGCAGTGCGGACTGCGGACTGCGGACTAGTGGATATCGGATTCTGACCACAAATGAGGTTGAAGTGGAGTAGTGATGGAAAGATCAAAATGACTGTCGACCGACCACTACCTCCTTCACTACAGCCTAGCTGTCAGACGATGAGAACGGGCGAGCGGCCGCTTTAGTGTCTAGATACACTCTACACTCTACAGAAATTGCTACAATCGCCAAGTTTCCAAATCAATGCGGGTGCGGAAGTTAGCAGTCTACGCGGACCCAATAATCAAACGGTACAGATTGTGAGGTTGAATTGACGGCTCTCACTCGGCGGCCGCAGTTCCTGTCTATATCAGATCGGTACATGATGGCGAGTTTTTACTGTTGGGGAAAAGCTATAAATGGCTCTGTACTCCCTCGACTATGAAGGATACCTCACGAACTAGTTCACAATCATCAGAGACTTCTCTGTTTCAAGACTTTGCTCATTATCCTGACAATCTACCTTTCTGCACCTTGCGTCACTCTCTTTCGTCTCGTCCGCCATGTCACAAGTGTGGTTCATCACAGGCTCCTCCCGTGGCCTTGGCCTCGCCATTGCCGAAGCTGCTCTAAACTCCGGCGCCTCTGTCATTGCTACTGCCCGAAAGCCACAGCAGCTTGACGGCCTGGTCGAGAAGTATGGCCGTGACAGGGTCTTCCCCGTTGCCCTAGACGTCACCAACAACGACCAAGTCATCCAAGCTGTCAAAGCCGGCCACGACAAATTCGGCCGCATCGACATCGTCGTCAACAACGCCGGCTACGCAAACACAGCCTCCGTGGAGGACATGGCCATCGACGACTTCAAAGCCCAAGTAGACGCAAACCTCCTGGGCGTTGTCTACGTCTCCAAGGCCGTCCTTCCAATCCTCCGTCAGCAGAAGGCCGGCCATATCTTCCAGGTTTCCTCGCTGGGTGGCCGGATCGGCGCACCGGGCCTCTCGGCCTACCAATGCGCCAAGTGGGCGGTGGGCGGCTTTTCCACCGTCCTCGTCCAGGAAGCGGCCCCGTTTGGCGTCAAGATCACAGTGCTGGAGCCTGGGGGCATTCGAACCGACTGGGCTGGCTCGTCGATGAATGTCCCCCCCGTGAGCGAACCCTATCATCCCACCGTGGGAGCCTTCGCCGAGTATCTTCGTAAAGCCTCCGGCACGGAACCGTCTCTTCCTTCTAAGATTGCGGATATTGTTGTGAATCTTGCAGGCGAGGCAGAGCCGCCGCTGCGTCTGTTGATTGGTCCCGATGCAGTAGCGCACGCTGGAAAGGCAGCGGAGGCTTTGGCTGCGTCTGATGAAAAGTGGCGGGAACTGAGTCTTGCGTCGGTTTAGAGAACGGAGCGGATTGATGAGTCGTTTTTCATTGTGTTTTTCTTTTGGCAAAGGTCGGTTTCTTTGAATCATTCCATGTCAAATAGCAAGTAGCCGCATGTACAGGAGCTCGTGATAATCAGTCTGAGAGGAATACATACAAAACAGTGACAGAAGAGCTGAGCAAGATGCGTGTAGTCCTATTGTAAGCGGTCCTATGAGGCTGTATCTGGTTGAGTCTAGGGACATTGGACATGGCCGTTGTTGGAGTGAGAAGCATATAGTCAATAGCCAAAGACATTGGACAAGGCCTATATGGACCCAAAATGAGCCTGTAAAAATGGAGTAAAGAGAGCAACGATGCGCCATATTGAGGTCTCCAAATGCTTTCCATGTATTTGGCTGCTTCTCATTGTTCTCAACCGCCATGGCATCATGGGACTGACTCTTGTGGGCGCCAAAGCAGCCTGCTTGTCCTGCTAAACAAAAATGAATGGAAGGGATTTTGTCCAAAAAAGTGGTTCAGTCCAACCGCATGAATCAATGATGAGGCAAAAGCAAAAGTTTCACCATCAGGAGTGAATTATTTGGTCGAGGTTTAGGGAGCCTAGTCCATTGATAAGAGCATGAACTTCGTGGACAAAAATTGCTGCTAGCCCCCATTCTATTGCTGCTCTTTCGAGGCATAGTGGCAGCGTCTACTGGCTCAAACAGATAACACATGAATGCCCGTCGACGGTGTAGTCTACAGAGGGAGTGCTGATTGATGTCTAAGAATGCATTCATGGGTATCTGCGAGGTGTACATAAAAGAGATAAAACAAGAAGGGGGGCCATCAATATGGATTATAATTGAGGATAGGAGGGTGCCAGAGCTCTCCGCCCATCTAAGCTAGAGTGCCGTCAATAAGTCAACAAGAGCCCGCAAGAACACCGGAATCCCATTTTCCCAAGTTTATTTCAACTTTTTTGATTACATCCATTTTTTTGGTGGAAAGAAAAGACTGCAAGGTCGTCATGTCGTTCGGGAGTCCCGTCAACCGAGCTGGTCAAGCTTAAACTCTGACGGCAGCCTCAGCAACCTTGCGCTTCTTCTCCATGCGAGCAACGGCCTTGGCGCCCATGATACCACCACCCCAGTGGCGGCGGGACTCCTCGTGCTTGTCGGTGTAACCCTCCTTGATAGCAGAGAGGAGCTTGGAGAACTCAGCCTTGTCCTCGGAGCGGACCTCGGTGAGAGCGAGGACGGCAGCGGTCTAAGAAGGGCCAAATTAATACGAGAGATCAAACATCAAGACACCGAATTTATCTTACCTTCTTGTGGACAACGGTACCGAGACGAGCCTTGCCCTTGACAATGGCATAGGGAACACCCATCTTGCGGCAGAGAGCGGGCAGGAAGACAACCAGCTCAATGGGGTCAACGTCGTGAGCGATCAGGACAAGGGAAGCCTTCTTGTTCTCGATGAGACCAACAACGTGGTTGAGACCGTACTTGACGTTGTAGGGCTTCTTGCTGACATCCTCCTTCTTCTTGCCCTCGGCAACGGCGGTGGCCTCGGCGTGAAGACGCTCCTTCTTCTCGACCTTGGTCTCAGGGCGGTACTTGTTGAGGAGCTTGAAGGTCTGGGCAGCGGTGTTGCGGTCCAGGGTGCTCTGGAACTGGGCAATAGCTGGGGGAACCTTGAGGCGGAGGTTCAGGATCTTCTTCTGGCGCTGAAGACGGACATACTCGGGCCACTTGACGAAGCGGGAGAGGTTGCGCTTGGGCTGGACGTCCTGGCCAATACCGAAGTTGCGGGTGCGCTTCTCAATGAGGGGGTTCTATCCAAATATCAATATCATGCGACGTCCAACCAACACAACCAGTGATAATCATGAACGTACCTTGGCACCCTTCTTGGTAGCACCAGCCTTGCCCTGGGGGTAGGGGAGGGGGGCAGTCTTCTTTCCGGACTTGGGAGGCTATCATTGAGAAAAGAAGAATCAGCGAATTGTTCCACCAAGTGCTGTATCTTCTTTAAACTCTAGAGAGAACACGAGAAAATGTCCAAAGACAAATTCTGTGACTCCAGCCAAATCATCACCGACGCACGCATCTCGACGAGAATTGTGCGATCGGCGGAATATGCCTCTATCTTTACGAAATGAGGCAGACAAGTTGTCTCACGACATGTCGCAAGGATAATCGAGGGCTCTTCTACAAAAGAACCGAATTGGATATCAAGGGCTTACCATTTTGTCGACTGGAGTTCCGCAACGGTGCTGGGTGACGGGATTGACGAGGAGAAGAAAGGAAAGAAAAGTGAAGCTGGATTTCGACCATCAAGAAGAAAAGCCGCCGTTGCGTTTGTGGGTCGCGCTAGTGCGGAAAAAAGAGCAAGCGGTCTCCGCTGGTCTGGTATCACGTGGTCGAGGGCTAACCCTGTTGCGTTCCATCCGCTACTGCCTGAAAACGATGGCTGCATTATCAGGCAGCGAACATGGAGTATCAGATTGATTTCCCCCATCGTTATCTTCATTGTCATTCACCTCCATGATTGAAGGATAGTGTTCACTAATATGCGTCGAAATATCTCAAAATCATCATAAAATGCACCCAAAATACAGTTCTAAATCCATACGCCATATCCGTAGATGCAAACAATCACTTCCACTGCCCCCTTTAGAAGCGCATGCAGCTCATCTCCAAGCACCTAGGCCTGGCAGACCACCTCTCCCTATACCGGAGCTGGCTGCCTGTATCGCTCTCTTCTTCCCCAAAGATCCTTCCTGTTCCCGCACGCCTGCAACGATTTTGTCGATATTCGTCTCAACCACGATGCCTCCAACGATCATCTCGCTCAGCACAGCATGCATTGTTTCGAAACCAAATATGAGATCCAGCTCGCAGACATTCTCAAATATCCGATCCAGTGCCTCTACAAACACTTGTATCAAATCGATGAGCGCAAGCGGGGACTCTGTAGACGTAGAGATCATGATGAAGGATAGTGTAGCATAAGTGCGGTAAGTGATCTGCGTGGGCGCATCTGATGGACCATTTGCTGCGCTTGAGCGAGCGCCCTGCGAGAGCATAGGAGGCAGCGGGAGGAAGTTGCAGGCGCTGGGTGGACGCTGCGCGACCAGATCGTAAATCTGCGCGATCAGTGACTGCTTCGTTTGTGTGTCCTAAGTGCGACGAATAAGACATGATTAGTTCATGTCCTGGCTTTGAGCATTAAGCTCGGCGTGCAAGTTCCTTGCCATGCGAACTCACGATTTGCGTATAGAACTTAGTTAGGCGCGGTTGCCCATTGTTGTTGAAGACAAGCACTGCGTTGATCATGTTGACTCGAGGTTGAAGCAACTACTTCCTAACGACACGGCTTGAATGTTCTAACAGTCGCAAGGAGCCAAAATGTGGAATAAACAGGCTAATTCGAGGTAGATGAACAAGTTAGAGTTGACGTAGAGTCAGTTCCTGTTGCTTGTCCCCAGAGCTTCCCTTATCGGCGGGGGGTCTCGGCTCGGCAAAGATTCCATCAGAAGCAATTTAGATCCCGCTCGGATCACCTTCTCATTGAAATTTAAATGCCCTTGACGTTGATGGAGCTCTGTATTATTCACTATCTGGCGAACCACATCCACCAGACCCATCTTTCACAATGAAGGACAGATTCTACGTATGTACTGCTTGCCTGCGCCGCAACTTCTCAACGACGCTATCTCGCCGACACATCTCCTCATCTCCTGCACCACCTCCCCCTTCGAATGCGCAAAAGCTCCAGCTCCGCGACCTATCACCATCCGACCTCTCGTACTACTGGGACACCAGAGTCCCGAACCAAGCTCAGCTTTCCTACGCCGACAAGTTCTTCACCCCGTCGCGACACTCCCCTGTCAAAATATGGTCCGCCAGCAAGTTCCGCACGACTCCTCTCTCGTCGCCGGAACCTGAGGTGGCTTTCCTCGGGCGCTCTAACGTCGGGAAGAGCTCGCTCCTCAACGCCATAATGGGGAAAGAAATATGTTGGACGTCGTCGAAACCGGGACGCACGAGGGAGATGAACGCCTTCGGGATTGGGGGGACGAAAGGCGGCGAGTCGAAAATCGTCCTCCTGGATATGCCGGGGTATGGAAAAGCGAGTAGGGCGGAATGGGGCATTGAGATCCTGAAATATCTCCAGGGGCGACGGCAGTGGGTTTTTTTTTTTTTTTTTTTTTTTTGTTTTTTCAAGATTTGAATATTGTGGGCTGTGATTATCTGATTCTGACCTACTCCCGACTTCCAGACTCCGGCGCGCATTCGTCCTCATCGACAGTCTGCACGGCATCAAGAAGAAAGACAAGGACATCCTCAAGCTCTTCCGGCAGTACGCCATCCCCCATCAAATCATCCTCTCCAAAGTCGACAAGGTCCTCGCAAAGAAGAAAAGCCAAGTCAAGAGCGGCGCATCCGCCGCCAACGTGGCCGCGCTGAGAAGCATGCTCGAGGATCTCAGACCAGTAATCCAGCCAGATGGCCGAGTAGAGGGCCCAGGTGCGCTGGGCGAGATCCTCACCTGCGGTGCAGAGACGCCCACGGGCCCGGGTCAGTTCCTGGGCATCAGTGCCATCCGATGGGCCATTCTCTCCGCTGCTGGGTTCGACGGCGGTGTTGAGGTAAAGCCTGAATCTATCCCTTCTGAATCAACGGAGGCCACTACGTCAGCGGCGCCGCCATGATTGAATACAGAGACCCTGTTTGCTCCGTCGAGGGCTTTTCCTTACTCAGGAAGGCAGGAAGTGCGGACGGCGCTAGTGTCATATATTTGCATATGCGGTTGATACACTGCCTTGAAGTCTGTATGGACCTTACTCCTTACTCGGGGCCTACACAGGTACACAGTACACCCTCTTATTAGGGTACGTCGCAATGGACCCAAGCACCTCATGGAAGACGCCCAATCGAGTAAAATGTTGGGACATCTCCGTGAGTAGCCTGATTGCTAAAGGGCAAACCTCAAAGATGCCCCTTTCATCCAACTGTGTCGTAATAGGACTACAACGAGAGCTAGTAACTGTCGACAAGTGACCTGGGTGTACATTAGGTAGTATCTGACGCTGTCTCGAGAGTTACTACCCATTGATTCTCGGGAAAGCCGATCTTACATGGCATACGGATATATTTCTTCTCATCCGAACGAATTCAGGAGTTCGAAGTGATTTTGCGATAGAGCAATACTCATCATTTACCCATATTGAAATAAACACCTTAATCAAACTTCTATCCTGAACACAATTGAATGATGAAAGATGCCCGTATCATGCATGCAGACACGATTTTTGCAAATGTCTTATACTAGAAGCAAAACATTAAACACTTAGGATACGAGATTTGATCTGGTCCACTCGGATGTGAGCCGAGATCGTAATGCATATAGAACGATGCCGAATATGCCACTAAAGGTTTTTGACATAGACAGAACGAAGTAAATAGAATCGGGTTGAAGCTGATAAATCACCGTTGTCGAATATCAGAACGCCATTTCCGCCAGTGCACAAAAGAAAATGCCGACCACGCTATGCAAAGCCCTCCAGGTAAAGAATAAATCCGTGGGTAAGGGTATCTTGATGTTTCATGGCTCGAAAGGCAGAGGGGAAGGGGATATAACAAAAACAATAAAAAAAAAATGCAAAAGGGAACTATTGGAGGTGGAAGCGACCAAAGTGCCATAGGGGCCATTCCAGCTGGCAAAGCACGGAGAGAACCCAGGAGCGTAATTTGATGGTCTCAGCCATCAGAGAGGTCATAATCTTCGTCAGCATTGTCGCCAATTTCCTGTCCCCATCGGTTGACAACTGTGCGTTGTCCCAACTGATCACCTGGGATTCCGTCACGATACGCACCAAAATCGAGGACCTAAAGACAGTTAGACCGATGAGCCAGCAAGATGAGCTATAACAGGTGGGAAATTACCTCAATGTATGTCAGAGTATCTCGTTGTACCGCAGCAACACATCTTCTATCATCGAATTTTACTTGCCATACCCCGCTTAGATCTGTAAGGAGGTCTCGCACGCATTTGCCGGTTTGAACATCCCACATCTTTAGAGTCCGATCTGATCCAGAGATGACCTTCTGACCATCATGCTGGAAGCAAGTGATCGCACCAGTGTGGGCGCTCAGCTTGCTTTTGCATTGCCCAGTCTCAGGATCCCAGATTCTCAAAGTGCAATCTGCAGCGGCAGAGACTAGACGGTCACACTTCAAGTCGAGCAAACCAACAAGTGAAGAATGACCTTCGAGGTTGTGAATGATCGATCCAGTTTCCAAAGACCACACTTTGACTGTATTATCCATTGAGCCACTGATACAACGGTTCCTCTTATGATCGAGAACAACGCTGTACACTTTCAATGTATGCCCCTGAAGTCTGTGAAGAGTTTCTCCGGTCGATATTTTCCATACTCTTACAGTGCAGTCGTAACTTCCACTAACCAAAGTGTCACCATGCGCGGCGATTGCACGAACAGAATGCTGATGACCAGTGAGGACACGAATGAAATACGGGCAATCAGTGTCGTCAACGTGAGGTCCGCTTTGGTAGTAAACCGGGTCACCTGGTTTTGGGAGTTTCCAAACGCGCAGGTTGGAGTCACGAGAGCCAGTAATGATAATTGGTTCCTTGGGCATCATTTCAGGAGTCCCATCGGCATTTTTGCCGACTTCCACCGGCAAAACGATTTGCAAGCATCTCACGGTAGAGGTATGTCCGTGGAAAATTTGAGTACATCTTGCCCTTTCGATATCCCAGACTCGCACTGATCTATCGGTGGATCCGGACACCAGGGTGTTACCGTAGTACTCCAAAGCCCAAACACCTCCCTCATGACCTTCCAAAGTAGCTTTTAAAGCGCCCGTTTTTGTATCATAGACGTTGATGTTGGTGTCATCACTTCCAGTAAGAACCTTGTCAGTGTCGAACTGAAGACAAGTGACTACGTGGCGGCCATGAGCACGGAAGGCAATGTGCCTCGGTTTAACGCTAGGCTTCATCCAGCCCTTATAGATGGAGTGATGTCGTTGGTAAAGAGATTTGAAGAGATGAAGCGCTCTGAGAGAAGGCAGGCCGATTTCCGGATAAGGAACGGCTACTGCTGCAGCAGTCGCAGCGGCATACGGTCCCTCGGCTGCAGAAATTCCTTTCCTCCAATCTGAGGAGTCGGAGTGATCTGTACCGCTAGAGGAGATCTTCCGTTTCGCAAATTTGCGGCCAGAGACACGTGTAGCCTTTCTTTTCGGTCGGCGGCTCACAGACAATGCTCTGTCACTCGAGGCTGACAGAGAAGGCCCAGCAATGTCATCAGCGCAATCAGGATCAGCTTTCATGGCAGCAGACAAGCTGAGATCCCTTTCCCAGTCTTCCTCCCCGTGTGGAAATTGCCATCCCCAACCCTCTTTGATTGCGCGTTCTAGTTCGCCATCTGGAAGAACATAACCGTCCTTATCGAATAAGTACTTCCAGGTTTTTTCGTCTGAGTTGATGATATGTCTCCATCTTTTAGACACTTGAGCTGCAGAGCACATGGTATGCATGTCAAAATATTTGACAATATTGAGGCTAAGTTCAAGGGGAAGAAGGGCTAGGAAATCGCATTTCAAGGCTGGGTTCACGACATCAGCCACAAAGCGCAACGTTGGCTTCGAACATCTCCTGAGGAATTGATGCATAAGATACGTTTTCAATCCGTCGGGAACGGAATCAAAGAAGTCTAAAACGCTCGGAATATCCATCAAAGAGGCAGTTCGTTGGTTTTCGATATTGCTTGGCGCATTCGCGGATCTGGAACTCGACGACGCATCAGGGTTCGACCTCTCCAAACGCATAGAATCCGAAAGCCGCGCGCTGTTATCCAAACTCGAATCCGTGTCAAGCTCTGGATCTTCGGCCGACTCGAACGAAGAATCCACATTCATGGCGTTCATAGCTGCCACTGGAGACAGGCTAGGACTGGGCAAGCACATATCGTGGGCAACGACACTATCGATGGCGGAATACTGGGAGGCTGATTCTGGGGGCATCTGTTGTGACGACTCCTCTGATTCATCATATCCAAGACCTTGGCTTGCAGCGCTTAACCCTACAACAATATCTTTGTCCGCCGCCGGTGTCTCGGGTTGCGATGCCGATGTTGCAGTGCTTTCTCGCTGGCGACTGAACATCCGATTTCGATCAGAAACGACTGTTCTCGTGCGAGACGGCTCCTTCCCTAGAGCCGACTTCGTGCTCACATCCTGTGGAAGTTGCTGGCTCTCAACTTCGGATGATAGAGGCGATCGCAACAATGTCTCCCTACGAGGTATGGCTGCACTGTGTATTCTTCTCCTGGGTAGCACACTGTCTCCTGGGCTATAAGTGCTAGGTTCGGTCTCTGGAGTAGCTAAACCCGCCGAATACGGCGCGAGGGAACCATATGAGCGAATGTGACGAAATGACGGTTCTGAAGGGATCCTCCCGGGGCGTAATCTGATGGATCCAAGTTGCCCCTCCAGGATTGATACTGGCCGGCGTTTTGAGCTAGACGGGTTGGATGGTTGACTGGATAATCGAGTGGGGGCTAAACGTCGGGGAATTTGGAGATCGTTTGAGGTGGTGTAAGAGGCAACAGACCGCACCAATCCGTTCGAAGCTTTCAACGCGTCATTCGTCTCGTTTACCTAGCGATAGCACATTAGACTCAAGAAATCAAAGGCAAAGAGCAGATAGGAAGTGGACTACGATCACGCCGTATCCAGGTCGAGATAAACGAACGTACCTCCTTGAGAGCTACTCTTGAATCTTCCGGTTCATTGAATACGACTGATTTCCCGCCCAGTTCGAATTTGATGTTTTTGAGCGCTTGAGGAGTTGGAGAGGAGGCCAGGGGATATAGTTTGGGATCGAGGTCTCGTGTCGCCCGCGGTGGTCTGATGATGAGGGGAGGAAAGGTCGTGGTGGTTGTAGTAGTAGTTGTCACCACAGTCGTTCGAGTGGCAGGAGCGAAGGCAAATTGACCAACGGCATCGTTAACCGATCCATGCTCGAGTTCATCGTTCATTTCGAGAGAGTTCATTGTGAGATTTTGTTATTGATGATAGAGAAGGATTTGTTGATGTAAAGGACGTCTTGGTATCAACAGGAGATGGAAAACGCGTCTGTAACCTGATAATGAGCGATCCGATCGAACAACTTTCACAGCCATGAAAGGGAACGAAGTGATCGTTGACTAACCGTAGAGAAGTAAGAAAAAACGAAAGTGTGTCTAGATCAGAGAAACTACCCAGCCCTGAAGTAGAGGAGCCAATGTGGGCGAGGGCACAGTCCTGTTAGCACGACAGGCCTGCAGAAACCAGCAAAGGCCCTGGAAACCTTGAGAACAAGAAGCGAAGGACGTTCTCTCAGAGCATAATAACCAGCATGGCGATAATCACTCAAGAAGGTAGGGGGGTGAAATGAGTAGGAGAGAGGAGATGGAATGGGCAAGGATAAAAAATAGATCGTGGCGTGTCGTGGTGATGAATGCTGACGAGAAGAAGATAGATAGATGTTGGGCGGCGGGCGGAGGATGGTCTACGGAGTAGGGAACTGGACTGGACTGGACGGGGGGGGAGGTGGTTGGTGATCAGTACCGTCCTAAGAAGTTAGTGCCTTCTTTGGCCTTGGTTGTTGGCGTTTTTCCGAGGCTACATAGTAAGGTAAACTAGACAGTGATGGAAGGGGCGTTGATAAGTGATAACGATATGGGTCTGAGTAGTACCACAATCTGGAGAGTGGAAGGGGTAAAAGACTCATGCACAAAGTGCATTAACAAGTACATCAGAAGGGAAGAGGCAAATGTTGTTGCAGTAGTAGTAGAAGAAGAAGAAGGGTATCGAAAATGGCAAAGTGGAAAACTTGATATTATTATGAGGCAAGCAAGGCGAGTTTGCCGTCCTGTACGTTTCTGGTCAAAGATCCGATATTCCATCTTCTGAAGATCCTACCCAGACTTCTATGATTTTCCTTAGGTATGCTCGCATTCATTCAGGCTTTGTACACAGAAACGGACCATTCTGTAGTCTGTATCCATAGTCAAAGAAAGAACCTCCTTGAAGCCTACTACTGCAATACCGGACTCTATAGGTTGTATATCTTTAGTGCACTCATTCCACTGTATGTCTATGCACCAACTCCCATCCTGCATAATAAATCCATATTCACCTACATAGTAAGCAAATAACTCACTACTACTACTACTACTACCTACTTAACCATCTACATATAGACGTCCACAACCCACCATGGCCATGTTTTCTCTGTCCTCGCCACTTGCTGACAGCACGTGATTTACTGAGGCGGTCAACAAGCATTGGCATCTCTTTTGCGGATTGTATGGATGATCTAAAAAATGATTTATGATTTGTATGTAAGAGTACTGCTTGATTCTGAGTGCTCTGAGTACAGTCAACAATAATGTTTTAAAGAAGTCAAAACAGAGCCATGATCACTATCAAAGATCAAACATCTTTAGCAAGAGGCTACAGCATCCGCAAGTACTAATTCTTCAGACCCTCTGAGAGATGTCAGCCCCAAATTAATAATGGAAATCTCGCTTCAAGAATTGCGGGGAAGCAAGTTAGATAAGCCAAGGGATAAGCCAGGCTGTTGCAAACTTACATATCTATCAATTCTGCTTGGAAGATGTTTCGCAAGATAGTACCTATGTTCACTAGAAAATCTATAGATATAACAAAACAGTGTCTCAGACACATATGTAACCCTGACTTGTCTACGTGAGATCTGGAAAGAATCCCCAGAATATCGAGAATAGTAATGCCAAGCACTCATGTCCTTGAACTTTTGAAGTCTTGAACTTGTCTCCCGAGCGGGCCGAGACTTGAATATAGTAGTACTCCCTAGTCTAGTTTCCCCCTCGGCGATCTACAGTTCTGTGTAGATGTCAAAGTGGATAGACTGGGCTTCTATCAGCTATCAATATCTTTCTAGAAAGAAAAGGCGGAGACGAAAGGTGAGGAAATAGAAATGAACTGAGGGATGTTTATCTACTCTATCCTACATCGATAGGTATAAAAGTAGAGGGGAGCTCCGAATATGTATGTGACTGAGCTACTCCGTACATACAATAACTACGAGTGGGGATTCCCGCTCTCGTCTGTACTCTGTACTCTGTACCATACACCTACAACATTCCGGTCGATTACCTTGAGCAATACAACCCACGGCGTTGATGTAAAAATTTCATAGCATCTGTTTGAGTTCTATCATGCTACAAGTCATTCCTTGTGATCAATCTTGCCCTTATAACCTATGTCGCTAGACGCTGGAATGTTGCGTCCATCCATCGTCTGGTACACGTCCCGGGCTACCTTGGCTTCCGGTTCAGGGAAACAGCTGTAAAGTTCTGTGAACATCATACCTCCTTGGCTTTTATCCTCCTCTTTTGTCACACTGACACGTTCCGAAGCCTACCTTCAACCTTGCCCATCTTGTTCACTATTGGTCTTGATCATCACAGAAACCTCAACTGAGACTGCGTCCGCGTCCCCATGTTCCTTTTCTCTCCCCTTACCCAATACACGTGCATGGGCGGGCTTCCGTGATAGCTACCTTAATCCCGAATGGCCCGAATCAAGTTTACTGGGCCAGTGTCAACGGTCCAACTACAACCGGCTCCTATCCTCCAGGATTCTGTGTTGAAGAATGGAATTTCTGTCCGGACTGAGGCACAGACGGAAATTGAAAATATCTCCCGATCGATAATCCAAGAAAACACCTTGTTAAAGCAGCAGCAGAGCCTTGAATTTGTACAGATTATGCTGCATGTATCGGTAAGTCTGGATAATTACCCCTACTTCATTGTCGCAATGGCATTAATCGGACATATTAGCTGGGAACGTTATTCTATCTTCGGTCAGTGCGTCTTCGTTGCATTTATGTGTCACCAGTCGACCTAACATATAACAAAGCGAATTCCTGCCGCTCCCATGCTTTGACGATCGGGATCTGAAGGAAGCTCAGAGGGATAATAATTTGTCATATCGAGAATTCATCAATGGAAAGCAACAGGCTGAAACCTCCGAAGCCCTTGCGCGAGCCCCCTTCGGGACCGGGAGGCGCGGACAGCCATTGAAGATCATCATTCGCGATTCCAATCCCAAAGCAAACACGATTCTGGATGTCCTGGTGCGTTTGCTATGGCGTGGTTCTTGACTAGATCTAATGGATGTAGGAAAATGGCATCTTCGATGCCCTCCGAAAAAATGTCCTGAGCGCCGTTCAATTTACCATTATACTCGATAAAGATGAGCCGGAGAATGTCCTGGAATCTTATACGTTTACCTTCAAATATACGGGAGGTCATGGTGTTGTGAACAGCCGCCTGGAGAGTTTGTCGATAAATCCCGTGGGATGTGTCGCCGATGTGAAGACCGCTCAGACGGCCAGGGTTGGTCTGGAGATGATTGTCAGAAGGTTAATCACGCTCAGTGCATTTCTGCCAACCCTTCCAAGTATGCTCAGCCCACATTGAAGGTTTGATACAAAGCTTACCGTTAGATAGATAAGAGGAATTTAGGTGTCCATCTTTTTTATACTGAGGATTGCCCGCCAGATTACGAGCCTCCTGGGTTTACTGGAGCGTTGAACGACACGATAAAGTACCCACTGACCGAGAATTGGAGAAAGGAAACTCAGTCTTGTGGTTCAATGGATAGCGGATGGCATAGGTTAGTCTTCGTCGCCAAGAACATATTCATCTACTAACTCGAAAAGTGTGGGACTCAAAGTGACGTCTCTCAAGTGGGTTGGACCTGATCCAGAGGGATCAGAAGCTGTACCCAAGGTACCAACGGATCTCGAATATCGAGATGTAGTACAGCGATCTGAGGATATTGGGCTTGCCGATGGAGGTAGCCTAGAAGGCAGTCAAATCCATGAATCTGGTAACCATAAGCTCAAAACACATGGAACAGAACTGAAACTAATCACTTCGCAGTGAATCCGGCCGGGGAACCTCCTCAGGAAGCAACTCAAGACGTCACTGAAAGGAATCGCTTGCAAACGATGATCCCTGTGAGATTTGGCAACCAATGTAGATATTGATAAGACAGATGCTGATAGATGCTGATCATGATAGACCCAAGGGACACCTTCTTACATGGACAGCCAGCTCGTACCGACTCAACCAATAAACCCCAGCGTCGCAGTAGACCATGATAGCAGCAATATTGTGAACTCGGACCACAAATTTGAGCTGTCAGAACAAAAGATCTCGGAAATTCAAGAGCACCTTAAGTCACGAAATGGGTCCCCTGGTAAAAATCAAGAACGGACTATCCGGTGTCAATGTGGCTGGGATAGTGAAGAATCTGCAATGGTAAGATTCCGATTGTTGCCCAAGGATCGTTTACTAAGATGAATAGCTCGAGTGTGCTTTCTGTCATATGCGCCAGCACGTCGCATGCTATGGATTCGATGGCCCCAATGATCCAAGGATTCCGGATATTCATGCCTGCTACCAGTGTCTACTCGAGCCCAAGGAGATACAGCTACTCTGCGAAATGAACAGCCTGGTACTCCTGAGAAGAGCTCTGAAGATAATCATAGAAGAGGGCTACCCAAGTCGAACATCATTATTTACCCAGAAGCTTCGTAAGTCTAGCGAGAAAATTGCCTATGAGAGCACGATTGACGCCGAGTAGACTGCAATGGACAGACAGTCATTCAGATAACCGACATCTTGAAAAAGCAAAATATCTTGCAGCCCACGCCTGGTTACAAACAAAAAGGGTTTCTTCGACGAGGTTTGCCAAAGTTCAACATACCATCTTCAGACCAGATTCAGCTGAAGATCAAGAACGAAATTTTCAATCCCATGACCAAGATTGGACATCATGTAAGGGTTCTATATCGTGTTATAGAGGCGTGACTAAGCCATTCTAGTATAACCAAAAGGTGTCCGGAGATTCGCAAGAAACGCGCCAATCGATCAAGAGCACCGAGCTTGCACGCGGTAACGAGTCGAACTTCTATGACAAGGAGATGTCTACTGATGCGGATAAAATAAATGCACAAGTATCTGCAGAGCTAGCTAATCCTCTTGCTGAATCACTGGAAGCAAAGAATGATCTCAAGAGAAAGCAGGCGCCTGAGGCCAACGACGATGCCTACGACTCTGATGATCTGGACAGGAGCGATACCAGATCATCTGCACAGAGAAACACCTTCCCTACCCAATCTAGCGAGGCGCATGAGCTTGTAACCACCAACGACATCTCCATAACGTCTCAGACTCAGGTCCCGCATAGCCCGCCGGAAAGCGAAGGCACACTCCGACGCAGTGGCAGGAAAAGACGGAAGATTAGCAACTATACACGCCTCCTTGACATTGGTGCTGCCACGAGTGAGGATGAGCCAATGCGCTGACCGAGAGCGCTTACGGCCGACCCTCGCGATGCTGCGCACTATATCCATGACTGGTGAAGAGAAATCCCAACAAAAAAAAAGCTCATGTGCCATGAGCTATTTTGACGAGCAAAGTGTCCCTGGCGACCGGGATGCGCAGATGTCTTCGCTGCTCTCAGTGTGAACAAGGGGATAAAGGCAATAGGATGAAGCAGAAGTTCTAACATGTCGGAGTATCAACCTCGAGGCTAAGGGGAGGTTAGAATCAGCCCACTTCCAAAAGATTAAATGTTTCATGATCGAGTCTCGCAGATGTACTAGTATCAATACCTAAAATCAATCTATTCAGAAATTCAGCATAAAAAACAAAAGTTGGATCGTAATCGTGCCTGGCACAGTAGCAAGCTCGAGAAACCGGGGTTTGATGCTCGAGCCCCGGGAGAAACGCTACTATCCAAGTTTGACTTCACGATGCATCATCTGCAGGTCTGAAGCATGGCCGGGGAATGAGCTAGCTCCTACCACTGCGTAGACCTAGTCTGTCGAGTCGTAGGCGACTGACCCTCCGCTCTGTTCAAAGGTGGAACACATGGCTGTAGTGAATTGTCTGCACTGCATCGCGTTTCTGCCCGAGTCGCAAAGCACGTACATGCAATCACGAATTGTCCGGAGCTGCCTCGGCCGGGTTTTGCAGACAGCCGATCGCGAACGTGAACGTGTGCATCGCAGGTACCTTGACACGAGACATGGATAGGGGATAAAATGGGATTATGGGGTTGGGGCTTGGGCCTGAGACTGGACTCTCAGCTCTCTTGTTGTTGGATCCAGGGCCCTGGTCCTAAACTCGGAAATTGGAATAAGCGAGTGGATTGAAGCTTGTTGAGTGATGAGTCAGATAACAGGGTAGAGAAAATGGAATATGGATTGCTTCGTGTTCCTTCATCCCGAGAACGTTGGGCTGGGAATTAGATAGTTACTGCCAGTTCAGAGCAAAGGCATCCGGACTCCGAAGCTCTAGAGTCCAGACTCTGGAAAGCCGATTCTCGACGCAAATGTGATAGATCGCGTTTGCGGGGAAAGCTTCCTAGCCGATGAATGAGATATATACAAAAATGTCCGGGTGAATGGTTAGTCGCTGGCTGACGGTGAGTTTGAGATGTCCCTTGCTTCGCCATAGAATTTACCATCAGTTGAGGCTGCAGGTTGCATGCTGTGCATACTACTAGTCTACTGCAGTCTGCCAGTTAGCACTGACGGGCAGAGTGGTCTAAGTGAAACATGGAATTTGTCATGGTCCAGATCACTCACTGGATTCCCTATTTTTATCGAAGTGGCTGTGACAGCCGGCAGGGCCATGACTGCTCAGACACTCAGTATCCACTCGGAATCTTTTGTGCAGACTGCAGACTCCTTATGCCACTAATAATGGAGTATGTCGGCCATCGGGGTCTCGGAGAGCAGAAAAAATAGCTGCTATCGAGCATAGTGACCGACACCTGTACCTGGTCCAATATCGTCGTTGATATGAGGTTTTGAATGAGTTGTTTACCCCTATCAATTGGATTCGGACAGGATGGTTGAGCTTTCATTCCTCTTCGGGATAAGCACACAGAGGATGATACTCCGTGGTCCGAGGAATTCCCGGAATTATCGAAGACAATTCCCATTGTGTTGGGCCTACTTGGCATGAACGTGGTCAGTGAGACACGATGATCATACTGATCACGGGAGATCCCTAATTGCGCACACATATTGCCTCTTGGAGGAATCGGCCATAGCAATGTTCTCGAGTCTTGACTATCCCAAGAAGTCTTGCAATAGGTCTGTGGGCTGTTGATGGTGATCTGCAAGACTACAATGTCCTATATCTCATGTAGGCAAGTGCACATAGTAGATTTGGTACGTGGAGTCCTGATGTTCTACTGGATTTGTAGGAAAGTATCTCCAAAGGAGTAATGGCTAGCATCATTGTCGAATCATGACCATCTTATCCTCTGACTATTGAATGACAAGCCTGTCATCCCTAGCCCACATATAATACCAGACAGTAATCATTGCTTGGTGGGGTGACGGGCAGTGATGGCTCTGTTCTCATTTGCTCGATCAGGAAGTTCTGGGACGGCTAAGGGGCTGAGAAGCCTGAGATAGGCTGAGAATGCTGGAGTCTGGAGGGCTAAAGGACTAATGAAGCAGATAGCCGGATAACCAGTTCATCATGATTCCATCATTGTTTTAGGCTCATCGATCGAATTTGCGCCAGAGCTAGTTAGTGGAAGAGGAATCCCAAGAAGCCTACTATGTAGAAGGTGGATATTTGCCCCTTTATGCCTGATTGAGTGAGCGTCCTGTACCTCAGTCATGGGTCCCTTGTGTAATAATGGCTAGTACCTTGCATGATGTGTGATTGTTGTCATCTCAATTGAATTGGAAGGCTCTGGTTCTTCAAAGAAGAGTTCCATATCCTGATATACATGTAGAACGCAGAATGTTGCGTGTAGAATCATCTCAGTAAGCATAGTAGTAGCATGGGAGATTCATTGTTTTGTTGGACTAGAGTCTCGTGTATGGAAAGCACGTGTTGAACCAACCTTGTGGGAGGCTGTGAAAATAAAATAAAATACACGATTCAACTTGAATCCTGAGAGTTAACACTTCCATTAACTCCTTACTCGACAAGGATCATCACAAATCTATTTCAGACTATTGATTCTTCTAAAAATTCTCCTGGATATTGGAGAAGCACTAGAGCGAAAAATGAAGAGACAATAATGTCAAAAGTCCATCTGCATCAAGAATAATGAGAACAATGGAAGATGGAAACAATGTGCTCTTGATGAAACAAAGAGTCAACTTGCTTACTTCGCTCCAGCCAGATTGTCGTTGTAACAATAAGGTATGGAGTCATGAACCCCCTGAAGACTCAACAGCGAGCCAATCTCATCTTTCCAAGCTGAACATTATCGCACTAACCCAACAGTCTATATCGCTTGTGGATTTGTGGCACAATGGCTGTCCGGTGTCCACTACTCCCTATGGGCTAACTACTTAGGAACCTACGGAGTAGTGCATTGTTGCAATTTCATCAAATCGTGGAGTCTGTCAGGGCATCACCATGTGCCTGTTCACTGTTGATGATTTCCTTTCTAGTGAAAAACTGGGTTGGCGCTATCTCTCAGCCCGGCTTCATGAATCTCAACCTGCAGAGTGCGCAGAGTCTGCGCCGCAGACAGGCCGTGTCTGAGACTCCAACAATCGTATGGATACTCGAATGGATCGGTTAGTCTATTATCATATTCGGACGCTTGGGCGGTGTTGTTCACCATCAACCTTGTCGCTCCACAGCCCACACCCACTTCCACATTCTGGCGAATTAAACTTCGTACGACACTTTTTGCGGAGCTTCTTGGAACTCCTTTCTCTATTGAACATCGGTAGTGAGTTGGCCAATGCGAGGTTTTTAGGATGTTGGAGCCGGAGGACAGGCAACCTTTTTCCTCATTCACCCCTAAGTCAACAGATCATTGAATACTCCCGCTCTTCATCTCCAGATTTGTGAAATAGGAAACTAATGGTGCCTATCAATTGCTAGATTTGCGTCGACCACGACTTTATGTCTTGGTCAAAGTCCCTGTCCACCTGCCCTCGGATGTTATAGAAGAGCATTCCAGCGACCACATCAACTACGTGCATTGCTGTTACACATCTGAAGTCTTCCCCGCCGAAGCTCTCTCACAACTAGCATTCGGAGCCTGTGCTTCCTTCATTAATATTCAAAGATTCGTTCCTATCTGCCTACTGAGAACCCGAGTACCCCGTACGAGGCTGGCGGACTGAATTCAATAGAACAACGTCATTTGGCCGTCGTCAGAAGTACATCCGGGTCAAACAGCTTTACACACAAGCATCCGCAATTGCGATTTGGATGCACTGGAGCTTTGTCATCTCTGTCTTTGCTACCAGACCAAGATAAGCCTCACAGGGTTTCCAACAACCGAACTTGCATCATGTCGCAGCCGCCATTGACAATACCGATGAGAACATCAAGTGCCCATGCTCAGACTAGCCACCCGCGAATGGGCAACCGCAGTCAAGAGGACCTGAGGAGATGCGAGAAACAATCGAAAGCTCACAAGATCTTGGGGACCACTCAAATACCTCTTCAAAACGGTCAGAGCAACCGAGGTGGACGAACTAGTTTCATGGGAACCCCCGATATAAAATCGACGAAAAGCAGCACTTTTGTTCCTTTTCCAACAGCAAATTCGGAAACAAGTAGTGTACCATCCCAGCACCTCCGCGTCAGAGCGTCATCTCCACTTCTGGGACATGACTATCAGTCTCAGCAGGCTGAACCTCGGCCAAGGTCTTCCAAAAAGATTCATCAGTTTGGCTCGTCCTCGGCTCTATTCTCATATTTCAGCATGAAAGGACCTGCGGTTGAGCAGGATCTGCTGAACACAGGCTCCAGAGGTAGGCCGGAAGAAGAAGGCACTATCCCTAGCCAGAGACACAATCCAGGTCAATCGAGATTGAATCTAAAGCCAATAAAAGGCCCGTCAAAGGAGTCAAAGCGCAAAATGCGTCCGCCACGAATTGATCTTTCCCTGCTGTTTCCTAAACCACGCGAGACGGCGGCACCTCTTTTGTCCCCGCAGCGCATGATGAGCTCGCCCTCTCCGATCTCAGCGACTTCTGAATACGCTTCTGCCGAACCGAAGAGAGCGGATCCTTCCACCGCTGGGAAGAGACTTACAAAAACACCACCTTCACAACATCCTGCCCATCACTTGAATACACTTCCGGAGACTAACCGCACAAACGAAGTCGCCCCGTCTCGTGAGACAAAAAATCTGGATTACCTGGACACATCCTTCGAACGGACCGTGCGAACCAGCGAGTTCGACCTAGCTATCGATAGGTATTATGACGTCAAGAGCTTGAAATCAACCACATCAGCACAGTCTGGACCTTCGGCCGTGCAACCACAAAGCCGAGCACACGTGCGGACGTATGACCTCAAATCTGCAGAGGATGCATTACGAAAGATGTCGTTAGCTGGGTCCGTTGGAGGCTGGAGCAACGATACATATCTGTCCCCAAAGACTTGCGCTCAACCAAAGTCCAAGCGAATTCCGAATTCGCCGAATTCGGGCAAGATCGACTTCCGTCGAGGCTCAAATAGTGACAAAGGTCTGATGTCGAAGAAAAGCAGCAAGAGCACTCTGAAGAACGTGGACCTGAACAATTCAAGCGTGCTGTGTCTATCTTCATCGGAAGATGAAATTGACGAAGACAGGCTAGCAAGCAATCACCGAAGCGAAAAGGGCAACCACGGAGCAAGAGATAGTGTCGTCACGTTTGGAGAATCGGACGCGGAGATTTGCACGGCTGCGGCAGCGCAAGCCACACGAGGTCCAGCGCTGCGGCGAGTGGATAAATCGACCTCTGCCAAACACCGTAGCTCCCAAGCTCTCCAGAAGAAGTCTTCTCATCGCCGGAATCCTTCGCAATCTTCCGCCGGCATATCATCCTCAGCGACCAGGGAAAGCCGATCCCGTCGATCAAGTGGTATACCGACGATCTCCGAGCCTGATAATGACCACATCTTCGCTCAACTCCGAAATGCTCCTGTCTCCCGAAAGGAACGGGATAGGAGAAGTAGGGTGATGGCCGTGACCCGGCAGGAAGAACACCTTCTCGAGGCGATGAGACAGCGGCAAGGCAAAATTACGCCCAGCATATTCCGGGAGGTACAATATGGCGGGGGCCATGAACCGGACCGGGGATCAATGCTTTCCGTCCCCTCCCGCGACTCTTTTTATGGCTCAGATACATCATTTCTGCGTTTAAGTCCTCAAATACCACCGTATTTATCACGGACAAATCAAGGTGCACTTTACCATGACAAGGACGGTGCTATTTCGCAGGGTGCGGCTTCTGATGCTGAACAGAAAACCATCAACTCAAGCCGTCTCAGCCTGGCATATTCTGAGAGCCTTCCGTCACCCGTCACCAGTGGCGCGTCTCCCTTGACGCCGACGCTACCTATACACCGGTTTCCCTCCCTTCCGTCCCCAAAGCCGCCTCCGCGCCGTCCTCCTCCGGTGCCTCAGCCGCAGAAGCGACATTCGCGCCGACGTACAGACAGCAGCGAGGCGATTGTTCTGGACGGTGGTGAAGAGCCGCCAGAGGGCGAGGAGTTTCCAGCCTGGGCGCTGGGATGGAAGTATGATGGAGGCAGTTTGACAGCTGTGCATTAGTGGGCCATAATGCCATCCTTCCCGCGGCTCTCCCTTGCATCCTCTACTCTCACATTCTTTTTGTCTGATATTCACCCACATATTGACATTCCCTCATTTCTCTTTCCTATTTTGTCTTCCGCATTGTCTGTCTTGCTTGCATTACCGACCCAGCTTCGTCCTCGCCACTATTTTGACCTACGTCTTATCCATACCACCATGCCTCGACATCTCTCTCCTTTTGAATCTGCAAAGATTCTCCAGCCCTGCAAAACATACCCTTTTTTCTTTTCTTTTCTTTTTTTAATGTAATAGATAGAGACCTGCTATGAAGAATACCACGTTGATGTCAAACTAGCATAATGATTCCATGAGAGAAGTGCGTGAAATTGATTCTTTTGTTTACTCCAGAGAAGTGGGGGGAAACTGGATGCATGGCATGCGAGTCTGCGACAGGCGACACCAGCTTCGACCTCTGCGCTGATTGATGAAGTTGTTTTTTTTTCCAACCCTGGTTAGCACACTTCAGAGAGAAGGTATCCAAGATACTTTGTAGTAGTACTCTGTAACACAATGCTTCCCTGCATCTCATCGTGGTTTGTTGCTCAAGAGAATCATGTCACTGCATCCACATTTCCGGCTGTGTCCCTGCTAGGGTGATGTGGCTTGCCAACCTGCAGTGACCATCTTCAGACTTTCCAGACCACCACTCTTAGCTCGTTTTCCCTAACTACCAGCCCTCTGAACAATTCTTATGGAGTATCTATCTAGTCTAGTTAGGCTGGAGATTTAGCTTCGAGCTTTAACTACTAGCCTGAGACAAAAAGACGACGGGATTGACCAACAAGTAACAACAACACCCACCAGAAAAAGGGGGATCGTGAGATGCAACTGGACCCTGACGTCAGAGACCGTCGATCGTGCGAATTCATGCTGCTGGGGGGGGGGAGGGAACTTCCAAAGGGTCAAAGATCAGCTTCAAGCTTGTCGACAAGTGTTCCATGGGACTCAAGAGGGGAGAGTCCAGTTCAACCAACTAGTTTACTCCGTAGATGATCACAGAATCACCGGGTCTTCTTCGTGTTGGTGTTTTTTTTGTTTTGTTTTGTGGTTCGACCGCTGATTGTGACTGGCGGACCAGCGAAGAGAAGAACACTACTCTGTAAGTAGATAGACAGTACTACTACTACTAAGGTAGGAGGTGGATACGGAGACGCAAGATTCAAGAATCAAGAGTCAAGACTTACCTAACTAACTAACTGTCTTAACTCTTAAGAGAGCAATGTCGTAACTTGTCAGTCTACTATCTATGTATTGCTATTATTTGCTAATCGTATGAAGAGTTAGAGACTGAACCCCCCCCCAGAGGCCAAGAGGCCCAGAGCCCCAGAGCCCCGACAGCCAGCCCCGTATTCTTGGAGTTGGAAGGCATTTGGGCAGATGATCGCTTGTTTGGCCCGCTGTTCTTCACAGTTACCTGGCTTAACTACCTGACCATTACCTTGACCAGATACCTATTCTTCTTACGTCGTTGTGCTTTTCATCCTAACGATCATCTATCTCTTCTTCTTCTTCTTCTTCTTCTTCTTCTTCTTCTTCATCCTCCTCCTCCTTCTTCTCCTCCTCTTTCTATCTTCATTCCAACTATAAACCTGTCCTCCAGTGGCTTTCTTCCTTTCCCACACCAACGCCGCCGCTTTTACTCCCGGCTGTAGTTTGCTGGCGGACTGCAAAGCCAAGTGTGAAGATTTCCCCTCTCCTGTGATCTCGGCACGCGCACATTCTGCTCAACGATCCTCGGCCATTGCAGAATAATACGAGCATCCCTTCCGAGGAACAGACATTTAGACCACCATCTTCTTACATTTCTCTGTGGGTGGATTGGCTCTTGTTTTCCATCGGTCCAGCACCAACAATCACATACTGCCACAATGGGGGAACACGCTCGGGGACAGTCCTCAGGACTGGGAGGGATCTTGAAACGTTCCTCCTGGGTTTTGGTTAGTTGTTCCAGCACCGCCGTCTTACGATTGTGTATCTCGAAATCAATAACACAGAACATCTGGACGCGCTGCTGACCGTCGTTTTCCATTTGTAGCTGACGGCCCAGTATACGGCCTTCGTCTCGGTAAGTTTGTCTTCTGATGCGGAGTGGAAAAGCGAGGCGACAAGGATGTTGACTGATATTGTTTTTTTTTTTTTCTTGTCTCAAATAAATAGCTCCTACATTATTCCAGAGTGATGACCCCTACCGGTGGTAAACGATATCTCACCTCCACCGCTGTCTTCCTCAATGAAGTCGCCAAGCTCGCGATTTCCCTCACCATAGCGCTGTACGAAGTCTCCAGATCGGCGCCCCCGTCGATGCCTGCGACCTCTCTTCTCTTCTCGCTGTCCAGCGCCGTGTTTTCTGGCGATAGTTGGAAACTTGCGATCCCCGCTAGTCTATACACGCTTGCCAACTCATTGCAGTATATCGCCTTGTCGAACATGCAGCCGGCGACCTTCCAGGTTACATATCAGCTGAAGCTTCTTGTTACCTCGGCTTTTGGCCTGATGCTCTTGCGCCGCACCCTGCCGTTGCGCAAGTGGGCGTTCCTGATGCTACTTGCGGTGGGCGTGTACCTGGTGCAGATGCCAGATGGAACTTCTGACGAGATTATGCTTGAACATGAGGCGGTGCATCATTCCTTTCCCCGCTCGTTTGAGGAATGGAAAGCCGTCACAGGGAAGCGTGGCAATCTGCATAAGCGATCGGCGACATACGAGGGAATTGAAGAGGACCTACTGACCGCGTTGCCGCGGTTGAATAGCACTATTGGCCTTCTGGCCACGATTGGGGCCTGCCTTGCGTCGGGTCTTGCTGGGGTGTACTTTGAGAAAGTACTGAGAGACAGTGCCAAGACGACATCTCTCTGGGTTCGCAACGTGCAATTGTCCGTTTACTCATTGTTTCCGGCCCTGTTTATTGGTGTCGTGTTTCTGGACGGCGAGAAGGTCGCTGCGAATGGCTTCTTCGAGGGATACAATTGGGCTGTTTGGTCCACGATCCTTCTTCAGGCCATTGGAGGCCTCGCAACCTCGTTCTGCATCAATTTTGCATACAAAGACGCAAGGAACGTTGCTACTGCTACAAGCATCGTTCTCAGCACCTTTGGAAGTATCTGGTTCTTTGGATTCGAACTCACTGGCAACGTACGTAAAACATCTGACAAAGAACCTATGGTGGGAAGATGCTGACCGATTCTTCAGTTCATTTTTGGAACCTTCGCGGTCATCGTGGCTACCTATTTGTTTGAGGATTTTAGTCTGGAGTCCAACCAGACTAAACCCCATGGCTTCCGCCCACCGCCGATTCGAGTCGAACGCTTTGAGAAGGACGCAAAGAGTGATGAGCCGTCGCCCGTCAATGCTTCTCCGAATGAATTCTCCATCAAGCTTCCAAGCACCCCCTTCCTGTCCCAAGTTGGGTTGTCCACATCGCGGCCTACGTCTCCAGGCGTCGCCAGACTCGGTGCTACTCGTACGGCCGGTGGCGGTTATTTTGACAAATAGTTCGGGGCCGAATGAATATGCCAGCTTTGAAACAGACCTCGCATTGGTCCTGTCAATATCCAACTCTGCGCCGCTGTGGACGGTGAGTAGTAAATACAATGTGCCCTGAACCCGCCCGTGTCATTGGTTTTCTTTTGGAAGAAAGCGCAGCAACTTCTTGTACTTTATACCTTTTATGATATTCGCCTGGTTCTGCTTGATCCAGCGCCATGTCTGTTATACCTTGATATAGCTTCGAGTCATGGGAAATGTCCTGATGTGTACGAGTGTTTACGGTTGAATGAATAGATATGAACGAAATTGACCGTCAAAGCCCTCCCCCTTGAGAATAACCATAGTCCTTCTCCATTTAGAGTCAACCGGGAGTCTGCGATTTGTTCTAGATTGGGTTCTTCACGTGCCTCCTCGCCTGGGGCATCGATGCTGACTGAATGAGGACTCCCCCTTCGCCTTGCAACTTGGAAGACCGTTGCATACATTGATCCCCGTATGCTCCGGTATCTCAGAAAAGTCGAATACTGATTGTCTTGCCAGCTGAGCAAGATGAGACGCAAACCTCATCACCCCATCCCGATGTCCCACCATACGGCCTCTGCTAAACGTTCCTTAGGTCCTCATGGATCTTCAAGCACATTGCCCACTCCAAAAGCCGTCATTGACCAGAGACTCATCGAAGGAGCTCAGATCCCCCATCATCGGCGCATGCCTCAAGAAAACGAGCTTGGAACCGTCGGCCCCGAGAGCCAACCGGAGTTGCCCTCGCGAGCCGACGACCTCCAGCTGGATGCGTTCGGTAAGTTTGTCCATCTGCTCACGGGAGTGTCACGGCGAAGCTGAAAGCGATATCCAAGATCTCGAACTGCTTGCCCATTCGGATGGCAACTATCATACTGTGGCGAGGCAATTGACTACCGTGGCTTACCCGTCGAATTCAAGAGAGGAGGCACCGAGGCAGGTCTCGCGTTTCTTTCAGAGTAGGTCTACTCATATGCTGTCTTTTGATGCTCGTACGAAACTAAGCGGCTATAGCTGTTTCCCACGTCACGCCAAATCGGGGCCTGGGATCAAGCTCTTCGGATCTTGGTCTGAGATCGCCTTCCAGCCCGCTCAGCAGGTTACACGCTGCGAAGACAAATGCACCGCTTCGGGGGCAGCATTGCCAAGCTGAAAAGCCTCAGATACAAGACGAGGAATTGCCGTTCCATGATAGCTCTACGGTATCGTTAGGCTCAGATCGCGCACAGAGGAGTCCCTTCCAGAATATCCCCATGTCCATTAGGGGCATAGTGCTCGTTTCTGTTCACGAGCTCCCTGATAGTTACCGGTCCATCTTCCATTTCCCAGTCTTCAACGCTGTTCAATCCAAATGCTTTCAGCATGTCTACAAGACCGATGACAACATCGTGCTTGCTGCACCTACAGGAAGTGGCAAGACGGTCATCATGGAGTTGGCGATATGCCGCCTGCTCAGTACGTTGAAGGACGAGCGCTTCAAAGTCGTCTACCAGGCCCCCACCAAGTCTCTCTGCTCCGAGCGATTCCGGGATTGGAACAGGAAGTTCATGTCGCTGGGCCTTCAGTGTGCGGAGCTGACAGGGGACACCGATTACACGCAGCTCAGGAGTGTACAGAACAGCCAGATAATAGTCACGACGCCCGAGAAGTGGGATAGCATGACGCGCAAGTGGAAAGACCACGCGCGCTTGATGCAGTTGGTGAAGTTGTTCCTGATCGACGAGGTCCATATTCTCAAGGAGGGCCGTGGAGCGACTTTGGAAGCGGTCGTGTCGAGAATGAAGACATTCGGGTCGAATGTGCGTTTCGTTGCGTTGAGTGCCACCGTCCCCAACTCGGAAGACATTGCGACCTGGCTGGGGAAGGATGCTACTAATCAACATGTACCGGCACATCGAGAGCACTTCGGCGAGGAGTTTCGTCCAGTCAAGCTCCAGAAGTTTGTATACGGGTATCAGTCGCACAGCAATGACTTTGCTTTTGACAAACTGTGCAGCTCGAAGTAAGCGAGAATAACCCTTCCTTCCTTCCATGGTCTCTACTAAAAGACTTGTCAACAGGCTCCCCGATGTCCTAGGTACACATTCATGCAGGAAGCCGATCATGATATTCTGCTGCACTCGGAATTCGTGCGTCGCTACTGCAAAGGAGCTCGCTCGGCTATGGTCAATGACCAATCCTCCAGCAAGGTTGTGGAAAGGTTCTGGAAGACGTCTAGAAGCCCACAATGCAGACCTCAGAGGTACGTCCCTTCCCCGTTCTGCAGCACGATCCAAATGCTCATCTATCGCACTAGCTACATTGGTGGCAGGAGTTGCATTTCACCATGCTGGCCTTGACTCTGCAGATCGCTATGCAGTTGAGACAGGCTACTTGCAGGGACATATCAACGTCATTTGCTGCACCTCCACCCTAGCTGTGGGTGTCAATCTTCCGTGCCATCTAGTGATTGTCAAAGGCACAGCTGGATGGCAGGACGGGGGGTGCAAAGAGTACTCTGATCTTGAGATAATGCAGATGCTCGGGCGAGCTGGTCGGCCCCAGTTCGACGATAGCGCCATTGCAGTGATTATGACAAGAAAGGAGCGGGTGCAACACTATGAGAAACTCGCCTCCGGATCTGAAACTCTCGAGAGCTGCTTGCATCTCAACTTGATCGACCACCTGAATGCTGAGATCGGTCTAGGTAATGTGGCGGATGTCGACTCCGCTGTCAGATGGCTTGCTGGTACTTTTCTATTCGTGAGGCTGAGGAGAAACCCAAAGCATTACCAGTTGAAAGAAGGGGCCACGAAAGATGACGAGGATGAAATGCTTCGGCAGATCTGCGAGAAAGACATCAGACTCCTGCAGGAAACAGGGCTGGTAGCCTCTGATTGTCTCAAATCCACGTCCTTCGGGGACGCCATGGCGCGGTACTATGTACGGTTCGAGACTATGAAGACTCTTTTGGCATTGGAGCCACATGCTACTGTCTCTCAAGTGGTAAGATATATTGAATCTTCCCTTACCACGAGGTTGCTAATGCCGGGATCCAGCTCTTTGCAATCGCCGAGGCAGAGGAATTCCGTGAGATACGCCTGAAGGCGGGTGAGAAGTCGTTGTACAAGGAACTCAACCGCGCCAATGGCATCCGGTTCGCAGTCAAAGTCGACATAGCACTCCCAGCTCACAAAATCCTCCTGCTTATTCAATCTGAGCTGGGCGCAGTCGAGTATCCAGATGGCGATCAATACCAGAAACACAAATTTGCTTTCCAGCAGGACAAAGCCATCGTGTTTTCCCACATTAACAGGCTTATTCGGTGCGTGATAGACTGTCAGATTTCCCGCGAGGACTCCATTGCCACTCGGAATGCCCTAGAGCTCGCCAGGAGCTTCGGGGCCAAGGTCTGGGATACATCGCCTCTGCAGATGAAACAGATTGATCAGATTGGTATTGTCGCAGTTAGAAAGCTTGCGGCAGCCGGGGTCACCAGCATCGATGCACTTGAAGACACGGAGCCTCATCGGATTGATATGATACTCAGCAGGAATCCCCCCTTTGGAATGAAAATATTGGGCCGAGTGGCAGAGTTTCCCAAATTAAGGGTGAGCGTCAAACTGATAGGAAAGGTGAGCGTTCTCTACTTTTGTCCAAGGACACCTTGTTTATCACATGCAGGACATCAAGCCTGGGAAGCATGTAAAAGTACGCTTCAAAGCTGAAATCGCCTTTATAAACGAGAAGACCCCGACTTTCTACCAGCGGCGGCCTGTATATGTTTGCTTCCTAGCAGAGATCTCCGATGGCCGCTTGATCGATTTCCGGCGTATCAGGTGTGTATGGTATTGCCTGATATCTTAGTACAAAATTGACCATCGCGTAGCGCAAACAAGCTCAAACAGGGTCAAGAGATACTCCTGAATGCAGAGTTGAAGAGTCCGGGGCACTGCATAACATGCTATGTAATGTGCGATGATATCGGTGCGTGATACTCCTGCCCCTGCTGTGTACTAGGCTGATGATCAGTAGCTGGAACTTTGAGATATGCGGAGATCAAGCCGGAACTTGCAAATGTCTTGTTCCCCTACAGGCCTTGTGAGAGGGCCGAGCAGAACCCCCAGACGACCAAGCCCACGGAGCAAAGGAGGGATGATATCGACAATGACGATTGGTTGTTTGACGACTTCCTCGAAGCAGGTAAGTCCGTCTTCGTCTAAGCTGAAACATGGCCGAATTAAAATGAGCAGAGAAGGACAGCCGGTCCAGCCCTGAGAGAATAGTCAAGTCAGTCTGCAACGGCACCGAAGAAAAGAGCGCGAAAGAGATCAGGGCAGCAAACCCACTCACGGAAGCTGAGAAAGAGCCAGCTCGTCTAGAAAATGGCCGATGGGCGTGCAACCATAGGTGCAAGGATAAGACGACGTAGGTGTCGATTTTTTGCCACATGGGCACTGAAACTGGGCGCTGAACCATATCCAGATGCAAGCATCTCTGCTGCCGCGAGGGCTTGGAGAAACCGCACAAAGCAACCCGAAAGCAATCACATACCGGCAATCAGTCCAACAGTGGACTCAATCAACTGACGCTGTCGGCGAGCATGCCCAAGAAAGACCATACCAAGGCTCCAACGACGGAGACCTCCGCTCCCACAAGCGACACAACGAAGAGCAAGCTCTTCTCCCCTCTACCGCAACAAGACCAACAACACTCAGACATCACAGATCTTGGAGACACCATCAACGAGAACTTCTCCACTTCACTTTCCAAGCGTCAAACCTCTTCGAGCGACTATGGGGACGATAGTTTCGATGACCTCCCCTCCCCTTCAGCTTTGTTACTCGGCCTCCCCATGAAAATACCAGTACAGGGGAACAAGGACGCCACCAGAAAGTCTGCGGATTTTGTCAAAACCATTGAGACAGACGACCCCTGGACTGAGATGGATGAGCCATTCACATACAACGCCCAGCCTTCACCCATTGAAACCCCGGGACAAGCCGACGACCAGACGAGCAAAGCGGCCACGAGTCCTCTGAAAGCACCAGAACAGACCCCTACACCGTCGAGTGAATTCAAAGTAGGTCAGGAGCTTGATCTGGCTGGCTTTGAAAGCTCTCCAGTTTTGGTTCTCGATGTCGACGAACATGTACTCGATACATCGGGACAACGTGGGCAGAAAAGGTGCATGTCCTGGGGATGTGAAGACGAAGACGAATCTACGGATGCCAGAACGGCGAAAAGGAATAGGCTAAGCAAGAGCTGTAAGGACGATGGAGTTACTACTAAGTTGAGGGAAAGTGCCCACGAGCCTACAACGCTGCCTGAGGGTCCAAGGGACTGGGATGGCATTGACCCTGCTCTGCTACACGAATTCAAAGACATTGTCGACTTCTTCTAGGATGGTACGCCTAGACCATAATCAGGTCTAAGGGAGAAAGAGAGAACATACTTGATACTTTCATGGAATTTACTTTGTGTGGTTTCTGTTTGCTCTTTTTGTCGAGGGCATGTCAAAAGGGTTGTAAGAGTGACTCGCATGCTTGTATACCATAATCAAGACCGCGGTGAATATCCCATCTCTTTATACAGATCTCTTTTAACAAAGAAAATCAAAGGGCTTTTGAGCTCCATGTCCGCTTTTGTCCGTCGTAGACCTTGACATCCTTGCCCAAAAGACATAGTAATAGTAATTAGTGACGGAGGCAACCGGAAAAAAAGGCACAACAGTGAATGAACACAACAGAGCACATATTCACAACCTCTGTGAATCCTCATCACTAGCGTGTTCTGACCCTGCTGTCTCTTGCCAGCTGATGGTATACAAACGACAACTAGAGACAGAGCATCCCTTTTTCATCTTCTTCCCTCTTCATCCCCTTTGTCTGTCGTTCGATCACAACCACGCTTCCTGAATCGATCAAAGAGGGCAAAGTAGGTATTTAAGTATTTACCTTCCTCGCGTGAACCTCTTATCTTCTGAATGTGCTGCTCTGGCTCAAGATTCTGATATTGTGTGTTAACTGTTGCCTTTGGGTCTCCTAGAGCTGATTCTCGCGTTGTTTCCTGGGCGCGTTAGTATCTCGCACAACAATCGATCCAGAGTTGTCTGAACAACAAGGTATGTGCTGCTCTTTTCTTTTATCTCTCTACTTCATGATTGTCTGTGTTTCATCTTCATGCGTCTGGACTTTGTGTGTGTGCCAACACGGATCTCCAGCTTGTGGTGGACTGGACGTGCTTCAACTCCAGCCTTGATTGCCGCTACACTGTAGAACCGTACTGACCGTGTCATATGCAGAACAAACCGCTGTCCCCGGGAATCGCCAAAGATGGGCAAGTTGAATTATTCAGCTGTAAGTTATCTTTCCCCTCACAAACATTGACCTTTGAGGTGATGCAGACTAACGCCGTACTTACAGAGAAAGATCACCAGCCTGAAAGCCGGCCAGGTGGTCTCCAAAGATTTGGTAAGTCGCCGCCCCTCGACTGCTATGCGTTGAAGAGATCCGTTATTGACTGGCAATTTCACAGAAAAAAAGAATTCCCCCCGGGGCCGGCGCTAAAGCAGCAGTGCGAGATCCCGTCGTGGAAATCGACATCTCGAACAAGGACCTCGCCGATGAGGGCTTTGCGGAGTTTATTGATGACCTGATTGCGTGTATCAAGTATCGCGACGAGGAACACCTAGAAGGATCCGCCAAGGTGACTGAATTGCATCTGCAAGGCAATCAACTAACAGTTCTGTCACTTCGGAAGCTGTCTGAGGTGGTCAAGTCCTCAGCTGCCGACTTGAGAGAGTTGGATATTTCGCACAATAAATTCGAGATTCGCACTCCCCAGGAGCAGGAGATCTGGCACGACTTCCTCGCTTCGTTCAAGGATTGCTTCATGCTCAAGAAGTTGGATCTTGGAAACAATCCGTTAGGGGCAAAGGGAATCGAGATCTTGGCGCGTGTCTATATGCACAGCGATTTGGACTACCTGGAGGCGGATGCCGATGCCATTATCGGCCTGGACGGTGACAACGCTCAAGAGGAGGAGACAATCGAGCAAGATCTGGCGAATCTGCAGATCACCAATGGAAAGGAGAATGAGCCGCCTAAGAAGACTGCTGCAAAACAGTCGCCCAAGAGAGGCAAGGTGGTCCAACAGAACGGTAAGTGAAGCACCTAAGCGTCTCAATCATACTTTGAAAGCTAATATTGTGACTCTTGCAGGCTCATCTCATGCTTCGTCTGCTGCAAAGAAGCCCAGCCATGACGAGTTGAAGTACTACGCTTGTACCCGTGGCTTGCGCTCGATTCCATTCCTTATTCTGTCCAACACGAACTTGACCGGTAGCTGCGCTGTCCATTTGTCAAGCATGCTAAGCATGCATCGAACTCCCGAACAGCTTTTGGCTTTCCTCCCCAGCGGCAAGGGGCCATCCCTGCCAGGTACTGCACAGCAGTGCAAGGGAATTATCTGGCTTCCGAACGAAGGCCTAGGACCGAACGAATGCAAATTCCTCGACAAAGCCGAGATGGTTGGCGAACTCATGTCCAACGATGGCACGGGAATTGATGAGCTCAGCGAAGAGGACGACCACCGCGCGGCTCAACGCAAAATGCAGAAGAAATTGGACATTGAATATGCACGTCTTGGGAAACGAGTTTGCATGAATGCGATGAAAAACGAAGGCGTGCGTGATAGTGACCTGTGGAGGACTGCCTTGAAAATGATGGTGGTCTCTCGTGCCATCCTGCTGGACGACTATGATCGTGCTAACGAAGCCGCCCCTGAGGAAGAGGAAAGCCCTCCCAGTGCCGAGGAGACGGTGGAAGAAGAGAAGGTGGAGGACGTGAAGGTGGAAGAGGAGCCCGCCGAACCAAGCCCAGAGGAAGTCCTTGATGAGTTTCCACTCTTTGAGCCTTACCCCATTGGACCCTTCCATCCCGGAGCCCAGCATTTTGAGGTGAACTTCCCCTCTCTGCAGCCAGCCATCAAGAACAAAGGGCCTGAGTCTCAAGGGACCAAGAGCCCCGAAACCCAAGAGATCAAGAGCTCAGAGTCTCCAAGCCAGGCACCTCGCTCAGGAAAGGGCAGAGGCCATTCCAATTCTGTTACTCGCAGCTCTCACAAGGGAGGATGGCGGTTCGGAGTGCCCTTTGCGTTCTGGCGACGCATCATTGCGGATGCCGTTGGCGCAGATGATATCCTCAGTATCCAGCAGCAGATACGCGTCATGATCTATGCCGCGGACTGGGATGCTCTGGCCTATGAGATGACCATCCGAGGAGCTGAAGAACACCAGCAGATTTGGAAGTTCCTCGAGACTGTCAAGTGCATCAACTACAGCTCTTTGTCTTGATGGTTCATTGGATCCATGGCACTTGGGCGAATGAAAGACTCGTCCAGATTGGAATACAAAGGGGATTTACTGCAATTCCGAAGGCCGGTCACATATATGACCAAAAAAAAGAGAAGAAAAAAAAAATCGAAGAAAAGTGAGCAAGCTGGCAAAAAGAAAACAAAAGGTTGGGCGGTTGGAGGGTTGGAGAGATGGCCTTTGTCAGAATGGGTGTGATTTCATTGGGGATTTCTTTCGGTTTTGAAAGGCTACTCAGTACTCAGGTTACAGAGCATCAGAATGACTCAAGTTCTTGTAAGTAACAGCTAAAGGAATCAATTCCCCGAGGATTGTTGGTCTTGTTGGCATTGCTAGCTATGATGAGATTGTCTTTCTAGGATAGATGTCGAGATGGAGCTTGAAATCGCAGAACACGTGAGATCTGATGGTTATCGCGGTGATTCTTGGTACTATCAAGAATTGTCCTTTGCTCAACCACGGATCAATTTGCGACTCATTTGAAGAATACTATTCGTCTACTGTTCGCCTAGAAAGGAGAGATTCGCAAGAAGAGATCCTCAGATTCTTTTCCTGTCTGCAATTGGGCATAGACCATAGGCGAAATGATGAAGAACAAGCGGACGAATACTCGGCCATTGGAGGATGCGTCTACTGCGCCAGACACCTTCAATGACGGCCTTCCACTGCCAAAACTGATCGCATTCGATCTGGATTACACTCTTTGGCCGTTTTGGGTCGATACACATGTCAGCGCACCCATCAAACCTCGCGATAACAATTCTCGCTGTGTAGACAAGTATGCACCCGAGAACCCCGAGCATTACCTCACATCCGATCGTCAGACCTATTCTGATTTCCCTATGCTGATCCTGTATGCTTCATCTAGATGGAACGAATCGTTCGCTTTCTACCCTGCTGTTTCTGCGATTATCTACGCTTGCAAAACTCACTCGATTCCCCTTGCTCTTGCCTCCCGCACACACGCCCCCGACCTTGCTCGCGACATGCTCAAGGCGCTTCACATCATCCCAACCTTTTCAGATAACCCGGCCGCGAAGGCACGCTCCAGCCGGGCACTAGACTACTTTGATTACATCCAGATATTTCCTGCTACGAAGACACAACACTTTTCCAAAATCCAACAAGCCAGCGGGATTGCTTATGAGGATATGCTGTTTTTCGACGATGAAGCGCGCAACCGCAACGTTGAGACTGAACTCGGGGTCACATTCTGCCTCGTTCGAGATGGGATGACGAAGGCGGAGGTGGATCGCGGAGTTTGGGCCTGGAGAAAAAGGAATGGTATTAAATCGGCGACGCAGAAGCAGGAGAGTGCAGAATGAGTGGCATGGGACTAGACAATTGGCCTGTATATGCATGTGCCTGCTCTTTATCATGGGCAGGGAGTTGGATCCGGATACATTTTATGACAGTCCTTATGAGACACCCAGGGACAAGATACGCTTGATGACAACAACCTATATAGAATTTTAATCGAAACGTTATTTCTCCAATTACTTCCCTATCAAGTGACAAATCCATGTTGTCTACCAAGAAGACTTGCCAGGTGCTGTTGGGCGGACCAGGAACTCCGCCAAAGCTTCCCAACCCCCAAACACTATCTTAATCTTATCAACATCCAAACCCGCGGCAGAAGTTCCGTCGTTCCAAGTCAACACCTCAACACGACGTCTGGGACAAACCCTCCTCCCCTTAGACATGGATCCCAGACCAAGTCAACCCAGATCTGACACGCACCTCCGCCCCCCGAATCCACACCAACGCGCCTCCCCCTCATCCTCCGCATCTCCCTCTCCCACGCCCCGAGCTCCCGTCGCCGCCCACCAGACCTCCACCGTCGCCGACTCCGTGCTCTGCCAGGGCATACATCCCATTTCCATCGGCCCGGGGACCGTTATCCACCCGCGCGCCCGCATCTACTCCTACGACGGGCCCGTCATCATCGGCGAAGGCTGCATCATCAGCGAGAAGAGCATCATCGGCACCGCGCCAACCACATACCCTTCCCTGCCCCCCACGGCGGGCAAGGAGGTCATCTCCACCCGGATCTCGAACGGAGTCACCGTCGGACCCCTCGTCTCGGTTTCGTCGGGCGCCCATGTCCACTCCTTTGTCACCGTTGACGCGCTGGCGGTCATCAACCGGCGTGTGTCGCTGGGCGCGCATTCAAAGGTGTGCGCCGGGTGTGTGATTGCGGCGAATACGGTGATCAAGGATTGGATGGTTGTTTGGGGTTCTGGAGTGGGCTTCGGGCAGAGGAGGAAGAGGGCTACGGGGAAGGTGATCTCGTCTGTGGCGGCCGCGCAGGGCGTGACTGCTCTCGAGGCGAAGGTGACCGAGGATGCGCGATTGATGGCCCTACAGAAGGAGAGGGAGGTTCTGGTCCGGCTTATTGGGTCTTCTGCGTCCGCTAGAAGGAAATGAGGACGCGTGATCTCTTGATCTTTGAGTAGGCCGGGTCACCATGGAAGTCAAGCAGTCCTCTCTACCAAGAGCGGTTCCCGGATTTTGAGTGTTGATGCCTTCGCGTGCATATCTTGGAGGTGCTAGGCGTTTTACACGATATCTTGTTTTATTCTTGTGCGTGTTTGTTTTGTGGATGCTTTATACCCAGATCATAGATAGAGATGAATCGAATTCCCAATGCGCGCGAATCACAACGAACTCTCTCCATCCATGACCGGTAGTTACAGGTATTCTAATGCAAATGTTGTTTGACGTTGGTTACCGTACACTTTGGGAAATAGACATGATGAACATATGAAATGGAATGGGTTTTGACTGCCTTCGTCTTGGAAAAGGCCTTTGAAATCTTCATGGATGCTTCAAAATGGCAAACAGATCCGCAAATAGACGTACATGCATAGTAGAAAACAGAAACCACTAGTCTATGTCAAGACACTGCTCAAGAACCTCTGGCATGACCACCTCCTCTCATCCGCTTTCCGCCGGTGGCTCCAGCATCATTCCCGGCCTCGCCGCCATCTTCTCTGGCCCGCTTGTTTCCTTGAGGAATAAACTGGCGGGCTTGAACATTCATTCCACCGCGACCGCCGCCGGGGCTTGACTGGCCCTGTCCTTGAGGTGCATTACCTCCCTGAACGTTTTGGTGGCCACCTCGGCCGAATCCTCCCCGTCCACCCCGGCCCCGAACACCAGCGCCCCGCTGGCTCTGTTGAGTCTGAGCCTGTTGTTGTTGTTGCTGTTGCGGTTGTTGCTGCTGTTCAGTTGCCTGCGCACCAAATGGGTTCTGTTGATGCGCACCACCACGGCCGCCGCCTCGACCGCCTCGTGCGACTGGAAGCCCTGATTGAAGAGCTCTCAAAACACCCGAGCCAGCAGGAGGCTTGTTAGGCAATGATGAAGCTTGCTGCTGATTTTGGGCTTGTGCAAACGGAGCCGTCGGTTGGTTTGGTGCCGGGGCAACTTGTTGTTGTTGCGGCGCTTGCTGCGGTGCTTGTTCAGTGGCTTGGGCTTGAGCTTCCGCAGGAGCAGTGATCGCAGCTGGAACAGCAGCCGCCTGAGGAGCAGGAGCGGTAGTAGGTGCAGAAGCACCCTTCTGTTCCTGGCTGCCGATGACTGAAGTAGGTGCCGGTGCTACGGGTGCTGGAGGCGCAGCAGCAGCTTGTGCTGGACTTGGACCTACAGCGGGAGCGGCTGCCGTGGCTTGTGCAGGTTTCGCTGCCTGTGGTTGCGCAGGAGGCGCCTTTGTAACCTTAGCTACCTCCCATACCTCAACCACAGGCTTTTGAGGAGTTTCCGTTGCAGCTTTTGAGACCACTTCAAGCTTGGCCTGAGCCGTCCTCCAGCGAGTATCAAGCATACTGATCTTGACAAGGGTCTTCTTATCCGATAGTTCAACAGCAGACTTGATCTTCTCTTCCATACCTTCCTCGTGCGCCTTCTTCATTGCTTCCTTCTCTTCGCTGAACTTTCTCTCCAGCTGAGCCAGAGCTTCCTGGTCCGCCCCTGATGTTGACTGGGCCTCTTGCTTCTTTTTCTCCCTCTCCTTTGCAAGCATTGTTCGAATGTTGTTGCGAAGAATGGTTTGAATAGTCTCGTTCTTCGCGCATAAAGCTCTCGCCTGGGCGTCTGTGAGCTCAGGAAGCTCAATATCCTTCGAAGGAGTTGCAGGAACCTGATCGGGTTTCGATACAGGAGTTGCTGGCTCTTGGGGCGCGGTCTGTTGAGCGGCCGATAGCCTTTCAACTTCCTGTCGATGGGCCGTTCTGATCTCCACCATCTTATTGTTGAACGTTTCCTTGAGCTTGTCCACCCGCTCCTTGATCTTCGCCTCATGCTCGGCATCCTTGGCAGCCAAAGCAGCATCCTTTTCAGCAAGAGCGGCTTCAAGGCGCTGGATCTTCTCCTCCAGAGCCTTAACTCGCTCGTCATCGGTTGCCGGGGCGGTCTGCGTGGCTGTCGGGAATTGGGACGCGGGTGTTGAGTTGACAGCATGTGCTTCCTCACTGGTGGGTGCACTAGGGGCGGGTGGCTGAGAAGCCATCTTAACCTTGAGCTCATTTAGCTCCTCTTTGGTCGTCTTCAGCTCTTCCTGGATGACTTCTTTCTCCTGCACCACAGCGTTCAACTCAAGTTGCTTGGCGTTGATACGGCCAGTGAGTTCCTTAGATCTGGCCTTAAACTGTTCTGTGAGCTTAGTGCGCAGTTCCTGCACCCTATCTTCGGCATGCTTGAGTTGCTCAGGGAACGTGGCAGCTTGTGCTTGCAATGTGTCGCGAGCTGAGATAGCCTCGTCCCGCTCCTTCTCCAGCGTCGTGAGCTTCTCCTTTAGCCCTTCCATTTCAGCAGGGTCGACTCGATCGTATTTTTGCAAGATGTTCTGTGTGCGTTGTTGCCAACGGTCCCGATCAGCCTGCAAAAGTTTCATCTCCCCATCTTTCGTCTCCACAACGTTCTCCAGTTCTCTGATGCGTGTCTCCAGGGGCGAAATTTGCTGCACGAGTTCGTCGACACGAGCAGATTTCTCAGCGAATGCAGCTTCTGCCTGCTTGACCTGGTTTCGTAGCGTGACGCTGCTCTCGCGGAACAAATTGAGCTCGTTTAGCGTCTCCATGAGTTTATTGTGGCTCAGAGCCGTGTGCTCGCTATCAGCAGCTGCGCGGCGCTGCTGCTCCAGCTTGAGGCGCGCCTCATCAAGTTGAGATTGTGTGTAATCGAGTTGCTGGCGAAGGCGTTTGCTCTCCTGAGTAGAAAGGTGGTATTGCACATCGACGATCTCCTTCTCGCGCCGCAGGAACTTGATGACCTCCTGGAGACTTTCCAGATTTGGTGCCGTCGTTTCTCCATCTTGTTCATCCTCGGCAACAGCGGCGCGATCTCGTTGCAGAGCCGTGATCTGCTTTGTGATGTCTTCCAGCTGAGTGTGGAGCAAGGAATTCTGATGAAGAATTTCCTCACGGCGCTTCTGTAACTCGGAAAGTTCATTCTCGTATCGATCTTTGAGTTCACTCCAACTTTTTTCTTTCTTGACAAGATCTTCTTTGTAGGTGTCGGCCTGGGTACGAGCTTCGGCGCGTTCCAATCTCAGCTGATTGGCTTCCGCACGAACTATTTGCAGGTTCTTTGCAGCCTCGGCATGCTTAACCAACTCACTTTCGTAGTTTTGCTGGGCATGCTGGGCGATCTCAGCCTGGGCTTTGAGATCATCCTGGTGGAATTGGGCGGCTGCTACAAGACGTTCCTTTTCGTCCTTCAGACCTGTGATCTGGACTTCCAATGCGACCTTCTGCTCTTCCAGGTGACGTGCAGCTTCGCCTTGTTCGTCGCGCAGTTTGGAAAGCTCGTTGTTTGTCGTAGAAAGTTCAGATGAGATCTCCTCAATCCGTTTCTCAAGATCTTGAATCTTCTTCTCCTTCTCCTCCACCAGAAGTTCTGTTTCTTCGCGATACTGTTCTTGCGTCTCAGTAACTGACTGCAAGCGTTCCTCAGTCTCCTGGCTGATATTCTTGTAGACTTCGACCTGCTCCTTTGCGTGTTCGAGTTCACCCTTAGCCAAATCCAGGTCACGCTTCAATTCAGAGACCTGGATGCCTAATTCCTGTTCGCGGGTGAGACCGGTATCCGGAACACTTTCCTCCGTAGCTACAGCTGGTGTAGCAGAGATACTCGGTCTAGATTGTACGACTTGCAGGCGCTCCTCTGCACTCCGCAGTTCGACAGTCAGCTCATCTACCCGACTCTGCAGATGATCCCGAGTTGTCTTTGTGGCGACCAGCTCCTCCCGGATTGAGCTCAGACTTGTCACCAAATCATCAATCCGCTTTTGACTCTGCTCGTGCTCGTACTCTCTCCGTAGTGCAGCCTTCTTCGACTCCTCAACTTCATCGGTAAGCTTCCGTTTCGTAGACTGTAATTCTGATTCCAAAGATTCAACACTGTGCTGCAAGCGACGGCGACTTTCAGCATCGGTATGCTCGCGCTCGTTAAGAATGGTCTGCAAATTGGCGTTCAGAGAATCGAGACGGCTACGCTCGTTTCTCAATGTTTCGATATCTTCGCTCAATCTCTTCTCAATATTCTTCCAGAGGTCCTTCTCAGCCTTCAAGTTTGCATTCTCCCTTTGAAGACTTTCCACGAGACCCTTTGTCTCAACCAGGTCTTCGGCGGCCTGTTGCGTCTTGAGATCTTGTCTAGTAGCATTTTCAAGCAAGGTAGCATAGCGCTTTTGCAACTCTGTATTCTCGCTCTTCAACATGTTAAAGTTACTCTGGAGGAGTTCGGCTCGTTGGGTGGCGGCGCCAAGCTGGCTGCTTGAACGGCTGATCTCGCCCATAAGCTCACTGTTCTTCCGCGATAGTTCATTGACTTGCTGTCTCAGAGCCGCATGATCGGTGGCTGACTCTTCGCGGAAGCTATCGAAGTGTGCTTGCACCTTGCGCAGCAACTCCGCATAGTCGGGTATGTCCTTGCCAGGCTCCTCGACAGATGGAGGCACTGCACCAAGAGGAAGAGATTGAGAGAAGGTGGACGCATCTCCAATGGTCTGGCGACGGCGGGTCAACATGCTTCGGAACGTATCCCGCTCCTTCACGTAGCTCTTGGTTTGAGCAACGAGGTTTGCGATTTCGTCGCGGTATGTTTGAACTCGGATCCTAAGGTCCTTCAGCTCCTCCTGCTCTTGCTGACGCACTGCATCCTTCTCACGGGCCTCTGCACCCTCCATCTTATCACCGAGTTCCCTGAGCATGCGTCGAAGAGTGACGTTCTGCTCTTGAAGCTCATGCAGATCCTTGAAAGTCATCAGATTCCGACTGATGAAACGTCCCGTTGGGTTTAGTTCGGCCGCCGATTCGTCGATCTCCTGGCGAGCGATCTTCTCCAGCTCGTCTCTGTCATAATTTCCTTCGCCTTCCTTCAAGATAGCAACTTCCAAAACCAAGACCTTGACCTGAGCGCTGAGATCACGAAGCTGTTGACGCAGAATATCACCCTCGCGTGCCAATCCCTCCACCTGCCCCTGCCATTTGCGTGCTTCCTTGGTTGCATCGTCGCGTTCCTTGCCAGCAGTTTCCAGGATGTTCGACATTTCCACTACTGCATTCTCAAGTCTGGCATGATCGGCGCGTAGCTCGTCGATTTCTGGCTTGCTGGCTTCGAGATCCTGGACCATCTCGTCAAGAGTCGCCCTTAGTTCCTGGCTTGTCTTTTGTTCTGCGGCAAGCATTATTCTCATCTTGTCATACTCCGTATACATCTGGGTGAGGGTAAGTCCACCCTTAGAGCGAGAAGTCCTGGGAGTGAATGCTCCACCTGGAGTACTAGGACGGACGGGGGTACTCGGTCCTATACCATTCAAGCCGCGGGCTGGGCTCATGGATCTCCTGGCAGCGGAACCCTCTGATTCTAATTGGGCGACGGCCAACTCGAGTTCAGCGACGCGTCGCTCAGCAGCCTCCTTATCAACGTGTTCAGTTTCGATCTCGACGCGGAGTCTTGAAATTTCCTCTGCCGCATCATCTCGCGCCCTTTCTAGAGCGAGCTGACACTCTTGAACACGCTCCTTGGCAGTCTTTGCAGCATTGCCCTGCAGCTCGGCCAGGCGTTTTGCATTATCCAAGTCGTTTCTTAAGGCTTCCGCATTTTGGATGGCATCCTCTTTGAGTTGCTGAATGCTTGAGAGAGACTCCTCGTATCGTTGCTCGACCTCATCCAAGCGATTCTTGAGGGCATTCTCACTACGCCTCAGGGAGTCGATAGTCGAGTTCGCCTCCTCGTTATCACGCTGGAGCTCTGCGATTCGGGCCGTCTTCTCCTTGCGGAATTTAAGGTACTCGGCAGACTTTGTCTTCAACTCCGTCTCGAACCATTCGTTATTCTTCTTCGTCAACACCAATTCCTGCTGCAAGTTTTGCTCACGGAAACAGGCGCTCGCACATTTCGAATTTTCGGCCTGAAATTTCTGTTCCGCAGTAGCGAGCTCACGTCGTAAATCTACGGCCTTCTGGTGCTGAGCAGAAAGCTCTTCCGCAAGCTTGTCGTATGCGGCGGTCTTGGATTCGAGTAGGCCGAGGGTGTCCCGGTTAGAGGCTTCAAGGGAGGATATGCGGGACTTCAGCGTAGTCACTTCCGATTCATTCGACGTGGTCGAAGACTTCAGCGTGGCAATCTCGGATTCTAATGACGAACGAGCGGTTTCTGACAGGCGTAAGAATATGCAAATGGAGCAAATATGTAGTAGCGCAAACCTGATTCGTGTAGTTTCTTCCTAGTCTCCTCAACCTCCGCATGTCCCTTTTCTACGGAGCTCTTCAGCACCTTAATCTTCGAGTCGCTGCTGCGAACGGCAGTTTCGAGTTCGACTTCTAAGTGAAGCTTGTCGGATTCGAGCTCGTCATAATTCCGTGCTTTCTTTGTGATAGCCTCCAGAAGCTGATTGACTAATTCGACGGTAGGAGCTTGGGTAAGAGTGGTGAGCGTCGACTCCGCGATGGCATAATGCGATGAAATATAGGGCAACTCAATCGTAACAGCCGCCATGGTTGCTGAGAGGCGACTGAACTGAGCCGCTTATCTCGAACAGATGGGCGATGAGGTCCGGAATCAACAGCAATCGGTTTCAAATAGGAAGATGCGGAAAGATAGCTTAGTAGGTGATTCAATGATGTCGATGCGCGCGTAACATGCACTGCTTATTACGGAGTGCACACAACGCTCAGGTAGACCAATTAAAACATGACGCGACAGTCTTAAGGACAGGAGAAATGAACGACAGAGGAAAAGCGAAGGTGAATCCTCTGTCGAGCTGGTGGATGAATTGTCTCCAAGGATCAAAGAGACATGCGTTTGGGCGGTTGCTGCTTCGTTGCTCCCAACGCGGTTAGCGCGTGGCAGTGGTCACCTGATATTCCTTGCTCTTTCATGCCTGAGGCCGCCAAGCCTCGAGTGGCTGTGGCTGTAGGAAGTCCTTGTCCAGCCTACAATAGCTTCATCGCTTTGTCTACTCAACCCGTTATCGCCGTGATCACAGAGGCAGGAAGAACAGGGCACCTTGTATGATTACAAGTAGCCTATTTTAATATCCTGCCGGCTCTATAAGGGCCAATCCCTCCCTCGATCGATCCAACCTGAGCGTTCTTCACGTCATCCCCAGTCGCAACCATGTCGCTCCAGCAGCAACTCAAGAACTTCAACGCCAGCGTTGTGGACTACGCCCATCGCATGCCCCAGCAAAGACGGTTCGTCGGCAACAACAACAACGGCGGCTCCACCAGCACATCCCAGGTCCCGTCCTCGACGCCCACGCCCACGCCGGGCAGCGATGCACAGCGGAAGAGGCAAAATGCCGACATCGTCTACTCGCAGCCCGCCAACACCGGCACGGGCAAGGATATCATGACCCAGGTGCTATTTGCCATCGAGCATATGAAAGCCAAGGGCGTACCGCTCAGGTTCTCCGACATCGTCTCGTATCTGTCTCTCCAGCACCGGGCAAACGACCAGGGCTATATCCAGGCGCTGCGCCGCATTCTCCAGGTCCACGAAAAGGTCCAGTATGACGCGAGCGGCGCGAACGGCGAAGGCACCTTTGCCTTCCGGCCGCCGCACAACATCCGCACGGCGGAGCAACTTCTGCAGAAGTTGCAGGCCCAGTCGACTGCGGCGGGGATGAGCGTCCGCGAGCTTCGGGAGGGCTGGCCCAACGTGGAGGACACGATTAACCGGTTGGAGAAGGAAGGGAAGCTGTTGGTTACGCGGAACAAGAAGGACGATCATGCGAAGATGGTCTGGGCCAATGACCCGTCGCTGGTGCAGCACTTCGATGAAGAGTTCCGCCAGATCTGGGAGAAGATCAAGATTCCCGATCAGCAGACCGTCAAGGAAGAGCTGGAAAAGGCAGGAATCACGCCCACAAACAAGAATAAGGTCGTTAAGGCCCGGCCGAAGATCGAACATAAGAAGGTCAAGAAGACCCGGCGCAGTGGCAAGACGACTAACACCCACATGATGGGTGTCCTGAGAGATTATTCTCATCTCAAGCGGTGAATACCGTACAGCCTATGGCTGATCAGTGAGGACTTTGCGGTCTCAACCTCAAAACATGGCTCACAAGCTATCAGCCTGCTCTCATCCTTCGATCGTGCCTGTTCAATGACCCTGCTACACCTGCATAAACTGGCGTTTGGGACGGGCTTTTTCAAATCGGCTTACCACTTCATACTTCTCCATCACCGATTATCCCAGACCTGAAAAGTCTCGCTATTCTTCCCACTGGCGTTTGCTAAATTTTCATAAAATGTACGTTGATAGATACCCAAGAAATCAAACTTTGTGCTTTGTACCATATTGCACTGTTCTTCCAATTTTTCAACACAAACCCTACTACCAGCAGCCGCAACCACAATTCTAGATACACAAGAAGTCAGATATCATATTTCGTTAAGTTCTATACTGGTTCCTCAACCCAATCCCATACCCAACCGAGGTCATACTGTACACCATCCAATTTCCATGCCGACGGTTCCTGAACAGAAAAGCACCCACGGATGCTGCAAATGAGGCAAATGAAACAAAGCACCAGAGATAGCACATATACACGAGGGGAGAGAACGAACAAAATCATCTCATTTCAATGCTTTCCATTCGCAAAAGCGCCCTCATTGCGCTCAAGGTACTCGACCAGATCCTCAATCGTGCACACCTTCAGCCCCCACTTCTTCCCGAACTTCAAACACCCATCGCGTCGCATCATGCCGTTGTTGCCCTGGATCTCGGCGACACCCTCCACCACCTCGCCGTCCTCGACTAGTTCCGCGATCACGCCGGCAGGCGGCTTGCCCGCCAGCCGGCAGAAGTCGACCGCAGCCTCTGTGTGTCCCTTACGCTCGCGCACACCGCCGCTCTTCGCCTGGAGGGGGATGATATGGCCGGGCCGCCGGAAGTCACCGACGCGCGCCGTCGGGGAGGCGAGCGTGCGGCATGTCAGGGCGCGGTCTTGCGCGGAGATTCCGGTGGTGATGGAGGGGTCGCTCGAGTCGATCGAGATGGTGTATGCGGTGCCCTTAGGGTCGGCGTTCTCGACGACCATCTGTGGCAGGGCAAGGCGGTTGGCTATCTCAGAGGTAATTGGTGCGCAGATCAAGCCACTAGAGTGCAAAGTTGGATCGTTAGCAATTGTTTCTTCAAAGGGCATAAAGAGTGTCTCCCAGCAAAACCCGGAGAGGCGAGTGTAAGGGTTGTGCCAACCTCGTATAGCGAACCAGGAACGCCATCTGGGCGTCTGTGATCGACTCAGCGGCAATAATGAGGTCGCCTTCATTTTCGCGATCTTGCGAGTCAAGAACAATGATGAACTCTCCGTTCTCTGCGGCGAGTCAGTCTCCATCAATCTCGTTTCCCCGATTGCCGGTCCGCGGGGTTCGCGCAGGTGGCGCAAGATGCTCGAAGGATGAGGAACTCACTGAAAGCGGCGATGGTGTCTTCTATAGAGTCGAACTTGAGACTGGAATCTGAAGGCGAGTGCATCTTGGAGGATTATGAGCGGAGGAACAAAAGGGGAGGAAGAAAAGTTGTGATTGTCGATGTGATTGCCCCCTCGGCAAGTTGAACGTGGGGCAAATTATATGCGATCTCCGAAATTGGGGAAGGACTCGGGCTTCGGAGCTAAGACAAGGTATCGGGTAAAGGTTATATGCCGAGATCAAGATACTGAAAATCAACTTCTCTCAACGGAATCCGTTCAATTGAGTTCGAAGTCGGTATCAGTGTGTTGAGTGAGGTGACTCTTACTACTGCTGGCACGCGGGGAAGTTCGGAGGCGAAGATGGTTCAGTATGAAGACGACTGACTCGAAGATGGTCAAAATATCTATCCCGTCCTTGGATGCGAATCAGATTATAATAGCAAGGTCCTGAGAAAAGAAAAGATAATGGATGTACAGAAGTGTTGAGAAATTTAATAATCTACAAACGAAAGGGCCTGTTAATATTATTGATTGAATAATGTTGCTCGTCAGTGATCACTAAATGTTTTGTCAGAAAGTCAGCCGAAGACTCATTATTTATTCCAGGCCCACCGCGGCTGACACCATCCACCAACCGAGGCTGCCGATGCCTACGAGGACGGTTCGAATACTGCTTTCTTGCTGTATTGAGTCCATTGGCGATAAGCAGACAGGGTCAAGGGTTTGAGAAAGTAGGTGCTAGATGATGCGTCCCTTACCAGCATTTCGCTACGGGCATTCGAACCCAAGAAGAAAGAAAAAGGTGGTAGGATTGATCATGATCATGATATAGACTTCGCGGGGGTTGAATCGTTGATCTCGAACACAAAACTCCTTCGTAACGCCAATCATCATGTCTCAATCTATGTAGAAAAGAGCGCTATCTAGATGCAAAGTATCCATCCATCCCCTGCAGATATGCCAAATCACAATCCGAATCCCCCCATCCGCCGGACCTCATCGGCCTGTCTCTCAAGGGCCTTCCGCATCATCCTCGAGTACTCACGCTCCTGTCGACGATGCTCCCGCCTTCGCTCTCGCAATTCTTCTCGCGCAGAGTCCTCAAGGTCCCCATCGATAGACATTGCATCGCCGTCTTCCTCAACCTCGTTTTCAGCGGGGACAGAGAGTTTGATTCGACCAATTCGTTCTCCTGTCCAGACAAGGAGCTCATCGCCCGTCAAATTCCCGCCGGTGGGTAATATCTTGCGTGCGACTTCGTTCCCGATTTGGGATCGGGAGCCGTTGCCCCAGAGGCCGGAGGGTTCGTCGTCGTCATCCTCCTCGTTCCGGTTGACCCCGTCTGGTAGCCCAGTGTGTGGCTGCGAATTTTTCTGGAGCCTTGTATGTTGTTGGTAAGTGTTGAGGTTAAAGCGGCGGACATCAACTCGACCGTCTCGTTCAACCCACTTGATGTTGCCCTCTGCATCGGAGTAAACAATGCGCGTGCCGTGCGATTCGACTGAGAGAACCTTTGACCTTGCGGCACTTTGACGATTTTGATATACGCGATTCAGCTTGGAGGAAAGGCCAGACGGACCGTTATCGCTATCGGAAGGCGATGGCGTGAGATCATACAGCTCGAGCGATCCTCGTCCCTTGTACTCTCCGCAAGCTACCACCTTGTGAGATTGCGGATACGTTGTGCCGGAGAACACGGGGAAATGTGGAGCAGGGATGGACGCCAGGCCACATAGGCGGCCACCAGAGTGCACCGTGCTCTGCAACCGGGGGAAGAATCGCCTATCATATTGTAGTATGCTTGGGAAGCGGCCTGCAAGGAGAATAGTGTTGACATGCGGTGCTGGAGGATGCAGAAGGGACAAAGGACCTGGCTGGAACAGGGGTGCATAATCGGCGCCCTTTTGTGACGGATCTGGGCTTCGTATGCGGTGCGGAGGTCGACCGTTCGGTTGGAGTTGAAGCAGGGGAGAGTCTGAGCGTGCATAGACCTGCGACTCCGCGACCAGCGAAGTGATCGGTTCCTCGCAACGCAGATTGATAGCCTCCTCTTCTTCAGACGCCGATAAACGAGAGTCATGGATATGGATGCTCAAAGTGGTGGCCACCGTCAAGGGCACCGAGTAGTCCGTTTCCTGGGACAAGGCGAAGATGGACCAAGGGTATCGCTGCTGCGAGATCACCTGAAGTGTTTCAAGGTCAACCTCGTTCAACACATTCCCAACCGCCATGTAAGTTCGTCGACGTATCGAATCGACACTGACACATTCACCCAGATTGATAAATTCCAGCGCCGTCTTATCTCGTCTCTTCGACAGGTCTGCCATCAGGATCCCCGGCGCACTCACCCCGAGGACTTTCCCTTTGGTGGCAGGAGATCCGATCGAATGAGAATGGTTCAGATCCCAGATGCAAACGCTCCCGTCGTCCAGCGGGGCGACCACCTTGTTCTGTCTAGCCGAGCTCCAGTCGCGGAGCAACCCCATTCCTTTGACCTCACGGTAATCCCTCCCCTGGCCTTGAGCCTTCCTCGCGAAAGGCTGCTGTAACCAGTTAAACGACATCGGCCCATGACGTGCTATGTATTCAGAATACCAATCAACGTCTTCCCCCTCATACGAGGGGTCCCATGCAGCCGCCGCCCTCGCACGTTCAGCGAACGACGGACCCAACCCTCCATTCTGACCACCCGATGTCCCGCCGTTGGATTGTGCGTTTTGAGGCTGAATCAACGAGAGCAGTGAGGTCTGACCTAGCGAGCTCAGAGGCGCCGTGGACCGAGCCAACAAGCTCTCCGAGGTTGTGCTCTGGTTCCGCCGCGCGGCATCGGACGCGGCCCATGATTCCTCATAACAATGTAGTCTCCAGCGAGTGTTGTCTCGTGTCAGAGCAAAGAATCGCTTCGAGACTGACTGAAGCTGCACCTGCTCGAGCGGGGTGAGATCTAGTCCACAATAGGCAGAAGACCGTTAGCTAAGGGCTGTTTGGTCAGATTACTCGTAGACTGGAAGAATGATGCGGGGTAGAAGGTATATAGCATCTAGCATCTAACTGACATGGCCGGGATGACCTAAGGCGCGACTCACGATCAATGATCTTGGACAGAATCTCTACGGGGAGGTTCTCCATGAGTAGGGATTGGGATGGGACAGCATGGAGGGCAAACAGAAGGTCGATCCCGCTCACGGCACGATGTAAGACAGCCCGGACTGCTATCTCTCCTGGTCGGATTTCAGATCCATTTAATTCCCCGCGATCAGCAAAGTCTAGACTGACGTCACGTGGTGATGGGCCTGGTCGAGCTTCTAGAAATCGAACCCAAGAACTTCCAAGACGATCTAGTCAGTGGATAGATAGACAGATAGTCAGGGAAACTGTTCCTTGGTTACACGGAAATCTGGGAGGGAGACAGGGAGACAGGGAGACGGAATGAAGACTGCTTTCTTTTGATCTAAATTGCTTGAACACCAAATGAACCCGCCAAGATAATCCATACCCAAGACATCATAAATCGCATCAATCATACATTAACATAAGAAGAGTGGATGGAAATGAGATTAGAACAGAATAAAAAAAAAAGAAAGAAAAAACCCCTCAAGCCTGTCTTGAAGGGTATCTGCCCAGAGGAGTCACGTTAGTTGTCAGGAATGTAGATGGCGTCTTTGCAAAGAACCGCGACTTTCTTAAAAAAGCGTCGCCATTCGAGGGGATCGCCCTTTACTTTCATGAACTCGATCTCAAAGAGCCCTTCCGAGACACACTCAATGACGACTTTTCCCTGCAAGGCGCACATCCGCCCATCTCTGGTGATGATCCGGATCATGGCCGCAGTGTCTCCTGTAGCAACTGCGGGCACAGTCGGGACCGGAACTCCTAGACGGTGGAGGGCTTCGCAGACGAGAGGAATGAGAATCTTGAGTTCCCATGTTGAATAGAAGCGCGTCAGAGGGCGGCAAGGCACGATGTCGTGGAATCGCTGGGCCTTTTGTGTTCTGCTGAGCGGCACAGAAGGATGCAATGAGAACTGAGACATTGATGGCTCGTCCTCTAGGTATCCGGCCATCACCATATCGTCGGAAGAGAGCAGTTTTCCAGTAGGTTGAGTTGAGGAGAACACATCATTCATATGAGGCGTATCCCAGTCGACTAACATGTCCCCTCTTGGCATCTCGGGCTGGGTCGAAGAAATCCTAAGGTCGATATCGAAGTCACTGTCGGTGTCCATTCCCAGCCTCTCCGGGTCGAAGCTGCCAGTTCGCAACGGTCGCGAGAGGGGATCCTGACTAAAGTCTATATGTAGCGATTCAAACATGGTTGTGGCCAGATTGATGGTGTCTCTCAGCCTGCCATCCGGGGATAAGTATCGATTTGGCCTCGTGTACCAAGGATGTCTTCGCACATCCTCCAGGGAGAACCTGCTACTGGGATTGATGTTCAACATGCCACGGAGTAGAGATAGAGTTGCCGGCGGCAGCTTCTGCCAGAGTTCATCGGACGTTCGTGCATTCGTTGCGACATATTCATGGAACTCGTAGCTACTGTCAGTTGGGCTGTCCCATGGGGTATTGCCCGCCAGCAGGACAAAGAGCACGATCCCACACGACCAGATATCCACCAGATCTGGCCGGTATCCCGCTCCCTTACATTGTGCCCTCGTGCTAGATGATATGACCTCGGGTGCAATATACGGAGGACTTCCGCAGAACGTTGTCGAGAGTTTCGTGACTCCTTTGTATTCGAACAACGTCGCCAGACCGAAGTCGGCGATTTTGAGATTTCCATCCGCAGTGAGGAGCATGTTCTCTGGTTTGATATCTCGGTGACCGACGCCCTTCGAGTGCATGTAGCCCACCGCACTGACGAGCTGCGAGAAATACACATGCGCGACATCCTCGCCAACGCCCTCGTCAGCTTCAATCTTGTCGAAAAGATCTCCGCCCTCGGCGAGTTCCATCGCGATCCATCGCCACACGCTATCCTCGCCGGTCTGGAAGAACGAGATTATATTGTTGTGATCACCGATGTGCTTGTGCACCGTCGCTTCCATCTGCAACTGTCGCGGACTGATCTTGCCATGCCGAGCAGCGTATTCTTTGTGAATAAATTTGACGGCGAAGACGGGGTTATCGACGTGGGAGGGACATGCTTTCTTAATACTATTTGACAACAACACGTTTCAGGACGACTGAGGAACAGATATTAGAATTGGCTGCACTTACCAGGCATAGGCACCCTGACCGATCGTTTTGGAGACAATCCGAAAGGGCAGATCATTCGGCAGTGGGGCAAGCTGAGAGTGGTGCATCGTGTTGGATGCTCAGAAAGACGCATAAAAGGAGATTTTTTTTTTGAGTATTAGACCATCGAACCGATCTGAGCTCTCTCTCTCTATCTAGAATTAAAATTGACCGTTGAACGCATCATTTCCGTGGTGCTTCAGGACGACAAGCAAGGGTGGATGACTCGCAAGAGCCTGGGAATAGTTAATACGCGCTGCGACGGGAACGCGAAAGCCACTTTATCCTCTTTGGGTAATGTGTTGACATGCTTGGAGCCTGTGGGCGCAACAGAAAGTCGATCCGCGGCCATCGTGTTTGAACCAGAGAGGGATACTTGGGAAAATGAAGAATGAAATAAAAATAGAAGAAAGAAGAGTATCGCAACAAGGAGAAATAAGAAATAGGATAAATAACTAGCACCCGACTTGGACCACGGCTGTGGGCTGGAGACACTATTGCTTTTATGATGTCCGACACCCAACAGGCCCCGCCGCAGCAAATCTCTTGCAGGAGGACACCTCTGGCTCTGGGTACATAGTTATTGAAGTGAACAGGTTTCTGCAGTCGATCAGGTACTCCGTTAGGGATTGGCTATCTCTATTCTTGTATAGGAGAGAAAACAGAAATAGAACTAGAATTGTTCCAGAAGTACTGAGAGCCACACAATGAAAGTGTCAAGGAATCTTAATATTGTCACTCGACTTCCTACAACAAGAAGGTATCTACAGAGTACTCTCTCATAGCCCGATGAGCGAGTCAGGCGCACTCGGCCACAGTCTCACTGATTCCTTGAATCTCTTCGTCCTCGTTTCCCTTAGTCTGACCAGGACCCCCGCTCGACTGTTGGCAACATTATTTGGTTCTCATCGTTGCCAGGGGAAGCTGAGGTTTCTATGATTAACCATCAGGCTGCAGTGGAGTAGTAGTAGTCTAGTAGTAGTAGTAGTAGTAGTAGTAGATAAACAATCATATCGAAAGAAGAAGAAAAAAAAAAAAAAAAACGACGCCCCGCCCTGTTCACGAGCCTCTTGAAACTAATAATAAGACTCCTGGCGTCGACTTTGTTTCTTCTTGTCCTGATGATTTTTGACTCCTGCACGTTTCTCATCTATCACTACTACTGCACATAGATACCACCTTACCCGTGCACTCACTCTCTTTGACTCTCTGCTGGTTTCAACTGAGAGTTCCTGCTACTGTGGGTCGAGCCGTCCTTCTGCCAGCCAACAGCTGTTCCGTATTCGGATCCGTCGTCATTCCAGACAGCAAGCAACCTTCCCTTGCTACATACTGCGTCTGGCATTCTTCAAACCGGGAAACTCCTATTTCTGTTCATATAAGTCTGGAACAGGAAAAAATTATCGAAGAGAAAGGAATCGGTCGAGCTTGTTCATCGCTACTGTTGGGATTTTTGACTGAGACGGAGCAAGATGGATTACACCATGGAGGACACGCAGAACGCCGCGCCTGATGCTCTGGAGGCCAGCAAGCTCAGCTCCTTGGGGCAGAGAAACGACACCCAGAGCGTGACAAAACGGTCAGTATCCTGCTTTTCTTTTGACCATGATGGCTTGATTTTATTTCATGAATCTTGTAATTCCATGCTCGATTGCATCCTACTGACTTCCTCTCCAGCCTCCAAACCGAGCTGATGCAGCTCATGATGTCGCCCTCCCCCGGGATCTCGGCCTTCCCCAACGCAGACGGCAACCTCCTTAACTGGACCGCGACAATTAGCGGACCAGCCGATACGCCCTACGACGGCCTCAAGTTTAAGCTCTCCTTCGCCTTCCCCAGCAACTACCCCTACTCGCCCCCGACCGTCCTCTTCAAAACGCCCATCTACCACCCAAATGTCGACTTCTCCGGCCGCATCTGCCTCGACATCCTCAAGGATAAGTGGAGCGCCGTGTATAACGTGCAGAGCGTCCTGCTCAGCCTGCAGAGTCTCCTCGGGGAACCAAACAAGTACGTCCGCGTCTACCTCTGGCCGGAAGGCCCCCCTCCCCTTTACGTTCTATGTACTTCGCAATACTGACTACGAGATAGCGCGAGCCCCCTAAACGCCCAGGCCGCCGAGCTCTGGGACGCGGATAAGGAGGAGTACAAGCGGCACGTGCTCGCGCGGCACCGCGACATCGAAGACATTGAGTAAAGGAGAATGCCATAGCTGGGGGTTTTTTTTTCCTTTCTTTCATTCTTTCGTTCTTGCGGTGCGCATTTCATGGTGCCCGGGGCGGTTGTCTGTGCATTGTCTTTTTTTTTTTTTTTTTTTTTTGGCGTCCATTTGTCGGTCCCGGCTTTGAGGCGGGCTCCAGTGCAAACTCGGGTGCATTGGGCTTGGAGTTGGTGTGTTGGTTTTGTGTGTTGCTTTTACTTCCGTCTGGAGATGCACTTCAGAATTGTGAGGTTTGATCGTAGGAATGGTGTCTTGGGTATACATATCCTTCCTTTTTTTTCACTGATTGTTCTGTCCGTGGAGAATTGGTGCGTAGTCGTCGTAAACGGCATTGGTAGTCGCTGGCTTCATACTCCAGCAAGCGGGGTTGCCTAACCCAGCGTCCTCCGATCTACGAGACCGCTACTCCGTACAAAGCATGTCAGACGCATACGATTAATCAGATTCAATTCGATTCGATTCGATTCGGTTTGGTTTGGTTTGGTTTGGTTTGATTCAATTTTCTACCACCTAACAAAAACATAACAAAACGATACAAAACTACAGATACACACCCTACCCAACCCACCCCATCTCATCTCATCTTACGAGATATATTTCCCCTCATCAGTGATCAACAGCCCTGCAATCGCGGCACTAGTGAACGTCGCCAGCGCGCCCGTGACCATGGCGCTGAAGGCCACGCGCGACACGTCGCCGGCGCGGTTGGGCGCCAGCTGGTTCAGCACACCGATCTGGTTACCCAGGGAGCCGATGTTGGCGAAGCCGCAGAGCGCGTAGGTGACGATGATGCGGGAGCGATCGGAGATGTCTTTGTATTCGGGGAGGGTTTGGAGGTCGTTGTAGGCGACGAATTCGTTCTATAGGGAGTTGGGCCGGTTAGGGGGATGATTGAAGGTGGGTAGGGGAGGGACAAGGGAAGGAAGGAAGGGAAAAGGGCTTACCATGACGAGCTTGACGCCGATGAGTTTGCTCACTTTGAGCAGATCGCCGTCACGGGAGACGCCGAGCAGGAAGGCGATGGGGTAGCAGATGTAGCCGAGGATCAGGTCGAGGGTTAACGGGGGGTCGTTAATGTTGAGGTAGCGGCCCCACCAGGTGAGGAGGCCGTTGATGAGGCCGACGAGCGAGATGATGCAGAGCAGGGTTGCGCTGATCATGCCGGCGATCTTGATGCCGAGCCAGGCGCCGTTGGAGAAGGCGTGCAGCGCGTTCTCGGCCTTGTGCTCCTCGTCCTCGGGGACGACGACGCGGCCCGCCGTCAGCGTTTCCTCCTCCTCGGGCCAGCGCAGCTTGGACGCCGCCAGCGACGCGGGGATGCTCATGACGCACGACGAGACGAGTGCCTGCGGGTTGACGCCCATGCCGATGTAGGCGACGAGCACGGAGCCGGCGATCGTCGCGAACCCGGAGCACATGACCTGGTGGATTTCGGCCCTGGTGAGATGCGCCACGAAGGGTTTGATGAGCATCGCGGACTCGCCCTGTCCGATGAACGGCGATGCGGCCGCCACGACCGCCTCGGCGCCGGAGACGCGCATGCTCCAGAAGAAGAAGACGGCGAACTTGCCGATGGCCCACTGCAGCACGCCCGAGTAGTAGAGCAGCTGCACGAGCGACACGAAGAAGATGATCGCGGGGATGACCGTGATCAAGAACCACGTGTGAGTGGCTGCGAAATTCGTCTCCACCAAGAAGTCGACACCCTGCCCGGCGAAGCCCAGCAGCTCTCTGGCCAGCGTCGACACGAAGTTGAAGATGTCATAGCCAGCTTTGGTACGGAGCACGAAGAGCGCGACGATGAACTGCACCAGCATTCCCACAATGACGGTGTGCCAGACGATCTTCTTGCGGTCCCGCGACGTGGCCCACAGGCAAAAGAGAAACACCACCAGTCCAAACAGACTGACGGCGCGGTTGGCTCGCGTGTTGTCGGCAGTCTCCTTGGATGCAAAGGAGCCGACAAGGATCACCGCAATGGTTAAAAGCGCCGCGCTGGGGATTCTGAGCCTCTCCGGGATCAGGCGAACAAATGGCCGGGCGGTACGATCCCAAGCCCAGTAGGCTGGCCGGGTCACGACGGACACCGGGATGTAGAGGGTGATGAGCCGGATGGTGATGGCGAGATACAGCAGGAACGGGATGAGCCAGCCCAAATCGTAGCGATGGAGGATCAGACCAGCAATCCACCAGCTAAGGAGGGAAAGTAACCAACGATGAGTGTTTGAATCCCAACATGAAACCCAAGTCCACAGGACCGAGAAAGGCAGTGCAACTGAATATGAGAAACCCACTCACCCAGTGAACAAGAGCCAGATCACAGCATAGAAGACATGCTTGATGTATTTGCGATAACGGTGATAGAGGTTGCGCGTAGGATAGCTTTCCCCGGCCTCCTCGAGATCCTTGTCACTATGGCTTCGATGCTGGTCCGACATGCTGGGTTCCTGTATCGTGCTCTTCACCTCTTTGGCATAGATGATGTCGTCCTCCGGGCCCTTCTCGGCCAGACCCGAGTGGTGGGGATGACCATGATGGTGCTGATTTGCAGGCTCCAGTGCAGGATCTACATGTCGTGTGGTTTCGTGAATGTGGGGGGATACACCTTTCACCTCTGCAGCTCTGTTATCATCTGCCATGTCGACCTTTCGTGCTTACCACCCAGGTACTGCGCTTAGTGATGTGATGAGACGAGTCCTCAAAGCGCAACTGTGATGTTCCCCTTGCAGACGACGACAGGGAGGCTGCGTCACGTTTGCTGAGAAGAATGGGCAGATCTGGTGGCAGTCCCAGCCAATTTAAAGCTGAACAGACCTGTAGAGTAGATAGGCTGGTTGTCAGATAAGATAGAGAGAGGAAGGCGAATGATGGAGGAAGAAAAAAAAAAAAGAAAAAAAGAAAAGCAAGTCCCTCTCTCAGGCCAACACAAGGTGATGGTTCAATGTGTTCCCACCCACAACCGATCGAATGACAACCTCGTGCGGAGAGAGACTAAACTTCCAAGTCCAACACAGACTGCATATTATCGCGGCATAGAATGGAGTAGCCACTCAATGGTCAGATGCTATTCGAAGAGAGCCATAGGGAGAGACAGGGTAGGGAGAGAGAGATAGAGCGGTTACTGTTAGCCTAGTCTCCTCTGGAGCTCATGTCCGCAGTTCAGGATTATTATGATGATAAGTAGAGTTAACTACTCGATACAGCAGCACGTCGTATCAATCCTGGGCATCAAGCGCAGCCATCCACGAGGCCAAGGATTAGAGGCGTCTGGTAGTCAATTGTTTAAGATTTTTCGTCTCTTTCTGCTCGAGAAAAGCCGTGTAGCGAATGGTGAGTGTCGAGAAGGACGGAGAGGGAGCCGGGGCATGATAAGACTGTTACACTGCTAAAAGTAACTTGGGCCAACGATGCCGACCAGTCTCCAACGAGATTGGGTGGTTGATCAGCGACTGTAGCCGTGTTTCTCTCTTCTTTTTCTTTTGGGTTTTTTCTCCGCTTAAGTCTCATCGAGGAGTGGAGATCGAGTATGGAGCTAGACTCTTTGTCCTCTGAAAAGTACTTTCTGGTTAGGATTGTCTGTGATGGGAAGAACATCACGCGGTATATCAGCATCGGGAATTGTCCCACCATGAATCGATTCTCCATTCTTGCTTTTATTCCCCATTCCTGCTAAGATAGTGCAGAAGTCTCCAGGAACGGGTGTTGACGTTGCTACGATATTCTCTCTGCTGTGGTCGTCGTGTTAAAGTACAGAGTTTCGCTTCTATCCCTATACTTGTGCTTGTGGGTGATCAACGTCGAGTTGTGGGCTTGTGGGTTTGTGTGGAGACCGTGGAAACTCGGCGGAAAACTTCCTTTCAACTAATTTGCAGGCTGAACACTCTGGAAGAAGAGCAAAGAGAAAAGAAAAAAGCCAAGTACAAAGCAGCCAAGATCCTTCATTCATCGATGAATCAACAATCATCTCAATTTTCCGTAAGTAACTACGGAGTAACGCCTCAAGATTCAGATAGGCTCATTTCCTTGGGGAAAAGAATCTTATCCGCAGTACTGATCCGGATCGGGCCAGAGGTCAAAGCCCTGGGGCCACGGGATTTAACTCATTATTAACTAGCTAGTGCTTGCTTAGTCTTGTCCACAGCAGAGCAGAGATGCTAGATAGTTATCGAGCTATCTACCCAGTTGTCTCTGTTATCATGACATTTCAATCAATCCTCAGCTGGCCTTTCCATCCAATACCATTCAGGCTGGGAAATATGTATCTCCTGCAAGCCATTTAAAAACCACCCTATGATCTATCATCGATCCCGGCGATCTGACACGTGAACAAGTAAAGATAGGCGATCTCCGAAGCTGTACGTATGCGAGTATGGGAGCTGATGCTACCTCGATATGTGCGAGGCGTTTTTGTTTTAGGAGTGCCAGAGAGCGGTCAATCCATTACACTTTGCTGGTCTTGCCGTTGGAGCACTGTAGAGTGTAGGCTGACAGACTCAAACTCGAAACATAAAGGTTAATCATAATAATATGTACCTAACAATTGTTCGAGTACCGTGGACAATGGAGAGGCACCGATGGTTGGGACTGGAGAAACTGGCATGATATGATATGATATGATATGATATGATATCAACCACGGGTTCACGCCATGATTATCAAACCCCCCTAAGAACGCCACTACTGTAACCTCCAACGGGCGGTTCCAAGGTTACATCCAATTCCAGCCCCAGAAGTCAGTTTTGCTCCGAACAGACGGAAACCTGACCTCGGTCTAGGGGATAAATCCGGATTCACACACTCCAACCCAGATAGATCACTTGGTGATAACGCATAGGTAATTGATTCTCTCACATTGCCTCACCACCACGTGTTCCCCAGATTTTTTTTTTCTGTGTTCAAGTGAGAATGTCGATTGGATTCTCAACCAGGCTCAGGCTGCCAGGACCAGGCATGCATGGACTCCGACGGAGGCCAAGTTCCCAGCGTCTTATCCTTCAGGACCGGGGATAACTTAAATAGATTGTTAGAAGGAATACTAATCAATAATCTGGTCTACATCGTATGTACTAGATAGATAGCTAGGTGATAGATATTTCGATCAGGCGATCATATCACTTGTTGTATTGAACAGGGGACAATCTGCCACATTTCATCCTTCGAGTAGATATACAGAGTAGAGTACAAGACCAGACAAGACAAGACAGCGTCCCCATCTTGTTCACCTCACTCTGTTCACACTTCACAGTCTAAGGTTAAGGTTGAGGATCCTCAGCCAGTCCAAAATAATGATGCGCGAGCCTAAGGCAGAACTGCGCTTTGCATTATTGGTTGTAGCGACTGGCCAGTCCGTCACCAGCGGGCACAGGTGGGGATCCTCCAGGACTTGCCCCTCCCAGTTGTTAATACTCCGTAAGCCATCAATTGAACGCAACTGTCCATCTAACCATCCGAGGTACTCACATTATCCTTTAGAGAAGAGATAATAACTAGTTACAAGAGGTCATTCTTCAAGTGGACGGATTTCATCGAATTATACAAGAATATAGATATATACATACGCCAGTGACTGTCTTCCAGAATGGGTTCGAATGATACCGAGTGGGAGCTGGAGGAAGGCATTCCTCAGGTCGAAGACCCCTTCATCCAGCAGTATCTCAAGGGTCGTCATTCCCTGGTTCAAGAAGAGCAGAAGTTACGCCACGGTCAGTCCTCGTGCATATATATGCCGGGATTGTGACCACCGAAGAGTTAACACTGTCCAGATGCCAACCTTCGCAAGGCCCTTTCCCCGCTGGCGATCAAGGCAAGCAAGATCGTCTCCAAGATCCGTGAGCGGGAACTCAAAACGGTCTGGTCCAAGGACTTGAGCGAGAAGGAAGCCCATGAAGCCGATGAAATTCTTTACCCCGGGGTGATGTTCCACCTGGCCAGGGGAAAGATGGAAACTACCGATCTATGGAAGATCGTAAACAAAATGCCCAAAGGTTCCCTTTTACATGCTCACATGGATGCCATGTTTGACATCGATTTCCTGATCGAGCAGGCGTTTGCCACTCCGGGAATACACATGGCGGCCCCGCAGCCATTACTCACTCCGAAGGATTTTGAAAAAGCCCCGTTTTACCTTCAATACTCGTCCCGACCAGTGGAAGAGTCGGCGGAGAAGCCACTGGTGTGGTCGTCTTCCTACGAGGCATCAACCTTGCTCCCATTGCAGAGGGTCGCTTCATCCTTTCCGAACGGTGGAGAAGCTGGCTTTCGTGAATGGCTGAAGAGTCGCTGTGTCATAGGCCCAGAACATTCATATTACCACCATCACGGAGTTGATGCCATTTGGGAAATCTTCAGGCGCTCGTTCCCCATCATCAACTCTATTCTCAATTATGAGCCGATCTTTCGCGCATGCCTGCGTCGCATGTTCGAACAGCTCGCCACAGACGGGGTTCGCTACGTGGATTTCAGAATTGGCTTTGTCTTTAAATACCGGCGACAAGGGTGTGACAAGCCCGAAGACGGATACATGGAATGGTGCCGTGTCTTCAAGGAGGAGCTGGAACAATTCAAGGCCACAGAAGCAGGGCGACGATTCTATGGCGCCCGGATTATCTGGACTACCCTTCGTCTCTTTGGCAACAAAGGCATCACCGAAAGCATGAAGCAATGCATCGAGACCAAACTTGCCTATCCAGACGTGATCTGCGGTTTTGACGTGGTGGGACAAGAGGACCTGGGCCGACCACTGGTCGATCTTGTCCCAGTCCTGTTCTGGTTTCGCAAGCGTTGCGTTGAAGAAGGCGTAAACATACCCTTCTTTTTCCATGCAGGAGAATGTCTCGGCGACGGCGACCAGACAGATCACAACCTGTTTGATGCGATCTTGTTAGGCACCCGACGGATCGGACATGGATTCTCCCTCTACAAACACCCCTTGCTCGTCGACCTCGTGAAGGAGAAGAAGATTCTCATCGAGTGCTGTCCGATCTCTAACGAGATTCTGCGTCTTACCAGTTCCATCAAATCCCATCCCCTTCCTGCCCTTCTCGCGCGCGGTGTCTCCGTTTCCCTCTGCAACGATGACCCGGCAATTCTTGGACACGGCCAGAATGGTCTGACCCATGACTTCTGGCAAACACTGCAGGGCCTCGAAAACATGGGTCTTACAGGGCTTGCTATGATCATAGAAAACTCCATCCGCTGGAGCTGTTACGAAGATCAGACGACTGCGGAATGGCTGGCAGAGATTGAAGATGGGATCCTAGGTGATGGCCTGAAGGCTACACGTCTGAAGGAATGGTATGAGGATTTCCAGGAATTTTGCGAGTGGATCGTATCGGAGTTTGCGCATGTTGACGTCGACGAGTGATGGTAAAAGTCCATGATGGTTTGGTCTCCCTTTCCCATTTCTTTATTCTGTACGTAGAGGCGCCGGTGTGTATGGGTTAGATGAGAACAACATGAAAACACCATCAAGTAGAGTATCATTTCCAACTTGCGATGCCATGCTCTATTAGACATGTCATATGAGGTGTCATGAATACCTTGAAGGCTTATGGAGTCTGGACACTAATTGAGTCGATCAAGGCTTGTCTGACCCTCCACCACGTGATTGCCGACGACACAGTTGGTTTATTTCCGATTGGGGTCAGTCAGCAAACAGTCAACAGAGGAAACTTGGTGACATTTCAAGTCGAGTACCAATGTAGAACACTCCGTCCAGAGGATGGATGCCAAGTGACTTGCATCACTGGATGAGTTTTGTTGTGAAGAGGCTGATATGATTGCCTGACCCTATCCCAAATAGGAATAACCATGCCAGTTTCCCCAGGCATCTTCAATCCTTGGCGTATCCCGCAAACTGTTGAGGGGTGCAAACTGCAAAGACGATGGAGGTAGAATCAACATCAGTTGCCACTACCACCGAAGCGGCAAAATAGTATTGGAGCCCCGTTTCAGTCTGGTCACTGCCTGTTTCTCTACACATGAGTGAAATTAGAGGCTGTCGAAGGCTGTCGGTCAGTATATCAAGGTGTGAGTTGTCAATGTGTGATTTGTTTGGGCTCCGCCTTAGCTCCGCCTGACTAGTGCTGTGGTTGATCATCGCTATCTATCTATCAACACTATCAGTATCAGCACCCCCCAGGAACGTCATCCTATCCGGGGATTAACATTTCATTCAAACAGTCAACTGTTCGACATCAACTCTCCCCTTTGTGGGATTCCCCCATACAACTAGAGCAGGGACCTTTTCTTTTCTTTTGCCTTTTTTTCTTATTATAATTCCACTCCGATGACATTCGACATTCTTAGATGAGCCGCCGGTTGGCTCCTGTCGCCCAACGATGGCCTACTTCCTACCTTCCTTCTTCCAGAAACGGCTGCTCAGATATGCCTTGTCCCGCTTGGAGCTCGTTGATACCGAAGCTCTCGACCTGGACAGTCTGGGTATCCGATGGGGACAACGGAGCAGCGTCGAGTTACGGGACATAGGTCTGAAGCTTGAGGTGAGTGCTACTTGGCAGGCACGACATACCACTTTACGGCATCATCCCCTGCATCGAGGTGGCGAGCTGGACTGCTAATCCTTTTTTCCGTTGGCTCCTTGAACAGAAACTCGCTACTATCCTTCAGCTACCTCCCTCAAGCGAACTGCTCAGTGCCAAAGTCCGTTTCCTGAAGATCACCGTCCCCGCCGATATTTATAGTAGCGGCATCATCTGCGAGGCTAGCGGCATCGATGTACATCTTCGATTACCGCCGGAAGAGTCATCCCGTGCTACCAAAGAGGGAGAACAACCTCACCGGAAGTCACTCGAAGCCGTTCAACACGATCCGAGTGGCGATCACATCCTTCCCACCCCGGCCGATCTCGCGCAATCCTTCCTCGAAGCCGAACCGAAAGAGGAGAAGGACGAACTACAAGCTGCCATCACATCACGATCTCAGGTACTGCATTGCACGGCAACGTCTCTCAATGATGATGAGGAAGAACTCGGTCTTGGTGATGAGGGCGTATCGCTGCCCAGCTTTGTTGCTGCTTTCCTGAAGGGCGTTGGGGAGCGGTTGCAGGTCAAGGTCGATAATGTTTCAATACGGGTTGATATGGAAACGAAGCAGGATGGGCCGGTCAAGAGAGAACCTGAAGATAAGCCGGATGTCGTGACGGGACTTCTGACTGTTCGAGAGATCACGGTTGGCGCAGTGAGCAGCGCAGCGTCGGGTAAACCTGACGAGATCCTACCTTGTAGGCGAAATAGACCGATCTCCATCTTCGATATTGACGTGGCTCTGATATCGGAGCCTATCGTTTTCTCAAATTACTCCCGATTTGCTCCGCCCTCATCGCCCACAACTCCTATGCAGCCGCGGGCGAGCGAGCCGGCCAGCAGGGTGCCATCACCATCACCTTTAGATACTCCCGACACTGAATCCGTTCTGGCCATGACCAGATCAACAATATTCGAGCCGCCGGAGAAACACCCGGTTGACGAAACAGAGGAGCCTGCCGTTGGTGGAATGGAAGAGTCCGCGTACACCTCCGACGGACGATTCTCTGATGCCGATACCGATGAAGAGAATCGAAGCGGCAGTTATCTTGAGGACTCCCAACCGTTTCTAGGCGATGATAAACTCTTCGACAATCCAGCATATCTTGACTCGGTTCTTGACGCCCAATTCCAAGATGGTGATGTAGAACCCCCAGAGGATCTGCTATCTTTCCACGAACAACCCGCTTCGAGCAGTGGAACGCCACGCTCTCAGACCCCTGAATTGCACACTAGCTCGAGGTTTGAAGGGTCAGGCAGTGAAACAGATCGTGCTGCAAGATTATCACAACATGGACAAGGATCGTTCAACAACGGATCATTTCGTGACACTCATCACTCTCGCGATGCGACTCCTAGCGTTTCGCAGCTTGTTTCCCATGATAGATCTGCCGAAGCTTCTCATTTGAGAGCAGAGTCAGAGAGACAATCGTCATCCCACGTTTTTGGGCCGCCCTCCGATGCTGGTAGTCTTAGCTCATCTGATTCTGCCAACTGTGGCGAACTCGCCGAGTCAAAACTGTTCTCGCGCGAGGAGGCGCAGAGTATGTACATGAGTGCCATCAGCCAGGGTTCGGATAGAAGCTTCATGCCCAATATCCCGGGAGCATGGGATTCGCCGGAATCGACATTCGTACGAAGGGTCAATACCCACACCCGGCTCGCAGACGCGGCCAGCCCAAGCCGGGTGCAGGAAGATGAGACATCTGTATCAACGCCGAAACTGACTGCTCGAGAGCAATCAGATGCATCTACGCCGCAGCCGTTCAACGAGCAAGATAAGTCATTTTCTCAGCCAATTGAGTCCGCAGCTCCTCAATCTTCGCCCACTCTTGGCAGGTTTTCAGATGTTGCCAAGCGATTCTTGAACATTGATCGAGTATCTATATTGATTCCTGTTGATTTCGACGAGAATTCTACAGAGAGCCCATCTTCAAGTGACAACAAGGGATCAGGAACCCCCGCAGGCGTCCCATCACCTGAGAGCGATATGTTGTCATCCACAATGTATGCGTCCGCGCGACTTCGGAGCGATTCCCTTATCTCTCCCACTTCATTTGAAGGACCTCAGCTCAGGTCGCCACCTCGGCAAACAAACAAAGCGGATCAAAACTTTGTCTCTGGGCACCGGGCAGATGAAATCGTTGTCGAGGTGTCTTCCATAGACATACAATTTGACAATGCTATTGGGTGGCTTGTTGCCAAGGTTGGTCCACGCCTTCTTCGTGCCTTTAGCGGCGATGGCAAGGACATCCCCGTCGCGAGCAATGCACCAGAACCCGTGCAGGCCCGGCACAGCCTTCGTCTTGCCCTCAATAGCTTCTGCATCAAATACCTTGATCACATCCCCGGTCAAACATTTGCCCCTGGAGACGCTGCTTCTCACTTACCGTCTTCTTTCTCGTTGTCCCATGAGGATATAATCCTACGTCTTGCAGCGTCCGGCTTGAACGCGCGCTTTTTGGCTGAGAAGAACACTACGAAGTTTGGGGTAGAGATTTCCAAATTCGCTTTTGGGCTTGCTTCGGATGATCTGATCTCATTCAACGAAAGTTTGAAGATGCGAGAATCGACGAGAGATTTGTTGTCGCCTCTGCATGGCGATATCTCTTTATCTCTGACCAAATCTCCAGACTCCGCAAGCCTGAATATCTCGACACTACCCCTTCAGCTTGACCTCAATGTCCAACGCTTGGAGGAAGTTCTAGGTCGGGTGGGCGGCCTCAGTACTATCTTGGAGGTCGGGAATTCCATTTCATCAGTCTCAAGCGGGAAAAGCGTGAAGAAGGAACCCCCAAGACGAGCCCGTGGCGTGCATTTTGAGAATTCACCGCCACCTGGAGATGCAGTTCAGAACGAATCTCAGCCCTGGAAAGTAAACGCCCGACTCGGTGGAATTGTACTGGACGTTGCAGGAGATACGCACTACATCAGGCTTAAGACGACTGCCGTCAAGGTTGTCAGCCGATTCGAGGGCATTGGTGTGCAGATTGACAAAGCAAAGCTAAGCGGGCCGATACCCCTTGATGAGTCCAAAGATGCGCCAGCCAAAGTCAACTTGACCAACATTCGCGTTGAATTTCTTCACACACCGAAGGAGCCTGATCTAGATCGGTTACTCGCAATCATCACACCGTCAAAAGACAAATATGATGAAGATGATGACATTATGCTAGACACGCTCTTCCGGCAACGAAGACAGGGCTCTGTGCTTCGTACAACAGTTGCCGGCGCATATATTAATATTTCCCGCACCCGTGACCTCGATTCGCTCTCACAGCTAGGTGAGGAATTGGGCAGGTTATCAAGTGTCACCAAGTATCTTCCCGAAGACGATCGTCCAGGCATCCTGACCCTCACACTGATTCGCGAACTGGAGGCTCAAGTTGACATTGGTGGGACTATTGGAACTCTCGCGGCGCATGTTAGAAACGCTGAGGCTGCTTATATTAGTATGCCTTCGCTCATTGCTGCTCAGCTCGGGGCAATCACTCTTGTAAGAAATGGAAGTGAAGAGCTCGTGGGCGAAGCCTTGCCGTTGGGCATCGGCCAAGGCCAAAGCCAGGGTCATCTACCAGTATTGATGGCTCGATATATCGCTGATGAGATGGACCCAACCATCAAGATCAAATCCCATAATTTGCGTGTGGAGTACACAGTACCAGCGATAGTAGCGCTTCTGGGGCTGAGCGAAGAAATGACCCCCGGAGACGTTGCCGCCAACATGGCCAATTCTTTGGCCAGCATTGCGCAATCGCAGCATTTGCAACGGGTTCCTTCCAACTCGTCAGCGGGATCAGAGACCCGACAGGCTCCTTCGAAGTCAAGCAGACTCGCAATCGCGCTTCGAGACTGCGTTATCGGACTCAATCCTCGTGGTGCAGCCGCCAAGGGTCTGATCGTGCTCACCAATGCAAAGTTCTCAGCTGCAATTTCAGATCAGGGGTCCTCAGAAGCGATGCTGGATCTGAAGAAAGCGTCCATCATGATAATCGACGATGTCAAGAACGTGGGGCTTACAGAGAATCTTCGTCGCGGGAGATCAACAATCCCGCAAAGCAATCAAGTGCAGTCGTTCATCGACCTGGGCTTCGTCCCTGTTTCTTCCATATCGTCAGCAATGGCGACAGTGAAACTCACGGCCCCGGATGAGGATGGGACCAAGGCTATAGACGTTGAACTTAAAGATGATTTATTGATCCTCGAGACCTGTGCCGATTCAACACAGACTCTAGTCACTATACTCAACGGATTGCAGCCTCCAACACCGCCGAGTGTGGCTGTGAAATATAGAACTGAGGTCCTACCTCTTGAGGATATGCTCGCCTCCTTTTCCGGGGATGCGTTCACAATGGATTCGCCTCATGATCAGGCAGGAGTTTCCGAAGTCTCTGTCAGTGCTGCACCCGATGATGCCGAGCCACGCATCGAAGATGAGCTCGAGTATGTGAGCGATTTCTATCCTGTCAAGCCCGGTACAGGACGCCAAGGGTCGAATGGGGAATCTATGTCCTCAGAGTCAAAAGATCTCCTGGACAGCTTCCACTCACAGTACTATGTGTCGTCCAGTGTTTCTGATCTGGACTTCCGTGAAGACCATTTTGCCCAGCCGTCAGCTGTAGGAGGCACGGCACATCGATGGGATTCCACGCAGAACACATACGGCCTATCCGATGACTCGAAGATTCAGAAGAGTCCGTTGAGAATTCGCGTTCGTGATGCCCATGTTATCTGGAATTTGTTCGATGGCTACGACTGGCAAAGGACAAGAGACACCATCTCCAAGGCTGTGAAAGATGTGGAAAAGAAAGCCACCGAGCGGCGTGCCAGAGCGGGTAGTCGGGCCCCAGATTTCGATGAGGAAGAAGAGTCTGTGATTGGCGACTGCCTCTTCAACTCAATATATATCGGGATTCCCGCCAACAAGGACCCTCGGGACCTCCGTAATGATATCAATCGCAATATTGATGATCTTGTCAGTGAGACAGGCAGCTATGCAACGACGACTACAGTCACTGGAGCCACAATCCGGCAAGGCCAATCGCCTTCTATCAGAGGGAAGAAATTGCGGTTGTCTCGGAGCAAGTATCACAAGATGACATTTGAGCTCAAGGGCATCTGCGCGGACCTCGTCGTCTTTCCTCCGGGCTCAGATGAGACGCAGAGCTCGCTCGATGTCCGTGTGAGGGACCTAGAGATCTTTGACCACGTCCCTACGTCGACGTGGAAGAAGTTTGCGACGTATATGCAGGAGGCTGGGGAGAGGGAAAGCGGGGCTAGCATGGTCCATTTGGAAATCTTGACTGTGAGGCCTGTGCCAGAGCTAGCGGCCTCCGAGATTGTACTCAAGGTAAGCAAGTTGTGGGAGTTGTTGTTGATCCCGATAGAAATGGCCTAACATCTTCATAGGCAACCCTTCTTCCTCTGAGACTACATGTCGATCAGGATGCACTCGACTTCCTCTGCCGTTTCTTCGAGTTTAGGGATGACTCTGCGCCTGCACCGAGTTCCCCGGCTGAGGTTCCATTCTTGCAGCGAGCCGAGATCAATGCCGTCCCTGTCAAACTTGACTTCAAACCCAAACGTGTGGATTATGCCGGGCTCAGGTCTGGTCGAACCACCGAGTTCATGAACTTCTTTGTCCTAGACGGTGCAGACATGGTCATGCGGCATGTTATCATCTATGGGGTTTCTGGGTTTGACAAACTGGGTCAGACTCTCAACGACATCTGGATGCCGGATATCAAGAGGAACCAACTCCCGGGTGTGCTGGCTGGACTGGCTCCCATCCGGTCCCTGGTCAATGTGGGCGGCGGCGTGAAAGACCTCGTCGTGATTCCTATGCGCGAATACCGCATGGACGGCCGGATTGTGCGCAGTATCCAGAAAGGCGCACTTGCGTTCGCGAAGACGACATCCAACGAGCTCGTGAAGCTCGGTGCCAAGCTCGCCATTGGCACCCAGACGGTTCTGCAAGGAGCCGAGGAGCTGCTGACGACACCGAATGCGCCAATACCGGGCTCTGAAGAAGATATGGCGGACGAAGAGGAAGCAAAGAAGATCTCACTCTACGCCGATCAACCGGTAGGAGTGGTCCAGGGTTTGCGTGGTGCGTTCCGAGGCCTGGAGCGAGATCTGCTTCTCGCGCGAGACGCCATCGTGGCCGTTCCCGGCGAGATTGTGGAGAGTGGCAGCGCCAAAGCGGCGGCCAAGGCTGTCTGGAGACGCGCCCCGACTGTCATTCTGCGGCCTGCGATAGGCGTATCCAAGGCCGTTGGGCAGACGCTGCTGGGTGCTGGAAACACCCTAGATCCGAGCAATCGTCGGAAGATGGAAGATGTAAGTGTTGCCATTCTTTTTGGCGGGTATTTGTTTTTTTTTTCTGACGACGGCATGCTAACCTGCTTCCAGAAATATAAACGCCATTAACACCTCTGGCAAGTGGTGGGCCATGAACCGAATGATGAATCGATACTTACGTTGCGTTTGCTCCTTTCTGGACAAGATACCTAACTGCTTTTGTCTTGCTTTCTTTTGCGTCAACGGATTTTTTATTTTCATTGTTGACTTGGAGAGTGAAAGAATGCCTTTTCATTACTACCTTCGGGCTCTTGATTGCGTATATCAGGCGAACTGTTCAGGTCGTGTTGCTATCTTGGTCCTTCGGTTTGCTTTCTGTTTCATATGGGAGATTTCCAGATTGTCACCTCGTATATAATGTTTTGTGTTTTGCAACAGGCGGGTCCTTGACATCTTTTTCTTTCTTTTTTTGCTACGACGAAGATGATTGATTAAATCCAGGCAATGGCCACGAACTTTGATACCTGCTTTCCGGGAGGCACTCCAGCGAGACACCTACTAGATCTGTTCGGGTAGACGATGGTTTTTCACATACTGCGAGAGGCGCAAAATGATTCGAATTCACCATACAAATTTGATGATAGACTGGAATTCTCGGCCGGATCTTCTCTATTCCCCATCATCTTATCGTAGAGTCTCAGCTATTCCGAGTGACGAGTAATCTGATACTGACTACGATTGTGCTTGAGTACATCCGCGAAGCCCTTACTAACAACCAGGTGAGAAGAGACGTGGTGATATTGAGCTCTGGCTCTATGCCCAGTACTCGGGCTACAGCATAGCACATAAGCTGGAAAGTCATGTTCTACGTTCGGCGTACAACTGTCGCCTGTTTGGTCAGGTTTAGTGAGTGTCGTTGGAATCAAGCAGTGTGTATGTCTGAGGATAAGCGACAATGACTTACTTGTATAGTTTGTCTGGCCCTTTCTTTTCCCTTAGGCTACTCATGTTGAGCTTAGCATATTGGAAAGAAAACAATACTTCAGTTTACTCTGCCATCCTCAGCTATCTAAGGATTGGGTCAATGGAAAGTACAATGTAGGCCCTTGTTTTCTCCTACATAGGCCCACAGCATGGAAGAATAAGAATACTCCATGGCTACTTCAATGAAACTATGCTTCAACTTTCAGTGACTCATCTATTCAATTTCACAAAGCCTGAGCTTGCTGAGAAGAATGCCTGTATCTACCTTCAACACATGGCAAATATACCCCAAGGAGATACCAAAAGCCATCCCCTCATGGACCTCTCTGCCAATCGATAGGAACGGAGTGGACTTTTGTGCACCCTTGCTGGACCCAAATGATGTCTACTGAGCTCTGTGCGTCTTCGGAATCTGTTAGATGCGGGATGCGATAGAAATATCTGAAAGATCCTCAACCAACTCATCCTTCCTCTGGGCCGGGAACGGATTCTGGTAGGGCGTTCATTCATACACTGTTCGCTCCTGGGGGTTTCTGATAGGTTTTCAGGAGCCGGGCCATAAATCATCACCTTCCCCTTTCAGGTCCCTGACCCTCAGATCCCGTTTCCTAAGTTTCGACTCATGTCCAAGGAAGAGGTTAAACGGTCTTTCTATCAAAGCAGTAACTCCATGGCCTACGGGGTACGCATTCTCTGACGTTTTCCGTGCTCTTTCAGCTAACCATTCTGCCATGAAGATCATGCAACGCTGAGATCTTCCATCCGTCTCTGACTCTCAATTTGTTCAACGAGAAACACTCCGAATGGCATCCTGTTGAGGCATGGCAGCTCAAACCCAAATATAATCACCCACACGCCATGATCAGCACCATACACGACGTCAATTGAGAAGAGAAGCCGCTGCGTGGGTAGGTTCTTGCAATTCTTGCCGCTATGAAGACGAGGCTGCAGCTGCCTGAGTATTCTGGTTATGTCACTATCGGAGAAGATAGATGAGCCGCTGGGATTGGGCTCAAAGAAGCATCAACTACCCGGTACCATCAGGGTTTTGCATCATTTCCACAATGTGACTACACCTACCATTAGCGCGCCATGTACACAGGAGCTACTGAGGCAGGAAGTAGCTGAGCTAGCTTTTAGTATTAGTGCAAAATAAGTCTCTATTATAGTAAAGTAGCTAACACATCAGACTTAGACACTATTTATCATGCATACCCTTATTGCAGTAGTGATATCACATCTTAGCCATACTGTCCCAGATAATACCACCTACAAGCTAGCCAAGGCTTATTATTAGTAACAGGCTATCAGCTAGTACTCTAAGGAGCTAGCCTTAGGTATTAGACCCTATAATATAGACTTACTATTCTCTATATATCTACTTATAATAGTTATCTTATTCACACTAGATGAGTACAACCCCCAGAAATCATTCATATTCTCTAATAATCCCAGAGCCCTCAGCTAGCTTATTCTGCAGGGCAGTCTGCACCACCTCCTTAGCCTTACCAGGCCCTAGCTGTGCATTAGCATATGGCTGGGTGTATTTATAGATAATATTAAGAAAAGTAAGATCTTTAATAACTATATAACTATTAGCTAGGATGGGCAGGTCTGCACCCAGCAGTCCAGCACTAGTCGATATATGTAGGATTAAAGATATAACCACTGAGGAGTTAAATCTATATCTATAGCTACTGCGCATGCTTACTGTGTTACTTACAGCAGAGTAGTTAATAAAGAGTTTCTCTATATATATAGCTTTTATGGGTTATCTGTTACCTAGTTTCTAGGTACCTGCTGAAGCATGTGCAGGATCAGACTTGGGAAGAGAATTCTGCAGTCATTAACACTCTCCTACTGTACCAGCCAGACACTGGTTTTGCAGTGCTTGCAGAGATGAGATAGAAGTTATCATGGTATATCCCCGTGAGTCTAGTAATTTACCTAAGCATTAGATCCCAGCTCTGACTGATGGACTGGTGGGTTGCTGACTGCTGTTGCAGATCCTTGTCTTCTCGTATGTGGGCCCGCAGCTTGGACGAATACTCCATGCCTACTTTGATGGCAGACGTGGTATAAGATAAGCTACACATGCATGATGTCTTCAGAACTCCATATGTCGGCCATAGCAAATGCTCCATCTTAAGATGATAAGCCCTAAGCCCTATTATTAGCACTTACAGACGGAATATATTGTTGCGTCGACAGAACTGTCAGCTTTCAGCAAATGAGCTTGGTTCCTGAGCTGCTAGCGCATGTAGCAAGCAAAGAATTCTGTGACGGGAAAGGACAAAGCCAAATAGAACGAGAGCAGTTCTTGTCGCTCGTCCCCGTGATCGAAACCGACAATGGTCCAGCTAACACTTGAACAGGGGTTTTCGATCAGCACGAGGCAATGCTGACGATCTCTTCCCCCTCTTCCCAACCTCTCATTGATGGGCGTCGACCGTTAAAAAGTGTTGTGGATGACAGAATCACGAAACTTCAACGATCATGACCATAGTCATCATGATTCCCTATGGGACAAGAACATTCCATGTGATTGGGGGAGCGAGAATTTGAGTCTCACCACCCCAGACGAATAAGAAGCTCAGACGCGGCTTTTGCCTTTACGACGGACTCGTCAATCCCTACAACGCAGCTTAACTCTGTTAGTCCATAGTGCGCAGTTCCGAGAGTCTGAGGAGCAACAACATGAAACGAGAGATCACTTGCAAGTTGCTGCAAGTGCCTGGCAGATTTTCCACTCTCACCAATCCAATGGATCCCACCGGGCTGAGAATAAAAATAACGAGGTGATGGATCATCTTGGTGTGACGACAGGGTGGTTGATTCTCCCCCGGCATTGGGGCCACGTTTCCTGGTGCCCAACTAGAAGAGTGAGCGGTGGTGTGGACAGTTTGTGAGCCATAGAGTTGCTAAAAGGAAGTGCATCTGGACTGTCTGGAGTTCTGTCGAGTGGATGACTGGTCATTGCGTCTGGGAGTGGATAATGAGGCTGTTGAGTGGACGCAGCAGCCAACGTCAAGTCGAAATCCTCGAGGGAGAGAGAGGCGATGCAGACAGCAGGCTGTGACACTGTGACTATTGTGATTTTTCCTTTATTATTATTTTCCTTCTTATTTTTCCTTCCTCCATTTTGATCTGGCATTTATTCTGACGTTCGCTTTTTCTTTCCCCCCCTTTTATTTGTCTAGACCTCCATATTATCGAGATTGTTCTTCTTTCACCTTTGCGACTCTTTTCCCTCTTCTTGCGCCGTTCCTTCTTCTATTTGACTACGCAGAGTCAGGGCAATGAGTCTCTCTTTGTGGTGATTGCCGACCTTATGGTGGGATTATGTCCTGGCCGGATGAACCTCTCAATGCTCCCAGAGAAAAAAAACCTGAATTGTACGCCAGGCGCTCTGCATCATTCTTGTTTCTGTCTTCCGCGCGCTGGCCTGTCGCGGATGAGAATACCGTCCACTACCTTTGACATTGTCCATAATCATGGATACTGCTCAGGGCAATCGCATCTGGCAAGACAGCTACCATGAGCCGCTACGGCTTCGTCCATCGCTGCCCCGGAAATCCTCCGTTCTGGACACTCCTTCGTTACCTTCCACCCCTCTTGATGGCGCCATGCTAAAGCCGGGATATCCGGGAGCGTTGTCGCTACACCATTACCGCAAACATCTCTCCCAAGACGACGGCTTCATCGCCCTTAACCGCAATGAGCGGCAGATTCTGAGACGCAAGAATGCTGCGCACAATCTGAATCAGAGTCAGATGAGCCTGACCCCGCCATTGTGCTCATTCTCCGTCTCCTCTGCGGCGTCGAGCCCACCCCCGCTGTCTCCGTCATACTCGCCGAGCGCTGTATCTCAGAGAAGTGAATACGCGCCGGGAAGACTTGATGACTATCTTTGTATGTACTGCTCGCGCTTTTATCCTTTCTGTGTTGAAGAGCGATGCTGACGGGTATAGTTCCATTCCCATCTAAATTCTCGGGCATAAACACGCCGGAGCCCATGATCCGTCCGACCCCACTGCAAAGCCCGCATCAACTCTTGGTCAGTCCGCCGTCAGGAGCTCTCAAACTCTTAACCCTCCGATCTAACAATGATAGGACACTTTCCGAGCAAGGCTGGCCAAGTTCCCCGAGCCGCAGGAAGAGCCCTTCATACCCAGACATGCCAAAGCCCGCTCTGATTCAATGTTGCTGGAACTGCGAAAACCAGCCGCAACAGTGGAGCACCAGGGGGCGTCGTTCGAGATCCTCAATCCGCACGACTCCCTCAAATTCGCCCGCATAGTCTCCTACATCGAGGACGTGGATAACTCCTCGCTGCGGGAATCGTTCACTTCGACAGATGCGCGCAGCGGAACCCTGATCTTGGAGCACGATGGGCCCGTTGATAAGAGCTTTGATCATTATATCCCTGACGAGGAGGAGCAGAAAGTCCGCGATGAACTCGTCGGGGATTCACCCCACCAGCCCATGCCGTCCATCTCGGAGCGCCTGGAACGGACAGAGTCCGATGTCTTCCAGGCCCAGAACTGGAGTTCAACTGCGCAGTCTAGGCCGGTGACAGGCCATTCCTGTGAGAGTGAACTGGGGGAACCGGGGTCTTCTGTTTTCGTTTCCTATGATGACAGCGGCTGGATGGGCACCATGGAAGATATTCTCCAGACCAAGTATAATGATGAAATGCAGCGGCGCAGATCACTAAGGAGGTCTTTTTCAGGTCGCAAAAAGAAGGGGAGGATTACTTCGTTCAAAGGCTTCCGCCGATTACGTGGATTGGCTCGACGTCTCTTCCGGTGATGGTGATGGTGATGTATATTCTATACGCTGTTGGGATTTGGGGATGGGCGGATTTTATTCGGAAGACAGCCCGGAGCTGTTGTTGAATTTCCTTTCGTGATAGAGCCATCGTTTCCTATATTTAATCTGACGCAGCAGTGTGCCCTTGCTATACAACAGCCCCTTGTGCACAAGGTGCAATGTTCAACAAAAGTCATACAAGCATCGCCATTCTGACGTAGTCACTGCCCTCTCCATCACCTCATCTCATACAAAGACACCACTGCTCCTGGCATCAACACGCATAGCCCCCCTTCCCTCAACCAGCAAGAGCAAACCAGCCATATTCAACTATAACGAACGAATGAAAAGAAAAAAAAAAAAATGCCCACCCACCCAACCGCCCTCGACATCATCCACTCCCAAAACCTCACCCACGCCCTCCCCGACAAAGTCATCCTCATCACAGGCTGCTCATCCGGCATCGGCGCCGCAACCGCCCGCGCCCTCGCCCACACAGACGCAACCCTCTTCCTCGCCGTCCGCGACATCCCCAAAGCCCAACACGTCCTCGCCGACCTCCTCACCCCGGCCCCCGAATCCAGCACCAACAGCACAATCCACCTCCTCCCGCTCGACCTCGCCTCGCTCACCAGCGTCCGCCACGCAGCCACCGAGTTCCTCCGCCACAGCGACAGACTCCACATCCTCATCGCCAACGGCGCGGTCATGGCGACGCCGCCGGGCCGCACCGCCGACGGCTTCGAGACGCAGTTCGCCACCAACCACCTCGGCCACTTCCTGCTGTTCGCGCTGCTGGCGCCGGTGCTGCTGCGGTCTGCGACGGAGGACTTCCACGCGCGCGTGGTGGGCGTGACTTCGTCCGCGCACCGGAAGAGCGGGGTGGATTTTGAGACGCTGGGTGTGAGTCTCCGCGGGAACGGGGACGGGGACGGGGACGGGTATGATCCCGCGCGCGCGTACGCGCAGAGCAAGACGGCGAATATCTACATGATGAATGAGATTGAGAGGCGGTTTGGCGCGCGCGGGCTGCATGGCCTGAGTGTGCATCCGGGGGATATCTTCACGGGGCTGCAGAAGCATGTGGATGAGGAGATCCTGAGGGAGTGGCGGAGGCCGGAGATGAAGCCGTACTTGAAGACGGCGGAGCAGGGGGCTGCGACGGTGGTTGTGGCCGCCGTGGGGAGGGAGTGGGAAGGGAGAGGGGGCGTGTATCTGGAGGATTGTAGGGAGGGGGAGCCCGCGCGGCCTGGGTGTCGCGCTGTGGACCCGGGGTACGCAATGCATATTTGGGATCAGGAGAGTGCGGAGAGGTTGTGGGAGGAGTCCCGTCGGATGGTCGGGGTGCATGACGACCGGAAAGGAAACGATATATAAGCGTGAAAGTGATGAGAAGTAAGAGAATAAGCAAAAGGTTGATTGATACCGGAAAAGAGAAGTATGTACAGTCCGGAATATCTATCTTTAAATATGTACATTGAAAAAAGATAGTCCTCGCAAGGACGTGTAGCCTAGAGAATCGTGTGCGGTGCCTTTTCGACCATCGAGGCCAAGGCAGCACTCACAAGGCTTTTCCTTCTCAGACCCTGCTCGCTTTTCTTACAATGATCCCGGCTGGAGGACAGGCAGTAGCTTTTTTCAATCCGGTGCGACGAGAGAACGCCGGCGCTGCTCTTCCTTCGGTTTCGGTTCTCCAACACTGATGCATCAGAGAGTCCGGAGCCGGCAGCTATCGGTCGATAACGACTGCGGCTTAGCGTGACGGCCCTTCTGCGGGGTGACAGTTGGGGAGGGAGCGAACTCGGGTGACAATCGTCCTCGTTGAACGCAGCGAATTCCGCCGCCTCCTCTTCAGAAAGAAGAGCCCTGCGAATGGCATCGACGTCGGACGGATTGCATTGCAGGCGGGATATATGCTGTCGGTGTGCTCGGATGTTCGTCGTGTCTAGCCCACTGTTCAACAGTGGTTCACCCACCCCACCTTCGAAGGATCCCAACAAGGGTGACTGCTGATGAGGAGACAACGATGGTGACAAAGAAATCATCGATGACGAATCACAATATCCCTCATCATCGTGGTCCGTGTCCGGAGGTGTGAGGAAGTAACCATGAAATGGAGCCGATCCCGATCCCGATCCCATATCCGATACCGACCGAGGGGTGGATGGGGAAGCCGGCACGTCATCCTGCCGTTCGTCCCGGGACTGACTCTGGATAGTATGCTCGTGAAGCTTCCTCGTCAACGTGCCGATAGAGAGGCGCTTGCCGTCGTACGCAGAAAACGGCACGGATGTAGGCGGCTGAGGGGAACGGAAGTGGGATGACCGCGAACGATGTAGATTTCGAGGGAATCGGTGCGATGATGTTGATCGAGGCGAAGGACATCGAGAGGATAATGGAGAAATCAAAGAACTATCACAATCGATCATGAGTCGATCGTCACCGTCGAACGCTAGCCGCGGGGGCCTTGTGGACGACGGCGAAGAGAAAGAGAAGTCCTCGAACATGATGCCGTACTCCGCTGGAATGACCTGCGCACCGATGGTGTTTTTTTTTTTTTGTCTTTTTTGGTGAAACCCCGTTGTGTCCGTCGGGTTCGTCTTGTTCGTGAGAGATAGATGATGAGGGTTTAAGAATATCACCAGGTCGTGAGGTTCAGGCTGAGCGCGTCTCGGGGCAACTTATAAGGCGTTACACTGTGGGAGTGGCCACTTCGGATAGAACCCGTCCGGCGATTGGCGACGGAAAAAAAGAGACAAACGCTAGACAAGGGGTGGGTGGAAAAAAAGAAAGAAAAAAGAATGTCTTGGGGGGCGTCTAAGACTCTTAGCCAAAGAAACACCCGAACCCTGGGGCAAAAACGAATGGAACGGCGAAGGCCGTGGGGGGATTAACCAGAGAGAGCGGCCTGAGGCTGTCTCACCGGCGGACGGAAAACCACAGGCGGAAGAAGATTCACCTTGTCGCGGTCAATAATGGCTCATGAGAAGAGAGAGAGAGAGAGAGAGAGAGAGAAAAAGAACACAAGATTATTTAAGGATTCTCTCCTTGAGATTCTTGCAAGCTGCCCCCTTTTCTCCCCCCATCTTCCATGGGTTATATTGAGTACTTTTGTTCTCTGTTCTTGTTTAATTTGAATCCTCACAGGAAGAGCCAGAGGGTTCTCCGTGCTTGATGCCTCAGGGGTCCAGACCCGCTGACTCAGCCCCTGTTGCTTTTTTTGCCTCTCATCCGGTTTCACGGCCACGTTCATCGCACTCGTCCTTGGTGTTTGGACTCGTCTCTTCAGGCTCATGAATCGCATTGGTGAAGAGAGACTGGCTGCTGATAGATAATTGATGACATCTGCTCTTCATCACCAAATTCTCACTTCATGATGCAGAGATTGATATTAGATACTGTTATTCACCAGGATCTCCGGGATATCAACTGGCTCTGGAGGACTTCATCTGACGGCTCATTTGTGATTAGTCGAATTATGCAAGAATATCAATCTATGCATCCTGCAAGGCCTAGTCTAGCATTGGATTATTAGGTAGACCTACTCCGTAGTAGGTATCTACTCTGTACATTTCTACATATACTCCGGAGTACCTAGTTATGGTGCGAAGATCTGCAACGGTTTGGCCCTTAACCAGTCAACGTCTTTTGATTAGTGGGCTTGGAAAGAATCCAATTATTGGCATCCATAGAGACTACATACACAGTAAATACTAATAATGACTCAAGTCCTCATAGTCTCATACTTACACCTCGTGGAATAGCTAAGACGCCCTGTCAGTATCTACTTTCTACTGCAACACGTCTAACAGAGCCCTTCTCACGCGTTTGATCTGGCCAGTTCACATCAACCGGACGCGGTGGACCAAGTCTGATATCACAACCGAAACTATTTGCTTCTAGCAGGGTTGATCCACCGATGAACATTGTTTCTTGGTTTCTGGCGGATTCCATGATCCTGTCTCTCGTTTGCATTGTTTCTGGTTGCCCTGCGCGTTGACCACTCCAGCGCCGCCTGTAACCGAGCCCCTGGCTGCTCTCTATTTCCCTTGGCGACAATAATAGAACCTCGGTAGCGAGACGACATAAACGAAAACTCCAGATGAGTCTTAGGAGCAGACAACTGAAATTGGGTAGTAATCTCTTCTGAAAAGGGCCTTATCGGACTAGGCCTGTGCATCAGAATTGAGAACTTGCGCATAGTTATATGATATTCTCTAGAGGTCGATTCAGGCTCCTTAGCTCCTTGATTGATATGTTGCAAATGATCTTCTTACCAATAATAATAATATCTATCTATGTAGCATTGAGAGATAGATCTAAACGTCCACTGACTCCATGCATATACATATCTGACTGTTGGTTCCCGAGCAGCTTACGAGGCTGTAGTGGCTTGCATGCAATGGAGCCGTCGGATATCATCTAATTACAGGACGACATCGAGTCTGCCTCGGATATGAATGCGTCTTCTGATATGCAACCGCATGATTAAAACACCAAAAAAAAATAAGGTTACTGAGAGGCGTGGACAAGAAACTGTCATACCTTTTGTAGGCCAGACTGAAGACAGCAGCGGAATCCACCAGCCGTGATCCGATGCTGCCTCCCATAAAGATTTCCCCGCATAGATAACAGACAGGGTGGTTTGAACTCAACTCAGCAAACAACCATCACGGATTCACGCTCCCAGACATGGCTGCCCTACTGAAACAACCCTTGAAGCTGGCCTTGGTGCAACTAGCATCAGGTATGCTACGTTAATCGTCCCATACAAATTCTCATCAAACCGATGCTAATTATGTACTCCGATCATAGGTGCGGACAAGGCCGCTAATCTCGCTCATGCCCGAACCAAGGTCCTAGAGGCTGCAAAAGCAGGGGCAAAGCTCATCGTTCTTCCCGAATGCTTCAACTCGCCATACGGCACGCAGTACTTCCCGAAATACGCCGAGACACTCCTCCCTTCACCTCCCACCGAAGAACAATCCCCCTCATACCATGCGCTGTCGGCCATCGCTGCCGAAGCCAAGGCTTACCTGGTCGGAGGAAGTATACCTGAACTGGACACGTCGACAAAGAAATACTACAACACCTCCATGGTCTTCTCGCCAACCGGGTCTCTCATCGGCACACACCGCAAGACACATCTCTTCGACATCGACATCCCTGGCAAGATTACGTTCAAGGAGAGCGAGGTTCTGTCGCCGGGAAACCAGCTGACTGTTGTTGATCTTCCCGAGTACGGCAAGATCGGTCTCGCCATCTGCTACGATATCCGCTTCCCGGAGTCGGCCATGATCGCGGCGCGCAAGGGGGCCTTTGCACTCATCTACCCCGGTGCCTTCAATATGACTACCGGGCCCCTCCACTGGGCGCTTCTGGGTCGCGCTCGCTCGGTTGACAACCAGATCTATGTGGCCTTGTGTAGCCCAGCTCGGGACACGAACGCATCTTACCATGCATGGGGCCACAGTCTGATTGTCAACCCCAACGCGGAGATTTTGACCGAGGCCGAAGACACAGAAACGATCGTCTACGCGGACCTGGATAATGATTCTATCCAAAACACCCGGAAGAGCATTCCAGTCTACGCCCAACGACGTTTTGACCTCTACTCGGATGTGAGCGCAGAGAAATGACAAACATAACCAGATCTGGGACGGTTGGGGCCTTTTTTTTCAAACGAGTCAAAGATAGCATAGCAGAGCCATGAAACGAATCATGAAGCAATAGAATTTCAACCATATAAACAGGGTGCGATTGAAATAATGGGAATAATTTGGGATATCTATCTGTCTACTGCTACAACGTACATCGTTGTTACTGTTGACGATGTCCAGTAATCGAGGGAGCGGGAGATGTAGCACCACGTGACCTATTTCCAACCAATCAGCGCTCCGCCAGTCGATAAGCGAGCCACAATGGAATTTCGACCACCAAAAAAACGACAATCCGAAATTGTCCCAATTCCTTCGTCAGTCGACCACATCGCCAACGACAGCCGACCATTCTCTGTCAGCTCATTCAGTCAGTATCAATCCAGCCTTTTCCGCGTCGCGCATTCAGTCTGTTGAGAACTGAAGAAAACTGACTTGTGCTTTTTTCTTCCCGCATTTTTAGAAATGTCCAGCACCGTCCAGACCGGCAAGAAGACTCGCTCGGCTATCGCCGACGTTGTCACCCGCGAGTACACCATCAACATGCACAAGAGAGTACGTTGAAGAAGAAGCGCCTTTGCTTTACATTTCCCTTTGCACATGCAATTCTCGATCAAAGCGATCGACTGCGACCTTGCGGAACCCAAGAGGACGAATCACGCCCGAGGGCATGGACGGAGAACAACTTCAACATCTGGGGACTCTCGAAACCAAACAACCTTGTGTGGAGGGGAAATCCGCTGCAGAAGAGCTTGTGCGAGACAAGAGAGAAAGAACAATTGGGATCATAAACGATGAAACCAAAACCCAGGATAAGAGGAGGAGATACACACATACAAAAGATACCCACAAAAAAAGAAGAAATAGTTTGATGAAGTCCACCTCTATGGCCGCAAATAGCATCTTCGCAGATTCACTCTCTACCAGATGGCATTTGGGCGGAAGACTAATTTCTCTTTTTTTTTGCACCTCTTATAGATGCACGGTGTTACTTTCAAGAAGCGCGCTCCTCGTGCTATCAAGGAGATCCGCGCCTTCGCTCAGCAGGCCATGGTAAGTTCTCCCTGCTGTATATCATGTTGTCGTTTCCTGGCAACCTGTCCCGGTTTCCCCAGGCTAACCTTTGCCCTCTTTTTTTTTCTTCTTCACGATACAGGGCACCACCGATGTCCGCCTCGACCCCCAGCTGAACAAGAAGGTCTGGGAAGCCGGTGTCAAGGGTGTTCCCTTCCGCCTCCGTGTCCGCATCTCCCGCAAGCGTAACGACGAGGAGGGCGCCAAGGAGAGACTCTACTCCTACGTCCAGGCCGTCAACGTCAAGGAGGCCAAGGGTCTGCACACCTCCGTTGTTGACGAATAAACGGATCGCTCACGGGTCGGGTCTTATGTTACGGTTGACTTGGAACAAATAAAAAAAAAATTTTCATTGAATGAACAATTTTTTTTTCCCCTTCTCTTCCATACATCCAACTTTCTGTAGTTTTCGGTCGGCGGTGCTCCTCGTTCTCCTTTTTTTTTTGTCAACTTCATTCGGGGACTTGGGAGTATGAAAAAAAAAAAAAAACTGGCTATTTATTCCGTTGGATCGATTCTATTGCTTGATGCGAGACTGCAGATGGGGCCGAGCCAAACCATGACGGGACAAGAAAAGTGTTAAATCCAAGTTCAATTCAATTATACCCTCTGGTTCATGAAAGAGCCAACTTCAAGACTATGCCTTGATCGTTTCGTACCCTCGTAGATGAAAGTCTTCATCCCTAAAATACAGAAGCAGAACAACTTGGATATTTATTCGAAACTCTATAATATCTTGATTTGCAAGGATACATGGCATGATTTGAAAATAAATATAAAGATTAAGTCGATGGTCAGGGAATGATGCCTTGCAATGGTCTGAATCCACACGCTATGCTAGATGCGCCTGTCTTGTTCCATGGGTGACAACAACATGATGCTGGAAAATGCACTGCAATTGAAATGTGAGATGCTGGATAGTTACACACATGTGCCATGAATTCGGAGATGGGGAAATTCAAAAGGCAGGAAACGGGGATAATAGAGAGAGAGAGAGAGAGAGAGAGAGAGAGAGAGAAGACGAGAGAAAATGGATCGACGCCAACTTTAGGTCCACTATTCAATGAACATGATGATAACCCGACAACACGGCGCCCAGACGACCGAAAAAGAAAAGCTGACACGGTTGTCACGAATACAGGAAAGAGAAGAACAGATGCTATGGGGCTAGTGACAGCCATGGTGGCCATATCGCAACCACGAAGACGTCGGCGATGAAGCAGTAGAAAAAGACAGAGGACTGAGCGATCCCTCTTAATGCCCGGAGAAGAGCGTGATGTGATGCAAGATCAGGATGCACGCTTGTGAGCAAAGAAAAATGTTCGAAGAAAGATCAAATATACAACGCCAATTCGTAATGCAAACACCGTTCGTGCTTACGACTTGGACTGTTCAATGGCAGTCTCCAGGCTCTTAATCTCTCCTGGTTTGACCCTAATAGCCCATTGCTCCGGAGCGCCCTCGGCCTTAGGCACCAAGAAATGTATGCTGTTCTGCATGGCTGTGTACTTGATGTTCTTCATCAATGCGGCATTTAGAACAATCTTGCCACTGGGATCGGCCCGCAAAAGGATCCGCGCGCGAGATGTATTACGATTCTTCAGGATGCGGAGATAACCCACACCTTTGCTTACCCATCCGTCACCAGGCAGAGCCTGTAACGCACGACCTCTGAGTTCCAGCACAATATCCTCGTCCTCCTCGCCCACTCTGCTCCGCGCGAGGTCCACCTGAGGGAGATTTTCCGCTGTATCTCCGTCACCAGTTTCCTCGGCAGGAGTGTCGGAGGCGACACCTGGAGTCGAGGCGCGACTACCATTAGTGGAAGCGATGGTAGAAGGAGCCAAGAAGGAAGAAGATTGCTGTCCGGGAGCGCCAAAGGAGAATCCAAACGATGGCTGTCCGCTGCCTGACGACTTTGTTCCTGCAGCTGGGGCTCCAAACAGAGTCGAGAACGGCTTCGAGGCGTCGGCTGACGTGACAGCTCCATCGGAAACGGGCTTCGGCGAGCTTGAAGGTGTTGTCGCTGTAGAGTCGGCAAACTTGATGGGAGAGTCTGGCTTCCAGGTCTTATCACCAATCGCCTTGGAAGTATTCTGGCCGAAGATGGACGGGGTTGCCGAGGCAGCACCAGCAGGGGTAGAGGTGAAGAGGCCGCTGCTGTTATTTACTGAACCGAATACACTGGACACAGGCGTGGACCCGATAGCAGGAGTCTGTCCGGAGACAGAGGTACTGGTGGCTCCAAATGGATTGGTCGTAGATGTGCTGGGCGTCTTAGAAAGGGAGCTAGAGAGCGATGAGAAAGGATTCTTTGCTGCCTCCTCGTTTTGCCGCTTCGGCTTCCCCTCTGGATCGTACTGGACCCGATCAAACAGGCTTCGGCCACCCACTGTCGATGAAGTGGCGGCTTGCTTAGATTTCTTGAGTGCTTTAGAGAGGTCCCCATCATCACTGCTGTCGTTGGCGGAGAACTCGGCCCCACTGACCGAGACAGCTTTAGAGTCAGCTTCGCTGGTCTCCAGATCTCGGCTCTCCTCATCTTCACTCCCTGGCACTAGGGACAATTCCTTGGGTTCATCATCTGGTTCTTCGCCAGCTGCAGACGCCTCTTCGGTATCATCGGCATCATTGTCCTCTTCCGCCTCGGAGGGCGTCGCAGACAGATGACCAAAGATATTGTTCGACTTGGCGGGAGTGTCACGCTTTTGATCAAAGACCGATGCACCCGAGGTTGCGGTCTCTGCGGGCTTTTCGGGCTCCACAGCATCACTGCTCTCGTCTTCAAAGACAAATCCTTTGCCCGGAACAAACCTGGGGCGCTTTTTGGATTGTGATTCAAGTTCTTCGCGCTTCTTACGCTGCTGTTCGGCGTCTTTGCGCTCCCACTCAGCCTCATCTTCTTCTTCTGAATCGAAGTCCTCAGCTTTGCGCTTCTCCTTTTCCTTTTCGGCATCTTTGTCAGCAATGGACTTGAATTGAGCGAAAAAGTTCGTTGCGGTACCGGTACCGGTACCGAACTTGGGGACCGCAAGGGCGGCACTGGGAGACGTTTCGGCATCTTTGGCGCCAATTGGTTTGAGCACAAAGGGATTCTTGGGTTCTGCACTGGCGCTCGTTGTCGGTGCTGTGAACGTAGGCTTCGAAGTAGACTGAGAAAACAGAGAGCTAGAGGTTGCATTCTCTTGCGTAGTGGCTGGCGTTGAGAACAAGGATTTTGCGGGCGATGTGGTAGGAGTAGTAGAAAAGAGGGCTGGCTTGTTTGTCTCTGGTGTAGATGGCCTGGGAGATCCTGTAAATGACACAGGATGATCTGCCTCGTCGGTCCTGGATTTTGAGAATGATTGAGCGAAAATGCTAGCGGTCGTAGAATCTCTGCTGGAACGGCCCTCGGCTTGGGAAGTCGCAATTGTGCTACCAGTCGTTTCTTCTGGATGATTTCCGTTGACTATCGCGCCATTCTGCTTCCCATCGAAGAGTTTGGACGGTGTACTTGTGATTGAGCTTGGTGCAATGCTCATCTTCGTGGCAGAGGGCAGTCCATCAGTGCCTGCGGCCAACCCTGCTCCATTAGCACCGAAAGGTTTGACTTTCTTCACTGACTGTGTCTCATCTTCAGCGACGTCAAGTTCGGAAGCCTTGCGCTTGGATGTGTAAGGCCCAGTGGGTGCTCCAATCACTTCACGAACGCGCATGTAGAAAAGCACATGGGCATCGAAATCGTCCGTCGCAGGGTTCAGCTTAGCAATCTCCCGCTGGAAGGACTCGTTCAACAAACGGAGACGGTACACCAGTTCAACATCCTTCTTTTGCTGATCACCCAAACCGGAGGGTAGGTTACGAGGCAGGAATTTCTCCGCACATTGAACTTCGGGTGCTTTTACAGCGGCAGGTGCAGGTGCAGGCGATACAGAGGCTGTACCGTTGGCTTTGAAGATGGTCTGAGATGCAGAGGGCGAGAATACAGGGGCCTGTGTCTTACTCTCGGTAGTGGTAGCCAACGTAACAGAAGATTGTGGCGCAAAGGATTTGGGGGACGAAGGAGTAGAGAAAACCGGGGTAGGAGTGGTCGGCTTTTCCTGCTGTACTGCCTTGGCTCCTTCAGCTGGGGCACTTGGCTTGGGGGCAAACAGACCGCTGAAAGGAGCCGGGCTAGGCAGTGGCTTTTGCTGCTGCGTGGTTGGTTTCGCGGTATCGGGTTTCGGTGCAAGCAAGCTGCTGAAGGGGTTCGCTTGGGCAGCTTTTGTTTGATCGGCTTCCGCAGATGCAGGCTTCGGAGCAAAAAGACTGCCTGTGGACGGCGCCTGGAACAATCCGGTCGACGTCGACGGTGGGGCGGCGGCGTTTGCACTCTTAGAAAATAGATTGCCTGCGCTGGAGGTGGGTGTAGAGAATTGAAATCCAGTCTTGGAAGCTTCACCTGCCTTGTTCTCTTGTTCCTTCTCCTTGGCAGCCTCCGAGCTAGCTGATGCGGCAGGTACGCCTGAGAAAAGATTCGATGATTGGAACGGGTTTTGGAAAGGCGTTGCGGGTTTGGCTGGTGATGCAGTACCAAAGAGGCTCGTGGATGTCGTCGTCGTCGCCGTGGCACCGGTCGATGCCGGGGTGGTCGCTGAAGCGGCAGTCGTAGGCTGAGAAGTAGCACCGAAAAAGGACGTAGAACTTGGCGCGCCTTGTTCCGCGGGTTTGGCTCCGAATAATGGCTTAGAAGGCGTCTGTTGGGCCGCTGGAGTTGCTCCTCCAAAAACGGAGCCTGCTGCCGCACCAGTGAAGCCGGTAGAAGCGCCGAAGCCAGATTGAGAAGCACTTGAGCTGCCAAACACAGATGGCTTGGCCGCGGCAGCATTTGCTTTCGGGTCAGGCGATGTCTGCATCGAATCGCTGCCGAAGACGGTAGACTGACCGAATGGAGAAGGCTTGTCGGAAGTAGATTGGCTAAAAATACTGGGAGAAGGAGCAGCGCTGGTCGTATTCGTCTGTCCAAATATGCTACCGGTGGTGGCCGGAGCTGTCACAGGTTGGCTTGAAGTTCCGGTAGTAGTACAGCTACCAAATAAGCCCCCAGAAGCAGTATTTTGCTGCGACGGGGTCCCGAAGAGGCCTCCTGTGGGAAGAGCCTGCTGACCTAGAGCAGAACTTCCAGAAGGTGCAAGATTGAACATATTGCCTTTGAACCCAGAAGCGCTACTTGTGTCAGACTGTTGGCTGCCAGCAGTAGTGTTGATACTGGCGAACGGATTCGGCGATGATCCTGATCCACCAAACGAGGAGTTAAAGCTGAAGGAAGACGAGCCCGCGCCTGCTCCAAAGGCAAAGGGAGATCCTCCGTTCTGAGCGGGTTGGGTTGTGCTCGAAGTGGCTCCTGGGAAACTCTGAGATTGGCCAAAACTGAATCCGTTTGATGCTGGCTGGGAGCTCGAAACAGTATTGGGGTCGATCGAATTGAAAGGGCTAAATGAAGGAGCTCCAGTAGTAGTGCTTGGAGAAGCAGTTGTGCTGGGGCGCGGTCGTCTTCGAATATCTTTTATTCTGTAGATGGTCAGATCGATGCAATTTGGGGTGGTGAGTAGAGACGCAAGAAGGACGACGTGTCGCTGTAGAATAGGATCATATATGATATAGGTGGTGGGGAGGCAGACAAAGAAATAGGGAAAAATGAGCGGGTACAAGAAACATGCCAGAACTGCACAAGAAAGAATACAGACAAAGGAAGGGCTCGTCGAAAGCAGCCCGATCCCCATTCGGGGAAGATGGCCGATATTGCAAAAGATGATGAAATAAGATGGTTGGTCGCAAGGGATTCCCTTCACTTACTTTCTGTTTGCTAACTGCGCAGCGGTCGCCCGCTGGGGCTTCTCTTCTGGTGTGCTTGACATATTGAACGCAAATAGATCCGAGTCCTTGTCGCCCTGAGGGCCAACAGCTCCTCTTTTAGACATCTATCGCGATGACTCCGTGGTGAGCCTCAACCCCCTTCGTGGTCTCTATAGAGGACAGTAGTCTCTCATCCACTGACGCAGGTACAATGATCGCGCGAGGGTCCTCCGTAGCTATTGGGATATCGTAAGATGTTCTGCTGGGTGGACACACAGCACGCCTGTGGTAACGAGGACTTTCGAATCGGTGCGCAGAGACACGAGCGATAGAAGGACGATCACAAGAGCGGTAAATAGAGGGAGTGAATCGCGCCGTCGCCGAAGGGAATAAACAAAATTCCAGCTCAAACGTTGACCCTCTGTATCAAGCCGTGATCAAGAATGAACTTTGAAAGCTCTTTTGACTGTTCTACACAAATCGCGATTCGCGAGACACGATTCGAGTAACGGCGACACGAGCGGAAGAAGTGGGATAAGGGTGGATTCGAAGGCAGAGCAACTAGTGTAGAGCGCTCTGGTGTTGACTGTAGGAGGTAAATGGCTCCTTTTTGGATACACCCTGCCTTAAAAGGGATGGAGTTTGCTGGATAAGAGGTACACTTTTGCCTCAACAACTGCTCGGCTCGCGACTTTTTTCGCCGGTTGATGAGAGGCTCTTGTTGGCAGAGAAAAAATTACCATCACGTGACGCATGCAGGGTGACGTTCTTGGCAGAAATGACATAACAGCCATTAGGAAGAGACATCCGACGGAGCTACTACTACAGTGAATGAATATGCAGCAAGTATCTATCTAGGTCTAAGTAGGAGGGAATGGTGAAGATAATGGCTTTGTCCACATGGCTACGCCCTTGTTGGGGCTCTCATTGGTTATGTAGTCATATTATGTCCTACCTAGGTTCTTTATCCTTGCGCACCACATAACGTGTATTGACATTTACACCACGGTTGGCGAGCACCAAGCAAAAGAGGGGGCGGAGATTCGTATTGATACGGTATCTTATTTCAGCATGCCTTGTTTCCATGGCAAGGAAGCGCGACATTACTTTGCGAGACAGCATATTTGGTGCCTCTCTTCAGAGGTCGCAGTTTGGGGGCTAATACATATATCATGAAAAATCCACTGAAGGTTTAGATATGATATTAAGAGGCCTGGAATTACCAGTGAAAGCACCTCTTGAAGCTAGCATAGCATGGTTATCTGTTCTACTCTTCTAGTATCAGCCCCGTGAGACATTCACATATAGAACTAGATTCACTGTGGAGTGAGTATTCTCATCATGATGCAATATAAGTCATTGTATTAAGATCCTGTAAAAGTATCTCTTTGAGTGAAAGGGCTATGCATTTAGTATCCTCTGTAGTATCTGCTTGCTGTAGACTATGCTCATAGATATCTGCACCTCCCAAGATATATAGCCTCTCTCCGCGAAAGAATGTGGTCTGGCCTAAATTACTCTACAAGCAGGCTACTCTGACCTAGATCATTAAGCAAAATAGAAGATGGGGCAACTGCGCTGACCATTAACTATGCTCTTGATTAAAGCTATGATCACTCACAGCATCTAAGGGGTCATTTTATGCACCAGCCAACTTGCATACTTTCCATATTCATCTTACTATAAGAGTGAATGAAGGTAACCATCTGGTTGCATCTACTTTGAAGTCATGATACCTATTACTCAACTTGATCACAGGATGTTGAGCCTTTTTCATGTGAGAGCAAGAGCCTGGCATGATGGAACAGTGGAGACTGGGGTTGAGCGCTGTTGGTCATACAACAACCTAAGCTTATATTTCCCCAGACGAAGATCAGTTAGCATGGATCAGCTGGTCGTCAGTCATGGGGAGGTCATCTAACTGATCAGCAAGCGACCCTTTCAGACCCCGTTGTAAGAAGACTGATCCCCTTGACATATTTCGGGATGCGGTCAGCTCATCTTTCGAGTTGGTGAACAGAGTATCAGTTTCATGTCTGGTTGGCTGACCGTCAATATCCTGTGCAAGGTTAGTAAATGTGCTTGACTGAGTAGTGGTGTCCTGTCCGAGGCGCAGGTCGTATGATCACAGAGTGATATATATTTCAGCAGTGGAAGACTCCAATCCATGCTTCCAACGAGCCGTTGTGCTCAGGTGTGCAAGTATCAAGTCCAACATGAGTTAATTATTGAGCAAATTCTCGTACAGTATTCCTGCCAACACATACTTCATTCATGCAAGACGGAGGCAGCACTCATGTACAGGATGTGCATAGAAAGCATGGCAGTTGGAGGTACACCATGTAGGGGATCATGGGAGACGGGTTGGCAACTTGGCAATCTATACGTATCATCTACTACTCTCATAACACCCAAATTAAGAAAAAATGGCGCTCAAGCCTAATTTTCAGACATGAATTTGTTGCGATTAGGACCATTAGCCGGAACAAAAGAAACAATAGCTCAACTTCAGGAGATACTTTTTTGGCCTCCTTAACAAAGGGAACGGGAGAACCGCCGCCACCATCACCACCAACTTTATATGAAGACAACAACAACAACAACACTTGAATTTGTAACTATGGATCTACGGTCCACCTGAAGAATGCTTAGCCATTACTTACTCGGGTGTTTTGTTTCGGCCCTAGAATCGATGAGGATGCGCTTTGAAGTTGGATATGCAGGAAGAATCGCCTTCTTTGAGGTCAGAAGTCGAGTTTCCTGTCACATTCGCCAAGTCATCTGGCTGTGCACTGGTCACATTGACCCTCTGTAGCTATTCTGGCTCACGCTTCCGGGGGTTTAAAAGAAGGCTTGCGATGGCTTCAGCCGCTTACATGAAAAGGGAATGGCACGAAGATGCAAATTAATTTGGCTAACTTTGACTTGCAATTTCCCCCCATACAGCTCAGAGGAATAATTACTGCCGATCAACCAAAACTATTCGGCAATAGCGCATTCTTCCTTGCATGGCATCGCGATGGATCAACCCCCTGATCAAGTCTCGTTTCCATCTCACTGGCTCTGGAGTCTGGAGTCTGGAAAGTTCAGTCGCAACATGCAACACGCGCATTGATCCGTGTGTATGTCTTTGCGTGATGATGCTGTTGATCTAAAAACTTTGTGATGTCCGATGGGGACGCCTCTCACTAACTCATCCTCCATGGGGCTAGATCACTAGTTCGAGAATAGATAGATATACTCTATGTAGTATGTAGTATGTACAGCAGGACAGCCCTTTCACGCTTCCCCCCTGTCCATTGTTCTTCAGCGGTTCAGCCGTCTCTGAGTCTGAGCGCTCTGCCGTTGACTAGGATGTCCACCCCTGAAATAAATAACAAAATCTTCCGAAAGAGTATGTCATCCTCCGGCTGGCCATGCAGACACCGGTCGTGGCGTTCCCTATCTCTTGGAAGGCCCATCGCGTGCCTATCTGATGTGGGAATCTAGGGTAGGACCATCGACGCCTCGACGGACCTTATGCTCTGGTTGGCTCACAGAAGTACGAGGTATCCAGACGACATATCGAGTCCATTCCCCAAAACAAAGCCCTTACTATCTGAGATATGTGACCCTACCACCCCAATTTAGTATGCTCCGTATAAGAATGCTGTAGTGCCCTGGGTGTTTCACTGCAGTTGGCCTCTCCAGCTAGATACCAACCCATCGCACGAAAAATGCATATCAACTGGCTTGCGGTGTCCCTGTGGCTCTATGCTGGCGTGGGTGCTCAGTCTTTTAGTAGTGCAGTCCGAAACCATGCAGCAACACCGTCGTCGAGCTCGAGATTGATCAGAGCATCACCAACAGCCTCGGTAGCTGTCGAGTCTCCGAGAGTTTCAGTGCACTCACCCAATCTTGCTGCCGCTGACGCGCCGTATTGGCTTGCGGACATCGCTCATCAAGGTGTCGCAGCCTTCAATCCGAATCCCGCCACGTACAAGGTCTTTCGCAATGTCAAAGATTATGGTGCTAAAGGTGCGTGTTGCGCGTCTGATCAATCCGAGTTTCTGTTTTTAATAGAGATATAGGCGATGGTGTCACGGACGATACTGCCGCCATCAACGCGGCCATGAGTGATGGTGGCCGCTTTTCACCAGCGGGTCGTAAGACATCTACCACAACACCTGCGATCATCTACTTTCCAGCGGGGACGTATCTAATCTCGTCGTCGATCATCGATTACTATTTCACGCAGATTGTCGGCAATCCGAACTCCCTTCCAGTTATCAAGGCTACCCCAGGATTCACCGGATTGGGCTTGATAGACGGCGATCAGTATCAGAACGATGGTGGACAAGGGTGGATCTCCACGAATGTTTTCTTCAGACAGATTCGCAACTTGGTTCTAGATATGACCACTATCCCCGCGGGCACTGCAGCTACGGGTATTCATTGGCCTACGGGTCAAGCTTCGAGCATTCAGAATGTCCGGATCTTGATGAGCTCGGGTGCCGGAACACAGCATCAAGGTATCTTCATTGAGAACGGTAAGTCACTATCTTAATCCAGCAGGACTTGACGGCGCTAAATGAGAGTAAGGCTCTGGCGGCTTTGCTACCGACATCACCACCGTCGGCGGCTTATATGGATTCAACATCGGAAACCAACAGTTCACCATGCGCAACTTGCACATCTCTGATGCTGTGGTCGGCATCTCCCAGATTTGGAATTGGGGTTGGACATACCAGGGAGTCACCATCACGAACTGCAAAACGGCATTCTCGATCTCGAATGGCGGTCCTGGAAATCAATTAGTCGGATCCGCCATCATGCTTGACAGTACGATCGAGAACTGTCCTGTCTTTGTTGATACAGCGTGGCAAAGCTCGAGCTCGAGCAATGGTAGTCTGATCCTGGAGAATGTGGCCCTCAACAATGTACCGGTTGCTGTCAAGGGTCCCAGCGGCACTGTCCTTGGTGGCTCAGGTGGTTCCATGACCATCGGCGCTTGGGGTCAGGGACACAAGTATACTCCTTCCGGGCCAGCCAACTTCCAAGGAGCAATCAATGCGCCACAGAGACCAGCGGCTCTGCTTGCCAGTGGTTCTTCGAGATATTATACCAAATCCAAACCGCAGTACGAAGGATCCTCGACATCTTCTTTCCTAAGTGTACGGAGTGCCGGAGCCAGAGGAGATGGCTCTTCTGACGACACTGCCGCGATTCAGTCTGCTCTCAACTCCGCCGTGTCCTCGGGACGGATCGTGTTCTTTGACCAGGGTGTGTACAAGGTGACCGACACCCTCTATATCCCTCCCGGCTCCCGGATTGTTGGCGAGGCATACCCAGTGATCATGGCTAGTGGGGGTCGGTTCTCCAACATCAACCAGCCCGTGCCGGTGGTCCAGGTTGGCAGATCAGGCGAATCTGGGTCGATTGAATGGTCAGACATGATTCTGAGCACCCAAGGTTCCACGCCTGGAGCAGTACTCGTTGAGTGGAATCTGGCCGCAAGCCCAGGGTCTGGTATGTGGGATGTCCACACTCGAATTGGAGGCTTTGCAGGCTCCTCGTTACAAGTTCCCCAGTGCCCGACGTCAGCCGCTGTCTCGGCCGCCTGTCAAGCGGCTTACATGTCCATGCATATCACGAAGAGCGCCAGTGGCGTTTACCTCGAGAATGTATGGTTGTGGACGGCCGATCATGACCTCGACGACGGTGCGGACACGCGGATCTCCGTCTACACCGGGCGCGGGCTCTTAGTGGAAGGCCAAAACATTTGGCTGTAAGACATCCTTGTTGCCTTCCCCTGTTCTTTTTTTACTTACTTATCACACCATCAGGTACGGAACCGGAGTCGAGCATCATTCGCTGTATCAATACCAGTTTTCCGGTTCCAAGTCCGTCGTGACGAGCTTCATCCAGACCGAGACACCGTAAGTTGAGCATCGACTTTCCATGATGGTAATCATTCGTTGACACCCCTCCAGATACTACCAGCCCATCCCCAACGCAGCAAATAGCCCGTATCCCAGAAATCCCTCTCTCAAAGATCCCGACTACAGCAGCTGCCTCCCCGGCAACTGCAATTCTCTGGGTCTCCGCGTTCTGGATAGTGAGAACACCATCATCTACGGCGCCGGGCTCTACAGCTTCTTCAACCACTATAGTACCACATGCTCCAACTTCCCGAGCCCGGAGGACTGCCAAAGTGAGATCTTCAGCATCGAGGGATCCACCAGCGGACTGGTCGTGTACGCGCTCAGCACCGTGGGCACAACGAACATGATCGTCAAGGACGGGGTGTCGTTGGCGCATTACAGTGACAACTTGGCGACCTTTGCGGACACCATTTCCTATTTCACTTTGTAGCCAGCTTTCTCCGGTGATACTTACCATTCTTTTCACTTCACTTTCCTTTGGTCCTTATTTCCTGTCTTCTTTTCAAGTCTATAATTCTTTTAGTGATACCAGTCTTAACACAATCCTTTTTTTCTCTCTTTTCAAAGTCGCATCTCTGGCATATGAGATATGTGTATTCGTTATATAGCAAGTAAATACATCATCGAGAAAAAAAAAAAAATCAACGGGTCCAAAAACCAACCAAGCAAGCCGAACAAAAACAAGGGTATCTATAGCTTCGCCTTGCCCTGCGCCTTCTTCAACACGGGCTCCATCTTCGTCGCCTTCATGATATTGCCCTTGATCTTGAGCTTGCCGCCCATGAAGAGTCTCTGGGCATTCGCCTTGCCACTTACGAGGGACGAGAAGTCGGCGTCGGAGAGCGAGAGGGTCACTTTTTATTTTGTTTTCAAAAATCAGCTCATCGTATTCCTCCCAGAAGAAAAAAAAAAATAGACAAAGATAGGGGAAGGAGGGGACAAACCATCAGCCTTTCCACCGGCAGGCGCCGCACCCTTGCCGACAACGCCCTTGTCCTTGAGATCGAGATACCAGCTCTCCTCCTGGCCGCTCTCATTCTTGAGGTTGAACGCGACGATGGCCTTGGCCTTGCTGATGGCGTCTTTGCGCTCGGCGTCGTCGGACTGCAGGGCGGAGTTGATAGCATCGAAGGCGGCCGAGGAGGGGAAGGCGTCTGTGGGGATTGAGACAGATTTTGGTTAGTTTTTGTTTCTTGTTCTTGGGATGGGAGTGAGGTACCGTTCTTGAGAGACATGGTGGTGGTGATGTGTGTGTTTATGGGAATTGATGGGGATGGCTTGATGGAATAGTTTCGATTGATAGATGAGAAAGAGCTACTAGGGAGCAAAGAAAGACTGGAGAATGGAGATATAAGTGAGGGAAAGGAGGAATTCTTATGATGGAATCACGACCAGCTTGCCCCGGAGACTTCGGGGGGCGTGGCATGTGAAATAATGCTGGCTGGTCGGAGAAACGTCAGATTCAGATTATGGGGTCGAAGATGCCGAGGCTGGAGGCTCCCTGTGATTTTATTATTATTCGGACTAGGTAGACAGGACTATGATCCATGATTCTTTAGTATTCTTTCTGTGCTTCAAAAGGAGTGTTTATGCATTAATGCGTCCGTGGTCTCTCGATGCTACCCCTGCTGTCCTGTATAAATCTCCGCTGTCCTCGAATTATGAACCGTGAACAACCTGACCCTGTGGCTTGATGGCTTCAACTATACTCAGAAAAGAAAATGATGCGAGAACTCCTCAACCTAGTCTCAACGACTGTACAAGCAAGACTCAGAGGCTCCACAGTCCACACAGTTAGACGACCTCGTTGCACCGGTTAAATAATCTCCATGTTATGATCTTCGCAACTGGACCGTGTTACCGTCATATTCTCAGACTATGCAGTAGTATGGACTGATATGGAGTACTCTACTCGGCGCTCCGAATGTATCGAGATAATAATGTGCTAGAAAATTGGCCATGTGCTCCGAGGTTCCTTCATATGATTGACAATTCTGCTCTGGTCTTGTAGATCATTGATATTTCTTTGCGTCAAGACACGCTATCGAGTATATGAGACACAAATACTTTGCAGCGCTGTACCAAGACTCGGACCTACTGGTCTGTCTTCATGCAAAATATACTCGTACGTGTCCGAGTCATCGCGAACACGCGTGCAACCATACATTCTGAGCAAACGGTCATGCAGCGATTGCAGCCACATCCGTCGTGGACGACTGAAATAGCCTCGCTCAAATCCACTGAGGAGTCCAATCTCATGGTGGGTATGATTCCTAGCCATCCTCGATGAGCTTGTTTTCGCTCTAACCGCAGTGGGCGCTGTCAGTGAAGAACTGCGCACTGCGGAGTATAGAGATCGGTATCAGTTTGAACCATGGGCATTCTAGGAGATGTTGAGAATCAACGAGTCATCATGACCAGATCGCTCATCTCATCTGCAGTCGATGTGTGTATTCTTCATCCAATGCTGCTTTTCTGACGAGGCGACCTGTCAACGCGGAAAAAGCAAACTGGTGAACAGCAACAAGAGGGAGAGGGAGAGGGAGAAAAAAAAAATAAAACAAGGAAATACCCGCTGCCGCCACAATCTTCCTCTCGACCACTTGCTAGATATATGTAGACTCGACAGCGGTACGCGCTCTTTATCATTGAGGGGTTGTCTACACAGGTGAATGAAAGGGGAAATTTTAAATCTAACCTTTGTTCACTGTGCTTCTTCTGACACTGCCACTTCTCCAGCCTTTTTCTTCCTTGCAAGGCCTTCTCTGGTGTCGTCGCAGATCTCCTTCTCACTTTTCTTCCGCCAAGAAGGAACGCCGACTCATCAACTTATCAATTCACCACTATCCACTGGCTTTTTCAATCACCCTGCCTGTTTCTTTTTTCTTTCTTCCTACACATATCTCTCTACTCATGGTTTTCTAAGAATACTTACAGCTGTATCGACCATTCCTTCGGTGGCTGGTCATCAAGGAGAACTACCCCGACAGACAGGGGCCTCTTTAGCCAAGCATGGCGACTCTCGCGCCTGATGCATCCATCGAGGAACTTGATGATGATCTCCAACTGCATCTAGTCATCCTGCAGAGTCTCGAGGAGCAAAGGCCAGATGCAATCGAAGAAATACAGGAAATTCTCGGCGTTATTCAAGATCTGCAGACGCGCCTGACGATACTTCGTGGGGAACCCCGAACCCCTGCCGAAGTAAACCCGCGGTCGACCCGTTTGAGTACTTCTTACCCAGATTTGGCGCTGGCACAGCTGGACGGTGCTGGCGACGTATGGGAACCCATGAGCCCTCCTCGATGGGGGAGCTCTGCTATGTCCCCTCCGAGACAGCCGCCTCAGCCTCGTCTGCGGCAGCAATCCAGCGTAGGTGGCTTCCAGGAGTGTTGGTCTCGAGAGCACGCACATGGTGATACTAATGGCATCAAGAATCCGGGGTCCTATGATGATGATGACCTGGATCGGCCGGCGATGTCTTCTAGTGCAAGTGTTGCATCTAGCTCTGCCATATCCCCACCCAGACAGTCGTCGCACTCGCGCCAACAGACCGGTGCAGGCCGTGCAGGCCGTTCGTTAGGAAGTTTGGCTATTCGAAAACGTACGCGGGATGATCTTAGCTCGGATGGGTCAGTACCATTGCACAAACGGATCTCAAGCAACAGACGTCCGTCTACTTCAAGCACCGCGTCTGCTCACAGTCAAAGGGAAGGCCAGCCAGCAGATGACGACATCGAGGGGTTGAGACGCCTTTTAGGCCTAGACAATGACGACACGCTACGAGCGCTCCAGGAGGAGCAGAGACAAGCGGAGCAATGGCTTGAGGAGCGAAGGGAACAGGAGCGCCGAGATGAGGAGTATGCTCGTATGCTCACAGATGGGCTGTATGAACCGCCCCGTCCAGCTTCTGCTCGCAGCACTACCTCCACGCACTATTCAGGATCCTCCATTCCTTTCCCTCCCGATGGCCCAGCGACAAACCAGCGTGAGACAGAAACACCCTTCAATCTCACTCAACGTCGTTCTGGCGATAGGCAACCATCGGAGCTCTCCCATCCATCAAATGGGATCTCATCCTCTGGTCCAGGCCGTGCGGGAGCACATCATCACCCTATCGTGACAATTGGCGACAGTGATGATAGTGATATAGCCGAGATTACTCCCCGGGATTTCCAGCATCATAGGGCAGCGTCTAGCATTCATTCAGCTCGATACTTAGCTCCCAACTATCGGGCTGGTCCAAGTTACTCCCCCAACCGTCAGGGCCTGGGACCTCGTTCTCCGGGAATGCTACCTCCAACTTCAGAACGTGGTGCCATGTTTATTCCTGGTTCGGTCTATGGGCCCAATGTCTTGCAAAGTACCATGGCAAGGCTTAATGCCAGCAGACAGATGTTGGAACATGCAGGACGATCGATTGTCGAGGGGTTTTCCTCCTACTTTTCGCCGTCCGGCTCTTCCAAGCTTCCCGGTGGGTATCCTTATGGCTACGATCCCTCGATGAGTCACTACTACAAGTATGCTATCCCCTTTTTCCCCAAGCCAGTAGGTAATGCTTTGCTAACGCAGTCGATCTTTTCAGTGATTTTAATGAGCCTGCCGTGGATCCCAAACAAGTCAATGAAGAGATAAAACAACTGCTGGAAACAATTAGGCCCGACTCTGAACTCGCTAAGGAAAAGCGTGAAGGCACTCCCGAAGCACTCAGGTATACTCTGCTGGAGCACCAGAAGTTAGGCTTGGCATGGATGAAGTCAATGGAGGAGAGTGACAAGAAAGGGGGTATTCTCGCTGACGACATGGGCTTGGGTAAGACCATACAAGCCATTGCTCTCCTGGTGTCCCGCCCGTCAACAGATCCAGAGCGGAGACCTACTTTGATCATCGCCCCTGTTTCTTTGATGCAGCAGTGGAAGCGGGAAATCCAGAAAGCTGTGAAACCTGGCAGGCATCAGCTCTCTGTCTATGTCTTACACGGAGAAAAGCGGACAGTTGGTTGGAGAGATTTGAAAAATCATGATGTGGTCCTTACTACATTTGGAACCTTGTCCTCGGAGTTGAAGCGCAGAGAAAAGTACGACGAACTACAAGGTTCTGGTGCAAATAATGAGGCTTCATGCAGGACTTTGGCGAAGAGTCTACCATGTCTTGGGCCTGGCAGCACATGGTACCGCGTCATCATTGACGAGGCTCAGTGCATCAAAAATCGGAGGACGAAATCTGCCCTTGCCTGTTGCCGCCTGAATTCTACCTACCGCTGGTGTATGAGCGGGACGCCCATGATGAACAGCGTCGAAGAGCTACAGTCGTTGTTGAGGTTTCTTCAAATTCGGCCTTATTCCAGTATTGACCGCTTCAACAAGGTAAGCATTCATTATTTCTTCCTTCTCTTTTACTCGATAGAACAAATGTTGATATTTGTTACCAGGACTTCACAACACCACTCAAAAGTGGGAACGAGGAGATGCGTGGAAAGGCTATGAAACAGCTTCAGGTGCTCTTGAAGGCGGTTCTTCTCAGGCGGACCAAGACATCGAAAATCGATGGCAAACCTATTCTGGAGCTCCCCCCAAGGGTTTCAGAGAAGGTACATGCGGTGTTCAGCGAGGACGAACAGGCGCTATACAATGCGCTTGAAAGCAAGACCAAACTGCAGTTCAACAAGTATTTGAAGGCCAACGCGGTGGGCAGGAATTACTCCAATATTCTTGTTCTGCTTCTTCGACTCCGACAGGCATGCTGCCATCCGCATTTGATGACCGATTTTAGTGTGGAGGCGACTAGCAATACAGACGAGGTGGACTTTGTCGCTAATGCCAAAGCATTCAGCAGTGACGTGGTGGTTCGGCTCAAAGAGAACGAAAATCTCGAATGTCCCATCTGCATCGACGCAGTCGACAATCCGATCATCTTCTTTCCTTGCGGTCACAGCGCATGTGCTGAATGTTTCTCAAGGATGACGGATCCATCGGTTGCTGTTCAGAGAGGTGAAGATGGCTCTGTCGAGATTAAGTGCCCCAATTGCCGCGGCAAAGTGGATCCTAAGAAAGTTACCGACCATCAAACTTTCAAGAAGACTTACTTTCCGGACTCCGACGATGGTGACGAGGTTGGGCTGCTTAAGCCTCTTGTGGAGGAAGAGGAAAATGATGAGAGCGATGACGATAGTGACGATGATGGCAGCCTGTCTCGATTTATCGTTGACGACGAGGACAACGAATCTGGCGCGGGTTCTTCCAAGAAACCCATGAAAAAGAAGGGAAAGAAGGCCAAGAAGACCCGAAAGACGCTTGCGGAGCTGAAGAAGGAAGCATCTAAGAACCAAAAGTCAAAGAAGAAGTACCTTCGTCGACTGGAGAAGACTTGGGTCACCAGTGCGAAGATCGAAAAGACTCTTGAGATCCTACAGGAGATCGGGAACCGCGATGACAGCGAGAAGACCATCATCTTTAGCCAGTTCACCTCGCTGCTTGACCTGCTCGAGGTCCCCATCGCTCGTCGGGGCTGGGGCTACCGCCGCTACGACGGCAGCATGAAACCCGCTGATCGTAACTCCGCCGTCCTAGACTTCACTGACAATGCAGACTGCAAGATAATGCTGGTCTCTCTGAAGGCCGGCAACTCCGGGCTGAACCTCGTTGCAGCGTCTCAGGTTATCATCTTCGATCCATTCTGGAACCCCTACATCGAGGAGCAGGCCATCGACCGCGCTCACCGTATCGGGCAGCGACGGGAGGTCCAGATCCACCGAGTTTTAGTGCAGAAAACAGTCGAGGACCGTATCCTTGAACTTCAAGACAAGAAGCGCGAGCTCATTGAGGGTGCGCTGGACGAGAAGGCCTTGAAGCAGGTGTCCCGCCTGGGTACCAGAGAGCTGGCGTACCTATTCGTACGTCATCTATCTGCTCTTTTTATCTCTACTCTCTTTACTGACTGCATGTTCTCCTCCAGGGCGTCAACTAGACGACTTTCCGATTTCCTCAGCGACATGGCATGGCGTTTGGGAATTATTTCGAGCAACGGGGCGTTCACGATTCGATTATGGAAACGATACCCTAGACTGCCCTATTTCTTGTCCTCGTCTCTTCTGCATTGCTTCTTCTGGGGCGTTCGAATCTTCCTGTTTAGTGTTGGGTGTTCTACCACTACCCAAGCGTATGCTGAAGCCATCATGGAAACGCTACCCAACCCAACTCTCACATAGAATAGATAGCTTACTAAGTTCGGGCAATATCTACCTAATCTCTGGCATGCCTCGCAAACTACCAAGGACGAAGTACCTAGGTAGCATTTCCTTCCGATCATTTCAAAGATGACTAATCCGACCGAGCGTGACGTCACCCACAATAAACAACGATGATTTGGCTCGTTTCCAAGAAAAACATCAACACCAGCCGCTTCGCCGCCATTACGGAGGTAGCTAGTCTGGAAGTCATGTACGAAGTACACCTACTGCAGTATTGTTAGTGGATAGTAGGGTTCTGAGTAATATTAGGCTTTAAGGTATAGGTAGTTAGGTATCTATGTATTATTAGTGCCTATTTTACGGTGAGGAGGAAAAAGTCCTGTCTATCAAAAACACAAAGCGGGAAAAGGCCTTTTTTTCGTTGTTGTGTTGTGTCTTTTCGTTGCCCATCAACAACCTGCGGGTTAACAAAAATGCTTTTTTTGGTCATAAAGAGCACAAAAAAAGAAGAGGGGAAAAAAAAAAAGAAGATATCGTTTGAAAGAGAAAATTGTGATGATAAGCGTCTAAACTACTAGTTGTAAGATTCCAATGCATGACAGTGCCGACCTTCCCTTCAGGCTATTTCCACCGACCGCTTTCGTAGTATCGTAACTCGAGACATGGCGTAACGGATCCAGATGCTCGGGAGGGGAGGATGAGTGAAAAATGACCGCGCTTTTTGGACCCGACCCGACCTGGTCCGATCGATCTGATTTTGTGCGATACGCCTACAGATCCTGGTCGTCCTCGTCGGGCAGGGGCATGTTGGTGGCGGCCTCCATTTCCTTCTCGTACTGAGCCATGAGCTCGGGGTTGACAGCAACCTCAGGGGGAGCGAGAGCGGGAGCAGCAACGAATTCCTGGCATTCAATGTTAATCAAAGATGCAGCGTACAGGGTAGACTTGAGCGGGATAAAAACTCACCAGAGCAGGGTTGCCGACCAGCTTGCGAGCAAGCCACAGGAAGGGCTTCTCGAAGTTGTAGTTGGACTTGGCGGAGATGTCGTAGTACTGGAGGTTCTTCTTGCGGTGGAAAGTGATGGTCTTGGCCTTCACCTTGCGCTCCTTAACGTCGACCTTGTTACCGCAGAGAACAATGGGGATGTTCTCGCAGACACGGACGAGATCACCTGGTTATCGGCCATCAGTCTTCCATCCTCGCGCGTCCTGCTGAGAGGCCAGAAACTTACGGTGCCAGTTGGGAACGTTCTTGTAGGTGATACGGGAGGTGACATCGAACATGATGATACCGCACTGGCCGTTGATGTAGTATCCATCTCTCAGACCACCGAACTTCTCCTGACCGGCAGTATCCCATACGTCGAACTGAATCTGTCCCAGGTTCTATCGCAAGAGGTTAGTCGGCTCGGATATGGGAGGTGGAATGATCAAAGCGGGGTTCTAGGCGGGGCATACGGTGGTGAAGGACAGAGGGTGTACTTCGACACCGAGAGTCGCAATGTACTTCTTCTCGAATTCACCAGTAAGATGGCGCTTGACGAAGGTGGTCTAGATAATCGAGATGTTAGCGATGCTGCGAAACGTTTAGACAACTGGGTTATCTGGAGGGGTGGTTTTTTTTCGCCATTGGCGGCGGGGGTTAGACAGAAATGAAAGTCAACAAGACAACGATACTCAGAGTATCGTGAAATGCGGAACGATCAAAATGTCGCGTTTGAGAGAGAGTAAATGGTAAAAAAAAATCGACGACTTCTTCTACTTGCCTTTCCAGTACCACCGTCACCGACAAGGACGAGCTTGAAGGTTGGTACCTGCTGTTCAGCCATGGTGATGATTATGTGAGGGTTGAGGGAAAAGAAAAAAAAATTTCAAGTCGCGAAAAGAAGATGCAGGTTTTATATGATGTGATAGTCGTCAAAAAATGCGACAGTGGATGGAAGATGGTGTTCGACAAGAACGGTTGAAGCCAGGGAGAAACAGAGCGAAAGGCGATTCTGGTGATGGAATTTTTGCCCCGAGTCGGTCACAACAGGCTGGAGTCACGTGTTTCTGCCTGAGGACAACAGTGCCCCGCGGGATTCTTACGTCCAAGAACGCCTTTGTAGCACGTGCAGCCTATTCTTATGCAGCAACAGTAGACCCTGTTTCTACTCCCTATAGTTAGCTTTCATGGTTCTTTCTCCTGGTCGGAATTCGTTCGTCTCCTACAGATTAGGCATCCATTCAGATTTGCATGGCACGATGAATTACTAATACATCCCTGTCGGACTTCAGACCTCCCCTTTGCAGCCTAAACAAACAGTCACGCCAATTGACGCTGGACCGTAACCTAACGACCAATTTAATCATCAAAGGCCATATCACATTTCTCATCAAGGAAAGATCATGGAGAACACTAGCGAGCATGGTAACAAATTACATATTCCTTTGCAGCGTCCACAGCTAAAGAGGGTATACTCAATGTACACTGCTCTTCTCACAGTGGAACGAGATGGCAACCCAACATGCCCCGACCTCCCCAATCACGGCGTGGGGTGAGTTGGAGATTCAGCTCAGTAGTATTATTTGAACCAGGTCCATCTTTCCTTACGACTTTGACGATGATGGGGCGCTGTATCGGTTAATGGCAAGTCACAGTGATGTTCGAAAAAACCTTCACAGAAGGCATGAGAGACTTACTCCTTCGTTCTGTTGAACTGTCTCCGCTACCCTGGAGAGACGCTCGTGGTTCATCCAATTGACGTTTCCAAAGCTCCGTATAGTATCACCAGCTTTCAAACCAGCTTGATCCGCAGGACTACCGGGCACAATACTGTTCACCTTTGCAAATGGTGCTCCCAGCATTGCAGCATCTGACAGACTTCCCTCTCCTAGGTTGGGTCGCGGAGCAGCAGACCCGTTTGTATCGCCAGCAGAGCTAGCACCTTGCGCCCGTTGGAGACTAGCAAAGTGCTCGTGGAGGCCCTTCTCGAGATGCTTCATAATCTCTTTGTGATCATTTCGCAAGTGGATTATTCGTACTCGTGTTGTGCGAACTATTACCAAGCTTAGTCTTCCTTTTTTGTATAAGAGCTTCATGAAATCATACTCTGAGCAATGTCGATATCGTCCCGCGGGAAGCCATCGAAAGTCGTGAGAGAGGTATTCATGTTGACGCCATGCTAGGAAACAATTATATCGTCAGCCCGTATCATTCTAGTTGAACGTGATCATTTGACTCACAGACGTCAACACGGAGCTGAGCGCTGATAGCTCAGCTTCGATGCGTTCTTTCTCTTGCATCAAATCCACCATCGACAGCTTCGACAGATCGCGGGGTACCCCTCCAGACGTTGGTCCGGAGGGTACGGTCGGGGCATGAATATTATCTTCCATGGGTAATCCCATTCCTGTGTCGCAAATAAACTCAGGTCATTATCAAGGCTCGTAGGGAGTCAAGAACAAAGTCATGTCTCACCCGTCAGAAAGTGATCGGGTTATCGGACAGTGGTGGGTCTTCCTGGTTATCTGGGGATGAAACTTTCTTGGCATTTGGAGCTTCCATCATCAGATGTAATGAGTAACGACAGCAATTCAGGCACAAAACACGGCCTTATGTTTCTACAGATGTCTGTCCTACAAATTGATATTTGTCACAAGGAATTTTGCGTCGTGGGCCAATTTTCTCGATATCAATCAATGCTGCCTGGTCTGTATCTATACTTTCCTCAAGTTGATCGTTGCTTCCCACATACTTGGAGACTGGGCTGCTCCTGCTATCTTTTACACCAATGATCTGCATCATGGATTTCCTCAAGCCCAGTGCTTCAACGAGACTCTCAAATGCTCATGGTTCATTTGATCTGCGGATGATTTGCGAATGTCTGCGCAGATATGGAGTCTAAAGATGATATTCTTCCGGAGATCTCACCTCTCGTGGAAACACCGGACTCGGAAGTGAAATCGGTCAATGGTGACAGTACTGTTCACGAACTGGGAGAAGATTCAACCATCTTCGCTGCTTTCAAAAGATGGCTCGATGATTTGCTTTGGAAGAAGAGTCTTCCCCCTCCGGCCCAGGGACATGTTGATGGATGGCCGGAGCCGCTGTTGGCCAATTGTGACAGTAACGAATTGACGCCTCACTATGGCTTGCAGGATTCGCAATGGGAACAACTGTCGGGACGCTCATCACATCTGGGGGTAGTCAAAACAGCGAGCTACACTAACCAGAGTGTTGGAAGATCAAGGGGCAATACTCAAAGCACCACTAATCAGAGCCTATATTCGGGCGCACGAGACTCAATAGACGGTATTGAGCCCATCCTGAGCTCTTCGATATCTGAGACAATAATTGTCCGCGCACTCGAGAGGCGTCAAAAGCTTAGGGAGATCATCAGTACGGAGGCTGATTACGTATTTGGAATGAAAGCTCTTGCTGATGTATGCCTGAAATCATATTCCAGTGCTCTTTTATTTCTGAAATTGACATGTTCTTGTGAATATTAGGTGCTTCAGATTTGCTCTGTGCGACCTCAGATATATCGCAATGTTCAAAAAATCCGCGAAATACATCAAACCTTCCTGGAAAAGGCTCGTGCCGTGAACCCACAATGCGTCTCTGCTGCTTCTGAAATCGATAGGCTGTTTCCTCAAGGAGTTTCCAGAGGCGTGCAGGCAATTGACTCCAACCGCTTCAAGAGCCTTCACAGGAGATCACTAAGGAGGCAGGGCCTCAAGGCATCAATCACTGCTCGCGTCAACGCGCTGGGTGCACAAGGCTCGGAGGCCTCCGAAATCGCGCAAGAAATCGCGAACATGGTATGTCTACAACTCTTATCAACTTATTTTACGCTGACTGTTACCCTTTGCAGTCCCTATCATTCACCTTATATGAAGATTTTTGCCGCAACTACGAGATACTAATGCAGGATGTCACTCTGCTGAAGAGGTCAGTACCAGACTGGGAGACCTTTGAGGCTGGCATCGAGGCTCTTTCAAAGTCTGTTACATCCTTGGAAAATAAGCCATTAAAAGATAATCGATCAATGTCATTGAACGATCTCCTGATAAAGGTCTTTTTCTTTTTTTTTTTCTCAATGGCCCATCTCTCAAAAGAGCATTGCATTCTAACCTGAATTTCAGCCAGTCCAGCGCCTTTGTAAGTACGGATTGTTCCTGCAGGAGCTTCTAAAATGCACGCCCATCCACGATGACCCGGCATCGCATGGTAAAATCAAGGAAGTTCATGAGGCCATTCATCCCATACTTGATCGAGTTGACGAGGCTACCGGAAATCCAAATAAAAAAGATCTCATTGACAAGACCATGATGCTAGCAGAGAGATTGAAATTACCTAAATCTGTAAGGTCAATCACGATCTCTGCGAAGTGGACGATACTGAGTAGTCATGGCTAGCAGGGTAAACTACACGACATCTACCGGCAGTTGGGTCCGATGACTCTTTGCGGTGTCCTCCATGCGACGTATCAACAATCGAACTATGTGGCAGGCGAATATATGGTCTGCATTCTGTTTGACAGTTATCTTGTACTTGCCAGTACAGGATTTGGCCGTCCGAAACTCCAGGCTGTGGCATGCTTATACATCAGTGATGTGAGGATTGACACCTTACGTAACGGAATAGGTAAGTGAAGCCTATTCCTCCTATTTCCTTTTATTAATCCTTTCCGATGATCATAGCCAAACTGACTCATGATAGGACTATGCTGCTACGGGTGTCTATTCTCATGGAAGCTCCTCTTCGAGCATGGTAACGGCAAATTCGAGGTGGTTCTGAGCGCTTCATCGGCGAATGAAGAAAAGCAATGGAAGACAGAGATACTCAAAGCGGCTGCGGCATTGAGCAAGATGTCTACAGATGTACCGTTAGAACCGGAGCCGCGAGAATACTCCTTCCTTACTCTTGAAGTGCTGCCATTAGACTGTGACCCACGTCTAGCACCTGTGTTATCCCGAACTCCTTCCGTCCATTCGATGGCGACTTCGGTGAGAAAGACGAATATGAAGCATGTCATGATCCAAAAGACGCACATGCCAGGAGCGACAGCAGCTGAGATGAATGGAGAAATTGAACGTCCTCTGCTGATTCCCCAGACCGAAGTAGTGGTCCTGACAACCCGAAGACAAGACCGGGTTGACTTGGAAGATCTCATTTCCGACATCTACACACGGAGCTCGCTTCCATTTCCTGGAATGGAGTTGACCACCGGCAATAAACTACGCAGACCGGGCACAATAATAAAGCGACTCGTATATGGGGCAAGTATATCACGACGTTCCAGCTCTGGAGCTCTTCCGACTGCCAGGCGGTCCGCTACTGAGCTTTATCCTTCAACGAGGAGTATCAAAGATGGACAGAGTATCTCTAGTGAAAAAGGCAGATGCGATCAATCCCGACCTGGGTCCGAATTTGATGATGAGAGGGGGGAGTCCACGGTGAAGGACAGCATTGAAACCATTCAGCGCATTGAAGGGGTCAAGTTTGAGGGCAATCCCAAGTGTGCCTCCAATGATGATCTGACTTTGCGAGGTAAGGGACTCTCCGACCAACTCGCTAGGATGTCAGTCCGAGGCTTCATCAATTCGATATCTCAGGGGAGGTCTAAGAGACGATCGCGGCTTGGGTTGAGTATGGATAGTGGACTGTGATGACGACGATGTATGCATACCTGGCCGATAACAATGGGATTGCATGCGAGGGGTTCAGAAGGCTGAAGTTCTATTAGTTACTGTGATGACCACATTTTTTTCTCGTTGTTTCGATGGGCAGTGGGGGATAGTTTGGCTCTTGGCGAGACGTAATGGGGTATGGGTGTAGACGACTTTAGGATTAGAGGGGTTGAAGAGATATGAATGAATGACATGATGAAAGACCTCCCCAGTCCCCACCAGGCATTCCCAATGGAAGCGGATCCCCGATGGAGTATCGACTTAGCGCTTAATAGGGTGACTACGCACGAGATGAGGTCGTAACTGGGAGAAACCGATGACGTCGGAGGGGTCAATGGTCATGGCCGGGGGAGATGGGAGCATCGGATGGTGTGTGAATGTGATATAAGAAGAGCTCCTTCTACTGGAAGGGGACAGTTATTATTCAAATTCAGATCCCTCTAAACATAACTACTTCTATAGACACTTCAATCTTTCTGTCTCTCTTCTCATCAACAAAACCATTCCCTTGAGCTTCTCTTCCTTCAAAGTGAGTTCCTCCCCACATAGTATCTAGTGACGTCATCGACCATCGATCACTTCATACAACTTTCTCGGCCTCCCGCAGCTCCAGTTCTTTAAAATCCTCCATAGGAAGCAATCTCTGACCTCTTTTCTCATCTTATTCTAGCTAAAACACACTCTCTATTCTACCTCAATCCCATTCGTCACTCCACTATCCAAAATGCGTGCCACCGAACACACCTCCAAGGTCTTCTACAAGGGCGCCTCGGACGACTTCATCGTCTTCGTCGACGACCCGGCCATCCTCAAGAAATGGAAAACCGACCGCTCAATCTCCCTGACCGACGTGGTGAACGGGTACAAGATCTTTGTTACTCACAAGTAAGTTGTCTCAACTGCCAATGTATCCCGCGGAAGGAAGAAGGAAAAGGTTGAGGCTAATGATTTCTTGCAATCGGTTGTAGGCATGGCTCCCAAGGCGTGCTTGACGGAGCTAGCAATGCTAGTCTCGACAATGAGTTTGGCACCCATAATGTGGATGATTGCATTGTGAAGATCCTGGAGAAGGGTGAATACCAGACGTATGCGGTATGTTCTTCTGTTCTCTTTTTTCCCCTTTGTCCCTTAGGAGGGCGATGGGGGTTCTGGGCAATTGGCTGACTGGACTTCTAGCAAAACGAACACCAGGGTGACACCAACTTCAGCAATGGCCCTGCGTACCGGTGATCGAGGCTCCTGACTGGCCTTCTTATCGCTGTTTGGGTCTGGATCGGGATCTTGTTTGACATTTCCATGAGCGATGATGAATTTTCTTTTTTACATCTGTTTTTTTAAACTACGTTACGTGTTGGTATGGGGATGGGTGCCGAGGGACTACGGACCTTTTTTTCTCTGATGATGAGCGATGATTGCCTTGGGGCCCTTTGTATGTTAGTAGTGGGTATTGATTACCTCAATGATAATGATGGCGGGCTGAGCTTGTCGTCTTGCATTTGTCAATGTTTTTTTTTTGCAGATTTCGTAGGTCTTGTTATATTCAGCTGTATTCATATCAAAACTTGGTATATATCTAGTACCGACTCAATTGTCAAGGAGCGATAAGATCGGTTGTTTGTCCCGGGAGCTGGGACTGGAGTGCACGAGCAGCCTCCCGTCTCTCCACCACCCACTGACCTAATTCATCCCACACAGCCTGCTTCTCAGCCGTGCTCATCCCCGCCGCCAACCCGCTCGTCGTCGTCGCCACAAACACCCTCGCCCCCTCCCATCCGTTGCCCCGCCCCATATTCTCCCCCTCTTCCTGCCATCCATACCGGAACTCCTCCTTGCAGATCGCCCGCCCCTTGCGCGCTCTCCACACAGCCTCCCAGATACTCTTCCCGACCAGACACACCGCCTCGGGCCGCTGTGCCGCGACCTTGGCTTCCAGCACGGGCACACCGGCAAGCATCTCCGCGCGGCTGAGCATGCTCGCGTCGCGCGTCGGCCGCTCGACGATGTTCGTGTTCCCGATGTTGTAAAGCTCCGGCAGCCGGTACGTGTCGCACGGCGGATGGCGGATCGGCGTGATCCCCGACCAGTGCAGGAGTTTCCAGAACAGGTTCGACGGGTGCGCGTACGCGAAGCCTGTGGTGCCTGTCAGGATGCCGGGGTTGACGCCGACGAGGAGGAGGGTGAGGTTTGGGGGGATGGTGTCGCGGAGGAGGGAGGTGGGTGATGCTGGTGTTATCGATGTTGTCGGTGTGGATGGTTTGCGAGCGCCCCGGCCCCTGCGAGGGCTTTGCGGTATGCTTGGGGATGATGCTGTCGGGAGGGAGGAGGCGGAGCGAGAGCGGGTGATGCGCTGGGGGAGGTCTGGGGTTGTCGGGTTGGGGGTGGGTATGCGTGGACGGAGGGCTTTTCGGCGTTTGGACAGTGGTGTCGATGCATTTAAGGCGTCGCTGGAGACTACTTCTAATTGGGATTCTGTTTTGCGTTTGATTGTGTCTTGCAGATCTGGCGCTGAAGACGAGGCAGCCTTCGTTGTCGGCTCATTTGACAGGGCGCTGGCTTTCGTCGTGTGGAAGTATCGATTCAGCCTCCCGTTGAAGCTGGTCATTCTGTTCACGGGGACATCATTGTCATCAGCATCGTGCTGCTGTTCTCGATGGATATCCTGAAGCTCAGGAGCAGCAAGTGGCGACATGTCTGCTATGGACGGAGAACCTTGCTGGAGGGAATTAGTGAGGATGTAGTCAGTTTCTGTGGAAGATGTGGTCAAAATGAAACCAGAATGGGCTTTGAGAGCTCTTTTATCATGCGATTGGGTCAGGATCGAGAGAAGTTTCTGCCTGTTTATTCTCGAACACATGGATATTTGGAGCCTCCGTGTCTTCTCACCAATCCCGATTTGGTTCACTGTCCCATTTTGGCCATCCAGGGACACTGACACGTGACATAACTATAGAGTCATGTGACTAGGATTGAGCGACAGGTCACAACAGAGTTGTTTCTTCATCTAATATTGTATGATATGTCCAGATATATATATACTATATACATAAGTAGTAGGACTGTGCTCTTCACAGCTCCAGCTTCTAAATCAGACGACAACGGCTGCGTTGCCGCCGTATGGTACAATTCCACGATCGCTCGTGGTTCAAATCTCAACGCCTATTCCGTTCCCATTGCATGCATAATCATGATTCGTAAAATTCGTCGTGTTAATTCGCTTCGTAAGTGTATTGAGTTCTTCAGGGTAAGCGGTCTTTTCGTTATACTTTGATGGCGTGTCGTTTCGGCAATGTCCACGGTTCAGCACACACGACCTGTTTTCATTAGACCATTTCACCGTGAAAAATGTGGTGTTGGTTCTCACCTCGCCCTCGGTGTATGCCCAAAAGTACACCACGATACCGATCAGATAGTATATCGCAGGATCCGTCCCCTGATATAAAAGAGCTGCGAAGAGAGCGCTCAGCGGGTACATGATGAGCCGCACTTCGATGCTGCGGTGTGGTAAGGTGCCCGCGACGAGGTTCAGTGGCCATTCCCAGGCGATGCCGAGCAGGCCCATGAGCAGATTGAGAATCTGGAGGATCGGCGTGGGTTTTACGGCGCCGTTGAGGTTCTTTGTGGTGAAGTCCCAGAAGAATTTGGGCCAGATGAACCCTTCGACCGCGCTGCCGATTTGATCTACCGATCAAGATTGCTGGTTAGAAATACTTTCGCAAAATGTTGGTGGCGAGGGTTGATGGTTCACTTACAGATTGCGGCCGTGAGGATGATCAAGCGGGCCCAGTGGTTCTTGATGAGTCTTCCCATGGCGATTTGTATTGAAGATGGTTTGATAGTTGGGGATGTTGGGCAACGCTTTCGTCCAGCGAAAGTGTTTGGCTCGGTGCTATTAAAGGAATTGATTTCAAGCCTCCACCTTGCCTGTCAAGACCGTCGATGAGGACATTGGGGACAGTGGCATAGCAATCAGATATTTGAATGATCAATCATATCTTCCCACGAACGGAATCCAGACCGTAAAATTTAAGATTCAGATCACAGCTATCACATCACCCCAGACGATCAATGCGCAGACGGATCAAAAGGAAGAGAAGGCAAAAGTCGTGACTGACAGTGGGAGGGGAAGCGGATTTTCATAGCTTGCCAGTGCCAAATTAGCAAATGGAGGACTACCACATGATCGTTGACGAGGATATCCTCCATGCAGTAGTGCAAAACCATAATAATAGCATCGTCGGAATGGTGATTTTTTCGCAATTGTTATCGCTGTGGTGAGTGTGATACGCGGGATGTATTACCAACCGCCTTGTCGCTGAGTACCAATTGAAGCCGATGAACCCCCTCGAGTCAGTCGAGGCGACGAGGGGCCCCTCTTGGCTGCTTCTGCAGAGAGTGAGACGAGACGGTATCATTGGATGACAGCACGGACACCAATGGATATTGATACTAACATAGGATGACAGGGCAATCCTGGAGACATGGATGCTGGTAGGTCGAGAGTTCCCTGGTTGGGCGCTATGAGTACTATGAGGAGTGCAGGGTGCGCAAGAATACGAGCGAATGGGAGCAGAAGACGAACTGCGAGTGAACCTATTGAAGTCAACAAGGCGTGACCGAGATGCAGGCGATTAGCGGGAACACACTTTAGCGGCCGATGCGCCTGTGTGATGATTGTGCGAGGTCTGCATGTTTACACTTTACAGGGGAATTCTCTATCTATCTATCTAGCCTGCTTCTATGAAAAAAATATTCCGGCAGTTGATCGGGGTGGAAGCAAAGGAGACAACACATGCAAGAAGATGGGACCACTGGATGTATGTATGTCATGAAGATAATATCTACTATCTAGTATCTACTTTCTCTAGTAGTTGATATATTCAACCTACCTATCTATTATATGAGAGACAGTTTAGATACAATAGAGAAAAAGACCAACTGAAGGATTCCGCCTCGCTCACCGTCTTTCTGATCAATACCATCCTAGGTATCCAATTCGCTATTCTGCGGTGGTTCGAGGTCAAAACTCGGAAGGCTACCTACGAATCCGACTAGGTAAGAATCATCCCGAGCATCCCAAAAGAGAACTCCCCTGGTCCCCGATCTCAATCTGTGATGATTCTTCAGGCCACCAGTCACCAGATGACAGATGCTACTTCGGTCTAGCGGTTGATATATCGTACATAATAAGTCGATGGTCTGTGCCTGACACCGACACTGACAGGATGAAGTCCTATATTTGGCATCAAACTATTGATAAAATGTAGCTTTGTCATTTACCGAGGAGCTAGGTATGTATCTACTAGATAGCCTAGATGGATACAAGTATCTACATAGACTAGGTACTAACTACCTTAGGTAGGTATTATTATCTTCGATGAAGCCATACGAATTCAGAAATGAATCCGATGGGATGCAGGAGATCCCGTTGCTGATTGGCTGAGTCCAAGTGTGATGAGATGAGCGCCTGCAGATTGATTCTGATTCGTCCATTCTCAGGACTCCCAACCGCTCTGACAGACGGCCTGATCCTCCCACGTCTCTCACACACTCCCTCTCTCTTAATCTCAACTATCTATCTACGGAATAGTATCTATCTCAGTACACTTTACAGGTCATCGGGACGGAATTGAGAGTTCGAAGTTAAAAATAAACTGGCACCGGCTGAACGCCAGCCGGAGACTGGACTGCAATGGTTCATCGCTGACCCTGAAGCCACATGGCTCGCTTCCCTTCCACTGGCCAGGATATGAGAAGCCCCAGTGGAACATGGGAAGAAGCAGGCGAAAATTAGCGAGCAAGAGGGAAAAAGAAAAAGAAAAGAAAAAAGGCAAAATCTCGGCGGAAGTGGCAGGTTGCAAAGGCCCAAGGAGCCCTTGTGATAGGCATCTCATTCCGTCTGAGAGTCAGATCATCTTGACGATGCTCGGCTTTGAAGAGGCCAAAACGGGAGACATCGAGATATTATTCCCTCGAACTCTATCTACTCCGTATCCAAGTAGATGCTGAGTAGTGATACGAATCAAGACGATTGGGCATTGAAAGACTCTGGTATCGTACGATGGCAATTAATGAATCCTCCAGGAGCTCACTGGAAGGTTGAGATGCTGGTCTTGTAGATAGTTATAGAGGTTAGAATAGAGAACGGAAGAGAGAGGCACCATTATTGGTATTGGCAGAAGTAACAAAAGATGATGAAGATGGACTCCAACGAGGTATAAAAATAACCTTCGTCATCATAATTATAATAATAATGATAAAAATTATAGCAACTAAACATCCCCTCCTCGTGATGGTGGGTTTTTTTTTCTCTTCCCTGCAGCCAAAAACCACAACGCTGGAATCATCAGGAAATCCGCACTAAGCGACTTTCTCATCCAACGTCATTTCATCCGATCCGATCTGTTTCTAATAATCAATCATCTGTACTCGGTGCTCTCTCTCTATCCATCCTCTATCTCTCAATGCTGAACTTCCTTTCATTGTCTGGCGCTGTTTAGACTTTCTTGATCATGATTCTGTTCACCTCTTGTCCCCTTCTTGTCGTCCCCTCGTCCTGTAGCGTCACTTGTTGATCTGTCCAGCACTACGCTACACTTCACTTTACTTACGCGCCGTATCCGTCTGCTCTGTCTTAGGCCACTCTTCTCTTCTCGGGAAGAGCTCTGGATGGAGTCGTCGCATAATCTTAGTACATCTGACTCGGAAATCGACTTTGATCCATGGTTCTATCTCAACTATCAACTATCATCTCGAAACCAAGCGTATCCGACAATCAAGCTAACAGTACACTCCTTTTGATTAAGATTTCGAATTGTTGTTTCCAAATAATATATAGAGAAGATTATTTGTCTATCTGTCAATCTGTCTGTCTGCTGCGTTTAGTTTCGTCAGATCATTCAGGGGTTATCAATCATCGCGGGTCGATGATCCTTGGGTCGTCTCCCCAGAATACGTGTTTGCCAGTGCGAGATCGATCATGATGCGCTATCCTCTGTCTTCGCAATTTACAAGGTCTAAGATTCTATTCTATCTTCTGTTTTGGGGTGTGCATATCGGTGTCTTTGCTGGAGGATGGTACGTCTGTCTGAATGTGTCTGATATCCTGGTTTGATACCTCGACTGACACCCCATGCAGGTACATACAAGCATCAAACCCTAAGCTGGACACCCTCAACGTGTTGAACTACTCAGTGTGGTTCTCCCGAGGGTCCGCCTTGGTCCTCACATTCGATGGCACTCTCATAGTGCTGCCGATGTGCCGGAACCTCATCACTCTCATCAGGCCCAAGATTCGATGGCTGCCTCTCGACGAGTCGATATGGTTCCATCGCCAGGTGGCGTATTCAATGCTGCTCTTCACCATCATACACGTTTCTTCCCACTATGTCAAGTAAGTTCTTGAGGATTGCTTGAAGATGTAACCCCGGCAGTCTCCTAACAAGCAGCAGCTTCTACAATATCGAAAAGGACAAGCTCCGTCCCGTCACTGCGGTTCAGATCCATTTCACCGAATCAGGCGGCATCACCGGCCATGTGATGCTCCTTTGCATGATGCTCATGTATACCACTTCCCACCATCGCATTCGGCAGCAGTCCTTTGAGACTTTCTGGTACACGCATCATCTGTTTGTTCCGTTTCTGCTTGCTCTTTATGGTCATGCAACCGGTTGCTTCGTGCGAGATTCAGCACGGCCCGTTTCGCCATTCGCAGGGAATTTATTCTGGAAGCATTGCATCGGATACCAAGGTTGGAGGTGGGAACTGGTGGGTGGTGGCCTGTATCTCCTGGAAAGACTCTACCGCGAGATCCGATCAAGACGCTCCACCGTCATCACCAAGGTGGTCCGTCATCCACATGGTAAGTTACTCTTTCTCTCGCTTGCCTGTCTTGTTACCATCCGCTCACAAGCCTAGATGCAATGGAAATTCAGTTTCGTAAAGACAGTATGAAGTACAAAGCCGGTCAATGGCTCTTCATCCAGGTCCCCGAAGTGTCCAACACCCAGTGGCACCCCTTCACCATCACCTCCTGTCCCTTCGATCAGTACATCAGTATCCACGTCCGCCAAGTGGGAGATTTCACACGCGCTCTGGGTGACGCGCTGGGCTGCGGTCCTGCACAGGCTCGAGACCTGGAAGGACTAGACCCTCTCGGCATGTACGAAGTGGCCCTCCAGAACGGGCAGAAAATGCCCAAGCTCCGCATCGACGGACCCTACGGCGCGCCCGCCGAAGACGTCTTCGAGAACGAAATCGCCGTCCTCATCGGCACAGGCATCGGCGTCACCCCCTGGGCCTCCATCCTCAAGAACATCTGGCACCTCCGCTCCGCCCCAAACCCGCCCCGCCGCCTCCGCCGAGTCGAGTTCATCTGGGTCTGCAAGGACACCTCCTCCTTCGAGTGGTTCCAAGCCCTCCTCTCCTCGCTGGAGTCGCAGTCCGCCTCCGCCGCCGCCAACCAGAAGAGCACCGAGTTCCTGCGCATCCACACTTACCTGACGCAGCGCCTCGACCCGGACACCGCGGCCAACATCTACCTCAATTCCGTCGGCCAGGAGATCGACCCGCTCACGGAACTGCGCAGTCGCACGAACTTCGGCCGCCCGGACTTCAGCCGTCTCTTCAAGGCCATGCATGACGGCCTGCATGACCAGTCGTACATGTCCGGCTTGTACGGCGCCAAGACCACCGAGATCGGGGTGTACTTCTGCGGGCCCAACGCGGCGGCGCGCCAGATCCGTGAAGCGGCCAAGGCGGCGTCGTCCAAGGATATCAGGTTCAAGTTCTGGAAGGAGCATTTCTGATTTCAATTAATTCGCTCAATTAGAAAGAATATCGTCGGGTCCGTGAGTGGGAGACGCCCAGCAATGGAAAGAAACGAGAAAAAAAACAACCATATCTATCTAATTGACGAGATTAACGCGTGATGAGTTATGAGTTTCCTTTGCAGTGTGCTTTTGAAATGGGGGCGCCCGGCCCTACAGAACATCTTCTACCTGTACTGTTTTTTTTCCACCCCATGCATTGTATTATAATTACGGTATATAGTCATTGGATGTTGTCATCGGTACTAGAACTCTTGATTATTCATCTCGAAGGTTTTCTCTGGTACTCGGTAACGCTACATGCGACGCTATTTTATTCCTCCATACGCTCATCCCCGCTCTCTGCATCCTCGGGCATATCAATCGGCAGCCCCGAGGCGACAGCATAATCCAGCCGCCGCGCTACCTCGTCAATCTCCTCCTCGATGTCAACATGGATCCGCAACTCCTTCTCAACAAGCACATTATACACCCGCCGCAGCTCATCAAAATCCATACCCTCCGCGCTCTTCGTCGATGCAGTCCCGGACTCAGATTGGGCGCGGACGACATCCGCGCGCAGATGCGTAAAGGCAAGCATGACGAGCTCCTTGGACCAGGGACAGGCGCGGACGGCGCGGTAGAAGACGTCCTTTGCGCGGGCGACTTCGTTGCGCGAGAGCTCGAAGAGGATGTACAGTTTCCAGAGGGTGAGGCTGGAGCGGGCGGAGGCGGTGTTGCTGCTGTGGGCCGGGCTTGCCGGTGTGGTGGCGCCGATGGCTTTCTCGAAGGCGGCGCGCGCGGAGTGGAGCGTGGAGCCGGCGAAGACGGGCCGGGAGATTTCGGTGTAGATGGAGAAGAGATGCGTGGTTATCGGGACTTGTTGGGTAGTGGTGATGGTGTTGTTGGGGTCGATGCGGTGTTTAGTCTCGGAGGTGACGTCGCGGACAACGTCGCGGACGCGTTCTTCGATACGGAAGCGGGATTCGTTCCAGGCGAAGAGAGAGAGGAATATGGTGTTATGCGGGAAAAGGGAGATGCTTTCGGACAACAGGGTGCGGATATGTGATGGTTTGTAGAGACTGCTGGTGTGGACGTGGTAGTAGACGAGTCTCGCCCGGGCCTGGTGCAAAAGCTCGGTTGTGAAGGATTTAAAAGTGCGGGCATGGTCGGGGAGCGTATTCAGTCGGTTAAGTGCAGTGCTGTATGCCTCCAGAGCTTTGTTCATATCCGACGACTGGGAGAGGTACGTGAGAAGAGCCAAGCAATCGGTACATGCCACAAAAATGTTGGCTTTCCTTGACACGAGAACATTTTCCTGGGCATCTGACAGGAACTGCAGAAAAGTCAGATGACGGTACAGCAACACGGGCAGTTGATAGCTTACATTCCGTGTTTTCAATAAATTCGTTGCGCTGAACATGGTCTCACTGATGACTTCCGGGATAGCTTTGAGTTCAACACTGTTTTGGGGCATGGAGAGAAGAAGGTAGGAGGCCTGGGCTATCTTTCGAGTGTCCAGCGATTCCCAGACCCAGGTGTGCCACAGCAGAACGGAATCAACTCTGTCATGGTCAGGGAAGGTTTTGCTCATGGAGAGGGTAGTCGCCCAGACATGGTCAGCAGCTGTTCTATTTCCAGACCGGCTTTCTACTAGAGCGTACGAGTTATAGAGGCGCAGGTTCGAACTTCTCTTTCTCAGGATGGACTTGGCATACTTCTTGGCTTCCCTGTCATTGCATGCTAATTCCACGGCAATTGTGTACTCGGCCAAGTCGTCGTTTCGCGGATATGCCTCTACAAGCAGCCTGAGTGTCCTCCTGACCCAGTCAGGATCAATGTCAGATCTTGGGTTGAGAATGGCCTTGGTCCATGACGTTAAGGATGAAAACCAGGCCTCTTGGTTTGCAAAAAGCGTATACGTCGTCTGGATGAAGTTTGGATGGGGAAAGGATACCGGGGAGAGGGCACCACTTTCCGAGCCTCGTAGTTGACCTGAAAGCCAATTTTCGGGAGTTATTTCCATGTCGCTTATCAAGGCATTCCGCAAGAAGTTATCTCCAGCCCAGACACTTGTTGTTTCCAGGTTGTTTGGTGACTTGATGGGAGGCAATTGGCAGAAATAGAGATAGCCATTGATCAGCTCGTCGGCCGGGTTCACTTTCCAAACAAGAGGTAGTATTTCTTGGAGATCAGACGCGATGATAACGCGGTATGGATCATCGTCGTCGGATTCATCTAGACTCCGAGCCGGTAGTCGGGCATTGGATGTCCGTTCTCTCTCGCAGACGGCCCATGACGCGAAGATGGCTCTTGGATCCACCCGGGAAGCAGGTGTAAAGTTCTTGGGCTCCAGGAGAATATTGTCTCCGGACTTCCAACCCTTCGCGCCAACCTCTCCGATGCGCGCAACTTCAGATTCCCAGAATTCAATTAGAGCTGGCATTGTCTTTTCCTCATCCAGAGCACCCAATTCCTCTGGACGGAAGAGAATTGCTTCAAACAGGGCCTGCCAAAGAGCAACAGCATGCTCCATGAACCCGGCTTCCCTAATAAACAGAGTCAACCGCAAGAACAAGTATATCTGTACATGGGCTTTTTCTGGCCTGTCAAGGGCAGGTCTATTCAGCTTTAAACATTCGAGATAAGTGTTAAAGCATCGTTCATAAGTAAAAGCCAGAAACTCCGTTTGACGAAAATCAAGATACCTAACCCAAAGGCTGAGATATTGTGGGTTAGCACTAAGGACGGTCTGCCATCGCGCTGAGAGTTTCTTCGTATCCCAGAGCTTTGCGCCTTCTTCAAGTAGGCCCAGCAAAAGTCGGTCTTTGAACGGACTGTTCCCAGCTTTCTTCAGTGCTTTTTCATACAATGATAACTTGATGTCAGCCAGACTTTGTCGTTCCGCGCTTGTCAACGCGCGAGACTCTCTTCCGGGACCCTTAAGAAGTAGCTCCTGATGATCAATGAGACGAATCCATGCTGCAATATCAGTAGGATTCTGGTCAACGCTCCTGAGCAACTCCGCATTGAGTGATTTGATTTCCTCGTCAGGGTCGACTCGTAGGCCAACCTCACTCGTATCCGTATCCGACGCAGCTTCCAAATCGCTAAGAATGTCTTCTTCGCGTTTCGCTTTGCCGTGAATTGACCGGTAGGCATACTTCTCGTCGTCCGTATCAATATCATCTGGTATCCCCTTGTGCCTGGAACCTGCAGAAGCGCTAAGGGGGATAAAGTCCCGCGAGGCATCTATGGTCGATTCCGTTAAGGGGTCTTTGCGAACTCGGAGAAGCCTAGTGTGTTGTTTATCCAGGCCCAGAAATGCGCTTTTTGCCTTGCTTTTCTTTCCATCCGTGCGCGAGAAGTCCGTCCTAAGAATCAATGCGTCTCCATCCGCTGTATCGCGGTCTATTCGATAACGTGAAGACAGACCAAGCACATTTCCTCGCCCAACTCGGTGGTACAGGGGCACACTGTATCGATGAAGTGTGCCGTAGATGAGATTGTATTTGTCGCCTTTGCGATCTATGACGAACAGATCCGACACCTCGTCCTCATTCTCCTTCACGACGGGTTTCGGGGGGGGCGAGGAGCGGCGAACATACTCATCGCGTGTGCGTGCCTCTCGGTGATGTGATCGCGGTTCATCTCGTGCCCTACGCCGGTCTTGAGACCGGGAGCGTTCGCGATGGCTCCTGTGCCTCGACCGATGCTTGGACTTCTCATCTCGATGGGAGGACTCGCGACTCCGGCGATCAGATGGTGGATCAGCAGCTCTAGACGGAGGTGCTGGCGGAGGCTTGAAACTGGCAAACCGGGGGATCGATTTTTTCTCCTATAAACTTGTTAGTTTTAATCATAGCCTTCGAGTCGAAAACAGGGCAACTCACCTGGGAGCCCGAAGAATCCATGCTCCTGGACGTAAGACATCGTCGTCAGTCTCCAAATGCTGCGGAGTTGGTGTTTGGCTGGAAAAACTCCGCTCCCGCTTCCCGCTGCCTTTTTTTTTCTGGTTGGAGAAAAAAAGTTGCTCCGAACATTTCGTCGTTCAAACTAATCCGACTTTTGACGGGAAGTTATTGCCCACAAGAACATAATAAGATTACCTCCCGAGAAAGCGACGAAGAAGGATATCGTTAAGGGATGGGTGTTTATTCTTGATTCACGATAAAAGCAGAAGTTCCCATCGACAATGGCTTCGTCCCTCGCCGCGCAGCTGTCGCAGATCGCGGCCAAGTCGACAAACCAGCTCGACCTCAAGGCGCAGAGATTATCGCACTCGCAGTCTCTGATTTTCGACCGGAAGGTTGCTGGCACCCAGGATTTCGATACCGTCTATCAAATATGTTTTGAAGGGTTTCAAGAGCTATGCCAGCTCGATGCACGGTTCAACTCTTTCGAGCGCACAATTTTCAGCGAGCAGAGCAAGACCGAGGATCGCACGCAGTTGAGCGCAGCTCAGAATAAAGAACTCGATGTGGTTTTGGAGGCATTCCTTGCTCTGGTTGGAGGACGCTTATTGTTGAGTCCGGCCGTGAAGGCCGTTGACTGGCTCATCCGGCGCTTCAGGTGCGATAAAGCTGGTGCAGTTACGAATCCTTGAATCTTGGGGCTAACACGGCTTGCAGAGTTCATGAATATAACACAGAGTTTACGATTCTTACATTCCTACCATATTACACCACTCCCCTGTTCCTGAATCTTTTGTCCATCCTTCCCGAAGATCTGACGCCGACCTTCAAAATTCTCATTCCGTACAAGAAGGGCCTGCTCAATCCACCTCGCCATCCGCTCGTGCATAGCGCCACAACAAATAGAGCCTTTCTGGCGGCTGTCAACAATTACGTGCTCACCGTCAGCCGACAGCAGGCGCATCACCATGCGCTCTTGGCATTCTGGGCTGGAATCATCACTGAGGCGGTTGCGGGAATGTTGGATTCATCACGCTCCGGTCGCCGAGAGGTTGAGAAACAGAAGCACGAGGACATCATACTGCGGATTCTTCCTATCCTGAACGATGGATTCGCGCTGAAGAATGTCTCCGAACTGGTTATTGGCTGTTACATGGTTTCAGTGGTTCTCGCGCAAAAGTCGTCCCTCCAAGACAAGCTTCTCGACGGCCTAATGGAGGCAGTTGCAGGTTCATGGACTGAGGAGACACTGGAGTCAGGCCTGGTTTGTCTGGCTGTTCTGGCACAGCAGAAGCCTGAAACTAGGCTGCCTAGACGAGCGTTGAAGGCAATTCTGCGGCTAGACGACATTGTGAAGCGGTTGACCGATATCTCCTCCCAGTATCAAACCTCCAATCTGCTGCTTGGAGTCGTCGCCGGCTGTGTCGACGATCTCACGAAACACAAGGACACCGCGCGCCTAGAGCTTTTGCCCCGGGTGTTCCAGACACAACTTCTGGGAGAGTTGGAAACGAGCAAGGCGATGGCCATGGTTCTCCACGCTGCCAGCAATGCTCACAGGGATGGCACTATGTCATTGGACACTCAGGCCTGTCTGGCTGATCTGGTCCAAGAATTCAATCAATCTGAATTTCTGCAACCAATTTTCCAGAAGACCATTGCAGAATCGACTTTCGACACTGCCGCAATCGAACACAATTTGCAGACGGTTATTGTTACTGCCCCTGCACCCCGTGCTGTTGAGGATGTCGTGATGGGGGATGCGGAGAAGGTAGTAGAGCAGGACGGCTTCTCATCCACTCTCGAAGCTTTGGTCGGGGAGAAATTGTTCAAAAGCTCTTTCCTTAGCGCACAATCCATACCCGTCTTCGACAGACTTGTTCAAGCCTTTGCACTGGCAGCCAGCTCAGAGGAAAAAACGCAAGTCTTCTCGGATTTGGCTGTCCTTGGTAAGTCCGAGGTCAGCAAATCTCCCCAATATCTGTCATTTTTCATCAGGGTGTTCTCCGGCCCGTACCCTATTGGCACCCGTGCTATGGCTCTAAACATAGTCGCCACCTTCCTCACATCCACGTCCAACTTGGACCTGGATTTCCAGGCAATTTTGCCATTCCTTCTTGTCGCCCTCGCAGATCCGTCGGAGAGAATCCGCCGCGAAGCAGCAGCAGCTCTCGCCGCTATTGGGGGTATCTACAAGAAGCACAAGAAAGGGGAAAACGTCTGGGGCCGCGACACTATCTACGGCCAAGAGAAGCAATCGAAGAGCGTCCAATGGCTTCCTACCCGTGACGCGCAGAAGGTTTTTGAGCGTGCGGTGCTCCCGAGCCTGGAGGAATGCATTTTTGATCCAGGCCATATCAGCAAGGTCCTTGAGACTACTCTTCGAGGAGCATCTGTTGACCCGAATGCATCCGAGCTCAAGAAACCTTTGAGATTGAGCTTCTTCACCTTCCTGTGCTCCCATGCCATCCAGCTCCCACTTTTCACACCCAAGCTCGGACTGCTGGGCTTACTCAACCGTATCGATAAGGCTGGTGGAACCACCCGTACAAAAGAGCTGGAGCCTCTGCTCAAGGCTTGGCGAGGACTGAGTGAGCAAGAAGTCAGTGACATTTGCGAGAAACAGCGGGTTCCGGTCTCCGAAGTCGAGAGTCAAATGGTTACCATCGTCACACCGAAGGAGAAGGATGCTCTGACATTACTCCTGTCGAACGTCAGTCCTTATTCGGAGTCGTTAAGATCTACCTTCGTCGCTGCTATTTTTGCCCGTGTGAAGGACATCTGGGCTCGAGTGTCCGAGGATCGCCAGGTCTTGGCTGCTGAGCAGCTGTTCGATATTGCACTCGGACTTTCAGACTCGGCTCTTGTAAACAATTGCAGGAACCTTCTCCGAAGCGTCGAGCTGCCGGGATCTGTGCTAATTGAATTCCTGGAGAAGATCCCTGTATCCCTCACCGATATGGAGGCTGTCGGCCCCGCCCCGAAGAGAAGACGCACTAGTCAGAGCAACATGATTGCGATGACTGTGAAGGACGAGGCGGAGTTCGGCAAGGTCATGGAGAAAATGACTTTCATTCTGGAGCTTGTGGACAGCTCGTCACCAGAGACTCACCCTGAGCTTGCCGATGGGCTCTTCCAAACCCTCGCTGCTCTTCATCACTTCAAGTCCCAGATCCAGTCTGGAATGAGCTACCTGCTCAGCTTGACACTTGGTAGCCTTCTGGCCATCGTCAACCGGTCGAAGGAGAGCGCGAAGGCGCAGTTTGATACATCTGTCATTCGCGCCGACTTGGTTGTGGACTGCGTGCGGACGACGGAGAGCCCTCAGGTACAGAACGCGGCTCTCCTTCTGGTATCCGGTCTGTCTGTTATCGCGCCTGAGCTAGTGCTGCACAGCGTGATGCCTATTTTTACCTTCATGGGCTCCAGTGTCCTCCGCAAGGATGACGAGTATTCGGTATCAGTCATTGACCAGACCATCGATCAAGTCGTGCCGGCTCTTATCCAGTCATTGCGTAACCAGAAACGCGACGTGGTTTCGGGAACATCGGAGCTGCTGCTGAGCTTCACGGCTGCTTTCGAGCACATTCCTTCTCACCGTCGTCTGCGCCTGTTCCACGCCTTGATCACCAAGTTGGGCACGCAAGATTTCTTGTTTGCCGTTTTGGCGATGCTGGCTAACAGATATGCCATGGATAAGGATGTTCTAGTCCTTATGACCGGCCTCGTCTCCGATGCTAGTGCTCCTGTGGAGCTTACGGTTCGTCGAGTCCATTTCTATTGTGGAGATTCTTTTCTAACGAAGTTACAGACATACTACAAATACCTCGACTTGGTCACCGACTCTCTCAAGGCGAAGCCTAGCATTTCGCAGGTTCTTCTTGGAATTGGAAGTGACGACGGTCGCGAGCCTCAAAAGGTTGCGGTGGACCTGCTCCGCGACTTGGCTTACCTGTTCAAGCATTCGTCGCTCAAGGTCAAAATGGCCAAGGCTTTTGCATCGGAGGACGAAGAGGTCATCGGACAAATCCGAGCCCTCTTCTCTCGGATCCTAGAACAAGTCCTGACAATCGGCGATTCAGTGCAGAGCATGAAGCTCGTCGGTCAGGCCAACAGCGATGTTCTGGGTGCATTGTTTGGCACTCTGACGCTTGTGGATTTCCTCGACACTATCGAGGTGTTGCTTCAGCGGCCTAGCGATGAGCTCCGCCGGAAGGTGCTTCGACTCCTCGAGGGACGTCTCCGTCAGAACCCCGAGCGTGATGGCGCCTCGCAGATCCGCGTGCTTGACTTCTTGCCCACGTTGGTTGATATTGTTCGTTCATCGCCGGATATTCTGCTCAAGCATGCCGCTGTCGCATGTATCGATCGCATCGCCGAGAAGTACGGCAAGAAGGACCCGTCGAGGGTTGTTAGTGCTGCTCAAGTTGTTGCTAGCGAGGCTTGCATCGGCCAGGAGGATGACCGCATTCGCATCATGGGTGTCTTGTGTCTCGCATCCATGGCCGATGTTCTCGGCCAGGCGATGATCCCAGCGCTCCCGGAAGCGCTCAGTCGCTCGCTGGCGTTGCTGGAAGTGAGTCTAGAAAAGGGCAAGGAGAACTCTCGACTCCACGACGCCACTTTCTCGCTGTTCTCGGCCCTCTTTGTTCACATCCCATACATGATCTCCGGCCCCATTCTGGATCAGATCCTCCTTCTGTCTTTCAAGTCTGCTAATGCTGAGGACTGTGAGGATGACGGCCGCCAGGAAGCACTGCGGATGATGGCTCGGAAGGTCGACATGGCCGCGACGCTGGGGGCAGTCGATCGCAACTGGCAATACGCCGTGCAGGCCGGACCAGCTGCGGCGAAGGAGACGCTGGAGGTGGTCAGTCTTGCCATCGAGAAACATCCCAAGTCCGCTACAGGCAAAAACATTGGTGTTCTCACTAGCATCCTTTTCAAGGTCTTTGATCTGCGTCGGGAGCAACTCGCTCTGGGATCGAAGGCCACCTTTGAGATGGCGGACATTGAGGAGATCGAGGAGTCGGTCAATGATGTGACTATCAAGATGATCTACAAGCTGAACGACAGCACCTTCCGTCCGATCTTCACGAAGCTCCAGGACTGGGCTATTGCTGGTCTTCCCAAGAAGGATACTCAGGGCAGCTTGGCCCGCCTCACCACATTCTACAAGTTCTTGCAGGTCTTCTTTGGGACTCTTCAGGTATGTATATGGGTCTCTTTTGGGTTTTTGATGTTTGCTAAGAGAATCAGTCTATCGTCACGGGTTATGCCAGCTACATCATCGAAAGCGTGGTCTCCATTCTTGGAAAGGCCAGTCCTTCGGACAAGAACACCAAATCTCTCTGGTTGGCGACAATGCGCTTGCTCCGCAGCGCCTTTGAGCACGACCAAGACGGTACGTTTTCTGCCTGTAGAAGCCCAGCCGCCGCGACAAAACTAATCGTTCTATAGAATTCTGGCAATCGCCCTCGCACCTGACCCAGATCTCCAAACCCCTGATCAGCCAGCTCGCCCACGCCACGAACTCCTCCACGGCCGCCCTGGTGATCGCCGAGGCCGTGCCCACCATCACCGAGCTGGCCATCGCCGCCGACTCAACCGATAACCACAAGGACCTCAACACCCTGCTGATGCGCTTCCTGCGACCCTCCTCGGGCCCCACGGGCAACAGAGTCGCAGGCGGCGAGAACCCACATACCCGCCTCGCGGCCCTCAAGGCCGAGCAGTCCCTTACGGAGCAGCTGGGCGAGGAGTGGCTGGCGCTCCTGCCGGAGATGCTGCCGTACATCAGCGAGCTGATGGAGGACGAGGACGAGAATGTCGAGCGCGAGGTGCGCAAATGGGTCAAGCAGATTGAGAACGTGCTTGGTGAGAAGCTGGATGACATGTTGACGTAGTCTTTCACTGTGTTTCCTTGGGAAGAGGGCATTCTGGCGTTTCGAAAAGCATTCGGTCTTTGTTTGTGCTTGTATATACTCTGCGTAAAAAGTCAGATTGACTGGTTTGTCGATAATCTCATGACAATTTCTAGCGAGATCATAGAGACCTATTCCGTTGCTAATCAGCCAAGGGGAGTAAACGGACTCCATGCATTCCAATAAGTCATAGCCCTCGAACTGGATATCAAGAATCGATGTGGATGGGCAAGGGATGCGAGAAAATAAAAAATAGAAAATAAAAAAGATATTGACAAGAGTGGGATTCGAACCCACGCCCCTTTCGAGACACGGAAACTGATGAATCAGTTCTGAGGTTCAGTTCCTGAACCGTGCTCCTTAGACCGCTCGGACATCTTGCCATTCGATGATGATGACCTGGCTTTCTTAATCTATGACCATCTCAAATTGATTCACTGGCTTATTCCCTTCGGATTGTGCCTTTGTTGTTTGTATGGTTCGTACGTCAGAGATATATAAATCAGGGATACGACTATAGTGTAGCAGAATTTCAAATGCAACTACATCGTGCCAGGCACTGTTGCTAGGTAGGTTTAAATGGTGTCTTGTGTAAACTGTAAACTAAGGTATGGTTAGTTGCAACTAGATATATATACCTAGCACGGTACGGAGACAGGAGAAGGACACCACTCAGCACCACCAAGACCAGAATGTCCCAGATAGTCGGGCGTGCGGGGTAGGGTAGTGCTACCACCACAGGTCCGACAAGAGAGATGAGGTACATTCAAACAAACACAAGACTAGGCGGTCCCCAGATCACGCCAATAGATAAGAATACTAGCACGATACTACCCAGTAGACCATACGGCCAAAAGACCAACATTACCGCGAGTTGCGAATCCAGACCCATATACGGAGTAGTAGCGCACTGGGTAGCTAAGGCATTTCTCTCTCTCCTAGAGATCCTTACGGAGTACACAATATCAACAGGTGGGTACAGTAGCTGCCCCAAAACGAACATTGATCATAGGTATACATAGGACCATCTCAATACAGAACTTGCCCCGTACAGATCGAAGAACTAATACTCCATTTCGCAGCTAATAGATTAGACAGATAGCATCCACATCCTTCTAGGATGCAACCCAACACCCCCAGCCGTCCCTGCCTCAGTTTCTGATACTCCGATACTTTTTGCAATTTTATTGTTGATTTGGTTGATATTGTCAAATATCTTGACCAAAACATATCCAATGGCAAGGTGTCCGAGTGGTCTAAGGAGCACGGTTCAGGAACTGAACCTCAGAACTGATTCATTAGTTTCCGTGTCTCGAAAGGGGCGTGGGTTCGAATCCCACCCTTGTCAATATCTTTTTCTATTTTCTTTCTTTATAATTTTTTTTTGCTTTGCTCCTAATTCCATGCGCATGGGAGTGGAATTATCGTGGCTGTTAACGCTATGACTCGCTATCTCACCACCCCACCGGTACCACATTTCTTTCTTGGTTCAGATAGCTAGCCCCAACTCCTAAACCCCCACTGTGGCACAAGGTAGATAAGCCTGCGACCATGTGGTAAGAATAATCAATGATATCTGTAACGTATTATCATTTCATATTATCTATATCTAATTCATATAACAACCAAGCACCCCCAAAGATCAAATGCAATAATGCAGCAGCGCTCCTCTTCAAACAAACAAACAAACAGTATAATGGTATCATGGACGGGTATATATCATAAGCAACAAACCAACGCCAAACATAATTAAACTTTTGATCATCTGGGACTAAACGCCAGCAACGTGGAATCAACCCGCAGCAACACCGGGTGCCAAAGAACTCCTGAGTTCCGAGTACTCTGGAGGCGCAATGGAGATTGACCCTGGTAGCGGCAGACGGGTCCCACACGACGCAACATCGACCGCGTCGGATGGAGGAGCGACGCTGCGAGGACTGAAGAATTCGGCATCAACTTCCTCGAGAGTGATCTCGTGAACGGAAGTCTTGGAGCGCGCCTTGGCTTGGGATTGGGAGGTCACCTGAAGCGGAAGCCGCAGCGAGGTGCTCGGAGTGAGGATGTTGGCGTTCGGGGTGTGGTAGGAGATGCTCAGGTCGAGAGTGTAGATGCGCGAGATAAGGCAGGAGTGGAAGGTTGGCACGAACGCCTTGGTGGCCGGAATAGTGATGGGCACCACAACCGAGGCAGTGTAGTAAGTGCTCCCCACGAAGGAGGCGGAAGGTCCAGTTAGCGATTCGGACGACGAGGTGGACTCCAGGGAATCCCGACGGGTAGAGCCCGGGGCAGTGGAGTGCTTGGTCCACTGCGCGGATGCGACGCAGAGCGTGGACAGGGGCACAGTCTCCGTGAAGATGCCCTTACCCGCCTGCGCCCACATGGTCGAAGCCATCGCGGACGGGTAGTCCTCCCAGGGGACAGAGCTGTAGAATGTCGACACGCGCAGCTTAGACCAGACGCTGCCAAGCTGGGGAGGCTGCTCGTTGCCGATGGGATCGAAGCGCAGGTGCACGGTGGCCACGCTACCCACCGAGTCCTTGGTTTCGCACTGGGGCGCAATCAGCTGGATGGGTCGGGGCTGCGAGGCGGCGATGACCAGCCGGCCGAGCTTGCCACGCATAAATCCGCGCTTGACGTCTTTCTCCTTGCGGGTGCAGTAATAGAGGTCTTCATCATGGACATTCAATGGCGGCTCCTCCTCGACTGTGGGGACGATGCGCACTTTCTTCCCAGCCGACGCCAGGATCTTGCGCAAAGGGCCGCTCTCGGAGGTGGGCTTGCGCTGGATGGAGACGCAGATTAGGTAGGAGACCTGACACATTTCTGGGACCATGTCATCCAGCAGGGTCTTGCCATTGCTGGCCAGCATGGGATCCCCGAGCGTTGGGGGGAGTTGCGTGTGGGAGCGCTCCACATGAGCATTGGTCTTGGTGTGACTGCAGACCTGGGGGAGGAGGCGCTCGGGCACCACAAAGGTGAAGGGGAACTGGTAGGTGCGCCCACTCTCAAGAATGCGGGGGGTTGGATACGCAGCGTCTTCAATGGGCTGACGCAGCTTGAGGAATGTTTGATAGGCGCCCGTCCGTCCAGGGAAGGAGGCACGCTCGACGGCAGTCCTCGAGGTTCCTAGTCCTACATTAGCATGCTACCAGGTCATGGCGCAATGGAATGCCTGGCGTACCCTCGAATGTGATTTCAACCTCCTCAAACCGGGTATCACGGTCCACTGTGATAGTCGCCGTACCTTCGATGTGGTCCTTGGTTGTATAGGAACTGACGAGGCCGTTTGTTTCACCGGCCAGCTCGATCTGGATCTTGGGACGCGAACGTCCGGTAATGGCCTCCAGAGAGCTGGAGCCCCGGGTGAGAATAGAAGCTGCCATAGCGATTGAGGGGGGGAAGGAGCGCGTATGCGCACCGCGGCCAACGGAAGATTATCAAAGTCGTAGTACAGAGGATTTGCGAGTCGCAGAACTATAGAAGGAAGACCCGGAAAACCCGCGAGTTATACACCGGGCTCGGAACTGCAGTTCTAACAAAACAAAAAAAAAAAAATAAAAAGACAAATGATATAGTTCGCAGGAAAAAGAAGGAAAACAGCGGAAATTGCCGCCGGAAATCTGGACTTGCGAATGTAGGGATGGGGGTGGATGGTGTGTTGCTGTTGGGTAATGGTAATGGGATAGAGGCCGGGGTGGAGCTATACAACAGAATGGTTGATTTGGGGGGAAAAAACTGATCGAGTTACAACAGGGGGAGAAACAGGACTTGAAGACCACTTATTTAAACTCAAGGGGAAACCCCCCCGGATGAGCCATTGAAAGAAAGAGTGCATCTTGTATCCTCGATACGAGTATAGTTTCGTGAGTCACCCTGGAGAAGTATAGACTTTCGAAGCAGGAGCAGAACTCGATGGACGATGAATGAATGCTTTGGCAGACGATCAACTATGGATTGCGAATCAAGCCAGTGAGGGAGCAACGGGCACGCATGTGGATTGGGCTAGAGAACCACTAAGGGACAAGCCATTGTCCAGAATCCGGACTATGTAAGCCTGTAACTAGACTGAGGAGACTCATGTAGAGTGCTGATGATGGCTGCAAGCCTGCAAGAATGCAAGATGGAATCCACTTCGTCAGGCTGGACGGAACCGATTGGCTGCAGGGGGGTCGCGAGGAAACGCTCCATCCACGCCCTGAGAATGACAACGAACGAGGCTAAAGAGTCAAGACTCGTATTGACTGAGAGTATAAGATGAGAGGCAGTGCTGATGACAAATCCAGAATGATGTGATGGAGACTATGATACGAGGAGTTACGAGTAGTAGATAGATACTTGATGATGGAGAAGGATGAAAATGATGAAACGGATGAAAAGGAGAGGGAGGGAAGTGAGGAATATCAGACTCAATTATTGAGGTGATCAAACAATAGTGAACTGGTGATCAGTCAGCCTTCTACACAAAAAGTACATGCCACACTTACATACATTATACCTACATACATACATACACAGAGGACCTTGATAGTCGATGGATCCGATTGACTATCATCATGAATATCAATTCTAATTCTGTCTTTCTATCTGACGACGGAGTAACTAGTTACTTGGCTTAACTGACTCATTATTAATTGCCCACGCCTTGTGACAGTTTCTGGATCCTGGATCGATGTCCTTCGATGGATGTGCCATGTACTCCATAAGTATCTATGTACTACTACTAAGTCTACTAGTCACGCCCTTTGATGCGCCCAAAGTCAAATTAACTTTTCCGCTTGCACTTCGGCTAATCTTTTACTTTCCTATCGTATACCATAAGTATCGCCAAAATATAACAGGATAGAATCGAATAACTTATCTCGCTTCCACAATTCCAACTACTCATCTTAACATGAAATGATCCAAACCAAGCAGAATGTCAGTCCCAACGTGAGTAAACGCTAAATTCGAGACCAGATGGAGCTGCTCCAGTTCTAGCCGCCCCTAACCGTGCCATTCGGTTCGACCATGCCGAGTCCTGAGAGAATTCTGCAATAGAGAGAGATATATTACTACGACTGCTATGGGGATATATATGGCTCATTCATGCCCCCTCCATGGGCCAGAAGCTTTGGAAAAAAAAAAAAAAGTACGCTATATTCATGCCTGATATTGTCCCACGGGATCACCCGATCACGTCAGAATTGAATCCCGATTCTGAGATCCCCTGACTTGGCGGCAGTTGGGTGACCAGACCCCCTTGACGTCTTGCGCCATTATTGTAATTGCGACCAAGTCAGGCAAGCTTCGAGGACAATCAATCATGCCGTAATCCCTGCTTCGCTGCCATCAGGCGGTAGCGAGCTTCCGTCATCCGGCGGAACTGCTTGCCGTACATGATCATCGGGATAGTCAATAAAGTAATACCCAAACTGATGAATCCGCAGGCAATGAACATGTTGGACATGCCATCTCGCTCCAGCCACGGCATGACGGCAAAGGGAATGCCGATGCTGAATGCGTTGCGCAAGAATGCGATGCCCGTGAAGGCGTCTCCGGTCACCTAACATCATCCACTCAGTCAGAGAGATGCGAGAATATTGAAGCCAGGGGTAGGTAGCACTTACATCCATATAGCTGTCAATCACCAGCGTCAGCGCTGCGTCTCCAATGCCACCCACTCCGAAGCCAAACAAGGCTCCCCCGATGCTCGGCCAGATCCAATGCATGCCCTACTCCCCGTCAGTTATAGCTCTTTTTGAGGGAGAGAGGAAAGAAAAAACAAAAAAAAGAGCAATAAAAGAGCGTACCTTGGACAACGTGACCCCGAACATGATCAGACCGCCACACAGACTCAATGCAGGGAGATGAAGAATATACAGTCGCATCTCCGGCTCATAGTAGCCCTTGTTGCGCCGAGCGAAGAACAAAATTGACCAATCCCCAATGAACCCTCCGTAGAACGCACCGATAATATTGCCTATAAACGGGCCAAGACTCATATAGCCAATCTGTTCCGGAGTGAAGAGGTATAGTGGCGCGGGGAACGCCAGAGCAATTACGCTCGTCAAGACGGTCAGCCACACGATGCCGCAGGCATACTGTAGTCCGCAGAACAGCACGGCTGGGAAGGACACCAGCACGATAAAGGGGCGATAGAAGTAGGGCCAAATCGGCTCCGGAGTGTACGTCCACAGCGCTAGCCTTTGTCTCCATGTCTTCATGGGAATGGTGTGGTCCAGTTCATGGTGATCGGCTGCACCATTTTCTGGCTCGTTCGCCGGGCTTTCGATATCAACCTTCCGATCGGCTTTGATATCCTTGATAGAGATCTGCTCGGGATCGTCGCTGGTGGTACTCACACCTTCGATAACCTTGGAATATTTGGTCTCCTCGTAGAAGAATACAAAAAGAGCGAGCAAAATGGCATTGCAGATGCCCACAGCTTGATAGGAGGCCTGCCATCCTTGCCGTGTTGCTTGGGCTCCAGCCGCCATGGGAGTGAGGAAGCTCTGTGGTCAAAACATAATAAGTCTGGGCGATATGACACAGGAGGGGAGAGAGAGAGAGTTCGCCGCCAGCACTTACCCCAAACATCACCATAGTCATATACAGGGCATTTATGCCTCCGCGGTGATGCACAAAGAAGAGATCGACAATCTAGGATCATGAGTTGAGTAATCATCCAACTGGATCAAATGGGCCTTGCAGAAGGGTAAACAAACCGTGATTTGTGCAATCGACTCATTTGTCGCACCTGCCAGACCCGAGAGGAGGTTGCATATGTACAGCTCGGTGAGACTCCTGAGATTCGCCGTCCAAAACGACGTTACCATCATCAGAGCGGTAGATATCAGATACACTGGTCGTCGCCCAAACTTCTTCGCAATAGGGATGAAGAACACGCAACCCGTCGCAAGACCGACATAGTTGACGGACATGGCCTGGTTGAGTTCGACGTATGTGACGCCCAGATCTTCCACCATCAGCTGCCAGAAGATTGTTTGGATCATGAGCCTGCCAGGTGAATCACTTGATATCAGAATCCGTTTCTTGCGGCTTGGTAGGGGGACTCACGAGGTGAAGATCAGACAGGTCACCGCCAATACCAATCCAAAGTTGCATGTCTTGCGCAGTGTGCTCCAATTCTAAAGGTCGAATGTGAGTAAAATATGTCGGCCTGTGAAGAGATCCGAAGGACTGACCAACGGCTCGTTGGGATCGCTTGATGGCACCGGACTGAGGATGACTGTACGAGGGCCATTGCTCTCTGCCTCTCCACCTGCATGACAGTTAGACACCACATTGACAGCAGCAGAAGATATCCGGAATCGACCGACCCTGGATGAGAAGAAATGTTCCTGGAGGGAGGTCGATCTCCTGGTGAAGGCCCGATGATCCATCGCGCTGAGAGTTCTCCATCAATGCCACTGGTAGAATCTGATGAATCGATAAAAAAGGAGATAGTCCAGTGTATCCAAGTTACACGCTATTGAGCATCAACAGGAAGCATCACCTGCTGAGTCGAGGGCATCCATGCCTGATAAACAAACCCAGCAATTCCTGTCGCTTTTTACACAAGCTTTTCGCACGAACAAACCGGGGTGTCCTCGATAAGGCACCAGGAGGTACCAGACCAAGCGGAGTTCAGATCCACCCGGAAAAATGAGGGGAAGTAAGTCAACAAACTTGGGTCCAAGATAAGAAAGTCTCCTACTTGAAAGTTTGATAGAAGCCACGGTCCACTTGTTGGAGGAGGCGAAAAAAGGGACCGTTGGAAGATGGTTGATAACTTACTTGATGGTCGGTGGTGGCCATGACGCGTCAACCTGCCTCTTTGAGAGAGTGGCCAAGGAAGTTTCGATATCGCCAGCACAGTTTGATCCTGACTCAGTTTTATCGTTGTGATTTGTTGAAAAATGCCGACCCCCGAGGTTCGCAAATAATCGTCCTCAAAGCGGGAAGCTTGATGGTGGCGTCGTCTATCAGCTAGACTAACAAGGCAGGTCGATGCAGTCGAGGCATGCATGATATGCCTATCCGAGGCAGCAGAGTTAATACAGTCCAGTCATCGTCCGTTCGTGCATGATGCCGAGTCGACATATTATTCATGTCCATGCATGATCTACAATCTACGGTTGGAGCAAATGAGATCGTTGCATCTTTTCGACAACCTCTTTGCAGTCCCATAAACATGGCTGTTACTCAGATGTTGGAGGTCCCTCGTGTCGCTAACGGCGTGCCGCTTTCCAGCCTCAAAAAAAAGCAAAATGCATTGGGTCTAATTGATCTTGCTAGACCCTCGATCAATCACTGCAGTTGCCAATAGCACATACAAAGGGCAGTATTGTCGTGTGGAACGAGCCACTTTGAACGGCCTTGTCTTGCGATCCGCCTGGACGTCGCAAATGGCCCAGCGCTTCCCACCTAAGTAGACGCCGCCGAAGCAAGAAGACGGAGCATCTGCAGAGGTAGATTCAAGCCACTCTGACGAAGACGCCGGATCTGTCGCTATTCTAGTCTTAGTTCCTCCCGCTCGCCATAGGAAATGGTCACTGGGTAGGATTCTCCCAAAGTTGATATTGAAGGAAGGTTCCTTCCCTTCCTGACCAATCCCAGAAAACCAGCTCTGTGGCACCGCCATCGCCCAGGCAGGAGAAACTATCGATCAAGGACCTTGGCAAACTGCTTACAATCTCAACGTCGTCGACTCTAGAACCCTTATTAGTGGCTTTTCGGTTTCGATAGTGGCGTCTCCAGAACCCGAGATAGGGGATACTGGCGGCCAATGGCAAACGTGGGAAGATCCATGATTCCCATAACCCCAGAAAGGTGCATGCGGAATGCCATTCCTTGATCCTGCAGAATTTCAAGACCACGCAGCTGGAGGATACTATATATTCCTTGTAAATGCATCGTCCATGGTATTTCGTGCATAACCTACAATGGTTAGATCTAGCCCGACATCCTGAGACGAACAAGTTTGGCGACACCACTTACTCCAATGGTACAAAGAAGTAAACCGGCGATTAAAGTACCGTCTTCTAGATTGGTCTCGCTGTGGGAAAGTTCGTTGCGAAACTTAAAAAGCGGAATCAAAGTACTCATAGAAAAGGGGGTTTCAATTCCTGCTTCATTGAGGACTGTAGTGTAATGCAGATCAAATACAACGCCTCTGATTGCTGGCACAAGACCTGTAGCCGTGGTCTGAGCACTTCAATGTGAACTGTTGTTGAATGTAGAATATTGATACCCGATGAAAGAACTGTTCCCCAAATCAGTCGTGCCGCGTGCGTGATAACAGGCTAGTATCTATTCAAGAAAATGCTTCTTACATTGCTGGAATAGTTGCTTGTTATTCGGTGTATTTCCGACAACCTGTATCGAGAATGGTACTGTCGTTGGATTCGACTCTACGTCTTGTTGTGTCAAAAAACCACGTGCTCAAAAGGGCAGATTGACCTGCATACCTCGAGGGATACCACCTCCAGGAGGATAACAGAGCGTCCTTCTTCAGAGCTTGTCCCCTCTTGTTGCTGTTGCTTTCCTCAACTTTGATCTCGCCGTCGACCCTTCGCTCGGCGTGGGATGGAGGATTCTACTGGTGTGTCTGCGCCGGTGAAACGACCCCGCGATGCAATCCCAGTGCCCCAATGTAATCGCACTTCATAGCCCTCGCGAATTAGTCCGCGCTCAATGCAAGTATGACAGGTCGGGCGAGCGCCATTGCACTTTCGACGTCTAGGTTTGCAGGTCCGACTATAGGGTCATTAGAGTTAGCGATATCAGCGTGAACGACTTGACGAGGTGGCAGATAACAAGGACATCAAGTACCATCCGTGATGAGATCAACGACTAGGGGTCGACATGCCTCTTTGGAGACTAAAAATATATTGTCAAGTAGCGTTAGGTTGACGGAGATAGCTCCAGACTTCCAGAGTCCAGACAACTGAGACAAGAGACGAATCCAGTTCCCCGGAGTAGCTTAAAAGCCGCGTGTGGTGTCGCGGGGAGGATCCAATGAGTCCGTCCCAGTGTCTACCTGCCTATTCGAGAGTAGCTTCGGAGAAGGAACCACAACCCAGATCGACGCCTCCGCGCTACTATCTTTCCGTCAACTTGTGTCCCAAGATTCCGATAAGTAATATCTCTGGGGTTGGGACAATTCAGACCAGTTCAGTTCAGTTCACTGGCGAGTGCTCTGATGGTTTGCTTCTCGAAAGTCAATCCCGAATGGTGTTCGTCGCGACTTGGATGAAACAAGTATAAGGCCCCAGGCTAATTCTGCTCTAAGGCCAATGCTTAATAACAATTACTTGATTTCAGGAGATGACTTACAAGGATGTCGTTTCAGGAACCTGTTCCTAAATGTTCAGCAGGCATTCCATCCCTTGGAAGGGTGGAGGGCTTCGAGTATACAAACGGAGTCCAGCAATACTGTGGCATTCCCTACGCCGCCTTGACCAAGCGATGGGCCCGTTCAACACTGCAGAGCTCCTGGAAGGATAAATACCATGACGGAACCAGGCTACGATTCGTCAGGTTTCTCATCAATGACTGATTGACTCTTCTGATACAACCATGCTGAGTCTTGTCTTGTAAGAATGACTGTCCACGGCCATGTACTGAAGGAGGTGATACGGACGATTTCGTCCCAGTTCCTCCAGCTCCTCATTAGCCCGAGGTCCCACAGACGGATGAATTGTCCGGGCTCGTGATGAACATCGTACTGCCTTTCGCCCCCGCAAATCGGAAGGTTCCAGTCATGGTATATGTGCATGGAGGCTCACTGATGTACGGAGGCGCCAATTTTTCCATCTTTGATGCGGTGAACTTGGTTTCCCAGAGTGTCGAGATGAAGATGCCCATTATCTGTGTCAACTTCAACTATCGAGTTGGCCTTGGGGGTTTTGTAGCCAACGAGGCCCTCAGCGTGAACTTCAGGACGACGGATTCTAGGGGTGCGGAAACTCCGGCTTCACGGATCAGCGGGTGGCTTTTGAATGGGTCCAGCGTTGTATCGAGAGCCTCGGAGGTGATCCAGACCGAGTAACTGCGGTTGAAGAGTCGGCCGGTGCATATCGATCAGCAACCAGCTTGTCGCGGTCAATGCGCCACGCTTTCATCGTGTAGTTTGCATGTCTGGATTATCTGTGTCCATCCCTCCTTGGATTATGGAGCAGCATGAGAAACAGTTCCAGGCAGTTTCTCAATACTTCCAGATCGACCTGTCGGCATCAGGTGCCCTGAATTGTCTTCGCCGCAGCCCCCGGCAGGAACTCGCCAATGCGACGTCCGGATTCCAAGGAGTGCTTTCTGGAACAGGCAATCCTTGCCGGGATGGTTGGTCCCTCTGAAAGAAATCCGCGTGAGACCTAGGAACCACCGGCTTGGCTTGAGGCTCTCATGCTGAGGGACACGTACCACGAAGGGGTCATCTTCCATCTGAATATTCTAGAGGATGATATTACCTCGATCCGGGCAACTCTTTAAGACTATATCCAGAATGATACCGAAACCGATCAGATATTGAAGGAATACGGCATATGCTCATACTTGCCACATGAAACGCTTCTTGAATGCATGGAACATATATGTGGCGATGCAGTATTCAAGATTCCCAATTATGCGACTGCACGAGCAAGCAGACGCCTCGGGGAGCCGCGGAGGGGGGCGGGGGCGCTCTTTCTGTATCACTTCGACCAGCGCTCCCGCCTCAAAAATGCGCTCCAGGAAACTGCTTACCATGCGCATGAGCTGTTGTATCTGTTCATTAATCTTACAAAGGAGATGAATTCCGAAGAAAAAGCCATGGCTAATGACTTCGCCGCCGCATGGATTCGATTCACCAATGGGCAAAAGCCATGGGTAGCAGCCGATGAAGCGTGGAAGATCTGGGAGCAGAATAGCGCCCAAGCCACCGGGAACGAAGAGGAGGATGAGCAAGTGCGATCGTACACGCGAGTGCAGCGATTTCTTGCCATGGGCGAAGGGAGGACTTGGATGAAATGGCTCGATGGGGTGGACGCGTTAGTGAACGAGCGGATGAATTTGGGCAAGACAGAGCGCGTTTCTGGAAGCATATGATAGATGTGATGCATTTGTCATTTACCCTCTTCATCTATTGTAGTTGCTCAGAGGTTGAATTCAAGCAATTCGTTTGATGGACATCATCTTATCACGTTCTTCTTGCTTGGATACAAACACCTCTACAGCACCAACTTAATGAGCTATGAAGCATTCGGATCATCATGCTCCTACCGCACTGCTTCCCACTACGATCTTCACGGCGAGTATACTGGCTGATAGAGCGTACGCAGAGAAAAGAAGTAGTCTCAGATGGTTATTTATATATGATGGCGATTAATCTAACTGTTTAAGTCATCGAAATCATTGGACTGCTGCTGTAGCTATACACTCGAACCACTCAGTGATTTACAGATAAGGACGGATGGAAATCCACTTTACGAGGCAATACAGCCTTTTCCACCCTATCCTCAGTAACCAGCATCTGCTCTGGGACCCAGGAGAGGTCTGCGGACTCAGTCTCCGCCAAATTGTTGTCATGAGCCAGCAACATTGTCCCTAGAGCCTTGCCACTGAGCCACGCCAGAACCATACCTTCTCCCGAAAATGCAGCAGAGATCCATTCAGAGCCGCCTTCTTCCTTGCCTTCGCCTCTCTGAGTCAATGATTTGGGCAGCTTTCCCACCCATGGAAAGCCATCGGAGCTGAAGCCCAAACTGCCTGTCCACATTTGCTCCACGCTTTCCCCCGGAACACTACCCCAGTTTTCGCGACCAAAGATCGCGCTCAACGCACCTGAAAGATGTATGTCGGCATACAAGCTGAGTTCCGAGTCGGTGGGAATGCCAAAGTCGCCAATGCCACCACCCTCGCCGTGAGCGAAACCGCCTCCGAACATCATCATTTCGCCTGCGTCAGTACGCTTACTGGACGGCAACTGGGTCAGATAGTCGAATCCCTTCTCATAGTTGAAAATCCAGGAGTGCTCTGCGCCCTGGCCGCGGAACTTGCTCCCAGGGTTCTGAGCGGACATCTGTCCTCGGACTGGATAGATGCGGCCTCTCAATCCGGGGACCAGGTGACCAGTGTGGGCATTGGTGCAGTGGACGATGTGCCGAGCGCGAATGGTTCCCCTGGTCGTTTCGACTGAGTACCGCAACGAAGATTCTTCCTGGCTGCTGTTATCTTGGATCCCTGTAACCGGTGTATTGGTCTCGATCCGAAGATCCTCGGGGTGTTTTTTTTGCAAGCGATCCAGTATGCCAGTGACCAATTTATATGGCCAGACAGCACCAGCTGGACCCGCAATAATGCCCCGGGCACGTGGAAGACAGAATTCCTAAATGCATGAGTGTCATGGCAGAAGGAAATATCAAGAGTGTGCAATTTACCTTGGGAACCTCGTCTTTATCATATGATCTCCACTCAGCAGCTTCCTCTGGTAAGCACTCCTTCAAACGCTTCAGACGAGGCACAGCTGCCTTCCATCCTTCCTCGTCAAAATAGACACTGAGGAACTGTACTTTTCTCGCTTGACTCTCCTCCGTCAGTCCAAACTCATCCGCTGTCTTCAGTAGCTCTTTCAGATGAGCCATCCGGAACCTCATTGTTATCTTGGCCGCTTCCAGTCCGATCGACTCCTCGAGGTCTACAAATTCCTCCGCAGTCTCAAGGATATGACCGCCATTGCGACCAGTAGCGCCGCTACAGACATCGCGGGCTTCCAGGATAACGACAGCAGGTCTGGAACCGGCCTCCTTTCCCGGCTTGCGGGACTTGAGGAGAGTCCTTGCGATCGAGGCCCCGGCTACTCCAGATCCGATGATGACAACTTCAGCTTCGGAGGGTAGATTGGAGGACTGCGCTTGCGCGAGGGTAGGATGCGGATTTCTCAACCAGAACGAAGTAGTAGGTTTGGTTGTCGGTAGCCCTGGGTCGGAAAAGGCACGGTCAAGTGCCTTTTGCCGCTCTTCGGCTGGAACAGTGGGATTGGAGAGAAGAGCTTGAACGAACGCCATGTTTGAGAAATGTTATCAACCAGTGTTTGATCTTTCCAGACTGCGGTGGGTCGGTGGCATTTATTAGGCCAGGGCAAGCATTCGGCGATGGCAACCCTATCAGGCCATCTTTGATGCTGCCTATCAGGAGGGATCAATCAACCAGCCTGACTGGGAAGGTGGACGCCCACTCTCTTTTATCCTCAGATCTCAATCTTAGCGTTAAGACTAAAAAATGATGCCGACCCGGAGTACGACGGCAGATACCCCATGATTTACGGAAATGATGGAATATCCTAGTGAGGGGTCGAAGACCCCTGATCTCGGTATATAATCTACTACAGGGACGGATGGTGCATCTGTGTAAGATGTATCACACTTCAAAAATGACTCAGGATACCACCCCCACAAAGAAGTGGCGTCGTCTTGTTACGCAGAAGCGCAAGCAGCTGGACGGACAGATTCCGTCCGAATGGCGCCTGGGCGCTGAGTTCCTGGCTTTGATCCCCTCGCACGGCCGCTTGATTGAGGATCATGTCGTACGTCGCAGTGGCATCCTTTCAAAGGCTGAGCTGGATATCACCGAGCGCTATACCGCTACAGAACTCCTATTGAAGTTGGCGCAGGGCGAACTGACCTCCTTGGCTGTGACGACGGCATTCTGTAAGCGGGCAGCCATTGCGCAGCCATTGGTACGAGAATGCATGGCTGTACAATAGAGGATCAAGGAAGCGGCTGACGATTGATAGACTTCATGTTTGACCGAGCACTTCTTCTCCAGGGCCCTTGAGCGCGCACAATATCTGGATGAATACCTCCTGAGAGAGAAGAAGGTGGTTGGTCCGCTACATGGTCTTCCTGTTAGTATCAAGGACAGTTTCTGTCTGGAAGGTGTCCAGACTACGGTTGGGTATGTCTCCTTCTTGGAGAGAGAGAACCGGCAACCTCCAACTCGGCATTGGTGGACATGCTTCTAAACATGGGCGCCGTGCTCTATGCGAAGACGAATATCCCACAGACGATGATGGTGAGTTGATAGACTAAGGGTTTCTTGTTTTTTCGCCGAGCTGACATGTGATGTAGACAGGTGATTCCGAGAACAACATTTTTGGCCGTACCCTGAACCCCCACAATACCCATTTGACGGCTGGAGGATCGAGTGGTGGAGAAGGAGCCCTGGTAGCCTTCCGTGGTTCTGTCCTGGGGGTGGGAACAGACATTGCGGGCTCAATTCGCATTCCATCGCTTTGTTGTGGCGTGTATGGCTTCAAGCCTACCACAGACCGCATTCCCTATGGTGGCCAAGTACGGGATATCGCTATGGAGGGCATACCCGGTCTGAAGCCTGCGGCAGGTCCTTTGGCACATTCTTTGGACGATATCGAGTTGTTCATGTCGACAGTCCTAGACGCCGAACCCTGGAAATATGACCCTGCTGCGAGTGCAGCACCTTGGTACAAGCCATCTACATCGCCAACTACCCTCACTATCGGCCTGCTTGCCCTCGCGCATCCACTGGATCATCTCCTCCCTGGAGATGCCGCGGGCTGTGTTGCGCGGAGCGGGGAAGGCGGCGTGCCATGGTTGCTCTGACGGTGGCTGTGCCGACATGCTTGATTGATTATTCTGGGGTAAGTTGGAAGACCACGGACGGTGAAGGCTAGAAGAGGCGATGAAGTAAGTGAAGAGAATGAGGAATGAACTTGGAGGTCGAAGTGCAGAATACCTTTTCTTAGTAGTCAAGTAGTAGTAGTGATTCCAGAGGAAGAAAAGTATACGAGGGGCACCGGCCAATCAGCGTGGGCGAGCTACATTCATCTTCACGTTCTTCTCGAAAGGGAAATAAATATCAAGCCATGCGGATGGATGACCATTTTCATTCAGCGGTACGACGGTAGGAGAGCAAATTGTTAGGGAATCAGGGATTTCATTTAAGAGGAAGACTATATAATGCACTACTTGAAAGCTACAGGACTGTCCCGACTGATAAATTACGATCATATCCGTGGTGCATATCAGATAAAACCGTACTCAAAGATCGTCGAGGGCGTTAACCTCACTCTCGTCTCATACAGATTTGCACAGAGAAGCGCAAGCTGCATCCAGCTCAAGATCAACCGAATGAAGAAGCAGAAGACCGAGCGAGGCAAGAGACATTCGACTACTGAAGGCACGAACGAACGAGTCAACCTGCACTGCCCATTCAATGAGCATGCTGGAAATTTGTAGTATAAAAATCTGTACATGGTTATCTAGCATAATCGTCATTGGGTATCCATAGACCCTCGCATACACCCAAGAGAGACGCCGTAAGTCCACCAGAATCAGTACGCCACCCTGGTCCGCATATCCTGTGCCTTGGTCAGTAACAACAAACACCGCGGAGGTAAAGATAACAGAGTTTAAACTCACCGAAATCTTCCGCTCAATTTCCCTAACAGAGCGGTCGAGTTCCGCGGCAATCATCATCTTCGTGTCATTAGGCAGTAAGAAATACATTTCACACAAGTCGCCATCAATCACGCCCTTCACTGGCGCATAATAGCTGCGATAGATTAGGTGATCCCGTCCAGCGAGAGGGGGGCACTGGGACGCGAGCTGCATCTCCAAGTTCTGGAAGAAGTCCACATCTTCACGGCTCATGAAAGGCACAAGCATTCCAATCGTACCCTGGAATCCAGTCCACACGAGGATATCACGACCGCCCGCGACAAGTTGAGTCTTATGCACGCTCGTCGGAATATCTTGTGTATAGGTATGGATCATCAACTCGAGGCGATTGGGGGTTCCATGCAGATAACCACGCTCATGAATCAGATGAGCTCCTGAACCGTCCTCGTCTGCCTCCTCCGAAATCTTTTTAGGACAGCGGACGAGCCAAAGATTCCCGAATTTATCACCACCAGCAACCGTCTCATAGTCAACCATCGTCGTGCTCGTCATCCAGCGAGAGACAGTGTCATCCACGAAGGGAATCAAAACGTTCTCCTGGTACTTGTACACTACATACGTCACGCTCTCCCGAACGTCGCTGACGATGATCCGGCTGCCCTGTGTTTGAAGCCCAACGATCGTCTTGGGCACAACCGGAGCCTGGCATTTGCGAAGCAACTGCTTCATTCCAAGGTCGTAGATTCGAAGAATCGAACCAATACCTGCGACCAGGCGACCTTGGAACGCAAGAAGAGCAAGAGGAGGTTCTTCGACCTTCGTCTTGTGAATAAACTCCAACTCCTTTCCGTCTTCTTGAAATCTGTAGATATGGATGAAACCACCGGCAGACGAAGGAGGATTTACAGTGAGATCCTTAGCCGTTCCTACTACTAGGAAAGTTTCGTCATCCTGACTGGAGAAGGGTACGGCTGCCATGCTCACAGCGGCCTCGTTCTCCTCAAGTTCAATCGTCGAGATCACAGCTTTAGCATTCACGGGATCGACAACTTGTATGCAAGATGCCCAATGGCCTGTAGCTCGAGGATATCCGAATTCTTCCGGTGGTAAGGTATCGGCTTCTCCGTTGCGTGCCTTCGAATCTTCAATCAAACGAGCTCGTGTAGCGGGGGACAAAACATTATTGTCCGATCCGATAACGTAGAACAGAGGCTGTTCTGGGTGCTTTAGCAAACGACGGGGTGTGTAGGAAAGAGGAATGGATTCCTGCAACATGTTGTTGTCCAATTTCTCAATGGAGAAGATCCTATCGTCGCAGACGAGTTAGTCATATCTGATGAGAGTCAAAGTGTTTCGAACATGCAGCAGGTTATGGGCAATGATCTCAGTAGGAACAATTGGAGATATAAAACTTTAAAAGATAATCCACATGAACTTTCGGATTAAAGTTCTCATCATATGATCATGAGGGGGAGTCAAACAATGTGCAAAGAGATCACAACTTACCGAAGATTCTGTCCTTGGATACCAACCATTCCTTCCACACACTGTTCGCTAGAAAAGTTCCAGCCCCATTCAAGGCCCACGTAATCAAGTGGGGTGAGCATGAAACCTTTCGTTTGAATGTCGCAATAACCCAGCCAAGGCCGAGAGCTAAGCGCGAGGACAGCAGTTTGTCCCCTGACTGAAACTCGGAACAGCTTGACCGGCTTAGCACCCAAAAATCGGGTACGAGTATCAGAGAGTTCTCCAGTCACTTCGTCCAGGACAGTTCGAAGATAAACGCCAGAATAAAGACCGATGTGCAGGTACAGTGTTGTACCGCCAGAGCTGGAATCAGCCATCGACATGATGTTCAGCGCTGACGGAGCTGATGTAAGAGCTTGAACCGACTTATTTTCAAGGGTAGAATCGGGATCTAGGCTGAGGATGCGAACGGTCGAGTCATCACATCCTACGGCGAGGAAGGAGCTTCGGACACGACCTTCAGGGACCTCACCCAGACTGAGACATGTGACTGTACCCGACATCTGACGTCTCTCGTCATATTCGGCAAGTGAGCCATCAGCGTCCATTTCGAAGTAGACGATTTCGCCTGAGCTCAGGGCAACCGCAACTTGACGTTCGTTTGTCGCGGCCGCCACGATTGATCTGTGTTGTGGAGCAGGCCATTCATTGACCCGCCGATCTGCAAGGATGTGACGAATACCTCTCGGGTGAACTTGAATCAACGAGTCCTCGCCGAGCTGTTGAACAGCCAAAGTAGGCGCGGTTGAGAGGAAACCAGTATCAGTGACTTCTTCAACAGTCTCGCCGATACTCAGCACCAAGGTACCATTTGCGAAGGAAAGAATGATATAGGCGTCAAACTCGTCTCCGCGAGTCAGCTTGGTTGTCCAAACGGCAGATGGTACACTGGGAAGCTCCGACTCCACAATCTCAGAGACCTCCAAGCCATGCTTGAGAGTCCTGAAAGTGCTGCGAGCGCCAGTACCAGAAACAGCATAAATCTGGGGTGCGTCATCCTCATTGAGGTTTGCAATCTTGCTGTCGATCAGAGGATTTAATGAGTTGAGTGATTCGACGAGATTCAAGTTCTCCGCGCCTCGAGGTCGGAAGAAGACAGGATCACAGGGAACAGATGGATCAGCCGAGTAGGATTCGCTACTGAACTCGATCTCCTCGTCATCGTCTCCCAGCTTCTCAAACTGATAGAAGTGATGGTTTCCACCCTCACTAGCAACGTAGAGGAAGCCACTCTTCAAGATCAAGAGATTGGACGCGACTGGCACTGTGTCAAAGTACTTGATCTTTAATCTCTTGACTTCACCAGTCAGCTGCCCATTGTCATCTTCAACCATGTCAATCGTGACCTTGAACAAGTCACCGTCATCGGTTTGAAGGAGAAAGAAGAAAGCGCCCCTCATCTTGTGCATGACACCGGCGACTATCGTACGTTTCCGTTCAGGGTTCTCAGTGGCGCCGCTCCGGCGAGGGATTGGCACTTTGAATGCATCCTGATTCGAGTGTCGATAGGTAACGCTATCCTCCGCACATACCAAGACACCACTCGGACCATCGCCGCCTCCAGGAACCTGGAAGAGCATGTTTGAAGTGCGATCCACAGGGTCGGCCCACTTGCGCACAACATGATTTAAACCCAGATCAAGTTCGTAGTACACGAGAACCTTTTCAGATTCTTCATAGGCGCGACCAGTGGGATCTTGATCAGATTCAGAGTAGTCCACCTCGAGAGCAGCAAAGATGGGATTCTCATAGCCCACATCGAGAGCGATCATGGCAAAGACCACTGTCTGCGGCTTATGAGCTTCCAGAGGGGAAGAAATCGTAAGCTCGGCCTGCGAGTTGCGATTCAGAACATACACAAGTTTGTTCTTCTCCACCGAGGCAATCAGACAAGCTCTACCCTTCGGGTCTACCGCCAGGTATTGCCCAGGGACGACGCGACGAACGCCAGATTTTCCAAAGGTCTCCAGATGGATCCGGTTGAACCGGTTTTGGGATGGCACATATTCAATGATGGTGATACGTCCCGAGTCTGAGCCAATGATTATATAATCTAGACGCAATGTTCTCTCAGCACAGTTCAGGAACAGCACCCAGCATCAGAATCGCCGACCGGGGCACGTCCCACTTCCAAAAGAGCCGGTTCGGCAGATAAGGATCGTGCTGCCCGGGAAGCTTGACGAATCACTAAGTTGATCTCGGCATTGGGGGTTGGAACGAGGGATATCAAACATACCTTTATTGCTCCCAGCCAGCCGAAAAGCTGCTAGTGTACGAATGATACCAAAGACATCCTGGGAATAGATTGGGGTGATTTTCCCCTGCGCGGGGTCAGGACGATGGATAGTGAGCTTTGAGCCCGACGCCGTGACGATCTGCTGTTCCTTAGTTCCTGCAAACTGACCCAAAATAGCCTGTGTGATTGCAGTCGGAGGCTGGATCGTCAGGGAATACATGAACATATTCGAAGTGGTAGCCATGGTGGATGACTGGTGGTTCCCAGGCCGTGGCCAGGGGGTGATGCTTTGTGAATTTTACAAGGCAATTGCAGACAAGTCTGACGCTAAAATGAAATCAATCCCATTGCTGCAATTGAAGACAATAGTAAAGAGGACTCTCGAAGAACCGAGTGTCCTCAGAGAAAGGTGGCTGGAGATGCTGCACGAGTAGAGCGAATATTGCCCAACTGTGTGTCCAGAGGAAGGAAAGTGAAAATTCAGCTGGGAGAAGAAAGAAGCTCCCTCCACGTGACTTTACCTTGTTTGCTCTGTTTGCTTTTTGACACATGACTTGAGCTTATGAGCCTCCCATTTGTATAGCTGAGTAAGGCCATTATTATGATTATTAATTAATGTGCATCATCATCGCATCTGAAAGGCGGTCGATCAGATTCTGCCTGTTTCTACCTCGCCAACCGGTTACAGCCTAGACGGGGGGCCCTTTATCTTACTACGTAGAGGAGGCCAGCCGGCCTTCCTCATCACAATACTCCGTACTATCTGAGATTTTGAGTCCCTAATCACACCACATTTCCTGTGTTTATTCTTCATCTTTGCTGCTCATCGCTCATTCTCTTGGTTCGATCTACCGTAACTTCTTTCATCCGTGCTGTGATTCTCCCTTGAGCGCATCTCCCTGAAACCCCTCATCTCTTTCTCACTCTCTTCCATATTCCCCACACGCCTCAATTACGTATCATGGCCGACGATACCGCCACAACTGAAGATGCGCCCATCACTTTCACGATCAAATCCTCTAATGACGCTAAATATACTTTCACTCTCCCCTTGTCTACTCAGGTCGTGGAGCTGAAACGGAAGCTTTCGGCTCCAGAGTATGCCGACACTCCAGCGGAGCGTCAGCGGTTGATTTACTCTGGCAGAGTGCTCAAAGATAATGAGACTCTGGCGACATACAAGATCAAAGAAGGCCACACGATTCACTTGGTGAAGAGCGCCGCTAGCAATCAGAGACAGGCTGGAGCGACTCAGAGTGCATCTACATCTGCACCTACTGGTGCTTCGACCACACCTGCTCCCAGCGGAGTCCCAACAAATCTTGCTGCTGGTACGGGCAATAACCCGCTCGCAGGCTTGACTGGTGCTAGATACGCTGGATTCGCTCAGCTTCCAGGTGCTGGCATGTTCGGTCCTGATGGCGGAGTAAGTTATTCGTCTTGATGCTGAAAGGCTCGCGATGGTCTATTTCAATTGCTGACCATAACTCTTCCTGTAGATGGGCCCCCCTCCTGACGCCGAGTCCATGCTCAATATGCTCGAAAACCCCCAGTTCCAGTCGACCATCAACGAAGCTTTGCAGAACCCCGCCATGATCGACATGATGATCCAACAAAATCCCATGCTCCGCGATATGGGTCCTGGAGTGCGGCAGATGATGCAAAGTCCCGAATTTCGTCGTATGCTGACCGACCCGAGTTCCATTCGCCAGATGCTGCAGATGCAGAGGGCATTCGGTGGCGGTGGTGCTGGAGGTTTGGGTGGGGGTAGTGCGTTCCCAGCCCCGGGAGTCACCAATACGACGCCCGAGGAGAGTAGAGATACGCAGAACACCAACAATACGGATGCTGCCGGGACAGGCGCGCCTCTTTTTAACCCATTTGCTCCTCCTGCTCTGGGAGCTGGAAACCCCTTTGCCGCTCTTTTCGGTGGAAATGGCCCTAACTTCGGCGCCAACCCTTCGAGTGCAGCGACTACGGCAGGTGGCGACCAGGCTCAAGGAACGCAAGGAGCAACAGGTAGCGCCGCCGCTGGAAGCACAACTACTGGAGAAGGTCAGAACCAGCAGAATCTCCAGAACCCTTTCAGTTTCTTGATGAACCCCGCTATGTTTGGAGGAGCAGGTCCACAGGGTGGCCAGGCTGGCTCAAACCCGTTCAACCCGCAGCAGAACCCTTTCCTCAGAGACCCCGCGCTTTTGTCGCAAATGATGCAGGCCATGGGAGCCCAAGGGGGTGAAGGAGGCGCGGCTGGAGCCAATCCACTGGCGGCCCTCTTAGGAGGCGGTGGGTTCGGCACACCCCCACCACAAGACAATCGGCCACCTGAGGAACGATATGCCGAACAGCTTCGACAACTGAATGATATGGGCTTCTTTGAATTCGAACGGAATGTGGAGGCACTGCGACGCTCTGGCGGCAGCGTTCAGGGCGCCATTGAATATCTTCTGAGCCATCCCTCGTAATCACTGGGCTTCCACTACATCTAGCAATTTTTCAGACGCCTCTCCTGCTTCTCTCTCTCCACTACATTATGTCCACTCGTGGTACATTGTTACGATGCCTTTTCTTTTCTATGCAGAAACAATCCGAACTTGTTGGCGGTCTTCGTTTCTTTCCATCAACCCTTTTCTCGAATAAGTATTTTACGACTACCCCTCTGCGTGCTAGTATTCGAATATGTAATAGCCTGATAGGCGAGCAATTGGACAGCCCTGATGTTATTTCTATCTCCTGGCAGAAGATGGTGAGTATTGATCTGCCTTTCTACGTCCCCATTAGATCTTATGAATATGACGATGGACTTCATATGCTTTCTTTGTTCTATTTCTGATTCAAGCTTGTGTCATGCACCAACGTATCCTACCACACCACGGCATTGAAGGCAATATAGGGACCATCTCCGGATCGCGAGAATGTGTAGAACATAGCAGATTGTTTGATGACTATCGCGAGCGCAGACCGAGGTAGAGACAGACAAGATAGATTTAAACATCGGGGATTATTTTTAGCTTGGTATAACCGTATAATGCGCCTTGGACGGACCATCTCCAATCGAAGGATGGATGTCTCACTTTGTCCGCTCCTTTCTGTTGTTTGGGTTTTGATGGATATCTGCAGAATGGCCGCTAAGCCTGTTCGGGATGCCACCTACTCCCCCGTCTGGCCTCAACTGATCTCGATCATCGCTGTTGTCTTTCTTGATACTGCCACTTTTACTCATCTTCTGGTTGCCTGTCGGACTGAATATTCATTTCGCTAGGCTTTCGATGCCGATTTCACTCGTTAGATTGACCGAACATCGTCGGTCCGTGGGCCCTCACTGATCCCGTCGCATTGCGGACTACTGATTAGGAATCCCGTCCCTCTTGTGACCGTCGATACTCCTTCTCTTCTTATTTTCCCATTCGGTTCTGCACCTATTGCGCCTCCCTCGTACACTACTCCCTTAAGTTCTCAAAAGCGACGATTGATTTGTTCGCCGACCCTTTCGTTGTACTTGTCGTGTCCGAAAAGCCCGAATCCGTCCATCTGTCGTTTATGATTGCGTGATACCTAGTCCTTAACTCCAGCTTGGCAGTTGACCAATCCCTGCTACGTAGAAGATGGAGGTGCGGTGGACGATTTGGTTGCTATTCGTTTCTCACGTCTGCGCGTGGTACATACCCGGTAGGCTCTCCTTTCAGCGAGATAATCCTGCACGTCGACTCACGCTTTGTCCTAATTTGTAGGTTACTCGGTCAAGCGCTATAATGACGACGAGCCTATCCCTCTCCTTGTGAACAAGATCTTTTCGGATAACACACAGCTTCAGTATGCCTATTTCGATCTTCCTTTCGTCTGTCCGCCCAGTGGAAAGAGTCATGGAGGCTCCCCCTTTGGCTCGGGCCACAGTGTCTCGCTCAACCTGGGAGAGATCCTTCGTGGTGATCGCATCATGACCTCGGACTTCGAGCTTCATATGGGCAAGAACGTTGAATGCCAGGCGCTCTGCACAGTAGAGGTTGGGCGGAAGGATGTTAAATGGGGCCGTAAACTCATCAAGCAAGGATATGTTGCGGAGTGGATCGCAGATAACCTACCTGGAGCCACACGTTTTGTCACCGTCGACCGAAGCCGCAAATACTACGCGACAGGATTCAAGATCGGTGATCTGGACTTTTCGCCTGCCAGTGGCAAGCCACGGTACTTCATCAACAATCACTTCAACATTGTAATCCGCTGGCGGGGCGCACCGGAGGGAGGCAAGGTCGTTGTTGGCTTCGAGATCTATCCGAAGAGCATCAGGTCCGACGATTACCAGGAAAATGGATGTCCGAAACACGTGCATGACGAACATGAGGGTCTGGAATTGTACATCCCACCCAATCTGTCGAGGCTGAAGGAATTGTACCCTGGATCGTCATATCTCCCGGAGGACGATGACGAGGCCGATGACGGTGCCACCTTGAAGGTTCCATACAGCTACTCGATCTACTTCAAGGAGGAGCCTGGGGTGGAATGGTCGAATCGGTGGGATCTCTACTTCAACAACCAAGATGAGGGCTCGCTGACACATTGGCTGGCGGTGCTGAATTCGCTGACTATTTCGGGTGTTCTTGGTGTGGCAGTCTTCGTGATCTGGAGTCGGACGGTGCAAGGCGACATCAAAGGTCGCGGAGATGGAGCCATGGAGGACTCTCAACACAGAAGTCGCTCCAAGTCCGAGAAGAAAGGAGAAGGTCTCTTGGACCAAGGCGCAGATGTTGAGCGAGATGGGGACGTCTCTGATGACGAGGCGCTTGAGGATGTGAGCGGATGGAAACTCCTCCACGCCGACGTGTTCCGGGTGCCGGAATATAGTGGTCTGCTTGCGCCTCTGGTGGGCTCGGGCATGCAGTTGCTTTTCATGGCCTCGGGTCTTTTGATTCTCAGCTGCCTAGGCATTTTGAACCCTAGTTTTCGAGGCGGGTTTGTCAGTGTTGGCATGGGCTTGTTTGTTTTTGCCGGTCTATTTTCTGGGTACTTTTCTGGGAGACTATACAAGACATTCAAGGGTGTCCAGTGGCGGAAGAATACGCTGATTGTAAGAGCTCGGTGGAGTGACATATTGCTTGGGCTAATCATCTCTTCCAGACTGCTCTATTCTTTCCTGGGTTGGTATTTTGCCTCATTTTCATCCTGAACCTCTTCGTCTGGGCACAAGCATCGAGCACAGCGATTCCTTTCGGAACGCTGGTCGGTCTCCTCGCACTGTGGCTTTTGATCCAGGTTCCTCTGGTATATCTCGGTAGCTGGTACGGCTTTGTACGAGCACAGCCGTGGGAGCACCCGACCAAGACGAGTTCGATTGCCCGCCAAATCCCGCCGCAGCCTTGGTACCTGCATAGCATTCAAGGAACGATTCTCACGGGACTGCCGCCATTTGCCGTGGTGTTCATCGAGCTACTTTTCGTGTTCAAGAACCTGTGGCAGGACAAGAGCGGGTACTATTATGTGTTTGGCTTTCTGAGCGCCGTGTCGACGATTGTCATGATCACGGTGAGCGAAGTAACGATCATTGCGACCCACAGCCAGCTCTGCGCAGAGGTATGTTTTTCTTTCCACCGTTGCATGGAAAAAAATCTGCTGGGACTAATTGAACAATAGAATTATCACTGGTGGTGGCAGAGTTTCCTGACCGGTGGCAGCAGTGCATTCTGGGTGTTTGCCTACTGCATCTGGTACTATCTCTTCCACCTTCACATCACAGGCTTTGTGTCGAGTCTGCTCTTTTTCAGCTACAGCTTTTTAGCGTGCGCGGTGTACGGGCTGTTGACGGGAACCGTTGGGTTCTTGACAGCGTATGCCTTTATCAGGCGCATTTACAGGTATGCTGTCTTTTAATCTTGCTGATGCGATGGCTAACGACGATTTGACAGTTCGGTCAAAATTGACTGAACTTGGCAGGATTAGCTCTCCTCGATAATCGGCCACATAGGTGCTAAAGAGGGACTCTCAAACTAGCTCCGCTGTTTTTCCACTGAACTGCATTTCATACAATACAACAATATTTTGATTAGCGCTCAGATTCCGCTCTTCGGCTTTCTCTCATCAATCTCATGCAGCGCTTTGCGTTCTTTCTTCAATCACTGTGGATAGTGTTTGCCCGAGAGGGGTGACCAACTGGTTGGTGCCTTTGTTGGAGTTATTGACATCTTTCGGAGTCGAGGTACTTGTAATCTAAGCGGAGTCTGATAGTCACTGCCTTATTCGAGTATTCCTTTCAAGAGTGAGTCCATTGTTGGGCACGATCTATAGATACCATGGCCATGGTAACATTCTAGTTTCTCCGTCTGTTTGCTTGGAGCAATCCCAGGACGAGGGTACCACAACCAAGCGCCTGCCAAGCTATGCAGTTGTACAAGCAGCATTCCGCTCTTTCTTGGCAGTTTCGCTCTCCTCTACGCCATGGACAGCAACCTAAGACACGGTGATGGTATTGGCCGTATTCCTGTCCTACATCTAATTATAATTATCTAGTCTACCAAGTAGTTATCCATTTACCACTCCATCTGAAAAAAAAGTCATCCGGGGGAAAATCAACTGCAAACGGCACAGCGTGAGAAGGGGGTGTGGGTGGTGGTTTCAAAGACAAGACTTGCCTCTCCCCCCCCCTTTGATGGCGTGCTCGCGGGGTGAGAATGAGAATTGCTCAAAGAGTGAAAGTGTCAGTCAGAGATGTGTCCTTCTATCTGCGGGCTTACTGTTCGAGAGGTCTTAGATAATCCGTGGTAGTTAGGGGGTCTGAGTGACATGAGACAGACTCTCCATCCTCTATCTACACTGGGCTTCTGCAAGACTGCAACAGGTCCTTGTTACTAAGGTATGCTCGGTAGTCGATACAGCTAGTCTAGACACTCTACTCCAGACTACGTAGTACGTAGTACGTACTCCGTACTCTGTACATGGGAGGAAATCGGACTCCCCCTTCCCCCCAAGAAAAGGAAAAAAAAAAAAAAAAGCAAGTCCTTCCGACGTGGGGTGGGGAAGGAGGGTTCGAGAGATCTTCCAGAAAGGCCTGCATGTTTGACCAAGAGTGAAACGGGGCAATCTTCAGGAGTGACGAAACGTCAGCTCGGTGCAGTGATAGAGGGGGTAGAGGCGATGATGCCATTGAGGCTGCGGATGGGGACATCGCCAGGTTAAGTTTGTAAGGGCCGGGATCGACGTCAGAGACTGGGGATATCCGGGGTATGTACGGAGTACGGAGTATAGGACTATGGACTATGGATTATGGAGTTGCCGAGTTGGAGAGGTCTTACGGTACGGTAGCTCCGCCTGCTGACCGGGTTTCATATTTTGTTCTTGAGGGAAGTCCTCGGTCTTCTGCATAGATCGTTAAAAAGTACCTACCTACGGAGTATGTGTCTGTCTCTCCTCCAAGTCGACGGGGAAAAAATACGGAAACGCCTTACGTACTATGTACTCCGTATCAATCGTGAATGATAAGCAAGTGGGTCTAGGTAGTCGGACTCGGCAATCGCTGGTATAACGCGTCCAATCACATGCCGGGCTGTCTTGATGTCGCCTGAGGGTTCTTGCCCGATTAGGACGGTTTGGTTTGGGGGAGGACCCACATCCGCTGTTGTCCGGTCAGGGCTAGTCCTGATTCCGTTAGTCACTTTGCCTCAGGCCAGACCGACTATCTATCCTATTCCTATCGGCTTGCATGTAGGAGTAGCCAAGGCCAAGTATCAAGATGAAGAAGGTACTCTGGAGTCGTTAGAAACTAGATATTCCTCGATTATACTGGCCGAGAGATAACTATAAGACTGGTCAGACGCGAGCTATATACTAGGATGTCATTGCGAATGAGAGATAGTCTCCCAACGGGGCATTAAACTCCAGATATAAGACGGGGAAGCACATGTGGCGAGGCAACTGGGTAACTGACAAAGCAAAGTTGACATGTACAACTTCCCGAGAAATCAGTTAGTCATCTTTTTCCACAGATCATTATCGCCATTGGTTGCCAGGACCGCTTTTCTCTGCCGGGAAGTCGATTCCCCGGTGACCTAGACTCACGCGACCTGTAGCATAGTTGAAGACGCAAGAGTCTGGACTTGCTTCAAGGGATAAAACCAAGATGGAGAGGAAGAAACTCCATAGAGAGTCATCGACATCGGGAATCCAGGATCGTTCCCTCCTGAAGATCATCCAGACTCCAGTAGGCTGGAACCGTCCCCCGATGCTCGAGTCAGAAGCCGCGGATATCGCACCATCGTCCCCGCCGATGGTTCCATTGTTGCGGTGACATACTTCTGCTCTTAGTCTCAGCATCTGTGCAAGTTTCATCTTCGTCTATGTACGTGGTACAGAGTCAAGGGTATCAGCTACAGTCGAGGAGAGGGTCTTGAACAGTCAACAGAATAGCTCGATAGAATATTTTAATAACGTCTTTTTTTTTTTTTTTTTTTTTTACCTTTGATTGATAGTAGTTAGCGTACTGTCACACAGTGTTTTTCTTACTAGTGCACATCCTTCTCCAGCAATTCTATCGAAACTAATATATTCAGTATTTCTGATTGGATACCCACATCGCAATTCACGGGGATATGCAATTATCTTCCTTGTACTATAGTATTTTTATTCTATTTTACGGGGGTTTTGTTCTGACTTCTCACTTTAAAAAAAAAAAAAAAAAAAGGCCCAACAGCTTCACGATTCCTTCTTTTCCCTCTTCTTCTTCTGCTGCTCTTCCCAGGAGGACTCTGTCTAGCTGTCAGCCTGGGATTGCTATTAATAATAATAGTTGTTCTGCTCCACTTGCTGTGCTCTCTCCATCAGACTCAATCCTATATCTTGCTTCCCTTTCCTCTTCTCTTATCTTCTCTTCCTTTGTTCCCTCTCTCTTATCTCCAACTCCAAACCCCCCTTCCCCCTTTTCCTTGCCTTCTCAATCCCTATATACTACTCCATACTCTCCCCCAGCCATTGTGGATAATCAATCCGTGTATTCATCTTCTCTTCCCATTGCTGTTCTTGCTCGTCTTGATTGACTGGATCACATCACATCATGGCGACCAAGAAACCCAACATCCTCTACATCATGGCGGACCAGATGGCGGCCCCTCTCCTGGCCTTCCATGACAAGAATTCCCCCATCAAGACTCCTAATCTGGACCGGTTGGCGGAGGAGGGTGTGGTGTTTGACTCAGCCTACTGCAACTCCCCGCTGTGTGCGCCGTCGCGCTTCGTCATGGTGACCGGTCAGCTCCCGTCCAAGATTGGCGCCTACGACAATGCTGCCGACTTGCCCGCCGACGTCCCCACCTACGCCCACTATCTGCGCCGCGAAGGCTACCACACGGCTCTGGCCGGGAAGATGCACTTTTGCGGTCCGGACCAGCTGCATGGCTATGAGCAGCGATTGACCAGTGACATTTACCCGGGGGATTATGGTTGGTCGGTCAACTGGGATGAGCCGGTAAGTTCAGTGTCATTTTCGTTTTGGCGCGTTGGGACGCAAACTGATCAGGACAGGATATCCGTCCCGATTGGTATCACAACATGTCGTCCGTGCTGGAGGCTGGTCCCGTCGTGCGCACCAACCAGCTCGACTATGACGAGGAGGTCATCTACAAGTCCAAGCAGTATCTGTACGACCATGTCCGCCACCGCACCGACCAGCCTTTCTGCCTGACCGTCTCTATGACGCATCCGCACGATCCCTACGCGATGACCAAGGAGTATTGGGATATGTACGAGGGTGTGGATATCCCGCTGCCGAAGAACTCCGACATCCCCGACGACCAGCAGGACCCCCACTCGCAACGGGTCCTCAAATGTATCGATTTGTGGGGTAAGGACATGTCGGAGGAGCGCATCAAGGCGGCACGCCGCGCCTACTTCGCCGCGTGCACTTACGTCGATACCAACGTCGGCAAGTTGCTGCGGGTGCTGGAGGACTGCGGCCTGCGCGATGATACCATTGTGGTGTTCACTGGTGACCACGGCGATATGCTGGGCGAGCGCGGACTGTGGTACAAGATGGTCTGGTACGAGAACTCGGCGCGGGTGCCGATGATCGTGCACGCGCCCAAGCGGTTCGCTGCCAAGCGCGTGTCGGAGAATGTCTCGACGATGGACCTGTTGCCCACGTTTGCCGCGATGGGGGGAGCGCCTTTGATGAAGGAACTCCCGCTGGACGGGGTGTCACTGATGCCCTATCTGAGCGGCGAGCAGGGACCCAAAACCGACACTGTGCTGGGCGAGTACATGGCCGAGGGAACCCAATCGCCAGTGGTGATGATCCGGCGCGGGCGCTGGAAGTTTGTATATTCCCTGATCGATCCCCCGATGTTGTATGATCTGGAAGCCGATCCGGAGGAGATGGTGAACCTGGTGGCTGGCCTTGCCGTGCCGTCGCAAACCGCCATCAAACCCGGTGCACACAGTCAGCTGAACTCTGGCGCGCTGCCCACTCCCGCTGACACCCCTGGCGAGACTCCCCGGGTGTCCCCCGTGCCTCAGCGCGCCACTTCGACGTACCCCTTCCCGACGCCCCCGCGCACCCCCAGCCCCGCCAAGCTTCCGGCTGCCGTGCCCGACACCGCCGACCCAGCCAAGCTGCTGGCGCACTTTACCGAGGAAGTACACGCGCGCTGGGATCTGCCCGCTATCCGGGAGGAAGTGCTGCGGTCTCAGCGCCGGCGGCGACTGGTGTACTCGGCGTTGGTTAAGGGCAACCCGGCGTTCTGGGACTACGAGCCCCGGGTGGATCCCAGCACGCAGTACGTGCGCAACCAGGGCAAGGGGATTTTGGACGATGTGGAGTTCATGTCCCGATGGCCGCGGGTCCTGCAGCAAGCCGCCAACGCGATGGGCACGAGGGTGTAGGCAGTCTCTGACCGACAGCAGCCAAAGAGAAAAAAGAAAAAAGAAAAAGAGAAAGAAAATGATGGTCGTTTCGGTGGGGTCATACTCTGGTTAGAGGTTTTACGGTTTTACGACAGCATCGCGACTGTTCTCCTTCCTGCAGTTTTGTTTCTAGCGCGCATATACCCGAGATGAGTTGCATTCCCGGTTCTTCTGCTAGCGTTTGTGAATGCTTGCGGGTGATTTTCTTTTTTCGGACATGGCATTTATTGTATGTAGAGTATCAGATCAGTGTATAAACAATGAATTTGGATCCTTGGTACTACGATTATGTCTGGTTGACGACATTGCTCACGTCCTGACTATGGGGATGGACTATAGAGGATAGATTGATATAGATCTAAGACATGTCTCGGACGACTATGGAGTACCTCGTATATTCCTCTATCTGCCTCTACACTCTAGTCTCTAGAGTAGTTAACTAGTCAGTTTATCTATTCTACAATCTCGGGATTCGGTCTTTGCGCTGCATCCCCACTATCCCCTCCCCTCACCAGCACTGTGTACTCTGTACAGCTACGACGGTCTACGGTCTACGGTCTACGGTCTACGGATTTATAGAACTATAAGACCTCAACTCCAGTCCCTAACACCCTCCCTACCCTAAAGAAAGACACCAACCAACCAACCAACCAAAAAATGTCCAAAATCACCGTCGCCGTCGCCCAAGCACGCACCCACGCAACCCTCCCCGCCACCCTCGCCGCCCTCTCCCGCATCACCCACCACGCCGCCGCGCGCGGCGCCCACCTCCTGCTCTTCCCCGAAGCCTACCTGGGCGGGTACCCGCGCACGGCGACGTTCGGGTGCGCGGTGGGGGCGCGCGCCGCGCACGGCCGCGACCAGTTCCTCGCGTACTTCAAGGCCGCGGTGGACCTGGGGGACACGCCTGCGGGGGCGGGCGAGGCGTGGGTGCGCAAGACGCTGGCGGTGGCGGAGGGGAGGAGCGAGCGCGGGGATGGGACGAGGGAGGCGCTCGAGAAGGTTGCGGCTCAGACCGGGGTGTTTCTGGTCGTGGGCGTGATCGAGCGCGCCGGCGGTAGTCTGTATTGTTCGGTTGTGTATGTTGATCCCCGGCGCGGTTGTGTCGGGAAGAGGAGGAAGGTTATGCCTGTATTTTCCCCCCTCTATTCCTCTATCCCCTGTCTTGCATCTGTTATGTCTTGCTTGGTCCTTGCCATTGCCATTGCCATTGCCAGCGCTAGCGTTGGGTAGGGTAGGGTAGGATAGGGCAGGGCAGGGCAAGAACAAAAGAACGTCTCCGCTAACAAGCCATTCATATTCATTCTTAATGGACAAGACCGGCTCCGAACGTCTCATCTGGGCCCAAGGCTCGCCGTCGACGCTGCGCGCCATCACGACCACCCTGAACGGCCACCGCGTGACCCTCGCCGCCGCCATCTGCTGGGAAAGCTACATGCCGCTGCTGCGCCAGAGCCTGTACGCGCAGAACGTGAACCTCTATCTTGCGCCGACCGCCGACGCCCGCGACACCTGGCTGGCGCTCATGCGCACCGTCGCCTGCGAGGGCCGCGCCTTCGTCCTCTCTGCGAACCAGTGCGTGCGGTATGATGAGTTGCCCCGGTGGATTACCGCGGCGGGGGAGGAGGAGGTTGGACCTGGGCTGGGGCCTGGATTTGTGCCGCGTGAGTTCACTTCCACAGCTAGGGTCTGGTGGGTGAGGAGGATTAGGGGGCTAATGGCTAATGGCTAATGGCTAATGTGATATGTGCGACAGATGCAGACGACTTCGTCTCGCGCGGCGGCTCGTGCATCGTCGGCGCCCAGGGCGAGGTCCTCGCCGGCCCCATCTGGGAGGTCTCGGCGGATGATGCGCCGGACTCGACGGCGACGGCGACGGCGAGCGCACCCGGCGGTGTGCCCGGCGGCAATGCTGTCGGGGACGGGCTGCTGCTGGCCGAGATTGATCTGGACGACTGTGAGCGCGGGCGCCTGGATGTGGATGTCGCGGGGAGTTATTCGCGGAACGATGCGTTTCGGCTGACCGTCGAGGGGCTGGATTTGAGTCCGCCGCCTTACTGAATGGATAACGTCGCCCTTGGACCTTTGCGACACGGGTTACAGGGATGGATAGACTACGAGTAGAGACGAGAGAGAGAGAGAGAGTATTTGTATGAGGGACACAGTAAAATTGATTCAAGAGAGAGAGAGAGTGAGTGAGTGAGTATTTGTATAAGACACAGTAAAATTGATTCAAGTCATTCATAATTTCATCTCATGTCATACATCATATCAGATATACAGGCGCCTTCACCAACACATTCGTCGGCCCCCGTCCCCGTACCTCCGCAGCTAGAAACATCGCAAACCGAATCCGTCCGCTGCTGCCGGGCTCCTCCATTACCGGCTCCTTCGCCTCCTTGGCCCCGTGGCTCGCGTCCACGGCCGCCGCGGGTCGCTTGCCCATCAGCGTGTTCAGCACCGATCGCACGCGCTGCTCGCGCGGCCCCGACGCCGACGCCGCCCCGTCCTGCAGGGTTGGGTGGTTCCCCGACTCGCGGGCGAGCCCGTCGCCTTCGTCATGGTCGTGCAGCATGCGGTCGTGCTCGGCGGAGCCGCGCAGCACAGGCGTGTCCGCCGGCGGCGGCTTCACGTTCGTCAGCGGCGGCAGTCCCACCTCGACCTTCATCACAGCCTCGTTCACCAGCGACCCGGGCATGAAGTACTCGATGCAGATGTCGCGCGACTCCAGCGGGATCTTCTCGGCGATGCCCACCGCGTTCTCCACGATCATGCGCACGCCGTTCGCCAGGCCCGGCGGCGCCGGGTCGTGCAGGTTCATCTCTAGGCTCGCGACAAACTTCTCGACCAGCCGGTCGATCAGCTGCGCCCGGTGCTCCTCCGCCGCCTTGCCCTGCAGCGCGTCCGTGAGCCCGTCAAACGTCGTCCGCCGCCAGTTGGAGATCCGCGCGATCGCGTTCTCCCGATCCTCGTCCGTGTACGTCTTGATCTGCTGCTGCCGCAGGTTCATTTCGATGCTCTTCAGCTGCTGGCTCAGGGCCGGCTCCAGCGCCGGGTGGAAGTGCCGCTCGAAGATCTCCTCCACCAGCCACCGGCTCATCGCCGCCCGCCCGATCGCCGTCATCTCCTTCGTGCCGGCCGTGTGTGCGTCCTCGTTGACGTGTCCGGCCAGCCACGACGGCAGGCTCGTCCAGTCCTTGCGGATCGCGAAGGCCAGGTCCTTAATCGCGCCGTCCAGACGGGCGAACCGGTTCGCGTATTCGTTGTCGTCCAGCACGGTGCGCGACACCGCCATGCGCTGGTGCGCCACAGTGTTCTGCAGCTGCTGCACCTGGGCGTCTTTTTCAAAGTAATAGCGCTTCACTTTGGAGTATTTGGCCTCTGTATCGCGTTAGTTTTGAGTTTCCCCTCCCCCCCCTTTTTTTTTCTTCCCGAAAACCAATGCTGGCATGCAACCTACGCAGTTCATCGTGCTTCTGCAGCAGAGCTCGGACGTCGACATCGCCGGCATCATCCCTCCCTCGGCTACCGACCGGGGGTGTACTACGCCCTGGTTCGGGGGTGTTCTGCTGCTGGTTTCCCTGGAGAGACGCGTGGGAGCCGCCTGGGTGATTCGTGTTCTGGATCTGTTGACCGGCAGACCGGTCGGGGGTGGTGGACGCCATTCCGCCGTTTTGATTCGCGGAGGAGGAACGCAACTCGGACTGCGGGGGCAGCGGGGGTAACGGAGACGGACGGCCCAGGGACTGCCGCGAGGGTGGTCGTGCGCTCGACGGCGGCTCCAGTTGCAGCTGCGAGACCGGGGAGTGTTGCTGCGGATGGGTTTGGGAAAGATTGGACACCGATGGCGGGGGTCCAAGAGGCTGCCGGGATGACGGATCCGCAGGTGGTGCGTTGTATAGCTTCTCGAGGAGGCTCGAGTCGGTGTTGGAGCGCTGGATCGAAGGGGGAGGTTGTTGTGGGGAATGGGGCGGTCGGTGGTGAGCTGACGCCGGGTCCTGTTGCATGAGGAGGGACTGCGAGCTATGCTGGCTAGGGTTGGGGTGGAGGGTTACCGCATAACCCTCGGGAACCGTCTCGGAGGAGGAATGGTAGTTGGTGCTCTGATTCTGCTTGTGAGATTCGCGGGTTGTCGTCGACGCCGTCTCGAGCGATAGCTGTTGCTGATGTTGATACCGGCGCTGACGGGACGAGGACGATGAGCTGGTGCCTTTGACCGAGACGCTACGTTCTAGGAAGCCGGTTGTTGCAGAAGACGAGGAGGACGAGTGGAGACCGAAGAGCTTCCTTCGGGACTTTGGGGCAGGAGTCTGTTTGTTGCTAGTAGGGTGAGCGATGGGGGCCAAGGGCTGCTGCTGATGATCAGAGGCCCTGTCCACAGCGGGAGACGAGGGCCACGACTGATCGGAAGGGTCAGCATCGAAGCGCGCAGCAGCTGGTGAGGCGGGGATCGCAAGTACCGAGTTGAGGAGAGTGGGGGAGTGATGGCTCTGCGATCGAGTGATGGGAGACTGATGATACGAGGGAGGGACTTCTGATTGCCTTGAATGATGTTGAGGAGAATCAGGATGATTCTGATGATGATGATGATGATGAAGTTGTTGTTGTTGTTGTTGTTGGTGGTGAGAATACGAGTCAACAGGCTGATCCGAGGACGAAGTGGGGAGACGCACGTCGGAGAAGCGCTGGTAAAACGCGGGATCGTCAGGAGGAACACGCGGCGAGGGAGCAGCCAGAAGAGACACGGGCAGTTGCTCGACGGAATGCGAATGAGGAGCAAGCGAGGCAGCTGGGGACGAAGACTTGTGTTTTTTACGAAGAAAATGCATGGAGGAGGCGATGAGAGAGGATGAGGATCCTCCGCAGAGGGACGAAAGGGGGAGAATGAAGAGAAGAGAAGAAAGGGAAGCGTGTCAACACCAGCACAGCAATGGGCTGACGGTCCACTAATCAATAGTCGAGGATCAAGAACAAAAGAAAAGAAAAATTGGAGGCGGAGGAAGAAATGAAAGAAATGAATGGATTTGGGAGTTTTGTTGGCGATGCTATAAATAAAATAAGCCACCCTCCAGGCTGAACACGAGATGTTGATCACAAAGACAACATGGCTAGAGACGATGATACCCAATCGGAGCGAGCAACCCAACAAAAAAAAAAGAAGAAGAAGAAGAAGAAGAAGAAGATCCCCCATCATCATCACTCAAGAAGATGAAGAAGAAGAAGAAGAAGAAGGCTCCTTCACTCGGAAATGGTAGGCTTCCTTGCGGTCGAGATACACCACATTCCCCCCCAGGCCCGCCTTCTGCATCTCCTGCTTGAAATCCTCCAGCGGCTCGCAAACACGTTGTAGTCATCATAGTGGATGGGAATCGTCAGATCGGGCCTGATGAGCCGGACCAGCTCCACGCCCTGCTTCGCGTCCATGGTCACCATCATCGTCAGCGGCCACATGTTCGGATGAGGCACCGTCGTACCCCCGAGATGGATGAGCATCAAATCGAGCTTCTGGCCTGCGAACCGCCGCGGGATCTCCTTGAGGTCGTCGACCATCAACGTATCGCCGGAGATGTAGATGCGATACCCCACGTCGAAGTCCGTCTGTAGGGTCCCGGTGCTGCCGTAGCCTAATTCCACCATCCATCCATTGGTGGGTGGGATCTTCATTCTCTCTGTCAATAATCCCAGGGACCAGGACCAAGGGACCAGGGACCAAGGAATCAGGGGGGGACTTGACTTACCGCCGCCGCAAACTGATTCAACTTCTCCACCACCTTGTTGGTCGGTATGTGTTTCCCCGGCGTGCCCGTGACTCGCATGCGCGGCTGTCTGGTCTGCGCGCTGTCGCACTTGACGCTCACCAGCATCTGCTCAAAGGGCTCGAGGTCGTACACCTGCTGGAAGGAGTCCGAGCCCTTAGCCGTCAGCGCGGCTTTGGCATGGCTCGTGGTGATGATGGGGAGGTCGCGACGGAGGGATTCTTCGACTTTGCGGTCGAAATGGTCTCTAACTCAACGTTAGTTCGGGAAATGGTGGTTGCTGTGGATGGATTAAGACTTACTCGTGGTAATGAGACAGCAGGACGAGATCGATGCGAGGCAGTTCGTGCAGGTCGACGGCCGGATTCGTCTGCCGCGTCGCGGTGACGCCCGGGCCGAGGTGGACGTGGTCTCCAGCGTGGAGGAAGTTGGGCTATCTCGTCAGCCCCCGTTCTGATATGGCATGTATGGCAAAAGGACAGTAACACGACGGCGGGCTTACATCCGTCATCACCCTCATGCCCTCCCATTCCCTAACCACGTTAGCATCGAGGCATACGACTATCACGCTGCATCACAGTGCTACAGCTACTCACAGGATCGTCGTGGCTGTGCCGATGAAATAGATCGAGGCATTCTCTCCTCCGGCGTGCGAGGGATGCGTCTTCGTGCTCGTTGCTTCTGGTAAGCTCGCGGGGAGCGAGGACGAGGCGAGATCTCGGACGGGAGGGATGTTCCGACGCGGGTCAATGGATATATGCTTCATGATGAGAAGTGATATGGCCACTAGGTATGAAAACGGGTAGGAAGACTGAATCGGTGTCTTTTATTCCTCTGTGATGAACAAGATGTTGTCGCGCTGGAGTGCATCTCGTACACATGACGTCACGCCAGTTCATCCATCAATTGATAATAATATACTATGGTATACGACACATGTTCAATTAGTCAATGGGTTATTCGTGCTGTAGGATAATGTTTCTGAGTGGTATTGGTGTGGCTTGTGGTCTAACTCGTCGCTGTCTATGTACTTACTACAAAGTAAACGCCGATCCAGAGAAGAGTATGTGTGTATGTAGATTCACCCCCATCATATATATCTATCCGCTTCCTGCGCGGTTTCCTCCAAATCACAAAAGAAAAAGGCTCTAACAAACATGCTAGCACGCTAGCACGCTCGAGCAGGCATGCTCTAGCACACTCCATGGGTCTTCCCGGTCTTGCCCTGCAAGGAATGCGTCTCATTCTTGTAATGGGGATGGTTATGCTTGGCCTGGTGAGACTTGGTGGTGTGCCTCTGAACATGTCTGCGAGTAACAATTAGCACTGTCTTTCTCTCCACTTCTTCTTCTTCTTCTTCTTCTTCTTCCCCTTCTTCTCTTTCGGGTGGATCAAGAACGTACTGGGTATATTTCTCCAGCATCGCCTTGTCCATATCACTCAGCGTCCGCAAGGCCAGCCTGATATCAGACAGCAGAGCGTCACACCGGTTCATGCTGAAATCCTCCCGCACGACAACCCGCATCAGCTTCAGCTCGTTGCTGTGCGGCGCCATCGTGTAGGCAGGAATGATCCAGCCCCGTTCGCGCAGCTGGTGCGCCAGCGCAAACTCATCATATTGTTCCTTGCGGTCCGGCGACAAGCGGAACGCCACCAGGGGCAGTCCGTGGCCGCGCCGCTGGCTCAGGATGATGAAACCCAGTTTCTCCAGTTGCTCGGCCAAGTAGTCAGCGATCCGCGTGATGTTGACCATGATGGAGCGGTATCCGCGCTTCCCCAGCCGGATCATCTGGTAGTACTGGCCGATGACCTGGGACGCGCCCTTGGAGAAGTTGAGGGTGAAACTGGCCTGTTCGGCGCCCAGATAGTTGATGTTAAAGATCAGCTCCTTGGGGAGGAATTCGGGCGACCGCCAGACCACCCAGCCGACGCCGGGGTACACCAGCCCGTACTTGTGGCCCGAGACGTTGATCGAGACAACCTTTTCCAGACGGAAGTCCCACTGCAGGCTGGGGTTGATGAAGGGGGCGACGAAGCCGCCGCTGGCGGCGTCGACGTGGATGGGGACGTCCAGGTCACGCTCGACCAGGAGGTCGTTGATGGCCTTCACGTCTTCGTATTCGCCGGTATACGTGGTGCCCAGGATGGCGCAGATGCCGATGGTGTTCTCATCGATCAGGTCGACGGCCTGCTGCGGGTCGATCACGTAGCGGTCCGCGGTGCAGTAAACGTAGCGCTCCTCGATGTCGAAGTAGCGCGCGGCCTTCTCCCAGCACACCTGCACGGCGCTGTTCATGACGATGTTGGGGCGCGAGTAGTCCTTGCCCTCGGCCTTGCGCTTGTTCTGCCAGCGCCGCTTCATCGCCAGCGTGCCCAACATGATGGCCTCGGACGAGCCAATGGTCGAGGTGCCGATGGGGCGGTCCTCCTCCTTGCTCACGGGGGCGTTGAACAGGCGGGCGATCATGTTGACGCATCGGTTCTGGATCTCAGCGGACTGGGGGTATTCTTCGTAGTCGATGAAGTTTTTGCTGAATGAGTCGGTCATCAGTTTTTCGGCCTCTTCCTCCTGTTTCCTTATCAGCATTGTCTTTTTTCTTGTCTTCGGTTGATACAAATATACCATGTAGGTCGTCACAAAACTAGCCAAGCTGTTTTTTTTTTTTTGGTCCATTAGTACCGGCTCACGCTGATCAATCGCCACAGGAACAGAACGTACTTGAGCATCGGATTCCCATCCAAACTCAACTCATCCTTGATCATGCGGTAGGCAACCTCGCGGGGCATCTCCTTCTCGGGCATCTCGGTCTGGGGCAGCTGCTCGGCAGCGAACCGCGTGCCGTATACGGTGGAGTAGAAGCCATCATCGTCAACGGTGTCGAGCTTGATGGAGTCGACGCGCGAGACGATCGGATTCGGCTCTTCTTCGTCGTGGTGGACCTTGGCGAGATGGACCATGGTTGGTGGGCTCTGAGGGGGGAAAAGCTGGTGTGTTGGACAAGATAAGTACAGTTGTGTACAAAACACAAGAGGGGGGGAGGGGGGGGAAACGATGCAAGATGGAAGAGGGAGAAAGGAAGGTATTTATTTACTTTTGATCTGGTCAGTGTTAATTAGAAAAGATCACCAAGCCTGAGGTGATGATTATGGTGGAAGACCAGCAAAACAGCTCAGGGGAGGGGCACCGATCCTAGCGAGTTAGCACTATGAGGGGGTGGCTGTTGGAGAAGTTACAGCTTACAGGCTTTCTAATTGCACCACATTATTATTATTAGATTACTTACTCTCAACAGAGGACCTACTCCGTACTACTACCTAGGAGTAGTACTCTGTAGTACTCTGTAGTGTCCAAGATAGGAGAACTGAGCGCTGAGCACTGAGCACTGAGCACTGACTGCGACTCTGCGACGACAGTATGAGAGATATTCAATCAATCCATCAGGAGACAGAGACATAAAATTCCCTCGACAACACCACCCCCGATGGGCATTCATTCACTCCCTTTCTACGGAGCAGTTCAGGAGTGAAGCAACTCGCAGAAACCCCCATGGATGTCCCAGTTTTTTTTTTTTTTTTTTTTTTTTCTTTTTTTCTTACCAGAGACTCTTGTTTCATCCCATACCTATTACTTACCTACCTCGGTACCTACCTTACAACCTACTGAATAATTTCAAACCATACAGAGTACACAAAGCTTAGAGAAAGCTTGGCCTCGACAATAGTCGCCCACCAAGTGGATAATGATGACCCATCATGATCAAAAACAGGGACAGGGACAGGGACACGACTACTTAGGAGCCAGACTGCCAGAGAGTAGAGACCCAGGCGGTGGAGCAGAAGTGGAGGAGATGACGATGTTGAGGCAGCGGTATTCGATATTCGGTAGATACTAGTTACTCTGTAGATAGAGATCTAAGGTACATGTAGTTTACTAGTTACTAGTTACACCGTACAGTGACTACTTACTAGAGTACCTAAAATTGGACGTGGGAGAACGAACCCCCACAGTGAGGTACCTAGGTAACTAGGTAAGAGAGAGTGAGCTTGAGTCGATCCACGTAAGTATCTGTCTACTAGTTTCGCCTATGGAGGATCGAGATACCTACACAGGATTGGATTCTATCCGGTCTCCGAGCCTGGAGTTTCAGTCTGTGATCCATCTGGTGATGACAGCAGAAATCCCGCTTCATGTGTGATGACTGATGATAGACAGATCCAGGAGTATACTATGTAGGTAGACACGATCGTTTCATCTGTTTCCAATCATCATGTTGGATACAACCTAGTCTAATGCACTAGTGTACTATGTACATAGACTACTAGGTAACTACACCATACCGATCACTCTCCTCCACCACGAGGACTCTAAACAAATCCTCATTTAAAGGTCATGTTTCGATTAACATTAACTTATATCAGTCTCAAGAAAGAAAAAAAAAAAAAAAAAAAAAGGAGTCCGACTTGAATAGCGGCCTGACAATCAAATAACAAAACAAAAGCCCAACCCAACCCGTGCCAATCTGGTATCCTTGTCCGTCATATCATACACAACCTGATGCATGTGGCCTGACTTGAAGGCATCAATCATCATCCGTCCTGGTATCTTTGCAATTCATCTTGGTTTCACGATTTTCCTGCTTTTTTTTTTTTTTGTTTGTATTCTAGTCTTGTTCTTCTCCTCCTTCTTTTTCGTGTTCCTTCCCTGGCATCGTTTTTTGTTTCTTCGATTCCCTGATTCTCAGAGCTGGTATATAGGTGTATAGAAAATCATTTGAAAAGGTTCCAGGAGAAAACGGCCATCTAGGCACCCTTGACCTTGCGCTTGAGCCATGACCAAAGTCCACTCTTGCGCTTCTCGGCCCGAGCGGCTTCGGCTCGCTGAGCCTCCTGCGCCTGGTCAACAGCCGTCTGCGCCTCCTCATGCGACTTCTTGGCCGCGGCGGTAGGCTCCTGCTGGGCCTGCGTGTCTTTGACCGCCGCCTCGGGCTCAGCTTGAGCTTCAGTAGGAACCTGTTGCTGCGTCTCGGGCTGAGCCTTGCCTGCCGCGCCTTCCGTCGGTTCCTGAGCAACCACCTTCGATTCAGGCTGGACGCGCTCCTCCGCCTTGCCAGCGGTCTCGGCTCCAGACACACCCGAAGGCGTGGCCTGCGACGGGGCAGCAGCCGACTTGTTGCGCATAGCGGCGGCCGCAGCAGCCGCAGCAACGCTAGGCTGGGCTTTCGTGGGAGTCTCCGGTGTCACCTTGGCGGGTGCAGTCTCCAAGATCTTTTCCTGGACCTTGTCCTGGTGCTGTTGTTGAAGCTCCTTGGCCGCCGGGGCCTGTCTCTGCTCGGTAAAGGATTGGATGGTCTCCTGGATCTCCTTCCTCTGCTTGTCCTCGCCTACGGCAGCCGCGGCAGGGGCGGCTGGCGATGTTGTGGCTGCAGCTGTCTCAGCAGCAGTAGGAGCGGCAGTCGGGGCCAGAGCCTCTGCAGTCCGCGACTCGGCCGTGGAGCCTGGCACAGTAGGAGTCGGTTCGGTGACAGTCTCAGCGCCAATGGGTGCCGTAGTGGCAGGCGCCGAAGGGGCAGCTTCAGCAGCAGGAGTAACAGGCTCCGTGGCCTTCTGGCCAGCAGTAAAACCGGAAACCTCGACGTCCGAAAACGGCTTGTCGGATGGCTCGGCTCCGAGACCGGGGACGATCAAAGGCTCCCCCTTCTGCTCGCCAGGCACCTCTGTCTCAGTAGGTACTGCAGGAGCGGCCTCCGAAGTCTTAGCCGCAGAAGCAGCATCCAGGTCCTCCTCGACCTTGGGCATCTTGGGAGGCTTGTGGTCCTCCTCTTTGTGGAAAAGACTGCTCTCATAGGGACGCTTGGCATGCCCGACGGAATCTACGCTTTCGGATGGTGATGCCGCTTCGATGGTGTCCTTCGCCTTGGGTCTTTCAGGCAGTGTCGTGGGAATAGCGCCTGTCTCTGCTCTCTCGCCCTCTGCCGCCTTTTCAGCCAGACCAGTGGTGCCTGCGGCACCGACAGTCTCACCCGTGACAACCGGTTCCGAAACTGGAGCGTTGGCATCCGTGATAACAACAGGTGTAGGAGCGGCGGTTTCAGGAATGGTGGTGGCGGCGGTCAACTTGGACTCCTTGGCAGTCGTCTCGGGCAACACAGCTACGGGGACATAGGTGAGTAGGGGGGGGGACCACATTTGCAGATTTGAAGAAAGACATACCTTGTCCCTCGCTCTCTCCTCCGTCTAATGATCCGACCAGACCCGCCTTGGAGGCCTGGGTCTTGTCCACTGCATCCTCCAGGGTATGGGTGCCTTCGGGCACAGCGGTCTCCCTTGAATCTGGTAAGGAAGTGGGCATGCGGAGTTCGGTGCCGTCTCCATCAACGGGTTCTGGCCTGGTGAGCGGGAACGTCTTCGCTGTGCCGGGAGAAGACGGTTCCTCTGCGGCCTCGGCGGCCTCGGTCGACGAATCGCCTGTTTCGGTAGTCTCGGGGGTCTCGGTGACTTGCGGCGGGGCAGCGGAGGGGACGTTGGTAGCTGTGCCGGGGGCCAGGCTTTCGGTGGTCACGCCCTCACCTTCGCCCTTGACGACATCCTCGACTTGGTGTCCGGGGGTCCTGTTGACGGTGACGATCGTCAGACTATGCGCCAAGAATCGGGGTATAGCGCCGGGGAAATGCGCAACACATCAGAGGGAGATGCGACTTACACTGTATCCTGCACGGTGGGAGCTTTCTTCGCGGTACCACCGCCGCTCTTGCCCTTGGCCTTCTTTCCCTTTCCGCTTTTCTTGGGCATTATGATCGAGTTCTGGGTCTGTTGGGGTGTTTAAAGCGCGATGTCAGAAGAATTGGCCACGTAAGGATGACACCTGAGGTTTTTTTATTTTTTTTTTTTTTTTTTTTTTTTTTCTTTGTGGACGGATGTGAGGGGTGCGGGCAAATTGGATGACAGACAGCAGGTACGTACAGTACAGGATGAGTCGGCGCGAGATGAAGCGATGATAGATGGTACAAAAGGTGAACCGGAGAGATTGAGAAGGACTGTTGGAGGACAGCTGTTTGAAAACAGTCAGGGGTGGGAGGACGGCAACTCTGGTATGTTTGGTCTAATCGTCGGGGAACGTTAATCCGTGGATTGAGGCAGTCGCGCGGTTTAAGTGGAATGGTTACTCACCCAAATTGGCCACGTCGATCACCGACGGGATGAGGTTGAGGTATATAGGTGCTCACTTGAATTTGGCGCGGAGAAGAAGGTCTTACTTGAAGGAGCACGATGATGCTGGGAATGGATAGTATGAGCTCAGAGGGCGTTGGTCACATGAGATGCGCTCGCTAGCACAATTACAATTGAGTAGATAGTTCTAGGCAACTTCGCCCTCCAAAGGGACCGAGGGATCTTTTCTGAGGAAATTCGCTCACAGGTAGGCCGACCTTGCAGTAATAATCATGATCTAGTATCTACTCTCTGCAGCAGTGTATCTTTTCTGTGGGCTGGCTGGTTCCAGCCATGGTTCACGCAGAAGCTCCGAAATGGACCTCCCAGTCAGTGACGCATTTGGACTGATTTATGAATTTATTATAGAAACGGATCCATCTATTGTTGCTGATCCTGGACTAGGATATTAGATAATGCAATTGTTCTTCCTGTGAAACACGTTGTGTGTGATCTGGGGTTTCGATTTCCAGCAATCCGGAAAAAAAATTTGTGTTTTGCTATACAGATCACAGAGTATCCAAAGCTCAATCACCAAGCTGTTTCCGGCTAGTAGCACGCATGTAATATGGAGCAAAGGGTCGTGTGCCTGCAGCAGCGCAAAGCCTCAGCCCTAGCGGCGGATCATTGTTGTTCCTGATTACCCAGTCTGAAGCACTTTTACCAAATATCTACTCTGTACTGTGCGGAAAGTTATCAACATTGCAATATCACGTATAAGATGGACATAAAATGTAGAGAAGCCCACACACATTTCGAACCCCCATACAGCGTTCTATCGATCTGACTCCCTGGTAGAGTGGTGTAGACTCGGAGTGAGGTTCTCCAATGCCTAATCCGGACAAGCATGAAGCGGAATGTATCTACCAGTCATAGGCTGCTTTCAGCCCATCCCACAATCACCGTGTCATTGACAAGGGACATGCACGGTGGTATTCTACTTTCCCCTACTGTCGACGCTTTCGATGTCGCCGAGGTATGGTTGGGGCGGGGGAGGGGCCCATACATTTTGTATGGTGGGGGTGGAAGTGGCATATGCTCGATATATATACATATTCGGGAATAGATGATATGCGAGTGTCGAGTGCCGACATAAGTTAGTTTCCCGTCTACTGCCAGCCTGGCATATACTTTGGTACAATAAGCACTACCCAAAGACCAAAGAACCCGCTCGAAGAAGTAGACAAAGGATGCTACCTCCATACATACTCAATTATCCACCCCCATGTCACCCCCAACTCCCCCCATTGCAATGCTAACCTGAGAGGAAAATCCCACCTTTGTATGCAAACTCCATGCATAAGTGCCCAAAACAAGGCACAAGATGCAGAAGAAGCCAAAAAAAAGAAAAAGAAAAAAGATAATGGAGGGTTCCAGAAGGAGGGACTACCCATGCCTGAGGACTCAAGATACCTAGGTCATCACTATTCTATTGGCTTTGACGATGCCCAACATAGCAGTGCATTCAGTGAGGGATATAGTTGTCTTGGCTTGGCTGCCATCTGGACCCTGACATAGACCTTGGACATACTCCGTACACACTTCTGGTGGACAGCAGTACAAAAAAAAAAAGGATAGTCCCGCTCGTTCTTCTTCGTTTCTGATGGTGAGAAGCAAGTCGGAAAGATAAAAAAGGAATGACCTACGCAGGGCTCGAACCTGCAATCTCTTGATTCGTAGTCAAGCGCCTTACCATTGGGCCAGCAGGCCTTGCTGTTGAAAATATTTTCCTTATATAAATTATTAACTAAATACCAGTAACTCACCGGAAAGAGCGTGCCGAGTGGGGGCGCAATTCCCTCAAACTCCCGGTGGATAATACTACTACTCCGTAGGTAGTATTCCTCCCCCGGTTCCCATGCCTCTTATTCGCCCATTATTCTGGATCACCAACACTTTACTATGACGGCACGGCAACCGTTGGACGGAATACGGCACACAAACGAGCAGATAGATATCTCCGGCAGCAGAAGTGGTCTCGGAATATTTCTGGAACAGAGCCATCGCCCCCCGCTTCGATGATCCATATTTCCGCGGACTGACGTATGATCATCCTCGCATCCTTTTCCGGAGAGATCTTTCTAAACAATGAAGCAGTGAAAGCGCCAGTGGGAGAAAGGTCAGAAGATGATGTAGTACGTCGCATTCTGATTCCGGAGACAATCCCCCTATCATGGAAGGTAGTTAAATCGACTCGGCCACTTTCATTGGCGCTGGCTCTCAGACCGTCAGTCTTGGCCGTATTTTTCTGGAATTGTTCGCTGCAGGACCACGCGCAAGATTATCCGTAATATTACCCGGAGTTTTATGCCTCGTGTTGATAATTGGTATTCCGTTGGTTATGACCTCAACTGTGAAACATCCAATACCTACAGAGTACGCAGTAGTGTCGAATGGAACGGAATAGAGAATCTGTGATAATACCGCACCCTCCGTAGATGGTCCTCAACATCGCCACCACCGAACAAACAGGACGTTGAGTTCATTATTATTCACATACAACTGTTACCCCTCCGTTGCATCTTCCAAGAGGATAGGAATGCTTGGCGCCAGATGTCCAGATAATATTTGCACAGCATGGGAGAACGGACGGCTCAGAGTGGCCTGGTCATCTGGTTATCTACCTGTAATCTGTAATCTTGCCCAGGTACCAAGCCCAGTACGTATGGAACACTGGATAACGCACAGAGTTGGCTTTTTGGCCACCCATGGGTTTTCTCGGATGTCCATCGGCATTATTTTGCCGAGCACCGAATGGAGTAATAGAATCCTAACTTTGCAATTCATTGCTCCGGACTGACTCGTCGAGAGAGTCAATACTACGCCTATGATTCATCACATGGAGGACTCCGTAAACAGTCATTGCCCGAGATTCTTGAAAGTCAGAACCATCTGAGAGCCCTGGAGAGTCAAGACCATTGAGACTTGAGCTTGGGACGGAGACTGAGAGTGGAGAGCCATTTTGTACATAGTAGACATGTTAATTAAACATAGCGCGATTTTCATCACTTGGGGGGCGTTTGTACCAGGAAAATATTATTAATTGCCAAACGCACAAGAGCCAGTGGGATTTGCAGATTTGCATACCTACTGAATATCTTACTCTTTATCTACCTACTAATAGTACGTACCTAGTATTAGATAGTAATTTATGCTCCACGTTTGCCATCCCCACCTTTTTTCTGGTAATATATGATAATATGGTAAGGTATGGATATGGTAATTGGCAAGATTCCCCTGCTGCTCACCGGATTTGGTCCCGAGATGTTACGTCTTTCTACGGAGATACTGGACCAGAACTACCAGACCAGACCAAGTCTGTCTGCTTATCGACATCCCTAGTAAGTATTACCTATTTAATATGCTCATAATCCAGTCTCCATGATTCCCCCATAACTCTTCCTGTAGTCCCCATCAGTTCCCTCGTTATCCCAGCAGTAAATTCAACTAAACCATTCCTATTATCTATCTACCACCGATCTATGGAGTACTAGATCCTCCTTAGTACTTACCTACCCTACCCTAGTAGTATCTTCCATAGTCGTATGTCAATGGGTTACTACTGCTAGGTACTGGGTACCCGCTCATCCCTCTCCATTCTCCCTTCTCCATTCTCCATCCCATATCCTCATCCGTCTTCTTCTTTCTTCCCTTTCTCTTCTCTACTCTCTACTCTCTACTCTCTACTCTCTACTCTTTACTCTTTTACTATTTTCTAGTTTCCCCTTTCCTCTCCACTCCACCGCTCTCGACGTGATCTCGCCTAGTCGAACGATGATATCAAGGTTGCTCACTATAGTCGATTGTCGTCTGTGCTTGCACAAATCCCCCCGCGTCTGTTCCCTCACCGGGTCTGGTCTGGTGTGAGGGCAATCCCACATACAATCACCAACCCCCAAAGAACTACGACTTCAATTCGTCTCTGAAAACTCTCTACCGTCATTCATCATGGCTTTCAAAGAGAGATTCCGAAAGGTGTTCCACCGCAATTCAAACGGCCACTCCAAGTCGAAATCCAACAGCAATGGCAACGGGATCAAGATCGAGTACTATAAGCGCCATGAGATCCCGCGGTCGAAATTCCGCGGCCCTTTCGATCCTGAACACCAAAAGAGACTAGCCGCTTGGTCATTCGACGCCGCCCAGGCTGACCGTCCTCGTTCATTCGACTACTCGTTATCTCCCTGTACAACATTACCAGATCATCTCAAACCTCGCCATGAGGAGAGTGCCACGGAGGACGAGGAACTGGCTCCCAACCAGGGTCGTGACATCGCTCCTCCTGAAGTGGGCTTGATTGACTGTAAGTCGACTCTTTCCTTCCCGAAATGTCACATTCCACACATTCCATCTATTTATACTGGATCGATCCAAAAATCTAAGCGTACGCCTGACGACGTTCTGACCAAACCCGATTTCAGCTCCCGTTTCTATCTTCCACCACGAGTATGCTCCGGGTCGACAGGAGGAATCCTCGGCTTCGTCGTCCTCCACGGCGGTTGAATTCAGCAGTTATAGCAGTAATTCGACCATGACGCTGTACTCCGAGCCGCCTCGGCTGGATTCCATCACTCAAATCAAGGAGACAATTCGGTACACCTCGCCCATGCTGCGAGCCGTGTCACCGCCTCCGCTCTCGCCCAAGGGAGCTTTTATGCCTTTCTCACCAGACGATCTGACCCGAGCGTTGAACGCCGTCCAGATCTGCTCATAATTTACTTTCACACAACTTATCCTTCGTCCCCTTCGTCGCCGTCTCGAGGACGGACCCTCTTTCCGCGTGCGTTTTGACCCAAACGCTCGTTTCAACCTGCACTGGTGTGCACTTTTTTTTTTTTTTGCCAACCTTCCAGATTTCGAGAACCAGGCTGTTTTCCAGGTCTTCCATGAGTTCAAGAGGACTCCACTTTTCGCGCGGTGTCCCTTTCCCCCGGACCCGGCGTCCCACCCTTGCATGCTCCCGACTCTCGCGCTATTCTAGAGTCGAATTGTCGGGGCGATTGTTTCTGTCATGCGATTGAGCGTATACCCGTAATGGAGGCTTTCGAGCCTCGTCACATTTGCTGGGATTTTTTGAGATATTTTCGCTTCAAACTTGTCTACGGCCGAATAGAGAATGAATGTACTGTATGTGAGATGTTAGACGAATAATATGCATCCTTACGCAGCATTGAATCAAACTCTGCCTGAGTAATTCTGTAGAGATAACTTGACGCCAAAAGTACCATCCAGGTGACGTCCGATCAATCCCGTCACAACTCTGTCGTCTGTAGATATTCAATAGATCATCACCCTTGGATACTCGGGAAGCCCATCCTCTGCCTCAGCCGCATGATATCTGTCTGTGTGTCCAAGTCTAGACTGTGTCAACCCACGGTCCTCCTTCCCTGCCAAGACAATAGTCAACCCAGATGAACCCATTCAGCGTCCCAACTTCTCCGATCACCCAAAGCCATTCTATCATTGTACAGAAAATTGCAAGAAAAGAAAACAGAAGTGATACAACTCGCCGAATCACGAACTTAACCCAACAAGGATCCTCCCTGAATGAACTGAGCCACAAGAGGCCTGACCGCCTGACTGGCTGGATCGCACGAGATTAGCTTTGCGATGGTGAAGATCCTAGATCCGGATGTATTTTCCTGGCGCCGGGGTATGGGACGACACGATGTGCTAGGGATGAGTGGTGAACTTGTCTGAGTGTGCGTCTATTGTCGTCAGGCTATTGGGAAATCCGGGATGCATCTGGATTGTTCGTTTTTATTGAGAATTTGAATCCCTCATGGTGCATAGATCACATTTGGGAATTATGGCTGTTCCGCATTTTTTTTTTCTCTCTCTCTCTCTCTCTGAAGGAGTACCGGGTTTGCTTTAAACCCCGGCACTTAGAGTAAAGAAGATATGGAAGAGCTGAAGAATCTGGAGACTGAAAGGATCGTTTTTGTCATTCCGAGGAATGTCTAGAAACTTGATGTCCCATCCAAAGGAACCCCAAAAGTTGATGTATCACACACACATCGAGGAAGAAAAAGCAACTACGCTGTACGATCGCAATTGCTGGGATTGGGAATGCTACCAATCTAATCACACCGTGACACAAGGGTACGATCTATTGACGATCGGCTCTGATGTCCCTCGTTCCCGGAGTCCGACAACCTGGATAAACCATGATCAACGATGGCGTTGTCTTGCTGTTGAGTTCTGAGGCTTCCTCCTGTACCACGTACTTTTGTTGTTGTTGACGATGGTGTCCGTCCGTGCCTACACACCAGGCGAATCACACCGCATGTTGTCCCCAGTCTAGAGCTGCAGAGCTGCAGAGCTTGCGATCTATGGGCCCCGGGTCCCAGTTTCCAGGATCGGGATGTGATACCTTGGCTGGTTCGCGCGTGGTGCTTTTGCGCGGGTTCCATGCCGCGGATGGGTCTTCTGGCTGGCTTGTGGAAGTTGTGGCTATTCTTCGAGGATGGGGTTCATGGCTATCCCTGTTCTCCTTCGGGCAGTCTGCTATTCCCTTTCTTGTAGTGCTGGGCTGGACTTACAAATCAGCACTGCGAGGGCTTGATGATCGACTTGGTCTGTGATCATGACGACGGTCTGTCGCAGAGTCCAGACGGGGTGCATCTACATAGTGGCGTCGATATCGAATGCCAATGGTCTGGTCGTTTGACTTTCAAAAGTACCGGAAGTGCCGGTGTGATCGCCTTGACTGATGGTTGGATTTGGTGTGTCTGCTTGGTAGGTGTGCATTTTGCAGGCAGTCGAGAATGGGGGACTTGACATATAAATGCCTGGATGCACCAGGGTTTCTGTCGAATCTGGAGTCTCTTATCTTTCCAGTCTTCTTCTATTGTGCTTGGTGGATCGAAGACAGACGCATAGCTCCCTGTCTGCATCGATTGTCCCTGATTCGCTTTGATCATGATTGTCCCAACCAGCTTCAAACCGTCCTTGACAAGGATCAGAAGCAAAAGACGGAGCAAGAAGGGCCAGGATGTTGCCCTCCACTCGCACTGTCCAGCATGCCTCCACTCTTTAGCTCTGGTCCAAGAGACGTCGAGCATCCCTCGCACACTATCCCTCAATCACTTTGACTTCAGCCGACCTGCAGGCTTCAACCGATCCAATGCTCGAGGGAAATTCATTCACAATTCTATATGGAAGACATGTCCTCTTCCCTCCCTCCCCGTCCTCCTTGCTCCTACCAGATTCGGCACATACGGTGGCCGCTTTGCTCCCGAGTCTCAGATGGACGCCCTGTCCGAGCTCACCCTCGCGTTTGATCGAATCATTTCAGATTGCAACTTCTGGGCAGGATACCTCAGCTGCCCCGGCATCCGTCCGAGTCCCCTACGCCTCGCAGAAAATCTGACTCGACATGCCGGTGGTGCAAATATCTGGCTCAAACGGGAGGATCTGAACCAGCACGGCAGCCACAATATCCGCAACATCGTCGGCCAGGCCTTGATTGCACACCGGCTAGGCAAGTCCGAGATAGTCATGGACTGCGGCTCAGCCAACCACGGGATCGCCTGCGCTGCCATCTGCGCACGCTTGAAGATGAAATGCACCATTCTCATGGGCAGCTGGGATGCCACGTGCCAAAAGGAGGACGTGGAGAGAATCAAACAACTCGGAGCCTCACTCATCACCGTAGAGACCGGCTCCGCAAGCCGCAGCACCCTCCGCGCCGCAGTCAACGAGGCCCTCCGCTATGCCGTCGCCCACCTCAGCACCACATACCACATCCTGAGCGGGCCGATCGGACCGCACCCGCTCCCCACCATCGCGCGCACCTTCCAATCCATCCTCGGCGAGGAGATCAAACAGCAATTCGGCGGCGGCGCAGGCAGCAGCAGAGTCCCGGATGCCCTCGTCTCCCCCGTTGGACCCGGCAGCACTGCCGTCGGCATGTTCCACCCGTTCATCGACCATCCGTCGGTGAAACTCCTCGGCGTCGAGGCGGCAGGCGCGGCGCCGCTATCGCGCGGCGATGTTGGCGTCCTGCATGGCTGCCGCACGTACCTCTTGCAGAATGATGACGGGCAGATCCTCGACTCGTGGTCGCCTTCCCCGGACATGAACTTCCCCAGCGTCGGGCCGGAACTGGCGTGTTGGAAGGACATGGGCAGGGTCGAGTATGCCACTGCGACTGACGACGATGCCGTGCGTGGAGTGCAGATTCTTCGCGACCAGGAGGGTGTTGATTCTGGGTTGGGTACTGGTTATGCTGTTGAGAGGACTATGAAGCTCGCGAGGGAGCTGGGGCCGGGCAGGGATGTGGTGTTGCTTGTGACGGGTTGAGGGGTTTCGTTCTCTGAGTGGTGGTACTTTACTTCCCTGGTGGTATTTGTCTTTGCTTTTTTCATCCAGAATTGTACGTGTTGGCTGCGGGTGGCATGCCTCAGCTGATGGCCAGGGATTCCCAGTGTTACGGCGCAGTGGTGTTGTTTGAGTTTCCTGTCGTCGATTATTCTCACAGAATGTGTTATAAATAATGAGATGTGTAAAGATTTACTCCTATATAGTCATCGTCAGGCGCATATTCCCAAGAAAATAATATCCTTTGGCTCAATGATCCATTCACCTCTATCTTCGGTCATCACTCATAACAGACATGGATTGTAAACATGCGGTATCTATACTTTTGAGTCGACCCTCAGTCGACAGGATGCAAAATAAATATGCTCAAAGCGACGAAAAAAAAAAAGAGAGAAGCCTAATCTTCATGGGTGACCGCCATATCCAATACCTCAACTCGGCCTCTTCCCTTAGTCTCGGTGCCAACAAACTCATTCAGCCCCTTGAAGGCACCCGGCTCCGCGAAACCTACCACCTCCCACTCATCCCCACCAACCACCTCTTGGCTCTCGACCGACTCGATGTAGCTCATAATCTTGTCCTTGACGTTACTCGGGGCTTTGGCCGCTGGCGCCGCCTCCGCATCCGATGCCCCCTCCGCATCCGAATCTTGCTGTCGCGCAGCCTTGCCCTTCGCCCCCTTCCCGCCCTTCTTGTTCGGCTTCCCGCCAGAAGGCGCCTCCTTCTCCTTGCCCGCGCCCGCCGCCGCGGCGCCCTTGACAGACTGCTTCAGCAGCGACAGGGGACACGTGACACGCAGCCGCATGCGTGCCCGCATCACCGGGATCGGCTGCCACGCAATCAACGCCTTCATAGCCTCCAGCGCCTGACTCTTCGCGGACTTAGTCGGCGTCACGCCCGTCCATAGCGGCTTCCGCGGCTGTGTCGACCCGTTCTCCTCAGCCGCGGCGGCCCCGCCGTTACCTTCCTGCTGTTGCTGCTGCTGCTGCTGTCCGCTCGCCGAGCTCAACTGGTCCAGGGCCTTTGAGATCATCCCCGGCGTGTACACCCGTTTCGTGTTCGGGTCGATCAGCCTCCCCGACACGATGTCGAGCACCTCCTTCTCAACCCGCTCCAGCATCTCCTTGCGCTCGCGCTCGCCGACCTGCACTTCGCCTTTGCGCAGGATCTCCTGGCGGATCTCGTCGGACGTCATGGAGGAGCCGAAGGCTTTGGTGAGTTCGGCCGAGGGCGCGGTTTGGGCTTTCGAGACGGAGAGGAAGATCGTCGGGACTTGGAGGACATTGTCGAGGTCTTTTTCGGCGCCGGAGCGGTATTCGAGCAGTTTGTTCTTGTAGCAGGCGAGCTCGAAGCGTTTCTTGCCTGGATTGGGGTGGAAATTAGTTGGAACGAACTGGTCATATTTGTTTGCTGTGTGGGGATGGACGGACCTTTTTTTAGTCGGACGATCGATACGTTCGTGAACTTGATCTGGTTTGAGGGTTGGTTGATAGGCATTTTGTATACCTCCTCTCTACGCCGTAGAGTGTTTCTTGTTAACTGAATTCCTTGACTGGATGGAGGTATGATAATAGATCTCAAAAGAAAGAAAGAAAAAAAAGTGGCTGTTCTGCGAGCAAAAAACTTCAGCCCCTCCACACTGCGACTTTATCAGCAATCAGTCTTCTCACTGCCTTAGCAGCTGCCTTACTGCCTTACTCACCATGATTGCATTTGCGATGACGCGGGTCCCGTGACCCCCTAGCAGGTGACCCAGCATGTGACTTGTTTCTCCTCACCAAGGCACCTAAGGCACCGCGCTGTGATTGGCCGCCTCCCTCGCCTCGCTATCAGCCTGCGTGAGTCGTCATCGGCGTCTCGGAGAGGTACCACCGCTTCCTCCGACCTCCCATCTCACCCTACACCTCCTCTTCTCTTCACCTCTCTCTCTTGTGTTTTATCCCCAGACCAGCTGGTTTTCTCATCAGCTGTGTTATTATTTTGTGTTCTTTGTGATTGTAAAGCTGTAAGTTGCCGTCCCATTGTGAACACTTCTGGTCTCGCTCCCTTGATATGGTACCGTACTGATAAGGTCGCTATCCAGGCTATCTCGACCCCAAGGTCCTCTTCATCCCTTCATCTCCAGTTCCATCAGGAATACGCTCTCAGACGTTTTCTGGGAGATACCTAAGCCATCATGAGAGTTCTCCCAGCTACCTTGCTGGTTGGAGCAGCCACGGCGGCGGTTCCTCCCTTCCAGCAGATCCTAGGGTTGCCTAAGAAGGGAGCCGACACACTGTCCAAGCCGCTCCATGACTTCCAGGAGCAGCTCAAGACCCTCTCAGATGATGCTCGTCGTCTGTGGGATGAAGTAGCCAAGCACTTCCCCGACAGCATGGACCACAATCCCGTGTTCTCTTTGCCCAAGAAGCACACCCGTCGTCCCGATTCGCACTGGGACCACATTGTCCGTGGTGCTGATGTGCAGAGCGTCTGGGTCACTGGTGCCAACGGTGAGAAGGAGCGTGAGGTTGATGGCAAGCTTGAGGCCTACGATCTGAGGGTCAAGACGACCGATCCCGGTGCTCTTGGTATCGATCCAGGTGTCAAGCAGTACACTGGTTATCTGGACGATAATGAGAATGATAAGCATCTGTTCTATTGTGAGTCTGGCTCTTCGATGCATCATCCATTGTCTAAATTCGCTGATACTGATCGTTAAAAAAGGGTTCTTCGAGTCTCGTAATGATCCCAAGAACGACCCCGTCGTTCTGTGGCTGAACGGCGGTCCTGGCTGTTCTTCCCTCACTGGCCTGTTCTTGGAGCTCGGCCCCAGCAGCATCGACTCGAAGATCAAGCCGGTTTACAATGACTTCGCGTGGAACTCGAACGCTTCGGTTATCTTCCTTGACCAGCCCGTCAATGTCGGCTATTCCTACAGTGGCTCTGCTGTCAGCGACACTGTTGCTGCGGGTAAGGATGTTTACGCCCTCCTTACCCTCTTCTTCAAGCAGTTCCCCGAGTATGCGAAGCAAGACTTCCACATTGCCGGAGAGTCTTATGCTGGTCATTACATCCCGGTCTTTGCCTCCGAGATCCTCTCTCACAAGAAGCGTAACATCAACTTGAAGTCCGTCCTCATCGGTAATGGTCTTACCGATCCTCTGACCCAGTATGATCATTACCGCCCCATGGCTTGTGGTGACGGTGGCTACCCCGCTGTGCTAGATGAGGCCAGCTGCCAGTCGATGGACAATGCTCTGCCTCGCTGCAAGTCGATGATTGAGTCTTGCTACAACACCGAGAGCTCCTGGGTTTGCGTCCCTGCCTCTATCTACTGCAACAATGCCCTCATTGGTCCTTACCAGAGAACTGGCCAGAACGTCTACGACGTCCGTGGCAAGTGTGAGGATGAGAGCAACCTTTGCTACAAGGGCATGGGCTACGTTAGCGAGTATTTGAACAAGCGCGAGGTCCGTGAAGCTGTCGGTGCTGAGGTGGATGGCTACGACTCCTGCAACTTTGACATCAACCGCAACTTCCTCTTCCACGGTGACTGGATGAAGCCCTACCACCGCCTTGTTCCTGGTCTTCTGGAGCAGATCCCCGTCCTGATCTATGCCGGTGATGCTGATTTCATCTGCAACTGGCTGGGCAACAAGGCCTGGAGTGAGGCTCTGGAGTGGCCTGGACAGAAGGAGTATGCCTCTGCTGAGCTGGAGGACCTCGTCATTGAGCAGAACGAGCACCAGGGGAAGAAGATTGGCCAGATCAAGTCGCACGGTAACTTCACCTTCATGCGTCTCTACGGCGGAGGCCACATGGTTCCCATGGACCAGCCCGAGGCCAGTCTTGAGTTCTTCAACCGCTGGATCGGAGGTGAATGGTTCTAGAGTATGAGGCCACGTCTTGGCTGCACGACCGATCAATGCTTGTTTTTTTGCTACGCTGCAGTTAATTTGACGGTGATTAGAAGAGTATGGACGTTTTGATTTGTCTTTTGATCAAGCATGACCAGTGATTGTGCTTCTCGCGATGTATGGCTGGCTTTTACAATCATATGGTGATATATACTGTTGTATCTATATTGCTTGAAAAAAGAATATGGGCTTAGGATGATTCAAGTTGTAAGTAACATACCAGTGTAGAGTTTGTAGAGCATGAGTCGACAAGTCGCCTTACGGGGATATGTACTCCGAGAATCTACATGACATACAAGGTGGAAGTAATACGAGGGAATCATTGCCATATCTTGGGACCATAGAACACCAGCTTTGCCGAAAAGAACATCAAGGAAGGGAGGGGGAGTGATTTTGATCTGATTCATTTCATATTGGTATGGTTTCTTTCGCTTTTGTTGGGCCCGTGTCGGTTTTTAAATCAACACCAGATCAAGTCCAGAGTCCCACGAGGATGTCGTAAAAACACACCAACATAATCCCACCAATCCCACTCCAGCGGAAAACAAAAACACATGGAGACGTTCAGCTCTTCTTCTTGCTGACACCGACGGTGCGTCCACGGCGGCCGGTGGTCTTGGTGTGCTGACCACGGACACGCAGACCCCAGTAGTGACGCAGACCACGGTGGGAGCGGATCTTCTTCAGGCGCTCAAGATCCTCACGGAGCTTGCTGTCCAGACCGTTGGACAGAACCTGGGAGTCCTTGCCATCGACGATGTCGCGCTGTCTGTTGAGGAACCAGGTGGGGATCTTGTACTGGGTGGGGTTCTGGAGGATGGTGACGATACGCTCGAGTTCTTCGGTGGTAAGCTCACCAGCGCTGTGATTTCCAGAAAGTCAACTTCTGCTGCTATCATTTTGGGGTTGTTTTTCGGGTTATCTGCGTGCTTCTTGTCGCTGTCCCTTCTCTCCACCCACACAGCACATGCACACGCACACAACCCCGATTCCGAAAATATGGATATCGAAAGAAAAAGGAAATTGGAACGTACCGCTTGCTCAGATCGACATCGGCCTTCTTGCAAACCAAGTTGGAGTAGCGGCGACCGACACCCTTGATCTGGGTCAAGGCGTACATGATCTTCTGCTTGCCGTCAACATTGGTGTTGAGCAGACGCAAGATGTACTGGAAGTTCGTCTTCTCGCCGGACACGAGCGCTATTCGAGAGAAAAAAAATCAAGAGCCAGGTCAGCCTTCGTTATTCCTGTATTGTTGGATTTTTTTTCTTTCCCCATCACAAGTTGTCTTCTTTCCCCGGGTCATCAAAGACCAGCGGACCTCTCGTCGTTATCACGAAATATCATCGCTTTCTGCAACCACATTTCTCCATCGAAAATAACGAGAGCAAACTTGCGAACAAAGGAAATGCCGGGATGATGGGGAGAAACGTACACATGATGGGCGATGGGCGCGACGGGACTCGCGAATACTTGTCGACAGCGAGAGGGATGAAGGAGAGGTGAAATCGAGGGCGCCTTCAGTGACTTTGCTTGCTCCCGTTGTGGGATCGGGTAAGCTGAGGCCTAGCCTAAACAGGAATGGTGGGACTGAGGGCTCGCTTGTCAACGGCGCTAAACTGGAAAAGGATAAATTACTTTGACCTGTGTCGCGACACGTGATATTACTCGTATCAGTACGGTATTGTGTGTACTGTTTATTACATCGTGCTCCTGGATGCTTCTTTGTCGGGCTTCATTCTTCGTCTCCACGTCCTTTCTGAGAATACTAGCTGGTCTTGTCTTGCATCTTTCATCATCCCTGGGGTGGATCATTCGATGGCTCTTTGATAACTTGGATGTTTCATCTTCTCCATCGTCGAGGATGTGGCCCGAGATGACAAGGCTCGAATATGCCTTTGCCAGAGGCCACCTCAATGGAGCGAGTACACTCCTCGTAGACCACAGACCCTGCAATATACATCTCGATTCACTATACTAACTCTCGCAGAGCCTTGTGATATGAAAACATGCTGCTCAACTTTCTGGTTGAGACATCTACCATGCTGCGCATCCGATGGTACTCTCTAAACCTCGACGCCATTTAGATCTAGTACACTCGTTGCAAGACTGTCAATTCTCGTTTAATGTCTTTGTTTCTGGTTATTGTCTGATTGACCGGACAAAGGCCTCTATTCACTATGACAGAATGTCGAAACACGTCTTTGGCTCGATACCAAGAAAGATGATCATTCACAGGCTACTGAACTTACTACGGACAAAGGCCTCTAGTGCAACCATTCTACAGCAGCCCTGGTTTTCATTTTATGTATAGAGAACCTGCTTTCTGTGAAGCAAGAAGGGGCTTCACTTGAGAAATTCTGCTACCATGGCTTGCCAGAATGAATTCTTGGTAGCCATTGTCCAGATGGTGTCGTCTTGGAAGCTTTGTTGACTTGTGGTGCGCTCTATTTTTATCTACAGACATATCGATTCAAACCTCTTTGTCCATGGATTGCTTCAATGGCAATATGTCTCGAGTGCAAAGGGCTCGATGTGTGTACTTAACCGTCTGAAGGCCCCTCAATTCGCATGTCAAGTTTCGTATCCAGTTCATACTACACTGCTTGATCTATCTCTTCACACTTTCTTCTAGCTTTCTTGACCACAACAACCCGCAGACCCTTCTTTTCTTGCTTCATCACTTGCTTCAGGAGATCTGCACAACTCGCAAGAATGAGCAGTCCTCCCGAGGAGTCAGAGTCGTCGTCGTCGAGCTCACCGTCTTACCCTGACCCCGACCTTCGCTACCCCAAGTTCAAGCTCAGCGACTTGCCAGATGCTCCTCCACACTGGAGGCTCTTCGGAGAAACAGCGGATGATGTTCTTCGTACTCGCAAATTTGTCCGCGAGCAGTTGGTAGCCATGATCGATTTCTACGCCTGGGGAATCGACATGGGTTTTGAAACACGTATGACCAATTTGCGACTCACGAAAGCCATATGGAAGCTCTTTTACTACTTTGCCGATCAGCATCTGCCCACATCGGTCAGGGATCTTCTCAATTTCGACAAAAAGGATGGTGGTCCGAGATTGCTGTCACGCGAAATCACCGATTCTTCCCTGCTACCCATCAGCAGATACTACCCCGACCCCCCGAGTCTCACTGCCCAGGCGAAGCCCGATTTCGTCAGACCACAGAATGCTGCAGAGTGGATGCCCGATGCTTACGTTGAGCAAATGTGTATGTCGAGTCGTAATTTGAATCCTTCAATGGCGAGAGCCCCGAGTCAGACGCCAACAGCGACGCTGGCTCCATCCTCCCGCTCTGGCTCGCGCAATGGCATCAACAGTGACAATAGCGATGACACGAACGGCAACCTTCAGGCAGCCCTCGTTGGTCCAGTGGTTGCGGGGTTTTCTAACCCGTTAACTCTTGTGCAATCCGCCAACCCAACAGGCGCATTTATACCTGCTCCTGCTCCGGCCACAAGTCTCCGTGTTCCTGCCCACAAGGCCCGAGCCGTCATTGAAGCTGTCGAGAAGTCTGTCATGAACTTTGCCTATCAAGAACTTGAGCGAGACCCAAGTGCTGTTCCGCAGGATCCTCGGCCATTCCAAACTGTACTGCGAGCAGAAGACGTCTCAAAGGCACTTATTGGTTCATTCTCTGCCAATGCGCAAGTGCGGCTCTCGCCAGATCCCTTGGATCCGGATCGATCGATTATTGATCCCAATGGGAGCGATTACCCCTGTCGAGGCAGGGGTCCTGTGTGGCGGGATAACTCAGGCAGCATCGACAGTCTGATCGTCGTGGGCAAATTGCTCAATGCTGGGTCGACGATTATCGATCGCAAACGACCAGGTGTGACTTCGCGTTTCACTGAAGTCGAACGGGCTTTTGTCGAGGCGACCGATATCAATTGGGATACTCTCTCGAGAGAAGAGAGCATGACGGCGCGAGATCATCTCTGGCATTTCCTGGATGGTCGCGTAGAGGGTGTCCAGGTCAAAATTCTCAGTCCTCTGTGGAACGTATGGTCCGAATGTGCAGGTCGCTTTGACCAATTCCACTTTACGTATCGAGAAGCAGTTTCATCTTGTCAGTGCACCGGCGAGGCTGCCACCATCCGGGCACGTACCCAGCATTTCGTGATCCCAGACTATCTTCCTGGGGACGAGAACGGGGTCAACATGAGTGATGTGGTTAGTCGTCCGTTTGCGCCTTTCCTCCAGGCAGATTGTGTCACATGCCAAGCCAAACAAAGTGTGACTGTCGAAAGAAGATTCGACACTCTCCCTCTGCGCATGGTGGTGGGACTCAACGAACGCACCTCGGCCAAGAATCACACCAAGGATATCACCTTTGACTTCTGTGACGGTGATGGCATCCAACAACGAGCAACGTACCGTTGGCTCGGTGGTATATACTACAAGGATTATCAATTCCGAGTCTTCTGGACCGATACAAAGAGGGGTGAAACAGAAAATGGATTCCTCCAGACCTACGACAGCACGATGAACGAGGGGCTCATTGTCGGAGATATTCCTCCGGCCCACAAGGACGAGAGAGTGCCCGCAGCGTGGTGGAAAAACACTCACTTGCCGTTCCTCATTTACGAACGCGTGGTGAATCCCGAGCCAGAGGTCATGAGCTTGGCCTGGCATGCATTGTCTGACATGATGAAGGTACAGATGGATGGCAACCTAATCATGCAGCAGCATACCCCTTGGACGCGCAATGAGCCCACCACTTCTCCGCCGAAGCTTCCCTGGGATCGATGCATTCCGGAGGTACCTCGCTTCCGTACCGGCGCGACTGGATACTCCTCGGAAGTCACTCTCCCAGATGATATCGTTGATCCTGACGCTGTTGTTGTTGCGCCAAAGCAAGGCTCCACCTCATATTCCGCGCGAATTACAAGTCCTGGAACATCTGTTAGCTCGGGGCAACCGCAATCAGCGAGTATGCACATCTCGCCTGCGCCCACAGGGCTGCAACAAGCAGCACAAATGCAAGCCCCCACGAACTATGTCGCAGCCACGGCAGTCAACGGTCCTCCTTTCGCCTCGACCTTCGCGACAGCCCAGGCCACCGGAGTGGAAGCTTTGGAATTCAGTGCACCGAATGCGGGTAGCTTGTTCAACACATTCAACGGCGGTCCGGCCATGGGAAGGAGCGGCAGCTCACGCTCAGGGAACAGTTTCTCCAGGTTCAACAACTACGCGACCTCGGGCATGGGCGATGGCAACGCGATGCAGATTTCCCCCACGCAGCAATTCTTCTGGATCCCCTCACCGTCTATGAGTCCAGAGAGGCAGCGCACTTCCCCGCGCAGACAGCAAGGCAGGCAGTCGCGGTCGCCGGATATGATGGCAGGCTTTGCAGTGCGTGGCGGCGGCGATGGCCGGACTTCGCCATGGCTCCAGTTTGTGCGTCTTTCGCCCCAACATGCCGTCGAAGAGGTACAGGACAACAACAACAACGCTAACACCAGCGCTGCCGCCAACGCCAATGGCAATGCCAACGCTAATGCTAATAAGGAACCAAGCAATGGACGAAAGGCACCCCGGAAACGGGCGCGGGCCGAGCCCACTGCCCCGGTCCGACGAAGTACCAGGCGTAGGGCATGAAGACTGAACGGTGATCATCCATGCCGGCTACTAAGTCCAGGTGAGAGCGTTTCCCCTCTTGTTTTTTTTTTTTTTTTTTTTTGCTATTCTAGTTTCATTCTGGTGGTCTTGGTTGCTTGCAGATTGCTTACAGAGGAGTTTTGATCGGTTCTGCCATCATCGGTTTGATTTGAGTCTGGTCGCATTCAGTGTATAATAGATATAGTTTGTGATGGATTTCCAATCGTATTTCAACTGTCTTGATTCTTGAGAATAGTAGTAGTATCTATCTAGTCTATTTCTGCAATGTAGCACAGGTGCATCAGCTGAAGATCGGTGTACTCCAACCACGCAACCCAACGCCAACATCATGGGAATCAGAAGTCACCGTCCAACAAACCGAGGAACGTCGAGCTGATCCATGCAATGTCACCAGCCAGCGCGGAATGGAAGCTCCTTCAACAACCAATAAACCCAAAGGATATCTAATCCTCCCCAGGCGACGGAGGTGGCCGTCGGGGCGTTTTGTCTGTGCGTGGCTGCATTCTTAAATACTTGCTTTCCCCGCATTTCGCCCTTTTCCCCAGATTAACTATCTACTATCTAGTATCTACTGTCTACTGTCTACTGTCTACTGACTAGTTATATTGGCCTGAGTCCTCGTCCTTTTCTTACTGTTCTTCTTCGTGTTGTATGATTGATGGCCGGTGAGACTGGTCTACTTTTAGACTTGTTGGATATGAGTTGTTGACAGGTATTTTGTTCTCTGTATGCTTCGAAATTCTAATCTCTATACATGCACACACGTGATCTTGTCTAATCCGACCCCTTGTATCGACAAAAAAAAAAAAGAAAGCAAAGAAATGAAAGGGGAATTCTAACACATTGACAGGGAAGAAATTAATATAAGAAAGAAAAAAAGAAAAAAATTTGAGAAGCTGAGCTACGGGCTTCACAGCTTAGCCCGAGGGCATCCGCCGTGAGCACCGACAGGACAACCGCCTTGCGCACCCTTGGCCGGCCCCGTGGGCTGGTTGCTCTTCTTGGGCGCCGAGATGTACCCGCCCTTGACGTTGTCGGCGTTGATGACACGGCCGCTCTCATCGCGCTTGATGCCCAGCTCGATCAGCTTAGCGAAGACCTTGGCGAAGTGGTCGAAGAAGAGCTCCTTGTCGGCGGCGTACTTCTCGACCCAGACGCGGAACTTGGGGTCCGTGGTGAGGGCGATATCGGTCGGCAGCATCATGAGCCACTCATCGCCCTCCTCGGCGTCCGGGTCGACGTAGACGAACTGGCTGATGCCATTCTCCAGCGTCTTGGGCTTCCACTCCAGCTTCAGCAGCAGGTTGAAGAACTGGTTCGAGAACCGCGTCGGGTTGTTCACCCAGGGCCCCTCAAAGCCGCTGCGGTCGCTGTGGCACCGGCCCAGGTTGTGTCCGCCCGCCAGCGCAACGATCTCCTGGTCGTTGAAGCCCATGCGGTAGAACACCGCGCGCAGGTGCTCGGCCCCCTGCGCGGCATCCGGCAGCCGGCCCCGCGGCGGCACCTTGGAGTCGTCGACCAGGTCCGTCCGTCCGGGCTGCCAGGAGATCTCCGGCCCGCCCATCTCCTTGATCGCGACCACGCCGGCGAGTGTCCACAGGTCGGCGTATGTGATCCACGGGTGCTTCTCCTTGACGGGCTCGAGGAAGGCCCGTCCGTACTGCAGGCCTGCGTTGGCCGGGTCGCCGCCCTCGGCTTCGTAGCGCATGCCGGCGCCGTTCGAGCCGCCGGTGTCGGTTTCGAGGTCATATGTTCCTGATGAGTGCCTGGAGATAGAAAGTTGGTTTGTCAGTGGCAAGCGTGCTTTTGAGTGGGCGAAGCATTGCAGATCACACAGGGGAAAAAAAAAAAAAAAAAAAAAGAGGATCTTACCATGCCAGCCGTACGAAGACAGGTCCAGCACTGCCATCATCATAATCAGGCTTCTTCAGCTGAGCAACAATGTCCTTGCGGACGGCATCATAGTCCCCCGGCTTGCTCATTTTCGGCCGAGATTGTGTTTATTTTTCTGGGGTATCGCGGAGGGTGGTTAATGGACACAGAAACAGATACAGAAACAGAAACACGAATGGGTATCGTCAGCAAAAACAGAGAGAAAGAGATAGAGAGAAGAGAAAGAGAGAGAGAAGAAAGGGAAAGAAGTTATACAAAGACTGATCTCGTTCGCACATGGAGAGAGAACTGAAAAGTGAGTGGATCCGCGGGCCGATGACTGCTCGACTGCCGAGGTTCATTTTGGCAGAGCAATCACCGTTGTCTTATTATTATTACTGTTGTTGTTGTCGCCATCTCCGAGTTGGATTATTACACGGATGGAGTATCTATCTATCTACCTACAGCATTACGGTGTTTGACGGTGATCGCTGTCTCTGTGATTCTGGACACGATCGGGGAGGGGAGTGGTGATGCTCCAACAGTCTCTGGTTTTACAGCCAACAGCATTCATCTTCTACATCCGACTGAACACACTAAGGGCTTGATTTGCAGCAAGAGACGAGAAATATCTACTTGATCTAAGCTGATCTGGCTGTCTATCTATTGGCTGTTGAACGTTGATGCTGGGCTGCAATCCCGATCAGAAACCGTGCGGATTCAACCTCGGAACTTGGATAGGAATTTTACAGCATTTTATGGACAGAATTTTCTGAAGACTGATTTGAATCCAGTGGGTTTGAGATGGCCATTGATGATAATGCGATCATTGCATCCATTGTAAACGATACTGATGTCCAGACACAGTGTATATGTCTACGCTGTGGCCACATTTGCCACAGCCACTCTCACTCTCACTCCTACAAGGGAGTTAACTCGGATTGACGGAGAATGAATTGCCATGTGAAATCGCCTGGATCGACTTCGTGTGTTCCTCGATATCGTCCACCGCGTCTCAAATCAAACGGAAAACAATATCGCGAGAATTAACTCATGCTCTCGATATGTCTGTTCCACCCGCGCTCGCTCGCTCTTCTGCCTCATCCCGACTCTCACCACCAACGCCAACGCCAACGCCAGCAACACCCGCATCCTCCAGCTTCAACCTCTCCCTCTTCAGCTTAACCATCTCCCACTCCCCCCTCATCCTCCCCATCTCCCTCCTCATCCCCCGATTCACCTCCCGCAGAGCCAACACCCTCTCCCTCCACACCCCGCTCACTCTCTCCACACGCTCCACCAGCGCTCCAAACTCCCTCCTCACCCACTCCCTCTCGCCCTTCAGCCGTCGCGCCAGCACCGCATACCGCCGGACGCGCTGCTCCAGTCTCCGCCGCTGAGAGACCTCGGTGCCCGTGATGATCTCGATGACGTCGTTGATGGGCGCCGTGTGCTCGGCGCCCAGCGTGCCCTTCTCGATGTGCTTGGAGATGCGGATGAAGACGGCGGTGATGTCGTCGGCGATCGAACGCAGCAGGATTTGCTTGGATGGTGTGTTGAGCGTGGTGAGGTTGTGGAGCCGTGAGGCGTAGGTGGGGGTGAGGCTGCGTTTGGCCATTGTAGAGTATAGTAGAATTGATTGAGAATTGTTGTAGGTTTGGGGATGGTTGGGATTGGGGGAGAAGATATGTATGCGCTGTGGCTTTATGCTACGACGGTACATATTGTATGGTGGTATATAGTGTATGGTATATGGCATATGGTATATGGTATACAAAAGACGGGGCCTGTGTCACGCGGTCTTCTTTGTTGGGCTCCCGTCGCTTGATTGCGCCCATTGTCTTTGATAATGCAGGCGGATGAGGCTCAACGGGTGTTTCTAGAAGATGGGCTGTTTTATTGATCTGTTTCAGTTTGTATGGTCTTTGCTGGCCGATATTGATTCCCAGACTGTACAGAGTCATTCAAACGGCATGTCAATAGCGTCATTGGAACCTATCGTAGAGCGGCCACAATCGCGTCTCCAACCTCGTTCGTCCCTGCTTTCCCTCCCAGGTCAGGTGTGCGAATCCCACCGTCCAAGACGCTCTGCACTGCACGTTCAATCTGCTGCGCCTCGGCCTCCATGTCTAATGAATAGCGGAACATGAGCGCCACGCAAAGAATCATGGCGACCGGGTTGGCGATGTTTTGGCCCGCGATGCTACAGTCAGTCGATCGACGGTCAGGCTTGTCTCGTCTCGTCTTGTCTCTGAGACACGGGACAAGGGGGGCAAAACTCACGTCGGTGCCGAGCCATGCGTCGGCTCATAGAGCCCGTTCGTCCTCTTCCTCGTATCACTGGGTAGCCCGTCCAGACTGGCGCTGGGCAGCACCCCCAGCGTCCCGACGATCGAACCCGCCTGGTCCGAAATCATGTCGCCGAATGTGTTATCCGCCAGGATGACGCCGTTCAAGGCGCGCGGGTTGGTTGCTAGGATCAGCGACGCCGAATCCGCCAGCTGATGCACCAACTTCACCTGCGGGTACTCGGTTGTCATGGTCTTCTCGACGACGCGGCGCCAGAGCCGCGAGGAGGCGAGCACGTTCGCCTTATCCAGAGAAATTACCGGCCAGACGGGCTCGTGCCGGAGCGCGATCTCCGCCGAGAGGCGGGTGATGCGTTGGACTTCGCGCTCGCTATAGCCCCATTCGTCCATTGCTGCTCGGGTCAGTACTTGTTCTCTCTTGGGTCTGCTCCAAGCGAGCTAGGACATGGACAACAGTACCATAATCTTCTTCCTCGATCTTTTTTCCAAAATACGCCCCGCCGCAGTTCTCCCTCACCACGACAAAATCCACGCCCTCGATGACCTCGTGCCGGAACGGGCTGAACTCCCTCGCGATCGACGCGCTCGGCGAGCTAGCCGAGCACGGTCTGAGGTTCGCATAGATGTCCATTGCCTTGCGAAGCTGTAACAAGCCGCCCTCGGGCCCGTCGAGGCCCCGGCGGATGTGGTCCCACTTGGGACCGCCGACAGCTGCGAACAGGACGGCGTCGGATGCCAGAGCCGCCTGCTTGACTTCCTCCGTGACGGATTTGCCGTGCGCGTCGATGCTGCAGCCGCCGATGAGCTCATGGCGGAGGTTGAATTTCCGGCTCTGACTCCCGAAGGCTTGTAGGACTTTCACGGCTTCGGCCATGACTTCGGGTCCGATCCCGTCGCCGGGAAGGACGAGGATGTCAAAGTTGGTTGTCATTTTCTGTGAGATACTGGACGCTAGAGCAGATGTAGTCTATTCGGACAGGTTCAGAGTGAGTTCAGAACTGAGCTGTTATGTCCCAGAGCCACGTTCTTTTCAGCAAAGAGCCTATATAGATGAATCGAGTAAAGTAGGTCCTCATCGGGTATCGGTCTTCAGAGCGAAGCTGCGGGGTTAGCAGCCACGGTGTTGGTCCGAATTAGTTTGAATGTCGATATCTGTCCGGGTTCAGATTATCTTGCCCTGCCTCTCTGGCTATCCCATCTTGAAAAAGGATAGAGTGTGCCTTGTGCACAGCAAGTTCGCCGTCAATATGAACGATCTCCCCAGGGGCTGCATCTATAGAAATTGGACGAATGCAGACATCCTCGCTCTCGGCTTGCACTCTCCAATCATCGTAAATTAGTTCAGCATAGTAATACAAACAAGTAGTCTAAACCTGAACCCAATGGGCCAACTCTGAAGGCGTGGATGATGGATGATGGACAGCTTCATCGTCCTTGGGACAGTGCAGATCCCCCGCAAATCCGCTGAGAGAGTCCCTCCGGTACCGGAAAGCTAACTCACCGCCTTTATTTGCCAGGCAACAAGGCAGCCAGGGCTAGCCCTATCCCCTCCTGTTTGCACTGTTTGGGCTAATCGCATTTGTCATGGATGGGGTGCATGCAGCTAAATTTTTGTCAAGAGATCAACATTCGTTCAATACAACCCGAGAGAGCACGATGGGCCAAGTAGAGGAACTACCGGACGATTTCGACGAGTCGCTCAATCTCAACGAGCGGCCGCCTGCCACCGATGCGCCTCCCAGCCAGCTGTACAATGAAGGCCCCTCGCCCGCCGCAGAGGAGACTCCGTTTCCGATCAACGAGGAGAGGTTGAAGGAGATCGAGAGCAATGATCCCCGAGCGCCAAAGCTGCCGCCGACCATGGCATCGGTCAGGTCGAATACCGGTGAAGATATCTTGAAAATGATGAACAAGACGCCGCTGTTCATGACGGATATCAACGAGGCGGGTGATGAAAGTGCGTTGACTTTGTCTACGGGGCAGCTAGCTCAGCTGGGAGACTAACGCAAATCTCTTGGATAGACGGCGAAAACCCGGTGCTCGATGCTCTGCAAGCTATGCAGAACGAAGGTACCCGCGGGGAAGTTGCTCAGAGCTACCGCGAGCAAGGCAACGAGGCCGCGAGAGAGAAGCGATGGATCGACGCCAAGGAGTTTTACACCAAGGCCATCGCAGTCGTGACGGTCAAGGATAATAAGTGGGAGAAGCCTGAGGATCCCAAGGAAGAGGAGAAGCTTCTGCGCCAGGTCGAGGAGGCGTCGTATATCAACCGCGCGCTGTGCAATCTGGAGCTGAGTACGTCCCTTCATCGTTTGCGTGTTTTGTGGATAGCTTAACTCAACGGCTTTTTACAGAGAACTACCGTTCTACGACTCTTGATTGCGCCTCGACCCTCAAACTCAACCCGAAGAATGTCAAAGCATACTACCGCTCCTCGATGGCTTTGTTCTCCCTCGACAAATTGGTAGAGGCCGAAGATGCTGCCGCTCGAGGTCTCGCTCTCGATCCCGACAACAAGCCTCTTCAGCAAGTGGCCGCGAAGATCGCCGATCGCAAAGCCGCGCTTGAGCGCATCGCCGCGAAGAAGAAGGCGGAGGAAGAACGGGTGCAGAAAGAAAAGCTGCTCCTGAGCACTGCCCTACGCGCCAGGCAGATCAGGACCCGCAAGACAGCGCAGCCGCCTGATATGGACGATGCCCACATCCGTCTGACCCCGGATCCGCTCTCTCCTGAGAGCACTCTCGAATTCCCCACCGTGCTGCTGTACCACATGGACGCCCAGACGGATTTCATCAAGTCCTTCTCCGAGATGAGCTCCATCGAAGACCACCTGGAATATATCTTCCCCTTGCCGTGGGACGAGAAACACGAATACACGATCAACACTGTCGACTGCTATATGGAGACGGTAACGGGGGGTCTAATCAAGGCCGGCAAGAAACTCCCACTCCTGCAGATCCTCAGCGGGGGCAAGGTCGAGGTTGTCGACGAACTCGTCAAAATCTACGTGATTCCCACCGCCAAGAGTGCGAAGTTCATTGCCGAGATGAAGGCCAGAAAGGAAGGCTGATTTGCTTTGGCCTTGCATCGGCTATCTATCGACTGAGTACTTGGTCCCAATGCGCTATTGTGCTCCAGTTTACTGCCAAGGTTGCAATGGCTAAGTTCAGCCAATATGAAGGACTACCGAGCTTGACCGCAACTGAGCCTAATACCTGCTAGCTTTCATCCCAAGAAGGGGAGTGGTGTCCACTATCCTATCTAATTTACCCCAGAGGACAGAGGATGATTATCCGCTCGTTTGCAATCTCCCCACATTTTGCACTCCGCAGATTCGGGCGTACCGTGGACCTCGTCAACCTGCAGAGATCCGACGTTCGTCCCTTCATGTGCAGTCTGCAACATATCGGCTGGATGTACATAGATTCAGATGGCGCCGGAATCATGGGCCGAGTATCCTACCAACACCATACTTTGACGACTCTATAGAATATTAATGAAATAAATGACCGAATGATAAATCAATCTTGCCATTGATGGAAGGAAGAGAGTTAGTCTCCGGCATATTCTCTTCTCATTAACTATCTAGTCTAGACTACGTGACAAGTGGCAAGCAACCTTTCAATCTAACTAAATTGCATGAGACGCTCAGCCATCTGTCGTATTTAGCCGGATGGAATGCGGGGAGGTAGTCCTGTTTCCTCGATTCCTGAAGACCTCCACGTAGTTACTACCAAGTAATTATTATTATCATTACTATTGATTATTACAGGGGAAGCTTGCTCTACAGGCATATTGTTGGCAGATCCTCCTACCACGGAGTACGGAGTACATAGTACATACTCCGTACACTACTACACTATGGAGTATGGAGTATGGACTATCGAGTCCTATCCTGGGATGTCGATCATGGTTCGCCTTTGACAGACCAGGATTGCCCATCCCCTGAGTCTGACAACCGGCCTCATCATTGCCGTTCGTGAAGAAAAAGCATCTCAAGCCCGCGACACAATAATTCTCGTGCTTGAAACACGGCTGCAAAAGGCTGAGCCTGCCGTCGACGAAGACTAGCTGTTCCGGTCAACTTCCTCGTCGAGGATAGATTAATTCTTGATCCACTCCCTTCTCTTGTTGACTTCTTCGTGCCCCTGGGCGCCATTTTCAGGCTAAAGGCTATGCTTCTTTTTCTTTTTGCTAACTTGGTGCAACTATGGAGTAGACCTCACTCCTCAGTCGACCAACAGGAATCTCTTCCTCTCCCCTGCAGTTTCTGCACCAATCTGTCACGGTGCCAGATGCCGAGCTAGCTCGCGCTATTTACCCCCATATTATTGTCGTTCTTGCGCTTTGCGCTGAAGAATCATACGGCTTTCAGAGAAATCCCGACTGGTTGATGACAGGGGGGCCTAGGATCAATTGCTCCCAGAATTAATCTGGATCAATATGGAGTGTGTCTTTGCCTTCCGTTCTTGGTGAGGGGGTCGTTGTGTGTGTGTGCGAAATGGGTATAAGAAGGGCGTTCAAACCCGCTGGGTTGAAGCCTTTCGCTGTTGACTTACTACCTCTCTCCGGTATCTCCACTCCTTTTGCAAGATGGTTCATCTTCCCTCAATCGCGGCGGCCTTGGCTGCTCTGCCTCTGTACGTTGTCTCCTCTCTGATCCTACCGGTTGCTTTTTTGATAAAGGAGAAGGTCTAACATCGCAGCAGTGTCTATGGCGCTGGTTTGAACACTGCTGCCAAAGCTAAGGGACTGAAATACTTGGGATCCGCCACCGACAACGGCGAGCTCTCGGACGCTCCCTATGTGGCCCAACTGAGCAACACCGAGGACTTCGGTCAACTAACCCCCGGCAACTCCATGAAGGTTTGTCAATCCAGAGGTCACTGTTGTGCAACTGCAATCACTGATCATCGTGCTTTGTTCAACAGTGGGATGCCACCGAGCCCAGTCAGAACTCCTTCTCTTACGCCGGGGGTGATGCCATCGTCAACCTGGCCCAGGCAAACGGCCAGTTGATGCGCTGCCACACCCTCGTCTGGCACAGCCAGCTGCCCAACTGGGGTAAGTGATTGTCTATCGACCTTCATCGAATCCTCTTCTAACGGCCGATAGTCTCGAGCGGAACTTGGACCAATGCCACCCTCATTGCGGCCATGAAGAACCACATCACCAACGTCATGACACACTACAAGGGCAAGTGCTATGCCTGGGACGTTGTCAACGAAGGTTAGTTGCTCGCAATCAGATATTCCCCGATTTCATACTCTCTTGACTAACGCCACCGATCCATCCTCCAGCTTTGAACGAAGACGGTACCTACCGGGACTCTGTCTTCTACAGAGTCATCGGCGAAGCCTTCCTCCCTATTGCGTTTGCGACTGCCGCGGCGGCCGACCCCAATGTGAAGCTATACTACAACGACTACAACATCGAGAACCCCGGCAACAAGGCGACCGGTGCGCAGAGAATTGTTAAGCTGGTTCAGTCATACGGAGCCAAGATCGACGGCGTCGGTCTCCAGGCACACTTCATCGTCGGCAGCACCCCCAGCCAGTCGGATCTGACCACTACCCTCAAGGGCTACACTTCCCTGGGCGTCGAGGTAGCCTATACTGAGCTCGACATCCGCATGCAGATGCCTTCCAGCAGCGCAAAGCTTGCCCAGCAGTCTGCCGACTACCAGAGCGTGGCTGCCGCCTGTGTGACCACCCCGGGCTGTATCGGTATCACCATCTGGGACTGGACTGACAAGTACTCCTGGGTCCCCAGCGTCTTCTCCGGCTATGGTGATGCTTGCCCTTGGGATTCCAACTATGTCAAGAAGCCCGCCTATAACGGCATCCTGGCTGGTCTGGGAGCAGGCTCTTCCACCGGCACTACCTCTTCCTCTACTCTGACCACCACCACCAAGACCTCCACCACGACAGGTGCGACTACCACCGGCGTCTCTCAGAAATGGGGACAGTGCGGCGGTTCCGGCTGGAACGGTCCCACCACCTGTGTGAGTGGCACTACCTGCCAGAAGCAGAATGATTGGTACTCGCAGTGCCTTTGAATAGGTAGTCTAAACCCTTGTGAGGCTTATCTCGTGTCTTGAATGTTTCTCCGCCATGCGGGTAATTGGAGGTGTCCGACTCCTTCGTCTGAGCTATGGTATATGGATATGTACCTTTGTTTAAAGAATGAAGCAAAAAAGAAGAAAAAAAAAATAAAATAAATCAATTTTTCCCCCACGTCTGTGCGTTTGACAGTAGTTATGTAGTTGTAACTTGTCGCCCAATTCCAATATTCCGGCCAGACAGAACTTAAAGAATTGTGCGGTTTCCTTTTATGGCAAGATCATGTGCCAGCTCCAGCTTCGATGGAATTCTTTCAAGTCTCTACATCGCTCGGCTCAGCTCTCTCTCTCTCTCTTCATCTCTCTACAGATCATCCACCATGCTCCAACTCGAACTTGAAATCCCTCTCTTTGATTCGAAATTAATATATCTAAGATAGCATATGGAAGTGCGCCTATGAAACTCAATATGTGCTTTTGGCTTTTTGTCTTTCCAACCGCCCAGAGTGTCTGTCTGCAGCGAGGAAATCCCGCGGATGATATGTGCAGTCGCAAATAATATCAACAAATGGTTTTTTTTCCGACAACGCCTGAGAAACCGATAGTTTACAACAAAGGGAAAAAGTGAGAGGGCGGTCAATAGTTGAAATAGTATGGGTGGGCGCAGTGTCCTACGTCTGGAGTGGGCACGCTCATGTCCAGGCTAGTTTGCTGTTGTTGCCCGTGGCTGATGCTCGGGTCATGGTAGAATCTTAAGGGGAAGGAATGGATGCTTGGAGGAGCCGCCTGGTGGAACAAGGGGATGGATGGACTGGGTACGGAGAGTGCGGTTGCTGCGTCGTGGCCTCGCTGCGGGACTCTGAGGGAGGGTATTGAGGAGGCTGGGGGGCAGGAGTCCCAGCTGGTATGCGTGATGGTGTCTTCGCTCCTGCTATTTGCTGATTCGGTGTGACTCATGAGGTTCCCCATGGATGGGAAGACGGAGGTGTGGGTTTCCATGTCGAAGGCTTCCTTTCTGTATAATCGATTCATATCCGAGTCGTTAATTGGGGCTCCGGGGGAACCGCCGATGCTGCTGTCCATGTCATCTGGGAGGTGAGCGCGAGAGACGTATACTGCTGCTTGTGGATCTGTGAAAGAATGAGTATACCCTCGCTAGACCCCGTTTGCCTTACGTACCAAGCTGGCCGTTCAGGAAGCTCTCTTCGTCTTCCCGGACGCGATAGATCTCATCTAGCACCTGCAGACGCTCCGAGGGCGTGATCTGACGGCGGATAGACTGGTCCGCTTCTCGGAGCTTACCGACAGTGATTCCACGGCTGTCGCGAAGCTCGCACAGAATGTGGATGAGCAGTCGGACTCTCTCTGATAGTGAGGTCAGCTTTTTGCACATTCGACCATGTGCACCAAGTCAAGAGGGTTTCGTGTGTCTCACCTGCTTTTGGAAGATGATCAGGCTCCTTATGCGTTACACCAGATGGCCACCAAGCTGGCTTTGTCAACTCGGGATCTAGCTGCCGGGAAACTCCAGCGATGAGCTTGCGCCCATTGTAAGGGTAGTTGACCTGTTTCCGGGGCTCGACGAGTTTGACATATGCTTTAGCAATGGTTCGACAGTTGATTTGCTGCAGACTCTCGAATGCCTTCTCGTAGTATCTGCGCAGGCGCCTCTGGTCCCGAAGCGGCAGCATAGCCCTCTGATTGCAGGTAATATTGATGGCCACCATACATTCATGGGAAACTTTCTTTCTCTTGGCGTGACGGCTGCCAGCATGAGACTTCTCTAGTGGAGTCTCCGTCTCAACTTCATTCGTGTATTTGCGCTGCGTTTCGAGGCTGGAAATCGATTCCTTTCTCGTCAAGATATCGGTCCCTGCGATGTCGAGTGACTGCGGGGATAATGGGCTTCCTTCTCTGGCCGCTTCTGAAGCGGTATAGGAAAAATCTGGGCTCTGTGATCAACACGCTGTTGCCTTTTCATATACTCTCCCAGGTCTTACCTGGGCTCGAAGATCCTGAGAGGCTATCTTTGCTCGATATGGCAACAGCCCTCAGAAAGGTCTCGGTTACACTGGGAGACAGGATTGACTGGCAGCTATCTGCGATAGACGGAGAAGCTTCGAAGCCGAGCTTGCCACTATGATCAACATAGATGATGGCAAAATGCACATAGCTGAGACCAGCGAGGTGCACATCGGATGAGTCCGGTTTCTTCTCACGCATCTGTCAGTTTGAGTCTTGCAACAACAGCAACAACAAGCTTGCCGGATTCACCATACCGTATGTTGCGAATCACTTGGTTCCTCATCGAAGGGTGTTGGTAAATCGGAGCCGTCTAACACCCAAGGTTTAGTCCACAATCTGGGTTGCCAATCAAGTGTAGGGGAGCAAGTGGTACCTACAGCCTGAAGACATGTCTGATCTGGGAGATGGAGAGCCGCTAGGTGCAAAGGAGGCTGATTGATATGAGAGTTCCAAGCCCACAGACCGAAGCTTGCAGGATTTTCTTGAGGCTAAAACTGTTCTGCGAATCCGTGGTGTACTTTATATCCGCGAGGCAGCTCTTGTCAAAAACATGCCAAAATCTCACGGAAAAAGCAACTCTTCCTGAGAAATGCTTTCACCGTATTGAGTTGCACTGGTGGTTTATCCAGGCCAAGACCGTGTCATCGTTATGCACAGAGTTATGTGGCACTGCATCCTACAGGGGCAATCCGCTCGGCTGCATTGAACTACAGACTATCGCCTCGTTACATTTGTCAATCTTCAAAGACCAGCTGAGCTGCAGTTCTGACAGAAGTACAGTTGCCGAGCGACTGAGCCTCTCCGGGTACGGGCTACGTATCGATAGTTTCATCGAGAGGCATCGCAAGATCGATAATCATTCAATCAGTCTGCCCTCATCCGAACACGTCACGCGAACATCAAGGTCAAGCACTGTTGCAACTGAAGAACTGAATAAGTCGCTCATCTGCTGCAATAGTGAAGTTGTTCTATGGGATCGTACCTGGTTGCCGGTACCCAATCACGAAGTCAAACGGACCAACAATCCACATTCTACTGAAGCCAAGCTTGGCATATGGATGACCAGGAAAGAGGCAAGAGTTTGGTACTCCTGTAACAATGGCCTCGGAGTGTCAACTATAACGCCCCTGGCAGCGTCCTCCACGGTCCGCTTTGGCTCGAAACAACCATGCGATCGACCGTCCAATTGCTCAACTTGATATTGCCGTGCCCATTAGTGTCCGAGTTGGGGTTACTTGAGACTCAAGCCTCCTTACATGGGACGGTCCTAACCGACGTTGCTGAGTTATCAGTGGGAAACAGCACGCTAGATTTTTACACATGAAGTCAATGGGCCCGACTATGTGGGCCATTCTGGGGGGGGGGGGGGGGGGGGGGGAATTGGACCCTCCGGCGCCCTCC